CAGTCTGCCTGGGTCTTGTGGATCATGTTGCCACAATCTGACATGATCTTCTGTCTATTCCATTGTGCAGTTCATGAACTATTAGAAAATAATAGTTTGTTTCAAGCTTCGCCGTTTGATTTACCCCATGGTTCGTCGAGGTTCGTATCTGTATGGTTTTTATTGGCAAGGGTAGTCAGCCTCCATTTTTGACAGCCATGGAATGCAGACTTAGCTTCGGTCTTGAAATCAGAATACTTTTTTGCCCTTGGAAATTCCCAAAACGGCAATCTAGAACGACGACAGTCACCTCGGTTTCTTGCCCGGTGATCAGGCCTGAAACGTGCTGAAGATGAGAGAAACATTCTGCCTTATTTTAAGGTGGCGAATCGGAACCGAGATTATATGGGTTAACTCATTTCATCATGCATGCCAAGCTTCAAAGAGTGTAGTATCAAGTTCTGGTATGTTTCCATGCCGACTTAAACCAAACCCTTTGTTCACGGCGGCGGCACCACATCGATGATGGGTAATGGTAGAAATCTTGTCCATACGGATCGCAATCCGGGCATCTGTTAATCGATCGGCGGCGTACAATTTCCATCAAGCAGGAGAGATGACAGAGCCTGTTTGATTGATTCAGTGGAGCGACCACATTCGCGACCTGCATTAGCCTTCTGCATTGCAATCTCTACCACTGACGTGTACGCAGTCAACCATACAGCCTGGGCAACGGACGGAGGGAGCTATTCCTCTTCAAATGCTACATCTTAACATTGGGCCATAGGACTCGGACAAACCGATTAAAACAATGCACAATGTAACGGAGTCGCCGCGCATAAGGCCTATCACCTACAGCAATGAAGATCCACTAGTAGGCAACTTGGGAGACACGACTTAAGTGACTTTATGCAGACCTGTTCCAAAGGCTTCTACACCGTCATGGCTGAGAGTCACTATGCGGACTCCGAGTCCTTCCACGTGCATCAGCCAACCACTCAATACAGATCTATGCGAGTCCGTCAGCTGCAGAACGGGTAGAGAAATGCAAAGATTGGAATAAGAAAGGCTGCCGTTGTTTGACATTCCCACGATGGATCAACCCAGACAAGCTCTTCAGGGGATATGCATGTCATGTCGGCACACGACTGACCATTGTCGAGCGCCACAATCCTTCAGTCGTGCATGCGTGCATGTGTACCTGGGTAGATTGGCCACTGTGCCTCATTTCGGATGAAAGAGCCTCAAAGTGAGCGCACCTGCTTGCTTTTTTATTGAAGTCAAAACACCAAGGCAGCGGTGCAGGATAACGAACCCTCATGATTGGCTCAAGGACCTGGGTGTTGCAACTTGCAGGGATGCATATGGCAAAGGGAATTTGTTTCAACAGAATCTTTATATTCATCTGTAATTCTACTAGTAGAGACAGCTACACAATCGGCTCCACACCTGGCCCGGCCACGTACAGCGTGTAAGTTCATGGAAGCCTAGCCGTTGCTTCTCTGTACCGTTTGCAGCAGGATGGCGAGAGCCGGACCATGCGGAATGTTATCGTGAGTCCAGCTTGTAGTTCGCATGCTGTCCGCACTTGAATGCATGCGGGAATCCCTGACAGATCGCACCATCCTCAGGGCACATGCATAGGACAGGACTGACACGGGTCTCACAAGCAGCGAGTGAACACCATGTAGCATTGAACCAAACCACATTGCTACCAATGTAGGTAGTCAAAGCGACGAACTCGTGAATGACGCCGTTCTCTATCCCAGCATGTTACACCCAGGTTCAGAGTACTTGTTCCTCAAGGCGATTCCGCAAAGCTGTCCAGCCTCGACCAAAACAAGCAAGTAACCGGCCCCAAGAGGTGTCTCCGTTCAACCTGTCGTCCACCGTATTGAATGATCGACCCAGATCAGCGTGCCTTGTCTTGCTACTTTTTGCGCACCTCATCGTGTTCCGGAGATTGATCCGGGCAATCAATCGTGCAAACCTATCCACGCACCTCAGCTTGTGAAGTGATATCATCCTCTGACATATGAACCTAAGAATGCAGTGTTAACCGTCTTTGTACTGCAGCAAGATGTCAACATGCGAGTTGATCGCGAGCAGAAACAGTGCGCGCACGCTCTGGTACAAAGTGTTTGGAACCACATTTTTGGACGAACAGTCCACCGCCGGAACTCATGATCTCAGGACGCAACCGAAACATGACGAGACAGACAATTTGCAACGGCGAATTCTGCGACGTTCAGAAAGATGCCGCGCGCTCACGAGCTTGACACGGCAGAGAGTAGCAACGATTTGTTCGCATTGATTCCAGGATCCAATCATGTCTGCACAGCACAGCAGCTGACAGGCATACTAAGGGGCTTTCCATGGTAGTGCAGCCAGGCAATTCTAGAACAGAATCTAGAGCTCATAGTTTGCCAAGCCAGTCAAAGCTCGCTTGATTGAGATGACAAGAATTGGGTTGGCGACCCACAGAAGCCTTTGCTTGGTAAAAACCTACCTGGCGGTGGGCGGTACGGAGTACTATACTCGAAGCTTTTTCAGCGTATCCGCTGACTCTCCAACCACGTGGAGTCAGGACAAGACAAGACAAGTGCCAAATCAGATCAATTGAGCCTCAATGGCTATTTCGTGTGCGTGCGACTGGAGCAAAATCAACATGCGAGAAAGCAGTTTGGAAACACGGCAACCGTCCCGCCAGAGCTGTCGAGTTACAGAGCGCATGCGTCATCCCGCTGATGGCATTGGTGAAAAATACCCCGCCATCAGCTGCCCCGCCATGCGTCGTGTAGCTGCTGTATGTACAGGAACAGCTCGTCAGTCAAAATCCATGTGAAAATCCCTGTTGCTTTGGCGTTGCACTGCAGCAGAGGCGTGCGACTGTCGGTTGATCTCGGCCTTATGGGGTTTAAGGAGACTGTAGAGCACATACATGCGACTCTGGATGATTTTGAATCGTGCTGTAAAGAAATGGCGCAAATGGTCTTGTTGCGGACCTGACTCCATGTTTTGCGTCACAGAAGCCCACATGGTAGAGGGTCCGAGAAGTCTCCAGATGGAGAAGCGTGCCAAGAAAGCGAGGAGAGCAGGAGAGGGTGGCATTTTCCAAGGTTGATGGGATTCCACGAGCAGGAGACGGGCCGTTGTTGGCGGTGAGCTCCCCACAGGTTTCCCACACGAGCACCACCCAGAAGAATGGAGCACTTGTTCATGTCAAGCAATGCTAGCGCCGGCGGTCTAGATCATCAGGAACAGTAGCTGGGATCTGTGCTGTGCTGCGCTGTGCTGAGCGCTGCGTGCTGAGTGCTGAACCCAATTGCTGGCATGTTTTTATTCGGCTAGGTAGTTCGCTTGAACTCTAAATTGATGAGACGAGTAAAGAACGGACAAGGCCGGATGTGTGTGCTAACAACCGAGTAATTAGGTTGTTGTTCTCGAAGCACTTATGCCATCCATTTCCTTCTTAGCCATTGTGCCAATCGCTATTCCTGTCTGCTCAATTCTTCGCTGAACAATATCTTCGGATGTTGTTGCTGCAGTATCTCAATACCAACCACGACCCCAACCCAACCCCAACGAGGCGCTCGCAAGCTTGAACCACCCAACCCTCACCGCGACGTCACGGTGAGATTACATCGGACCCCTCACTCGGTTACGTCACTTTCTCGTTTCTCTCAGGTACGTTCGCGTTCGCGCTCCGTTGCGCTCAGCTTGCGATTCATCGATTATGTGTTACCGCGTGACGGGTTACCTGGGCGTGCCGTTTTATCCAGCACTGTGGAAAGATTCCTTTTCGTTTCGGTCGGGATGAGCATCGGCCGGGCAAGAGAAAAGGGCAAAACACAAGACAACCCGAGTGATGGCAAACAGTCTTTACCCTTCGAGCCACACAGGTGCTTCGGGGGGCTGCAAGCCATTTATCTATCCTAACCAGCACTTCCAAGGTGGTCCTGCAGTTCCATGCCCACACTCTTGATCCTCACCGTTTGATTCGATCCCAGGAGCAAAACCTCCAGCCATGGTCTCTCCTCCCCCCTTCCGACATGCGCTCAGTAACACCCAGCCCGAGTCGCGTTAGTGACGCCCCCACCTTGCCCACCTCTGAGCTGTAGCTCGCATTTGGTTGTCGCCGGTTACGTCGAAATTGCGACAGCGAAAAATAGAACCGAAGACTTGAGAAGACGGTCGCCACTGTTTGTATGGCTGGCTGGCTATAATCAAGTGGAGCTTTGCGAAACCTGGAGTCTGTTGTGAAGCCACTGCGCGCACATGTTATTTTATGTTAACCTCATAGGATCGCACCGCCTTGGTTCCGACTCTTGACTCCTGCGTCCCTTGTCTCTTTCATCCCACCCCTTCGTCCCGCTAGACTGTCACACGGCTTGTGATCCCGTACCTTGTGATCCCGTACCGCCTACTCGACCACAAAGCTCGTTCCTGTTCCTGTTTCTATTCCTGTTCCTGTTCCCCATTCCCGTTGCTGCCTGTCCAGGGCTGCGACCTGATTCGTTTGTTCCTTTCCTACTTGTGGCAGGAAACTCGTCTCTTTCTTCCCCGCTCCTGCTCGGCGCGTCAACTCCAATTTCAAACCCCGTTTACCCGTCACAAACTTCGATCTGGCTTTATTGTTCCAGTATCACGCGCAAGAGAGCTAAACAATCATGGCCGACCAGAAACCAGAGAAAGGGGGAAGATCCCACGTCGTCATCCACGAAGCTCAAAGCACTTCCAGATCCCCAGCGACTGACAAATACGACGAAGAGGACCTGCCCGCCCACGAACGAAAGTCGGTTACTCAGATTCCTGTGACCCCTGGCATAAACCTGGAAACATACCACTCGACACCAAACGACGAGAACCCATCCGGCACAAGAGAAGGTCAGAGCTACTTCTCGCGAGATCCTCGAAAGGCAGATCGTGCGCCGCAGAACGCTGCCGGCGCCCCAGAAATACCGCCGCCTATTCAGGAGGAGCCGTCTGAGTCCGACTTCGCAGCGTCCTCGCAAGGCACCATGTCACATCAGGAGGTGTTGAGGCGTATAAGCCTGTCGACAAAAGGTCGAAGGGAATCCATCAGCGACATCAAGGCCGCTGTGCCCGACCTTGCTCTGAGCGGCAACATCATCTCCGCCACCTTCACCTTGCCACACTCGATAAAATACCGCCAGGGAGGAGAATGGGATTTGGGAACCAGACGCGGGCAGTCAGCCCTGTTTGATTCCTTCTCCCACCTTTCATCAGACGAATCACCCTGGAACCACACCGTAGTGGCATGGACTGGTGAAATTGAGGCCCCTCGCGATGTGTCAACGCCGCCCGACTCCCATCCCGACACCAGCCACATGCATGGCGTCAATGCTTTGTCCGCTCCGGTGCCCATTGATGGCGTTACGCCGCCCTCGCCACCAACGCAGGACGGCTTATGGATTCCTCGCGAACACCAGGTCGAGCTCGAACAGAAGCTATCCCAGCACAAGATGATCAAGACTGTGCCCATTTGGCTGTCTGACGAGGACGAGCAGAGTGCCGAAGGCATCAGGCTCAAGGACCAGGCTCGCTGGAGAAAATACGCCGACCAGAATCTCTACACCTTGTTTCATTATAAGCAACATGAACCAAGTGATGGAAGAGCCGAGCGTGTTCAGTGGGCGGATTACTACCGTATGAACTTGGCTTTTGCCAACAAGATCATCGAGACCTACAAGCCCGGCGACATTGTAGTCATCCACGACTACTACCTCATGTTACTCCCTAGCATGCTGCGCCAGCGTGCCCCGAAGATGTACATATCCTTCTTCCTACACTGCCCTTTCCCCAGCAGCGAGTTCTTGCGCTGCTTGCCGCGAAGAAAGGAAGTGCTCGAAGGTGCTCTGGGCTCCAACTTGATTGGCTTCCAGTCATACAGCTACTCGCGCCATTTCTCCAGTTGCTGCACCCGCATCCTCGAGTTTCCCTCCGACTCTCTTGGCGTTAATGTCTATGGCAACCGGGTCGAGGTCGGCGTTTTCCCTATTGGGGTCGACGCTGCTAAATGCCAGCAGTTGGCATGGTCCGATGCTGTTGACGACAAATACCAAGCTTTGAGAAAATTGTACGAGGGCAAGAAGATTATTGTTGGCCGTGACCGCCTGGATAGCGTGCGCGGTGTGGCGCAAAAGTTGATGGCCTTTGACAGGTTCCTGGAGCTTTATCCAGAGTGGACCGAGAAGGTGGTCCTGATTCAGGTCACGTCACCGACAACCCTCGGAGGAGATGAGGAGTCTGGAAACAAGATTGCCGGCAGAGTTAATGAGTTGGTCATGAAGATCAACGGCACATATGGCAGTCTCGGATTTTCACCCGTTCAGCACTACCCCCAGTACCTCAGCCAAGATGAGTACTACGCACTTCTGAGGGTAGCCGACATCGGTCTTATTACTTCTGTCCGGGACGGAATGAACACGACCAGTCTGGAATACGTCGTCTGCCAGCGCGATAACCATGGGCCCTTGATTCTGTCCGAATTCAGTGGTACTGCTGGCAGTCTTGTAGACGCTATACATATCAACCCTTGGGACCTCTCAGACGTGGCCAAGCAGATCGATCACGCCCTGACCATGTCTGACGAGAAGCGCCTGGCCATGCAGTCGTCCTTGTACCACCATGTCACTACCCACAATGTGCAAAGCTGGAGCACCAAGTTCCTTCGCAAACTTGTGGGGATCCTGAACAGCAACCACACTGCTGTCGTGACCCCATTACTGGACCGCACCACAATGTTGCAGCAGTACCGAGCTGCCAACAAGCGCTTGTTCATGTTTGACTATGACGGTACGCTTACGCCTATTGTTAGGGAACCCAGTGCAGCCATCCCCTCGGAGCGCGTCATTCAGACCCTGAAGTCGTTGGCGTCTGACCACCGCAATGCTGTTTGGATAATTTCTGGCCGTGACCAGGAGTTCTTGCAGCAACACTTGGGTCACATTTCTGAGCTGGGCTTCAGTGCCGAGCATGGAAGCTTCATGAGACACCCTGGTGAGACAACCTGGGAGAACCTGGCAGAGAAGTTTGATATGGGCTGGCAGGAGGAAGTCATACAAATTTTCCAGAAGTTCACAGACCGCGTGCAAGGTAGGTAGCTGTGGCCGGATATCCACGTATTTCCTGAAACTAATCATGTGCTAGGCTCTTTCATCGAACGAAAGCGGTGTGCTCTGACTTGGCACTACCGTCAAGCTGACCCTGAGCAAGGCTTGCACGCAGCCCGAGAGTGTCAGAAGGAGCTCGAGTCGACTGTGGCTAAAAAGTGGGAGGTGGAGGTCATGCCCGGCAAGGCCAACATTGAGGTGCGCCCTACATTCATCAACAAGGGAGAAATCGTCAAGCGTCTGGTCGCCAGTTACAACACAGACACCTCTCACCTTGCAGAGTCGTCCAAGCCGGCCTCTTCTGAGCACGGCATTGAGTTTGCTCTTTGCATGGGCGACGATTTCACAGACGAGGATATGTTCCGATCCCTTAACGTTGTGAGCGGTACGACTCTCAGCGAGCAGACCATCTTCACCGTTACTGTCGGCGCGAGCACAAAGGTTACTCTGGCCAAGTGGCACGTCCTAGAGCCTGAGGATGTCATCGAGGGTATGGCCCTCCTTGCCGGTGTAGGCAAGAGTGGCGAGATCGGCGATCACGCCTTGAGCACCACCAACCTTGCTGCAGTTGCGGGCTTGGAAGGACACGTCCCAGATGCATGATTTATTGGTGAACAATATAGACAATCTTGTTCTTGGTTATCCGAAAACCACACAAGTCAGGACACACCAACGTAAAGGCAATGAATGGAAGAACAGCGCGGAGTTCAGATGGTTTATAGTCTGGTTTGATGCTCATTGAGCAAAATAGATAGCATCATGGCATCGTGAAAGGGAGTGTTGTTGCATGGAAAGCAGCTCCAGGCATAGAATTGTAAATAGTACCAGAGCATCAAATAGAAATTAGATCCTTGGTCGTCCCTGTTGACCCAGTTCATCTATACGAGCCTGCATTTTGACCAATTTCGCCAGACTTGAACTGTCAGGAGGCTTGGCTAGGACAAATCCTCTCACGTGCAAGTTCGCATCACATGCAAGTTCGCAGTAATAATCGAGTACAGCCGTTATCGCTCAGCTTTGGTTTGACCTCGACCACATCCGTGAACTCCCACATCGACCCCCACGTGCGATTTGTCGTCGGCAGCCGTGCGTGAATAAAAGCAGAGGGCGTGCCAGGGACCTATTCGTTCTTGGCGTCCTCGCGGATGAAAGAAACTCTGAGGAGTGATGCTGACACGTCGGGCGGAATGGGACTTGAATCGTTCCGATGGCCTATGCGATTCGGTACTTTCTGGCCTGTTCGATTGCGCAGCTGACATTTTTTTCATTTCATTTCAATTCTTTTTTTCAGGCATGGGTTACTGCCTTAACGTCGTTCGTTCTTTAACGAAGCGTGTTGGCTCCATCCTTAACAGCGGGTCAGTGCCTATGCCCAATGCCGAGTTCTCTGGACCGGATGATCCGGGACACGAGCGAGATGAGGGATAGCCGTTCGTAGCTGGTGTTGTGACATACGGCACTGCCTGCACCTGAGCGACATGGCTGGAACTGGGCTGTGACTGAAGAGGGGCCTAGCCATCAAAGGCGGAGTGCAATGGGTTCATTAGCACGAGCTGTGATCGAGGTGGCAAAGGCATCTTGTGAATCTGTGGAAACCCCCCCCCCCCCCTTGGCGAGCTTGAGTGGTTCTTGACTGATTCTAATCGGGCCCGTCATCCGGTGGAGGTATCTTGTGAAGCTCTCTTGTCGGTCTCCCTTTGACAGCGAATATTTGTTCAGGAGGCTCATACTGACTGACCGCGAGAGATGACCCTGAGAAGCCCATAGATGCGCACTGTGCTAGAGATGAGCATGGCCGTCTATAATCACAGGACCGCTCCTGTCAGTACATGACACCATCGACTAACCTCAGGGCCAAGACTATCATGTAAATCCGCAAAGTGTTTGTCTTTTCACCGGCAATCGGACCACTTGACTAGTCCAGTAACAAACCATAGAATATCAAACCGTGGCTCTGACGGAGTGTTGCGAATTATAGGTTTTACTTAAGCTTCGTTTAGAGTTTGGACTCTTGCTCGGAAAGTCTAGACAAGACGTATTCTGGGATCGTCCTTACCGCATTCTCTTTCCCATAAGCTGCATGTGTTGAAGTCCCATCCGGAAAGCTTTACGGAGTTACCAGGATAGGTCAAGCCGACCCCCGGGCCAGGGTCCATGTGGAGTCGCTTACCTCCGGTATGCACCATGGTCGGGGTAGGTGCACTGCCGCAAGTACAACGTCACTGGAGTCACCAACAGATGCCTAAGACCATCACTTCTCCGACCTTTTTCACCCTAAGTAACAGTCGCACCAGATACGGAAGCCGGTATTCTACTCACTGTTAGTGTTTCAGTCAAGATGGCTACGCCGAGTACCTCGTGGGAGACCCTGGCAGCCGCAAAGCGAGAAGCCATCCTCAACTCCATCCCCACGAAATGGAGACTGGCTAGCATCCCCTCAGTAGAGGAGCAGCGCGATGTTACAGGCACATATTTGCAAGATTTCCTTTCTCCTAGAGAGATCGAGATAACCGAGACAGATGCTGTGGGGATAGTGGAAAAGACGTCTTCAGGTCAGTGGACCGCAGTCGAAGTGGCGGAATCTTTCTGTCACAGGGCCTCCTTGGCCCATCAGTTGGTGAGTCTTCAAGATCTCATCTGGGGAAACAGCCTCACACTTCCTAGCTCAATTGCCTCCATGAGACTTTCTTCGACGCTGCATTAGCCGACGCGAAGGAGCTTGATGAGTATATGGCCCAGCACAAGAAGCCGAAGGGCCCTCTGCATGGTCTTCCCGTGTCGTTGAAAGACCAGTTTCACGTCAAAGATGTCGAGACGACCATGGGGTATGTTGGCTGGATTGGCACTTTCCAAGGACTCAAGGGAGACAAGCGCGCAAAAGTATTCGAGAGTGAAATGGTACGCGAACTCCGCCAGCTTGGGGCGGTACTCTACTGCAAGACCAGTGTCCCGCACACTCTAATGTCTGGAGAGACAATTAACAACATTATTGGGTATACTTGGAACCCAAAGAATCGCAACCTCTGCTCTGGTGGCAGCTCTGGTGGTGAAGGAGCGCTGATAGCATTTCGTGGTTCGCCTGGTGGGTTCGGCACAGATATAGGTGGTTCTATTCGTATACCCGCAGCCTTTTGTGGTCTCTTCGGCCTCCGTCCAACCATAGGCAGACTTCCATACGAGGGCATGGCAAACGCAATGGATGGACAAAATACGGTGCTCAGCGTAGTCGGACCGCTTTCGACCTCTGCCGGTGGTCTCAAGCTCCTAACCAAAGCCATACTATCCGCCGACCCCTGGAACCACGACCCACTAGTGACGGAAATGCCTTGGCGAAACGAACTCGAAAATCAGACCAAAGATTATCTGGCTGCGTCTGATCTCGCTGTCGGTATTTTTGAGCACGATGGCGTAATTGGAATACACCCGCCTCTCAAGCGCGCAATGAAAATCGTTCGCGACATTTTCAGTTCGTCTGGTAATAAAGTCACAGACTGGCAACCACCAAGCCATGGAGCCATCGGGGACTTGGTACTCAAAACATGGGTCTACGATGGAGGTAAAGATATTTTGGAGGCTTTCAAACTATCTGGCGAACCATGGGCACCACAGATAAACCTCCTCGCCGAATCACGACCGCAGGCGACTGCGTCTGAAATTGCTGCTGTCAATCGCGGACTGCGGGAAAAGCGAAAGGAGTATCTCGACTACTGGAACAGTACACAAAACACAAGCGGGACTGGGCGACCGGTTGATGTGTTCGTCTCACCTGTGGCGCCATTCGCCGCTGCGCGCGAAGGCAGATATGACTATTACGGCTACACTTGGTATGTCAACGGGCTGGATCTCCCTAGCATCGTCGTCCCCATCACGACAGCAGATCGCCGCGTAGACGTCCCCGATACTTCATACAAGCCGGTGAGCGACCTGGACAAGAAGATACAGAATGACTGTAAGTTCTACAAGTGAACAATGTCTTGCACTCTGGATGCAATCGCATAGTATAGCTAATAAACCTTACTGTTGACAGACGATCCCGAGATATACCATGGCACCCCGGTCGCGCTCCAGTTGGTTGGTAGAAGATTTCAGGAGGAGAAACTTCTGGCGATCGCTGAGTGGCTAGAGCAACAGCTCAAGGGCTACCAACCATAATCCATGAAGCCAACATAACTAGCACGTGGAGAGGGAGGCAACGGCGTTTCCTTAAGGTCAATGATAGGGTATTAGTTTATCTTCGAAGCATTGGTAAGCTTGGCGTGTCTAAAATTGCACCAGAATCACGACAGCTGTGTTTATCCATTTTGTTACTTGTGGTACTCGTTTAGACTATTCTGCGGCTCACTTTTAGCAAGAGGATAAGAGGTTAACATGGATGCCCCAGTTGTCTCTGCAGAGGGTTTCTCACAGGCGACGTATGAGGTGTGTAACTGTGGGAGTCCTTGTCTTTTATTCCTGCATCATTCAATAGCTTTATATTGGCTATACGGTGGGCCAGGTGGAATCCCCTTCTTTGGGGGTGGTAGTACCAGATTAACGCTGACTATCTTGGCTGGCCACTTCCTAGGCAGTGGTTCATCTCTTTCTCCTAGTCGACCTCTAATTTTTCTATTGTAGGCTTGACGACAATACTGAAGGTTCGAATGCTTTTAGGCCCGTATCTAGTCTACATTTACCTTAAAATACCTCGTTGATAGATCCTGCGTGTTCAATATCTATTTCACCCAGTTTTTGAGCACAAGTTTGGAAGATTCACCTGGCAACCGGGTAACCTCAGTGATTCAAGCCGCTAGGAAAAGAGGGCGAGAATTCAACAGTGGATCCGCAAGTTGACCAACTCCCTCTTCACAGCTTGGTTCAAGTGGTCGATCTCAGTTCTTGGTAGTCCGGCAAAAAAGAAGCCTCGCACAACTCTTTCTCCGATGCTAAATTGCCGCCTGCCCAGGCCATACCCACATTTCTTCATCGCCCGGTCTCTCGGCCACGGGCTACCTAGTACTAGAAGCGCTCGCTTGTAGAATTGTGAAGTCCTGCTTGAGCGAGAAATGGTTGCTCACTTCACGCTGTTGTGGGCCGCGCTCCTTTTTGCGACGGGAGGCAGACTATGCACGGGCCATCGAATGGGGAGCCGGTCATCATGACATTATACTTCCACCATGTTGGCGTGGCTTAAGTGATGAAGAAAGAGAGAAAAGATATAAGAATTAAGAAGGAAACGGAATTGTGTTGAAATGTAGAGTGGATTTATCTTGCCGCAGAGGTTATCTGACTCGACGTGCACTGGAATACTCTGCCGGCAACCATCTCAAATACGAGATTCAGACGGCAAGAGAAAGAAGAGAAGAAAGAAAAAGTATCAATTCGTTAATCAGTCCCAAGTAAACACCATACTATCGCATATGCGCCGCCCGGACCCGAAACCCTCCTCGTGTACTCCTGAATCACACAAAGTCCAGGGGAAAACCCCCCTCCCTCAAACTCCTCATCACCGGTTATGTAATCTCAACGATGGCCACCGAAACGGGTCTTCAGCCGTTGCCAGAGCGATGGCTCCCGTGTAATTTCGAGGTGCATCAGCCTTCCATCCGACATGACGATGCCCCCGGCCGCAGGTGTGACGACTATCTGCTGTCCGCCATGACGATGCGAAGCCGGGTTCGTGGGGGTTGAACTACCGGCTTGGGCTGTCCGTGTTCGAGTTGGCATTTGTCCGGGCGGAACAACGCTTTTTACGGGGAACGGGACCCGGGGGTGTTAACTGAGAGTCAGGAATGATGGAAGTGGCAACAGAGATATGGTGGCTCAATCTTGAGTGATAGACTAAATCAGCGCCTGTTCATACGGTTTCTAGTTGTTTAAACTGTAAGGTAGCAATGCCAAGATTTCGTCCGTGGAGTGACAGGTGATTATATGTGACGATAGAAATCTGGGGCGAAAGAGGAGGCCGCCAAGCGGGGTCCTGGGACCAGTGGATTGGGTGAAATTATACCGTACGTCACATGGCCTGAGGTGATGGTGAGGTGATTGGCTGCGATAAGCAGGCAGTTTTGATTCTTTCTAATATTATAGGACCTCGAGAGGTGTGAACGAAATAACAATAATAATACAGGGTATAGTCGCTCTTTGTCACAACTGAAATCGCCGTACCTCAAGTCCTATTAAATCTGGGACTGAGAGGACTCCTCCCTGGCGCACCAAATGTCCCATCACTAATGCGGCGCAATTTGTTCAGATCAAGCTCCGGTTTCAAATGCGAAGCGATGTGTGGTCTTGCTGATCCAGGCGTCTTGGGTGTCTTGGGTACTTCTGGTAGAGGTCGATCCGTGGGCACAGCTGGCACTCCAAGTCCATCAGCATCGCCCCATTTGCCTCGCGCAAAGCTGTCCCAATCGCCAGAGTAATGTCCGGATGATGCAGTCTGCACAGATGCGGCCGACCGCGTCCAACGGAACGAGGAACGCGCAACGGAGGATCTCGTCTTCCACGATCGGGTACTCCACTTTCCGGACGCTCGAGACATCCAGCTCCAAGTCGTCGACGGCGCGACAGGCCCGCCAGTCAACTCTGCCGCCAATCCACGCCCGTTGAGCTCGGCAGGATTCTCTTTGGCACCGAAGGGAGTGCTCAACGCTAGTTCTGGTATGATTGGTGCTGAGCCAGGAAGTTCGGTATTCTGCATAGGCAAACCTATAGAAGCCACACTAGCCACGCTTGAGCGTCGTCCAGCGCCGGGACCAGCATCGCGGGATTGCCACAGCACCCGGTGAAGACGCAGGGAACGAGCTGACTTGTTCTGCTGGGAACGGCGATTGCGGCGTAGGATGATTACTGATCCGATGGCCATCACTACTACAGCCAAGATGCTGGACAGAATGATTGCGGCGAGGCTTCCCGGATTGATTGAGGATTGAGAGCTGCTACTCGTTGGCATTGCTGTTGATATTTCGGTAGTTGTGATGACTAGTGTTCCGGGCTCGATGTCTGAAGTAGCCTCGCCCTTCGATGTATCGACACTGGAGGACTGTGAGAGTGTCGTCTCACCAGCAGTTGTGGTAGTCGCTTGTCTGGTGATGGTAGAAAAGCCTGTAAGAGTAGTTGACACTGGAGACGCCTCGCTGGAAACTGTACCTGTGGTAACAGCAGCCAGAACGAGCCCTGGTGTCAGGGGATGTGTCTCAAGAATGCTCAAGTCCTCGTCCTTGAATCGAATCTGCAGCGCCGGTCCAACCGTGACAATGACAGTGCCAGACGTTGGGGTTGCCGCAGCACGCGTGAACCCCCAGACTCCACCACGGAAATCAGTCGTGTCGGTCGTACAAGTGTGACCACTGTACGAGGATTACATGTTAGTGATGGCACTCAACACATCAGAATACTCCATACCTTGGTACGCAGTAGACAGCCGTCTCCCCAGCCGCCACTGGGGCAAACCCTTCAGCTGTCCGAGTCTTTGTTACCTCGCAACTTGGCCCTACCTCGAATCCGGACGGGCAAATGGCGGGTGAGTAGTATTGGAAGCCTTCATCTTCGATGTTGGCTGCCCACGACGGTGGATCACACCGGGATGGCCCGGTGGTGGGGAAAGGCGGATACTGCGACGGAACTTTGGTGGTTGTCAGGAGCCACGAGGTTGAACACGATGGCGTGAAGACGGTCGTGAGAGCTGCAAGCGGCCCCGTAGGTGTAGACATCTCCGCTCAAGTACCCCAGATGCCAAGGAGATCGTCGGCCAATAGCGAATGTCTGTCAACAGTCTACCAAGCATTCACCCAAAGCATCAAAACTCGGAGAAGAAAGGTCAGACGACTAACATGAGTCTCCACGGTGGCTGACGGCAACATCTTTAAGGTTATTTGGTCACTGAGCATTGGGGCTGCTTTTGCCAGTATTGCTCGTTTCGTCTCGTAGATCATGCAGATCGACATACCATGTTCCCGGATGACACATGCGTTTAAGACTAAGGTTAGTGATTTGCTGAAACCCTGGACGGCGATCAAACTCGACGGGACCGAGGCCCTTTCCCCGTTCGTTATTTTCTTAGCTTGCCGCGCCAGGCACGCAGGCACGCCTCGATTCAAGGTCAACAAGAAGCGGCAGAGCCTCACTCAATCAAATTTATGGTTTTCTGCGTTGCAACCCGTCTTTATCCCCTGTCAAGTTTGAATGGAACGGTGTCAATGCGTTCGGATTCTTTTGGATCCACAACATCGGAGGTTGTGCTGGCCTCTAACAGGGTGGACGGGGAAGAACACCAAAATCGGAACACGTGCGGTCCAAACATACATAAATATGCAGGCCTGCGACCTCGCCGGAGGCACATGCGACTGCATTACGAAGTAAACTCTGCATTTCTGTAGCGGTCATCGCCGGAGCACGTGGCTCCAAAGAAATCGTGTTGTCATTCGGTAAGTAATTGAGTCGCGTCCATCAATCAGCGGCAAAAGGGCTAGGTGTATTCTCTGGAATTCCGAGCGCTAATGCAAACAAAGGCGCAATGCATGCATGGTCGCGACGGCAATGGAAACTGGCATTTCGGATTTGAGGCCTTGTCATCTGTGGCCTTCTTTCCTGGCCTAGCCAAGCTCTTCTGCATTGTGTAGAATTTCTGTGCCAAGCATAGCTTCAGCCCTGAAGGAGCGGCCTCTGGCGGCAAGGGGTTTGTTTTGCACCTCTCAATTGGGAACCATGCGTTTCAAGCACAACGAAGACCTGTCGCGACACTTTTTCCAAGGACAAGACTACGTGAAAGTTCTTGATGGGAGGCGGCGCAGCACCAAATTGATGATATTGTAGAGTTTTGTCTGGAATCGTTCCCTCTCTTCAGCCGTCATCGTGTTCGGAGCACCTCATCATGTAGGCACGAGTGAATATTCGCGGCCCTACAGGCAGCGGCTGGCAAGATGGGCCTCGCTCGATGCACATACCGAGTCGGCTAGCGTAGGGGATGAATGAGTGTCCTTCTTTGACGAGACCCTTATCCGTCATTCGGAAGTTGATAGCCACCAGATCATCTTTTCGAAGTTTCTCGGGCTTGATCAACGGGAAGCCAAGGCTGCTACAAACGTCCAGAACTCTTTGCCAGTCATCGAGTTTTGGGTATCGATCTTTATCCTCAGAATTTCTGAAGTGACGAACGCGCTCAATAATGGCATAGTTGACCATGTGTGTGACTTGATCCCACGAGTAATGCCGTGCTAGATCCAGCAACAGGGCCAGAAATCTCGGAGTGTGGAATGGGATCTTGACAAATCTGAATGCTCGGGGATCATCGCCTTCAGACCAATATTTGAGGAACATGTTGCGAACCCTTTGGCCCTCCAGGAGGCTGCTTCCAGGCTGAGAGCCTGGAGAAGTTGGTAATTGAGTTGCTGATAGGGTTGTATTTTGCGTCGAGACTGCGAGAGTTTCTTCCAGGTCAACATCGGAGAAGGCAGAGTCAGCAAAATAGCTGTCTTCTTCATCGGGCTCCTGCGTGCTGACAAAGACTTCGTGCTGCTTGCGTCTTGCGAGTTCTGTGTGTAGCTTCTGCAGATGTCGGGTAAGCTCAGAACATCGCTCCAAGAGATCATCGGTCGAAAGTTGTGTGAACGCGTCGCTGGGTATGGATGCAGATGAGAGCGGCATGCTCTCCAAAGTTCCGTTGCAGATGGCATCAATGTACTTCCCCAACGACTCTCGCCGCCATTTCATTGACTGAGAGAAATTGGTGAAGTACTTGTGATAAAATGCTGTATTGATTGATGTCCGACCATATCTGAGAGTAAAAAGTTTGTTGAAGATATCCTTGTCCACATCATCGGATCGGTCTGCCGCACTCCATTGCTTGTGCAATCTTGCGATGTTGGCCTCTGTGCAGTTTGCACAGTGCTCACCTGTAGGGCAAGCGGCGCACCTAGCAACCCGCAACTTCAGCATCGCCAACTGCGAAGTGTCGGCTACCGGTGCTGAGAGGACCTATCTACTGCCTAGCCTAGTCCTTTTGTAGAAGTAGATGAGACAGAAAATCGGAGGATCATATAAATAGAGAATCTAGTAGATTTCTTACTTCTGTGGCAATGGTTGTTTTGTTTATTGTTGATCCCGATGGAGTTGTAGCTGTGAACCAAAGCAGACAAATAGCGCCACAAAGGTGGGTGTGGCTGATTGGGTGGATGTCTCTTGATGCATCAACGGTATGCCCGCTCACAGGTCAAGGCATTGCAGTCGACAGATATCTCAAACATGAAATGACCCGAAGCTGGCGGGCAAGACCCCTTTCTCTGCGCCACGCACGTCTACTTTGAGAAACTGCGGATCAAGCAGGGATAGAAAAAGTATGACAAACGTGAGTAGATGGCTTCCCGAAAGACGGGAGTCCCAGCATCTACTGGACGTGCCTCGTTGATCAGTATGGCGCGCCAAAGCGACAAGTGACTGGAAAGGGTGTGGAAGGAGGGCTTTACACGGGAAAAAGTCATGGAATGCTAGTAATCAAGACTGTTTTGGAAGACAGAAACAAGAAAATGTCCTATGATTGTGAAAGATAATGTACAGTCGCTAGCGAAACCAGCGTCCTCTGCCTCTACTCTTTCGGTCACTGTGCACGGATCTGGTGACAGCTGACTCTTATGTACACCGTCGTCTATAGGGCTATAGGGTCCAATTCTGGATCTCTCGCTTTGATGGCATTTGCTTATGAAGTGCAACACCTGGTAAATTTATAATATATCACATTTACATAATGAGCAGCAAGCCCTTATAGTGCTTTTCCTGGTATCCGCTAGCAAAATCCACCGAAAGAAGTCGGCTGAAATTATTAGGCGCAAGGGTTTTTGTTTTTATGGCTATGACATGTTCAAGAAGGTCGACTGCCTTCTGAGACTGTCCATCGTTCAGGTATGCCCTTTCGAAACATTGCAGAACAGCTAGATCAAAGAGACAGTAGAAAAGGATGTCATGTCTGGTAGCTCATATAGTACACTGGTGTCTTCGAGGTACAGTATTCTATATATATCCCTATACTCGCAGGATTGTGGATTGGCGTATTTTGCGGAGGCTTTTAATGCACTAACCTTATAGCATTATGGGAGGGGATGAACTATATCAATATACTCGATTCTGAACTGACCAATCAAGAAGAAGAAAACTGAATCGTGAAGTATAAACAATATATGCAAGTGAATGCACCCCCTAGTTCGCGTCGGTTACTCTATGAAATGCCACCCGTGTGACCTTGGCCCAAATGCTGTAAAGTCGCCAGCCTCCACTGCACTGTAGCGAAGGTCAGACACCACTAATTTTAGATCGATCGACTGGGACACCTAAAGAAATTTAAATCCTGTACGCAGCTATTTGCTCTGAAGTCCATCCACAATCCGATACGTACAGTATTCTCAAATCTTCTATTTCCTTTAGCATCGTTGCCATCGCGGGTGCGCCGTGCTGCATTATGTGCGATCAGATTGATTGGACGAGGCAACACCCTGGCCGCGCGGGGTTTTCTGCTGGTCGCGTCGTCAGCTGCACGAGGCCCTAGAATACACCGTTCTTCTTGCCTGCGACATGCCTCTACCTATGATACATTACTGAGAGACTGGCCTAGACTTCAAGCCATTTGGAATCATCTACATACGGCGTCTAGAGTCATATATCGTCCAGAACACGACGGACAGATGAATGATAAGGCATGGCGAGCGTGCATCGAATTGGGTTGACCCAGCTTTCAGCTAGTGGGAGCCAGGCGGAGAGTACTTACCAGGTCAAGTATGAATCTTAAGGAAACATGGAAACCGCCAATGTCGTACTGACATATGTAGTATCATCTTCGTGCACGGTCTGCGAGGTCATCCCCGAAGAACTTGGGAGGCTGACCGAAGCCCATCGGGTGGCGATGAGCCGACTGCGACACCGAGACGAAGGGGACTAAAGTCCTTCTTCCTTTCGAAACACTCGTCGACAGCGACAGATGTAAGCCTTGATCACGAATCCGATACAGATACAATATTCTGGCCTGCCGACTTCCTCGACCCCGACCTACCCAATGCAAGAGTATGGACATATGGATACAATGCAGATTTGATTGGCATGTTCGAGGCGAACAATAAAAACAGTGTATCGCAGCATGGCAGAGACCTATCTGTTCATCTCGAGAGAGATATCCAGAACGAAGTGTGTGCTTCTTCAAACACGTGCGACACGGCGTGGTTAACTAGCACAGGACCCCGTCATCTTTATAGTTCATAACCTTGGAGGCATTATCGTGAAAGATGTAGGCTACTCCTTTCATACTTCGAAACCTCGACGGTATCATATACTAACGTGAGACTTTAGGCATTACGTCGTTCCCAGAACCTGCATCTGCAGACTCAGTTGGTCGTCTTTCTAGGCACACCACATCGTGGCAGTGATATGGCGGCATGGGGTACGATTGTATCGAAATTGGCTAGGCTTGCATTCCAAGACTCCAACAGGCGCCTCATAGAAACCCTGAAGGTGAACGGCGAGGTATTTGACAACATACAGGACGAGTTCCTACGTATTGTCCTTGAGGGCGGCATTCGGGTCCATTCATTTCAAGAGGCCAGGGGAATATCGGGTGTGAAAGGACTGTCTGGCAAGGTGAGCTAAAAACTTCCCAGTTCGTGAGGGTCTAGTAACAACTAACACGGCAATGCATTAGGTGGTTGATGATTACTCGTCCAAGCTCGGCTTGGTCGGACAATTCGAGACGGTCGAGAGCATCGATGCCAACCACATGCAAATGGTACGATGTAGTCATAAGAACGATCCGCAGTACCGTGCTATCCTTGGGGTATTGAGACAATTTGTCCGACAGAAGCTTGGAGACGTGGCTCCGGAAAGATGGAAGATATATCCCAAACAAGACAGTACTGAAGGGGTACCCATCAGACATCAGCCAGACTGCCGGAAAGGTAAGCATGTCGGCAGGACTAGTCACTCCGAAATGCTTGCAAATGGCTTGTTGATAACAGGCTAGAAACTCCGCATCAAACATGCTATTACATACGGCTCGAGAAAAACCCACGATTTACTGGTCGCGATACCATACTTGACGAGATAGAGGACCGGTTCTTCATTCGTTCCGAATGCCGTACGCTGGCGCTGGCTGGGCTTGGCGGAGTGGGCAAGACCCAGGTCGCTCTTCAGTTTGCCTACCGTATCAAGTATCAATATCCAGATTGTTCCATCTTTTGGGTGGCTGCTCTGAGTCATGGGACATTCGAACAGGCCTACACGGAGATTGCGCACAAGCTCGGCGTGCAGAGGACCAGCGATGAAGAAGACATCAAGGAGGCGCTATGTCGATATCTAAGCTTGGATACGGCTGGGAAGTGGCTTCTTGTTGTGGACAATGCCGATGACCTAGCACTGGTATTTGGGTCTGCCGGGAGATCTGGCATTATTCAGTATTTTCCCTGTAGTGACAACGGACTGATTTTGATGACGACGCGGTCGCAGGAGGTGGCTGTGGACTTTGCGCAGGCCGACGTGATTGAGGTGGGGAAGATGAGTTTAGAAGAAGCGACGGGATTCTTAGAGAAGTCGCTGATTCAGAAGGAAGCTCTACAAGATGCGGGTGTTGTTGATGACCTACTTAACAGCCTGGCCTACCTCCCGTTAGCGATTGCTCAAGCAGCCGCTTATCTGAACCAAACCAAGACGACGATAGCGAGGTACCTAAAACTGGTGAAGGGCGCCGAAAGTGAAGTGACGAAACTGTTTAGCAAGGAGTTCAGGGATAAGACTCGGTATGATGGCTCGCACAATGCGGTGGCACGGACGTGGCTGATGTCGTTCGAGCAGATACAACAGTCGAACAGAGTTGCAGTCAACTTGCTTACGTTCCTCTCGTGTATCGAGCCCAAGGCCATCCCGCAATCGATATTGCCTAACCCTGAATCGTTCGAGACCGAATCGGCTGTCGGAATCCTCTGCGGGTATTCGTTTTTAGCAAGACGGAGGGACAGCGAGACGTTTGACATGCATAGCCTCGTGCATATAGCGGCGCGAGCATGGACGCAAGAGCACGGTAGGACCGAGTCGGTTATGGAAGAAGCGATTTGTCATTTGGCGGAGATCTTCTCTTCGAGTGATTGGTCGAATCGGCATAGATGGCGACAATATCTGCCACATGCGTTTTATGTACTGGATAGAAGCAGAGGCTATAATCTAGAGGGTCGATTTAACCTTGTTGACGATGTCGGAAGGTGCCTTGACGCCGACAGACGGTTTAAAGAAGCCATTCGCTGTTACGAGGAGGTGTATGTGTGGAGACGAGAGCAGTTCTCCGAAGATGACAATTCGAGACTAGCATCGGAGTACAGTCTTGCAAGAGCATACCTAAACGACAGACGGATCAAGGAGGCGATTAAGATGTTCGAGCATATAGTGGAGATACAGAGGGAGATGCTAGATGAGACAGACCATAATCGATTAGCATCAGAGCATGAGCTTGCTAGAGCATACCTCGACGACAGGCGGATCAAGAAGGCGGTTAAGGTGTTCGAGCATGTGGTAGAGATACAGAGGGAGACGCTGGATGAGACAGACCATAATCGACTAGCTTCAGAGCACGAGCTTGCTAGAGCATACCTCGACGACAGGCGGATCAAGGAGGCGATTGAGGTGTTCGAGCATGTGGTAGAGGTACAAAAGGAGACGCTAGATAAGACAGACCATGATCGACTAACATCAGAGCACGAGCTTGCTAGAGCATACCTAAACGACAAGCAGATCAAGGAGGCGATTAAGATGTTCGAGCATATAGTAGAGATGCAGAGGGAGACGCTAGATGAGACGGACCATTCTCGACTAGCATCAGAGTCAGCACTCGCCACAGCATACCTCGACAACAGACGGATCAAGGAGGCGATTAAGATGTTCGAGCATATAGTAGAAATGCAGAGGGAGACGCTAGATGAGACAGACAATAATCGACTAGCATCAGAGCACGAGCTTGCTAGAGCATACCTCGACGACAGGCGGATCAAGGAGGCGATTAAGGTCTTCGAGCATGTGGTGGAAATGCGGAGGGAGACGCTGGATGAGACGGACTATTCTCGACTAGCATCAGAGCACACGCTTGCCTACGCATATCTTGAGGATGGCCAGGCTCAAAAAGCGGTCGACTTTCTAGAACACGTGGTGGCAGTGGAAAGTCAATTATTTGACGAATATGACCCTGACCGTCAAGTGTCAGTGAATTTGCTTGCGGACGCACAAGAGCGACTAGAGGCGGAAGACGGAAGTTGGGAGAGTGCAAGTGATGACCCAGAAGAGGATATGCCCACCGTGTAAGCTGGGTCAGACTAAATGCTAGAACAATAGACTTGAAAGTCGATAGCTGCTATTATATAACTACATATTGGAACCCCCCGAGTTCGACTAATGCTAATGCTAATGCTAATGCTTGTGCTAGGCTAGTGCCAATGGTCGCCAAGTTACAGTGGATTTTATGATAGACCTCAGCCACAGCTGGGCTTAGCGCGGGGTGCCAGGCCGGCCAACAACTTGGTGCATTCTAGGTTAGGGACCTCAGGGACCTCGACCTGTGCTGGACAATTTGGAGGATAATTGGAGAGCTTCAACCTTCAGGACAGCTGAACACAACCGATTAAGAGGCATAACTCCCACACAGCCCAGCGAAAGATGGCGACAGACGAGGAACCGTCCTACATTGACTACGAGACCTTCCTCGACCCGGCATTCACGCCAGCCTCGTTCGCCAACACCTTGGTTCTTGCGACAAACAACCCCAATGATGCCACCTTGGACCTCTCCACGCCGCTCTCCAAAGTGCTGTTCGATGCCCAAGAGATAGACTCGCACATAGACCTGCTTACGACAAGGTCTGCGATACCCATTTTGACACATACGAAAGAGCAGACGGACTCAAGCACGCGAATCATCTCCGAGATTGACAACCAGGTCAAGAGTCTGAACGAGAGCTACAAGCAGCTTGAGAAAGAGGTCATACAGAAACACGCAGAGGCAGATGAGGTCCGGCAAGTCGCTTCCCGTCTTTGGGAGGCGCTGAAGCTGGGCAGGTCAGTTGCACGGTGCCTGCAGCTGGGACGGCAGTTGGAAGTCCAGCACTCGGAGATCTCAAGCTCTGGTGCAGCTAACGCTGCTGGAGCCACCAAGAGTCAGGACCACCGGGCCCTGGTACGATGTGCGCACACCATCCTGTCGCTCCGCGAGGTCCTGGACCACAAGGCACCTGGCGAAGAAGGCTATGGACTGGACAGAATAAACACCATGAAGAGCCTGCAAGACAGCATCATCGCCCCAATCGAGCGATCAGTAAGGACTGCGTCAGAGCAGATCATACGTGAATTTGCTATTGGGTCGTCAAGTGGCACGGCAACATTTGCCCAAAGCGAGGAAACCAAGGCGCGAACCCTGTCAGCCATGACCACACTGTACCTACTTTCGCCCACCTCGGCCGTCAAGCCAGACAAGTGGGCTCCGCAGCTGCTGCTGCAAGCTCTGGAGAATTATCTACGCAATGCGCTGCAGAGCTCCATAGCCTCACTCACTCGATCGTTGGCAACATTGCCTACGCTGGATCGCACGTTGGCTGAAGTAGCTGCGCGGTGTCAAAACGTTGTCGCATTGGAGATCATCCTGGACACCACCAAGCCGCCAACGCACCCGCTACTTCCAAAGCACAGGCAAAGCACAGACGGCTCAAACCTCCTGCAGCCATTGCTTGCCCATCTGGAGACCGGTTCTCTGCCGTCGTATTTTTGGAGGTCCATGGCCAGCAGTCTGTCAACAAGGGTGGTGGAGTTGATGAACCGCGGCGGTGTATCTGCCCGGACACTCAAGTCTAACCGCAGCTCAGTGGGTGATGCCATTAGGGAATGTGTCATCAAGGGCAGCCAGGCACCAAACACCATCACTGTAGCTAAGAGCAAGACCGGAAAGTCAGACTCGGAGAAGGCAGGTTGGGATCGTGAGGTCGCAGTCATGGTCGGAAGTGTGGTTGGAAATCTTGGTCGATGATGAATGAGCTCAAATGACAATCACTTAATACTTTTAGATCATGGGCTCACACCCGAATTACGAAATCCTTTTTCGCTTAGCGGAACTGGATACTTCATCCTCCTGTCCATCAAGCTCACTGTGGCCCTTCTTTGCAACGTCCTGCTCAAGCTCCTCTTGTGCTATCGCAGCAGGACCACAGGTCCTCGCCTCAGAATCTTCGAAGACATTCACGATCTTCTCGACCCTCATGCCATCACCTTTCTCGGTTCTTATTGGCTCTGTGTCCAACCAGCTTCCACCAAAGTCGATGGATCCACAAATTACCACGCCGGTCCGTCACGAAGCTTGTTTTGCATCGCCCCAGATAATGTTATTATCATGCAGCAAGTTCACTATCTGCGCTGTCTCCCAGGCCCAACTTTCCCGCTTCTCCTCGACCATGTCCAAATCGAGCATTCTCGTCAGCGGCGTCGGGCGTGCGATATCTGTCTGTAACCGTCCCATGATCTCAGACTTGCTATCTGCATGACCAACTGTGAGGCGGTCCGTGGTACGGAAATATCCTCGTGTCGTGTAGCCCTTCATCTCTATCTCGTCAAAGATTCTGATCTCGCGTTTGGTCGCTATGGTTTGCTGTTATCGATCTGTTCGAAAAGTTAGTATCCTTACCAACCTATATTCGGCTTGGCCGATAAGGGGGCGCTTCATCACTCTCGGTCCGGACCGAAACGTTGCACCTAAAGCACCCCTTGAAAGGCAACATGGTGAAACCATCAATGTTCACTTGGACATGACTCCACCGTCACGCCTTTGATTTTAGGCGCTACGATCCATTGCTTGCAGTGCATAGCCAAGGATTCCTGTTTCCATTCTGTATACTACATTGATCTTTCTACTCATTCCCAACGTCATCAAACCCCAGTGAGATGCGATAAAATATGAGAGGGAAAAGCGATAGTGCCATGCATATGAATACTGACCCATTCTAGGTGAAGACTTCTGCCCAGAACGCCTTGACATGCGACTTGAATGCTTTATCTGACCAGATAAATTGCTTCAAGATTTGGAGCAATTCTCCCCATGATGTGTACAATCCTCTTAGCTTAACAGTGCCGTTTGAGCGCAGCAGCAAGATATAACCAGAGCGTACAGGACCCTGTGGAGCAAACGCCCCGCCCATATACAGGAGCCAAAGTAGTAAATCACTGTGCCCATCCCATATGGGGTCGCCGTTCGCATGTTGAAGTACGCGGAGTAGTTGTGAGGAGATGTGGGACTGGGGATTGCCGAGTCAGCATATCGATGAATTAGTATAGCGGAGAATCTTGGCATTTCACCAGCTGAATCTCGGCCACGGCTTTCTTTGGTAGGGGTAAGACTATCAGAGATAGGAAATGCAGCATTTGTAGTTCACCTACAGGAATTACTAAAGCGCACCATACCGTGCAGCAAAGCATGACTGAGCATAAATATGCCGCAAGATGACAAGATTCTAGGATAGGGGAGGGCTTCGGCAAGCCAACCAGCCTCGACTGTATAGATGCCGTGTGATTGTTGATAGACGCCATCCGCACCACATCCCACCTAACGAAACAGGGCAGGTCTCGGATACATCGCAATGCCTGTATATCTTCGAGTATTTCAATAAAATTCTTAGTTAGTAGGTTAGAGCGCGCCTGGAACCCTGGTGCTAGGCGGAAGAAGCTTGGAGAAAACGGATCTCTCGTCCACTGGAGCTCAACGAAGGTCGTGTGCTCAACTATGCGACTAGATCCAGCTAAAATTGAGGAATTCAGGTCTTGCCTATCACCAAATGTAAGAGCAAGTGACAAAATTTATGTAGTGTTAATTACCAGAAGATGGCCCGTTTGATTCCACCAGTGAGACAAATACCCTTTTTAAGACAAATATTGAGCAACAGCTGCACTGCTCCCATATGAAGCTGAACCTGAGATGTCACCCCAAGGCGAGCCTGGAATCCAGACGTTAGCTCATCGCAGGTCAAGATACCGGAAAAAGAAACAGAAAAAGAAAAAGCAGAAGGAAGGTTGCAAACCTCTACGCCGGCCAGCAGCAAGATTGCGCCAATAGTTGACTCCGAAGTGGCCTCGTCCAGTGAGCTCATCCGTTCACGAATATAACTGATTGCCTGGCCCTGGTACCCGAGACATTCTCGATCGATAGAGCCCCCGGTTACCGCCACTGCAAGTGAAAGCATGACAGCATTCAGAAGAGCAGGATCAACCAAGCCAGTTCGGAAAACCGACCGGAAATTCTGGAATGCAAGCTCCTCGCAAACACTGAAGACGGGCTCAGGAGCCAGCCTAGCTTTGTCTAAACCATCATTGTAAGCCCGTCTGAGGTAGTTTGGGCGACACCGTAGCTGAGACCAGGAGGGGCTTACAGTTGCTAAGCAGTGCCTGCAACCTCGACGAGTCTACCGCAAGTGTCTGAAACGGGTCGAGCAGGTCTGCTGACAGGGAAAAGGGCGATGCGCCAAAGGTTCCGGTGCGCGGTCTCTTGCTCGCTGACCTCCTAGGTTTATCTCTCAAGCCTATTACACGAAAATTGTCCGTCGACTCCTGCTGGAGCTTTCGCTTCTTCTCAAGTGCTTGCTTCACAGCATGCGACCGGGCGAGACGCCTCGTCGCCGGGTCTTTTGCGTCATCTGGGGCTTGCACCGAGATGAACTGAAAACGCCCGGCTGGCAAGGGTTAGTGGCAAGATGATAGGCCACGGCCCCGGGATCGTTCCACCTACCTGTGATAGGTTCGCTACGCGCTTTTCCGGAACTAGGATTCGTTGAGACCATCTTGCAAGACTATCAGTACGAACGCTGCCGCTCATGTCATGACGCTTGCCGTAGTATGGAGTGGGATGTATCTCAAGAACGCTCCGACAGTCGTCATCGGTGTAGGCGGATGAACGAAACAGCGGGTTTCTTGCATGATATTCAATAGTGGGTCTAGGTTAGGTGGGTTCTGGACGCCACAAGGTTTGGTCGCTTGCATACTTGCTTATCAATCATATACTAGGCGGTATGCTAACGCTTATTGGAAGTATCTTATTTCCTTCATCGGTAATACCTCGTTACCTTTTACGGAATCATCTACTTACCCTAATGGGATGCGTTCCATATTCCACATTGGAAGTATCCCTACTCCTTGATAGGAATTACCACCATCTCTTGAATGGATCTTTTTTTGCGGGCTAATGCTGATAGTGTCCATAGCACCCATAAACCGGCAAACTTGTTTACCAACCAAGTCCTTTTGTCATGGCGGGTTTGTCATCGAATTGCAAACTCGAGGAGTATAAAAGCTTCAAGGCCCAAGACCTTGAGAGCTTATCTACTAGAATTCAGACCTCAGCAGACAAACTTGAGTCCTGACTGATACGGAAATCTAGTAATACCTACGACAATCAAAACTCTTTCCTCATGGCCGAAACACGCCTGTTTAAGCCGTTGAAAATAGGCTACATGGAAGTGAAGCATCGGATTGGGATGGCTCCACTCACTCGGCTCCGGGCAACTGACGACCACATACCTGTCCCCTTGATGGCGGAATACTACAGCCAACGAGCTTCTGTGCCTGGCACTCTGATTATTTCCGAGGGCACCTACGTTTCGCCATCAGCCTGCGGTGGATTCGCCAATGCCCCCGGCATATGGAGCAAAGCCCAGGTCGCTGCCTGGAGAACAATCACCGACGAAGTCCACCGCAAAGGCTGCTTCATAGTCTGTCAGATATTTGCTATGGGCCGTGCTGCAAATGCTGAAGTGGCTGAGAAAGAGGGAATCGATATTGTAGGACCTAGCGCCATTCCAGTCGGACAGGGCAGCGCAATCCCACGACCCATGATCATACAGGAGATCAAGCAGACGGTTCAAGACTTCGCGACCGCAGCGAAAAATGCGATTGACGCTGGGTTTGACGGTGTCGAGTGCCACGGTGCAAACGGGTATCTGATCGACCAATTCATTCAAGACGTCAGCAACCAGCGTGACGACGAGTACGGTGGGAGCGTGGAAAACAGGTCTCGCCTGATCAGCGACATCATGAAGGCTGTCGTTGATGCTGTTGGGCCAGAACGTGTTGGGCTTCGACTTAGCCCATGGAGTTCATTCAATGGTATGAAGATGAAGGATCCAATCCCACAGTTTGCGGATATCATCAATAAAGCCAGCAACTTGAATCTGGCATTCCTTCACTTGGTGGAGTCGCGGATATCTGGTAGCGAGGACCAGGAAGGTGGCGAGAGCCTGGAATTTGCATACAAACTCTGGAACGGACCTCTTCTTGTTGCAGGAGGTTTCAAGGCGGCAGAAGCACAGAAACTTGTCGACGAACAATACCCGGACAAGGACATGATGGTTATCTTTGGAAGATACTTTGTTTCAAACCCAGACTTGGTATACAGAATCAAGAAAGGCCTGGAGCTTAGTGAGTACGAACGCAAGACTTTTTATACTAACTCGGCTGCGGGTTACGTAGATTACCGGTTCAGCGCGGAATATCTAGCGAGTGAGACTGTTTAGGCTAGCACAAATCCAACTGTATGCATATCGAACAGAGTTGAGTGGCTCGTGTATCTTACCGAGTCGCCGCATACGCAATATGTGCTAGATTCTTTTGTTAGACTGGCGGAGAAGATCCGATCTAGCCCCTTACTGTAAATAGCGCAGCTTTCCTGTAAACCATCGCCCGGCGGTTACATGTTAACTATTCCTCACGTCCGTCACTACCATGGACGTTCCTTAAATAACCCTGTACCTAGGTACAAAATTCCAGGGGTGTAATGGCAGCTGTTAGTCCCGATCGTAGGAAAAATCGAGCTTTGATGCACGGAAGGATCATGGATCTTGTTTTAAACAAGCTGGACAGCACCGAGACCCGTTTCAGAATACACACGGGATACCTTTGATAACAATCTGTGGGCTCCATCGAAGCCGTCGATTGAGCAAAAGCTTTCTATACGTTTAACGAGTATGATGGTTTCCTGAATGACTAATTATTCATCACTTGTGCTCATCTATAATATTCACACCCGCTTGAAACACATATCAACACCAGCGTGTCCATAACCTACGGTACGTCGCCAAAGTGCCCGCCAAGCACAATATGATCTGATGCAATCTAGGGCTGAGTGGGGATCCCTGTTGCCGGCTGTAACCTTTTCACTCCACCGGTAGCATTGACAGAAATCTTAGATCAGCTTACGCACCTTTTTGAGCAACGAACTCCAGATCTTTAGAATAGTTCCCAACAACGGTGAGCTTCTGTATATCTTAAACCGGACAGCTTTCACTATGTCTTTGCCATTTCGCACGTCTGGAATACCCCAAGCTGCAGACTGGGAATGGCACAAGGCAAAGATCAAATGTCTGTACATGCAGGAAAATCTGCCCCTTAAGGAGGTAGCAAAGATCATGCAAGAGGACCACGGTTTCAGAGCTACGTATGCCTCCATGGGTTCCCAAAACGGATTTGTGCCCATATTGACCCGTGTATAGGACAAAAATGTACAAAACACATTTTCAGCGATGGGGGTTTCGAAAGAACCTGAAAGCGAGCGAGGGGAAGGTATTCGAGGCTCAGGCCGTCGCTGGAGAAGAAATTAATCTTCCTGTCGCGTACGGCCGTAGACTTGGATCTAAACGACTCAAGTCTCGGGCTCTCAGATCAAACAAACAGTCATCTGTAACGGTGGCATTGTCTCCCTTACGGCCAATTGATGCTCCAGACCGTCTACATTTAGCAGATAACTCACTGCGAGCCGTCGCGGCATATGTAAACTCGCGCTGCGATCACTGGAAATCGGGGCATTACTCACAATGGAAAACGGAGACAGGAAATTGGCAACAAAAGATGGATCTCGCAGCTTGGCAAATTTCTGAGGGTCAGGACATGGCCTCAAGCTTCCAAATCCTCAACAACGCGTGCGATGAATATAAGACAATCCTACTAATGCAAGAGCCAGTATTATGTACGTTAAATAAACGCTCGCGGCGCCCTTCGCCTATTCACATTGAGAGATGCTGACGCTAGAATAGTGTGGGCAACATATGATGCCATTCTCCAGCTCTTGAAGGTTGATCCCAATCTAGCAAGACCATTCATCAAACTCGTCACCGGATATTGTTCAGTATGCTTTGGGGGGAGTCACCCTCTGACAATACTCTGGAATAGTGTATCGCGGATGGAAGTGGATGATATATCTTCGTTAGCCCGACCTCTTATAGACGTGCAGTCCAACCATTTCCGTGACGAAGCATTATCCAACAACTGTAAGCAATTTTTGGAATCATTTTCTTCCATTTCTCCATATCAACAGATCCAACGTCGCCTATCAGAGGCAATTATCTGCCTGTGGACTGCTTCACAGTACTTGCGCAAGAACCCAACCTATCTTGAAAAAGAAATTACTTACTCAAGTGCTGAAGTGCTTTTGCCGATGATCACATACAGAAGCGCGAAGAAGATGCACGATCTCATTTTCGCATCCCCCGAAATTACTCTTCGTAAACTCAATGTTTGTATCGAATGGATCCAGGAATTAGACACCAACGTGAGCACAAATATCGCACTATTTGGATCGCACCTTATGGAAACTTACAAATTGAAATCGGTCATACACAAAGATCCGCGGAAATGGACCGAGACATGGGACGCCCTTGGAGATGCCATGCGGTTGATGGAAGACCTAGATGACGAGAAGTGGATCGATCCGTGCATGAAGGTGCAACATGTGAAATGTTGCGAGATCAAATCGACATTCCTCAAGCAACTAGGTGCCCAGGAAACAGCAGAATCTTACCAAGAGCAAGCAGTTTCCGTGGCGCTAGAGTGTCTGCCCGAGCATCAGCCAAGCGATTTGAGTTGTTGTTACGCAGATACTACACGATTCCATATTCGAATGGGGAATATCATTGGTGCTTTAGCTACGAAGAACAATGGATAAAAAAACTTTGTTTTTTCGGTCTGAAAGAAAGTTTACCTTTTCTTAACGTTTTGTCATGATAGAAAAATATCAAAAGATATTCTGAACGATTATAATTTAAACTATTTACAAAAGAATTTAAAGAAAGTTTAGTAATACTGTTAAAATTAATATATTGTTAGATTATAAATTAAATGTATATGTATTTATAGATTATATTTCAAATAAATATTAAACTATGTCCTTTAATTATATTTTGTATAGTTTAATGTTTAGCGATTGAGAATGTGCCGTGTTTTTAAAGAATTTTATAAGGATTGCTTCAAGATCCCATATGGACTTATCAAGCCGACTTCGTCATAACATCTAACTGAGATCTTGCAACCATTGCGCAAGCGGCTGGGGGGATGGCATCAGTTGATATTTGTTCTGTAGAGGCAATGCAGCTGCATTTCAAACAACTCGTAAACATGGCATTGAATAGTACAGAGTGGGACTAAAACTATTTGCTGCTCCATCCATAATATTACTAAGGCGTTGATAACTTAACTTCCCCGCACAGCACACTTCTTTTCACCGTTTGCTGAACCATATCGTGCTGAAACAGCCCACATCCGTTGCGTCCTAATGAAGAAATTGGGGATTTATGATGCTCTATCCCACTGCATATTGAATAATCATTAATTTGACTTCATGATAGTGTATAGAGGCTGTGTCCGATAGCATCATCGCAACGCAGAAGCACTCAGTTCTCAGTCTTCAGTTCCACGAGCACAGAACTTCTGATCCTTGTCCTCAAAGCCGACCGACACCCAGCGGGTCTCATCCTGCAGGGTCCTCCAGCCGGCGGTGTAGTTTCCGCAGGACTTCGCGACGAGGCCGTACGAGTCCGTGACCTCGGTGGCTCGGCAGATAGTCTCCTTCTTACCAAAGTTGCAAAAGTAGGCCACCGTGGTGTACGAGATGGAGTAGAAGTCCCGCTTTTTCCCTACGGTGCCTGACGGGTCGCACTGCGCCCCGAGGGCCGCGACGGCGAGATCGGTGCTGCCATGCTCAAGGCTGTAGCCCGCACAGTCGAGAGTGTCGGACCGCTTGAGCCTGGACAGAGTCCTTCCAGAGATGGGTGCCTTGAGATCCCCAGTGAGGCCTCGGCTTGGAAGCTTGGCAAGTTCCGCGTCGGTGGCGGGGCCGCGGAGGAACGTGTGAACACCGCGATCCGATTCATCGTAGGAGACTTCATAGACACCATCTCGCTGACCCTCAGGGATAGTAAAGACGGCACTAGCGGTAGATGCCAGGGCAAAAATTAGGAGCGACCACATGATTTTACTGTCATACAAAGCGAGGCATGCGCAAGAAGGTCGTTGTAATACTTGGAACGAGTTTGAAAAGTTGATTGTAGAGCCGGATGCCCTACTTGGCGGTTCCTTGACAGGTATTTATAGACATGGTATCTCCGTTTGTCTCTTCGCATTTGTAAGACTTAGTCGTCATCCGGAGCAATAGTCGACGGTATAGCCATTTCACTAAGGGGTAAGTATCGGAGAGGATCTTCCCAGGGTATGGGGCTAAGTCAATCGGGAGGCCGCTGCAAGGTTCATGCTTTCGCTGGGCTGCAAGCAGATCGTCGAGCATTTTGGCGTTATGCTGAGTCCAATGATATCTTTCCGTGGTTAAGACGAACTCAAATTCGTTGTGTTATCGGTGACCCCACCAGTCTTCAGTAGGTCAGTTCATTAACGCCTAATGATTCAATACACAGGAGCGCCGTCGTAGGTATATTACGGCAATCTCCATGGAGATCCGAAGTCTGGCAACTAATTTAGGTCCATGTCAACCCAGTCAGCCGGTTACTTGACCTATACCGTGGTACGGTCTGACTTTCCTGGCTTGAAAACTCGAAACGCTCTCCGTCAATATTAATTTTTGAATTCGTGAGAAAAGAGGTTCCGAAAGACGGGGATATTACATTTCCGTAAGCCGACTTATGACGCTGCCTCCCCGGGATGTAGTATCTCATCAGATAACATTCATTTCTAGGCACCGAGCCATCCGCACCCTCCTTTCATACGTTAGATACAAGCTTCGTCCATTTCCAGGCCAGCTGGACATATCTTGGATAATGCGCCTCGGACGGAGACACGGGTGGAGATAGACGTGCCTGATTTCCAGGATAATTTCTCATCGCGAGTCCGCTCCTCTGCCACTTTGTATTCTAAGAAAGCCTCCAGTTTTATCCTCCTGTCCAAGCCTCGGCTCAGATTTGCGGGTCACCTGGCACCCGGGCTCCGCCCTACTTTCTGCTCATTGTGCGGCATGATATAGAATTCCGCAGCATATTATTTCCTCTCCATAACTGCCATCATATTTATAACCCCACCTTCTTTCGATGCCTCGGATGTCCTCGAGAATCGTCCGGCGTTCTCCCAGTACCTAAGATGCCGGCTTGCTCGGCGCTTGTCGACAACTTTGGCGCAGCGCAGTGAACCAAGGTAAGAAGGGAATCCATAAGCTGGTCTTGTGCCATAATTGCCTCGGAATAGATGGCGAAGAAAGTTATATGACACCACGGAATGGCAGTTAATCCAATATTACAGACATTAGACACCACACGAAGAGGACCGCATGGCCAGCCACATCTTGTACAGCTTGGCCGGCACTATGTCGTATAAGCACAGATATGACTTCCTGAGAAATATTATCTTCGGCTGCGAAATTTATTCATTAAATGCTTCAGACAAAAGGTGATCCTCGATCTGCGGATACACAAGATGACGTTGCTCCACAGCAACCTTGCATGACGTTATTTGCCTTGATATGATGAGGAAGGTGTACCGCTACAGAGACACTTCCTTAATATGCGTACCGGTAAACTCGATAGGGTTTGCGATAAAAGGACTGTGCATTCGCTTCCTCTGGGTGCGTGCTGTCCCTTGTGGTTTGCCGGATACCCGGTGGATGCCTCATAGTTCCAGGTGTGTCCGAAGGACTTCATGATCCTCATAGCGATGGCGGAGTGTACTGGATCAAACCCAATATGCTAGTCATGTCGCCAATCTCATGGTGTCTGTTCATAAGTGCGACACTTACTTAGAAATTTCCAAAATCTGTGTGCATTGAAACTCCGTACGATGAGAGCGAGGCAACTCAGCAGCCATAAGCCGTCTGTACTTCCATTCCTTGTCCTCGCGGACAAAATAAGTCCGTAGTGTTATAAAAGATAGAGCACGGTCTCGGCCAATGATCTCCTGCATGACTGTAGAGGTTTTGCAACCAATATTGCCAAGTCAACTGGTAAGAGCTGACTAGATATGGTGCGCCGGATGAAGATTGCAAGCTAATTTTGGGACAGGTCTGAAAGAAAATAGAATAAGAATAAAAAAGATCGACGAACTACCGGCCGTGATACATTGCTTGCTTGGGGGAGTGGTTAGCGTAGGCCGCATTCTCTCGCTCGAAGTGCAAATTTCTTTAGCCGAGGATTGTGCTTAGTAGGATATCTCGCAGTGATGGTGATGTGGAGCACAGTATGGTCCTTATCCCAAAAGGCGGATGTCCAGTCGTGCTGCATTGCCTCCGGTAGACACCCGGCCTTATCTCTATACCCATCTTCGACCTTGGCAAGAGTCAGATAACCCAGTAAGGCGGCCTTCATATCCGCGCTGATTCCTAGATCGGCAATTTCCATGCTTAGATCTATGATTTCTGTCCGCAGCTCCGAATCTCGGCATTCACGGGCCAGATTAGCCGCCGAAAAGGCCAGGCGCTCGTGGATGGTTCTCTGGAAGTAAGGTGAAGAGACCTTCGTCTTCAATACAAGCCTCAATTGCCGTACTAAGCCCCCCGTATATTGGTGTGATGACAGTTCCTTACGGCTCGGATCGAAAAAGGTTACAGCTGATACATAACATAATTTCGTTCCAATGTCTATCAGCTGTAGGGTCACCCAGTCTTTGGGGTCGGCTTCTGGGTCCTGTGAAGGATCTGGCGTAGCATGAAGACGAGCGTAGACGGCACCAAGCCATTCTGAAATTTTGGATATCACGACTTTCTGCTCGAGCCGGTACTTAGGGAGCATTTCGGCTAGTTGGGCTGACGCTGTCAAATCCACAAGACGATTGAGCCAGATGAGCGTCAATGTAAGAAATCGCATGTAAACGCTATTAAAGGTATCCATATTCTGGGATAGCTCTGGAGGACTTGGGGACTCGTCCAAGAACTGGCGAAAGTGCATGACGCTTCGTTTACTCTGAGGATACAGTGGAGATAACAAAGATGCCACAGCTGCCCGACGTGCCAGATAGAATTCAGCATCCTCGACTCCCTGATCATCCAGCGCAGATGCAGCATGGGAGGTAGTGCTATTCGCTTTCGTACGCATGATCACATCCTTCAGCACCAGAATGCCTTTTGCAGTAAAGGCATCGACACCATATGCATTGCCCTGCATAGCCTCAAAAACTGTGACAAGCAAAGTCGCGATGAGAATCTTTCGTGGTGCCACCGTGGCCGTCGACTCTTTAGCTAGAAGGCTTCGATACTTTGCGAGGGCCCTTGCATAGTGCACTAGAGCTCGGGAATAGTGCATGTGGTAATCGCCATTGTCCAACGACGTGTTACAGTCGGTGTCGTAGCCTGTCGTGCGTGATTTGACAGCTCGGGACAATGCCCCAATCGCAATGACGGCGTCGAGGACGAACCGGTTTTGCAGCGCATCACGCAGGACGGTCCGGTGCCAAAATTCAGAGACGCCATAAGTCTGTGTGCCCAAATCGGTGGCTACAACCACTCGGAAATAGTCGAAGTAGGGAGTCTCAGAATCCGTAAGCTTGTAATAGGCCGGCTGCAATGGAACAGTCGCAGCACCCTGTGTTTTGGCTGTAAGATTAGGGTAGATCCAGCGGAGGAGGACGGGATCTGATGCGCCCTGGGGAATATATTGGCAAGCGAGGCCCAGACGCGAACAACGGGCGCAAATTGGTTTCTGCTCTGGACATTTTACACGGCTCTGTTTGCATTGAGAACAGCCTTGGGATCAATGGTGAGTGCGTGCGCTTGGCGTGAAACGATGTGCGAACGTACCTGTGCGTACCTTCGTTGTCCTTCTCCGTACACGCAATGGGCCAGGGTCGGGCATTTTTGCTGCTATCAAGAGTGTGCTAGACTGCGCTGATACTGGGTAGAGAGGGTTGTGGAGAGAGATTTATGGATAAACTCGTTGAAAAGCACATCACATTGTCAGCATGCCTCCTCTAGGCTCGAATGATCAAGCCCTAGCTAATCGGAGCTGAAGATGTAACAAGATGGATTTGTCCTGGTTAGTGTTGTAGAAGAAGCTGGCGATAGTGTCAAACTGTGGAGGACTTTTTGTCTCGAAGGCCAACCGCAATCTGACGGAACGTGCACTAGTCTAGCCCACCGTTGGTGCTTTCGGAGTCCAGGTGTGATTACGGAGTAGTTCTTGCAAGGTCAAAATCCACGATATAAGGACCCTGCCCAAGCTACGCCCTACAACGTGGGAGGTAGATCGGCTTACTGCAGAACTCCTAAGATGACATCTGCTAGGGGGTTAATTAGCACAACCCAATCAAGATCAAGGATAACGTGCCAAGAGTATGGCAGAGCCATGTATATACGGACGCCGCACCAATACCACCCTTAGCTAAGCCTGTTTGGAATCTTGTATGCCGGATCGTGAAAAGATGCGATACTTGTAGATTTGGGGGGACCCTCGCTGCCCCGGCGGCATGCGCTCAATATGTCACGAGCCACTCCTCGATTACGTGAGGTTGAGGTCTCTTTTCAGCGGAATCTCTCTAGATCTAGTGCGACGGCTATAAAGAGCCGAAGCACTGGCAACAGCGTCAAGATGTGAATTTAATCACAATATGGCCACGCTTTTTCTTCAATACACCTCGCCATCGGATTTTGAACTCCACCGCTCAGGAGCCACATCCGCTTGAGTGAACCCTATGCTTATCTCTTCTCGAGACGTCTGAATCATTCAAAATGTAGTCTTCCATCATTTTTTATTTCCTGGCTGACACCGCCTTGTCGGGGCTCCACCCTCTTGCCGCCTGTGACGCTATAAGGGGTCAGACCATAATGGGTCAGACCAGGTCGAAGGTTACACAGCAGGCAGTTCCACTTTGTACGGCTGTTAAGAACCACCATCCGTTCCTTTGGATTGTATCAATTGACCTGTCCAATAACAATGTATAGTATCGATAGGTATGAGAGTATCTGCATAATCTGTGTTACGAGCGACAAGCTTTTATTCTCGTTGTCGAGCCTGCTCCTCTATACAATCGTTTCGTGTAACCATCTGTTGCGCTTCGCGGGGTACGGCGCTTAAGCGCTAGCCGAACCGAAGATGTACCACGAAGCCGCAAAAGGTGGGAGAAGGCTATGCCCTCGCCAGGCGTGTGGAATACGTCGAATAGCGGATGGCCGGCAGTGGGACTAGCCTGGATCACAGCTTGGTTTGATGTTTGGCAAGGGTATAAGTTGCGGATTACGGAGTAGTTACTCTCAGTCCATCGGCGTGACCGAAAGCAGTGGCATGTTCGACGGCGGTACGCCGAAGTCATGTTACCTCACCGGCTCAGGCTCTGCACCTTGGAGGCACCACTGGCAATACGTGCGTCATCTTGTGCGGATCAATTAACAGATTAGGTACATACCTTTCAGCGCCCAAAGCAGCTCAAAATATACTTGTCATTTCAGGGATCGGCATGACTATGTCAAGAGAGTCTTACATTGTGACCACTGTTTACCAATAAAATGTGCAGGCAAATGTTGCTAGACGACGATTTGGCTGAGACTTGTTAGCAAGTTGCTTCATTTCTGCTTGCAACCAAACACAATACCCCAGTCCCAGTCCCGTTTCCGGAAACGCATGTTTCACGCGGCAGCAACATGATGTAGTCATAGATCTTGCCATATCCACGCATAATAATGAACGCCAGATACCTACTGGCGTAAGTTTGTGAAAGGGCTGTTGATAAACGCGTCAATCTTCAATCCAGTTGCAGTTCAAAGGTACATAATTACACCCCACACCACACCACAACCACCAATTACACCTGGAGATTAGGATGCATAACACGCTAACACGGCAGAAGACAATGAGTTCCCAACTGCCGCAATCTCCGGGTCGAGGTGTTTGCTCCTTAGAGCTACAGTCGATCCGAGCGACGATATCGAAGGGCTCTGGATGATGTCAAAATACCGGCATTTCGGCTCCAGCCACAAGCGCCAGCATGTTCCGCATCTCAACGGCCACCAGAGAGTCAACCCCATACCGCGCAAGTGGGACACGCACATCTATCTGCTCCTCGATCACGAATATGTTGCACAGCTTCCTGCAGATTGCTTCGACAACCGCATGCTGAGCCTCCTCCAGTGTGGCGGCCTGCGCAATTTCCAGTTCGACATCTGACGCTGGCGCCTCCGCCAAGCTCGCTGCAGTCATCGTCGCCGTTGTGCCTTGCGCGAGCTGATGGACTTGCAGCGTTACAGAACGTCTATCCTCACCCATGCTGCTACTACTGTTTTCATCCCAATGAGGCCCAGGGCTTGTATTTATCCCCACCAGAAGCTGCCCGCAGAAGGGCGAGGCTACAGCACGTTCAATCGCCTCGAGGACATCCTCCTGGCTCAGCACTCGGTAGCCAATCTTGCTTGGACGCTTGGCCACCCCCTCGTGCTCAGCCGCGTAGCCGACTGAGTCGATTACGCTGAGGTCAATCGAAACGCCTGCCAGTCCTCGGGACGTGCGATAGGTTGCGAGTGCATCCTGAAAGGCACCCCCAGCTGCATAATTACTCTGACTGGAACTGCCAAAGATGCCCGTCAGGGAGGACAGCATGATGAAAAATTCCAGTTTCGTGTCGCTCAACAGCTCATGCAGGTTCCAACTTCCTTCAACCTTGGGCTTCACGGTGGTTTCATAGTCGGCGACGCTCATTCTCTCCAACACCGAGTCCTGTAGATTTGTCAGTCTTCATTTGTTATAATACGACGCCTTGGACCATGTGACGCACCTGAAGAACCATTCCAGCATGAATGACTCGTGGATCGGGGGCAAAGACGCTCGGCAGTCACCCAAGACATCGGCCAGATCATCCCTGGCTGATATATCACACTCAACAAGGTGTAGGTTGCAGCCCAAATCCGCCATATCGGCTTTATATGATGCTACGTTTACCACACTCTTGGCGGACCTGGAGAGGATGATCACACTCTTCGCTCCACTTTCTGCAAGCCACTCGGAGATGCACTGGCCAATGCCTCCCGAGCCCCCAACAACTAAATAAGATGCATTAGGATGAAGGCTGGCGGTAGTTCGCCGTATAGGCACCTATTGAAATGTTAGATTGCCATTATATCGGGCCAACCATCTGTCCCGAGACTTACCAGATCTGTATCCTCCATTTCGACATTTGCCACAATCTTGCCCATGTGTTTGCCAGCCTGCATTAGCCGGAACATCTTTTGCAGTTGTCCTAGTGGATATATTGTCACAGGTTGAACGGGTTCAATTTGCCTCTGGCTGTACATTCGCATGACTTTCGTCAGTACGCGTTGGATTTGGGCTCCTTTGTATTCTTGGAGCTGCATCAAATCGACGTGGGTAAACGTGGCTGAGCAGCTGAAACTACTCATCCCTAGGGCACTGTTGACTCCAATATCACGTTTGCCAATCTCTACAAATCGGCCAAATCGTGCGACACAGTTGAGTCCTTCTTCAAGCAGTGCGCCAGAGAGGGAGTTGATGACCACGTCGACGCCTTGCCCTCGCGTCGCAGCGAGGACAGCGTCGCAGAAACTCGGGCCACGGCTCGAGAATACATGATTAGATGAAATCCCATGTCTCCGTCAGAAAGGATCTCTTTTCCTCTGTGCTCACAGTAGCAAAGATTTCCGCACCTGCATTCTTCGCTGATGGGTTGAACCATGACCGCAATGGCGAGACAACCGATGGTACTGATGAATTGATATGCGAAATGTACCTGGGTGAAAGGGGATTCGAAGCATGTCGTCGGTCAGACTTCCAGCAACGAATCTTTAGCGTCCTCCCCGATGGCTGCGTCAAGTTCAGCAAGAATTTACTGTCGGTAAAGGACAACCCCAGAGACGAGAACATACTGTTGGAGTTCGAGGTGGCTCAGTGGAGCAGGCAGATGTCTGTAAGTGAAGGCTGACAAGTGCATTGCAAACAAACACGAACGATAGCCTAATACGTTCTCATGCGTAGTCATCGGCTGCGACGGGATCAATTCAAAGATGCGTTCGATCACGTTCGGACCCCAGACGTCACGGCCGGCATACTCTCACAAATTTGCATACCGCGGGCTGATAGATGCAGACGACGCACGGCGTGTCGTCGGCGTCGACAAGGCCAATGGGCGGTTCATATATATGGGCGCTGACGCGCACGTGTTGACCTGCCCAGTAGCCGGCGGTCGGATGGTCAACGTTGTGGCGTTTGTGACAGATTCCAGCCCGTGGGTTGAAGAGTAAGGTCGGTTGGTACGTAGTGGAAGCAAAGTTGAGTCGGTGGACGCCTTTTCAGCATTTGGACCATCAGTGCGTGGGCTGATATCACTACTCCCTGAGGAGCTTGACCGCTGGGCGATATTTGACATGTACGACGACCCCCTGTCAACGTTTACCCGAGGTCGGGTATGCCTCGCCGGAGATGCGGCGCATGCTTCCGCGCCGCATCACGGAGCTGGTGCCGGCTATGGTGTGGAAGACGCTCTCATCCTGGCCGAACTTCTCGCGGCTGTCAGCCATCGGATCCTCCCCAGGCCTCTAAGTAGGATTATCCCTGAAGTGCTTACCGTATACAACGAAAAGAGATATGATCGCTGTCAAGCTTTGGTCGAGAGTATTAGGATAGTAAGGGAAATGTACGAATGGCAGCACGCTTCCACAAGGCGGGATGCGGAGGATTTCAAAAAAGAATTCCGCTCTCGATGTTATAAAATATGGGATTTTGACGTGGATGAAATGGTTAGGGGCGGGCTACAGGCTTTGGAAAAGATATTTGCCTAGGTTTTGAGGGTATAATACCGATACTCTGAATGCTATTAACGCAGACATGGAATATTGGCTTTTTAACTCAATAGGACAAAAGCGACGATCCGTTTATAGTCTATATTGAGAAGACGATCCCAACTGCAGGTGATTGATTGATTGATTGATTGATTGATTGATTGATTGATTGATTGATTGATTGATTGATTGATTGATTGATTGATTGATTGATTGATTGATTGATTGATGTTTAACGTCTCAGAAGGGAGAGACGTGCCGGGCGCTATGTCGGCATTGTATACTAGTCAAAGAATTTAACAGAGCTGCGTCTTTACCTAACGCTCCTATTTCAGCCATATACCAAAGGATGTGGACGTTTTCACCAGACCAGAATTCTCTCATCCGTCTTCCTTATCCCGGGTCCCTTCATCCCGCGGTGTTTTAGTTCCCCTATAGCAGTGCCCACGGCGTATAAAGACTAGTAACTCAGATAGTACTAGGAAAGCCACAAGGGGAAAATTTTAGTACAGTAAGTTATTATCAAATGCCACGCTTTCAATCACTTCGCCTTGCCCTGGGACGAAGCAACAGAGGTGTCCGAGTAGTCAGTTCCCAGCCGATGGCGATACAGGAGCTAGCAGTGAGTGCTTTAGAGGCGGTCGAGGCCATAGATCTGGCACGGAAAGACAAGGCGATGTTAATACTGCGCGGGGTTGGTGTGGACGGGCATGCATGGCCTCATTCCAATGGTGATCCGCTTATGGCAGAGTGGACGCGCTGTACGTAAGCGAGCGCGTAGGTTTTTTTGAGAGCGAGAGTTACCTTGAAAGCCTCACTACTCTCGCCCTTCTTCCTTTTGGGGGGAATCTCGTCGTGGTTTGGGGTGGTGCTTAGAGACGAGTCCGAAGAGAAGGCGTGGGTGATAGAACCTGTTAGGGCTATAGGCTGAAACCCTGCAAAACCTTAACAGATCTTAACACTACGTGCCAAGAAAAAGGTTTTACAGGAAAAGGTCCCCATCACTTATACGATACCCAAGAAGGCTACATGCAGAATTCCCGCCATAGCTATGTACTGTGGCCCCCAGTTCAAGGGCTGGGACAGGGTTCAAGGAAATGGAGCGGCTAAGCTAAGGCCAAGGCTATGGCAGTCGTGCCAAAGTCCTGGTTTACTGTGTAGGGTGTGCGCATCTCCTAACCATGGGTAACAAAATGAGTGGTGTGCCATGACCAAGGACTAAGTTATGTATTATCAGCCTGTGGTGTGCATGTGCTGCCTAAAAGTGGAGATTGTTGGCCGAGCTGTCCCATGCCAAGGGCTCGGGGTGATTCCGAGAGATCCTTTTTCGGGGGTGACTAAAGCGGTAATTGGCCCAAATGAGGGGTCACAATCAAGCGCATCCTGTGTTCGACGCATGCAATACAACTGCAAATATATGCAAAATACCATTCATGATAACTAGCGCCCTATATCTTGTGTATCAACGGAATCCAGGCGGAGCCGGGATCGATACGCCGACCGTTTTCCGCCATTTGCGGTTCAAGCAACCATGGCTAGTTGGCGCCAGCTAGATTCCAGCGACATCACGGGTGTGATGCGCGTCGCGGACACAATTCATGCCGCCTTACCAGAGAATGAACATGTCTTCGCAGAGCGCATCGCGCTTTTCCCAGAGGGCTGCCTTGGGCTCGTGGAAAACGGCGAGATTTGTGGATACGCCATCTCGTTTCCCATCCGGCGCCGTGAACCACCCGCACTCAATGGTATACTGGGAGAAATAGCGCCCGACGCGGACCAGTACTACGTCCACGACGTCTGCGTGCTGCCAATGGCTCGGGGGCGTGGATTTGCTGCGCTGGGCATCGGCAAGCTGCTAGCGATTGCAGAGAGATACCCCTCCGCGTGCCTGGTGTCAGTTTACGGTACGGCCTCGTTCTGGGGCCGGTATGGCTTCTTGCCGCCATCGAACAACGTGAGCGAGGTTCTGCTGAAAAAGGTGCGTGGCTATGGAGATGAGGCTGTTTACCTCGAGCGAGAAATAGACCAGTGATGTCCATTGCGGTCGAGTTTAGATGAATACAGAGTCGACGGGCAAGGCTCAGTGATGGTGCCGCAAGTATTGGTATCGAAAGCAGTGCGATAACCGTGACAGATGTGATTATTGGCTCACTTTCGTTGGACCGCAACCTCATTGAAGTCCAAAGATTGGTATGTAAACCTGGAGGGACACTTTCTTGGTACGCATCTCGAAGCGCATTAACGCCGCGTTTTCATTTCGCTTTTTGCACATGGACGTTCGCGTGTCAAATATTACACTCCGACACCAGAGCCGTGCCTTCCGGGGCTGCCTTTGCGCTGGCTCATTCCGTTCACCATTGCGTCAAGGCACTGTCTGAGCAAGCATCGATCTTGACAACATCAACCTGTGCCTGCGGAACGACAAATGTGGTCGTGGCCCCTTGTTGATACACTGTTTTATTGGAGGAGCTGCAATTGCGCACCAATTCGTATTTCATTTCCCAGGATCTGTTCGAAGTCGGACTACGAAAACGTTGAGCATACATTCTGCGATTCAGAGAGTTTTCCATGATTTGGGAATCATCCTCTCGCCCGTCCGACGTCGCGACCCGTACCATCCGCCGCCAAAACGCTTCCGTCCCCTCCTCCGCTCACCGCTGCGAAGGACACTCGCGCTCATGTAATGGCTATATAATCCTAATCAAACCGAACCCAACTAACACTCCACGATACCACAGGCCACAGTGGGTGCAGTGGTTATCCGCGAACCTAGGATTGATATCCTTATCTCATAATCATTATCTTCTGGCTGAGCCGTCCTCCCTCAGCCAATCTTCTTCTTGTCAGTTGTGAGTTCGAGAAACACAAGACAACTTAATGGCACTTTTTCTTTCTCTTCTTTTGGTTTCTTTTCATCTTGCTATGGCCGAGTATGCAAATATTGATGATCATTGCTTTTCTGCCGTGTATTAACACTTCATCTCTGGTATCAGATGTATCGTACAAAGTTTCTAAAGGATTCCAGTCCACAGCCGCTCCGATAATACGAGCAGGTTTCTATCACCACTGCTGTTCACCATCCACATCTTTGCTCCTCCTTTTCCTCTCCACTTCAGTCCTCCACCTTGGAGCAATCCGCCATGTTATCGCCACACCCGATAGCGCAATCACTTGTACGATCGCACAGATCGTGAACGCCAAGCCTGCACCAATACCATTGACCATCGGTATCACGAAACTCGTGCCTCCAGCCGCGAACAGACATCTGGCAAAATTGAGACTCGCGCTCGCCGCCGCGCTATTTTCGGAAAAGATATCAACGAGATATGTCATAATGACTGACTGCATTGAAACGGCAGTCCAGCCGGTAATGAAGGTGGAAACGATTGGTACGGCAATATGTACATTTTTCTGTATCGTCCAGCCGAATAGGATGATAGACAAGCACTGAAGGACTGAGAAAACCGGGACAAGTCGGAGGCGGGCTTTTTCCAGCGGAAAGCTCTCCTCCGCCGAATAAGTCCGAGATTGGCTTCGTGCCATCTCGGCATCTGCTGTGGGGATCATTCGAGATGCCTCGTATGCCGCCTTGACGCGGTGGTAGTCTTTGTCCAGAATCTTACCAGTGACGAACGTGCCGATCATGGAACCAACTCCGTTTGCAATAAAGGTCGGTCCAATCTCGGTCTCGTCCAGGCTGTAGCTGTCTTCGAAAAGGCTCGAAATGGCAGTGATGCTCATTTGCCAGACAGCATAGTAGATAGAGAGGAAGATAATTATAGGGGCTGCAAATTTGCTAATGAGGATTCGGAACGGCCCAGTCACGTCGATGTGCTTTCTTGCCGCAGGAGAGGTAACTGCATTTGAATCACTCTCAACCTTGGCAAGCTTTTTATAGAACAACAGATGAAAACTGCTAAAGACGTTCGCTGGTGTTTGGCTGCCGTTGCCAACGATTGAACGCAAAGTTTCGGGGAGCAGGAGGACCAAGATGGCCAGGAACACGCCACCGTAGATAGTCAGGAACCAGAAGATAGCCCTCCACCCCAGAGAGCCAGCCAGCGCACCACCAATCACCGGTCCGATGGCAACGGGGACAAGCAGACCAGCCTGAAAGATACCCATGTAACTACCACGGTCCGCGCGGGTCGTGATATCTCCGATCACGCCAGATCCGATTGCAATTGTGCTCGCGCTGCCAGTGCTCTGCAGGCACCTGAGTACTACGAGCGTCGCATAATTCTTCGTCTCGGCAAGGCCGACACACGCGCCCAGGAACACGACGAAGGTGCAGAAGTATGCAACGCGCCGACCCTTGACGTCGGACACCGGTCCCCACAAGCTCGGTGCAATGCCCTGGAAGATGAGATATGAAGTCACCGTGAGGTTCACAAGCTCAACCGAGACATTGAGATCTTGAGCAATGGTTGGAAGTGCCGGGAAGTAAATGTTTGAGGCAAACCCGGAGACTATTTCTACGATTAATTGACTGAGGACTGGTGCAGCTGGGCGGCTATGCACTTACACGTTGCTGCGGTGGAGACGATAAGCACGATTACCGCCTTTTGTCGTTTGTCGAAGATGCTGTAGGGCTGTTCGGGGGCTGGCGGCGGGTGGTGTGGTGCACCAGCGGAATCAATCAGAGTATCGTCTCGCCCGTAGTTGGTGGCCATGACTATATAAATCAGTGTTGTGGAGATTATCTGTGAGATTTTTTGAGCAAGTACAGAATGGAATGAAGCCCAAATATCGCTACGTCTTTATGAAAATAGTTCCTGACGGACATGGCTGCTACATGGATACTCTCCGGAGTTGAGAGCGGGGCCGGCGTGGGTGTGGCAGACTAACCAATCATGGCCCATGAATCTCGGAGCTGAGGTCTATAGCCTACTTCATAGTCAAAAATGGCTCCCAGGAGGACATTGACTTGGGGCCCCGCTGGTCAGAGTCGGGCGATTACAGTTGCTGGGACGAAAGAAACGCACAAAATTTCGCCAACAAAACTCACAACCCCAAGCTCCTTCGATGGATGAATGTTTGACGTCAACACATTGGCATGCACGCGCAACCTCATCTCCCGCTCTCGACTTACATTCCGCAAATATTGGCGGTTGTATCGCGGTGGGGATATATGGGTAACTTTTGCTATCCTGAATTGTTTTCTGTCCGGGTAAAGTAGCACGGCCACATAGTAATTGGAAATAGACTTGTGTGCTTCGCAGCCGTTGGAGTTGCGACGAGTAATGTTGAAACTGCTGCACAGGATCTGGTTAAATCATCGGTTCAGGCGTGTTATGATACGCTGAGGCGAAGAATCTATCTCAGTCGAGTCGGCCGTGTGTCTACTTTCCTGCTTTAGAAGGCCAAAGTCAGAGAGAAATAAAAAAAGGGCTGGCGCGATAATGCTAACGAATCTTTCGTAGCTGTCGATGGTGTTTCCGCGGGAGCTCCCAGTTGTTCTTTTGTAAGTGGCCTCGGTCTAGATACATTGCTATGCCCCCGGAAGTTGTTCATTGCGTAGATGTGAAGATTAGGGAATGAACCACAGTCCTTGTACTGTGGCGTGAAGTCTGGGTAGGCTTGTTCGATGCTATTCATTAAGATCATGTCTAAAGGGAGCCTGGAGCGCGGAACTTGGCGAAGACTTGTTCCGTGTCAACTTTGTAGCTGGTGTCGCCTTGGCAAGTTGTTGGACTTACAAGAGTTTCCTGTGATGTCTTTAGCTTTGTCATCACATCGCTTCTGCGTGACAGGAGCGTTGTTCTCAAAAGAATGCCTCTACTGCATGCGAGACAACGCTTACATATCCACCGCCATTGTGTGAAGGTTTGTGGTCGTTTTTGCTCCCGTGACCTTGATACGATCGCGTTCGCCGACTTGGCTGGGCAGTCGAGCGTCTCGATCAGGGAAGGTGGCCGTCGCAGGGCAAATTATTCAGAGCATGCCGCAGCAGGATTCGGTCTGGATGGGCGGTTCTGCAATCGATCCGGTTACTACCAGGTAGAAGAGAAGAAATGAGGGCAAAAGGAAGAGAACAACAAAGTTGCTTCACAGGGAAACAACATATCACGTGCTCAATACATGCTACTACATCACACACATCCGCTTCCCCGCATCAGACAAGGGCGGTGAAAATATTTTGATTTGAATGCAAATTCCTTTGGTTACAATGTTTAACTTGAAAAGGTATCTTTTCAGAATATAAGAATTAGTACGTCTTGTACGGGATTGCTTATTACCACCGCCACACATTATTATATCCGTTTAGATTCGAAAAACCCGAACCAGCGACGCTTACTTTGAGCTTGTTTTAGAAACTCCTACACTTCTTTGAAGGCTTTCCTGTGACAGTAACCAAAATAAGTTTGGAATAACTTGTCCAGAGTGATGCTCTTTTCTAAAGCAAGCTCCCGTTGCTTAACTAGGCAGCGTGTTTCAATGCCCGCTCTATGCTCAGTTAGCAGTAGATTAAAATTTTCCAGTCGAATATTGTGCAGCTGCTGGTTTTCGGCTAGAAAAGCTTTCTCTTTCGAATTTTCCAGGTGGTTGTATTGCCAGGACAGTGCGTTCTCCCATCAAATCTTCTGACGCAACCGCGTATAAGCATTCCACTCCGTCAGGTGTGATGAATGTGTACTTTAAATCCTTGAGAGAGCACAATTACCAGTCGAGCAACAGGCTTGCCTTCTTGTCCGGCAGTGACATTCCTGGGCGTTTGAGACTGTGTTTCAGGTAAAATCTCAACTCAAATTGAAGCGCAATCGATTGCATATTGTTCTACCACGCCAGCGGGTGATTGATATTGCGATGAAAGCTTGACCAATGCGATCTAGCATAATGTTTTGATTGCCAGCCTTTATCACTCCTATTCATAGTGCCCAGCAAATTGGTCTTTGAGGTCCATTCATTGTCTGATTTAAGTAAGTTTACATAGTGGCTTCGCATAGTGTGATCTAGTTCGTCAAGGAGTCCGACGTATATATCTCCTTGTGCGGCGCTTCCGCTGAAATATTCGACATGGTTCCATATACCAATGCAGCATCAGCAAGATCCAAGGTCTCTTCATGAGATAGACGGCTCTTTCGGTCGAAACTTTTGGGCCGGTGTACCATTGATTGTTAGGAGCGATACCGAAGCGTCAAACCCATGTTGCTTGGTGAGGTCCCGTGGCGACTTCGCTTGTTGACTGTTTGCAAAGAAGTCTAGGACTTTGCGATGAGAAAACTTAATTCTGGACATATGTCCATATTCTCAATCTCTCAAACCGATCATTCCGAATCCTGAAAAGTTCAGCACATCGTATTCTCAATCGAGTCCCGATATTCTCACAACTCCTATTCTTGTCTTCATCTGGCTGGTTGTTGAATGTCTTTCTAGTTCACGACGTTTTGCACGTTACCATCAGCAAAGTACAGTTCTAGCAAGGGCATAGCCTGGAAGCTTTCGACATCGTAACTGTAGTGCGCCCGAACCCTGTTCCATTCCAATACCAATTGAAGCATACACGGTGCGTCTTTACGGTGTTGGTTGGGAAGTGCAGTCAAGAGGTCTATGTAAAGGTTAAAGAATTCCTTAGGGGTCTTCGTGAGCCTTTCTTGAAGTAGCTGGATGGGATCACCTTTCTGGATTCCTCTCAGAAGTGACCTTCACTGCGAGGCTTGCTTAGAGAAAAAGACACTGAGATATTTAAGACACGTCTCGAACTAGTGAAACGACTTCAAGCCTGCTATGTGCTAGCTTCTAGATCAGTTGTCGTCGAACGAGACCGATGTCCATACCATAGGTTTTGACCCCTGAGAGCAAGCGCATCAGCAAGAGGAAAATGGAGAGACGACTAGCGGTATCCTCTCGTTTAATCATAACGCCCCTTCGATAGATAGCGCTCATCATTCCCACCGACATCATTATACTCTATTCAGACCGGGGTACGTGTCTCATCGTAACTTCGGGGCTACCATGAAGTAAAAAAAATCAGCCTTCCTCGTAAATGTATTAGAGAACATCGTCATATCAGTAGCAAAAGTCTGAGTATCCCAAATCATGATTTATTTTATAATGGTCCACGAACCTAGGTATCGGTAGTAAGCCTATACAAATGAAGGAAGGGCGTTACCCGAGCTGATCACGGTGCTCATAATGCCGTAATAGCTTGTCAGCAAATCATTGTCTGCGTGGAGGTCCTGCTGCACCCAGATGGACAGTATCACAGATTTCAGCCCCTTCATGCTTCTAATACGGGTTCTGCTCTCACTTTGGTCGAGTATTTCGAGGACGATTGCTCTTCGCTCGTCCGTCCGTGCCTCACAGGCTAGGATAAACAGGGGAAAGAAATGGACGCAGGAAGTCGAACCAACATGTGGGATGAATGCCCTATCTACCAATGAATCTAATCTTGCAGAAGGTGGCTCCCACGGGTCTTGTGAAGCCCGCGCAAAATAGATCTGCGTCGCCAGGTGGTATCTTTTCGCCGCAGCTATGGAATCATCTTCTGGCGTGGTTGAATCTGGAATAATAATGGGACTTTCAACTCTCTGCTCGAGGGCTTTGACGCGACTCTTGTATGCCTCAGTTTGAGTTCTTGGGTCTCGTGGATCAAGCAATGTGTCGCATATCTCGGAAAGCAAGTTCAGTATAGCGTATGCAGGATTTGGGGAAGGCCATAGCTAAGAGATGGGTCGTTAGCTGAGAAGCGGTGGAGACCATACATGAATATTATTTTGCAGGCGTACTTGTCTGTGCTTTGTGATATACGAATACTGCCGGCCTCGAGTGGTGGAGTCGTTTGGAGAGTCACGATCCGGACTCAACGACTTATGGCGCCAGTGATGCATAGAAAACCTGGAGAGTGCATTGTGATAGTAGACCCATTCAAGAAGATAAGCGATGTCTCCATCCTGCAATTGATCTTCCAAGCGGGTTGCTTGGATGATTTCCATGGCCCCCAACAAGTACCACAGCCACTCGCCTGAACTTTCTGATGGCAGCAGGATCTACAATCACAAAGTTAGTCATAACTGACGATTGTCTCTCAATAATATATATTGGATGTACCTCAAAAGCGCTGAGAAGCATGGACGCAGCCACGTGTTGAATAGCCGCTGTCGAATCTAGTGGCCCACCTCCTCTGGCAGAAGCAGACAAAAACTGCAGCGCTAGTACCTTGAATTGTATAGCTTGCTGATGGATTCCGTTGCGACGGAGCGAGGAGAAAGCAAGCAACGCATAGAACAGAGCCAGTCCCGGTGTTGTGTCCCGTGCCAGCGCCATGCGCATCAGGGTGTCTCGAACTTGAGTAGTGGTGTTCGCGCCAAACGTGACCAAGGAAAGGTAAGCGGAATCGAGAACTGGTTAGTCAGCAGAGACCTACATCCTAAGCAAGTACACCCGTATAAAGCTTACAGTAATGAACCAGATCTAAATGGTTCACTGCTACTGTGGTCTGACACCATGGACTTGTAGGGCGAATTAGATGAAGGGATTGCTTCTGCAGGTATACATGACGATGCAATTTGATGTCTTGCCAGGTGGTATTGATGAAGAAGTGCTTAGCTTCCGGAGTTGGATATACTGCCACTGGCGGTGCGTACCCGGTAATAGCACGCTTCTTATCACCTTCTCTCGGCCACGATAGGCGCGTCTTGTAGCCTTGGCATTCCCGTCGACCTCGAACACACTTCTCACAGACCGGCCGAGCCCCATCGCATTGAACCTTACGAGCTGGCGAAGCGCGATTAGACAAGGAACGTCCACGTTGAGGTTCATCCTTCTTGGCAGGACTATCTTACCATGACACGTCCAACAACCTTTCCGGGCCTTCATTGTGGCATTGGTCGCGACACCCTTGCACTTTAGAACCCAGCTGCGCCAGTACTGATGGTGCCAAATCGCAAATGATGAGACCTGACGATAATCCGTAACGAAGTTGCCTGATGTGGGTCACTCAATATCATAGTAGGTATGGCCAGCAGACCCACCAGACGCAAGTTTTGGCGAAGCTTAGGGTGCTGTCATCCTTTGTAATCCTTCCGAGATGTAGCCATACTCTAGGTTGTTCCGTTTATTCCGATGTCTGCTTATCTCCGTCTAATCCGTTTTGCTACATAACATGACGTCCCTGTCTAATCACGCTAAACCTAAATCACCCGATCGCGCAGTCAGTAAGCTCTAGGTTAGTCATTTATGCGAGTTGTGCATTTTCCTATTAATTGCTGCCCACACATCCACTCCGCATTCAAAAACACAGACCCACCAGGAGCAACTATTGTCGAGCTACACGTGCCAATAGCTTTGCTCTTTGGTAGCTCCTCTTAAGTTAGTGGTTCAATATAGTCACGACAAGCATTATCTACAGAATCTAGCTCAGCCTTTGACATATGGCCACACACCCTGGTATTTAGATTAATAGATTTGTAAGGAATGGATTAGAAATTGAAGCATGCGTTGATGCCTGCAGTGGCTTTATGTACCGGCTGTGTGCTGTCGTTTGTATATAAATGTCGCCTTTTTACCACGTAGAGATGGAGAATTCAAACTAGCCAAACTAACTCTTCATCGTACCAACACTCTCATAATATACTTGCAATCTTCTTGTCCCTCACAGGGCACTTTCGATATGGCCACCTACCTAATCACTCAAGCGACCGGCCAGCAAAGCCAATGGGTCATCAGGCATCTGCTGGCAGCTGGATGCAAAGTCCACGCTGTGGTACGCGATCTCCAGAAGGAACTTCCACCCACTCTTCACTCCCCGGGCGTCACCCTTTTCCAAGGTGAAAGCAAGAACTCTGAAGAAATCTTCAAGGCAGCCCAGGGCTGCAAAGGAGCTTTTCTGAACACCTTCCCCATCCCGGGATTGGAAGCCCAGCAGGCCCAGGCCATCGTCGAGGCATGCAAGAAAGCAGGTGTCGAGACCATCGTCGCAGCTACGACCCAAGGCACTAGCGACAAAGCCATGTGGAACGATGCCGAGACGAAGGAATGCGGGATGCTCGAGTACTACCTCTCCAAGGCAGCGGTCGAGGATATCGTCCGCCGGGCCGACTTCAGAGCCTACACCATCCTCCGGCCGGCCTTTATCCATTTCGACTACCTGCTGCCAAACGCCTGGTACAATTATCCCCGGCTGCCGTCTCACGGGGAGCTCGACCATGCCTGCAACGAGAACGCGAGGATCCCTCAGACGGACGGGCACGACATCGGGAAATACGCATCAGCGGCTCTGCTAGATCCGGCCAAGTTCGGCGGTCAGGAAATCGACATGGGTAACGAGACCCCAAACATAGAGGAGATCCGCGCCGTCCTGGCCAAAGTCAGCGGCCGAGACGTGCGGGCGAGGAAGCGTACCCCTGAGGAAGAGGAGGAGGCGAAGACCTCTCTCTGGGCCCAGCGCTTCCACTTATTTGCAAACGTGAAGGACTTTGGCATCATTCCAGGTCATGCCAAAGAGGTCCAAACCAAATTCGGCATACCTTTCACCTCGCTGGAAAATGCCTTGCAGAGGGACAAGGCAGCCCTTCTGGAATGTCTGCCCGCAAACTAGTATTTGAGGGTACAGTTATGGTAAGACCAGCCAGGCCTTTGTACTGTACACGAAGCACGTGTTTAATGGTCGATAGATCGCGATGGTCTTCTTTTCATTGTATTAGAACCATTAACGGGCCACACTTATGTATTTAGCACTCTCCTTATATTATCTTCTTTTAACTCTTTCAAATCTAACCCAGCTCATTCTACGATATGATTAAAGATACAGGAAAGTTAGAATTTTTCACTTAATCATTAACCGATGAAGGGAAGCTCTTACATAAAATTGTTATTATGTCGCAATTGAAACATTCAAGTATCTGACAAATAGTGGATGAGTGAAAGCTTTCAGGGTTTGGCAGTACTCAGCCGCTCAATCGATGCTTCGTAAGCAGCACACTTCTCTTGGAAATCCCTTTGCTGGTAGGCGAAATTTGCGAGAATATTACGCAACTCCTCGCGCTTTTCCACTTTCTCCAGCTTTGTACTATGCAGTCCACTATTCTGCTTGGCTGAGGATAGAGGCGAGCTGGCGGCCATAAAACATGCTTCCCCATTGCCCTCAGGAGGCGATTGATAGTTGCTAGTCTTTGTTATTGAGGTCGCCAGCGGTCATGGCCCTGTCTTACAACGTCTTTTGTTTTGTGGTAGTTCGAGGTGCACCTCTAAAAATTGTCCTTCCTTGAGAACGATGTGCCTTTCGGAACACACTTGAATGGTCGCTCGCCTTCGTGAACCCCACTGACATGTTGGTCACAATCTCGATTGGATCGGAAAAGAAGTGAACAGATCGGACAAGGATACCGGCGCAGCTTTGATGGCCGCCAACTGCTGGCTGGTATGACAGGCATCTGGCGTGGTCTCGTTAATAAGAACTCAAATGGGAAGTCACCCTCGAGACTGGCTGCCATGCCCGCGGGGGTGTGGACATATGGAGATGAATGCGTGTCAAGTGTGATGCTTTTAACACTTGTTTTGGGACCTGGAACATCATACACAAAAGCTTAGATTGTTAATGTAGATGCCGCATTGTAACTCAACCAGTTCAAATGGTCAGCTGGCATGCTTGTCATGCCATTGCTCAAGATGGACGAAAATTGATCGTGACTAGGTTTAATGAACACTGTAGTATCGTATGTTAAAATCTCATGGTCCTTCATGAAATAAGGTTGAGTTGAAAAGCCAAGTAGATTATCGGTACCTCCAAATCCCCGAGAATGTGTAAAGAGACTTGCGTCGAGAGATTGATTACATATCCAGTCACTTAAGGAATGTTCTTTAGTTAACCTAGTAAACATTCCCCGTGATAAATTTCTAACTATCAAGTATACCTAGCTGTACAATTTCGCTGTTCTCATCTTTATTTGATCCATAGTACACCCCCCCCCCCCCCCCCCCCAAAAAAAAAAAAACATCCCTTCCGAAAAGAACCGATAGAGATTTTTTGATGGTTCATGGTATAGTCGTGGAGAGATGCCTTATATTGTCTGGATACTCAAAGAACCAGGATGTGGCAATGTCATGGCTCAAAAGTACCACTCGCAAGTGACGAAGAAATCTCATGGAGTGACGAATGGCAGCCAGCCGCGAGTAAGATTCTTCGCTGCCATAGATATGTTGCCACCTTCTATGTTTTATTTTTATCTTTTAAATTAGAAACATCAAAATCAACCTGAGGCTCATGTGAAAGACCTGTCAATGTAGAATGAACTATTGTTTGTGTCTTGGCTTGACCCATAAAGTTACTCCTCTACGGCAAGCGTCATTCCCGTATGATTCAGACCAGTACCCCTTATTGGGAATAGTAGTGATTGACTCATGGTTTGCAGGGATTTGGCTAAGTAGATGTATCCAAAAGTGGCAGAAGCAGCGTGCAAGTGCCCCATGTAGCGTAATTGTATCCACAAGAAACTAGAAAGGGCTTGATGTACCGTTCAATCCTTTGGAAGCTTGTTACCCAAGGGATGAAAATAACCGGAACCACAACTGACCTGGTAAAGACCTTCTGAAGCAAGAATTCAGATGCTCGAAAGAAAGCAATGAATAAACAGCACAGTGCAGCTGCCTTGACCAGAACAAATGCGTGAATGCCAAAAACTAAAACCTAAACATAAAAGGACGCAGTCCAAAACAGATGGTAGCATCTGATCATTGCAGTCGAGCAATTTGTACAGTTCGACACGTCTATTTTCACGGTGTCGTTCGAGATATCTTAGTAGCTTCAATGCTGATATCTGTTGCTTGCGGACCAGGCGTCGGGTTTCGGAGACGTTATGTCGGTTGAACAACGAGCTCGACAGACTCTTCTCTGAGAACATTTTAAGGTCTCTACGAATAAAGTCAATCCAATAACATTGGAAATGCGAAGCAGCTACGGTTTATACATTGCATTGCCTTTTGGAACAATGACAATCGGTCTGGGGTGGGAACTCCACATTCTCTTAGGGGGAGGCATTCTTTCGACTGGGAGTTGAGTGCTGAAAGGGGGGAGGGTTTAAGGAGACTGAGGCAGAGTTGGGAAGTTGTTCGTCTACTTGAGGTTTTGTCGAGCCCGAGGTACGTAGGAGTACCAACAGCTGCGAGTGGTCTGTGCCATGAAGAGGTAGCTATGTACTAATTATGGAGAAGAGAAGGGTCGAGGTCCGAGGACGAAGCAATTAGAGACATTTAATACCTGTAATGGGTTGAAGTGGTTCTCAAGAGGCAGAATCAGTCGAGGTCCGACATATTTCTGAATGTAGGGGTGTCAAAATGGCCTCCTTTGTTATCCAATGAGACTTCACTGCATCTATGGCCTCTCAGGTGGTCTCTCGCAACGCCCAATCACTGATCAGAGCGTCAATCGCCCGGCATGAGATCATGTGACTTGCCGGATCGAATCAGACCTTCCTTTAGCTGTTCGAGGGAGCCCAGCAAAGCTCGGAACCGAAGCAAGGCCATATTGCCATTTGCCAGTGACACGGCAATTCGAAATTCAAAGCTTCTACCTTAGCCTCACAATCGCAACTAAAGACGTCCAGTATGATTGCTTTCAGCCGCACCACCTCATAACAATGAGGCTCCTCAACGCGAAAACCTTGGAGCTGAAGGAATTCTTTGGTGGCTCTATTCCGGAGTATACTATCTTGTCACACACATGGGGCGAAGAAGAGGTGACGCTCCAGGAAATAGTAGAGCGAAGATGGTGGAAGAAGAGAGGGATTAAGAAGAAGGCAGGTTTCAAAAAGATTACCGGGTGCCAGCGTCTGACTCGTGAGCTGGGATTGGATTGGTTTTGGATCGATACTTGCTGCATCGACAAGACAAGCAGCGCTGAGCTATCCGAGGCCGTGAACTCAATGTATCAATGGTACCAACGGTCCAGGAAGTGCTTCGCATTCCTGTCTGATGTGTCATGGGAAGATGGTCCGGTATCAAAGAACTCGTCATTTAGGCGTAGCCGATGGTTTACGCGGGGATGGACCCTTCAAGAGCTTTTGGCCCCCACATTCCTTGAGTTCTATGATCAAGCGTGGGTCTCGTTGGGCTTCAGAGACAGCCAAAGACTTACTGGCATCATCAAGGAGATTACGGGAATTGGTGGTGAGATCCTTGGGGCGAGCTTCAAAGATCAGCCCGCAGCTACCATCTTTTCCTGGGCTTCGAGGCGGAAGACCTCCCGGCAAGAAGACATGACGTACTGCCTTCTGGGGCTCTTGAATATCACTATGCCTTTGCTATACGGCGAAGGAAATAGAGCTTTCGCGAGGCTGCAAGAAGAACGACTAAAACAGCGACATGATCAGACGTTATTGGCATGGGGGCTGGACGATAAACTGAGCCAATTTTACCAACGCAGATACCTGATTAGGTCATTGCTAGCGCCTTCTCCGGAAGCCTATATCGCCTGGAACTCGAATATTGCTTTAGATGCCTTTCGAGGTGCACATTTCACCTCAACCAACATGGGACTAATGATGGAGTTGTATGTGAAAGTGCTCACGGAAGATAGATCATTGGCAATTGCTATCCTCGACCTCGAGGATGACAGCGACCAAGAAATTGCGATCCCATTGCACATACACTATCGAGAAGATGGATTGCCAATAGCGAGACGGTCATACGACGTGACCCCTTTCAGGGTCGGGCGTAAGATCCCTGGGTCAATGAAGATGAGCATGTATCTCCAGAATGGGCTGGGAAATTTTAGCATTCTTCAGGAGAATTGGGACGGCACCTATAATTTTTTCGGGGAGCAACGAACCAACATGAATCAGTACGTGCTTGCCGACTACTTTTCATATCCAACGACGGATCTTGTGGCTGCCGGTGATTCCTGGCAATTCAGGGTCCAGGAAGGGACCCAGATATTATGGCGCTTTGTCCATTCCACCAAACCAGCGAATCCGAACTTGCTCGTACTGTACTGTCAAGACGTGGAAAACCTCGATAGTTCAACTCCAGTATGGGATGGCTTCATGGCGTTCGCTACAGGTCCTGACTTTGGCACGTCCTGGGAAATCATGCTGCAACCTGAATTCGACAGGCCAGACTTTGAAAAATTGAAGGCGAAAATGCGATGGACCTCCTCTGTTGAGATCCTCATTGCTGACAAGTTGTTGGACTTCTGTCCAAAAGTCATCCACGACGACCGTGTAGGTATAAAAGGTAGAGAATGGACCTGGGAACCCCTACCAGCAAGAGCCGTGCAAATATAATGAACGCATGGGTGTCGTGTGCACTACGCGTGCAACGATCATGAATTGAACTTGATAAAAAAGTGTTGGTAAGGTCAAACTGTTCAGTGTTAAGAGAATCTGTTTGTTTGAGTCCTTGTTTATTTCTCGCTTTGATTCGGAATTGAGCAGTATAGGTACTAATGAAGTGTTTGCAAGTCACCGATAACTAGAGCACCCTATACAGCCGTGAAGGGCGGTTGAATGGAGACGCCAACCGCAATACGAAACAACACAGTCTTGCCAAGGCCCGGTCAGTCGCCGACTTGGAAGGTTCGTCAGGAAGCTCAAAAGCTGTTGTTACAACCGTATGGGGCTCTTGGTGGAGGCTTGAACAAAAGAGCTGAACACCATCCGTAGTACATGCAGTGGTTGCGAAGCGGAGACATCATAGCGCAGAGTCAGTTGCAGAAGGGGAGCTCGGCGGCCTGCGTTCGCATTTGGCGTTGTCGGGTGGCTTTGGGGCGGTGGGTAAGATGCTGTCGCAAGCACCGAGGCAATCTCGCTTCGTATTATCAGGCCCGAGAACCCGCTCGTACTCCGACTTATACAGAGACTAAACATATAGGAAACATCAAGAGCTTAGCATTGCAGCATGTCAGTTGGGATGTTACAGTATCGCTTTCAATCTTGGAGCGAGCGAAACAACCGCAAGGCCCAGATCTGCTGTGGCTTCTGTGACCGAACCCTTGCCGGCATTTCCTTCAGCGGCTGGTGGGCGATTCCAGGGAGCTGGAACGGGAGCGTTTTAGGGTTGCGCCAATCGTGCACGGTTTCTTCCAGTCAGGAGAGAGAGAGAAGAATTCATGGAAGCCAGAAAGAAGCAATCCTTTTCACGCGCTAGAAGTAAGCCCGAGACAAATGATACGCCTTCGACGCACAGCACGAACGCAAGTCTTTTCTGTGCTACCAGATGGCTGCATGTGTCATGGCCATACTAAGTATAATTTGCAGCAGCATCGAACCACGGAGGGCTTCCTAGTATGGTTAGGTAAATGGATAGCCGGCACACCGGCTCCTTCATTCTAAATCTCCATATGGCATAGAAGCGCTGATCACTATCTGTTCCTGGACACATGGTCTCAAATCGATGTGCTATTAAATTACAGCCAAACCGCATGCCACTTTCCTATCATCAAGGCACGAGAAAATACCAGCAGAAGAAGCAATTATGTGACGCGCACCTCGGAAAGAATACACGGCCTCTGCCTGTGCTTTGCGCCATGAGAAACCAAACCTTGTCAGTAGTTACATCGTCATGATTTGTTTCTGGCCGATCTTCTCGAGTCGTTCAACGTTTTCTTTTCATGATGAAGAATGTCAGGAGAGCCATTGCGCAAGGTTCAGGATCGTGCAGGGACGGGGCTACAGAAATATAGATTTACCGTATGCAGTTGTGCCCCATCCATGGATGGGAATGTCCCTGCTGCATGACCCGACTAACACAGCTCATTCGAATTACAGTGGAGAGAAGTTCATGATGGTGAAAGCAGAAACACGCCGCGAGCAACTATGGCTTGACCCGCTGGCAGAAATATGTAACGTCTGCAGGAACCAGAGTCTATTCACTTAGTCTCCATTCTCGCAGAGTAGAAACCCCTTGACCATGGCAGGGCATGCCATTGCTCTTTCCTAGTGCCCAAAACCCATCAGTGCTTCTTTGTACAATTCACTCCGCAATCGTATTGTTCTAAGTTAGTTGAACCAAGGCAGGGGGTTTTCCAAAGAAATTCGTTGTGCCGGAGAAAACAGCGAAATCAGCGACTAAGAAAAGCCACCGTCAGCTACTAACTACAGTATGTACGGATCTGTACCTAAGGTGAGGCTAACCCAGAGTGGGTTCCTGTGCAATACTGTACACATTTCTGACAGACAGGCTCTGCGGACCGCGAGTACCGTTGCTTTCTGCAGTGACTAAGTAAGTATTCTGAAGACCTGGTTTAGTGCCAGCTTGTGCCAGAATCACCATCAAGACTTTTGTTGAGCGGCTGAACGATTCATGCAACTACAATGGGTCATTCAGATCGATTGATGGCCGTACACGCGGGGAATTGTACACGGTTATACAGCTATATGGACCGGTCGTATATGGCCTGTTCTCTTCGTTGTCGGGTTTGCCAATATTAGTGAGGCGACAGCTGCATCCCCATCCTAGGTATATCATTGCAAAAAGAGGCAGGCACGAACAGGGTCCGAGGTGCGTGATTCTAATTACTCGTGCTTGCCTGAAGAAATGGGTGGGTTGAGTAAAAGGTGGAACTTGGGACGTGGGATGTGGGATGAACTTCGCTGTGCTGCTGTGAGAAAAGACAGTGCGAGCGAAGTAATAAGTAAAACTCCAACCTCTTTTCTTTCATGGTGCGCAAAGGGGCAGCGGTTCAACATCTCAAACAACGACTTGCACGGCTATACCAAGCATACCCATATCGCATTTCATGGTTATACGGCGACGCGACGACTACGCAAACACAACCCCTATATGTGAGGAGGTGAGTCAGGGTTCAAATGCCTCTATTTTGTTTTCATTCATTTGAGTGTGCACTTGTCTGTCCCCACGACGGTGAGCAAGCGTGAGCAAGCGCGGGCTCGGCTGAAAGAGGGCGTTCCCCTACGCCATTCCTCTCTTGGAAAAGAAGGGTTCGCTGCTGGCGAGGCGCCTGCTCGGTTCGGCCATCTCCCATCTCCCATCTCCCCGCAGCCCGCACTTCTCAAGACCTGCTCCCTGCATGGCAAGCATCACACACGCCTGTCCAACCAGCAATTGGGAAACACAAGCCAGCTCCTGACTTGACCAGTGATGCAAGCCAGCGACCCGGCCACCATCTCCACCACCCATGCTTCGATGCCGTCAGAGGGCTATTGAACTGGGGCCCAGCAAGGAGAGGTGAGCTAGCTTCAGGCTTTTTTCCCTTGTCTGTCAAAGCCAAAGTCGCTGGTCCGAGTCCATTCATCCTTTCAGTCCCTATCCCGTCTACCCGTCCTTTTGGCGATTTCATTTGACTTGATTTTTGGAAAGACGTCAACTCGAATTGGAACTACTCACGCATTCCACTCGACGAGCAGAACCCTCGCCCGCCCGCGGAAGCGTCACTGACCCTCATCCAGCACTTCGGAGGTGCCCGTTGTCAGATTCTCTTTGTTGGAGGAAAGGGTCGCGCCCGTAATACACAAGCGCCATCGTATTGCATCGCATCATACCGCACCGTGGTCGTCAATTGAGCGCTCGGGACATGCAACGTTAGAACACCGCTCTTTTTCCCTCAGACAATCGCAACTTCTGAGCCGCATCACAACGCCGTTTGTCCGATCGTTGCATCGATTGAAACGGCTTCGACCAGAGTCTGACCGGGCGACAAGTGCAACACCGCATTCATTGTCCTGCACTGCCTTATCTGTGGCATACAAAGTCGCCCATTCCATACTTGGTAGTGCACGAGAGTATTAGGCTGGTACATGTGCGACAAAGTTGGGTAAGTTGAGCCGGTACACCATGTGGCTCTGCAATACTGACTTGCCTCGATCTAGTGTAGCTGTCTTCACATGTTATAGAATCAAGCGATTTGTCCTGCACTCATCTCGTTGATCGACTTATCACCGGAACGAGAAAAGCGGTGGTTCCATACCTGAGCATAAAAACCGAATGCGACGCACAGCACGCACCATGCCTGAGCCCGATATGTCGGTTGCTGCCGGTGGCAGCAACAACTCCAGCGACTTTGTAAGCTCTTCTCAAGTGCAATCCGCGCGTATCATGCAGTGGCGAGGTCAGTCACACTGGTGGAAAATCTGGCTAATTTCTCTCTCTGGTGCAGGTGCGCAAGCTTTACAAGTACATACTATCCGAAACTTCCTCCCCCTCTGCGACTCCCTATTTGTAGTTGTAAGCTCCTGCAGATGTCATTGCTAACCTCCGACTTGCTATAGGATGCTGGAGGACCCGTCATATAGCGAAGTTGTGCGATGGGGGGACAGCGGCGACAGCTTTGTGGTGCTCGAGGTGTGTACAGTGTCCATTCGTCGATGCGTCCCCTGAATACTAACTTGTTGTCACAGAACGAGAAGTTTACGAAGACGATCCTTCCGAAGCATTTTAAACACAGCAACTTTGCAAGTTTCGTGCGACAGCTGAACAAGTATGACTTCCACAAAGTTCGCCAGAATGAGGAGAGTGGCCAGTCCATATATGGCCAGAACGTGAGTTGCAGCCACGGCTGTTATGTTTTCCGTCGAGGCGCACGCTGATGAGTTCTAGGCATGGGAGTTCAAGCATCCAGAGTTCAACCGTGATGCCAAACACAACTTGGATAATATCCGAAGGAAAGCACCAGCTCCAAGGAAGGCCCCAAACAACGAGGAACATTTCCATTCCAACACTCAGATCGTCGCCCTGACCGAAAATGTTGCCGCCATGCAACAACAGGTCCAAAGTCTCCAGGAGTCGTATTTTAACATGGCACAGGCGAACAAGGTGTTTGTGGACGAGATCGTATATCTCCAACGAGTCGTCAAGGCGCAGTCTCAGGTCAACGGCGAGCTTCTCAGCCACCTGAACAAAATCGACCATTCTCGACGGCACGCGAGGTCGGGTTCGAACCACTCGAACCAAGCTGGTCCCTCTTATCCTAGCGAAAATCTCATGTCCGATGGAACTCTGGAGCCTGCACCGGAACTGCGAAGAGCCCGAGAGATTCTCAACAGCGTGTCAGGCGATCACACCCCCGAACGAGACCTCCGCCAGATGTCTGTACAGTTTGGCCAAGTTGGCGCCTCCCCAGAATCCGCTGGTTCGAATGGCATGATGGGGCCTCCTGGATCCGCCGGTATACAACAGACGTTCATCCATGACCCTATTGTTGACCCTCGCCACATGGTCTATCCGGTTGGACAAGACATTGGTATCGATCCATTTGCTGCAGAGCACATGGCAAACATTCCTTACAATCGACCCATGCCGCCCGCTGGTGTAGGTTCCGCTTCTGACGCCGTAGCCGCAATGCCGTCAGTGAGCCCTCCGGTAGGCACTGGCGGTTCCCCGTGGGGTGCAAAGAAGCCGCGAATTTTGCTGGTCGAGGACGACAAAATCTGCTCAAGGATAGGGTCCAAGTTTCTGTCTAACTTTGACTGTGGTGTAGAAGTTGCTGTTCGTTGCCCCCCCCTCTTCCCCCCTCCCAACCAACTCACGGCGCCGGAGGCTGACTTAAATTGACAGCGTGACGGTCTGGAGGCTGTCAACAAAATCAATGGCAACCCGAACTGGTTTGATTTGATCTTCATGGATATCGTCATGCCTCAATTGGACGGTGTTTCGGCCACTGCGATGATCCGAGAGGTCAATCCTCGTATTCCGATCATAGCCATGACCTCGAACATCAACCAGCAGGATCTTGACATGTACTTCCATTGGGGTAAGTCTGAACAGCCTCGGGCAAGTTGTGACCGAAACGACTGACTAACTGATTTGTCGCAGGTATGCGCGACGTATTGGCGAAACCCTTCACCAAAGAGGGAATGATCGGGAAGCTCAAGAGACACCTTGCCAGCTTCATGCGGAACCCCCCTCCTGAGGCCCTCCTGGAACAAATGTATGGCAACGGCGGGCAACCGCCTACCCCTGGCCCATATTCGAACCCGACTCTAAGCCTGCCAATGTCGGCTGCTTCGTCTGGAGGAATGGGCAAATTTGAGACAACGCCGGTCCAGTCGCCAGCAACTAGTGCTTCGTGGCACTCGCCAGCCATACCTCATGCCTCACCCAACCTGAATCATCCTAACATGAACCAGGATCAGGGTTACCTGACGACGGGTAGTGGTTCACAGATGGCCATGACTCCTGGTGGACCAGCGCACCCTAGATTTCCGAACCCAATGCTCCCTGCCATGAACACCCACCACCAAGGTCGATTGCCTGACGGTATGGCAAATGATGGACCGCCCGAGAAGAGACAACGACTTTCAGGTCCTGGGTACCAAGGACAGTTCCATCAATAGTTAAGCTGTTGTCCGACTAATGCGGACCTTTTTATATGTATATACGTGCTGCATCGCAAAGCACCATGAGGCGAAACATGTCTTTCCATCGGCGTCATCGGAGTTATCGAAACGACTTATCGGCGTCGTCTTTCGCGGTTATTTTCTGATTTTTCTGTGTTGGTGAGCATTAGTCGGGAGGCTCATCTCCATCATTTGCTGCTGGGGTTCGCGCGGGACGTTGAGCAGGCGATTCAGAGCCTCGTCATAGATCACGAAATACCCTTGGGCTTGCTTTCACTGCTGAGTTGTAAAGATAGAGGGGAGGGGGGGGGAGAAGTCGAATGAACATTCGTCACGGAGGGCGTTGATTGAAAGTGGAAGGTGACGAGAACTTGCGAAGTTTCGCTAATGAGAAAATGGAATCGATCCAACCGACTTGTTGCTGATCGTTGCGAGAATTGAGAAGATAATTTTTTTGGGGGAAATTTCCTGCTCATGGTGACTGACGAGGCGAGGCCGCCGCTTATCGATTGATCTAGATGCTGCAGACCGTTCTACTTCCTCGTTGCATTGTTCTGGTTCGCCGCCTCTTCTTTTTAAACATCGTGACTTCCGCATAGGCTGTTTATCTCGTGTGGAAAACGTCATGTCAATCCGGTAGACCAAAGTGGCATTGAAAACATGATCAGGTAACCGAAAATAGCCCTAACCACCTGGGGAAAATGGGACAAATATCTTGTCAACCAACTTGGTCAACACTGAACCACTCCCATCGCAAACTTCATGACGTTATGACTCATATAAAGACATGGGGATTCAAGAGTGCTGCCTTGCAGAACTGTATCCGATGAACCTGCAAGTGACATGAAAGGTCGAAGCAGTCCCATAGTCCACTGGGAATGAGAAGTTAAGAAGTGGATGGTATGCTCCTAACAACTGAGAAACATATTAGTGTAAACCATAAACTTCAGAATAGCCAAACCCTAGAGAAGAGGGCGACAAGATGAAACCATGCTACACACGAAACCCGGACATCCGCTGCTTATGTAGGGACCTGTAAGGTACGTATCTCTGTTTTCCATCTAGCTCAATCCATCACACATTGCATCCCGCATCTGCAGCAAACAAACGCAACCACACGAGACCTTACTAACTAAGACAAGATAGCCAGGACCCTGGGCAATCTTATTAGAAAACCCAAGAATTCCCCAAGAAACCCGATCCATGTCGAAATGTGCCAGCCCGCAAGACCCCCTCGAGTGGATGCGATTAAAGGCTGCCAACCACAAGCTAACGTCCACCGGGTCTCACGGGCTAGAGGTCCCAGTAAACTTCGTGGGCTTAAGGGGTCTAGAGGGTGGCCTTTTCTCTCTTTTGATGAACAACGCAAATTAGGTTAGTGTGCTCTCTATACTTTTGTCTCTTTTTGTTTCTCTTTCATTTTCTTCTCTTGGCTTCGAAATCATGTAGGCTTTCGGTTGGGTTTGTCCAATACTATGTGTATAGTAAGAATTTGTGTGATCCCCAGCACGCTTTCTCAAGGCTTGTCAGCTTTTGGTTTTCTCTTTGGTGTATCTGCCTTTTATTTTTATTTCTATTTTATTTTACGGTTCGCCCGCTATCTATCTACGGCAACTTAAAAAAGACCAACCAGAAATGAGAAACCAAACAGCCCAGCCCAGTGCCCCCCGATAAACGAACAAGAGATAGATTGGCCTGGCCGAGATGCTCACTCCCAAATGGCCAAACTTCCTATCCACCCAGCCCTGTCTGCCTAACTGCCCACCGTTTCGATAGTCCCGCCTCCCGTGCATGCCGGGGCGGGCTCATTGTTGGAACTTCTTACCTAACTTATACCACAACCATGAAAACCTGATGACCGCATAGTTTGCTACAGTCCAGAGGCACCAAGAGATTCTGCGGCCACCGACTGACTTGAGCAAACAAACAAAACAAAGCGCAAACATCGCCGTTGCTGCTTTGACATTCGGTTCGTCCTTGTCCTCCCATTTCATCTATCTGGAAAAAGTGAAACGAGACAGAGAGAAAAAATTGGGCGTGCGACGGCTCGTCGTGGTCTGGACCGGCCCTCACGGCAGGGATCCGGAAGGCCCAGACCGGTCCGCTTGAGTGGCTTAGAAAAGCTTCCATGCGTCCAGGTCCTCTCAGCCAGCTACGTGCATATACTTTTTGATCACCAGTTCTCTCTTTCTGCATGGTATGGCCCGTCGGGCGGGCGGGCTTTTGCATTCTGCTGGCGCAATCTGTTTTGGAATAATTCTAGATGGAAGACACCTGGGGAGATTGTGGTGACACGAGAAGCGAAGCTGTCTATGGCATTGAGGTTGAACTCCGATGAATGCGCATAGCTGTAATAAATCCATGACGGGGCCGCAAGACCACCCCTCCTCTTCTCATCGTGACATTTCGGTACTTGATAACTGCCCGGATTCCCGAGTTAAAACGCACATGGGGCGGTTCAACAAGGGGAGATTGGGGGACGGGTGATGTAAAACGCAGAAAGCTACTGTACTAATACTCTGTACTAAGACTCTGTACAACGTACTCATATCTTGTTACTAGTCGTTCATGGATGGATACTTGATCTACATACTCCATACATGCATACGTACATACATACCATAGCAGACCCTGCGTGAGGATCTTGGCCGTTTTCCATCAAACATGCTTTCCTGGCCCATGGGGCGTAGGGCTGGAACGGTCGGTAATTTCTCGAGAGAAAAGTCCAGAAGGTCGTAAGCTTGTCTACCTGACGTATACCAAGCGATCCATAAACCACATGGGGTGGGTTATGCATGTGGGAGGTGGTGACGGGGCAGTAACTTGCGAGTGTTTGTCAGGATCTCTTCTGTGTTTGCTCGTGTCAGAGCTTAGGCGTGGTCCATGGTGTATGCCCATCTCGCGTGACCGGCCGTGCTGATTGAATTCTGGTTGGGGGCAAACGGCACAGTCGTGGTTGGCAATGCTTGTCAATGGCTGGTGCTGCTGTGAGGTCTGTCGCAAGCGTCAGTCGCTTGAGTCTGATTTTGAATCACAGTTCAAATAACAGGTGATGACATGCGAGGTTCCCATGCCGATCACCGCGAAAAGCCCAGGTAGCGTCCAGAATCTGGCTGAACGAAGACATGGAATTGTGGAAATTGCATAGTGCTGCTGAGGAATCCCATGGTGTTTTCTCGGGATCGCTGTCTATGACTCCCGCACAATGGCTGTTCTCCCGGAAGGTGAGGGGATAGTGCGAGTTGACAATATTTGGGGTTGACGACACAGTGCTGGCTTGCTGAGTGCCCCGCCAAAGACCGACGCCGCGATTGCGGGGTTCGAATTTATTCGAGCTTCTTTTCGTTGACTCACAATTAATTGCCCAGGTGAAAAAATACGTCAGGGAAGCTCCCCTTCACTTCGCCCATACGCCCACACAATACAACCGCGACGTCCAACACATCGCAATCGATCAGCTGTCGGCTCCTGTATCAATCGCGACATGTCCAGTAAAACCGGCAAGGGCAAGAAGCCTGCCAAAGCCGGCACCGAGGACAAGAGGGAGGATGTTCTCCAGGCCGTCATCATTGCAGACACCTTCCAGACGCGCTTCCTGCCATTCTCGCTGGAGAAGCCAAGAGTGAGCTTTGTCTGGCACGCTTCGCGCCGACCACCTCAGTTGCTGACAGTCTTTGTGTCCGACAGTGTCTACTCCCCCTCGCCAACACCCCAATCATCGAGTACACCCTCGAGTTCCTTGCCATGAATGGAGTGCAGGAGGTCTTCATCTACGCCGGCGCACACCAAGAGCAGATCGAGAGTTACATCAGGCGATCAAGGTGGACAACCCTGTCCCGGGCATGCCCCTTCTCCCACCTCGAGTTCGTCCGAGTTTCCGACGCCAGATCCATCGGTGACTTCCTCCGCGACCTCGACAACCGAAGCTTGATCGAAGGCGACTTTGTACTCGTACATGGCGACCTCGTCTCCAACATCTCGCTGGAATCCGCACTGGCCGCCCACCGGGCAAGGAAGGAGGCCAATCGCGACTCCATCATGACCCTGGTTCTGAGGGAGGGTGGCCAAGGCGAGCACCAGACAAAGGTCAAGGGCATCACTCCCATATTCGCCGTTGACCCCAGGGCAAAGCGGTGTCTGCATTACGAAGAGATGGATCCCTTGCAGGCGGACCATCACCTGACCCTGGACCCGGACTTGCTCAAGACACGCGAACTCGACATCAGAAGCGACCTCATCGATGCCCAAATCGACATCTGCACCCCCGACGTTCTGGCGCAGTGGTCGGAGAGTTTCGACTACGAACTGCCCCGGGCGCAATTCCTGCACGGAGTTCTCAAGGACTACGAGCTCAATGGGAAAATGATCCACACGGAAATTGTGTCCGAAGGCTACGGCGCCCGAGCCACCAACCTGCACATGTTTGAGGCTGTCAGCCGAGATGTACTCGGAGGTTGGGCGTATCCATTTGCACCAGACACAAACCTCGTCAAAGGCCACTCCTATCAACGGTGGGAAGACAACGTTTACAGGGAAGACGACGTACACTTTGGCACGGACAGCCGTGTTCGTAACGCCGTCATTGGCAGAGATGTCCGCATCGGATCTGAGAGTGCCGTCATTGGCAGTTTCATTGGCCGCAACTGCATAATCGGCAACAATGTGCAGATTCGGGACAGTTTCCTCTGGGATGACGTGACCGTCGAGGATGGTGCAGTGATTGAGCATTCGGTCATCGCAGAATTTTCCCACATTGGAAAGAACTCGCAGGTTGGTAATGGCAGCTTGATTGCATCCGGTGTCAATATTAGCGACAATATTACACTACCGAAAGCATCTGTACTTTCAACGATCTCGGCTGAGGGTGTCTCCGTTGCATCGGATACAGAGCTGCTTGGACCACAAGGCAAGGGCGCAAAGTTCCACGACCCTGACTTCGATGAGTTGGATGACGACGACCCATACCTACTCCAAAAGTCACTCAACTACTCTCTTGATGGATACGACCTGGACGAGTCTGATGTGTCGACTTTGGCCTCGGAAGACGAGTATGACGAGGATGATGACCAGTATCTTTCCGCCGGAGGTGACCAATCAAGATCACGTCTCAGCTCCTTTGCTTCTGATGACTCTTCCGGAGGCGCATCCACGTTTGTATCCGAAGCTGTGCATGGACTTCTCGAAGTGCTTCGTGGCGAGTCTGGGGGCGATTTCAGCTCGGAGAAACTAGAGTTCATGTCTCTTCGTCTCGCAAGTAACGCCTCCGATACGTCAGTACGCCGCGCAGTAGCCACGGCGTTTGTGCGCAGGGCAGTGGAGCTTATGAACGCAGACGGTGGTGGTTTCTCGCATGATAAGGCAGCCGAAACCACTCTGACCGAACGCGATGGAGCTAAGGAGTTCATCATTGAGGTTGGTGTCGGAAACGGGTCAAGGTCGGAGCAGGTTGATTTTGCTGTCGCCCTGCAAAAAGCATGTGTCAGCACCTCGAGGGTCATCGAGATTGCCAGCGCGGGTACACTTTGCGCCGCCTTTTTCAAGAACATGTATGAGCAGGAGATCATTGATGAAGACGCCATTCAAGCCTGGTGGGCAGACGAGAGATCATCCGAGAGCGACCCGATGGTTGGCATCCGCGAAAAGTGTCAGACCCTGGTGCAATGGCTTGAGGATGCCGAGGAAGAGGACAGCGAAGAAGAAGAAGAAAGCGATGAAGATGACGAGTGAACTAAATGTTCCTAGATTTGGCATTTGCGCTGGCGTTCCAGGAAGAGGAAAACCCAAGTTTCTTCTATCTAATGTTGTTTTTTTCCGGGCAGTATGCGATAATTTAGCATTACTTTTGGAATAAAGTATATTCTTGACCTCGAAACTTTCCAATGTCAACTCTTGTGAATTGCTCAGCTGTTCGGAGTGGTCACTCCAAATCAAAGATTTTGACGACGATTAGTTGACTCCTCAATATTCCAGGGGCTAGCCGTGTTGGCATTCTTGGCCGATTCATTTCAAACTGTACTCAATTGGCAGTATCGGTCTGCCACCCGAACAAATGTTCTGGGATTCCACATTGGGACATCACATACGCTACTTTGAGGCGTGATTGGTCTCCCTCAAAACGAGTATATTCTTGGCTGTTCTCTTTACTCCACAACCCGCGCTCCGCAAAGAATGCCATGCTACTACGCTGATTATACTGTAAGCCGTGCACCTAAGCATGACCAAAGGCTCTACGAGGTCGCCACATCCACTAGAATGACTATATAAGTATTATACTGCTAGTTTAGCAGTCGATAGTTAGAGAACTTTCTTATCAAAATTCTTTTTTAAATAAATTCTTTTCAAATCACGTCCACAGTCATTCAGTACCACTGCAGTGTTGGTCTTTTGGCAACTAATCCTGGTGTTCGTCGAACTTTTTGGTCGCTTTCAATTCCGGTGGCACCGCTTCAACCCCGCAGCGAGCGCCAGCTTCCTAACTAATTCTCCCAACTCGGATAAGTTAGCAAAGTCATAGACTTGGGAGAAAAACGTCCCTAAACATTAATACGATACAATTTGCGCCTCCATGAAAGGTGGCAGATATGCGTCTTCGCGGCGAAAAGCCTGCCACCAATGCTCGACCGCCAAGGCAAAATGTGAGCGCCGAGCGGGACGTTGCACGAGATGTACCCAGCGGGGGCTGGCATGCTCCTACAGTCACAATACATCGCCATCGACCTCTGGCGCTCGCGATAGAAGCACCGCGTTGGCAGCGAGAAGCTCGATCCTCACGCCTCGTATGACTTCTCCTGTTGAGTGTGCCCTTCTGGTCCCTGAGCGAGAAGGTTTCCTCCGGTGGGTATTCCTACAAGAAGCCCCTGGTTTTCTTCTTTCTTGGCCCAAGGGCAGAACGAGTTTCTTTGGCAAAGTCGTGATTTATTGCAGCCACTAAGGTAGACTTCCTTGCAGAGCAACGTTGGGTGGCACAACCACAGGCCGTGACCTTGGGGCCGAGAGCAACTTGGTTGGTACGCCTTCAACCCCGCTTGGTGCATATAGTCCGGCGACTATTTCATCCACGGCATTGCCTGGCGGCTTTAGTCGACACGCCCAGGATGAGCGACTGGATAATACCATTCGTGCAGCGGTGCAGCCGGAAGCACTTGATTTCACAGGTCTCGAGCTCCTCTGTCTGATCAATGTCGACGAGATGAGCAGCCGCTGGCTCAATCCTTATGTACCTGTACCCGGACAGAAGGTCAAAGAGTACCCAGCCAACATCGAAGCTTTTATACGTCGGATACTGGGATCGTATGCTTCCATAGCGGTACGCGGCCGTGCCGTACCACCCTTCGTTCATTCGTCCCAGACTGCAACGGTATCGGTGGAACCACCGCTATCCACCTGCCTGAGCCTGATCCGCGTCTGCGAGCGGTTGTTGCCAGGCAGCGAGGCAGCCGCCGCCGACGTACTGCAGAGAGAGATGAGGAGCATATACGAACAACACGACAGCCTTGATGACCTGGCCTCGCTCGCCGCGCTCCAGTCCTACCTCATCTACGCCCTGGTGCAGCTCTACAGGCTCGGGGGTAATATCCCGAGCCAGACCACGCGACGCGATTTCATCAGCCTCCAGGATCTCGCGTGCGCGAGCAGCCGCAGGGGACTCGTCTGCGCCGCGGAGCAGCGGCGCGCTCGACCGCGATGGGAGGAGTGGATCGTAGCCGAGGCCAAGCGCCGGACTCTGTACGTGACCAACCTCCTCGACGGCGTCATATCGGCGCAGGAGGGCCTGCCGACGTTCTACGGCTTCGAGCTGCGCGGGCTGCCGGCTCCCGCGGGCAAGGCACTCTGGGAGGCGAGGTCGCGACGGGACTGGGAGATGGCGTATACCATGCACCTGGCGGATTGGCCCGGGGGCGGGCTCCGTGTCGACGAGCTCTGGCCACGTCCGCCGGGGCTCGGCGGAGAGGAGCTTGCGCGGAGACGCGTCAGGGTCGATCGCTGGCTGGAGGATGTTGACGAGTTCGGTACTATGATATATGCCGTTTCAAGCTCTACACATGATGCTTGAGGCCTGCCTTATTAAAATTGTATAATTATTATTGAATAAAAATGAAATAAAACTTGTGCTTCTACCGTATTTATCAGCATTGTTCGAACCCGACATTCATCGCATAAGAGCAATATATCTAGACACGGTGATGATAACAAGCCGTCTCGAGCTCCGAAGTCAGTGGACTTAAGACCTGGGCGAATTTATAAGACGAATGTGTAGCAGAGTAGAATGGGTGAAATGAGTTAAGGTACCGGAACTATGATCATGTCTATGCGAGTGGCCGTCGTGGGAGATCGCAGTAGTACGTGGCACTGAATGAAACGGATTTTTAGACTTGGGGTCTATCCTGTCCCACTCAGATATGCAAGGCGACTCATTGTCAATGTCAACAGCAAACGACTACATTGCGATTGCTAATATGCTGATTGTGTCCGAGAATATGCCCCATAAACGACCAACCCCATACGGACGGCAAATGTTATAAGATGTAAAGAGACTAAAACTGAGTTGTTTCTCCAGCTCGCCTTTTATGATGAGTCTGCGATATCTAATCTCAATAACGTGGCAGCGTTCTGCCAGCGGATGCCTTCCAGCTCCTCGGCACTCACCATGCCACTCTCTTCCAACTCCCCTAGCCATTTGAGCCCATCAGCGCTCTTTGCAAATGGATAGTCAACGCTATACAAGATTCTGTCGTGTTTCGTGTTTCGCAGAATGCAGGCGAGCGGGTCTAACGCCCAATTGCCGCTCGTCGTCAGCCAGACATTGTTGTCCCAGACTTCTCGGAAGGATCTCTGCTTGCCCCACCGTGAAGCAACCCGCTGGATCCTCTGGAGCATATATGGAATCATCTCGCCCATGTGCCCGATGATGATCTTGAGCTTGGGAAACCGATCAAACACGCCCGAGGCATACAGACGTAGAACGTGCACGGCGACGTCGCTGTGCCAGCCAAATCCAAACGCAAGGATAGACGTGGTCACCTCGTCGGAGATGTGTTGGGACTTGTAAGCCTCAAAGAGCTTGTCGGATGGCCATGTCGGGTGGATATAGATGGGCACGTCCAATTTCACTGCCTCGGCCCAAAGCACGTCAAACTCAGGACCGTCGTAATATAGCCCAAGTTCTGTGTGGCTGTCCACCAATGCACCGACAAATTTTACTCCGCTCATGTCACCAGAGCATGTGCGCCTGAGCTCATTTGCAGCCTCTTGGGGTTCGTCCATCGGCAACTCAGCGAAGCCTGCAAACCTGCCCGGATGAGTACGCACAGCCTCGGCGAGCTGATCGTTGCATTCCCGACATTGAACAGGCGATAGATCGCCCGGCCCGTGGGAGATCACTTGCATAGTGACCTGGCCTCGGTCCATGTCAGCGAGCCGCTTGGAGCCGAGTTCGGTAAACTGATCGAACAGCCCCGGGATGCCTTTGAAGCTCTCATTACGCGAGTTGGGCAGCGCCGCGGCGGCGTCGGATAGGAAATGTTCCTCCAGGGTAATTATGGGCCTTCTGGCCACGGACCGTGAGGAACCAGGAAATGGTGACATGTCGATTCTTGTGCTGTAGGTGATCGGGCATGGAGAACTATGAGATGTCTTCCTAGGTGCTATGATGATGTCTCGCAATTTGGGTTTCGATAGTTTCACCGGCAAGATCAACAGTGATTAAGCTAAATTTACTCCTTTTTATAGTGGTTGCAGGCAAGAAAGGAAGCCCGCAACCGGGTTTACATCATAGCTTCGTTAAACTATGAAATTACCGGCCGTTTCGGTACCGTTAAGTCCGCTCAGCTCCGGGCCGAGCGGTGCAACGGGGCTAGCACTACAAAATAATAAGCTTTGGATCCTTCGATCCTTCTGCACAAGCGAATCGCACAAATGATCTCAAGAAAAGTGGTCCTCTTCGAAAGGTGGTCTGCTTACTATTTGAAAGATCAAACTGACATTGACAAGACCCCCCAGATGACAGTAGACCTAAAGAATTCCTATCGGTTGAACCCATGGCGCAGTTTCGTGGCCATATGTCAAATGACGATACACCCAAATTTGCCACCATGAGTTCTGTTTCATGACGTTACGCTCAGCAAGGGCTATAGCAATCAAATCTCTTCATCAATGAGATCGGGTTGGCTTGAATAAAACTTCTAAAAAGTCGTCGTGCTATCAATAGAGAGCGATCTTGCAAAAATCACTGAGTGGCACTGGGGATGATTCACCACTGGTGTTCGTTCATCAGATTACCGTCACAGAAAGAAGTCCCTGGGAATGAATCACACAAGGTTATGGCTCCATGTATAAATACCCATCTGGACTTCTTGAGTATTATCTCCTGTTTTATACTAACATCTTCTCTTAAGGTTGTATCTCGAGCCCTCGCAGACGTCATTAGTCAAGCAACCATAGGCAAGCATTGATAACGAAGCAACGCGATCACGCTCTATTGAATCGCAATCAAAGCAGCCATCTACGCGCAGCAATGCCCCGACCCCTTTGGAACGTCGCAGGTAGGCCACGAAAACACCGCAAATAGGGCAGGGCGCTAACTTGCTAATCAACTCCCAGGAGAAAGCTCCAACGAGGTAGTATTCCGGACGTTTTTCGACAACACACTTTATCTCGGTCTGGAGAAGACTCTTAAGGATTTGAACAACCCCGTAGTATCTGTGAACTACAGCAGACTAGACGACGGACGGCATGAAATTTGTATCGGCACGGCAAACGTTGTCGACGACGACATGAAGAAAAAGGTGAAGGAATACGTGGATGCGGAGTGTAACGGCCAGGACTGGGAGGGACAGGTTGATTTGGAATACCGCTTGGACAAACCACCAAGAAGAAGAAGGCGGTGAACAGTTGCCGAGACAAAGAATTCTTGAAATTCGTGTGTCGCGGTCGCGGCCTCCGTTTTTGATTGCACCATTTCGCCCCGCATGGCTCTTTATATCGTGTCCGTCGCTAGTCTCGTAATCAGCTGTATTTGCTTGCTTTTGATTATAAATATACTAGTGCCCCCTTTAATGTAAATATTTAAGAAAGGTATAATATAACAAGCTTAGTAGTGGCCGTCAGTATCAGGAACAAGGGCCTTGTGCCATGCTAAAAACCTTTGTACTATAATTTTGTGCTAAGATGAATCCCAAAGGGTAGAGCTATGATTGGTCCCAAAGGATGAATACGCTATGCTTACGGTAACGCTGCTAGTCCTGCCCGCTAAAATTCCATGCGCGGCTGTGAAGTTCAAAGCAGGGAGCTGTTGGCATCTTCACATACCTGGAGCCGCTGGGATATAGCGATTTCTATCTGCGCTGATGTTAAGTATACGTGTTGTTATTCTGATCTGACTGGTTTACGAGTCATGTTGAGATATTAATTGTTTAGTCGAGTGACGCAAGAGTTGGCGTAGCGGCCACTATAGTCCACTTACTAGTGCGCCAATTTGTGTTAACCACTTGTTATTCAACTCTCAAACAATAAATTCTGCCGCGTCTTTCATCAACGGGCTAAGCAGGGCCCAAAGAACCTCACATAGGCCTTGCTAGGTCTAACGTACCTTTCACAAGATCAATGCCTTTGTGTGATCGTATAAATCGATCTGCATGAGCATGGATCATGACCACACGCTGTTGATTGGGATTTTGCAATTACACCAATAATGTGCCAGGCCGTGATGGGGTTGCATGCCGTCGGAATCAGTCGAGGATGCGCCTTCCGGATTCACATATACTCATCTCAGTAACCTTCCGGCACCGGCTTCGGCCGCCTTATAGTCTAATACTGCGCTCTATACTGACCGAATTGCGTTCCTAATCTCAATGCCGACGTGGTGGCAGATCTTGTCGCACTCTAGGTTTAACTTTTGTCGCCAAAACTGTCATTATATATTTGTCAAGCGAATGTAGGTAACAACAACAATAGAAATATTTATTACTAAATCTTTCGCTTCTTACTCTCCTAGTAGGCAAGCTACATTTGACGTAAACCATTTCGGAAATTCACGCTTAACTACGAAGTCGTACTGGAATAGGTGTGACGTAAGCAAGGACTAAGATAACGTAACGAGGTTTGGATGTTGTGCTTAAGAAGGGCTTATAAGTAATAATTTACAATACTGGAGTATTCTTTTTTTCGTTCCGTGATTTAGCATGATAGCCCCCGATTGCTTGTCTCCACGATAAATATATGTCTTTCTTAACAGCATAAAAATGGTACATTTCGGTTGATACTCAAGTAGAATGGTGGAAACGGAGCATTATGATCTTAGCATAGTACTAAAGTAAGTGCTTGTCATATCAGAATAGCGCGGCCAACCACTATGATGAAATGGTGTTGTTCAATTGTACCTCGAAAAAGAAAAAGCACCGCAGGGCAGATATCGCCCCGCACTAGGTTAGTTAATTCATGCACTTGCCAGGAGCGCAGCACAGCGGTGAATGTTTGTTATCTAGTGCTATGAACTTCTTTATACCCGTGATTTCTCTAGACCCTTGAATGTGTGTCAGCACATCGCATGCACTTAAACGTTTGCTCTGTTCTCCGGAAGCGGTTTTGGGTAATCTAATTTCAGAATCTAAGATGCTTGGAGTTTCCTGGATCGGCGTCTTACTAGTGCTCTTCAACACGAATCTCTTATCTGCAGTATTTCCAGACGATTCACTTACACTTGATACATTACGCCTGGACAAGCCTTTGTGCAGCTAATATACCTCCACGGCTCCGGCTGGACTCTCTTCAGGTGGGTTCGTCTCGGAACGGGACTGGCAAGCTATGGTAGATCTCCACGCTTCGTCCAAACTAATTGTCGTTTGAGAGGTGAAAATCACCAAATACTCGAATCCACCATAGCAAGGCTCCAGAAGCATTGATATGGGAGCCCAAAGATCTTTACACAGTTGAGCGGCAAACGTGAGCCAACTAAGTGCTGCAGTCGGGGTGGCGTAGGTCATTTCCCGCATCGTGTGGTTACACAACTGGGAGCCTGCTGGCCTGAGGCGTTCTAATGCTGTCATGGGAATCCTGTCCTGCAACATCAGTGCAGCTCCTATCGTCACCTACTCGAATCCTGCTCCTCGCTTCCTCAGTAGAACGTGTAGACTCCAGCCATGCCTCTCTTGGCGAGTGCACTGTACGCAACTCTTAAGCTTCCTACCCCTGCCCGCCCTTGATCAAAGCTGCGAGACTGGCTCGATAAGGGCGGATTCTGGTGGGCCATGCAATGGAAAACTGCACACCTTGGTGTTTTGATGTAATTAAAAAGAAGGCAAAAGCCGATTCGTGGTACATTCCAGCGCCGAGGCTTGAGGGATTGATGTAACCGGAGAAAGTGGCCTTAGTCCAGATACCAGATGCTATTCAATTCTCTACATAAATCTAAGGCTTGAAGCGGAGTCTTCTGCCCTGCAGCTTATATCCGTGTTACCACACCCAAGCCGGGCGTGTTGGCCGTGGCTGTGGCAAGTGCCTCGTAAGGCATTGGGCCGTACCGCATATGATACCGCACTTAAGAAGCTGTCGAATTCAGAGGCTCTCCCCCATTACTTCCTCACCGATTCCAGACAAAAATTGTATTCCAGAACAGCCACTTTGTAGCATAACGCTTATGATTGATCAGAAACCAACGTCTCTCAATGGCATCGTTCGGAAAGCTAACCAACTCCCTCATGCAGATCTCGCAGGAGAATACACTAACCGTGCCCACCCACTTTCGCACGCACCCCCTTTTGCACGCCGATTTACCGACGTTTCCTCAAACACACTGATAGATAGATACAACAACTGCCAGCCATAACACCATGAAATCAATTCAAATAAACTATCTCTAGGTTATTTACGTGTCCGCTTTCGCGTGGAAGGTTGTATTTCGAGGAACGAGTCAATAGGGACTTGTTCATTGCGTTGTAGCTCAGGCATCTTCCTTTTCAGCTTGTCTTGCGCTGGTCTGATCTCTGCAACACTAGCAAAGACCTTATTCGGGTCTTTTCTAACTGTTTGACGTTTATCAGGCTTGTGATTATCTAGTTCAGCTTGCAAATCGAGGTTTGCTTGACGTGTTGTTGCTAGTTCTGCGAGCGCCATGTCAAGTGACTTAGCACATTTCCCAAGCAACTCCCTTACGTCTCTAGAAGTTTGCGAATGATTGATGGTAACGTCCCTAATTTGAAGTCGAAGGTCCTTACTATTATGAGGAGTAAACAGACCAATTTCAGCTAGATCTGACTCGTTTTGTGGTGTTGTAGGTTGAGTGTCAGGTGATGGTGGGAAGAACTCAGGGTCACCTAACACCATTAATTCATTTAAGGGGTAAATACCCGTTTTGGCCCAGCCGCTTTCGATAATTTGTTTCGTAAAAGCAAGGGCACAAGCTTTATCATAAGCTTCAAGCATCCGTTGCTTGTTAACGGGCCCAGTAGCTTGAATACCACGGTATAGGCTTATTAGCCTATGGTAGTGGGACTTCAACGATGAGAAGACCGTCTTGTCAAGTGGTTGGAGCGCTTCGCTTGTGTGTGCTGGTAGGTATATCAAGGCAATCCTCTTCCTGAATGCCCTTAGCATGAACCCGGGTGTAACATGAGTACTGTGGCCATCGAGGAGGAGCATCCTCCATGGGTTTGGGCAGTCTGGGGACTCTTGTGGTCTGGTTTCTGGCTCGAAGACCTCTAACAACCATGACAGCGCCACTGCTGAGTTGGTCCAGCCCTTAGGGGTCGCTGTATACTCAGCTTCCTCAAGATCCTCAGGTAACCATTGTGCTTGTAGTGTTGTTCCTCTTAGTATATACGTATTCGTTGTTTTCAACCCGATAGCGTTGATACTATGGATAACTGACATCCATCCAGTTGCTGGGTTTTTCGCAACGCGTGAACGACGTGACCTAGACGTCCCGATGACTGTGCCTTGACTTTGTTCGGCTTCTTGTACACCTGTTTCATCCATATTATAGATGTCCTTTGGTAGGATCTTATAGGTGTCTTTGACCTGTGATATATACGTGTAAAAGTCCTTTACGGTCTGTTTTTCAATGCCTTTGACCCTCTCAGCGTCAATTACACGTCCAACCTTAGTCTTCAAGTGTGGGTGGCGGCTAAGGAACTTGTATACCCAATTGTATCCAGGGGTGACCGTATCGTCGATTTCGCCGATACCAGTCATGATATTAGCCGCTATTTGTCGCACCATATTCGAGCCCGGAGCGCGTCCACACAATTCCTCATGTAAAATCCATTGCTCAAGCTCCATTTCTTGCAATTCAGATAGGTTCTTTGACGTTTCGTGGGCTGAGGAATGTGGTTGCGACCCGTTAAGTCGTCGCGACAAAGTAGACCGTACGATACCGAAAGCTTTGGCTGCGCGCGTTATCGTTTCGCCGTTTCGAACCAAACTAATTGCTTCTGCTACATCGCGTTCATTTAGTTTACCCATATTGAAAATATCAGATCGATAGGATTACAATTGGTTGAGTTCTAGCATTTACAAGAAAAGCGTGGTGTTGTTTACGCGTCGGAAGATCGGCGTGCAAAAGGGGGTGCGTGCGAAAGTGGGTGGGCACGGTTAGCATTGGCAAACTTCAACTTCGATTTTTCTATAATAAAATATGATGCGCCTGAGCAATATCGAGGGCTTGGGGAGGCCCTTTCATCACGTAGGAAAGGCGTTGCTGAGGACGGCGCAGTTCATGTCACGGCGAGGAAACTAGCAGGTCTTTTCGAAGGCGTTATGCCGGATGTGCCCAAGTTGATCCAAGCATATGGTCTTCGCTCCAGTGAAATCGCAAAACTACCTGAGATCAATCCGCAAGGATCAAAAACCGAGGGTATCTTTGCAGACCACGTTGGAGCCGATGGGAGTACCATTTGGGCTTCAGCCACCTCTGGCGGCCGGGCAGTCACTATGCACTTGCTTGCCTGCATGCTTGCTCGTATTTGGAAAAGAGAGCAAGCGGTGTCTATCTGGGTTGATCTGATCGAAAACAGAAAGTTGCATCTACGGACGTCGATTGGGAAACAGGAGGGCGCTCTGAAAATAGCAGACCTCGCCGGCTCTCGAATCGAGATCAGTAGGACACAACTAGATGAGTGGGACTCAAGCGCTAGGTGCACCGCAATCTTCAAAATACTATTATAACATGCTGACAATACTCAGGGCTTGGCTCCAGACGGCAGATGAAGCAAAGAAGGTTCAGCAAACTCAATGTCGGCTAATATTCGATAATCTGTCCCTCCCTGTATCAATGCAGTCAAAAGTATATGACGCGATAATCGAGTCATGGACAAGTGCGTTGAAAACACTAGAGAGGCTGATCCAAGGCACACCACAGCGTATAGATACTGGTGCCATACTCTTAGGGTTATCTGCGTGGCATCTTTATCCAGATATAATACTGGCTGGTACAGATCAGTATGTCAAGCAAGCTGACTCGCTTATCACACCGGGCGGTACTGTTACCATTGGCCTCAGGAGCAGAGAGGGTAATGGAGACGGAGTTTTCTGGTCACTCCCACTAACCCACGCGAGATATTACGGCGAATCAGGACTGACAACGAGATATGCGGGAATCGGCCAGTCACGAGTCAGTTTTGAAGAGTTCATGTTCGTTGTTGTTGGGAGTATACTGGGCGGATGGGATCTTGAAGATAGGACGTTTGAGACGGGGTTAAACTTGATTGACATCCTAGACACATCACTGCAGAGTTGGAAGCCAAGTGAAAGCGAGTCTCTGCGGCATTCCAAAGGTCGATCGAGAATGGGATGGCTCAAATTACTCGGGTCGGCCGCCAGACAATACACGAAATCAAAGGATATCACTCGACAGCAGATTGGTCGACTTCTTTCGTTCGGTCAGAGACGATGTTCAACAATGCTTGCGCCAAAGAAAGCTCGAGTGTATTCAGTGTTTGGTCTAACAGACTTTCGGGTTTTATTAGCACCGTTTGCTGAGAGTTTGAGTCATGAAAGCGGACCTGTACTTAGCTTCCTTCGCAACTTAGGTTGCCGAGTACTCGATCCGAACACAGCCAGGAGCGCAATGATCAGGTACCGACTAAGTTCGACTCAATCGTTCCGCTTCACGCGCCTAGCCGTCTCCGGTCTTTCGGTCAAGAGACGAAGAAGGAACAATAACATCAGTCAACGATCAGAAGATTCCTTTGCAGAATCGCACTGGATGAATGATCAGGATGATGATTTGTCAGACGGCGAGGATGGAGCACGGGAAATCATGATGCCGCATGCAATCGGGGAAGCCCCCACACCCCACTGTTTCGTTTGCGGAGTTCCTGGATTGGCTGCTATATATCTGCCGTCATATATTCCTCAATCGACCATTGGGAACAACACACTAAAAGTCTCACAACTGATTAGCTGCATCGAAAACGGCGATTTGAACCACCACCAGATAGCAAATGCACTCGCTTATGTCGGAACCTCTGCCTCGAAGAGCGTATACTTCGACTCGCTCTGTGCGGTCGAGGCTGCGGAGCGAACCTACTCTCAACTCCCGGGTGCTAAGGTGGACCTTCAGGTTACATCACTGCCACTATGCAGTTCCAAATGGTGGAGAGAATTTAAAAAACCGAATTGTCAACTTTTGCAAGCAACCTTCAGCTGCATTGCGTATTTCGAAACGGGTTCTTACGATATAGAACCCAGCAATATCGGCAATCAAGCATTTGCCATCAGTCATTCTAGCTCTATTTTCGTTGCCAGTCAACTCCTTGGGGATCCTCACGAAGCATCTCGTCACGCACCTGTCGAAAGAATCGTCGGAAATGTGGGTAAGCCTGGACTGGCAATCTTGATTACACCGCCGCATCCAAAAATTCGCAAGCTAGACTTCTCATCATGGCATAAGATTGCACATGAGCCCTTCGATGGAAGTGCACAGAACAACTTTCAAGGGACCTCTTTCCATCTCTCTTTCACTGGCTACGAGCTTCCGCTCAACATCAACTCACGAAGCGGCCGAGATGTGCTGGCCTATTTCTTGGAGACAACTGTATCCGTCTACAATCATGGTGAATGGGTCGCTGACCTCGACATTTTAGAAGCAGCGACGCTTTGGACATCACAGGTAAAAAAGTACTGCGATCATCGGGAATTGCCGGACTTCGACTTTTCATCCCTAGTTTCCATCGACTCATGGTCTGAACTCCTCGATCCCCCGGTGCAGAGCGCTGTCGTGCGTGCCAGTGGGGATCCCATCGCCCGACTAGCGACAGCCGCGTTGGCCTCACGCCTGGCAGCCAAGGTCATCGTTCTGCCATCAACTTCGGTTTGTTTGGCCTGCTATTTTGGTGCATTTGACAAAGTAAAGACAAAGGCAGGCAGTGATGGTGTAGACAAGATTGATAAAGATGAGGATGACATAAATAAAAATCTAGAGGAGAAGGACAGAAATCGTGTGGAAGACGAGTCTAATGACAATAACAGCCTGATCTCTTCTCGGGATGGACATGGCCAACAGAAGAAACCCCGAAACCCATTGGCCTGGATAGAAACCGAGAATTACTTCATTGATGACATGGAGTTAGCCACGTACGCATTCAATATTGACGACACGGTAGACGAGTTACAGGAGGAACCAAAAGTATCTGTACCTTTAGTTGTCTATATTTATTAAGTTGGATTGCCGTAACAAGAGCTAGAATTTTCTGGTACACAACGCTGGGCTTATTAGGATTGAAAATATAACATATAATATATAATATTCATTTTACATATTTGAAAACCCGTTAAACCTATACTGCTGTTACGGGACAAGTCCTTTGTAGCCCAGGCTGCGCTTTGGGCTCTATGCTACAGGTACAGAGAACCTAGGTTAGAGGTCCGTACCGGTTACTCGAAAACTCCCTCGTAAAGGTTCGCATAGCGTAGCTCTCTTTCCTTCTTCAGCTTTGATATAGACTGTAATAGGATATGCAACGTTTGCTTGCAAGCGCCTTGATCCGTTCGTACTTCGATTCCTAATTACCGGTTGTTCTATTTCCGGGGTGTGGCTTCTTCTCAGCGCCTGGCAGTGCAGGGCTTGTAGCTGGGCCGCACGCCGATGAGAAGGATGTTGGAAGTGTTCTTAGCGTACAGTGAAACTTCAAATAGTACAGACACCCCGCTAAAGTTGTACTTGTTGGGGGTGGTTTAGGCTGCCAAAAACGGCCGTCGTAATCGCAGAAGCGAGTGGTCAAGATGATTGTAATGAAAAATGCACTCTGAGAAAGGACGGCGCGCAGGGCCCTGAAACGGATGTGGGATATTATAAAAAGAGCTCTAAATAAACGAGGCTCTGTTTGGTAAAATTGTATGGAGTTTCCTTTGGTCCGTCGTCACTCTGCAATACTCCGAATTTCTTCACAGTTCATAACATGTTAGTACTGCTCAACCATGTTGAAGACCTTTCAAGTTTAGTTCGAATGGGCGCAACAGGAAGTAGATTGCCCAATTTTTTTTTGGCTGTTGTACCTTCTGCGGCTGGTGTCACAATACCACCCTTATGGTGCGTGTTACAAGCACACCACCAGCTTGACGGCCCTTGCTGCTTCATCGACGGTACAATATCCGACGACGAAGCTGGGAAGCTTGTCACATCCAACACGGTACCCGATACCGACAGCAAGCTCCTCTCTCTAATATGTGCCGAAAATTGACACGACGGACACTCCTCCCATTCTCTGCAGCCACCATCTGTCGTTCCCACTCGCCTTGTGTGCGCCATCAATGTGACCGGGAAGTACACGGAGCCTTCTAGTGGATATCTTGGAGGGTGTCATCATTTGATATGCAAAACCCTGCAGTACCACACATGATATAATCAAAACTTGTTCTGATAGACGTACCGGGACGACTTTCACGGTATTACAGGTAGAGGTTACTTCGTATTTCGCAGGGAAGTAGCCTGGTTTGATGAAATCGGAAAGCTCAATTCTCCGACCTGGACCGGGTTGGCTGGCAAATTTCCCCATGTCGCGCCCGATGGTGGCCGAAGATTGATGGATGCCCACGAGTCTACCAATGCTACGTACACTTGGATGGGTCCAGGGAACAAGCGTGTTACGCTCCCGCAAGGCTACCAGCAAATGTGGTAGAACGAGTACTATTTCGTCGATAGATCGGTGACATCGCACGAGAATGAAGGTGCGGCAGACTACAATATTGGCTTGAGTAAGCGAGTAGAGAACTACTCGCAAAGCTGCTTGCGGGTTCAACTAGAACATGCCGAACTAAGCCTTTCTGGATATCAGCACACTACAAGACATTGCCGATACTGTCAGTCAAGTGGCCGACGGAGGGACCAGCATCAAGAAAGACGGGCTCGTTCGTGATACCGGCGATGAAACTGGCATTGTTCTGCAGTCCGTGACTTGCTCAGATGTTTGGAACTTTGCGCTTGTTTTTATGGAATCGTTAGCCGTGTAACTATAAACAGTAATGTTGGTGATGTAATGGAGATGGTTATTTTGTCCTTTGACAGATTTTGTCTACAGTATCGATGTTGGTATTCCGGTGTTTGAAGACATCGGGCAGTGAGGTTTCTAGATTAGGTTGACCTAGGTTAGGTACTTTGTACTTACTCAGGCGCGGATCCGTACTAGTACCTAGACTAGCTCGTGGTAGCGCGATGGCATCATCACGTGATGCTGCCCGAGCGCAGTGCTGGCCCCACTTTCGCGACCAGCCTCCCTCTCTGCCTCTCGATTCCCTCTTGTTGACGATTTAACGATGCCGACTACATATTATTATCGCAACATCGCAGCGTCGCAACATCTCGATTGCCATCCGCAACATACTTGGCTGCGTCATTCTCGCTCATCAAAGGTACTTGCCTGCTCCTACACGCCCGCTCATCTGCTGTCCCCCGGAGGTCTTAGTCAACGGCGCCCTTGATCAATCTACTGGCTTCTACTCATCGTCCACGGCCGGTGAAAGACCCAGGATCTTGGGAAGGTGCTCACTCCTTTGCAGGGGCCGAGTTGCCTGCTTGTCAAACTATTCCGCCTTGTGGCTGGCGATGTGGCCGGAGCGTGTGAGGGTCTGTCCGTCTCTTCAAGTCCTGCTGTCGACTGAGTCGTCCGTCCCCGTTCGGAGCTTACAACTCGAGAGTCAAGGCTGCTCTGCCGCCAGAAGCCTGGGTGGGAGGGTATCCTGCTTGACCAGGGGCTTCTGAAATCCGTGTCCCGTGCCCCCCGTTGAATACTAATCTTTTCGCAGTGACCATCGATCCATGGTCTCGTCGTCGCAGGCCACGACGGCCTCTGCTGATGCAAGCGACGACGATGCCAGCCTCGGAGTCGAGCACAAGGCGCACCCTGACAACGAATCCGTCAGTGCAAAAAAACTAGTCCAACATGAAAAGCACACCAAAATCGAGGCTTTGGTGACTTGGCTTGACGATGGCCAGTCGCGGAGACAACCTGGCCTGACGTTCGATCTGCAATTTCATGCGTCGTACAACACGGCCTTCTTCAAACTACGATCCTCAGTCCTTGCCAAGACCGGGTCCGCACCCGAGAAAATACCAATATTTCTATTCCTTGCACCAGAAATCATTCAAACCTTGTCTCTCTGCGACGACCATGTTCGAGAGCTAGGTCCCGACACCGTGTGCATCCGCTTCGGGCTGCGGAGCGCACCTTGTCTTGTGGTGCCCGGGGCTATGCAGACGTCCGAGATGGTCTGGAAGAACAAGGAATCGAGCGACACCTGGGATTCATTCTGCTCCTTGGCGCGCGCCACGAATCTGGAAGTCTTCTGCCGCTTATCGCGTCGCGTTATGTCCGAGGCTCGACTGCAGTCGCTCTGCGCGACGCTGTCAAAAAACCAAGTAGTTTCCACACCCGGCTATGCTGACCTCCTTGGTCTCTACGGCGGCAAAGGCGGAAAGGTGGTATGCTTCGCCGCTGATGCCAAGTCGAACAAGGTCCAATTCGACGAATCACCGCCTGCGTACCAGGACCTCGGGCCTGGTCCGCCCATGCCTCCGGTGCTCGAGGAAAAGACGTCTAAGCGTCGCAGAGGCAACTCGGGTTCTGAAGCTCAGCGGCCTATTCATAAGCCCAGAGACGATCTGGAGGCCACCGTAGCGTGGTTGGTAACCGAGCTCAGGGGCTCCAAGGACAGAGAGGCACTACTAGCCTCCGAATTGAAAGAACTCCATGCAAAGGTTGCGATGCTGATATCCCAGCAGGAAGATCACAAAGCAAAGTGCAAGATTCTGGAACATGACTTGCACGAACGCATAGGCGAAGTCGAGGCCGGACAAAGTGAATTGGATGAGGAACTTGAAATGAGAGTAGATAGCAGGATAGATGAGATACTCGATCAGAAGTCGGATAGCATCAAAGAAGAGCTACTCGACTTCATAGACGAGATCGTACCCAATAAAATACAAGGTGTGCTCGAAGAAGCCACCTTTTCTGCCCGCTTCTAAACATGGGACTCGCCGGGCAAGTGTGTATTTCTTAAAGGCTGCAACATATCATGACAGCTCTAGGCTGTAACACTGGCTCGGAGCTTCTTGGTCTTCACCACTAGCCATCGTGTGCGCAGCATGGTCCATTCGCGACAAAGTACAAGCATGCCTTGGTGCGCCCTTTCCTGTCTGTGGCGTTTCATTCCATGGTTTATATAAGCCACCTTTCATCTTCTCGCCGTATTGCTTCAAGTCCAAGTTCAACTCATCAGTGTGATAATCGTGATCATCATACGGAACGTGAAGCGGCTTAAGTTAACCCGGTATATGTGGTAGCGTCAGCTTCCGATTGAAACGGAAGCTATAAAGATATGCTTTCAACCCACGGATCGGTCTGGTGCCAACGTCGTGAACGCGGGAAAGGGCCAATGGCTCTAATATGCCAAAATGATGACATTTCTAGTTAGTATCCTCGGCTCTAGAGCAAGCATAGCTAGGGCAAATAGTCATTCGTACAAAGGAGGGGAAACCAAGAATAAGCTTAAAGAATCTAGTATTTCAGAGATCTATGTAATGGTAAAGACGTATAAGAGGAAAACGCAGGGTATCATGATGTTGCTTCACCCATCTTCGCCGTAAACCAAGCGACCAGGTGGTTCACCGTTGGATGATTCCATGTCAACGTCGGTGGCACCTTTACTTTCAACACTGTCTGTAGTTTCTGCCGCAGTGCGACAGTCATTACACTGTCGACACCGAGATCCGACACGGGCATGCGCGGGTCGATGTCCTCAATATCAGTAATCATGAGCACAGCGGCAATACACTCGCGAATTCTGGTCGTCAACCACTCCTGCAACTTCTCGGGCGTGTCGGGTACAGCGTCTTTCCTAGTGCCGCTGGCTATCTCCTCTGCGGAGCCACCGCTGGCGGTGCCGTCGCTTCTGGATCGTGGTTTTCGCACCACTACGTCTTCGAGCAAGGGTACCGCAACGGGCTCGCCTTCTTCCATCGCGAGGCAGCGTGTGACGACGGCGTTGTCGATGTCATACCGGCTCAAGTGCTTCCAGGCGCGGAAAGCGTCGGCGTCCGAGACATCCGTGATCCCTTTGCTCTGCAGCTCGACGGCGAGAAACTCGGATGTGCCCATGCCTGAACCGCGCCAAGCGGTCCACTGGAACGCTACAGAGTTGTCCCCCTGGTCCCGACGGTATGTCGCAAGCGCATCTAGGAAAGCGTTTCCAGACCCGTACGAAGCTTGCCCGGCCGTGCCGACAAGCTGGCCGATGCTGGAATAGAGAACGAAGAAGTCCAGAGTGCGCGGTGGGAAGGCCTCGTGCAATGCGAGGGCTCCTCTGACCTTCGGCGCAAGCACTCGTTCGAAAGATTCCCGGGAGGTCTCTAGCACCAAGCTATCCTCCAAAACTCCAGCCGCATGAACGACTCCAAGAACAGGGGGTAAGCTCATGTTGTCGAGGATTTCCTGTAGCTTTTGCGCGGCACCTTCGGCAGCGATGTCCAGCGCGACGGGATGGATGGAGGCACCCGCCTTTTCGAACTCCTGGACCAGCTGCACAGTTGCCGATAGCTTTTCGTCATTCACAACCAACTCAGGCCATTTTCGGCGAGGGGGCAGCCCTTGACGGGATAAAAGCACGATACGACGAGCGCCATTCTCAACCAAGAAGTTGCACGTCCGCAGGCCCAGAGCTCCAAGACCACCAGTGATGATGTAAGTGCCTTCAGGTTTGGGGAGCAGCGACTTCGACGACTCCGGCTCATGGCGCTGACTCTTCAGCAGGGGCCTCAGAATCGCGCGCCTAGGCATGCCATCGATGAACCGCAACACATCCTGATCCTGGACGTACTTCAAGGCCAGCGACGGCACGGTGTCCCGCTTGTCATTGTCGATGAGGCCCCCCCAGATGTCCGGATGCTCTGCCGCGATGATACGCGCAAGTCCATACAAGGCGCCGTGCGCGAGTCCGGTCGTTGTCTTGCCGGCAAAAACAGAGTCCGTAACGACAAATACCTTGCTAGTGCTCTCAGATCGGTCGAGAAGCAACTTGACGATGCTAGTAGTCTCCCAGATGAATTCCGTGGACTTAGTGCTCACTTCATTTATAGAATCCACTTGCCCGGGGATGTAGATAACTGCGCTGTCCTTCTGAGCCAGAGCAGCGACAACTTCAGGTCTGCCCATTTCCTCTGCGCTGAGGCATAATAACACCTGGCTATTCTCCGCCTGCAACTTCTCGAGATATCGGCTTGCAGTTGAATGATCGGTGGACACCACCACGACTTGAGCAAATCGTCGGGGCTTTTCCGAGAATTTGGGCGGTATCCAGTCCATGCGATGCACGAGACTGTCAACGCTACCACTAGCACCCACAGCGTCTTCGACTCCAGAGAATCTCATGGAAGTGAACTTGGCTAGCAGTAAGCCTTGCTCGTCCAGAACACTCACGTGAGAGGCTGGGCTTTGCGCATCAGTGGCTTCTTGAATGAAGAGATAGCCAATCTTGGGTGGGGGCTTTGATGAGTGGAGTGAGACACGATCGATCTGCGAGACAATCCTCAGCTTTGGCTCGGTGAAAAAGATGGACGATCCAACAGACGTCGCCGCATCGAGCAATGGTGCCCACGATTTTGGGTCCCAGCTCAGCTCCTGGGCCTCAGGGTCCATGTCGACTTTGGCGATCATTTCTTTCGCGTTGCCGTAGTGCTCTATGACTTGCCACGGGAAGGCAATGCCCTCCACGCCAATCTGGGTGAGATAGTCTACCGCGAAAGTGTTAGGCAGAAGGGTTCCAATGCGCTTCTTGATGGCCTCGACGTCGACACTCTGGGACAAGCTGGAATCGGCATCAGCCTTGCTCCAATGGCACGAGCTATGCGCGACCCAGTACTGCTCCGCATCCTCCGACTCCGCGATTGTGCTCGAGGCAACTTTGATTTGATGACCCTCGACGATAATCTGCACATTGCGGGTTTCCTCACTAACTAGTATCGGTCAGTCCATGGTTCAATTCGCCGGGAACAGAGTGAAAGATCGATACTTACTCGAGACCGGAACGTTGAGTTTTATATCCGAAAGCACCGTGGCACCAGTAGCAGAGTGGAAAGTGTTGATGTACACCGCAGCGGGGATGATCTCTGTGCCGTCCAGTGGATGGGTCCCGGGAAATGGTTTCACCTTGTCATCAAGCTTGGTTGTATACATCACGGTATCTGTGCCGCCCACGGTGATCCGCTGGCCAAGCAGAGTGTGCTTGTCTACATCATGAGTAATCTCTTGATTCAGCGGACCAGTTTCAACCTGCTTCCAATACGGCTTGTGGAGCCACGGGGTCCCCGGAACGGTTTGACACCACTGGCTCTCTTCTTTCAATTGTGCTGCGAAGTTGATTTCTGCACCACTCACGTAAAGCTGTGCGAGGGCGTTCCAGACACACCCAAGAGCTGATCTACCGCGCTTCATTGTCGGCACAGTGACGAAGTCTTCCTCATCGAGATTACCGGAGAGCAGTGTCTCATTGACAGAATGAAGCACGATGGGATGTGAAGAGACTTCAACGAATACTCGGTACCCATCGGCGGCGGCTGCATTGACTGCCGACTTTAGCAAGACTGGCCTAATCATATTGTTGACCCAATATTCTATATCCCGAAGAGCTGGTGTTCGTGGGTCCGTGTTAGACGTCGAGTACACCGGGATATTGGGGATTTGAGGCTTTAAGGACCCAGCTAATGCCTCCTTGAGGGGGGCTGCAAGCTGTTCGAGAATAGGGCTGTGGAATGCGATGTCGGTCTCGACTCGAAACGTTTTGATGCCCCGAGCTTTCTGTGTCTCTACATATTCCCGCACAGCCGTCTCTTCTCCACTGATGACGCAGGTCGAGGGAGAGGAATCGATTGCCGCACACAGATTTGCGTTGTTCGTAAGCTCTGCTGCAACTTCATCGTAGGGGCGGTTCACAAGTGCCATACCCCCAGTAGTCAATGCTCGAATAGTTCCGTACAGCTTTGCTCGGCGGATCACGATCAATGCTCCTTCTTCCGGTGTAAGGCAACCACCAACGACGGAAGCCGCTATCTCGCCCACAGAATGGCCAATCACGGCTTGAGGCTCGAGCCCCTTGGACCTGAGCACTTGGCTTAGACCGATTTGCATGGCGTAAGTCAGAGACTGGACGCGCTCCGATGATTCGAAATCGCCGTTTTCGAGAGCTTTGACAAGCGAAAAGCCAGCTTCTTTCAAGTATAACGACTCAAGTGTAGCGATAGCTTTGCGGAAAGCGGCATCATGTAGCAGTTCTTTGCCCATGTCCGTCCACTGAGCACCATGACCAGAGAACACCCAAGCGGCGTGCCTAGCAGGACCATTGCCTGCTTGGAGTACTCTTCCTCGAGCGCTGTTATCAGAGATCTCCTCAGAACCCGCCGCAAACCTTTCGAGTGCTTCCACGGCCTCTTCGTGGCTACTTACCGCGAAGGCGGCCCGATAGTCATGATGGGCTCGGCGTAGTGCTAGAGTACGCGCAACTGCTGCTAAGCTCGTGCTGCGAGCCTTGGGGGTATCGAGCCATTGCGAAAGCTTAAGAGCTTGCCCGGAAAGCCTTTTCTCCTGCGCCGCCGAGATGGTCAGGATGACAGGATGTGGCTCCTCTAGTCGAACTGAATCCAGGCGACTGGCGGCATTGTAGATAAACTCCTCGATGACGGCGTGCGAAACAGTTCCGCCGTATCCGTATGAGCAAATTGCGGCTCGCCTTGGTCCTGATTTATTGGACCAGTCCGTCGGTGCTTGAACGACATTGAGCCCCGAGTTCTTCCAATCGATGCGTGAATTTAATTTGGTCAAGTAGGCCTGTGGGGGTACCTTGCCATGCTTCATCGCCAGGATTGCTTTCACCATGCCGATTGCACCGGCTGCAGCTTCCAGGTGGCCGACATTCGGCTTTATGGACCCAACCATGACAGGCTCATCGAGTGGCCTCCCTGACCCTGCACCGTATACGGCAGAAATGGCGGATATCTCCGTAGGATCTCCCAGTGGCGTGGATGTTGCATGTGCCTCAACATAAGTCACTGTGTGTGCATCGATACCAGCTCGATCGAGGGCTTGTCGTGCCACAAGCTCTTGTGCTTTTGCGTTTGGTGCCATAATGCCATTTGTTTTCCCGTCTTGAGCGACTGCAGTCCCTTTGCATATGGCGAGGATGTTGTCCCCATCAGCGATGGCAGCGGAAAGACGCTTCAAGATGACAACGGCACCACCTTCACCTCGAGCATAACCGTTGGCTGCATCATCGAATGAGCGGCATATGCCGTCAGGACTTAATGCTCCAGCCTTGCCCAACATGCGTGTCAGTCCTGGGGCTACTAGTACATGCACGCCGCCGACAATGGCAACACCAGACTCTCCGTTCAAGATGGCCTGGCGACCCAGGTGGATGGCCACGAGCGACGAGGCACATGCTGCGTCGACTGCTACGCTAGGACCCATGAGATCGAGGTGGTAGGAAATCCGGTTCGGCACTCCATGAAAAGCGGTGCCAATACCCATCCAGGCCTCGATATTAGGCAGGTCTTCTATCAACAAGCGAGAGTAGTCATCTGTATCAATGCCCATGAATACGGCTGTGTCTGACCCGCTAAGGCGCTTGGGGTCAACTCCGGCATTCTCGAGAGCCTCCCAACTCAGCTCCAGCGCCAGGCGCTGATGCGGATCCATCTGCTCTGCCTCTTTGGGAGAAATACCAAAGAACGCAGCATCGAAGTTCTCGAGGTCCTCGATGAAGTAACCTCTGTCAATTGTTTTCTCCAGTTCACGGGCATTGCGAACATCACGGCGTACTATGTCATGGGATTAGCGTTCAACTTTGGAGGAGAGGTGTCCGCGAAGAGGTCTGGTGCGATACACCTGAGCTCGAGCGATGACTTACACCATGGCTCCCACCTCCAGCGTGGGACCTCACCCGAGGCACTCTTCTGGTCCATCAAAAACTCCCATAGTTTCTCGGGCGTGTTGTTGCCTCCAGCCGTGCGGCAGGACATGCCAATAATAGCTACATCGTCTCGGCTTAATGAACCTACGCTGTCAATGCCAGAAAATGCATGTTCAGTGGTATCAGAGGCTGAATCAAGCCTTTCGCTTGAGTTGCTCGACATGACACGGTTTGGAGTCCATCTACCGGACAGAGCGTGGTTGGCCAGAGCAGAAACGAGACGATCAAGAGATATCGAAACAAGATAAACGCAGCGTATACGGGACCGTGGTTCATGGATTGGGTCCCGACGCAAGTATATTTGCACCTGATATACTAAGAGTTTACTCTACCTATGGCATTAGTTCGAGACCCCTCCGAAGCTAAGCCCATGTGCCAAGCATGCATACTTACTCCTCTTATCTTCGACTCGCGATTTCCTAAATGGGTCTCTTCTTATAAACGAAATATCCACGTGTTTCTTTCTCACGTCACAGTCACAGACATCCACGCGGCCAATGAAACCCAGGTAATATTATTAATGATTATTGATAAGTTTCAGTGTTAAACCTACTATATGTGAAAAAGATTTGACAGGGATGATCGTTCAAACCTCATTTTGTGAATGGGTCATCCTAAATCGCCGTGACGGATGTCATCGTACAACGCATGCAATACTTTAGAGGACCCAACGGGCGTCTGCGGAGCTTGTAGCGGATTCTCACGAAGCTAACCATTCCATAATGGGCGTTGACCTATAGGAACGATAACCGTATAGTCATTTGCGAATGGCCTATGCCTTTATTGTATCGTCCACCCGTCTGGGAGGCAATGGGTTAAATAACATCATGCATACAACCGCCGTAAGCGAGTTAGCAAAGATGACCAAGGGTCAAAATCACGAGAGACCGAAAAAAGCTCCACGAAACTACCATGGTAGACACGATCGGTCATTCATAAACCGACTCTATCCGGCCAAGTCGAGAGTCGTCCTCTTCATCAGCCTTAGGGTTTACCTGGCTGGCTTTCTACGGAACTACCAACGGGAACTCCTCTAGTGGTAGCACGCCAATCTGCTATCATGCGGCCCGAACCGATTACCATACCACCGGCTCATAGTGTACGATTTTGACACAGACCCGTTCTCTGTCATCTGTCAATTGCGTTATGTTTGAAACTAAACGCATTAGAGAGGACCTCCAGATGATTCCATTTCTTTTATCAGTGCAGGGTATCCATGCAACCACGGGCATGAGGTTTTTTTTAACGCGAGCAAGGCACGTGTCTAGAAGCCTTGGTCCGTTCGTCCCAATGGTCCCCCCACCCAGAGCCTCGGTGTTCCATACATCCATCCTGAGATCATCAATACAAAGTCGTCGAGCTTATCAAAACCCGGTACATTGGGCAACCATCGCCGGGTTTTAGCATGCGCCCCAGTGGCTCCATGGGTGTGGTAGCTCATGAGCCCTTGCCGCGCTAGTGCCTGAATCGCATGGCAAGCGCGTCGTAGCGAATGCACTATGCAAACTCTATTGCCGGCTACACAATCACAGGCCACTCTCCCAATAGGTAACGTCGTCTGAACGTGTTTTGCGGTTTTGGGTCTTCAAAGGACCCGGGGCACGGGCAGGCGAGTGACAAAAGAATTAGCAACATTGGAAGGTTAGGGGGAAAAATGGTTACTGGCCGCTGCGCCCAGCCTTGTGCCACATATCCGAAGGTAGACAGACTTATTATACTGACATTAAACTAACAGTTAGTCTAGGTTAAATTAGGCCCGCTAAATGCGTCACCCACTTACAGTAGTCACCTAAAGTAGTCCATGACGATTTTGGGAATCCAACGAAGGGCCTGCACGCGTGTGGGACATTTCACATTGGGACCCATGGAAGCACAATCAGGCGACTAACTTGCGGTGAAGGTTCAAATCCTTCGCAAATGTCGCTATATATGTGGATTCTACATGATATCGCTTGCCAGCCACAAGGGCCAACATGTAGCAGCGAGATGGGGCGGCGGGGCGATACGTGCTCGTTAGTGGAAACTATAATGACGTTAGTTTCCTTAGTCAAATGACAAATGGGGGGACGCGAGTGAGAGATCACATTTGCGCAAAATGCTCTCGGCAGTTGGCATTTTACATCCGCCGAGCTGTCCATGGAGATTCTTTTGGCAGTCTGCGGCAACGTTGACGAGATCGCATGCCGCCCGACGAGGAAAACATCGAAGAGCGCTGCGGTCGAACTTTCTATAGGCCTACGCCCGAAACCTGGGTCATGTAACAAGACGAATGAGGGGGTTTGATCGTTGGACTAAACAAGGGCTAGTAACATGGGCAGATTCTATGTAAATCAGCTGCAAACAAAAGACTCCGTCGTCATGCATCTTCCACCACCTCTGTCGTTACCGTGACCGAAACTTGCGCATTCATGGATAAATCCCGGAATTCGCTCCATGACGTCTTGTCAGTCGAGTTAACCCAGCCGACCTCGATCTCGCCGCAGCACACCACAAATATCTTCGGCTTCCCGTGACTGTCCATGATCTCTACCGCTGTCGGGCTCACAAGGTTTTCCAAAATGGTGCTCCGTTCGGACTTCCCGCTGCCTGAGTCGATGTCTAGCTTCCACAGCAACCCGTCCATGTAGCTTGCGGTATACGCATTCTTTGTGTCTTGGCTAACGGCCAATCCATCACAATGAGGTATGTCGTCTGAAATGACCTCGATCGGCCCTGCCATCTCAATGCCGCCTTCTGTGTGACGGAGAGGGAACCGATTCAAGGTGCCGGCTCCGTTGTTCGTGAACCAGATAAAATCGTCAATTAGTCGCAACCGATTGATTCCATAGGGGCTCTCGTCGACAGGACGTAGCGCATCCTCTTCTACCAGTACCGATGTCTCGCCGCTCAAAATGTCAAACCGAAGAATAGCCCCTCGAAACGAGTCCGCGATCAACAACACGCGCTCCGACGCCGCAATCACCCCGATTGCCGCTGCAGCATCCAGTTCGGCTATTCTCCGGACCTTCGGATCCTGACCATCCTCCAGTGTTACGTGCCATGCGACGTGGTTCGAGAAATGAACAGTGGCCAGGTCCAGCATGCCGGTAATTACGACGTACTCATCGCTCTTCCCCTTTATTGGGCACAGGTTAATTGCCGAGTTGGCGTCGTCGAATGTGTGCAGCAACTGTGGCTCTGCGTCCTGGTCCTCCGCATCCAGTGTGTACAGCTCCGGCTGGTCTAGTCGTGTGATGAGAAGCTGACCGTTCGGCCGCTGAGCGAAACCCTCGAACCACGCGTCTGAGGGTAGCTGTGTGAGCAGGACCACGTCTTCTGTCATGGTGTATTAATACCAGCTCCCATGCCAAGTAGCAAGGCGCTGTCAGTTGAATTGTTCCGTGCGCGGCGAGAAATTATGCTTTTTCAAAAGAAAAGCAGCGAGAGGATCACTCCTTCAAAAGTACCGTGTACCTTACATATGTGAAATAAAAAGAAAAGTACATAGCGTGGCATCGAGATAATCAAGGTTAGTCTGGCGGGAAAGCCGCGGGCCGGCCAACGCACAGGCTCTGGGACCCCACAACCGGCACCTGAACTGTGGTAATCCGTACTCCGTCCCAGGCCTTGGAAAGGGCAGTGCGTCGAAGGGCTTTTCACAGGGGAGGCACAAATCGCTGAGCAGGCCGTCGACGTGCACCGTAGTAAGAGAAGAATAAAAACACCCCTGCCATTAGCTGAATATCTGCCCCGTAATCATTTCTTGCCCTGCTTGTAAAACACCCTGCTCTCTAGTCGTCGCTAGTTAACCTTACTTGGGTTTATCTAGTAATCGATAGAAGTGCTCGGGTCAAGTCAGTGTGTAGCTTGATTCGGGCTTCTTGCTGTATATGTCGTGTCCGTGCTCCGTAGATCCGTATTGATGGGCTAATAACTGGACTGCGCTCAATCCAGGGGACATGATAGAACGCACAGATGTCGGAATACTGCACGCTATGCGATCCGATCTGCTTCTCCTTGTCCTCACTAAACATGTTATCCCGCCGCCTGCGCCTCTTGCCGTAAGTTTTGGTGTTTTACTTTGCAACATCTATGTCTTGGTTTAGTCTTTCTTCGCGCGTCTCACATGTGCTGAAACGATCAAACTGCCGGGACTTCGAAAATAACATTGCTAGATTTGTAGACAATGCAGCTCTCCGTTTCTCGCTGATCTAGCATGGCTTGAATAACACTTGTCTCGAATACCTCCCATTCATACAACTCGAGGATATGCGGTCCACCAACACCTCCAAGGGAGAATATGATGAATTCTAACGCATCTTTCCACTGACAGAGGTATGAATATCAATCGTAACAGACCGCGAAAGCGCTACGGGGTGTCTTGGGATACCACAACCGAACAATCTTGGCTCCCGCTGTCCCCGGGCGGGCCGTTCATGAAAACCGAATGCTTAAAGACTGTGATTTTCTTTCAGGCCTAGCACCCGCCATCGCTGCTATTGAGGGGTATAGAAGGGACGAGTGATAAAGCAGTGCCACTGTGGTAGGATAAGTCAAGTGAAACTGGGTAGACACTAAGGCTCCGGCCTGATCCCGTCTTGTATTGGTACAGGGTACAGGGTTACTGAACTAGGCCGAGGGGTACCTTACAATACACAACTCGCGTTTGCTGTTATTGTCATGCCAGTGTAGACGTCCAGCACGCTCATCGCAGCCATCCGCTAGTCCAAGGAGGAATACGTATCTTGGCCGTTTGAGACATATCAATCTACTAAATTCTAGTCCACCAGGTAACGACTCACTTAAGTTACTGATCTGCGTTGGCCTACGCCAGACCTGGTCGGAGACTGTCGGATTCACGAAGCACTGCTGGCCAAACCATGGCCAGAATGGTAGGCTAGAGGTGCTGCCGGCCGCCCATCTATCCTTCTTATGACCGTGGACTATCAAAGCATAATCCATGAAAATACATGGCAAGCCGCATATGAACCTGCCGAACCATCTTCTCCGTCCGATCGTCCCTTTCCCCTTTCTTTTCCTTTCCTTCATTCTTTTTTTTGCTTCTCTCTCCTCTCTCCGCCCTTCCACCACACAAAGAAGCTGGTCATTCATACTATAAGTCAGAATGCTAACTCTTTTCACCATGCTAACACTACTATCTTATTGTCTCCAATATCCGCTACAATATACAACTTATTACGAGACAGAGAATCCACGTCGACAAGCATCATAGCATGCGAAACGCCGCCTCAAACTTTGGCGAACTATATTGTTTCTGCGAAGCCAGGATTGCGCTGCCCAAGAAATATCTACATCATTTCCAGAGGACGGGGCCTGGCGCTCTCACGATTTTCCATGGTGAAATGATTGTTATCAACGGTATAAACTCATACGGGACCGTTCACTGAGCATGCATACGAGACCAAGTCTGGCTACCGGGGCTTCCGCAACACCGCGGCCGGTGCTACCTCAGCCATGACGGCAGTAACGTTGAGGTTATAGACAAAACTTTGGAGGGGGGGGGGGCGTAGCTCAGGGTTTGTTTATAACCTATGAACGGTAGGTAATAGTTGATTTGCGATGATGCACAGTATTTGACCATTGCAAGAAATTATGTTCATATTCGATATCAACATGGACACTGATGTGGTTCATATTATGACGATCGATTGGCTGTCATACGTATTTGGAGTAGCGTAATGTATTGCCCATAGGATGGCTACCATTTACGAGACACTGCGCCGAGAAATCATTGGGCTATAGTAATGGGCTTGCGCTCCCAAGTCTCGTTGGATCGGCATGTACAAACTATGACCAGTAAGGCTTGGCATTCTCTTAGCAGGGTCGGGAGCGCCCGAATGTGGGCATTCCGCGAATGCAGCCGGAGAGCTTTACTTGTCGCCCAGGTTTAGACGTTGTAAGCCGCAAGAGGCTGGCTGAACTTGACCCAGTGCGCGTAAGTCCGACACCATCTTAGTCAGCTTGAATTTGAAGTCATGGTTAATCCATCTCACCTCCGCCACCTTTGTGACTTTCTTTGGTCGACGACCAACTTCTCCGTGTCTAGTCTTCGGCATTCCCGACTGTCCAACAAAACAAGTGAGTGTGTTAGGTGACTTTGCCGCTACATCTTACGTCGGTTTAGTCGTCGAGCATAATCTGGTCATGGGCCTACTGGCACGGTTTGCGCAAGTTCAACTTTTTGCCATGTATTGAAGAATGAAATTGTCGAATAGCTTGCGATTAACGATGGTTATATAATCTGTGACTGAAAGTATCTACTTTTTGGTTGTATTTATGGTAACCTTCGAGAAGCCGTATCCATCTGCTTCTATCTACCATTATATGCAGCTTGAATTTATGTTTCTTTATTTTTAATCGGCTGGGGTCTCATTTTCACCGATGTCTTGATAGCTAGTTCTGACTAATTTCCACCGTATACTATTAGAAAGGCGCTTGAGGGCATCTCCGTAAAGAAGTAGCCTGCGTGTAAGATGGATGACATCCCTATGTGGTCCGCACCTCAGCCTGTTGTAATGCACGTCAGCGCTCTTAGTAACGTCCTAGACATACGCCACAAAGTCTTGCTGAGAGCTGAGGGTGGTCATATTCGGCTTCATAGGGTATCCAAAAGGCCACTATATATGTATATATAGAGCCTTGAGGAGCGCATATTTCATACGAAGTCTGATAATCAAATTCATTAACGCTCAAGGTCGCTGTTTCTTCAAATATTGAGATCTAGCAAACGATATGGATCCAGGCTTGAATGTCGATCACAATGTTGCGCGTTGGGAAGCGCCTAAACACCCAAAGTCGGCTATCAATGAGACACTACGTATGTACTACATCAAGGCCAATGCATCTACTGTCGAAGAACACCCGAAAATCTTCAACCCGGCGAATGGAACCTACGAGGTAGACCACTTCCTCGCGATCTCCTTCGTCTCGCAGCTAATCTACCAACACTACGATTATCTAAACGCGCCGTGGGGCGAGTTTGCGCTGCTGTCGCAGCACCTAAACCACCCGTGCAACCTCTACCGTCTTAACAAAGACTTCAACCAGAGCATTGGTCGTTTCACTGTCGATCAATTTGCCAACTCGGCACACCAGGACGCGGACATCCGCGAATACCTTGACAGCCAGGTCCGCCGGCCCAAGACGGCGAATGACGGCCACCGTTTGGTTCGAGCCGACGGAACCGTGACGGCGGGTACCGTTCGCGACAATGTTTCCATGCTACTTACGGGGATGCAGAATGCTACCGGCCCGTACGCGAAGTTGACCAAATTCGTGGGGGCACGTTTCGAGGCCTACCTAAGGCTCCAGGTCAACCCAGCGCCGCAAAACAAGCCAAGCGTTGCTGATACAAATAGCGTGGGCGGATTTGTAGAAAGGCAGTAAACTCTTGTAGGGCTCGTATGGAGCGTAAGGGGTTTCTTAGAAGGACTGGGCCCTAACATACTCGAAGCGGGAGGTTGGCGACCAATACAATGGAAAGGGACGCGTTAACTAGCAAAATATATGGTCGCAATCTTCCAGGCTCTCTTACTGAGGATGCTGTGGAAAGACGTTGTCAACCGATTTCATTGAGTATTGATCAATTTACGGTCCTTATGGTCTTTTGTCGTTGTATTATTTTTCTAATGCTTGTAAACTGTCCATTATCGGTGACATAAGTTGAATATGCTGCTTTACACCAGATATGCATACGTCTACTATGTATCTCTCTGTTCTAACCTCGTCGTGAAAAGGGTTAGAATAGGTACTATGAAAGGCACAATAACGCTTGGCGTAGGGTCTTTACAATGTTTCGCACATGTACTACTTTTGCTTGATTTTAGGTGCTATCAATCGTTCAGAGCTCGGCCGATGAAATGGGGTACACCCGGTCGCTAAGAAGAAGATTTTTGTACTTGATATTAAAAGCATGATATTTTTGTGCTAAAGCTGATTTAGGAGTGGCTTGAGAATCCAGATCGGGATTCGTCAAGCTGTTTAAGCATATACACAATATGAAATAAGGATGCTCCATTGGCCGAATATCCGACATTAGTCTCTGCTTGAAAGATTTCTCGATACTCCCGTCGAGTTCTTTTCGAGTTTCGAAGCTATATGATACCTAATTCATGTTTCAAAATCTCCAATTAAGCTTTAGTGCAAATTGAATCTTCACACTATAATGTTTTTCCTTTTTCGATGACGATGGAATACTAATAATACAAAATTAAATAAAACAAAGCTATATGGGCGGTTGGAACCGAAAAGTCTATTGTATGCTTTCCTTGATCTGATTGGATGGCTAATCGTGGGCCATATTAGTCGTGCAGACTGTGTGATGTACATTTTGTCACTGCTGACTGTTACTGCTGCGGCGTTAGCGAATGTAAGTTGAGGCAGAAATGGGGAGAGTGGGTGGGGGGAAAGTGCCCAAAATTGAGCTGCTACTCGAGTGCACTGGGGCCACTAATACAAGAACGAAGAAAAGCTCATACGGAACCAACTAAATCCGACTTATTTCGTCTGAGGGCAGCGACCAGTGAGCGTCATGTGATGTTTCTGATCGAGACATTCCAGGTTTGCTGGCAAATGTAGCCTAGAACTGAGCGGCCCGTCACGGCCCGCATGCATTTGTTTGTTAGAGATTAATAATACACGGTGATTTCAAATCGTATTTAGAACCCCCTCTACTTCATCAGTAATCGATGAGCACACAGGTTCATACTATAATACCAACACGCTATTGATGTTCCAACGTCAAATTATTTGTTCCTCTCTCTTTATCTCTTTCTCCTAGTATTATTCGTTTGCACACACAAATACAGAGAAATATAAACATACACATATAACACACATTTTTACAATGTCTGGTCCCATCGTGCTTATCTTAGGGGCTGGAAAAGGCGTCGGTTTGGCGTCCGCCTCCTATTTCGCAGCGCAAGGCTACCGCGTGGCAGTCGTGTCTCGAAGCATCTCGGCAGATGCATATCCATCTTACTTGACGATCAATGCCGATCTGGCTGACCCAAAGAGCATCGAGCCAATCTTTGAACGGGTTCGATCCAGTCTGGGCGAGCCAAATGTTGTTATTTACAACGGTAAGTCAGCACTTTCTACGTCCTCTTGTCACTTGAGAACGAGGAACGGGTTCTATCGATGTGTACATGTTTGCGTGCGTGCGTGTATGTATGTGTGTGTGTGTGTGTGTGTGTGTGTAACAGAATTAGTCGAGCAAAGCAAGGATACACTGCTGATTCCCTGTAGCTTCTGCTTGGACACCACCGGTCGACCACCTTCTCGACTTAAAGCTCGAGGCTCTGCAGGCGTCGCTGAATATCAACCACGTCAGTGCGGTTGTGGCAGCTCAACAGGCTGTACTCAGTTTCTCCCGCATTCCAGATGGAGGGAAGAAGGTCTTTTTGTTTACGGGTAACCTGTTCAACGAGCAGGTCATACCTCGGTTCTGGTCTATAGGCGCAGCGAAGGCGGCCACGGCTCATGTGATTATCGCTGCTGCTGCATCGTACAAGGAGAAAGGATACAGGCAAGTTTAAGCCATGTGGCCTCTCAAGTCTACAAATGCGTGATGCTAATTTCCTAATAGATTCCACTATGTCGATGAAAGGACTGATGAGGGCTATCCGGTATATTCTGATGTTGACGGAGAGGCACACGCCAATATCTTTTATAAGCTTGTCGAGAATCCAACGGACCAACCCATTGTTACGTTTAGCAAAGGCAAAGGCATCCATGACTTTGGTTTCGTGCTTTCGAAAGAGTCGGTGAAATAATTTCATTGCTGGGGACTCGTATATCGAGGGTATGCAGATTGCTAATCTGGAGAACGCTAGCCTACCGGTAGCAGCTTTAAGCGGCCTTGCACAGAACAGAACGGTGACTATTTAGCTGTGATACGTTGGTTAGATTACCCTATAATTCAAGTTGCTTAGAAAGTGTTTTGTATTTATTACTATCCCAATCACTAGTGTTATAAGCGGTCTTTAAAATCCTGCGATGCAGAGTTCGTGGAGCACTTGATTAAGAATGAGGTGTTGTCATTAGTTGACGAACAAGGTATTGTGCGACGCTGCCCTGTTGTAAGGCAGGGTTTAAAAGCAGGATATATGATAGGGACTTCGTCGTGAACATAAACATCTTAGCCTCGTCAATGTTTATAACATGCGTCTATCATTTGTATAATGATCAAGTATAATGAAGAGTGCACATGCATTTTGGATGGTTTAATCTGTGGTCTTGATTGTGGCATTGAAGGCAGACTGTTGACCCGATGGAATCAGTCCAAAGATCGACTCTGTCTCGGCTGGCATACGAACAGGCCGTCCACGCCGACCACCAGAGATGTGCATCGCTATGAGAACCAGCGTCTCTGCGATTATCCTGCGTATGTAATGTGGTTTAAGCGATCCTTACATTCCTACTGGTGTTGAATCACGTTATGTTTAACAGTGAGGCTTATCAGCAGCTAACCGTATGGAGCAATGGAAGATACCCCTTGGAGTAAGTGGGGCAGTAGGTTAGTTGAGACTTACTGCAGGTGCCCCATCTCGCACATCTACATAGTACGTGGGTCAACCGCGACAGCAATTCTTAGTGGTATGCTATTTTAAACATGCACGGTGCAGTGGGCCAACTCGCTGAACTTGTGCGCAAGCATCGTCAGAGGACAGCTGTCTTACTATACATAGAAAGGCCCCTGGCCAGCGGCCTGAACTAAACTAACCTAAGTGGAAATGCAAAACCCGTTCACAGCGTCTTCCGGCTGTCCCCGTCCTGTTATCTCATTGTCTCTTCCGAATCCATACTCACGGACGTAGCCCTCTTCCTTCAAGCCCATTGCGCTCCAAAACTCAATGAAGTCATTCAAGATCACGACTCCGGCCTTGTATGAAGAAAAGAGAAGCGCGAGGCTCCCGGATGACAGACAATCTCGTAGCAGCTCGTGTCGTACTTGTCGGGACTTGAGAATCAGATGTGATCGAGGACTGCCATGCTCAAATTGCCGCCGTAGGGGCTGGCGCGAGTCTTGCCATTACCGTACCGGACGCAAAGGCGTCCAGCCCATTCCATGCGACAGCGATCAGCAGCAGCCACATCAGACACAACGGCAGCCACAGGAAGGGCAGCACACACAGCAACAGCAGCTGCTGCATCTGTCTGAAACTACACGAGCACCAGCGGGGGCCACTGAAGAGATGCTTGCCCTTCGCAGTAGAATCGAACAGTTGGAGATGGCTCTTGGCCGGGCTTCATGTCCATCGACTAGCAGTGAAACAAGTCGCCCAGGCGGTGGACCAGAAACCTCGTCTCAAGTTGAAGCCGATTCTAGGCCACAGCGTAGCGTACCGAAGATTTTTCTTCGAGAATCTGCGGGCGAAGTCCAATTTATAGGCAGCACTCACTGGGCGTTTCTACTCAGGGAGGTTAGTGCTTTCTTCTCGTTGCCTATTCGCAATAGGCTAAAGTTCCTCGCGAAGACCCAAGTCTACCTTGTTTACTCATGTCATGCTAATGACTGTTGCGCAGTTCCCCTACCTCTCTCAGTTTCTGGCCAAAGATACGGCATTTCGTCACAGTCAGACCGCCCTCTTGCGCATTGAATCCATAATTGATGCTAACTGTACGACTCCTTTGACAATGACATTTCCATGCAATATCGAGACTCGTAGGCGCGATTTGTTGAATTGTTTCCCTGATCAAGAGACCGCAGAGTCACTCACTGCAAACTATTTTCGGTCCATTGGATTTGTTCTGCCAGTCGTGCTTTGCACGTCTTTCTTCCCAGTGGACAAGTCGCTGGCAATTTGTAACGGAGCCGAAATGCTATGGCTTCTCCAGCTGACAATGATATTCGCCTGCGGGTTTTTGATTGATGGAGTCCCAGACGGGCTAAGATTGAGTCTCAACGCACGACAAAATAACGCCAAGAGACTCGTCAAGATTGTCGAAACAATCATACTCAACGATAGCAGTTTTCGAAAACCAAGCATCATGCTACTGCAAGTCTTACTGCTTCTGATATCAGCCAAGATCATGTTGTCTGTCGTCGACGGACCAGATGGTCTGTGCGGTTTACTGGGGATGGCTGCGAAGCTGTCGTTTTCATTGGGCCTTCATCGAGATCCAGCCTGTTTCGACGGACTGTCATCATTTGATATGGAGCGTAGACGACAGCTATGGGCTATTCTTCGCTTCATGGATTTGGACTATTCCATGCAAATGGGCGTCCCACACCTCATCAACGATGATGAGAGCGACTGTAGGCTCCCTTCTGCTAGCCTTGAGGAGCGCCTTACTCTCATGAGAAGTCCCGAGGCTCTTGGACATCGATGGTCTGATGATGATACCAGAGACAAACTCCTTCATAGCTTGGCAAAGCTGACTTGCTGTTGTGCAAAAGTGCACACACTCATCACGGCAACAGGACTGCAATCATCATTGGACGTCGCAAAAACGCAGAAGGCCATGCTCAAATGTGAGCTGGAAGAAGCCAGAAGAGTCTTGAGCCATGCCATATTATTTGAGCGTGAACGATCTTTGTCCCCATCATCACAGTACTTTCCCAACCCAGAATTTGTTCGGCGGTTCTACGAGGTATTCTTCAGTACCATGTATAACCGGATGTGTACTGTTTTATACCAGCCTTTCTTGCTAGAAGATTACAATATGGACGTGGCCTGGCCAGAGTTTTTAGGTGCAGCGATGTCTATCCTGACTGACCAACAGCAATTGACGACATGGTATCCATACACAGTCAGTGAGTGGTGGAGTCTCGGACAGACATTTTGGAAAAATGACGTATGCCGCGCCATCTTCTGCCTTTGCCACGGTGTTTGTCAGCGGCAGTTAGCATCTCTCAGACTGCCAGCAACTGTTCAACACACACCAACAAACATTGCTATACTTGGTGCCATAGCAACAGCTAAGGAATCGTGGACTCGTAACATTCCTCTTGGGATCAATTATGTGAAATCATATAAATTGATTTGTGTTGTCGTTGCTTCGACTCAGGCAGTTGTGCACAATGAGCCCAAGCTTGCGAGGATGGTTCAATCTGCAAACGAATCGATGCAACTGGCACTGAGTACGTTACAGTCATCTCTGGAGAATGACCCTGTTGATTACAATACAAGCCACACTACGAATAATTATAGCGCTGATTCGTTCAACTGCATTGGCTTCGATCGTCGTAGTGCCGACGCTCAAATGCACGACATCACTGGCAATGACGATTCGATATTTTTTTCCAATACCCATGGCACGCGGGAAGTGTGTGGATTGAACGACTGGTCGCAGATGATATCTTTGACTGAGTTTCCTGAATGGGTATGTATTTCATGCACGTACATAATTATTCGAGGACTAACCAAATGTGTTCAGGAGTGGTTTGACCAGCTCAATTGGAATTCCAAGCCAAGTCTGTCCACTAGTCAAGAAACAGGCATTTGAAGACGTTTCAAGTGAGACGCAATGAATAGTCCTGTAGATAATGGACAAATCGTGAGGTTGGTATGACTCCTCCATGTGCAAGTGAAATAAGATGGAGATCCGGGCTACGCTCCGAGTGAACAGATATTCTCCGTCCGGAGAGAATCTCGGCCGATTCGCCGCATATCTCGATCGACATTTGGTAGTCCTATTCTCTCAGAATTAACATTATTTAATTTGCGAATAGTCAAATTTTTTCTAGTTGTTGGGACTGCACTTTTGTCGATTTTCACTGCGCTTAAACAAATTTTGATTTTGGTATCATACGAGTGCAGCTTTTGCGCCCATAAGTCTGCGCTTTTCGGGGTGGCGCAGTAGGTAGCACTATGAGTATCCTTTCCATTCCTTTCTTCACTGGACATAGTATGACATCCACCACCTTCAGAACAATATCCTATCAAATTCTCCTGCTGTAAATACCTTTTGACAAAACGTTTTTCCTTGCCGCTCTACATACTGCCTGAATCACGATGACTTCACCTACAATCAAATAGATCATGAAGGCTCGTTTTCCCGGTTACTTTTGGGCACCTAGCTGCCACACATATAACGGGTGTTGTTGATCCATGCCAATGTAACAACTAGGGACACATTAACCAAGCAGGAATTGATCTGCTCATGCTTTCACCAGAATTTTCCAGCCGACTTTCAGAGTCCTGGTACTCAAGAGGAAGAGAGCGCCCGAGAGAACTGTGAATGCACCCCAGAGCAGAACCCCCCAGTACACATTTCGATCTGGCGTTGATTGTGAATCAATTATGACTCCACCAATTGGGGAACCAACGAGAAGCCCAAGGCCGCACATGCAGAGCGTCATACCAATTCTCACTCCGGCCTTTGACAGGTCAGGTGCAAGCCAGACAACAACAGACGGAATTAGAGCTTGTGCTGAACCACTGAAAAATCCAAACAGAATCGAGATAATAATCAAGCCAGTGAGAGACTTTACTGCAAGCCAAAAGAACAAGAGGATGCCACAGATCAATGTAGCTGGCAACATGACATTGATGTTTCCAATTCTGTTTAAATTATTTTAGCTACTACTGTTTTCATACTGAATTGCTCGTGATCTGAGAAATAGGGCAGAATATCTTACCGGTCGGCAAAGAAGGGTGGAAGCACACGGCCTGGTATACTTCCAGCGCTCATGATGATCAGACTATAAAACGCCATATCCTCATCAATACCTATACTGATGGCGTAATCAGTTATGTAGAAGAAGGGTATGTAAAGCCCTGTGTATGTAAGAAGCATGGCTTATGGTAAACGAGCATTAGCTTCATCAAAGCAGGGACGTGCACAGGATATATACTTACAAAGCAAAAACAAGGTATAAGGAGTGTCGCGCAGTGACTCAATATCAACCAAGGGTCCGAGTTTCTTGGGGGGTAATCGTGGACGCAGTAGAGAAACTGAGATTGCAAGTGTTCCAAGGACGATGAAACCCATGGCTCGAACGGCCCAAGGAAATCCGACTTTGACGATGAGATTACGGATCACAATGGGGTATATTATGCCACCTTGAGTGTGTCGCTCAAGTTAGCATCTGAGGTTTGGGACTAGCAGCCACGATAAAACTTGCCTATTGAGCTACCTGTAGCCGTCCAGCCCATAGCGTAGGAGCGTCGAGTCGAGAAATATGTGCCGACGATGGTGAACGCGCAAACCAAGAAGCAACCAGAACCAATGCCGACACATATACCTTGGGACAGTAGGATTTGATAGTATTCCGTTCCAAGTGATGTCATCATCATCCCAAATACCTGAAATATGACTCCCGCTGCGGCAAGAGCGTAAAAGTAGCCCGCATCTAGAGCCCAGCCACAGAAGACAGCAATTATTAGCATCAAGAATCCCTGGATCGATCCAATCCAAGCGATGTCCGCAGGAGTTTTATGCGACAGAATTGTCGCTTGATAATATGCTTGGAAAACACCAAATGCATTAATCAAACCCCTGGAGAAGTTAGACGACAGGTGCCATTTTAGATCGATTTTCGGCTCGCTCATCTGTTTATGGCGACTGCAGAATCGGAATTCTCGCTCTCGACGTACCAGGTATTAACCATGAGAAAGAAGCCCCCCACTACTTGCGACCAGGCTTTCCATCCACCATTGGGAGGCGGACCAACGGCTGGCTGACCTGTGAGAACAGGAGTGGTGTTCGATGGAAGTTCTTTTGAGGCATCTCTCTTGTCCTCAACGGAGGAATTCTCGTTGTCGCCCAGAGAGGCCATTCTTGCTGTGAAGATGCCGGCCGTGTCAACGCGATAGGTATGATTACTTTTGATACACGACGGACTCGATCAGCCAACTTTCAGACATAAATCTGATTTGAACGGGGGATCTCGGAAGCAAAGATGCTTGTATCTTCGCCAGTAATATATGCGATGGCAGATGTGGAAAGGGGAAACAAATTCCCAATGAGCTTAGCAATCAGAAATGAGAAATTCAAATCCTTTGGCAATCATAATTGACCGAGGAGGATACTCCGCGGTCTGAAATTATCTATTACGCGAAGCGCGAAGCACTGAGCATTGGTGTCGATTTACTCCATATGGTAAGAGAATGTCGCATCAAAACAGGAATTACCCCAACGAGTAATTCTCCACAAGGCATAGTTGTGGATCAACATATCCGGCCATCACATCCAAAATAACCTAACTTTAGCTATTGGCCACCAAACTCAATCACTGCATTACTTCTCTCGAACATGACGACAGAAAGGTCTGGCCAGCACTTGACCCTGTAACAGACTTTCTAAATCTTTGACTCAGTCGACCAAAGAGGAGACCCCTTTTTACACGCTTCTTCTATGAGACCTAGTTGATAACGGATTTGCTTATAGCAGTTATCGATAACGAAAACTTACGGGTTTGCTATATCAGGCCATAATACCGGGCTTCGGAAGAATGGTTTTTATTGTTCTCTTTCAGCCTTCTGTCATACCTATAGCATCTCTAGTATCAGCCTTCCCTGTCACCAGCGACCTAACAAGTAAAGAAAATGAACTACTTCACGGTACCGAGCATTCGAAAGTCTCTAAGAGTCTCTGGTGGAGCTACCTATAGCTATGCATTCGTTTCTGCGCAGGGACAGAAATCAATTTTATTGTTTTTGCACGGCTTCCCCTCGTCTTCATACGATTGGCGACACCAAGTTGCGTGGTTCTCGTCAAAAGGATATGGGATAATCGTTCCCGATTTGCTGGGTTACGGAGCAAGCGACAAGCCGATGTCTTTGGAGAGTTACGGACTGAAACGGATGGTGAATGATTTGGTAGATATACTGGAAGCTGAATGCGCCGAAAAGGTCCATGCGGTGGCCCACGACTTGGGTTCTCACCTTCTATCCAGATTTGCCAACTATTTTCCCAACAGACTTCATTCTGCGACTTTCATCGCTGTGCCATACATACCGCCAGCTCAACTTTTAGATCTGCAAAGGATCAATGACGTGTCAAAATCCACATTGGGCTACGAACGGTTTGGTTATTGGAACTTTTTCAAGAAAGAAGAGGCTGGGTCGATAATTGCGAACCATGTAATGAACTTGTTTTTCTCTTCACTGTTTGAATTGGTATTGATGCGTTAAGGCTGAATCGTTCTTTTCGATTTTCTATCCTTCCGACCCTTCCTATTGGGAAACTTACCTGGCCCCATTGGGAGCACTAGAAGATTGGCTGCAACACGATCGCAGAACGGTGATGGCGGCATACATCACTGAGGAAGTAAGATGCCCTCCGCCTAGCATGGAGTATGCGCTGTACAAAGCTGACATGGAATTCTCGATAGGAGTATGAGATGCATTCACGTATCTTCCAAGGAGAGTACGGGCCAGCACTGAATTGGTTCAAATACCGGATTGCAAATGGTGACTATGAGGAAGAATGTAAGGCTGAGATCAATCCTGTTCTTAAAATGCCTGTCCTAGTGCTACAGGGGACTAAAGACAAGATCGCAATTCCGCAACCAAAGGAGCAAGTAGGCACGTGCATCAGATTCCTAAAAGTTTTGAATCTACCTACAGGTCACTGGATCCACCTGGAGGCTAAAGACGTCGTCAATAGGGAACTAGAAGAGTTTGTCCGGCAAAGCGAACATTCTGGTCGTGTTATCTGACGCTGGGTTGCAACGAATTCGCTCATAGCACGCCCTGATCATAAAATCCTTGCGAATTTCTTTTAATATGCATATACCGGCGAAAACTGTGAATTCTGCTATTTATCATCGTGAGCTTTTCCAAGTGATAGATTAATGTTGCCTTCTGTATACCTAATCCAATTTTGCTTACTCACCCAAGCAAGTTTTCAAGTTTTACAAGTTGGTGAGATATTTCACGACAAATGACGTGGACAGATCTGTAAGCATAAAAATACGCGTCCAGTGTTAGATCTTAAGTCATTACAGATTCAATTTTGGAGAAATTTTGTTTTGAACCTGAATTCGCGGAAGCGTGCCACGTAACAGACATTCTCTTGAAACTATACCATGATTGAGTGCTTGTTTGATAATTACAGAAGATAAATACGTGAGTATCAATATATCCCATATGATAGGACAGTTTGACGATAGTTGCGATTTTCCACAATTTCCCCATGGAGTAATGCCAAAAGCTAGCTAGAACCAATCACTAAACACATTTTACTAGAGTAAATTGGGTAGTAGAGCTTGATGATTAAAAATAATACGACTTAAATCACACTTTGGACCACCCATCGATGGGTGAACCCCGAAGGAACAGGACTGCGAACTGGTAGATAAAGATTCAATGTTATGCAGTGAGCCGCATACATGTAAAGACCATGTAACGATGGCGATAATGATTTATGTGTTAAGTCAGGGTTTCAAGCTGCATGGTTTCACTCAATGCAATGCACATTTGTCATAGGTGCCGCGACGCGACCTTGACTATGTCGTAATATGATATCATCCTGGAAGAATGCTAAATGGCTGCAGGGTCCTTAAACCATTATAGAATCTGCATTTCCCATTCCTCCAGAGCTGAAGCTGAATGTCTTGATGCTATCTTCTAAATATGTTTACCCATATCGATATGGAAACATCAGTTTTCTCTCAAGTCTTCTCCAATCCATGCTCTAGCCATGTGACGAAATCCCAGATTATTGCAACCTGTTTACTCTTCTTCTTGAGTGGGTATCTTTCCTGGATTCGATATGGTCACGGCCTTCACCACATTCCTGGTCCACTACTTGCCAGTGTCACCGATATCTATCGACTGCTTCGCGTTATCAGGGGAAATGGCCATATTAATGATATTAATATGCATAAGAAATATGGCCCAATCGTGCGCCTAGGTCCGAATACTGTCTCTGTTGGTGACCCTAAATTAACTCGCGAGATCTACGGATTCGGAGCAAGCCTGCAGAAGGTACTGAATTCCTCAGTCAAGTCTCATAAGTTTGTTCATGATGTATAGAACCGAGCTGCAGCTATGATGGTGCTGACCTCTGGCATTGTGCACATTAGTCCAACCTCTACCCTGTCAATGATTCATATGCAAAAGGGAAGATAGTCCCGAGCATCTTTACGACAACCGATGAGAAGTTGAACAGGGACATGAAAAAGTCTATATCAAACATATACTCCCTATCCAATATCCTTCACCACGAACCATTGGTTGATGAAACGATCAAAGCATTTATTGCTCAACTGGACCAAAGATTTGCCACGACAGGCGAAATCTGCAATTTGGCAGATTGGCTCCACTACTTCGCTTTCGATGTAATGAGTGAATTGACATTTTCTCATCGTGTTGGTTTCATCGAGGGTGGCTCAGATATCAACGGCGTCTTGAGTGGAATTTGGAAGCGGTTTAAGTATTTTAGTGTTGTAAGTTGTTGAATGTCCCCCAAAATGCTTTCAAGAGCTAAGGCTGCATGCGCATGATTTCAGGTTGGCCAAATGCCCTGGCTTGATAAGCTTTGGGGTAAAAATGTTTTGTTAAATGCTTTATTTCCGGCCAAAACATCACCAATCGTGGCTTTCACATTGAAGTTGCTGAATGAAAGAATCAATCAATTCTCCGAAAGCTCTTTCACGAAAACAAAAAAAGCCTCGCACTCTGACTTTGTGGCCGAATTTCTTCGAGCAAAAGCCAAGCATCAAGACACGCCAGATTGGCAAGTTCCGCACTTCTAAATGCTTTCCTTTGGCATAAATGCTTACATGTGTTTTAGGTATTTGACATCGTGGAGTACATCCAATATGCTTGCTGGGAGTGACTCAACAGCGATTTATCTTCGAGCAGTGCTATACTATCTTCTCAAAAATCCGCCCACACTTTCCAAACTCCTGTCTGAACTACGAACATTGGAAGCGAGTCACCAAACTCTAGGACCGATTACGTGGAAGCAAACACAAAGCCTTACATATTTGGATGCTTGTATTAAAGAGGCAGGTCGCTTACACCCAGTGAATAGTACTTTACTAGAGAGAGTCGTTTCAGAGACTGGCCTTGAAGTACAGGGTCACTTTCTCCCTCCGGGCACAGTAGTAGGCATCAATCCCTGGGTTTCTCATCGTGATCACGAGCTGTTCGGTGCCGATGCAGACGACTGGCGACCGGAGAGGTGGCTGACTAATGAGAAGACGCAGCTAGAGTGGGAAAAATCGACATTAACCGTGAGTTTATAACCCACGTCTGTTGAACTTAACTCTCACCAACTGTCGCAGTTTGGTTCCGGAAACAGAAGCTGCATTGGGAAGCATATCGCCAAGTTAGAAATCTACAAGCTCATTCCTGAGTTATTAAAGCATTTCGAGGTAAGTGGCTTCCTAAAAAGATTTACCACTGAAGCTATTAGATTATAAGATTATTGATTACCTCGTTGATAGATTGCACTAGTACATCCTGAGCGAGATTGGACAGTGGAAGGTTTTTGGGTCGCAAAACAGAAGGACATGAACGTTACTCTCCGGCGGCGAAACGAGTAGTCTGTCGGTGTCTTTCATGAAATTCATTCACATCAATCACAAAAGTCCGTGCATATCTGTAATAGTCGCTGCCACTTTTGAGAATATCCAGATTTAACTTGTCGTCGCAAAGACTTCATGCTATGTGGAGATTGAGACTTACACGGGGTATCCATTCAGCAGTGATTGCCCAAAATTGTATCAGGCCTTCCAAGGTTATGGACCACGTAGCAGTCTTGTACCAGCTCTTGTAGCGCGACCAAAATTAAGATATCAAAGGTTCGAATTGTGATGGGTACAGGTAATCAACGTCTTGGCTGACTATTGCATCTTGCCACATTGATATAAGAAACTACTTGATTGATAAGCGAGAATTAATCGCTACCTTTGGGGATATCAAAAATCAGCGTAATAAGGATAATTTGTGCACGCTTTTAACCACGTCTATTGTAGGGCCTCGCCGGTCATGCTCATTGGTAATCCCAAGTTAGTACACTTTTGAGATCGAGCTGTGCACGAGTGTTCAATCGTAGTTTCATGGTGATTATACCGTATCTCGAGAAGTTACCTGGTATTAGAAGCAACCACAATTCTAAACTTGAGGCGGCTGCTTCATGACAATTCGAGCCGCAACAAGATACTTTGCAAGAGGGAGCAGCAGCATCAATCGTATAGACTAGCAACGGAATGATAAATAGACTTTGTTCCAAGACAAGCAGCAGATATCAGCTCAGTGCAATGTTGTACCACCAAGTGTAAAGCCAAAGTCACTCGCATATGAGAATTGCCTGATGGAGTATCTCAGAATTGATGCGAAAGGATTCTTAAGAGGCGCGAATTGACTACATGGGGTTATTCTGCATCCTTCGCCACGGAGAACCCACAGTAAGCTGCATGACCAGAAGTATGCCTCGTCAAATCTCCAAATTAAGGATTTCCCCGTCGATGGCGCCTTATTACGCGCCTCGGACATGCGTAGGGACGAAACGATACACTCGCTTGGAGACACCTGCATATTCAAACCTCCGGAAGGCTACGGTGATCGACATAATATAATTAGGACCCCCTTCACCCGCATAGTCGGTGATATTTCACCCAGTCGAACCACTATTCTCTCTTAATAACGTGTCTACAATATGATGGGCCTCGCAGATGTCACAATCTTGTGTTGCGTGTTGCTAGCCGCAACTGAACTAGCGCGGCGATTATACAAGCGACGCAGACTTGGCACTATCCGCGGACCGTTCCTTGCGTCGTTGTCGAATTTCTATCGTTTTTTTCGAGTCATCCGAGGCGATGCGCACCTTCGCGATATCGCGTTACACAGGAAGTATGGTAATGTAGTTCGCTTGGGACCAAATGTTGTGTCTATAGGAAGTCCGTTGGCCATACCTCAGATATATGGAATTACTGCAAAGCATCAAAAGGTATCAATCACTTCATCTGCTCACTGGCTCTGAATGCTTCTCATCGATAAGCTTTATCTTCGCCGATAGCTAACATAAATCAAATTCCAGTCTGACTTTTACCCTGTCAACCAAACCTACTCTCGTGGACGTCTGATTCCTGGTTTGTTCAGCACAACCGACGACAAGTTGCACCGTCACATGAAACGGCCTATTGCAGGGCTGTACTCTATGAGCAATGTCATCGGATATGAGCCCTTGATAGACAAGACTACTGAACTTTTCATTTCTCAGATAGAAGAGAAGTTTGCTCGGACCGGAGAGAGATGCTCACTAAGTGACTGGTTGCAGTTCTATGCTTTTGACGTTATGGGTGATGTAACCTTTTCACGCAGACTTGGGTTCCTGGAGCAAGGGATTGATGTGGAAGGGATGATGGAAAAGATCTGGCACCGTTTTAAGTATTTTGCGGCTGTATGTTCATGCCAAATCTCAATCGTTGTAAATGGACGGCTGACAACAGTGTGGCAGGTTGGTCAGCTTCCATGGCTGGATATTTTATGGGATAAGAGTCCAGTGTGGAATGCACTACTGCCCCAGAAGTCTTCGCCGATTGTTGCATTTTCAGCCAGTCATTCTATTCGACGGTTGAACGGCGATCCACCCCAAGTCCGAGAAAAGTCTGCCGAGGGAGCAAGGGATACTTCCACACAAGACTTTTTGAGTGGCTTCATTGCCACCAAACAAAAGGACATCAGCGTGCCAGACTGGTCTGTATTCCAAAATTGCACGACCCATTCTTTATTATTAGAAATATACAAGCTCACGATCGATTGTGCTTCAGGTATGTGACTGCATGGACAACTTCGAACTTGCTAGCAGGCAGCGATACGACCGCCATCTACCTTCGAGCAGTCTTTTACTATCTGCTTAAGAATAAGGACTCCCTAAATCGCCTCGTCGCTGAGATACTTGATTTAGACAGTCAAGGGAGGCTCTCAAATATCATTTCTTGGAAAGAGTCGAAAGAGATGCCATTTTTAGACGCATGTATCAAAGAGGCAGGTCGTCTCCATCCTCCCATTGGGCTTCCCTTAGAGAGAGTTATTGCACATGGCGGCATTAATATTGAAGGAGTTCATATTCCTGAAGGGACGGTAGTGGGTATCAACGCCTGGGTGGTACAGCGTGACCTGAATGTGTTTGGACAAGATGCAGATGACTGGCGACCTGAACGATGGCTCTGTGAAGAACAGAAGAGGAAAGAGATGGAGCGTGCGATGTTTGTAGTAAGTTCTTCGTTTCGTTACAACCGGGAGACACACTGACTTAAGGACAAAAACAAAAGTTCGGAGCCGGCCATAGATCTTGCTTAGGGAAAAACATAGCCCTGACTGAGCTCTATAAACTTATACCTCAGATTTTAAGACGATTCAAGGTACGGAACACACTAAAATCCAAAATTTGCACCGTTCTCCCCTTTTCGTGCTGCTGCCTCTTTTCAAACAATGCTTTGATCCCACACTGACTATTATCAGATTGAACTTGTTAAGCCTAACGAAGAATGGATTGTCGAAAATCATTGGGTTGCAAAACAGAAAGCAATTGATGTCTATTTCCGGGAAAGGCATAGAGTTTGATCCAGGTTTGATCAAGATCTTACACACATTTTATCATGTCAAAGAAGTATTTGAGTCTCTTTTACGTTTCTTCAGGCTGTTCATAGTGTAGAGCATTACAAATTCTTTTGGTTTGACGACGTCAAGCACACATGACAACAGTGGACTTTGATATTATAGGACATCCAAGAAAAACCTTCCGATTAAATCCACCAATCATTTCCCTGACCATTCTGTTAATTAGCCATCGTTAGTCATGAGACGAGTTATTAACTTTAGTCCTTTTTAACAGCTAAACCTTAGCCAACCAAGGTAAAATACAATTATAGTCAAGGTTGTCAAGACATGTCGATCGCATGGGCGCCCATGCCAGAGATATGGTGCCCCATATGTCCGTATTGCCAGGAGGAATCGATGTGAGACACCTTAGCCATTAGGCCAATAAGGTGACTCCTGCAATGCTCCACAAGAGGAATGAGAATGAGAAGGAGCTTACCCGCCCCGTCTTCGGGGTCACGGTGCGAGGGATTATGGATTTACGGTCGGACTAGGTCTCGATGGTGATAGTGGTGATCAGGCCAACCGGGTCCTCCGGCCCGCGACCATCCTTGTTTCATCATAGAGAGGAGATTCAGTTTGCAAAACCTGAACATCGACGCATATAAAGAAAAGAATTGAAATACCATATTAATTAGGAATGAACTTTCTTGCCCGACACCCATCGCTGGATCCGATAACCGAACATCAACTTAGCAGGCCGTGGGACGATTAGATGAAAATGGGGTACTAGAGTGATATTAGAACCTACTGTCCAAGGATTAAGGTCGTTTGATCGATTATATATTAATAGAATTCTTTTGTTACTCTTATGCTTCTTGAAAGTTGATGACCCCTGTGTATTAGGACAAGCTTTCTGGGCTCTGGCAGACGCTGGTGTTGCAAGGGAGTGCTAGGGTGCTAATATTGACGCGCTGAGCCCGACTCTCTATCACATATGGAGGATTCCAGCCCTTATATACCCTATTGCAATCCGATACCGGATAAGCTCTGACAGGCTCTTATTTACTTGTTGCTAGCGGTGTCAAAGCAGACTTCGACGAATATCGATATATTTACACAATGAAATAGGTTACAGATTCTTGTACAGAGAGATTTAGAGCCTATTTGGTTGAAAATTGTAGGTTGTACTAGTCATGAGAAAGAAGCTTTCGTTTATATTAAGGTACAAAGCTTAATAGTATAGGCTGATTCTGAAATAAAATTCGCTAGTTTCTTATAATTCATCTTTTTACGATTACGTGGTCAACTAATGCCACTTGTGATGATAGCCAAGTATGTAATGCGACCTGAAACAGGCACGGACATGATATAATCAGTTAATCCCCTATGATGCTTAATTTGATTATTAATACTTGATATCTGCATTTTCAGGTGATGGGTGTTTTGAAAGATTATTTATTCAACGAATATAATCGGCTATTAGAGCTGGTGTAATGACATCAATCATTTCCAAGGTTTCATTGTAGACAATCTTTCCTTTTGGTTGGCATAATATTGCCAGAAACTTGTTAAAAGTAGCCTCACGGATCGAAATTCTCCATTGTCTTTTTGAGAACTACCATATTGAACATCCGGTAATATAGTAAGCATCTTGATCGCGGTTCTTGATGCATGCAGTAATTTCCTCAACCCGAACGGCCAATGCCTCAGCAGGAGCGGCATCGAGAGGCGCGGCAGCAACGCCAATTGCCAGGGCAAGCGTATAAAGTGGGAGGTGATCATGTTGAATGGGTTTGAAGCGGACAGAGAAGCGAAGCTCAGAGTTCAGCTAGTGATTGAAAAGGGTAAAAATGTTTATGGATCTTGTTGTGAAGTTAGTGATAGGTTTATTACTCGTGTGGTTGACCCTTATATAGCATTTTCTTGTCCTGTTGGATGTTATTGACCTCTCTATAATGTATTCTGTACAGTCGAGGATTAAGATGCGTAAGAATATCGCCACTTTACTGCGCAACTCTCAAGGTCAATATTCGCGCATCGTGTCCGTACTGCGTATCCTGCCATGTCTGCCAATTAAGATGAAGACGCATTTCTTGTCCGCATCACCAACACTCATCAGACATTGACCTACGTCATAAGATGATCAATCAGCTGAGAAAGAAGTTCTCGGGCGCTTCCCCGAATGTATGAATTTACAAAAGTACTTCTACCGTCCCAAGACGAAATTCGACAGATCAGGCGGCGCAGTATGAACTGTACAAAAGGTCGTCGAAAAGGCGTTTTAGTGACCACAGAACCTGACCCGTCCCTTACAATCAAGATCATTCGCCCAATGGATTGTCAAGTGTGTGTTCAAGTTTGCTTTCAACTTACACCAGATCCTAGCGCCAACTGTTGGCCCGCACCTTTATACCTGTTGATGCATAGACCTTTTAGACCATGAATTGGAACCGTGACAAGTCACGTATCCTGACCCTTGCGCATTTCATGTACTTGCCTCATGCACTGAGAATTGTACTTTTGTGTTTTACGCCCCTGTTAGCTGTGGCGTGGCAGCAAAGAGAGCGTTGACCGACAATTTCACTTTGAATAACGGCCCTTACTTTCAATATCTCAACATTTCCTCCCCATCTTTCCTTTTCAAGGGCTTCATACCAATTTTATACAATGTCTCCCACTCATGACTTTGAGAGCGACTTCATCACAGGAGAAGATGAAGGAGTTTTGTGCAAATCTGAAGGGACCTCTCGTGAGCCGTTCAGTAAAGGCCTTTGTCAAAGGAGATCTTGCCCACAGCCAAGTCTCTCAGCATTTGTCATCATCCAACTGTTTCTAATCGCGGTTAATACGACAACATATTCATTTCCAAGGAGGAAAATGTAATTTATCGTTAGTTGCTTGCTCAGGTTGTCACAAAACGTTTATTGATTTTTGATATGCGTTATTAATAAAGCTCCTCTCACAGCTCCAGCCTGGAAAAGTATCATGTACCGGGCTATTCGGTACAATGCGACGCTCGTTATCGATAGTCCTTACAATGGGGCTCCCACTAATGAAGGAGACCAAGCCTAGAGTGACCTTCTAGATAGTATGTCTCAACTATTTGTGATCACAATTTTACTAACAATCATGGAATCTAGACATGAACATCGCAGTACCGAAGTCTGACATCGAACGAATTGGTACCACTTCCATCCCTATCCCAGACACAGATAACTTGTACTTTGCTGGGCTCAGTGTTTTCCATGAGCTCCACTGCATCGTAAGTCCATATTTGCTCATCTCGACGTCCGCGTTACTTTAAAATAGGGCGTTCTTTCAGAAGCGCCTGAGGCAATACACCTGGAAAGATCACTATTTCCCGAATTCGACTGCTGAAGATGAGCGTTTGAATCGGTTGCATACAGGTGAGTTCTTCGCGAATTATAACTTCCATTATTGCACAAAGCTTACAAGGCCTTTCACAAGACCACTGCCTTGAAATACTGAGACAGCAGCTATCTGCCGGGCAGATATTTCCCACTTTACACATCGATGGTCACGAGATAATTTGTGGCCACGGGCAGACTTTACACGGCAGCACAAATGCGTTAAATTTGATATGGTTAATGCCTGGGCTGGCCAGCGTCGAGTCGATGCTTCTCAACCCGGAATCTTGACACATCCTATCTATGGTGAGTTACAAATTCTCCCATTCACATATGATAGTCACGCCTTATATCGAAAGGTATTCATCCACGTCTAGTCACTTCTATGACAAGACAAGATAATCACAACGCATTCTATACAACAGTAGTTGCGGCGGTTGAGGTTGAGTTGTGGATGCCCCTATGGAATCTGAATTTGTGGTTTATGGAGGATATGGAGCGACGCCCCACCCCACAGTACAGCGGCTGTGGTGTACAGATCCGCATTGTGGACAATTCGTGGCTGCTTGAAGAGATCGTATACTGATAGAATGAGGCGCGGTTGTGATTGCCCACAACAGCTGAATAGGTTGGAAATCTTTTGAATTGATCATGTCAGCCTTAACAGTAAGAAAGGAGTCGCAAGGAGGGACGCATTTGTTATGAGTCCTCTTTAGGAAGAAGTATTTGAGCCATGCTAAAAAAAGCAAGGTCTACAAACAATGAAACACTACTGTGCCAAGCAACGGGAAGTTCATGCCGCGAATATTTGCCTATCTCGGACATTTGGTTGGTCATATGGCCTTCACCTTGTTATTCTGGTCTCTGAAGATGCATTCTTCGGGTCAATGTTCTTCAACCCAGAGCCGCGGTGAAAACCCGTGAGCTGGCGCTGGTGAAGGTTCGCCCTCCCCCGCGTCGTGGGGAAGCAATCCCTAACTCCTCCCTAACTCCCCGGCTTACACCCGCGTCGCGAATGCTGAAGCAGATCCTTGACGAATTGTGCACTATAATACGCCAACAATCCTTGCATATATGGAACTGTTGTAAACAGACATAATTGTTTGTTTGACAAGTCCTTCTTTGATAATGACAGAACAGGTCGACGTTCTGATTTGCGGTGGCGGCTCAGCGGGACTTTGTGCCGCTGTATGGCTAGCTCGGTGTGGCATCAGCTACAAGATCCTCGAACGCCGCGATGGGCCGTTGAAGATGGGACAGGCAGACGGTGTCCAGACTCGTACGGTGGAGGTATTCGAAAGCTTTGGCCTCGCAGAAGATCTACTCAAGGAGGCCTACCATGTCCTCGAGCTTGCATTCTGGGCACCATCCGAGAAAGGTGGCATCGCAAGGACTCATTATGCGGCGGATGTGGAACCCGGTATAAGCCACCAGCCGCATGTGATTCTTAACCAGGCAAGAATGAATGCACTACTGGCCGAGGAGATGGAAAGGGCGTCGGGAAGCTCGGACATTGCGTATGGGTATGAAGTAAGGAGCGTGGATGTTGACAGCAACTCTGCATCAAACGCTGAGTCTTACTGTTGTACAGTCGTGGCAGAGAAAGACGGCGTAGATCAGACATTCCGCGCAAAGTATGTGCTGGTAAGTTCCGCCGTACCTCCATCCGGAATCACCTAACATTGTTTTAAGGGCTGCGACGGAGCCCATAGCATCGTAAGGAAGTCACTGGGTTTCAAGATGATCGGCGACAGTACCAATGCCGTATGGGGTGTAATGGATGTCTACCCGAGAACCAACTTCCCGGACATTCGTAAGAAGGCGGCGATAAGCTCGGATGCGGGAAACCTGATGATCATCCCGCGCGAGGGTGATAGTCTGGTCCGCTTTTACATTGAGATCGAAAATGCAACGGAAGCCAAGAGCCTAACTGTGGAGGACCTGCACGAGAGTGCGAGGCATATCTTCAGTCCTTATACGATGGAAATTGCCGACACAGCTTGGTGGTCAGTATACTCAATCGGTCAGCGTCGTGCAGACTACTTCACGAAAGACCACAGGGTCTTCTTGACCGGTGATGCGTGCCATACGCACTCACCCAAAGCAGGTCAGGGAATGAACGTCTCTCTACAAGACGGTTACAATATTGGCTGGAAGCTGGCGGCAGTTCTTCGTAGCCAAGCAGATCCAAGACTCCTCGAAACTTATGTCTCTGAGCGGGAGAAGACGGCGACCGAGCTCATCGAATTTGACCGGAACTGGACGAAACTGTTTTCGTCAGCGTATCGGCGCGAACATGGCATTACCCCCGAGCAATTCCAGCAACAATTTGTGGAGGCGGGCCGATACACAGCTGGACAAGCGACGCACTACAACGACTCTATGATAGTCTCGTCTGCGTCTAGCGATCAACCTCTCGCCAAGAATTTGCCAGTCGGTGAGCGATTCCCAAGTGCGCAAGTCGTAAGGTTCTGCGATGCACGGGCGATGCAGTTCATCAGGGCTTTGCCGGCGGACTCGAGATGGCATATCATCGTGTTTGCTGGTGACATGAGTAATAAGTCAGCTTCTGAGGGACTAAAAAAGGTGAGAGAACTGGCATTTTTGGCGGGATTTGGTACTGATCCGTGGTCGACTAGGTGGCAAGTGATTTGGAGCATCTGGTTAGGCGCTTTACACCTCCAGGTGCTGACGATGATAGTGTTTTCAATATCATACTAGTTTTATCAGGTAAACGCACCGACGTTGAGCAAGAACAGATTCCTCGGGTATTCACACCTATTTCGGGAAAGTGGAAGATGAAAAGTACGTCCCTGTTGAGCGGTTTCCTGTGGCATGTTGTATAAAAATGGTGTTGACTGACTTTTGAATACAGACCTTTTCAGCACGTTTGTGGATGATGAGAGCTATAACTCGGGCCATGGCCATGCCTACTCGGCGTATGGCGTAGACCCTGATCGTGGTGCTCTTGTTGTTGTCCGTCCTGACCAGTGTAAGAAGCTACCGCTCCAAATTCGTTAATGTTCGCTAATTTGCTTCAGACGTCGCGAGAGTCGGGCAACTTGTAGATGTAGACGGGGTGCGGGAATTCTTCGATGGGATTCTAATCAAAGACAAGGCGTTGAGCGAAATTCATCGCGTTGCGAGTGCATCGAAACTATGAGCACTTCATGACGCTTGTGGGCCGACCGTCTCGACGAGAGTGCGAAAAATGGGAGGATGCATCAATTGCTATGGTCAGTACAGGGCTGTATGTAGAACACTTGGGATCGCTCGTCGCGAGATAGAATCTGTAAAAGCGAATTACGAGATTTGTACCAAAGCGTCTAAACCTTTCCACCAGTAGCAGTAATCTGTTAGATGGGTTCTGTTGGCAGATTTGAATTAAAGGCAGCTGCTACCAACGGAGTCTCTGTTTCCTACCTAAGGACTGACCTCAATACTTCACCTAAGCTTTTTAACACGCCAACGCACCCACTAATCATCTTTCTAAGACAACACAAATAGCCATCTCACCGAAACACGCAATAAAAAACCTCAAGATGGCGGTGGACTGAGAACGGTACGTTGTCAAATTACATCATCCGTTCAAACAGTCGCTAACGTGAATAAGTAGAGTGCTACAGTCTGGTTTATTCACTTTTGTGGTTGGGCCTAACAGGCAAGAATTCAAGATCCATTCCGAGCTGCTCACAGGACTGTCGCCTTACTTCGAGACTCTGATAAATGGCCGTATGGTCGAGGCACAAGAACAGCGCGTCGTCTGGGACGATATCGACGCTAACACGTTCCTGCTCTTCTCGAAGTATGTTTATACTGGCCAATACTTCGATCCTTTCGCCCACCAGACTAGCCAGTCCCCTGTCGACTTGAGCCAAGTTCGTTTGGTGAACAAAGAAAGCGGTCCGGGAGAGTTGGGCGGTGAGTACATCATGTATGGGATGTGGCGCGTCGTAGGACCGGGTAGCTGACCGCGGAACACAGAATCTGCAGAATTTCATCAAGGTGATGCGTCTGATTTTGAGGAGAAGCGAAAAGCTTTCAACGATGGCTTGCACGCAGTTTATCTCCAAACTTGTCACCGCGCCAAAGTATCCTTGACTTCAAACCCACTCATCAACATCAATCAGTTTGTTCGGAGCCTGTGGGCGGATGCCGCTTTCAGAGTGGGAGATATGCAATCTTTCTGGCTGGCAAATGAGGAGGTGGAAATCTTGCTTGCCCATTCTAAGGTTTACATACTTGCTGACAGGTACTGCATGGAGCCACTGGTGCAATGCGCTTTGGAGCATATATCTATTGCTCTTCTCACCTACCGTATTGATCACAAAGGTATTTTCTTTATGCTGGATATCGTTCGCTACGTGTTTGGGGCAACGAAGCGAACAGACCGTTTGCGGAGGCGTTTGATCAAATAGGGTTGTTGCGTCTGTGAAGTTGCTGCTCGCCATCCGGCCTGGAAGCAAGTATTATTGGATGTTCCAGAGTTCTCAGTCGGTATCCTGTTGGAGCTAGGCTCGCCTAAGGAGGAATAAAAATGGTGTGCAAGTAGTTCGTTTCAAAGTCCATGACAGTGTCTGTCTAACAGACAACCCAAGCATACAAGTAATGGGATAACGAAAATGGCTTAATAGCGGTAGAGCTATTAGAAGAAGAAGATAGTTGCGTAATTTAGCATAAATTAGGGAAGCAGCGGTCACATCGATAGGCTCTTGAGTTACATTGCTGCGCAGAATTCTAGATGTAAATCATGGTCGTGGTCTATGAGCATGCATAGATGTGTCACGTCGAGTTGAAGGTTATGGCCTTAGGACAAAGAATCGTCTTAGCTAGTTCTTATAGGAAGATCGATGTAATCATCTCTCTGTTCACCGTTCCATATTGATGTGTTGCGAGGCAAATGAAAAATGAACTAGATGGCCCGAGGCTAGAATTCATCCCATGGCCATACCCCGGGTCAATGGAGGAAAGAAGATATCAATATTGGGAATTGTGGAGAGTAGTTCTTGAAATTTCCTGATATAGTCAATAGTGTATCTTGAAAAGAGACTGCTTACCGGCGGCTTCGGCGAAACTGAATAGTGCTTCGCATACTCCGCTGGTATTAACAAGCGGATTCCCAGTAAGCTCGTCGCTGTTGTCGTCGCTGTGGGTATCATATGTAGTATTGAGGGACATGCGTGCATCGAACTCGATCGGCTAGGGATTTTGGCAAGATCAATGGATGTCGAGACCAGGAATCGCAGTTAGCATATTGCCAGGCAATAGCTGGTTGCTGCTGGCTGCAAGTGACCCTAGCTTCACTCGGAAACCACAATATTGGAGTGGGCCTAAAGGGAAGGGACTCTCCATGTATTTATTTTAAAATAACTGCCAGTTCTTTCGCCTTCGGACAAACTTTCTGGTTGGTGCGCCGTTTCTAGACAGCTAGTGATCAGTGGCCTACTTGTAGACTGCGTCCTTCGCTGCGGGAAGCATGTGGGATCGTGGGTACTGAGGGCTCTCTTGTGTATTGGGGCACGAGTCTTTTTAGGTCATCAGTCCAGTTCACAGTTGTACCAACTTCTTCTATTCCTTTCTTTTTTTTGGTCGTGGCTTTTTCGAGATGTGGGCTTTGTGGATGGTCTGTTTATGTTGTTAGTTCAAGCATTGCTGTTGTCTTTTCTTCTTTTCCTTTTCAGCTTGATGAATAGTCTTTGGACACCCATAGCAGTTAGTCTTTATCGCGGCGCCAGAATAACCTCTCAGAGAAGTCGCGACCTTATGGGTATGCTGCGTGTTTGAGGCGATGGCCATCCAGATTGGAAGCCGTTCCTACCGGACTTTATTGAGATCTCGGCCGTATGTCCTGGTCAAGGACGAAATGCCAGAGTTTCATAAAAGATACCATGACTGGGGGTTGTTATTGATAGGACTGTCTATAGCTGATTGCGCATGGGTGGTATTAATAATTCAAGATGAATGTTGGTCACATATCAAGGACTAGTGTAGTGATCTCATGACAGGGAAGAGTTGGGTATCATTGGTGTCGTAAACAGACGTCTAGTATCTAAGCTACTTTTACATTCTTCTCGTCGCTATGCTCCTGAAACTCCTCACGGTATATCCTCCTCAGCTCAAACAGAACCTCGACCGAGATAAGCACGATGATAATCCACTCGAGTCTATGGCCCCTCTTTTCACTGGACATCTCTCGCATAACACTGACTGTCTCGTAGGCGTAGTCGATCCTGGCGTTCAGCTGACGGATACGCGGGTTGACGTCGAGTATCCTACTTATGCCGTTGTAATAATTCTCGATCTTGGATTCCTTGTCCCAGAAGATGTCGGGCAGGTCATCAGTCAGCTCCGAGTAGTGGTTGAGCTGTGATCTCAGACCAAGAATCTCACCCAGATACTTGAGCACTGTCTTGTGGTCCTGCGACAGCTCTGAGCCACCAGCCAGGGTCCTCGCCACCGGTCGAGCAGTCTCCAGGAACTCGTTCAGCTTGTTTTCCAACACGGCCAGTTTCGTACTCCTGGCGAGACCCATGGAGAAGGCGATCTTGGCCATGGTCTGATCGAGCCTTCCCTCATCTGACTGGTCCCTCGTGCCCAGCACGACCTCTTCGCCCCGTATGAAGCTGTTATCCCTCGTCTCGTCGGCCGCGAAGTCGAGATCCTCAAATTCGAGGTCTTCTATGTGTGGAAGATTCGCAGCATTGAGCAGTTGCTTCGTTGCGATGTGCGTGACCGAGTCGGCCGGAACCGACCAAGACACCACCGTACCCGAACTGAATACAAAGATGTCACCGTTGTTATATGACCTGGCATGGACGACGGCATTGCTGTCGAGACCAGCATTGTCCGGGTCGATGGCAAAGCCGTGCCCTCGAAGGGATTCTTCCACCAGTTCCATGTCGAACGACTGTGCAACGTTGATCGCCCTTATCGTGTGTGTATAGTTGCTGTCGTCTTCGGCAGCTTGAGCTACCGGACTCTTGACCTCGCCTCTCTGAGACTTCTTGGCCATGGACGTTGCACGCAGATTCTTCTTCACCGCTGATATCCGCGCAGGTTTGCGCTTCACAGCAGACGGTGTCGCGCGCTGTACGTATCCGCCCTCTTCCGACACGTCCGTGCCATCGACCTTGCCGCCACTGCTTGCCAGCAGGTGGTTCGACGTGAAGAAGTCCCGGCGCCTGGGAAGGGCCGAGTATGTGCTCTGGTGAAAACATCGCTGGGGTCGCGGCGTCGGTGGCCTTGTGGTGTGCAACTGGCGGCGGGTCAGGGGTGCGGCGATCTTCTGTGCTGAGCGGCGCATCGTGTCTAGATGTATGCCAGCGACCAGGAGGATCGAAGAGTTTTTGTGGCCGTCGAAATAAACACTTCAACGACTGCGCGGACGTTCACTAATTTCGGTCGACGTCAACGTGTGACAGGGGACCTGAGAAAAAAACTTGGGGGTATCTTAGCGCTATCTAACAGCCGGGCAGGAATTCCCGGGCCGCGTTCGTTCAGGCGCTTTAGTGGGGTACTCCCCATTGATGTGCCGTGGAGTCAGGGTCAACGGGCCCGCTAAAACGGTTCCTAGGTTAGGGAGGCATGCTGTGCAACTACCACTCCCCAAGATTTAGGGGTACAACATTGCCGCATCAACAGTGCAGTCATGCAGGCACGGCAAGACTAGTACTCGTCCGCTGAAACCCCATCTCAACACATGCGGCTATTCCCTCCATGGCAGGGGATGTCCGCCTTGCCAGAGTTCTCAGCATTGTGGCTTTGGTGGCGCGCCAGCCAGGCCAACGAAGGCTTGAACTTAGATCGACTGTACTGCTGCTTACCATGAAATGCACGGCAGCAGCAGCCGGATATGTGTATCAGCTGGGTGGCAATTATCATGGAACGCCAAAAGCAGAAGACTAATTCGGGGCCATCAAGCAAACGTGCGATCGACACGTCTAGAAGCACTAAATAGTCCAGTCAGTTCCTTAACGGTTTTACGATGTTGCACTTAAATTGTGCACTTGAAGTATCAGAAATTCATTCCCAATATCTTTGCAATATGCTTCGTACCTAGTAATGACCTGGGCTTGGCCTAGTCTAGTATAGAAATCAATTTATGAATAAATCCACGTGTAGCGGGACAGGATACTTTGAGTTGAAATCCAACCATCCATGCCCCTGCAAAAATCGACGGCCAGATGAAAGTAAGTTCTGTCACAATCTAACGTCGCTCACTGCAGCAGCAGGGATGAGCGGAACTGGGGTTGTCTGCACTTTTTCTACCTGTTCAATCACAAGGGGTGGGGGTTGGACGGCCAATGACATGACCAACTGTTCTGTTGCGTGATCACATGGTTGTTCAGGGTCGATTACACCGCTTTCTACGCCCATGACACAAACACCCACAGGACTCGCCATTGCTGCAGCGTATACTGGCCTCATCTGAGAGATGGCATTATCAACTATCCCGCATGCTCAACATAATCGCGACAATATCAAACCACCGTCGTCTTTACACAGAGATACCATTGATCATACCCCCGAAGAGCTCCAGCTTGGGCTCGTATCTCGGGGACCAATGCTGAACCCGTCCGGAAGAACGGCCCATTCGAGTTCAGTATTGGTTCCAGACAATCTGAGCTTCAATGTTGGGCAACAAGATAGAAATGGCTCGCTGGAGGATCAGACTTCCCGCCTGCCATTCCGCCGGCTTATGGCGGCCTACCTTTGCCTCGCACTTATTTACTTCATCTCAACACTCGACATCAATTCCGTCGCGACCGCACTACCGGCCATCTCTCGGTCGTTGAATGCCGGAAGCAGTATCACATGGGCGGGTACAGCCTACCTTATGGGCCAAACCTGTTTTCAAGCACTATACGGTCGACTTTCTGATATCTTTGGTCGTAAACCGATTTTATTGGCGTCCATCGGGTGCTTGATTGTGGGCGATATCATGTGTGGCTTTGCCAAAAACATAACTTGGCTTTACGTATGTCGTGCAATTAGTGGTGTAGGAGGTGGGGGTATCAGCTCGCTTGTGCAGATTACAGTCAGTGACCTTGTGAGCTTGAAGGAGCGTGGAAAATACCAGGGCATGCTGAGCGGTGCTATCGGACTGGGTGCCGGCACCGGCCCTTTCCTGGCAGCTGCATTTATCGATGGAAGCCAAAGCAAAAGCGATACCTGGCGATGGATCTTCTGGGTACCGCCGATTTTAGCTGCATTCTGCCTCGTCGCCATGTGGATAGCTCTTCCGCTGAAGCCTGTAACGGGTAGCTGGCGCGAAAAGCTCGCCAAGATCGACTGGTTTGGGCTTTGCGCTGCGGTTATAGCTGTGGTCTTCGTTCTCGTCCCAATCAACTCTGGTGGAAGCATTTTTCCCTGGAACAGCGCTCTCGTCATCTCCATGATATCACTAGGTGGCTTCTTTTTCATCGTCTTGGCCGTCATCGAGAAGAGCTTCGCCCAAATTCCCATGATCCCGCTACGTCTGTTTGCACATTCAGCTACGGCGGTGATCATGCTCCAGAGCGCTCTTTACAACGCGGCATGGCAGGTCGACATCTACTTCTTGCCTATTTACTTCCAACAAGTTCGTGGCTACTCTGCACTACAAAGTGCGGCTCTCGTGCTTCCCCTCTTGCTGCTTCAGAGTTTCGCTGGTGTCGCTTCTGGTCCGATTATGAGTAAGCTTGCAAGATATGGCCCTGTTTTGTACTCGGGAATGGTGCTTTGGACCCTGGGTGCGGGCTTGAAAATTCTTTTCTCAACTGACAGTTCCGTGGCTGTCTACGTTATAGTACTAGCAATCGAGGGGATCGGCATTGGCTTTGTCCTGCAGCCAGCATTGGTCGCTTTACAAGCACTATCCAAGAGGGAAGATCGCGCAGTAGCCACATCAACACGGAACCTCATGCGCATGCTTGGATCGGTATTTGGCATGGCATCGTCGACGGCTATCAAGTACGCCGTTACCAAGGCCGCACTTCCACCGAGCATGCCCTCGGACCTTCGGGCAGCTGTGATGGATGGAACCTGGGACAGGGAAAACGGTGCTTCTGCGGAATGGGCAACGTCTATCCTCGAGGCCGAGATGGGCGGCATCCGCGCTGTTTTTGTCATGTTAGCTCCATTGGTGGGACTATGCCTCTTGGGATGTTATTTCATCCCTGATATTACTTTGGAAGGTGACGAAAAGACAGACAACCAGAACGCGAATCATCAAATGAAGTAATCGGGGTTCCAAATGTCATTATTGGATGTTTTGGTGTGCTAGAGGCCATAACACTGAGTCGTGTCGTACACCTGGACGAAGCAGTTACATGTAGCTCTTCTAAATCGCCAGAGCGAAAGTTCGGGTGTTCAATCTCAACACAGCGCAACTATTCCTCGATCAGTTCATCTATATCCACAAACCTCGAGATCCATATTGGATGTAATTATTTTGAGAATTGGCATACATAGATATATAAATGAGTTTGTCACTGCACCCAACGCCTTCGCATAAGTTTGACGTCAAGGCACCCCTCCTGCCTCATAAACTAAGTATTCACCAACTTCCAGTCCTTAATTAGATTCACTAGTTCCAAATCCTCTCTCCATTGGCATTTTTATCACTTTGTAGACCTGCAAAAATGCAAGATGTTGTTTAAGATGCCCCTTTAGCCCGCTCCAAATACGAGGTCAGAAATCTTACATACAAAACACGCGTTCTCGATAGTGGTTAGACCTTCTCGCATCCGATGACCGGCTAATCTCGCGGCTTAACTTGTGCCGTACTATCAGGATGTAGCTACAACATATTGTCGAGGTAGTCAGGATGATTCAGATCGTGCCAAGCTTTGCCGGCTCCCTAGTATTTATCAACGAGGTTTTTGACCGTGATGTCGACTGGAGGTTGCGCACTGGGAGGCTCAATAGGCCGAATTGGCTTTTTGTCATGCCGGTGGTCCAGTATAGGCATTTGACTCACCACAGCAAAGTAGCCCAGCGATACTTCTGAGGCTCTGAGTACGCTGTTAAAGTCTGGCCTTTCTCGATATAACCGTATGACTGGCTGAAAGTTGTGGCTGCAATTACGTCCCAGGCGTCTATATGACAATCAACTTGCTTATCTCGTCGTTGAAAGATGGATGTCGAAAGCCTATAACAATGCATCCATCGACCTAGATCGCAGCTTCTCTACTGTTCAACAAATTTGGTATGCAACTCACCATATGACTGATCGATAATCGCGCCAAAATAGGTTCAAAGGCAGGTCACTGTTCATGTAATAATAATACTTAGCAACTGGTCCTTTCTTCCGGCATTGGATCCTATTGTCGGTTTCGCTGAATAGATTGTGACCTTCTGGCTGGCAAAAAAGACGCTACTGACATGATGGGATTAGGATTTATCTTGTTTCAATGTCCTTTGACGCTATGTATAGTTCTGATAAAGTCTAGAAAGTCCACATCTATGATATTGGGCCCAATACGAATCAAGGGGCCATATTTATCATCCAATTGTCAAATTACAAGATGAGACTTCCCGCGCCAAACAACAGCAAGGCGCCAGAAATTATTCCAGCCTACCGCACCGGTTAGAAGTTTGAATCTGTCATTCATTGTTGACGCTATATCCTCATGAGCAATAAATGGCACTCGACGCTCGCGGGGGTACTTACAAATCCTGCAATCAAATTATTTGTATTCTATCGCACGGGTCTGTGAAGTAGCCAAGGCGTTGATTGTCCAATGTCAATAGATCGCGCTGGTGCGACAAGCAAGACTTTACGCAACATGCCGTCAGTTCAACTAGACTAGACTGAATACGAAAGTCGGTCCAGGAGTCGATAGCTAAATATATTGATCAAAATTATTAATAAGTAAGATTATTCTTTTAGCTTAGTATCTACCAAGCCATAGCTAATCTCAACTATCATAGCTAATGTTCTTATTAGTATTTTATCGCAGTTTTGGATCATTATCATCATCAGTGTCCGAAGTTCTCTGAATTTAAGCAATTATACATGTTGCGTAAAAATTTCAGATCGGATGAGCAAGATATTGTAATAATACTAATCGTGTACCGGAAAATTGTTTGTTCTATTTCATCCGGCCCCAGCAGATATGTTTATCCAAATACGAAAGACGCCATTCGACGTTATTTATACCAGTGTTCGATATACTAAATGTAACTTTACGAGGGGATTTTATATTGAGCAGAATGTTGTTTACTGGAAGTGCTGTTCAGTTGCTGAGCGATATCTCTACAGCGGTCATGTGTTCAATCAACGTGGGAGTTCTAGATAATAAGGAGTAGCGGAACGATAAGGCAGCTACCCGTCTAATTGCTAGGTAGTCCTACAAGAAACTTCTCAGTACTGCATCCAAGTTTCTTTTCTTTCTTTTTCTCTTTTCACAAAATATATCTTGCGGTTCACAGTCCGACACTTTCCCCGCTGCCGGTGTGGATGCGGGAGAACTTCCGGGATATCCCGCTGCTAGATGAATTAGGATACGTATTGTCACGGAATAGAGTTCTGAAGCATAATAGCCCCCCCAAACTCGTCTCCCCATGGGAACTAATAACATTCTTCATAGTAAAAGCGTTTTGGTCAGCAAAAGACTGTATAGAGGCCTGCAGAAATGCCCAACAAGACTGAAATTCGGACCTACCCGGCGGTTTCGAAAATTCCACTCAGTGGTGCCTTTGTTGTCAAGGCTCGTCCGACTGGAACAGATGATGACTGGGCGGATGTGGTTTCGTATAGTGTGGATGTGGCAGACGTGAACACGACGCGCAACCAGTTCAACAAATACCCCATCGCAGTAGCGTCTATCGATGTTGCGGGACCCGTTACGTTCAAAGTCAAATACACAAAAGCATCGGTCATTACAGCACTAGTTCGGCCAGTATCACTCAATATTGAAACCTCTCTCGCGTCTGAGAATACAATAACCTTCACTCTCGAGAAGCCTGTGGATATTATGCTTGAGATCAACGGCGACAAGTGGAAAGCGCTACATATGCTCGTTAACGAAATCGATACTGATTCTCCCAACAAAGATTCCGAGATCCTCTGGTACTTTGGACCTGGTCTTAACAACGGCCCCGCCTATTCCAACGTGGTCGATGGCAACCTGTTCGTTCCCTCTGGTACAACCGTCTATATCGCCGGCGGAGCATTTCTGGAGGTAAAGTTAAATTTCATCGGTGTTTCAAATGCCAGTGTTAAAGGCCATGGCTTTATATGGAATGGACCTAATGGTGGTGCCATCTTGATTGAAAGGTCGACAAATACGCTTGTGCAAGGAGTGACTTCTTTGGGTGCGACAGGTTTCAGCCTGACGACAGGAGAGGCAAAGGGCGTGCATATCAAGAATTATCGTTCATTCTCCTCGTTTGGAAATGGCGACGGTGTTGACTTCTTCTGCTCCCAGGACGTGTTGGTAGAGGACTGCTTCCTGCGTAACTCGGACGATACCGTCGCCATTTATGGCCATCGTTGGGATTATTTTGGCGATACCAAGAACATCACAATCCGAAACTGCACTCTACTGCCCGACATCGCTCACCCCGTGCAAATAGGCACACATGGAAACCCTGCCAAGCCTGAGAGATTTAGCAACATCCGCATCGAAAACATCGACGTCCTCGACCATTATGAGAATCAGATGTGGTACCAAGGCTGCATATCGATCAACGCTGCGGATGAGAATTTGATTGAAGACGTAATAATTGAAAATATCAGAATCGAGAAAATCAGCAAGGGACAACTCGTCAATATCCGCACCATGCAAAATGCAATGTGGACGACAGCACCGGGGCTAGGAGTGCGAAACATCACGATCAAAAACGTGGAGCTGAATATGAAGAATTCAAAGGTTGTGAATCCATCGCAAATTTTAGGATATGATGCCTCTAGAAAGGTTCAAAATGTGACGTTCGTCAATCTCAAGGTGAACGGAGACCTGATTCACGATGATATGCAAAAGCCACGATGGTACATGGTCTCTGATTTCGTTCCAATGTTCATCAATGAGCATACTGAAAATATCAGGTTCGTCTTGGAAAATTAGTTGAGTTATTGAAAGGACGTGTGACGGCCGCAGCAGATAAGCGGTCAGAGTTTAAGCACAGTTGAAAATTTACCACTATTCGATTAATCTACTTTCTGTTGATGTATATCATCAAGAAGTGACATCATTAACCCACGCTAACGGTATTTTCTTTGATTTAAGAGAGATTTCGACTTGAATCTATGTTTCTTACTTGGGTGACGGACGAGCATTGAACAATATCGAGCAACACATATCACTCAAAAACCATGGATTGGAGAGGTTTTGGGCTTTCTTGTGGTGAGAGAGAAGAGTTCATTAAGTAACCTATTTGATTGCGTGAGCGCTACTAGAATACTAACTTGCAGGTCATATTCTGCTTTAAAAGCATTATCAAGTGGGAATGAAATATTTCTTGTCTCTATCATTTTAATCAACCCTGTTCTGCTCCGGCATTATGTCAAGAGTCATCCACAATATCACACCGAAAAACTCTAAGAGGTCTCCGGCGTTAGCCTGTACAATAATGTACCGTGTCCAAACGCATCATAGCCACCTGAGTTGGGTCCAAAGTCGCCCCCACCACCCTCAACATTATCGGTGATGTTTCTATTGACATAGTCGCGGTATTGTTGCGACCAAGACGCATTGGCGCCTTTTAGCTCAGCATAGTGAGAATAAATGAGCTCCATGCCTGGCCTTGCAGTATATCGTGCTTTAGTAGCTACTACTGGTAGAGTTCCCTCCCAGCTGACATAAGGAGTGTATGGGACGTCGAAGCCGACATTGTACTTGGAAGCATATTCCGCCCTATTCGACATTGAGTTTATGTCTCGCCTTAATCTCAATAGTGTGGCTTACCCATTCAAGATCTCTCGACCAAAAGATTCAAACAGGTCAGTGCCTTGGTTAAACCCAAGTTGACCGACAACTCCGAGCAAAACAGTGGAAAGCATAGCGTGTCCTTGATCACGGCCAGACTCTTGCCCCTCCATCAAGATCTTGCCGGACCCTTCTTCAGTGAAATTCGCAATGGAATAAATTGGAAGTGCGCCATTAGCCACAACATTACCCGGAGGACCGTTGTTGAAATAATCAACCGCAAAATCATACATGGTTTTGTCATTGTTGTAGATACCAATAGACATGAGAGATGCGATATTGCAAAGATCCCAGTTAGCATAGTAGAAGTTCGGTTTGCTATTGTGGTTATCAAGAAAGTCCCGGTTGAAGTATGCAAATATATCATTTAGCATATTGCCAAAAGCCGTTTGATTTTCCTTTGGCCATCCAGGGTATAATCGTAGCAGCTCTCCTACATTGGCAAACTGGTAACCGTAGAGCCCAGCTGCCAAATACATATCCTCGCTTCCGTTGATGGACTGAAGCGTTGATGACCAGCTGTCCAAGATCATCGCTGCATGGTCAGCAAATGAAGTATTTCCGGTGATGAGGAAGCGCCATGTCAACTGATATGCCGAATGCGCATCTCGATATGCATCGCCATAGTTCTGAGCATAGAAGGAGTTGTTACCACGAACTAGAATGTCATGTGGCTTCGGGGTCCATGTTATTTGTGCCAAGCTACTCTTGGCGAGGTGGTCGTATGCTCGGGTCCATGGCTGTTCACCACCGTCTATGTGGGCTTTCACTCGTGCGATATCTCCGCATGTATGAAGGGCGCCTGGATGAGTAAAGCGTGTCTCGTTGTAGAACTTCGAAGATCGTATTTTATTGATGGTTGCAGCCCGGCTAAATCCAAAAAGCCAGGCACATACAACAACTGAATTCCATTTTAAAAACATCTCGAACTCTGTCTATGTGCATCATTAGTAGTGGAACAAGCACACAGAACCTCGTGTTCTAAAACGGGGCCTTACTTGAAGGGAGCATGCAGCCAGATGAATGAGATGAAGTTACTTAAAAAGTCAGAATCAGGAAATCCAACTACTTATGTATAAGACCATTATAAATTTTCACTTAAGTCGGTTCAATTGTGCCATTCAAGCCCTGACATAGTTTACCTTAGGTGCAAACATGTGCCCAAGGTGTGTAGGGCTGCTACGAGATATCTGATATCCACAGGAGCTTTCATAGGTATATGCAACATTCCGGCAGCTTTTCCGCATTCCTCGCACTCTTATTACTCAAGGTTCAGCTCCTCACATTGTCTCTAACTCCAAGGCTAGGTGACGCTCGATCCCACCGGAGATAATTCGGTGTACGGGGTGCCAATGCGTCTGGGGAAAAAATACGGAGGAAGTCTTGTGCGGCTGGGGCCTTTCAATGGCCATATCTCAACGGCCATTCTCATCTTGATTTATCAACCCCACATCTACGATCTTGACGAACTTCGCGACCGGGGTGATCTCCGGAACATATCCCGGTTCCGTCTTAATTCGTTAAAGTTTTCAATTTTTATCAATATTATTGAAAATGGTTTTCAGCACTAATCGTACCGACATTTCAATTTTCCTCGTCGGTAGTTCCAAAGAACAACTTCTTCGAGATGTTGAGACGCACGCGAATGAGCACCAATCGGTTGATGCAATGCCACACCACCACAAAAGTGCTCTGGCGGTCCAAAGTCTAGGTAGGTTCAAATCCTTTACAATCATCTTGAACTGCAATTGATACAGCGATTCAGGAATGGGATAGGACAGGTTTAAACGGAGCCTACCTTCCGTTTCCCTAAACGTTCAGCGTTGTGGACACGTGCGAGGCTTGCAATTCTGCTGATACTTGTGAGATGAACTCTTATATATTGGGTGTAATCAGAGGTGCTCTCTACATTCACAATGACACCCTTAGAGTTCTTGATCTAGTACTGGACTGGTTAACTTTGCTTGTGCCAGTGTTTCTTGAATTCCGTATTCTTTGAACGAGCTCATCGGTTGTCATGGCACCATCATCGTCGGAGCTTCTTTAGTCTACTGGCCCTCTTTGGCGTCAGATCTTGGTCTACAGAATCCTGCTTCGAGTCGACAAGGGGCTTGGGAAAGTTGCAGTCCTAGTTTATTCGGCTGATAATGAAGCTGCTATCGTTCGTGATGTGTTGATAATACCATGGCAGCTCTGTGTGACTTTTGGTCATAGACTAAGATTCTATGCCAACCTTGTCGGAGTGAATACCAGGGATAATGCATAAAATGTTCAACTTAGCTCTGTCTCCATTCCTGCTGTCTCAATACACATTGGCATTTTCTTTGCCCCTAAGCCGCCAGAATGGCTGATCAAAAATCAAAGACATGCAGCAGCTTGCAAGTGGTTCCTCCGGCTGCGTTGTACCTCTTCAAGCTGCGAGAGGCTTGTATCATACCCGTGGAAATTGCTTACCAGGGAAAAGTTTCTGAATGAGGAACGTTTTGGCAAAACCAACTCTTTGTAAGGAGTGGAACTATTTGCTGCCTCTCGTGTTTGCCGACCCACGCAGGCCTCCGGCATCATCACAACTGCTCCATAGATGTGTCAGTAGTTTTCCGCTTCTCTTTTCACACAATTAATTTCACCGAAATTATCGCACTCGTATCCATGTTCCTTTCATATCCAAAACTAGCAAGTGAAGCTTGAAATAGTTTAACTATCTTTTCGCTGTTGCTAACACTGTCCACGCCGAGTACCAAACAAACTATGGTCTTACCTTAATAGATCAAAATAGACGTACTCCACCCGCAACAAGAGATGGAGACACGTGTCTCCCCATTCGAGAGCAATGAGACATATCCGAGGGGAACATGATATAAAACGACCCGAGAAACTCGACCATATTTATTCCATTAAACCGTTGGCGTTCTAGAGTTAGCCTTATATTGTTGAACCATAATTATCAACCAGAGGAACAGGTCATTAACTTGAAATAAATGTAATTTAATTACAGAATTTCAAGAAAAATCTCGCCTACTCATCTTATGTCCCTCCTGAAATTAACGTAAATAAACTTCACAAGCCTGTAATAATGATGTTGCTTTTTCAACCCAGACGACTGACTGCCGGCATCTTACCTATCCAGTCCGCCTCACCATCCTCCACAGCATCGACAAGCCATTTTGTCAAAGCTGCACGCTTTTGTGAAAATGTCCACCCTTTATCACCAATCCAACCTGTAAATGGCTTTCCATCGTTCCTGTCTATCTTCCAACTTGCTTCGTCTGAGCCTCCAGGAATACTCGTGATTCTGAAAACGGTCCAGTCTATGTCATGTGCTTGCTTATCAAATGCATTGGCGATATTCTGCATGGTTTGAAAGACTCCACTTGCAAATAGTCTTACGAAAGCGACAGCCACTGCTGACCCAATTGTCCAACTGTCCATGTCTCGTTTGATTGAAAGCGTCCCCATGGCGAAGATGCGGCGGACACGATACTCACGCATCAGTGGGAATAAACAAGTGATGTAGAACTCGGCAAATATATTTGGGTCGATGTTCTTATCGTTGATGTTCGGACCTAGGAGTGAGATGATAGTTGAGCAATCTGCAACTGCTGTCGACAAGGTGAGACGGTCTTGTAATTCGCCTTGGAGGATCTTTGGGAATCAATTCAGTTATTTCCAGCAAATACTAAATTTTGATTTAGACTTACCTCGATGAGTGGAGAAGATGCCAGTTCAGGCGGAATTTTCGAGGGAGTTCGTGCATAGACTATAGTGGCATGATTCCGGTAGGCAAGCTCACGCAGCAGGCAGAGACCCGCAGGGCCTGTGCCACCCAGCACTAGTATTTTCGATTTTGTGGACGCCATGGATTTCCTTTCACATTGAATGGAGGAAAAGATTGTGAGAAAGATATTTCCAGGAGTGCGGATGTACTCTCATTTATGCAACTTTTCTACGCAATAACGAAATTGACAGGAATGGTCGCCATTTGCGCCCATTACTACTTTGTGTTCTCCGACCTTGGCGAAGATGGAGCATGCCGCGCGGGATGATCCACCTGCATCTGCCGACCAATCACGAATGCGGAGAAGGACGACGCTAACTAGTTTGGCTCTGAAGTCTAATGTAATTAGCAAGACAAAGTGCATTCCACTCCTTTCACTTGTGGCATTTTCGTCATTCACGGACTACTCAGTCAGCGAAAAGGAAGCACAGCACTCCATGCAAACAGATCATGGCGACGGCAGATTTGATGCCTACGAAAAGTGGCACTGGATGCTGGACTTGTAGGTTACGCCACAAAAGATGCGATCAGAACTTGCCTGTCTGTAATGCCTGCCAGGCCCTTGGTATCACGTGCTACTTCTCGAATACCAAACCATGTTGGATGGATAATGGAAGTAGTCAGCACAAGAAGGCTGAGGAGATCAAGTCGGAGGTAAAATTGAGTGCTCAACGGCGGCGACGGATGCAATTCTTGCAAAGTCTAAGCCAAGGAACCGAAGTCAACCAAGCAACTGCTCATTCAATGGCACCACCATTGGACATATACTCAGATACATCTGTTCGGAACGAATCGGAACTGAGCTTGATCATGGCATTCCTCGACTATGTGTTTCCAAAGCTGTTCCCCTGCTACCAACCGTCGGCTATCGAGGGTGGTCGCAGCTGGCTATTAGTGCTGGCATCCCAGAGTGACGCCTTCTATCACACCATAGCCAGCACGACGTTATACTTCTTCTCAATGGTTCCTGTTACATCGAACCCGATACCACCTGTCTGCAGCTCCAGAGCGTGGAGTGGTTTATATAGGCAATCTAAGTCTGCGATCGCAATGTTGCAAGGCAGTCTTCAAAATATGGTTGGGAAAAGCGCCCACTCAGCGTTAGTAAGGAGTATACACCTCTTGGGGAGCGTCCTACGATTCTTGGAGTTTGAGGCGATGATAACCGCGTCCGAGAGCTGGATCATTCATATTAATGCTGCCGTCGAACTTTTTGAGCACATACTCTCCCAACACCGCTATGGCTCCATCGCTACACCATTCATGGCCATCCTAGATGAGCTGGTTTCACCGAAGGCTGGCCCAGCCTCATCCGCAATCCCTTTCCCAACGTGGAACGCCACCCAAGCCGCTTATCGTTTCTTCGTCAGTAATCTGATGGTCAATGATATCATCTCGGGCTGTGCCTTGAGAAAGGCTCCAAAATTGAAACGTTATCATAATGAGCTACTTGGCCGACTTTCAAGAGACCAGAAACCAACGCTCGACTTAGAAGACATCACTGGATGCCAGAACTGGGTGTTGATCCAGATAGGTGAGATCGCAGCTTTGACTGAATGGAAGGATAGAAAAAGGAAAGAGGGAAGTCTGTCGAGCCCGGCATTGTCTCAACGAGCTAGCACAATCCAGAGCGCATTGCACGCCGGGTGTCAGCAGCTTGAGTCTTGCTCAGTAACAAGGATCGAAAGCGAAGCGGCAAAGGAATCAGCGCTCGACCCCCCCTATTTTGCCACAGATTACCTGCTTTCATCCGAACTCCGCGGAACCATCACGCATATCTGGGCGCATGCGGCCTTCCTCTATCTCCAGAGCGTAGTAGTCGGATGTCAACCATCAAATCCTCAAATTCACGATTGTATCGAACAGACAATATATGAGTTCAAGATACTAAAGTCACCTACGATGCTTCGTTCTCTTAGCTGGCCGATATTCGTGACAGGGTCTCTTGCTAGTGGGGAACAAACTTCAAGCATCCGGGCGCTTATCGATTCGATGGGTACATTGTATAAAGTGGGTACCACTCATCACGTAATAGCAGCTTTGGAGAAGTTATGGGCCGATCGATCAGCGTCCAACTCTGATGATTGGGACTTGGCTATATATCTGGACACATTGGAATGGAGGCCTTTACTGATTTAAGGACATCTTCAAATAAAAATTCAAGAGGGCTTCCTAAGCAGGATCTACGACGCCATGATGTGAAGAACTATTCGGCGTAATATTATGCCTTAATTTTTAGTGAAAGAGTATTTAGTATAAAAACAGAAATACACCTCAATAACTTAGACTTTCCAACGAATTATATCGCCAGTCTTCTATTACACGGTAAGGAAGCCCAGGCCGCTCATATTAACCGGTTTCTCACCTGTGGAGACGACCGTCTTGTACACAAACTTAGCCCTTCTTAATGATGGCATAGAGATTGTGGCCAGATACTGCGCCTGCTGCGGCGAACATCCCAATGGGTGCTACTGCATATGTGGATATACACTTTAATTACAAACCCCTGGAAGACGCACTTGATAATAGTCATTGCTGGATTCGAGTATGCTCCAGAGTCACCGGCGGTAAAGACGCCAAACATAACACCACAAGTCAAACTCATTGTGACGTTGGTATAAGAAGCAGTACCATCATTTTACTGCATGCTGGAATAACGTCGCATACCCAAAGCAGATATCCAGCCAGCTGCCGTGTTCCCGGTTGCTCAGGTACGACTTGGTCAAGGTTGAATTTCTGGAGAGTGCCATGAGGAAACATCCTCAGAACTCCAAGAAGGCCTCTCAAAGCAATATATATATCCTACTCTATAAATGCAGTTCAGGATGAGCCGTACTTAGTCTGGGCTCAGTGGCCGCTGGAATGGCTATACGCTCTCGTGCGGAATCAAGTGTAGCGCCGACATACTGCGGGCCAGGCAACCCGAATCAGAACATGAGCCTCACAAGCTTCCGCGTTTATCCTTGAAAGTGATGTGCTAACCCCGCCCTGCCAACAACGAGATCGGCACGGGAATGCCAGCAACGCAAACTCCACCAATTAGAATGGTTAAGCGCTATGGAATTGCCGACGTTTAGAACCAGTGGAATCGAAAAACCTTCGATCGTGTTTCATGAACCTCTTGCGTGAGAGAATAGCGCATGGTCAGTTGTAATTCAATGGGGATTGAACACATATAGTGCTCATCATCTGGTCGTTTTCCACTAAAATGACTACGGTTTTTGTCAACACCTTTCGCAAAGGATGTCTTCTGAGGCAGATTTGTTGCAGCATCTGGAAATTGTATTTTCGGACAAATGGCACCTTGGCAACACGGGCTATGCACTTCTCCGTATCAGCGGAGATTCATCCGAACATAACTCCGGTGGGATTGATGCCATTGCAAGCTTGCAAAATTTTCCCTATACGCGGCTGAATCAAGCAACGGTGATTTGCAACGAGTGGCGACCATAAATCAATTTATAAGGTCGCCGTCCTTGAGCTGCATGGTCTCGTTGTTGCCAATTGTCCCCAGGCTTCCATTCATATGAGCCAATCTCCGCATATCTGGAAAATGTTCTGCTCTACGCTAGTGTATCCGTTGACCCTTTTGGCAGCAATTGTTAGTATGTGGCCATCAACCGCGACTGCGGAAAGGGATTTTGATGATTTGAAGTCTCTGGAAAAGCTGGTTGTCCTGTAAGTCATTGTTCTCCTGGAGTGGTTGTATTGGTGCTGCCGTCTAATATACTCGTAGTGGAGATTCTTATTCAAGAGTTGGTTTTACCTCGACGGGCACACAACCTTCGGCGTCAAATCCATTTGGGAATACTGCCACCACTAGTTCTGGGGGCAATAATTGGGTTCAATTTTTGACGCTCAAATACAATGAAAGTGCCTTCCTGACTTATGATTATGCTTTGAGTGGCGCTACAGTTAACGTGTCTATCATTGAGAACACCATTGGAGTCGACATAGTCACGGAGGCTGACACCTTTCTGTCAGCATACGGAAGCAACAGCACTTTCGGGGGTGGTGGCATCATTTATGCATTCTGGATCGGTATCAATGACATCAACAAGTCGTATTTGGGTGACGATTATGCTGGCATCGACCTTGACATCTACGCTGAGGTTATTGATTCATACTATCAAGTTGTATCAAAATTATACGATTCAGGAGCTAGAAATTTTCTGTTTCTGAACGTCCCTCCACTGGAAAAGGCGCCCACAATCTTACAGTCGTCCAGTAACTCGACCAAATACCCGCTGATGCAAAGAGCGGTGGCAGACTACAACGAGAAGCTCTATAAGATGGTACGACAAGTAAGGCACAACTTTGCCTATACTAGCGTGTTCTTCTATGATGCACATGCACTCTTCGATGCCGTCCTAGCAGACCCTTCTCAGTATGGTGAAACTGCAAGTATTCATGACACGACGTCCTATTGCAAAGATTATGCGAGGTAAGTTACTTCGAGCCCTCCCCCAAACATCCCGACTTGAGCCTATCTGAGACTTAAAGTTATTCTGCTACTAACTACCCTTTGTTATGTAGCTTAGTGAATAATCCGGATTATAAATCAGAGAATTGCAGCTACGCAGTCGATGGGTACTTCTGGATTAACAGCCTTCACCCGACATGGCCCGTACATCAACTTTTAGCCAAGGAGATTTCCGCTTTGTTAGTAGCCGGCAATTCAATTTGATTAAAATGTGGTAGTGGTGGATTTCACGCGAGGCATATTCTAATCATGTGAAGCAAGGGCTATTAAATAAACAATATCTTATTAGATCCTTATTTCTTCTTCTTCTTCTTCTTCTTCTTCTTCTAAATAGCCCGTGCGACTAACAGAATGATTGGCAAAGAGACAAAATCCACAGTGCGAATCGGTCGAGCGTGTTCACTTATCAGAGCCAATGGGTCAGAATCATGGTTGAGAACATGTATAAGTGTTTGCCTATAGTGAATAATATAGTCTTGTTCCTAACTGTTGTTCGGTCTTGTTCTAATAACTTAACAGTAGTACCATCTGGCGAACAGGTTCAAACCATGTGCCTAGTTCTAAGACGTAGCATCGCCATGTGATCGTGACACAAGACCTAGGATGTCCTCCAAAATAAGTGAATGTCTTCCTCCAACGATCTGTCCGTTGTATCCTGGTCTGCGCCCAGTCTTGTGTAAGACAGCCTTCTCCTCTTAGACACAATGAGCATAATCCAGATTAATGTTGATAGGCATAGCGGGTTAATGATGCCAAAGGCCCATACCCAAGGATCCCATAGGCCAGCCCTCAATGTGGTGGCGCCGAAAACCGCAAGGCTTGCGAAGAGGTATGAGAGACTCAAAAAAGTGCCAGCCATCCGTATGTCACAATCTGGCATGCCAGGTTCCTCTTCAGTGAAGACACTTAGACATTTAGGCATATGTAATACCCTTTGCACCTGGCGGCCTCGTTGTATCACAAGTTCCCGTCGTTGAACGATTTGTTTTTCGACAATCAAGATAATAGCAGTTGCTAGGCTATTAAAGATGAGCCTTACGCAGATTTCCCCACAAAATCCGCTGAGACACTCTTCCATTATGTGGGTGATGCCAGTATCGTTGTGAGTATTAGTGTGGGTAGCCTTGTGAACGCGGGATCAAATCAACCAGTGATGTTTTGCTGATATTATTCAGGCCTGGAATGGTCGGAGGAACCAGCTTGGCAAATCGAGTTAGGAATGATCGATGTGTAGGAGTGGTATGGTAAACCAATCCGGCGTTAGACGAGAACCCTGTTGTATTTTAGGTAGCGGTGTTGTTGTTGTAAGGGCCGTTGTTGCGCTGGGGAAGAAGTTTGAGATAGGGTGTTGAGGTTTATTGAGTGAATATGCAAATCTTGGTGTAGCCTAGATGAGCGCTAGTTTAACAGTAGCCATGGAATATCTAAAGTTACTTTCTGGTAGCCTATCCTCTACCGAAAGAAAAAGAACAAAAACGAAGAGTAACCATGGTTAGCTTTGCGAGTCCCCATTACTCTTTTGGTGAGCTTTTTCGGTGAACTCCTTTGGGGAACTCTTTCGTCTCGGTACAGGACCGCTGCAATCTGGGTTTTGAGTATGTAATGTATGTCGCACTGTTTGTGTCTTACGACTGTGACACAACTCCCTGGAGAACGGTGAATGCAATCATACTGTTGCCTCGTGTTGTAATGGAATTTAGCAGTCAAAACTTTCCGCAGCTAGAAGGATTTGATGCGATTGCTTGGACACCGTACTAACTTGGTGTCGATGACTACGTCATGTATACGTGGAAGTTGCGCAGTTGGATGGCAACACTGACTGACTATTTGTTTAATTCAATAACTGAAAGGGCTGGTACTTAATCAGTTCAAACGGTGCAAGAACGTCTCTTCGCATGTTCATGCTCACAATCCATGGCGTTCCCTCCATTAAAAGAGTTGAATATGAACGACGATCGGGTGTCTACTTCTCGTTTAAATAAAACTGCAAGTATGAGAGCATAAGAGCGGCTTCATCGTGGGCTGCCTTGGACCATTTCACGATCCCGCGACCAGAGAATGAGAATTTGAAAAGCAGGGTATGAGTTTATTATCCAAATATCCTGAGGCATGTACTTTTTGATATACCAGGTACATTGTTATCCACCTTGAAGAAGGCGCCTTCAAATAGCTCAAGTTTCTTGCCCACGACTGCTGTATCATTGCTGCCTCCCATTTTCTCGAATTGCGACCAAGCGCAACGGATGAGGGCTCCTTCCACCACTTTTATCGTTATGCAAACTTGATCAAAGAGCCACACTTTGTTCTTTACTTTGCCTTCTTCTTTTTTCTTCATAGCGTTTGGTTATCATGGATAATATTAACTTATCCCCAGCGATTTTGGAAGCTCTCCAATTTTTGTACTGCCTCGCCTTGTCGGCAGGCCCCCCGTGGATTATCCGGCAGCTTCTCGTAAAGTATGCGTTGCCTTCAGATCTGGATGGTTCAGAGCCTCTGGATCAGTGGTGCAATCGATTTGTCGGTTACTTTCTCCCTGGTCTACTCGGAATTGGCCTAGCCGCCTGGGTAGACACAGTGAGGCCTTCAGTTTTTGGACTGACAGTGCGTGCACTGGAGGTCATGGGAAGCAATGTCTAACATTGAGACTTCGTGTCACAATTTTTGAAACCTTTATCATGCATATCCTTGGGGTTTGCTTTGAGAATTGGAGCAGGCTCTGACGGTCGATTATAAATACTCTGGGCATTTTTTCTTTCCGCCAGGTATTCCGACCTCACCACCAATCTGAGTTGATGACCCTGCACTACCACCAGCAACTCTTGGCCTATCGTATCATTTTGATACTGCTTGATTGGTAGTTTGCGGATAGGAGTCCTGATGTATAGAAGGTGCGGTCTATTCCCTATCTTACCTCTGATGATTGCGACTAACATACCATCTCAAATGATTCCCCCAACCGACATTTTCAATTTCCATGGACCGAATCTTCGCAGCTACGACTCGTACACAAGACGGAGGCATGGGATGAGGGCTGAAACCCTCGGGTATTGGCTGGGTTGCACTATCGGGCAAGACGGTAGTTTGTGAGTCACGCATGGGCCTCTATAGGAGCGTATGGCATGGAATCGTTCATGTGTTATGGCAAAATTGAAGTACATTGCTTCATCAAGGGCTTTAGAGTCGGGGGCAAGTCAAAGGCTTTGAAGTTGATGCAACATGCTTCAATCATACCAATTTTTTCATGCGACTGGCCCTCTCATCATGCACTGACAGGTATGGCCAGTCATTCCTTATATCCCTGCGCTTGTGCCGTAAGATACTGTCTTTTGGAATCGGACTAGTTGAGATCCTCCCTGGATTTCTTGAGGAGGCGGTGTGCTAAATTGACTGTGTTCGAGCAGTAAAGAAGAGAGCCGGTCCATCTCGGGCACAGAAGGGATGCTTGAATGCCCCAGTAAGCAAATTTCCGCGGGAGCCATTCCGTGTCCACCGAAAAGCTAGTAACGGCGGCGCTTACGTGCAATGCACGAACATTAAACCACCAAATCGGAAAAGAAAAATCTGTGAACAACGTCATCTTGTGATTTGTACGAGACTCAACCTGCATTTGAGAGCCTTCCTCAATGAATAGTGCCCAAGGTAAGTATTCTTTGGGAGTGGCCTGTTGCGGCGCTATGTCTTTATATCCGAAAAACCGGGAACAAAGAACTTAATGCTGTCTTTTCTGGGGACCACAGACGATCTGTGTGAATCTTTAATATCTAGGTCGAGGACAGGTAAGCTGTGAACACTTTGATTATTGATGCCTGACTGGTGAAAAGCGTCCGATGTATCGTATGCCATTCGACCTTTTTGTTCACAGTGATCTGGGCTCAGGGTGTAGCTTGTTTTTCTGCAGCCTGTAATGAATTTATGAACCCACTCGAAGGAGCTTACATGTCTAAGTAGGAAGTTTTTTGAAATTCCGTTTATAGGCGTCATATCGTGGCATGAAAGTCTTTCTTTCCGGCTCGTAAACACAACTTTTAGACATCTCTATGCCATATCTATCATATTTGAATGCATTGTAGCCTTGTATCAAAGAGTAAGGAAGAATACGCTCGATATAATTGATGGGTCTAGCGGTTTAATTTACCTATATTTTAAGCCTCTATAGACCTGATAATGGAATACATTCATGTTTGCATATTTTCCAACGGGTGAGAGAAAGAATTCCATACATGTATCTGGTCGAGATAATTTTGATTATTGTCAGTTGTAGATGCTCAAGGGAGGATGTATCTAACGAACATGACGCCTCGACAGATCCTACAAATTTATTGGCAGTCGTCTCAAGCCGGATAGATTCCGTGTCCAAGCCTCCAATCAAACCCTAGGAGGACCTGTTTAGTTTCGTATGTCCGCGGAACAAACCGATGCTTAGTACTAAATCCATATGTTATAATGGGTGACTAGTTATCCTGTATTAGTATTGTGTGTTGGAGTGGTGTGAATATGCCTCACGTACCGGCAACCGACCTGGACTGGACCTGGGCAGCGAGCGAGTCTGAGCCGGACAACTCAAGGTTCCAAAAACTTCGCCAGCGTGCTAAAGAAAATAAGAAGTTAACACAGTAGTTTACTGTTTGAGAAGAGGTTAATTGCTTACTTCTAGATCTCGACTATTTCTTTTATATACCTAGATATGTTAACCCATCGTTACAGATCATGATTGCAATGTTACAAAATTGTTTGTGCACGTAGATTGTAATAAGTCTTCGATTTCGGTGTGGGTAATGGTGGAGTTATGATTCGCCCAATGCTCTAGGCAGGTAACCAGAAGCCCAGCCCATTTGATTCATACCCAGCATCCAGTAAAACAGTGCTATACTTACCTAACCTAATGATGTACCAGTAGGGGGCGATCTCCAATGGCAGGCCCGCCTCTAGCTTATTGGTGGGGATGCAAGGTTGTAATTCTCGCTGACTTGAGCCGCAGATCTGGGATGCAGTGTCCATTGCTTCCCGCAACCTTAGAGGCTTGCCTTTTTCAGAGCTCTGTCAGACTCAAGCCTAATAATAACGGTGACATGTCTTCCATTACTCTATATTTTTACTCAAAAAATAATTCTTTCGAGAAGAACTACGAAATTGGCGGCAGAGTGTTTCATCTCACACTAGTTAGCGCAAGACGCAGACACCGACCATCCATACAATATATGGTGGGGTTTAAAGAGTAATGGGAATGTCACGCCAGTTCCAGAGCATTTGCGTTCATTTGAGCGTTTCCTCGTCCCACTTGGAAATTAGAAAGTGGAATTTACTCTACTAGGTATCTTATGTAATTACATTCGAGCCCACGAGGCATCGATCTTCGAAGAACTATTATGTTTCGAGCATTAAGGCTTTCTTACAAGGTGTCGACCGTGGAATATTATAATTACAGTCAAATATTTATTATTATTTTTAGTTCTGTGGAAATAAGTTATAATAATCATGATTTGTCATCTAAAATATCGAGGTTTGAACCTAATCGTGTTTACAACGTGTGTTCATTGCCAACAGGTCCAGACTGGAAGTTGTCTTCGAACCACGTTTCGGCATGTGGCATATCACACGAGTCTATTTCAATAGGGGTGGATCTTGTAGACATAATAATAGCCGAAATGGCGGAGCTCAAAACCCAAGTATTAAGTCAATATTTAAACGTGTATACCTTACCTAGTCTTTCTCCACTTTTCTTCTTAGTCCCCAACAACTAATTTTCGTAATTACTTGGTCCAACAAATTTCCTTGAGAACTGGGGCTTCGAGACTGGTTATTGGCGAAGTCAAAGTTGATATCGACACTAATAAATCTGTGGAATGTGATCGATATTAACCTTGCTAGTAGAGCTTGACGAGGCTCTAATATCGTAGTTCGTCAGTGTCAAAGGCGCAACCTTTTTCAGCGGTAATTAAAATATAAGCAGTACCTAATGTTGCAGAGGCTCTTATGACTCTGAGCGAGTTGAGCCCATCGACCGAAGCAGTTTGACCCCCCTTGTGAGAAAGGCCATACGACCGGGCAGGAAACCAGTTGCTTGACCATCAGCTCGACCATCAGCTCGTTTGCCTAGTGTGAGCTTTTAATCATAAATTCGTCTGAAGGTGTTCTAGCGCCTGGGATAGGTTTTGGGGATCAAGGGTGTTGATGGTGTCCGAATGCGGAATGCTTCTCGCCATACATGGATCATATACTGAAAGAAGCCACTCGCGGCCACCAAACCGCCAACTACAACTCCGCCACCGATGTATTTACTGAGTGTAGTAATATCAGGCTCCAACGCATATCTTCCTTGCAAACTATTCGGTTGTAAGCAAGCTGACATGACCTTATCAAGGATGAATATAACACCACACTAAAATAAATGTTAGGGATGCATGATGATTACAGCCATAGTACATATACTCAGAAAACACTGACATAAGAGTTCCCCAAACCGGGGATCTTCAATAGTGCTTGCACGAGCTCAAAATCTACATTTTCATAAGCAGTAAGAAATGCCTGTTCCAGAATAGAATTGGTATGGCCTTACAGCCTGGCCGTAAGTTCCCAACAAAGTCGATGAATCTAGCACTGTGCTAGCTCAAGTTCAATGATCTGCGCACATCGGACTCACTCATGTCCTCCATGTTCCCATGAACAATTTCCTCTACCTTTATTCATGAAGATAGGAAAAAGCTCAGTGAAGAGCACTGATTGAGTGTTAATGGATGCCTCAGGTCTCCCCCTCAAGCCTCCGGTCAACACCTACGACAACCACTTTGGGTAGCTTTCAGTGGAACAGAGGATAAATCTGTTCCTCACCATTACTCCATATAAATATACTACTACCACCACCATACGTGAGGTATCTATTAGGTGCTCCTGCCGGGCATGAATTTGACGCCATAGTCATGATACAGCTGCGAAGCCGAGAATTGACTGATGGAAGACCTTGCTTTTGTGGAGGCATCTTGCAGTGAATTTTGGCCTTCCGCAATGCATGTGTCTTTGTAACAGTCACTTGGGCAGTAATTTACGACATTCTCACATGTAGACACAGTGTCCAGCACACGCACGAGCAAGATAATTTCGGGGCCAACAGTCTATAGTCTAACGACCCCCAGAACAAGCCCGAATATTTACAGGCTCATGAGACTACATATGATAGATACGCCATTGAAGACGTTTCCAGTGGTTCTGATGGTATTACCTACATTTTTTTTTCAGGGAAATTATGGTAATTTCGTCTCATTCCTTCAGCCCCATTACACAGCACAGGCTATCTGTCTGGCTCCTGGGGCTCGCAATATCCGACGAAGTACACTGCGGGTATCACAAGCTGAAAACTGATGGCCGATATTGATTAAAGTCTAATAATACTCAAAGACCGATTAAGGCAATTATAAGATTCTATCTAACTTAAATGAACAGAGATATTGCCTCTTAACAATTCACTTCAAAATAACGAAATGTTATCGCAAGCGCCCCCATCGCCGAAATACGAGAGAACTTAATCCAGACCTCGAACAAATCTCAAAGAATAGAATGGCCTAGCAAGAGGCGCAGCAAAGATTGACGTGAACGCTGTGCAGGATTGCTTGGAATGTGTTGTTATAGTGTTGCACGCCATATCTCCATGAAACGATGAACGGAGCAGCATTTCCCAGCACTGTGGACGCAATACACGATTAGCTACATTATATGGCCCAGATTTCGAATTCTTGGAGAGAGAGATTCACGCGGTGTTCTTGAGTTAGCTGCTGAATACGGCGATAAAACTCAGGCCGAGTCAGGAAATACAGCCGTAATAGAAACATGCGATATGTCGATGTCGTCTGTAGAAGATACGCAGTGAGAACCTTGAAGGCAGATTCCTGACGCCGTCATTGTGGGAATACGTGGACTGATCTAGTTTTTTTCGAGTTGGAAACCACTCATAGCTCATGTTATTTAATCGCGCTGGCCATCCAGGTTCTCATGACCCCATTATCGCCCACCCTTTAGTGGCAACATACCCGGCAAACCGGCCAACGTTTGGAATAGCGCCATGCTAGTATCATCATTCTGAACAAACGGCAATATCATATGGATGATTAGCAGTTATACCCTGGTTCTCGGTGCCGAAGTACCATGGGAGCCCTGGTTCTTCATGTTAGTTTAGGAATGATTGAGCGCTTTCTGAAGTACAAATAGTCCACACGTTTACCAATGCAGCCTTGCCAAGCGAGTATCTTTGCTTAAGCTCTTAGACTTGCTGCACCCAAGATTCATATGCCAGTATACTCCTGCTTGGCATAATAATTGCCTACACTTCCAGAGTACCTTCTCCTACGCCCGCCATGGCAGACAATTCGACCTTCGATCCCAATAATGTCGACCTGGACACCGCTGATCCGACTGACATCATCTGTTACCTGAATGCTGGTGGGAACGATTACGACGGTCGCTTAGGTGCCCGAATCTCCGCTCTCTTCGTTATTCTTGTGGTTTCCACAGCTGCAACATTGTTCCCTGTTCTCGCAACACGCATCAAGCGACTTCGTGTTCCGCTTTATGTGTACCTATTTGCGCGCTATTTCGGCTCTGGTGTAATCATCGCCACGGCTTTCATTCACCTTCTCGATCCCGCCTATGACGAGATTGGTGGTGCGTCATGTGTCGGTATGACCGGTGGCTGGGCCGAATACTCGTGGGTCCCAGCAATTGTCTTGACCTCTATTATGGTCATCTTTCTCCTCTATTTCCTGGCCGACTGGTACGTCGAGAGCAAGTACGGTGGCACTACACATACAGGCGTGGAAAATGCCGTTTGTAATCTCGAGTCCGACCGTGCAGTCCACGACGGCAACTCAGACATCCCGACTTCGCACGACAGCGGCAAGGTGGATGTCTACTATCAATCCGACGCTTCCATAGACGAGGAAAAAACTCAGCGAGCTTTCCAAGAACAAATTGCCTCTTTCCTGATCCTCGAATTCGGCGTCATCTTCCACAGCGTCATCATCGGCCTCAACCTCGGCGTCGTCGGCGAGGAGTTCACCACCCTCTACCCGGTCTTGGTCTTCCACCAGAGCTTCGAGGGTCTGGGTATCGGCGCCCGGCTGAGCTCGATCCCTTTTCCGAGACGACTCCACTGGATGCCTTACGCCTTGTGCATCGCCTACGGCTTGACCACACCTATCGCCATCGCCATCGGACTTGGCCTGCGCACAACATACGATGGTGGCTCTTTCACAGCGAATGTGGTCTCCGGCGTCCTCGATTCCATCTCGGCGGGTATCTTGATCTATACTGGACTGGTAGAGATGCTGGCTAAAGACTTCATCTTCGACCCGCATAGGACAAGGGATAAGAAGAGGATCACCTTCATGCTAGTTTCGCTCTATCTTGGAACTATGGTAATGGCATTACTTGGAAAATGGGCTTGATTCTGTTCTGGTCTGAATGGGCAGTTATTCCAAGAATAGCGATGCCCCTTCCCTCCGGCTTTACATGATTTTGATTTCAGGTCTCTCTCAACCGTAAGGGAGATATTGTCAGATCTAGTAAGAGTAACAGCGTAGTATTATTAATATACAATGCAAAATGTGCTCTTGAACTCCTGGCACTTCATTGTGATAAGAGTCTATGTATACTGCATGATCTGAAATCGTATAGCGCCCATTCTGTTCACTATATAGGTTGGGTAAAATCGATTAATATAAACTAACATGCCCCCGATCGCAATACTTTTTTCAGTAAAGTAACTTACCTCTTGACTGCTGCCCATGCGTCTGTGGGAGTAAAAGAAAAAGACAAGGCTACAAGATTCTTGTTTGTTATGGACGGCGTCACCTTGTATTTCAGAAAGCCTTAAATTCAACTCATTCATAATTTCGAAAAGTTGAGCTATTATGGGCGTAACATTACAAGTTTGTTACAATTGGCTTACATTGATCGGTTCGAAGGACCTAATGTAAGGAAACAAGGCGATTGCCAATCCGGGATTGGGGTTCGTGCAGTTTGGCTCAGGGCGATTTCAATTCATTGGTGGCTTTTCGGAATCTTTAGCCTCCGCCATCATTTCCCCAGATTTAGAAGTGTTGGTTTCCACATTCGCCGAAATTGACCTGTTCGTCGCAACTATGTCTTCCGAGCAAGTCTCTGCAACGTCGATGATGGATATGACCTTGGCTCTTTTTGTTTTCAAGATTTTTGAAAAAATATTTAAATGTGGCGGGAGTTGAGGTTGCGCGTGGCATGACTGCTCGTGAATTCCCAAGGCCACATGGATCCCACCGGAGCGGAATGATCACAACGTGGAACGGAAGATGTGGGTTTCGCGAACAACTACACCGAGTGAGGTGATGATAAAGTCGATAGTCTGACAGCCGGCATATTTATATTATAGCGGGGAAGAACCTCGTTTTAGCGGATAGCTTTAGCAGATCACGAGATTGATCCAGCGATCGCTGCATCACAAACAGCACTGGTAGTATGTTTTTCTTTCGAGCTGTGGCTCTTGCGCTTTGGTTTTCCTTTATAATAGAATGCCTTGGACATACTCAATTCGGGCTTGAGGAAAGAGCGTATACCTGCACCGTTGCTGCAAACGGTGATGGCTCTGACGATACTCAGAATATCCTCGACGCCTTCGAAGAGTGCAACAAGAGTGGCAGGACCATTATTTTCTCGAAAGATACGACCTACTATGTCAATCAGGTTATGAACACGACTAGTCTCAATAATGTTACCATTGATATTTATGGTACACTGCTGGTGAGGGATTATCCTCTTTGTCGACAATCATGAACGATAGAACACATGGGCATTTTAAATAATACGAACAATTAGTGGAGCACGGATACAGACTACTGGCTTAATAATTCTATGCCAGTGGGATACCAGAATCAATCTACTGTTTGGTTTCTAGGTGGAAACAACCTAAAGGTCAATGGACACGGTACGGGAACCATCAATGGCAACGGTCAGACCTGGTACAACCTGGTGAAGGGAATATCGAACTACCCCAGTACGTCGAACGGACTGCGATCAAAGGGCAGCGGCTGACTACACTAGATCGACCTATGGGCTTGACCATATGGGGTGCCAAGGACTCAGTCTTCTCGGGTCTCACCTTCCTCCAAAGCCAGATGTGGTAAGTTCTCTAAGGCTCGCCCAAGAACATGTACACTTACGGAACAGGACAATGGCTATCATACACTCTGAGAACATCCTTCTCGAAAACTTCAACGTGAGCTCTCGCACAAACAATGGCTACCCAGCTCGGAACACAGACGGTGCAGACTTGCTGTTCTCAAACAACGTCACCTTCAGAGGTTGGACAGTGAATAATGGGGACGATTCCATTTCTCTAAAGGCGAACTCGACCAACGTACTTGTGGAAGACTGCTACTTTGAGAGAGGACTAGGTCTGGCTTTGGGCAGCATTGGCCAGTACGTCGACCAGTTTGAGACGATTGAAAATGTGACAGCACGCAATATTCGCAGCAACAACACGTTGCATACGGTTTACTTCAAGACCTGGACTGGCGAACAAGTTGGTTATCCGCCGAACGGAGGCGGAGGTGGCCTAGGTTGTGAGTTATCCCGTCCACGTGAATTTCCTCGGAGCCGCCACTAACAATGCCTTGCAGACATTAGTGGCATCTGTAAGTTCGGAGTTCCTAAATCCAGCGATAATCTCTGCGATATTAACCAAGCAAGCCATCGACGGATGGGAGGCCACCTACCTTCGCGACGCTGCTGTCTTGATTACTCAATGCACTACGTTTTCTGGGACGGCGGGAGACTGCAACAGCTCGAAGTTTCAGCTCAAGGATATTACCGTCAAGAACGTTTCCGGATCTAGCGCTTCTAGCTACGTTGCAAACCTTCAGTGCAGTGAGGACTCTGGTGGTTGTATAGACATTGAAATCGACGATGTCGACTTGGTTGATACTGGCACGGGTGACGACGTGGCCGGCTACAAATGTAAAAACATCGTCGATCCTATTGGGTTCGATTGTTGATCTTACACGGAAGCAGGTTGAACGACATATATGGCTTGCAGATGTGGTAGGCAGGCAGCCTTGATATCCACCTTGATAGGTATGGAGCTTGCTAGGATTGCTTGCATATTTTGTAAGACTAATTATATTGATAAAGATGAAATGTCTGAAGACGGAATATTGGACATCGATTGGCTTGGAAAATTGGCCTTAAATACTCAAGATATCTTTGAACTTCAGGCTAGGGTAGTGCTGTGTGCTGAATTAACAGAAGTGCTCAACCGAGAGCTTGATGTGGCAGCCCTTTAGAACCCTCCAATAACCTTCTATGAGGTTGTTTAGCCAACTCCGCCAGTCGCCAATGATTAATATAATTGGCTTGTGTATATCAACTCATATCCAGAATATAACGTACAACACGGGTGTGATGATACTCAAGCTACGCAAGTTGGCCACTACTAATCACGTAGAATAAACGCCTCTCAAGATTACCTCTTTTCCACTCAAACTTGACTGGAATATATAATTCCGTCCTTCGAGTCAATTTCACACGTTTAATATTTCATCAAAATAGTCTACGGCTTAGTCTAGCTAAAACTTTCGCACAGGGCGATAAACTGTGCTTCTATCAATGCACTTCTTTGAACTTCCTCTATTAAAAATGTGACATCTTTACTTCGAACGCCAACTCTTTGTCTTCCAGCAACACTGATCTCGAATCGGAGACTTCAAGTCTAATCGAAACTAGATGTTGAAGCTAAGTGGAATAAATAAAAGAGTCCGAGATAAGAAAAATGGTTTCCTGTGAGGTATTAGAGACAAAGATAGAAGATAGTATAAAGTAGCTTCCAGGTGGGCAAAAATACCGGTACAATCCCATGGATGCGAAACTAAGGATTACCCTTTCATTGGGCGCGCTCAACTAAAGTTGACGCCGAATAACTCGTCAGCTTGCATGATTCATGGTTGACTTAGCGATGCAATACCCTGCTGGGCTCATTTCTTCCAGGAATTGTGCCAAATCGTGCATGCCATTTGATCAACCCCGATGCAATGCATCAGCGTTTGCCATGTTCACTGGTAGCCAATTCCTTGACTAGAGACGACTTGAAGTTTACTGTTCCTACCACTGTTTTAGATAAATGCCTTGTGTCCAAATATAAGCTACGAGATTTCTCCCGTTGCTATCCTAGATACAGAACTTGCACGGTCACACAGCATACCGCCTGTCTCATCTTCCTGATAAGAGCGTCTTTTTACATCAAGCCTTTCCAATCCAAAAATCAATTCCAGGAAATTAAATTGATTGATGGTAATGGTTTGACTTCGTCAGCTTCTTACTGCTCTGTTTTCTTTTCTTTTTAGATGCTTGCTGTTGAACGATGTGATATGCAGCTATCATTGGAACGTCAATGCCGATAACAACTTTGCCTTCACCCGTGTTCCGCCAGAAGCAAACCCAAATGATGCTGAATCTGAGCCACGATGAAAAAATTATTCTTATCTCTACTTACAAATACGGTTCTGTTCCAAACTGTCAAACAACTCCCGTCTTAACTCTAGATCCAAGAGTATCGTCCCATATCAGATTATAATCCCTCTGGCACTTCATATCTTCCTTCTTGTGGTTCTTTCAGACTTCACTATGCCCAGGGGAACATTCAACGGAAAACGCTGGTGTATGTATCCGAATTCGCATAACGAAGTGTTGCAACGTCTCAACAGCCACGGCCTTACTCCCGATTTCCACCACGTTGATGACGAAGTTGGGTGTATTCAGAGTTACGACACCAACATAATGGGCCGTTTCCTTTGCAACAACAGTAATTGCGACGTGCAAGGGTGGTCAAGCAAGCAGATTGCAATTACTATACGGATGTATAGCGGAATGAAGTATAACGCGAGAGTTTATTACCAACGCTGCAGAGGCTGTAAGAGACTAAGCCGGCCACATATGGATCACTCGTATGCAGAGCGAGTCACGTATCGCATCAAGAAGTGGTCTGGTATAGAGGTAGAAGTGCCACCGTACACAGCTCAAAGCAATGGACCGCACGAGACCAGACTATGTGAGGGATGTAAGCATGGCCACTGCAGTCAGCGATGAATGGTTGATTCTGACTGGGTTCTGGGATGGACATGGTATGGAAGCTTTCTCAAGACTTGCCGGTATCGATTATGAAATCCGCTTAGTTACTAGCATGGTATAGCGATGCCACCAGCGACTTGACGGAACCCTTCAATCAATCATTCATCCGAACCATCCGAACCGACGTCTATGGATTCCCCCTTTCAATAATTTCGGGATAGAGCCAGGCATGTTTATTCAAGATTGGAACAATGTGGTCAAGGATAGCAAATGCTGCAGTGACAGTCTTAAGTTAGAGCTGATCAGCTCGATTAGGGATAAATATAATGAACCTGTGGAATGGCTTCTCCATTCATTTCTTTCCGTACAGTTTGGGCGACAAATAGATCTATTCAGCGCTATCGTACGAAAGGAAGAAGGGATTCTTCCCATCGTACGCGATCTACAGATAGGGGTTTGGCCTATACGGCTGCAAGCTGCCGACAGCCACGGTGTGGCTGTAGTGGCTTGCCGTCAGTACGCCGGTAACTAGCTAGACTATATGGTCGTGCGAGACCGCGGATAACCATATTCCAACAGAACCTTTGTTTCACAACGACTTGAAATTCGACTATTCGCTGGAAGTTTGTTTTGGACTTTACCTGAATGTCTAATCTTTCTATTCTATCGAACCACTCTATTCATTTTGCGTTGTATTATCAAAGTAATTCACCACCTAATGGGTATAAACTAGGGTAACTAATAGCAGTTTCCAGCGATAACAACACATCAACTTTGTTCTCTTCTCTACCCACGTATGAGTATGGCTTGTACTACGTTACGAAAGTAGTTAGATTTGTAGCACAATTACTTCAGTGGCCCTCTAATTGTTGGCAATAATAACTTCTATCTTCACAACAAGTGCGATTTGGGTGCCCGATAAGACTACATGTGTTTACTGAAGAATTTAATCTGCAATCCGCGTTTCTTGCTCAAATGTTTCAAGCTAAGCCAAGTCTAATATCATTTTTGGCATTTAATAGTTGCTTTTATCAACTAAATCTCTTGTGAAAGATGTACAAAGAGACTTACAAGCTTGGCGAGGAGCAGTCGTCATTGGTCGACAGGTGCACGTCATCTATCCCAGACCCTATTGGATCATATTTGTCTACGCTACGATTTGGATGATTTGCATCATAGACTAAAATGTATCGGTAGATTACGGCGTCGCTTTACTAGCTTGGATATGATTACTGCAACCGTGGAGAATGGAAAGCCTCTGGCAGCAAGCATGCAGGATGGAAGGCCTCTGGCAGTAACCGTGCAGGTTGGAAGGCCTCTGGCAGCAACAGTATGCTCTTGATTGGTCACTATAGCGGGAATTGTGGGAAAGCAAAACTTTGGTCACGTAGAAGTTACACCAGCGGGACATCGATGCAACAAGATCATGAAAGCAAAGACTGGATTCTTCGAATTTTGGTCGCACAGGCCAATGGTAGATTCCTTTCAACTCTCAAGGATGCCTTTCCTACCATCACTTTCACTACCTGGCTGCATATTGGGCGTTTATGAATGCAGCACTATCCAATCATAGTTAAAATCAAAAAGTGACGTGTGAGCAAAAGATGCCCTTCGTTTTTCTATCCTGCCAAGATCCTAATCGTAATCTCTTGTGGCCAAAGAAACCTCTCACTGGTCTGATCGATGAGGCACCGCACAGTCATTATGGTGAGACATCAGACTTTCAATGAAACCATGCCTTTTTTTTTTTTTTCGAACTTGCCATATGTTTATTGATACTATTACGAGTGTTCTTGATGCCACTCCAAGAATCTGTTGCAGCACCTAGTAGTGAAAGAAGAACTCGTCCAAGTAGTTTGAACAGTAATTGAATAACATTTTACTCTTTGGAGCTGATACAATCTAGAGATTCAACCACTTCAGAGCTATAGGTTTATGAGTGGATATCTGAGCGTGTCATTTCTCCCCAACGGTTACGGGAGACGGATAGCCGCTCCTAGCTCAAGCTATCCATCCCTCCACTGGCTCTTAAGGATCAGGCTGCAGGTATTGTGCAGGCCTTGTCAAACAAAACAAGTCCGTTGTACAAGAAATTGGAGTCTGGGTTTTCTTTTCCTTTTCGTACGCGTCAACTTAAACCTTAAGCACCTATACGTGAAAGGAATGCCCAAGTCAGATGAGGTTTCTTCTCTGAAAATATTGAAGCGGCAAGGTCAATAATTAGTAAACAATTAAATGTCAGTTTTCTACCCGTACCAGCATAAGAAGTTCTGGTGCACACCATAAATTTATAAGAATCTAGTCGCCGCTCACAAGTTGATACCGAATCGCCACGAAACATCTTCAGCAGGATCACAAGAAGCCCACTTGATATTCGCTTTTCAAAACCTCATTTCTTACATGATCAACCATGACGTCTTCTACAGAGTCTGATGGGTCCTCAACGGAGCAGTATGAAGGTAATCAAATATCTCTATCAATCCGATGCTAAACTAACAGAAAAGATACCTCTTCCAGCAGTACCCCACCAAGTCGTGTTGACGTTCTTCCTACCATCGAAGGCCTACAGACAGACGAGCAGTGTCGTATACTTGACATCATCGCCGAACTCCGCAAATGTGGGCTAGAGAGTATTCTGTCACTTCCTCAGCTCGTCGTCTGTGGAGATCAATCTGCGGGGAAGAGCTCCCTCCTGGAGGCTCTTACTGAAATACCTTTCCCGAGAAACGACAACCTCTGCACTCGCTTTGCAACCGAAATCATCCTTCGTCGGGCAATGGTTGAATCGTTGGTTATCAAGGTCATTCCTGACTCCAAACGGTCTGCACCAGAGCAGCAAACAATCAAGGATTTCAAGGCGTCTATCACGAGTTTCGATGAATTACCAGACGTAATGGCAAAGGCCACGGCACTCATGGGAATCGATGGCAAGTCCTCATCGGGACCTACAGCCGGGGCATTCGCAAGAGATGTCCTCAGCGTCGAGATCGAGGGCCCGTCCAGGCCACAGCTCACACTTGTCGACCTACCGGGCTTGATTCAGACGAAGACAAAAGGGGTCACCGATGCGGACATCGAAATGGTGAATGAGATCACCGATCATTATATCTCGCAGCCCCGTACCATATGCCTGGCCGTAATCTCCGCTACAAACGACTATGCGAATCAAGGCATCTTGACGAAAGTAAGGAACGTCGACCCCGACGGAGAACGTACTCTTGGGGTAATCACCAAACCTGACCGGCTTATCGCAGGCTCAGGTATGGAGGATGCCTTCATCTCCCTTGCGCAGAACGAAGATATCTTCTTCAAACTAGGCTGGCATGTGCTCAAGAACAGAAGTTTCGACGAAGCTGCAAGCTCATTTATCGAGCGTAACCTCTCCGAGGATTCCTTCTTCCGGAGATCTAACTTCAAAGTCTTGCCGGCAGATAGTGTTGGTATTGATTCTTTGAGGAATCGACTGAGTCAGCTCCTGTTCAATCATGTCAAGCAAGAGCTGCCGAAACTCCGAAACGATCTTGAGACAGCTTTGTCCGACTCGGAGAATCAGTATGATGTCCTCGGCAAGCGAAGGTCCACCTCAGTTGATTGCAAAGACTATTTGGTGTCACTCAGTTTGGAGTTCTATGATGTTTGCAAGGCTGCAGTCAATGGCCATTACCAAGGCAGTTATTTTACCCAAAGTCCAGACAAGCAATTCTCTCTAACGTCGCCGGCTTCTATTCGTAGACTACGAGCTGTGGTACAGATGATGAACACGAGGTTCTCAGATGATGTACGAAATCGTGGCCACAAATATTACATCGACAGATCGTCCATGCCCGATTCCCCTAACTTCGGTATTACTCATTCAGTCGCAGGAGATTCGCCGATAAGACTGTCCAAGTCCAAGGCAATCGAGTGGGCTCATGAAGCTTTGGTCAGAACACGGGGTACAGAGCTACTTGGAAATTTCAATCCTCTTGTGATTGGAGAACTATTCTGGGAGCAGTCGACAAGATGGCGAAGGCTGGCTCTTGATCATGTCGACAATGTGGCAACAGCCTGCAGCCAATTTCTCGAGATCTTGCTCAGGGAAAGATGTCCCAAAGATGTGCACTCTCGTCTCTGGCCGTCCCAAATCCAGGACGCCCTCAAAAGCAGGAAGGACGCATCAGTCAAGGAGCTCGACTATATCTGGGAGGACCTGCAGCACTTCCCGATAAACTATAACCACTACTACACAGACGTGGTGAAGAAGCAGCAGATGGAAAGGACCAAGGATGACCTTTCCACGGCGATCAAGCAAGCAACGACACATGTTGCCAACCCTGGGTGTTCATCCACCCACACCTCCGCAATCATCGACGTTGACCTCGCTGTGCGAGAGTTTTCTCGAAACTCCGACCCCGATATGGACAAAATCTCCTGCGAGGAAGCTCTTGATTGCCTGCTTGCTATCTACAAGGTCTGTCATTGATTCCATTTGGCTTCTGCTAAGCTGATGATGATGATTCTAGGTTCAACAAAAGACTTTTATCGCAAACGTAACAACACAGGTTGTTGAGCGTCACATCGTTCGCGGCCTCGAGACAATCTTTTGTCCAGTGTCAGTGAACTCGTTGCCAGAGGCGAAAATCTTGGGGATTGCATCCGAGCCTCCAACGACTCGCAAGCAGAGAAGCTTCCTGGAGGACAGAATCAAGAAGCTCAACGGTGGGCACGCGATACTGCGGGGCGTCATGGGGAGTGCCGTGCTTTAGGTGTTTTGGTCACAATTGCATTTCTGTCTTTCTTCTTCCTCGCCGAGTTATTGAAGTAGCATTCTAAACTTGACGACGACTCTGACTGTTGACATTTCATCGGTCGTGATAATCGAGACCAGGATTAATTCAAGGGGTCCCGAGCAGGCCCGCGATTGCATAACTCGTTTCTGGTAAATGCTACGCAGGTTCCTTGCAGGCCTTGGCACAATTTAACGGCGCGCGGTTGGGTTCCGGCGTGGGATGTCTGAGTGGGGACTTTTGACAGATAGCGCTTGGATTGGATTATGCCAGTTGGGAACCAATCCAGGCCGGGTAGCAACCCAAACAACAAGCATTTCCGTAGTATGAGCCAACCGATACTGGCAGGCATGCGGGCTAATTATTGTTAGCATGGCGCAGGGCAATAAAGTGAAAATAACACCGATTAATAATTCAGGTGGCAGCCACGGGGCGTTTATAGCTTGCATCCACTGTGGGCATTGCACAATGAGCCGCGGCTGACCGGGTCGCGGCACATATGGTCAATTCACGATTGTGAGCACTTCACGAATATCACAGGTCTCGAGTTTCCTCTAACATGTTGGAGTTGCTTCCAATCCGCCCACGTTTTTATTCAGGAAGTCGCTCTGATCGCTGTGTTGGCAAGTGCACTCAGCTATAAATCGGGTAATAATAATACACTGAAGAAACGAAAGACCGACACAACAAGCCCTCCTTTCTTTTTTTCATGTTCTTTTTTCTTTTCATCTCTCGCCGAGCAATTCAACCTGTGATTTAGACTCGGCGGCGCCTGCTGTCAACGTTACGCTTCGACATCAAAGCAACACTCTCGGCGTAATCGTCCGTGCCGTGGTCTGGGTCAGCGTCGACGGCGTTCTTAGCACCGCAGACTGAGCCATCATTGTAATCTCCATCCGGACCACTGACACCAGCAAACTCCCTCTTGTCGTTGGCCAGGAGCATGTTCTCGGCGGCCTCAGGTAGCCATCCGTTGATGAAATCGCCGTGGCTGCAGTAGCCAGGCCCGCAGGCGAGCTCCAGAGGAGGCTGGCCCTCCCAGCCGTCGGGGAGAGCCGTGCGCAGGTCGTAGCGGATGGAGAATCGCAGCTGGGGCATCCTCTTCATGCCCTCGGGGCAGCGGTTCGTAGCCTTGTAGGTCGAGTTCCAGTTCTGAGTGCCGGAGTAGGCCGAATCGAGCGTCTCCTCGTTGACGCAGTCGTGGAAGAGCAGTAGGGTCTGCAGATGCGTGCTGCAGGTCTTCAGCGGAAACGCCGCGGCGTCCTTCTCGGGCTGGTCGCTGTCACCCTCGCAGAACCAGGAGATGCCGGCGAGGTCCTCCACATCTGCCTGAGATGTCGCCCCTGACTTTCCGGCCACTCCCCTGTAGTTCTGAGGGATTGCTACCTCAGCATTCTCAATAGAGACGTAGTATGCGCTGAAGCGGTTGATCGGCACAGGATACTGCGCATTGTCTGTGGGGCTGGTGTATATCAGAGTCGGAACCCCTAACGCCCAGTTCATTAGTATTAAACTTCACCTCTCCTGAATATGTCGGGCTTACAGTAGACAGAGTAATCGTTGGGGTTCTGGGCGGTCGAGCAGCCAGCCTGGAGCTCTGCTGAAGTGGTCGTGTTGATGGTGACGGCATCCGATCCAAAAAACGAGTGCAAGTGGCTCTTGCTGTACTGTCCGGGAAATACAATCGGGTCAATGTTCTTCAACATGAATCTGTCGGCCGTCGTGATGGTATAAGCGTTGGCCGCGCCAAAGGCGGCAGAGAAAAGTAAAAGAGAGGACTGCATCTTGGTGCTTGAAATGGTAAAGAATGTAAAAGGCTTGATGCCGTAGAATTGAAAATGAGCGAAAAGAGAAGCAACTTCTTCCTGGAAACTGACAACAAACTACACAACAAATCTTACAAGTCTTTAGGAGCCCGTTAGACTTTTATAAAAGCTTTATGCCCCCTCCCACGGTTCATATTTGCCAGATGCCGATCATAGGGGAAAAGGCCTGAGAGGTTCACTATCCATCGGACGCTAGACCGAACCTAGCGATCTTGTTTGTGTTGTTTATAGTGCCAAGTGCGCCTACGGACAAGGGTTTGTTTCAGGCGCACCCCGAAGCAGCTTAACAGAGCCGCATCCCCAATAAGCTTATCTTGTCAGATTTCAAGCGCCTCCCCTTCAATTACGCGCGCATCGGAGTGAATTCGAACTTTTATGCTGTGCCGCAGCATCTATTCTCAAGCGTCAGGGCGTTTACTGTATGCAGACTTTATTCCTTCAGAGTTTGTAGCGCCGTCGGGTTTTGCGGATGCCATGCTAGATCGATCTTGATAGAAGAGAGGGCCCACGGTAAGCGAAAATTTTACTAAGGTTATGAGTTAACATTCTTAATCTAGAGACTACGCCAGAGCCTCGGATGTGAATTGCTATCGGTTACTTCTTCCTGAAGAGCTTCATGTCCCAGCAAAACAACAAGAGCTATTCACGATATCTCTCAGCCCACAAGGTTGTGGCCCCGGTTCTGTGGAATACCCCTGCGAAAAAATTCATTCGTTATTGTCCGAGTGGAGAAATTCCGGTTCTAGTACATAGCATATGCTTTTCGACGATAAACAATGGTATATACGGTCGTAATACAGTGTCGCTTGGTACAGCCAGTGGTTCAAACGATCGGCCGCAGCCACGAAGCACAACCTGCTCAGCTGGATTTCAAGGACCTGTGTATCACGTCGAATCGCCCACATTTACGTGTCGGTTTAGCAGGGCAATCAACCTAACTCCAAGAAATCCTTATAGGCTCAGAACCGTGTTGATATTATATGACTGCTTGATTGGGTGCGATGAACATGGCATGAGAGAAGCGATCTGTGTGCAAGGTAGGACGGTTAATCTAGAACCAACCATTCGTGTTACCATGCAGTGATTATGTAAGACTCATAGCTTCCTTCGCTGATGTCTCTGGACCGCAGGACACAAAAGTCGATGGTTCGAAGGACAAATCTGGTTGTATATCGCATTAGAATCGAAATGGCTAAATTGACGTGCAACCTGATCACACGGCGCTTCACCGTTGTTGACACCGGGCTGCTCCGACTAATACCAAACGCGGTGAAAACCACAAGCACCCTGAAGTAGTCTCCTGAAGACAACTCAGACAAACTTCAGACGAATAAAATAGTTTACGTATACATAATATCTAAGCCTGGGCAAACACCTTGTATCTCGCCTCTACGCAAACCCCTGTGCTGCGGCCGCCAGCCTCGCAACAGTCGTAATACTAGCCGGCTCAGCAGTGAAGTTTCCAAGGTAGCCCAGCTGAGCGAGGTAGAAGCTATGCACACCCTTCGCTACGACGGCGTCCACATAAGTCTGCAGCATTTGCTCGGAGACGGGCGTGTACGGGCTCCAGCTGTTGTAGAAGTCATGCACGACGACAGAAGACCGGGCGACTCTGGTCGCGTTTGTCCCCAGCTTCTCGAGGGTCCCGGGCGTGAACGGGAAATAGCCGCTCTTCGAAGGGTCGCAGGCGTAGCCGTCCCAGTCCGGCCGGCCGGCGGACCGCGTGTAGCAGGCCTCGATCTCGAGGACGGCGTCGGCGACGTCGAAGAGCGATTCGCTGCCGTTCCGGACGAACGTCCCCGGATTGAGCACGATTGGCCCGCCCTTGTCTGCGAACTTGCTCTTGGCGTACCGGCTGATCTGCGTGTTATGCTCGAGCTGGCCGGTGGTAGTGTCGATCTCGTCGAAGAAGATACCATCCAGGTGGATGTCGTACGAGGTGCCGGTCCAGGCTTCGGCAGTGGTCCAGGCACTGTATTGGTCCACGGCGGCTTGCACCTCGCTTGTGCTTTTGGACCCGTACTTGGTGGCGATGTAACCGATGAGCTTGACGTTGCCATGAGCATTGAGAGAGCCGAGGTATGGGGCGAAGTCTTTGATCCCTGCTGGGGGGTTGGGATCGTATGAAGGCCCAGAGTTGATGTTTACGATGACGTGAAAATCCAGTTTAGGATACGCAACAGCCGCCGCTACCACTGCATCCCAGTCAGCGATTGCAGCATCACCGTAGGGGTACTCGTAAAGGGGAAGTAGTATGCCGGTGGAGGCAAATGCCGCAGCTGCGAAAGTTGCAATTAAATCGATGGGTTTCATGACGTGTGTTCAGGTTGATATAAGTTTGGGAAGATGGGGGCTGTAGGTAGTGGACAGGTAACCCTTGCTTGATGATGGGATAATTCTGATAATGGGTGTGCACGAGAGCCCATTTGGAGGGCATGCCATTTATACCAATAACCAATGCTGTTCATTGTTTGCGTCCAACTGCTTTCCATTGTTTCTCGTCAAGTGTTGTAGAAGAGGCCGCGAATCTGGTATCGCTTGTCTGGTTCCTTACAAACTGTGCGCAATCTCTTGTGAGATCGTGAAAAAACAGTTTGACGATGTCTCCATTTCGTTCTGCCAGCCTGTGGTGACCATAAAGAGCAGGACTTAAGCCACCAAACCCAAAGCTGCCCTCGTGAACAATGTCTAAGCGTAATTATAGGAGTCAGGGTGCCGAGAATTGAAACATATGTCTCTGTTAAAAAGGACAAAGAGCAGCTTGTTGTCATGAACAAACTATTCTGGGTGTTGTTGGTACTATTCTAACCTCAGCCGAGTGTGTTTATCGCCGCAAATGGTTAGCTTGAGCAATTCCAACAAATCAAGCGGCCTAAAGCTCTTTCGTCAATCTGGTCGTGCAATCGGAAGATTTTGAAGGGCGGCATCTTCATTGTACTTCAGTCCCCGACACGACACGAAACGAAACAGCATATGAGATATGTACGCTAGTAACACGGCGAGATGTGCTTGATGCCCGAAGCAACCAAGAATCCATACGTTATATTGAGCCCCCTAGAACGTAGAACGTATTGCAGATGTGCGTAATGGACTTATAGGACGAATAAACTGCGTCATCAGCTACGCCAGTATGCCTCTGAAAGATGATCATGATCTTGAGGATCCTGCTTATCTGACTAGAGCCATCTAACGTTCGACGAAAAGCCCCTAAGCTACTGAACAAACGCAGCGACCTAAGGAATTACGATCGACGACTTCAATTATCTATTACGGCACCTTGGACTGTCCCTAGAATCACAGCGGACCAATTCGGCCGCCGCCATACCCCCATTAGTCTAGTAACACTAGCAATAGTGTTGGGGACGAACAACGACAGGAATACAAGGAGTTCATTTTAACCCGATTCGGTGCCTCGAAAATTGGACTTCTGCCTTGTGTCAAGGCAGGATGAGGCTTTGTTTATCAACATAGATGACCACCAGCACTAAATACCTATACCGTTGGCTGCCACGACTAGGAGGATAGACTGGCTACCCGTGTCAAAAATCTTGTCAAGAGCTTGTTTCCAGACTGAAGACTGACCGGTCACAACATCGCAGGTCAACCGAGCTGCGGCCACGTTCACTTCGAAGAACTCGTATGCGTTGTTACTATGCCCTTCTTTCGAGGATAAGGTCTGTTCATCTAAGTGGGCCAGTTCGCAGCTGGTAGTGACATGGGGGTCGTTTACTTACATGCTCACTGTTCACTTTTATCATTTCGTACATAGATGTTAGTCACGTGGTTGAGAACTCAGTCTACCAGACCAGAAACCGCGGACCCTTTCTAGTGAAGTGAATTAAATGGGTCACGAGATTCCTCGCTCTCGCTCTCGGTATTAACTTATGTATATCGCTGTGCTATACGGACGACAAGGCGGTCCTCATGGGAAGATACGAGAATCCCTCGGAGCCGATTACGGCTAGCTCGGAGATTGGTCACTTATGAATACGAGGTTTTGGAAAGCCAAACATGGGAATGCACGATATTTGTTCTTCACTAGTCATGGCGATTTATCGCGAGGGGTTTGCATATCTTTTCCGATTCTGTTTCCGATCACGTTCTTATTCTGAACTAAACTTGGTGTTACAATCGATATCCATACCATACCCAAGCACGTCTTGGGGGTTACATTCCCCGACTGGGCAATCGCGAGCATGGGGTATCAAAACCATCTCGCCTCTAGCCTCAAGCTTCTAATGAAAAACAGTGCTTCCTTGTCGCCAAGCCATCTTGGATGGCTGATGCAGTATTATAGTGCTGAAAGTCGTATCGTATGTGGAATTCCATTGGATTCCAGTGCAATGCAAAAAACACCCGACCAAAGGCACCGATGTGTACTCCAAAAACTCCTCATATGCCTAAAGAAACAAGATCTTGTGCACCATGTAAATGCCAATGGATGTATGTGCGCGCCCATGTACTTTGTAAGCAATTCAGTAGACTCGTTCCAACCACGGTCTGGGGTCGGCGCTCCCATCTGATGATGCAAGATGATTCAGAACTGGTGATGTCTGCGCGCGACTCGACGTAGGCTGAGTGGCCATGTCGCGCCTCTAGTGCGGCAGTAAGACACCACCATCCTTTTCGTCAAATGTCTCTTTCACGTGCGATACCACCTGCTCCGTGAGTTGAGCGCACCAGGGATCCACGTAGCCCGTCCAGAGATTCGCGGCTGCATAGTTCAGGGGAAGCCAGATTGGAAGCCACATCAAGAGCTTCCATGTACCGGGGAAGTGAAGCTGGCCAGGAATTGTCTCGCCCTTGTCGTTGACCACATCGGCAGGCAGTCGAGGACCGTAGACCATCCAGCACAACAACCATCGAAGAAGGGGTCCGTGGAGCAAGTAGACAGCAAACGATTGCTTTCCCAGCCAGAGCAAATACTTTCCGGATAGGATATCCTTGATGAAGGGACTGAAGTGGATGCCGAGGGTGATAAGCTCGAGGCCAAGTCCTGAGCCAAAACGGGGGAAGTCGGGGTCCTTTGGCAGGATGTGGACCAGCAGGTTGAAAAGCGATTGGGACCATGGCTGCCATTCCGGGTGACCCTCGGGATATGAGGCAATGAAGCAGCCGGTGACGAGGAAGAAGATGCTGAGCAACTTGAAGAGACGTGGGCGAGCAGAGATGAAATCATTGGCTCCTGGGTGGTTGGCCAGGTCGCACAAAAAGACGCCCCAAAAGAACTGCATTCCAAATGCCGCTACATGGTGTTAGTTCAACCCTCCCGGCAACCCAAGTTTCGAGGAGAGGCAAAGATACTCACAATCAGATCCTATCCAGAAGTAGGCAAACATGGACAGTGAGGCCATCATTCGGTATTTGGCCTGCAAATAAGCAGTGCCCAGGATGAAGACGTAGACCCAGAAACTTCCTTTCAACAGAGGAAGCAGAGTCCACTGGTTGCCGTCGTAGGCATTCCTGCCATTAGTCCAGGTAGTGATGATGTTGTAGAACAAGCTGTAGAGGGCGTCTCCCAGGTGCGGTACTTGGTCGGGGGCAGTGGCGCCGCACCACCAACAGTCGCTTCTCTTGGCCACCAGGAAAAGGCCCAGTTGAGCCATGACCCAAATGATGCATGTTGCGAACGCAGTGGGGATCACGAGGCGGGGCACTCTTCGTAGTGCTGATTTGGAGATTGAGGCGAAGGCGTTCTCCTGGTTTCCCTGGCGGGAGAGCTTGATGGGCTTGAGAGCGCAAACGTAGCCGGTAACGAAAGCGAAGACGGAGACTCCGATACGGCCTTGTACGATGATCCGGAGGAAGGGTAGTTGGAAAAATCGGGGCGAGGCGCCTTCGGCAGATGCTGGCAGGAAGAGGTCGCCATCGAAAGCTCTAGCGATGTGTGTTGCGACGACGAGAGACGACGCAAGACCGCGGAAGCCCTAAAAGTCGAAGAGGTTAGCTTCAGGAACAAGACAAACGCCACGAAATGTCGTGATCTCCCGAACTTCAGCTTAGCGGGTCGAGGTCGAGCCAAAACCCCCCCCCCAAAAAAGAAAGCGACGCCCACCACATTGCACATTGCGGGCGCAGCTAATAAGCTTAAACAAACACTGCAACGGCCGCTAAAACAAGCCAGCAATCACTTTGAATCTGCCCCGGGACCTCATTTCCGTGCGCAGACAGCACGAATCTGACGACTGCAGCAGCACATGGCCGACAACCTGGCAATCGTTGGAACAGTACCGTCGCACAGGCAAAAGCTTGTGGGCAGGGCTCATGATCCTGACCTTATAATGCTTCTCCTCTCCCTTCTTCCTTCGCGTACTGCAGTCCGGCCGAAAACTGCAACAGGACGAGAGGTTGACTTGAACCGCTGGTCGCCAGCTGAAGCAGAGAATGAATGCGCAGAATCCCATGTTAACTTACATCTACCCACTTAACATTTCCTTCTTTTCCTATCGCCATGGTCGAGATCCCTGATTAGGGTAACAGTGCTCAGACTTGTAGTGTTTATTAATGCATCCAAGAGGATCTGGTTCGTTACAGAGGGTCTGATCTGACACTGGGCTTCGAAACTCTGCTGCGGTTGTGGTTCCGTTTGTCGAATTCGGATGTGGACGTCTTCGAGTTTGGGTGTCTCCTCCCTGTTTCTCAATGACTAGAATTTCCGGCTCTTGTTGTTCTTGAGCATAAAGCCGACCAAGTGACTGCAGGGCAGAGGGTTTGGTTGAGGTATCCGGTGCTTGGGCACGACGGTTGCTGAAGGGACGCCAAATTCAGATAACGACTGCTCTGCAACCCCTGGGGACACGCAAAACGATGGTCGAATAAGAACGAAGCCAAAGGTTGTCAATTGGCTCTTGTGTCGGAAATACGAAAAGACTTGAGTGAAAAATGGACAGAAGCACCTCGGGAAAAGGAAGAGGGCCGTAGAGGCGAAGTTGTAGGTTAGGTCAATCGAGAAGTGGAACAAGCCTCTCAAGATGGGGGAGGTGGTGGTGTATGTAATAAACAACGGCTCCTTATGAGCTGCCACCCTGCCAGATCCATGTGGTCCAGTCTTGGAAAACCAAGGTGTGGATATATCTCTGGCTTGGCAGGTATCTCGCATAGCATGGCATGGCACTGCTATATCCTCCGGGTCAAGTCCTGCCCCAGTATCAGCAGGTGATTGTGAAAAGCAAGGAAAAAGCAGTCTTCTCCACGACAGTCCGCCCACTGCCACCTTGCGGGAATGGCTGCTGCTGCATGGATGTCTCGAGGCACTAGACCCGGAGTACGGCAGGGATCACTTCGTGGGATAATGAGCCGTAATGGCCTAACCGGGGGCGACCTTTTGGCGGCCAAAGTCAGCCAGAGTTCAGGGTTTAGTAGCTTGGCAATTGGAATGTGCCAGGAACCCTCACGAGGTGCCGCATTGCCGGTATGGACGCTCTCAGCTTCTGTCTTGGCAAGATAATTCCAAAGGCAAGTATGGCATTCAAACGGCACAGCTACCCGATGAAGCAATATAAGACACTCCATGTCGAGTCTGTTGTATAATCACGGATCCGTGTAATTGCTCCATCAAAGAAGCAAAACGCGGTTGTGCAAGAGTGCACGTATAATTGATTGAGGCACTGAGTAATGAGACCCAGCAATGTACTGTAGTTGAGGAGCCCTCCAAGGCCCTCTCCCTAACGGTTGGGGCTCTCATGTGGGAATAAAGTTAGGCTCAAGGTATTCGCCTGTGGCTCTTAGTGTCGCTAGGGAACCACAGCGCTGAGGGCTAGACTCGGGCGGCTCAAGCAAGTCAAAACCTGGAAATAATAAGTACATAAGTGTTCTCAGACCATTTGGATCCTTCGCGAACTGTTCTATACTAACTTATGAATTGTCGCGCATGACCTTCCAGGGTTGTATTAATTCCCAGCCTCGCCAGCTCGGAGTTACGAAACAACACTATACCTCAGGAACGAACTGGGGTCCAAAATTATTTATTTGTCTCCTAAGCTTTGTTGCGAATAGAGAGGCGCCCATGACGATCATTCAAGAAAAGTCAAAAGTCTTGGCTTGCAGCGGGATCCAGCTTGGCTTGTTTCGAGAGCAGCCAACATCATCGTGCATCACGGCCAGCTGCGCAGTCTGTCACCCGTAAAATAAAACAAAAAGAGGCGCCAAGAATCCTAAATCTTCTGATCACCCTCTCACCATCTAGAAATGGTTTCAACACCTCGAACACAAACCTATCCGGTATCAATGCCTCACTGGGAGATTGGCATGAAATCCAAATTCCGCACGGATACAGACCCGCCTCCAGTTCGTCTATCTAGCTACCTAGCCTCAAACTAGAAGGAGAAGTGGGGGGGGGGGGGGGGGGGGGGGGCCTTGGAGGGGGTACATGCTGTAGTAAATGTATCGGGCAACAGACAAGTTCTGTGGCTTGCATCTTTACTTACTCCCATCAGTCATGATCGACCTGCATTGCATACTCGTTGCTTCTACTGTGCTGCGCTGATTCAAAGCCAGGGATGGACTATGTAGATCATTATGGTCATTTTCGGCGCCCATATGGCCGTCCGGAGCGGTGTTCGGTGCGCTGCACGCCCATTCTTCAGAAGGAGTATACACCTGGCATTCGCATTTAATTGCAAAAGATAATGATACATCTTGGAGATTACGCACACATGGATGCATTTACCGATTCAGTGCTTCTCGACGTCATTCTCCATTTCGTCGCTAATTATCGGCCCACTTGTGTTGAACAGAGGGCCAGAAGCTAACTCGCTAAGTACTCAAAATGACCCATAAGCCCCGAATGCCAAGACTGATTTCAACCTCTCAACCTCAAAAGAATGTCAAAATAAAGCACTGTCTAGAATCCATCGTGGCGCTTCCGCTGCTTAAACCCAATCTCAGACGTGAATTGTCATTCTTGGCACTGGCATTCCGGCACTGTCGGCTAAAACGGCACCCCGACGCTGTTTGTTTCTACAACTGCAGCACCCTCACCACTGTTAGTGACTGCCTAGCAACAGCGCTGTATCACAGTTGAAATGCCCCAGAAACACTCCGTACTCCGTGTCGAGTTTAGACCTGACCATCTACTGCAAAACACTTGGTTCAGCGATACTAGAAAGATGCATATCTGAAAAGGATTGCAGGATCGTTGTTTTTGTTTTTATTTTTATTTTAATTTTATTATTATTATTATTTTCTATTCATTCTCCGTTGCTCAGCCTGTATCGCCATACACATGGTAGATGGTGGGTACTAAAAATTGCCCGTGGGAATACAGCTCCTGAATCCCCCGTCATGATCATCGCCCGTTGTAAGTCCCCTATGCTGACAAGTCGGATGCAAGATGATCAACATCATCTCGTGAGCCGCCTATTACTCTTTTAGGCAATATTGCAAGGATAAGTCGTCGTCAGCTCGATCCTTGAAAGGCAATCGGCTATTTCTTCAACGACACTCATGATTGATCAGATCTGTGAAAGCGCAAACTAGGCAGAGCGAGAAGCATCATTCTGGCAGGCAGGGCGGGCAATCATTCTAACTTACTCCATACCAATGTCTAGACCACAAGAAACCCCTATCAGTGTGGGGTCTCTCTGGGATCTACATACATACACATGCAACCTAGTAACTTCTATCCCGAATGAAAGCTGGGAGCCCCATGACGCCCTCCCCACAACTATGCAGCCTGCCCACAAGCAACCGCAGCACGTAAATAGAGCATATCAGACTTGACAACACAACGGTCGCCTGGATAATTGCAAATTTAATGAAAGAAATACATATATCATACACACATACATACAGCGACACAATGTGAAACGGGACTGTCTCTCATAATTTCATTGAGCCAGGATAATGGTAAAAGTCCATCTAACTGCACCTTTGCACATCGTGCCGCACATGCATGACTCTTCAATACAAATTTTTTGAACTGTTTCGGGACGCTTTTCGCAGTCTGCAAATGGGTTGTCGATTAAGGTTGACAAGCCTGTGTATGTACGTCGGTCCCCAATTCACATCAAAGTGAGACACATGTTTCCACAATTCTCATTTGCTCGTGCAAAACAAAGATACTTGAGACCATTTAGGGAGGACCCTGCTCTTCAAAAGGATCTAACCAATATATTCAGCACGTCGATCTGGATACTGATTGTTCTCACCTTGATGGATTGTGATATATTCTGTACCGCGTTGCGGACTGTTGTAACATCGCTCCTCACCTTTTAGCAACTATGCGCTCTCTGTCTCTAAGCGAGACCAAATGATGACGCATGCTTTCTTAGCTAGACCAGATAATCCGTACTCGCAGGGGGGGAGTGCTCTAGAAATTCCGTGGACTTACCCCGGATGCGACGCTGTGCGGGCATGAGCATGAGCTCCCCCACTACAAACTTCCTAATCGGAAGCTGTGGAAAATCCAATACGGCGGTCTCGTCCCTCGGGTTCCAGTTTGCAGGAGATTTGATTGCGTGCTTGCCAAGCCCGTTCCCATGGGCCGAAGGCTGAGACCTCTTTCTGTGGACGTCGGTCCTTTGTATGCAGGGGCGCAAACTTATAAACTTCTGTTGAAGTCATCAACTCGCCGACGAGTAATGATCGAAGTGCGCTGTTTCATAACCTGACCTGCCTAGAAAAGGAGCTCTACAAGAGACAACTGCCGGAACGACATATGTCATGGCAAAACCTCACTCACGATTGACTGTCACAGGTAAGACAACTGAATCACTGATACTATGCGTGCACATGGGCTTTGGCGCTCTGGAGGGAGGCGCATGGCTCACGATCTTTGCGGCCACGACACGGCTCGCTTTGAGCTATAACAGACGTATGCAAGGGCCGCTGAGACTGTCTCAGCTTACGAAGCTCTTTGTATTGTTTGCGACCCAATTAAGGAATGCGCGCCGTTGACTGCCTTTGTTTTTCAACCATCACCCTATTCAGTTTGTTAAACATTTCCACCATATCAAGGCTTGCGCTGGTGCGTCGTGGAAATGAGAAAGCCCCCATATGCATGCATGTCTTTTATTCTTCAAACCATGACAACGTCTTGCCGCGACCGCGTTACCCCAGACACGGGAGTAGAAACGAAGCTGGCGTTGATCATACTATCATCGGTTTCTCGTGACTAATTGATCGAGTATAAACTCCCGATGGCTGATCATGCGTCCAGCTCACACCATATAAGCCACCCTTGCTTTTGCATGCCCGAGTCGACGTAGGGGCGAATCATGTGTCCTTGCTCGTCTTTCAACTCGATGTCCCAAATATTAACATATGCAACGACTTTGCTTTGGCAGCCCGCCGGCGCTTTCATCCAGTTGCGGTATATCGATGCGTTTCCGGTGCCGACAGTGATCGCATAAAACCCCCGAGCTTTTGCCTCCAACACTACATACGGCAGCTAGAGTCAGTAATTACTTTCCTATAGTGGAGTCATAAGACATTTCCATAGAATATGGAGCTCAATGCATTTGACAGAAATTCCGCTGCATGCACATGACTCATAATGAGGAGAGGCAAGGAAGAATTCGCGAGAGCTGCTTACTGACGAAATGGTTGAGGGCCGTCATGAGCCCCCTGCCTTCGTATCCTGGCTGCGTGACACAGCCAGAGCGAATCATCCGCTCGCCCATGTTGCTCGGCTCCCAAGTTTCGCCCGACTCTCTCTCTTTTTGCCCAAAGTAGCTGCCCAGCTCCCTCACGAGCGGCATGAACTGGTATAGCGCCCTGGAAGCCTCATCGGGCTTCTTGTCGTACCCGTCGACGGAGAGGGCCAGGCAGACCATGGGGAAGTCCATGCGCTCCAGCATCTTGTCTCTGCCGTCTCGCTCGAAGTTGGCATCGTCCGGGTCAAGCTCGCTCCAGTAAAGGCCGCCCCCGGAGGCGACGGATTCGGGTCGTCGGAACTCGTACTCCGAGTCCATGACGGCGTATGATAGGCCGCTGTCGATGGCGTGGGCGAAGTGCCCGTCGAGCGCGGTGAAGGCCCGCAGGGCGTTGGCAACCTTGGGTTCGGGCAGTAGAGGTTCCCATATGGATGGCCGCAGGAAGAAGCCTTGCACCATCAGGGCTTTTGCCCACGGGGCCAGAGTGGCATCGATTGGTCGAATGGAGTATCGAGACGGCAAAGAAATGCCGTGGGTATCTACCGCTGGCGTGGATAAAGACGGCATCGTCAGCTAACGTTGCGCGGGCTCCTATCGAAGGGTTTAGTTGACTCTACGTTTCGCCGGTTTGCACGCCGCACAGCTATAGTTATATCTTATGACATGTACCGCCAGAGCCTATAAATCCAGGAAGATATACCTTACATAGTCTATCAATAAAGCCACCAGGATTCATTATATATCATAAGCCTTTCCACCGAGCTATTTGGGTTATCGCTGATCATAAACACTGTCGTCACTTCGTCTCGAAACTTAGCTCATCATCACTCCTAATAACAAAGTGGAAACAGAGAGCTTTTGTCTAGGACTACGATCCTGAGTCTCGAAAAACCTTACACGCGGTTCTGGATTGGCCAGTGCCCAAGAGCCTCTACAGCCTTATAACAAGGCTCATATCTATAGCAGTGTCCGACGCGAGAACCTCAATGGTCATTGCCCGCAACACTAGGAAGATGATCACACCCCCCACTTCCAGAAAAACGACTTATCGCATACATATCCTCTTTTTCTCATGCTGATATATCCATCATCACGAACCCCCGTAGGGAGTTAAGTTGTGTCGCCCGTGTACGGGCAGACACGTTCCCCGGTCTCCTAACGTCAGATACCCTAATTAGAACAATGTCAGCTGAAACAGGTAGAAGCCCATGCAGGCACCCAACCAGGCTGAAGCGTTTGGAACGACGAACTGCGCCGTCAGTGGAGGATTGTGTCCGATCCATCGTGCTTACCTCAGATTGAGTGCTTACGTATGGCCGCTGCGCTGTATCCGACGGGGATACTATTGGTAGGAATTACGGCGTTTGTAGTTCGCATGATTGGCGCTGTATTGATTTGCTTGCAGAGCTATGCCTATAGGGTTCTCTTTTATGGGCAGATGTTATTGTTGGTTGGTGTCCTTGTAAATTTCTTGAGTCGGGCACTTTGACCAGTACAATGTATGAATATACGATCGATCCTGGCAATATCAGATTTGGCATCAAGTTTGGCTAGCTAACAGTCATTTAGATCTAGGGTAGTACTGTTGGTGGACGTATGAACGAGCGCGTACACAAATTCATCTTTGTCTTTACATATCTTTGTCCACTCCATATTACCGTAAAGCCAAGAAGAAACACCGCCTATGGGATCTGGACCAGGGTGGATCGTACGATAATCAAATATCTCAAAGTGATATTACATGCGAACGCGGACACGCCTCTTTGAAAGTTTTATCTTGTTCTATGCGACTCTATCAACCATTCGCACGTGCCGGGCAATCCGGCCTAAAGTGTGCTTGTAAAGTCTTGTTTCCAAGCCCTTCCACCCGACTCTGGTATCTCCTCTCGGCACGCTTCACCTTCTCTTCTTGCTTCTTCTGCGTACTGAGAACTGACCGCTGCTCGGAGGCCGGCAGGTGCATCAAGCTCTTCCGGTCGTTGTCACTCAGGCGTGACAGCTGGGTGGTGAATGCCTGCTCCCTCTTCTCGCTTTTCGTGGGCCTTTTATGCCCGCCGGTAGAACTGGCAATAAGCGCTGTGGACGAGGTCGGATCCTTTGGTTGTGTGGTGGTCTCCCGTCTTCCTTCGATGGCCGCTTTGTGTTTTTGGGCCTCGGCTCGCCGCTGATATTGTTGTGATATCGAGTGTTTGGAGACCAACTTCCCAGAGGGCAGCCTGAGCGAATCTCCATCCAAGTGGATTGCATCCCCCGGGCCTTTCCTTCTTCCCCCTTCTTTCGTTGTGCTCTCTTCTTCGTCGGAGTCGTCCGAACCACTCTCGGCTCTGGACAAGTCCCAGAAGTCGGCGAACTCGGACTCTTCCCCTGCGATGTCGAAGCGACAATGGCTTTTTCCAACCATGTGCTGCTGTACCGCCAGCGTACTATTGCGCTGCGTGCCGCAGCATATGCACTCATTGTAGCCGTGGATAACAAGATGAAGGTACTCAATGAGGACTTCAAGCTCGACTAAAAGATTGTCCTTATCTGGAATAAACAGACCGTGTGCTGTCTTCATATGCAGCATGTTAATCTGAAAGTCATCGCTGTTCTTGTTGCAGAAAAGACATCTCTCCGGGAAGAAAGCCGTTTCACCCATGAAGCTCGGTTGTGATGACGATGAGGTTGAAGCACTGGAGCTGCCGCTAGTGGTTGTTGTGCATATCATGATGTTTGCGGGATTGACAAGATCTTCTTGGAATGGTACGAGTTACGACTCTTCATGTCAATAAACTACCTAAGGCCCTCGATATATATATTATACAGAATATCCTTGCTGGTAGCATTTCTAATGCATGCAGGAGCACTCACAACCGAGCCTACCAACTACCTTGCAGCAAAGATTCGTTGAAATGCAAGCCGTTGATTCGTAGAAGATGTGTCAATTCATGAGGAAGCCTTTGTTTCCATAAGAGGATGATTGAAACCAGCCATCATTGGTCAATTGCATCCTTTCAGCGACTTACTTTAAGTGGACTTTCGCACGTTTTTGGCAGGTTTCCTGCGTCTGGAGAATGATTCATTCTGAATGCGGGTGACTCAGGACTAAAGATCCAATCAGAGGTTTTCCTTGTCGATGCTCACTGAAGACCGCTGTATCTTCCCCACTGCCTTCGCCAGCTCCACGGAATTCGGAATAGCTTGAAGAGAGCGACTTTCCATGTACGCCGCCAATTGAATGAACAAAATGTTCTTGGAACCTGAATATGTGAAGGGAGGACATTTTGCAGAGAAAAGAAATTCTGATAGCGCACTCTTCCACCATGCGTTATTACTGCTGTCAGTGAGGATCTCAATTACGCGACCAAGGAATTTGGCAGCTCGCCTATTGTATATACCATACCACGGTTGGTCGACTGCTGAACATAGAGCAAACATCTACAGAACGGCGACAAAGCATCCTTTAAACATTTCAAGGTCAAATCCGGCTGCCCGAACATCTACCAAGACTCAACGCAGGACCACGTTTGCCCATCTTCAGCCTCAACATTCTCTCCTTGCTTTAGGTCGCCCCATGCTCCCAGGTAAAACCTCTTGATACTGCCGACTTCGGCAAGTGCCTTCGTGTTGCCCTCCGCATCAGTCTCCCATCGCCCAACTGCAACATCCTCGCCTACTCTCAGCACTCCCTGGACCACATTTCCAATCTTGACCATCAGTCCCCTCCCGCCTGCTCCACCATCCACCTTGCCCTCCCACTTCAACACCCACCCAGTCCGTCCTCCTGCCTCGGCCAAACCATCGATCCAGCATTCCTCATACTTCTCCATCTGCCCTGTGCTCGGATTGATCATCTCACCTCTCTCCAGACTCTCGCCACTCGCGGGCCCCGGAAAGAAGTCGCCCTCGTCCTTGACGGCCTCGGCGTCTGCATGTCGCGAGTCCACCCAGTGCTTGAAGACATCATGGGGCGGCGACCCGCCGTCCGCGGGCCGATGCAGCGTGTGGCCCGCAAATGCCCAGTCGACCTTGTCCAGGTCCTGGATTGGCAGCGGCCCCTGGGAGAGCGGCACCAGCAGCAGGCGCACGTCAACGAAGGAGTTGTGAGGCGCCGGCGACGTCAAGACTTTGGTTGATGTGTTTTCCGTGGGGAATGTCTCCTACATAGTACGGCATTAGGTAAAGCCAATCACTCTTTTGCTGGGATCAGGGGGCTCAGGGGCACAATGACGTACGCCCCATTTGATATATTTCCGAACGGAGAGCGAAGGTTTAGGCGTCGCTGTCATTTTGGTATAAGAATGTAAAAAGTAGCTGTCGAAAATTTAACTTCTAGGCTGTAGGCTGGAGTTCTGACGCTGCAATAAGTTGTCGATTGTGTTGACACGACGCAAGTACATCGTCCCGCTCGTGTTTAGGACAAGTGCACCTCTGGAGGCTTGGACAATGGTGGCGGCAGTTAGTGCTATTTATTTAGTTTCCAGTGAGGACGACTTGTGCAGCACACTCCAGAGCGAGAGACAGCATCTCAAAAATGCGCGTGCGTGCCTGTAAAACGGTGCATGTAATTTCTCGTATTTTAAAAATTGATGCGCCATGATTAATTGGTTATTGCAGGTTAGCAAGGTATCAGGCGCCCTATGACCTTTGTTTAAAGACGTGACACTTTGCATAGTTGAAGTGGAGGTTACATTCTGGAGTTGGTTGTCTTTAGTCTGTGGTCAGTTGCGACCTACTTAGGTTAAATGCTTGTTAGGACCCCGCGGTTCTCCCATTTTTATTCGCCCTGCGACAGCACGTACACATTTGACATTCTCTCAGGTCTCCTCATGACATGCGTTGCATTGTTTGAAGCAGATGACTAGACTTTCGATGTAGTCATGTTAAATTTTTTTTGATACTGTTCACGACTGCCACCAACAACCTAACGTAGAACTGTGAGGGGGGAATATGTCGCGTTGTGAACGTTTTCGTCGAGAGCCATCAGGTCGCACGGCAGAGCTAAATGTGTATTTCACTTTGACAAATCGTCGACAATAGTAAGGTTGACACCGGGACATACTTTGCGAGTCGAGTCAAGAATCGCTTCATCTGGTTGAGGAATGAGTGAATTCGGCAATTTGGTCGTTTTGGGGTTCGGCGAGGACTTTACTCTTACCTCATCATCAGAACTGCATGCTATTGGATATATCCCAGGTTGGCTCAATTTGCAGCTGCAATATAAGTATTCGTCGAAACCCCCTTTGCTTTTGATATCATCAATACAGACATAGCCCCAACTAAAAGCTCTTACAAATTAAAACCTGCCATTCTACGTTTCCAATCTGTTTGTCAATTGACATCCGCCACCGCTTTCGGTATTCCGCTGTAGCAAAAAGCAGGAGCCTACGGTGTATAGTTAGCTGATAATGGCATCCTGGTTATGGCCTAAAGAGTTCGGATTTTTGCAGTATCTGCGGCTGAAAGCAATCGCCATCCTCTTTCGATCACTTGGATTTCTAAGTGATCCCTTCAGGATCCGCCGACAGAGACAGCTAGTATCCCCCAAAGTGCGACAAGAACGTGTCCAGATACCATCCCGCGACAAGGGTCGGTTCATCGCTGGCGACTTGTATTACCCACCAGGATACACATCTTCATCGCCAGCGCCGATCCTAATACATTGGCACGGGAGCGGGTTCGTCATCCAATACCTACGCTTGGACGCGCTGTTCTGCTCTCGAATTGCCGAAGAGGCTGGGATCGTAGTGCTGGACGCCGACTACAGAAAGGCGCCTGAGCACCCCTTTCCTTGCGCACCGCAGGACGCGGAAGATGTACTCCGATGGGTTGGCACACAGGCCAAATTTCGACTCGCAGCGCGTCGCCGTGAGCGGGTTTAGCTCCGGAGCGACCCTGTCCTTGGTCGCGGCAACGGTGCTACGGAAGAAGCTGTCACACGTCGTCAACGTCCCGCTGGTTATCAGTGTCTACCCGGCGACAGACTTCACCATTCCAGTGGAGGAGAAGACGGTCCCCAACCCGGTCAGAACACTCCCGGCGCCCGTGCTGCGTTTCTTTCGTGATGCTTATGTCCCTAATGAAGCTGTGAGGAGTAATCCCGCAGCATCGCCGGCATTCGTAGACCCGGCTGACTTTCCGGACACCACCGCGATTTTGGCTGCCGACGGCGATACGCTATGGCCGGAGGCTGATGCACTGGCCGAGAAGCTCAAAGACAATGGTCGAAATGTGGTCAAACACGTATTCAGAGGTGTTGCTCATGGATTCGATAAGCGTGTAGCGGAAGGGTCCCTAGAATGGACGCGGAGAGAGGAGTTGGTCGGGATATCCGTCAAGCTGCTGAAACAGGCGTTCCGGCTGTGATGAATTCAGCGATGGCGTGCCAATGATATTCAATTAGCGTGGATCTATGTTGCTCAAAGTCAAGCATACGGATGAGTGATAAGGCGTGCATAGCAAAACGGCTTATATTCGTTGACAGGCATCGGAGTAGTAAAAACATATGATTCGGTTATCAGAATGTGGCTACAGTCGGCATAACCACCATTTGCTATTGCGATAACAGACATTGCTGACTGACCACTGGCGTAATCTATTTGGATAAGGTGAAATCTAGCGCAGATCACAACTCCTTTGTGGTCAGTAGCTATTCGCACACACGAAGTGGCCTCTTTGCTGACCAAGGAGGCCTTTGTCATTTCCTACCGCCCATTCACGGAACTCACTCCTTCCTCCACTCGGCCTCCACTTGGCCTGTTGACTGGTCTGCCTGGCTCTGCCTAAGCCGCACCATAATGCTGGGTGGCACAGAGGGCGACGGCTCAGTTCTGGTCGTCGCCGCCAGTCGAGGGGTTTAGACTTCAACTCTCATGCCTTTTAATTTGTAGAGCCGTCTTCTGCCTTATCCTTGACGCTCATCGCGTTTGGGAAGGCGCCGGCGGCCCTGTTGATCTTTCTCAGGGCTTCGGGCACCTGTCCTTCCTGTAGAGTGTTGATACACTCATCCATAATATCACTGTCGCGCACCTTCATGTGCTTGGTCCGCGTGAGCCAGTATTCGAAGGGACCACCTGCAAATTGGTTAGCTCAGTGACAGGACGACAAAGAGCCACTTACGGTTGGCGGAAAGTGCGTTGCCGAGTTCCGTGCATCGCTCCTCCGGGTCGTGCTCCGTGTGCATGTCGAGGAAATGGGTGAGCATCTTGCTCACGTCTCGCAGGGGCCATTTGCAAGGCGCGCTCGGTACGCGACTCTGTCCGGCACTGAGATACTTGTTCGCAGTACAGAGATGGCACATCCAGTACCCGAGTCGCTGGACGGATGTGCCGTCGGCAAGCTCGACATCTATGGTCTCGTCCGCGGCATCAGTCCCGATGTGCGAGATGCGCGGCCGTTTGGCAGCCGGGCCCGGCGTGCCATTGTTGGTCGCAGGCATGCCAGAGGCGCGCCGTTTGGGGGCCGTGTCAAAATAGAACTGCGGGCGACCGTTTGCCACCGCTGATGCGGCGAGCGCGTGCTGCGCGTCGATTTGCTCTATCCGATGCTGGCAGTGACGGATCTGGTGGCCAATGTCCAAAATCCGAAATTGCGCCGTCCGGACTTCTTGTGCTGACAGACTGAGGTTGCTATCCTTCAGTAGTTCAGTGCTGAAGTCAAGATCGTAACGATACGCCTTCACGTCTTCCTCCAACTGGCGTCGCGTGATCTCATTTAGATCTTCCGCGCGCTCATACCCGCTTCCCCCGTTCACTACTTCCCCAAGCTCGATTTTCGCGAGCTCTCCATTCGTTTCCATTGCTGTTCCATTTGGGGCGGCTGCAGCTGGTGATGACATCTTGTAGAGGTTAGCGAGTGCTCCAGTAGGCGATAAATTTTGATGGCGTTGAATGCTGTCTCTCCATGGCGCGCCAGTCACCTGGGCTAGGCTGCGAAATGGAATGACGGGGAACATTGCACAATTTCATTTCCAGGGCTCTGGCAATGGACTTGAAATGAGATGAAACGAGATGGACGTACATCTGCAAGTTTTGTCAAATCTGGGATAACATGGCTGGGCTGAGGTGCAGCAAGTGCAGTGTCTTTTTTTGATGTGGAGTGCCTTGATCTTGGTGCCATCGCTTTCTTTTTCCATTTCTCAGCTTCAGAAGTAGCGGTTTTTTTTTTCTTCGCTTTTGGCTAGGTAACGTACAACTTAGTGGCCAGCGAGGCAGTAACCAGAGATCTCTGAAGTAATTATGTTCGGGTTCGCGAGGCCAAAAAAGTTATAATTTAATCAAAATGATTGGAGAAGAAGATTTCCGAAAAGTTTCGAATATGTCAGAGCACGCGCATGAGAGCAAATATCGTCAAGACCGTTGCGGGATATCGTCGTTGTAGGCTAGACTAGTAGATAGCAACGCATACAAGATTTGTAGCAAGTGAAGTGATGAGAATCAGAATCAGAATCTGGAGATTGAGAGGGGTTGGTGCTTTTAACACTTTTCTTGCAGTAAAACTGGAAAAATAAAAAAAAGTTCCGGACTCTAATAACATTAGGTACATCTATTGAATTAACTAGGGAGCATTCCTAGCAACAACGGTCAGGTCCAATGCGCTGATTCGTTAATCATTTCGTATGTGCTTGAAAATTTGAGCAATTACAATTCCTGCAAGAACGTTGCAGATATAATTGCGCGATTTGTACCCTCTTTCGTCGTTATCGTAGATGTATTTGAAATTGTCGCGAGGTCTCGATGAAGCAAGGTTGCGACGGTCTCGGGCCTAAATCCATTTTCGCCGACCAGCAAAAAGCCCCAATTTTGTTTTTAGACAGAGATCCTTGGCTAGGCACTACGAATAGAAGCAACTTCAACCAGTACAGGTTTCTGGACAACCTAATGCTTAGGATATCCAGAAACTTCAATGCTCAGAAGGGTCCAAGTATGCGCTATCTCCTGGCACTATATAATGGGTGAAAGAAGTAGACATTGGCGATGTTCGGTCACCGCACATCTACACACACAACCAGCGAATGCAGACTGGCACCAGTGATTTCCCGATCATGTATCGGTACCTTCGTCTGACAACATCAGCGCACGATATCAGTTGATAACTGTCTCGCGAGGCCGTGAGGCGCGCACTCTATGACGCGGACATGTGAGGCGCTGCAGCAGTCGCTGAGTGTTGCGGTTGTGAGCAATGCACGAGCCCTCGACAAAGCTTGCATGCTTGTATTGAGTCGCCTCGAGACCCTTGGGTCTAGACGGCCAGACAACTGTGAAATATGTTGCCAGGGGTCCAGTACTTTCCCCGTGTGCAAGCTGGCGACCATCCCGTTCAGGGGTCCTGAGATGTGGTGCTTTCCTGTCTGCCATCAGATTGTGCATGACTCAAGGTTCTGGACACGATGTGCAGTCAGAGATGTGGGACATCAGCTCTATAAATGGTCCTCTTTGGAAAGACATTGTCCATCGCTGGTGCGTCTCTGAAGCGAGATTCGTTCAAGAAACACCGGGGAGCAGAGAAGAGGACCGAAAAACGGTCCAGTAGAAGAACGTGGTAAATATTAGGCAAAAAAGATTGTCGAAAGAAATCAATGTCAGGTTTGGCTTCGAGTTGTTGGTGTTAATATATTGCTTGAAAGTCCGGCGATTCCACTCAATTTGTGAGCGGCTGCTCTCAATGCTTCGTACAGTCCAGGACGCTGACGACCGTCCAGCTACCCTGATGAGCTGGGGTTTCGTGGTATGCATTGGCATTATTATGATATTCAATTCAATATAGACTGGTTATCTCGCTTGTTAGGTACTGACACCTGCAGTTGTTGACTTGGCGATAGAAGTGTCTTGTCCTGGGTTTTTTTTTGAAAGAGCAAGTATTTGAAGCTAAGGCCAACATGCGTGATCAGGTCAACCGGATAATTGTAAATCAAAGTTCTCATAATAGCTCAGAGTCGAAATCACAATCCAAGACATCTACATAAAATCCTCGTCAACTCTTTTCTTGAAGTGCGTTGTGTCGTGGAACAAGTGTGTCCATCTTGGCTCAGGAGATCTGTCGAGGCTAGTACATCAAATTTGCTCCGTTAGTATCTTCCATTGTTATCCAGCGAAAAGACCAAGCAAAGTAATACTGCGACATTCCAATCCTCCCGCATTAACTCTACTCCTTTCATCAATATAAGAGCACCTTCAACATGGCTTCCAAGCAGACCCGCAATATTCGATCGTTGCTCGAAGGCAGAGACACATTTTATCCAATCTATAAAAGACTGATGAAATTGCTTGACACAAGAAGTGTCGTGAGGTTGAGCCAAGCCTCCAAAACCATCAGAGCCATGACTCTCAGTCATTCATGGAACATCAACATTCCCTTCAGGCACCACTTCAGAGATCCGCGCGCCTTCCGCTCCGTCCTAGGTGAATGCAATGCTCTGATAGCCGGTTCCTGGGTAGTTCAGTTCTTGCTAAGACAGCTTTCGAAAAATGAGGGCATCTTGATCTTCGTTCAACGAGGCGACAACGCTGACAAGATGGAGCACTACCTATCGCAGAAGGAATCGTATGATGTGCCGGCCTCTCCCGACGCTACTAGAGAGATCGAACGTAAATGCGTAGGTAAAACCCAACTCCTCTCTAGGGAGTAGCGGCTAACTATCGCACAGTTGCGCCTCCCGACAAGGCAGGATCACTGTCTGCACCTCATTATAACATCTGTGCCCCCTGTAGAAACGATATTGGCAACGTTTCCATCCACCGACTCGATGTGTTTCATTACTTGGAACAAGACGTACGCTCTTTTTCCACGCCAGACATACATTGATTTTGAGTATATTCCCCTTCGACAGCATTGCCAACATTCAACAGCCTGGCGGAATTCTTCATCCGGAGACTGGAGATTGAGAACGCAGTCTGTAATTTCAGAACGAGAATTGAGAGGCATAGTGGGAAAAGACCAAGGCTTAGGTAGAAGGATAGGGAATCCCCGATACACATGGATGGTCGCATTGGACACAACCTATGTGACCCAGCCTACGACGCCGACATCTGTGCTGGAGTTCTCTGGGTTCAACGTCATACCACCACCACCACCTCCACAATACAGTAGGTCGGCATGGGTGACTTGGGACACCTACAGTCGCAGTTTCCTGTATCGGATCTGGGTTGAAGACTTCCGGCGTCCATCACTGAAATATCGTTATACGGGGGGTCCGATCACCCAGTTGTCCAGAATTCTCCGGGCAAATGCTTTGGCACAGTTAGCCTATAAATTAGACGACAACAGCAGAGGACGACTGATTGGCGACTACTCGCCTGCCGCTGCCTCTCTTCGTGAATTGCCGGTGGAAGAAGTACCGGGCTGGGACTTTTGGGATGATGAGATACCCAAATTATTTCTAGATATGGGACTTGATCAATGACCACTAATAGATGCATACCGGGGTGTGGTGTACCACGGGACAATTTTCCACCTCCAGAGAGTAAAGGAGGAAGAAAAACAAGGAAGAAAAGAAAGAAATGAAAAATGAAAAGTGAAAAACTCTCCCTTCACAATCAACATGCATGGTGGATGCACACTGACTTGATGAAAAACCCATATTTGCACTGTCAACTTCACAGAGTTTCATTTATAGCCACCCACGTCCCATTTTGCAAATGAAACTGTGGGATATGCCCCACGCCTTTGATCAAGTTTGCGTCCTTCGCAAGGCAGGCCTTCCACTCCCATCCTTCGGTCAAAACCACACCGACACCGACCATGTCAGCCCCTGCCTTGCGCACCAACTCCAGTGCACCTTTCAGGCTGTTTCCACTTGCCACGACGTCGTCGACCACGCAAGCCCTCTTGCCTTTCAGTATTGGGACAGCTGCCCGGTCCAATAAGAACCTCTGGGGCCCCTTGGAAGTTATGCTAGTAATGGAGACAGACAGTGCATCGGCTAGATGGATCTTGGGCGATTTCTGCAGGATCACATATCGCTCCAGCCCTAGAGCACGAGATACCTCGATGGCTAGGGGTATGCCCAGGGTAGCGGGTGCCACGATGACCTCTGGGTCTAGGGGACGTAACAAGGATGCCAGCGCTTGACCTGTGTGCGATAGAACTGACAGGGGATGGTCTATTATCATGAAGAGAGAAATGGCGAGGCTCTCAGAGATGGGCACGATTGGCAAAGTCAGTTCCCGTCCTGCAAGGTCAAGAGTATAGGTATGCTCTGCTTTAGGCGAGGCGCTTAACCCTGATTCGACCATAGTGGCCTTGGGTCATTGGTAGATAGTGTAGGTAGAGGACAATGAAATGGAAATCTTGGAAGCGCGCATTGGCATCAAATGCAGGGTATGGGTGATAAGCGTTCGGATCAACTCCGACTGGCACCAATCAATGCGGAGTTTCTGCCGCTCAACAGTCCACCTATTGATCTAACCTTAGACGAAACCTGACCAGCCATTACTTCTCCTCGTTGACCCTTGAAGCTTCATGCACTCGCATCAATATACTGTTCGCCAATGTACGGGATATGAAGCCAGCATTCAATGTGATCTGTAATGTCGTCGAGAGCTCTTGGGAAATGCGTGCTGTGCACTAACCTAGCGGATGGGATCACTTTTTCGCAAGCGCAATCAAGAACGACGTCAGTAGCAAACTCAAGTGTCAGCCTCGCATGGCACATCGCCAGATAGAGCTTTTCAGGACCTGCCAGACCCTCAAACCCAGCCTTGTTATTGAGCACTCGAGAAATCTTCTTCGAAAAACGTTTATGCTGCAGAAACGCCGATTTCCAGACACCTGAGCCTTGAGCTAGAACCTTAGAAAGCAATTACCGTGGGCTTAGTTGTTAGCGCTGCGTCTTTGCGAGGCCGCGCCCACCAACGTCATGAATGGGACTATTTCGTTGATAGCGCGTAGATAAGCTTCCTTCAAGCTCTCGGTCTGCTTACAAACACATCACAGTTGTGTCTTTGCGAGAAGACCCTTTTCTTTATTTCGGCAGATACCAGTGAAGTATTACGACGATGATCATAATCCGGTTCTCCGGACTATTACTCGTTGTCCGAGCGATTGAGACGCGACCTAAATCTGTGATCATCCATGTCATCAGTCGACTGTTGCGAAGAGCCGCATCTCGCGCGCTGCCTTGAAGTGAAGTTCTGCTCACAGCCTTTAGAACGTAGGTTAAACCCTCCTACGTGCTCATGTGTCTCTTTAGATGTTGTAATGCCCTTTGATTGTGATTTATCGCAAAAGCCGTTGTAACAGCCAAACTCTTGCCCGAAAATATTCACCAAATACGAACTCGAACGTGACACGGGATTCAGCCATAGTTGTCGACCACAATGCTGTTGTAAATGGTAACCCAAAGCATCACGTCGACAAAAGGGTAAAGACTCCTACATTATTGATTGATACCTTCCGGATACGGGCCGCAACCCTATCTATATCATCACGCTGAATCTTGCTCGTGGTGTGACAAGTCTTGAGCCGGCTGGCGTTCCTTGGCCTTCTCGCTGGCGCCTTCGTAGTGCTCTCGCCTTCTCGTCTGGTACCGGACAGGTATATCGAGCCTCGAGTTTGATGCGCGGGGGGAGGAGCTGCAGCCTGGGTGGCAACTCCACCACGGCGTTTGTGGGTGCCCATCCAAACCCATCTGCCTGTTCTAGTTCAGCTAAGCAAAGCTGGACCGGCGTCTAACGGGACAGTGCTCGTCGTCGGTAACGCCTGGTTCAGCATCAGCTTCTTTCCTGCTCTTCAAATACGTCATGGCCTATCTCAGCGACATGTACCCGGCGCACGTGGCGAGTGTGCCGGCGGGCAATGATCTGTTGAGGAGTACGGTTGGTGCTGGATTTGTAAATTCTCTCTCCCCTCTCTTCTCTCGCCCTCTCTCTCTGTCCATTCCGGTTATACCCATACCCTTCCTGCCGTTTCAGTATGTCGAGAAGATTAGATATAGAAGTAAGAGGGCCAGGCATATTTGTAATTTAGTGAAAGAAGATAATCGGAGGTTTGTCAGAGTAGCCCAAAAGAGGTCTTTTTAGATCTTTATAGGAGTAGAGGGGAATGAGGATTGATGGAGATAAAGTAATCTTCATTAAAGCGTGTCGATTTAAACAATGTTTGGACTGGTTAGTTGAGGACTAGGCGTTTGGATACTAACTGACGTCCTCAAAGTTGGCGCCTTCATTCACTTGATGCGTTTTGGCATGGGAAGCATACGGCATGGAAACCGCAAGTCATGTCCGGTGAAGAGGAAACATAATGAACTACGTATGCACTCTAGGACGCGCGATGCGGGAAAGATTGAGCAAATATCCGCCAAGATTGTATGCATGCATGATGAAATAGACAACGACCATTCCGAATGCCACCTGTATATCTCTATATGCTCCCAAAACGCCTCGCCAATGCAATTTATGCTATGTATGCGATCCAATTACCTAGCGCTGTGCCAATCATGTAACAAAAGAAGAAACCGAGTTTCTACGTATGAACAGCCACATGGGTGGAAAAAAGTCCATCATCTTTCTTTCAAGGTCGACGTCACACGCGACCAGACAGCAGTCCTTCGTAGGCTCTTTCGATAGCTCGGCCGCCCATCCCAGGAACGGCTCGCAATTGAGAAATATTCTCGATCGTGCTTCCATCCAAGCTGAGATATTCTACCAAGTCGCGTGCCTTCTTGGGTCCGAAACCCTGCAAGGCCATGATGGAGGTGGCATCCCCGGAGTTGATGATGTCGAGCAGCTCCTGCATTTGAGGTGTAAGCGGCGTGTCGTCGAGCACAGGGGCCAGTTTGGTGGCCTTGACCCTCTTGGTCTTTTGCCGCCCAAGGAGGAATTCCTCGTCGTCTTCGGCTGCATCTGCCTCGTAGTCCTCGTCATCAACGTGTCGATGCACATTCTTTTTCCTTACGATGGGTGAAAGCACCTCGTTGGTCGCATCGGCCACATCGCGACCTTCTCTCTTGGCAGCTATCTTGGCCTTGATTTTTTCGATCTTGGAAGCCAGCTTCGCCTGGCCAGGGAAATAGGGTAGAGCCAGCTCGTACATCTTGAGGGCGCTCAAGTCCTCGCCTCTTTCCTTGTGCTGCCTGGCCATGAGTAAGAAACGCAGGCCCTCAGATTTTCCATCGTCGTGAGCATCCTCAATGCGACGCTCCAGAGCGTCCAACCGTTTTTGTACAGCATCACTGATTTCGGGTTGCGGAGCGGGCTGCGTGCGAGATGCGAGGATCTCGGCGACCTTCTTTTCGACCATGGCCTCGATGTCCTCGGCAGAGACTGTGGGTTGTTGAGCTGATTGTTTTGTCGGTATCGAAGTGGGCCTGCTCGTGAGTTGCGGTGCAAGCAGTGTGTGAGTTGGACGGGTGATCTTCGTAGGCCGGGCAATGCCTGAGTCTTGATCGGACGGTCGCTTTTGCAGCATCGAGTTGGCGCGCTTCAGGGCAACGTTGGCCGGACGAGGTGCAAGCACGGCAGGCTTTGCGGCTTCTCTGTAGACATTGAACAGCTTGACGGGTTTATCTGCAGCGACAGCTGCCGCATTCTCTTTTTCCTTGGCCGCAATCTGACCAGAGGCGACGTTGTGGGCATTGGCAAGCGGCCGTAAGGGTTGACGAGCCATATTGGAGTTGGCAGAGTTCGCACGCGGGACTTGTTTATAGACAATCTCGTTCTCGATCTCTCGCACTTCAATTCGCTTCGCTCGCGAGCTGACATTCAGACTGCTCAGGGTGTCGAGGTGGTAGCTGCGGAGGGGCGCCAGGTTGAGGATCATGATGGTGATGCCGTTGTTCTGGCCCAAGGAGAGGATTCTCGTCATCTTGGATTCGCGGAACGGTATGCGTCGCTCGCCTCGCGATATAGCATCGATGCATTGACTAAGTACGAACAAGCTCTTGTTGATGGCGGCCGACTCGACCAGACGCTCCTTGTTGTTCTCGGTTCTTCGGTTGTCCTCCGACCCGGCCAAGTCAATGGCGGAAGCTGTACTCTCTCGGACCATGTCGCCAGTCGTCTGCGTAAGCTTGACACGCAGGATGGCGTGGCTTCGACTGCTATGGGCGTTGAGCTTGGTGGCAGCAGTGATACGGTTATTGTTTGCCTCGATGTACAGCTTCTCGAAGTCCTTCAGGTCTTCACATGGCCTCTCTGTAAGTCCGACGACATGCGTCTTGCCATTGGCTTCTCTCAAGGGCAGGCCGGTAGGGGTTCGCTTCTCGAGGGGCTCGAAGAGGTCGAAAACCTTGTCGTTGTAGATCTCGTAGTATGACAGGGCGACTGTCACCGTCGTCTCGCCAGCTGTGTCCTTTGTCATCCTCTTGGCTCTTCGGTAGACACCGCTCAGCAGTCTGGGAATCACCCCACGATCTGCCAGCTTCAGCCCACCGCGCATGGTATGTGTCTTGCCGGTGCCTGTGACGCCGTAGGCGAATATGGTGACATCGAGGCCTTGGAAGAGAGCCTTGAGGTGAGGGGCAACTATGAGGGGTCCAGTTAGAGTTCATGTTGCGGTCATTGGTCGGGTTCTGTACCTTCGGCGGTGAATAGGTCCTCTTGAGTGGTGGGTTGATCGTAAACGCTGTTGAAGGCGAAGGTGAACTCCTCAGCCTCGTTCTTGGGACTCGGTATCCGGACGAGGGTGTTGGGCTTGCCGTCATCTGTGCTCGCGGCGTGGACGATGATGTCCTTTGGCTTGTCCAGCTCGTGTGGAAGCAAGGGGCGAATTCGAGCGACAACCCTCACAGACATGTTGGACACGTTGGAGCGAAAAACAACAATTGTCTGGGGGGTGATGACATGGACGACGATAAGGACGGGAGGGAATGAGTGTCTTAACACAGAGTATTATTGCCACCACTCCGCAACTGGGAACCTTGCCTCAAAATGCTATGCTTGTGACGGCCGCGTCCTTTGGAATGACTTCGTGTAGGATTGGGTTGGGATATCAAATGGCAGCTATTGATCGAATCCTTGCCAATGTCAAAGCTTGGGCTCACAGATGGCGCGGATTCTCTCCAGCAAAATCCTAACATGATAATAAGCTCCGTTGGCGGTTGTCAAGGGCAACGGTGCAGCGGGCCATGATGTCCCCACAGCGAAGGACCCTGCATCAGCACCTGCCAGGCCGGCACCAGCACCATTATATAGCGTCCCAACGTCACCAAGCTACTCTGCTCGTCCAAAGTTCGGCCTGCTCCACTAAGTAGGACGGCTATACGGAGCATGCAGACCTTCTATCAGTCAGGATCACTGTGATGGTTCGCCGGAAGCCCATGTGGTGCAGTGCAGGCATGTCCACTTTGGGTTGCACACGTTCTTCAATTTTGGGACAGCGATTCTCTCAGCATGTCTTATGCTTTCTCTAACACTATCTCTGGCTCCGCATCATTCCGTCACCCCGTTACTGACCGAGCCACCTTGAGGAAAGAATCGATTCATTTCTTCACCCATTACTGACTGAGCCACAACCAGGGAAGAGAGCCTGTAATCAGCTAGCAGCTATCATCCATAACCATGACCTGAAAACCACTGCCAGTGGGACCGGCCTTGTGGCCATGGACGTAATCAATCTCGCCGCCCCACCCTGGGTTGACTTGAAGCCTGCAGTTCTGGACGAGATTCTCGACATAGTCGGCGACCTCGGAACAGGGGCGCCGGATCTGGACGTCCAGGTCGTTGCACAGAAAGATGCCCGCGTCGCCTGAGCAGGCCACGCGCTCGCAGCGGGATCTCTTGTTGTAATGGCCTGGTTTCCCGGAGTTGGCGACGCACAGCGCATGGGGACCCTTCGCGCGGAGTTGCTTGATGCCCTCTGTGATGCCCTCCGTGGGGGCGTTGTCTGATCTAAAGATATATGGGTGGCAATCGGTCCACTAAACGGCAAAGAGCGAGAAACAAATACGTCAGTCTCACAAGTTCAGCTGGAAGGAAACCAACAGCGGTTATGTAGCCCTCCCTATTGCAAGTAAAGCTTGGATCGTCGGCTGAAGGAAGGTAGAAAATCTAAGGACTTACGCCGCCTGGGAAATAAATCAACTGATCATTCCATCGCTTTTCACTCAGTGCAGGAGTGTTATAAATGTCAGGCTCAGCAATCTTAGCGTCGAGAACAGTCGTGTTCACGTCGGTGAGCCCAGTGGTCTCAGGCTAGGACGCAAAGGTCAGCGATTGGTGAGACAAATTCTTATTACCATTTCTTTAGACTTCGTGGGTCGGGAACAATAGCGGATACGGATATATCCAGAATATCTTACCAAGGGGTTCGAGTCGGATGAGTTTTGAGCAGCAGGTGTAGCCATTGCACCAGCCACGGCGCAGAGGATGGGGATGGCACTGATGATGCTAGTCTTCATTTCGTCGTGATTTAGTTGTTTTGCTGGCTATTATAATGGCAGCAAAGATTTGCTTGGTGGGCGATAGATTCTGAAGTCAAGCGTTGTCGAGGATTATGTGATGTGTTAGAACTCGGCAGTGATGATCAAGACAACTGTTGTTCAGGGAGAAATATATGATGTGAAGGATTTTGAAGAGGGTGAAAAGCTGGACGCTGTGATAATTATGTTTACAGATCCTTCTCACATTGCTCGGTTTTGAGCAAGATCAGAGCTTACAAGATGTAGCGATATGTTCCTCGTGGTCTAACCCAGCTGCGTAGATTATGACGATCCTACTCTAAGCTGCGCACTTGTATGATGCTGCTAAACCCTTCGAATAACTACTGGACTCATAACTTAGTTTCAGGCGTGAACAAGTGCTCGATTTTCTTGACTGCGGAATATAACGATGCGAACTCTTTTCAACTTCGACATCCTGATCCTAACTACTCTATCTCTCTCATTACCAATTTTCTTTTCTTTCTCACGTGTCTTCAACGCGGTCGAGCTTTCCAACCGTGGATATATTGCCCATGAGGTGGATGTGGAAGACGAGCACTCTATAGACATAGCTACGCCGTCGACTTCACATGACTCCATATTCTTATATCGCGAGAAGATATAGTGCCGCGTGAGACAAGGTATTGACGTACTTGGCCACGGCGGCACCAATGCCCAATATGTCAAATGATTTATGGATGGGCCTCTGTCGTGCAAAGCTTTAGAAGAGTGTGAGTAATCACGCATTGAGTGATGGAAGTTCATGTTACGGCGATAGCGAGCCCAAGGCTATCACGGGTTTGTAAACACATACGATCAATTGCTACTAACCTAGGTTAGACTAGTGGCGACATGATTGATTGGCCATAGTAGACGGGCTGACGAGCAGTTGCGCGAAATCTACTGGACTCGCATCATCACTCTCAATCAATCAGGATCTTTTTCATCTGTTCCTGTCTCAAGTAGTGATCTTGGGATTTAGTTTGTTGTGAGGCCGAGTCGTGCTTCACTATTGTTTAATCAAATGGCCCCATGTAGTAGTGAGCCGAGCCAGTAACCTGATCAAGAAGGTGTAATATTGGATTACGGCACAGCACAACTTTTTCTGCAGCGCGGCGCCTGACTCATTTCTGGCCTCATACACAGATAAGACTGAGACGACGCCATTCTTTTGTTGTACTTACCCGCTTGTTCGTGACGACCGCTCGCTCTGGGTTCCGTTCAGTCACTCTTTGTCTTCCACTCGCTTCTGCTTCTGTATACTTACTTAAATGCAATTACATCAGTTCTCTGCATAGCCTAGGCAGTTAATATTTAATCATGGCGATCAGATTTCTCTCGTCCGCCATCCTGACCGCGCAAATCGCATATGCCGCCGATGCCAGCGTTGCGGATCAACTGGGCGCGCGGCCCCTGAAACTGACCGCTGGTCAAGAAATCGACCTCACGATCAATAATGCCACTGAAGTCGGCAGCGGATACGTCGGCGAATACGAAACGACTCACATCAAGATCGTCATGTATAACATGCTTCATATGTCCTGGATGTGTACGTTCATACCTGACAGAACGCACCCTATTCTTTCAGTATAAACTCACATTCCCTCCCCATATAGGCAGCCTAACGGACTTCCTCCCGGCCAAGGATGGTATAGTCAAGATCACCATCCCCCCCGAGATGGGGCCCTCGGGTACATACTACGAGATCAGCGCGTGGGGGTACTCACTAGATTCTGCGTCTTCCTTGGCACCCAAGCACATCATCACGGGCCACAGCACGCAGATGCTTTTCCTTTCCGGGGGCGAGGGCCACTGGATTCCGGCTGAGACCGCAAGGGAGCTCCGGTACTACGGCCTGCCGGGCTGGGAGAACGCTGACATTCCGTGCCGCAGCTACCCCTGCGCACAGGCCTGCGCGGTGAAGCAGTTTCCCGACGATAGCGCCTGGGTCGACGGCTCGGTGTGGATGGACTGCCTGACGGCCTGCGACGGTGTGGTGGTGTACCAACCCGGCCTCTACGGGTATTCTGCTCCCCACGCGACGAGCTCGGTGAGTTTGCCGCAGACCCTGCCGACACCGACCGGGAGCTGCGAGGCGAAGGATTTCCGTACCCCATGTGGCACCGAGTGCTGCCGGGAATCTGAGTATTGTTACGGCTACACGACGTGTGTCAACTTGCCTATTGACTTTGCGGCTATTCAGAGTTCGAGGAGTAGTCAGAGTACCGCTACAGCCACCCGAACAGGAGAAGGTAGTTCCCAGAAGACCGGTACGGGTGGTGTAGGAGAAGCTACTACAGGGACAGGGGCTGGTGCATCGGAAACTAGTGCACATAGTTCGAGTGCAGGTACGAGCACGCCTACAAGCACAGGAACAAGCGGCATCGATCGGATAAGGGTGAGCTCCACCGCCATCGCCATGGGCCTAATAGGCTGTCTAGGAGTTGCATGGTTGGGTCTCATATGAACGACTTGAGTTTTCCCCTATCTAGTTCAAAGGTAAAGCTTAATTTATAATTATAATATGATCAAGGCGGTAGCGAACGATATTCAATTCGTGCTCAATGACTCGGAAGAACCATCAAGAAGCGCATAAGTTGCATGTATTCTTGATCAGGCTGCTCATTTTACCAGGGTGGGGAATGAAAAAGGGTAGGCAAGGATACCAACGTGACAAGGGGTTGGAAACAGCCAAGACTGCTGGCAATAATGCATGTATGAACTTACCCATCTTGGCAGGCCCTAGCCAAGGGAACGAAGCAGATGCAACAAGATGTAGCCGATGAGGACGAGGCATCTGTGTAAACACTATCCAAATGAGAAATATGCAGTATGTTGTGCAACAGGCAACAATGCGACTGGCCGTGCGAATGACAACATTACAAGAGCCTCGTCGTTGGTAGAAATATTGCCTGGCCGTATGCTGTTCTCTCTGATTTTTGTTCCTTTGCAATTCTTTTCATTGTAATGATTTTTCACTGGCAGAACCTGTTCAAGAAGTGAGGTGGAATAGTTACCATGGCCAACATTCCCAAGAGCCCATTTTCCAATTTTGCACCTTCCTATAGCCAAGCTTTGCCTGAAGCCCCGCCACCTTGCTCCGTGCACTTATCAGGTACTACACGACCTCAAGCGTGGGAAAATCGTCATTGAATTCTTCAGGTACGATCTCGCAATGAAATATCAGCGTTCCGACATGGGCATCATGTCGTAGACATCCCAGCAGAGGCATGGCCAAGTTATGATGACGCCCAAATACATTTGGAGGTCTTGCGTGCGACTGGATCAATATTCAGAGCTCAGTACAGATAGAAAATCTCTCAGGCAACTAGATGGAATAGCGTGTCATCAAGCCCTACGGCATAGAATCTTTTTGTTTACGACTTCTTTTCTTGAGACAGGTAACATTCTAATCACATCCTCCTACGTGGTTACTAGGTTCCCCTTTTTTTTTTGAGTCTCTCTGGTGTCGATAGTAGCCTCGACGGGTTGACGGTTTGTTATTGCACAGATACTAGGCCACCCTTATTAGAAGTCATAATGGTGGAGCCGGCAGGGATACGTTGTATACTACATTTGTGGGGCTTTTGTCTAATTCGGCTATCTTACAGTACTACTTCAACCCAGCGTTGATAGGTTCGCCCTAATGGTATATCAGTTCCTTCCAACGTCGTTCGACCCTCGAGGCTGAACACAGGACTCTGTATTTTTCCAATTTCTGTATTGGTAGGGATGTCCTGGTGGCGAAGCCTGTTGAGCTTGTATTTGGGAGCCGCAATTGGCACAAGTCTGCTGAGCGAACTGAGAGTTGTTGTGTTCCAGACTTGTTGTTGTTGTACGGAGTCAGCGTTTTCCAAAGACTATGGTGCTGTGAAAGGTCATTTCTTACGTGTGTATCTTTTTAGCAATGAAGTAGGCGCCAGTGCCAACGATTGCAAGTTTAAAGAAACCCATGCCTCGACGTGGTCCGAATCTATAGTGGCCGAATGGGTGGGCAAATGGATGTGACGGATAAAAGTAGGGTCGACGACCAATCGTGGACCGATGCATCTTTGGAAAAGATAGGTTCGCTACGCGATCTAGGAGAATTGTTTATATTACTTCTCTTTTGAACGAACACAGGCAACCATTTATAATTTTCGACGTCGAGAATTATTCCCGAGCAGTCTCGGGTCCGACCTTCGGACATTTCGGCTTTTGAGGGCATAGAGCGGGACATGGACAACCTGTCAGCAATTACGATCTCGGACAAAAGTCTAGTCTAGCGTCGACTCATCAAGGCCAGCAGGATCAGGTGACTCTTTGGATGCATACACATGTGAGGCATTACTCCATATACCCAATTAGGTAGTGACCAAATCCTTGTTCAAGGACCTAATCCGATGATAGTACCCGGGCATGCAACGCCCAATACACTGTGTCCCAAGATCCTTAGTGTGGCCATCTTCGCATCGATAGCAATTAGTATAATCTACGTATACAGCAGCATTTCGTGTTCTACTTCAGTCTCTTGACTCACCTACACTACAGATTGAAAGAGAACGTGAGGCTTCGGGTGTCATAATTTCACAATTTCCTAGTGTTAACAAGTAGGTTTATTCCAAAACGTTCAATTCATTATGATTACGCCGGCCCTATGCAGCATTCATTATGGTACAGCTGACCGCCAATGGTCAAGCGTCCTAGCATCACGATCCGTATTATCTTCACAACTTGTTGGCAGCACCCTTAGCCTTGCCAGCGGCCTCATTGGCGGCTCCCTTGGCCTTGCCAGCGGCCTCGTTGGCGGCGCCCTTGGCCTTGCCGGCCAACTCGGAACCCTTGCCGGCGGCCTGACCGCGGATCTCCTCGGCGGAACCTTCCACCTTGCCTGCAACCTCGGAACCGGTAATGTTCTCAGTGGCCTTGGCTAGAGAAATGGGTATCAGTAGGGCTACGTCAAATGTGAAGCATGTAGAGTGTGCAACTTACAAGCAGCGTTGATACCGTCAACAAGCTTATCAGAAACCTTACGGTCGACAGTCTTTGCGGCGTCCTTCACTGTCTCGGTTGCGGTCTTCTGGTACCGTGCGGAGACGGAGAATTGTCTAGGAGCCTGGACCAGGGCAGCTCTGGAGGAGATAGCCATGCGGCTGGAGACGGTCTTGGTGAGGAAAGACATTGTGATGGTTTGAGGATTGTAGATTGACTTCTGTGGGATGGATGGAATGGCGAACTGAAGAATCCGAGGCTGTTTTTCGTGAAATTTAATATGATTTATCGGAAAGTGAATGAATGTGAAGAAGGACGCCTGAGAAAGCTCTCCTAGATATTGCTTTCTGGTTGTGGGGAACCTCAAATCACGATGATGTTTGTCGGGTGCTTGGTGATGTCATAAATCAAAGCTCCAAGCTCCAGCCCGTCGAATTTGGAGAGCCGCGGGGGGAGCTTTCAGGCGGAACAGGGATATAGCTATAGTGGCAACGGGTACTGCTCTAACGGAAATTAGTGTCCTGTGACACCAAACTGCGTCACTGAACGACAAGGCCCCATTTGCCAGGGGAGGGGCTGGAACAGGCCGTGTTTCTCAAGCCACCTCCCCATTGAGTTTCAGTCACCACTCGCTGAGGCGATGACGAAAGAATGCATTTGAGGTTAACACGCAACCGACCTGGTCAAGCACGTGCCGATCCGTTTCCAATCTTTACAACATATGTAGCCGTCAACTTAGAATCCATACCTATCATAAGCACTTTTGTTTTACAGAGCTAAACAACTTTTGCCGGGAATATCACTGCCCAGCCGTTGTCGAACGAGTCTTTGAGGGACCGAATGAAGGCATCGGGGCATAATAAAGAGTCAACATTATCCGTGTTTTGACCTAGTCATGGGAAACGATGGTCTCTGCTCTCATACGACCTGGTCGAGAGTATCGAAACCGGGTTTGGACTCAGCTGAGTGTCTCAATGTCCTCTTTGTCCTCGTCATGCGCGCAACAGTAGCCCATGCTGTCAGGTTGAGCATCTTTCCGCCGATATCTGTAATCACAACACAAAAGACACCCGCAACGAAATGGCCTACTCTGGTCCCGGAAACGGTACTACCGCCAATTCCATTGTTCTAGGCGTGTGCATCATGAACAGAGTTCAATTCCTTCAATATACTGCCCAGTAGCGTTTAACAACCACGTCCTTTATCGTTCTGTTGCAAAATTCACAAGGTGATTGTCGCAGAGTCATTGACTGCTTACTGCGTACTGCGAAGAAATGTCGGCTCTCCGCCCGGTTCCTACCGCTCAGCAGCATAGACGAGAAGTGCAATGGCTGTCCTACAAGTTCAGTCGTTATCGGGAAGATGGAACCAACCCCAAAAGAGGCCCGACTGTCGGAGAGCATCGGCATCTAACATTGCCGGTGCCAAAAGAAGATCTCCATAAGGTGAACGCGGCAGAAGGACCAATCCAGTGGAAGCCTTATGTTCGTTCCAAGCCTTATAAGGTGCCAGATCTCGACAACATCCTAGTCCACGATGTCAAGAGACGATCCCGGCCCGTATTCCAAAGGCTACAAGACGTGCACACTTGGTTCACTGGCCCTGGTACCCACTACCAAAAGGTACTCGGCTGGGGCTCGTCTAACCTTGCTCTTCACTACAAGTATGGCAACGCCGACGACGCTAGAGACTTTGTTCTGAAAGTCGGGCTTCATGATCCCACCGATGATTTTCGTATACGCCGAGAAGAGGGGATGCTACGCAAGATACGACGTTCTCACCACATTGTACAGAGCATTTCTCGACAGCAGATTAGCAAGCAACCTAGAAGAAACCCATCAAGTATTGTCTTAAGGAGCTATGCTATAATTGACGATTCCGAGCGCGACCGCTCCAGTGATGATGAAAGCGTCAGTGGTGAAAGTGGGCCGGCTCCCAAGAGGAGAAGGACAACGTTTACGGTCGAGAAGCGAGCCCGGAAGGATGACAGAATACGGATAGCTTACACCACCGGCGGCCAGACACGTTTTATTCGGGAATCTGGTTATCATGACGAACAGAATCCAGATGTATCAGAGCATCGAGACTTTCTACTGCTAGAGTACATGGAGAATGGTAGCCTTGCAGCTTTCATCTGGAAGCTGAACGAGCAAAACAAGAAGTGTCCCAACCGTGTGCTGTGGTCCTTTTGGGCTTGTCGTAAATTCTTCGCTTGGGCTGCAGCCAAGTGAAATATTGGGGCTTATCTCATTTCGTAGTGATTCGATCGTGCATCGCGATGGCCTACCGATACACAAGTTTCATCCTCGTAGACGCGATGCCGACTACCCCGGCAGTCTGAGTGAAATAATTCCTGACACTAGTCAACAGCGCGAGTGGATACGACCAATGGTGTATTTCCAGATCGACCCTACAAACGGTACGCTGAGCCTTGATCGTATCTGGGTATTTTGCTGATCCTTTGAAATAGTCTTGCTTGGAAAAATTCCAGACAACATAAGCCACGAGGAACACCAAGATGAGGTTACACCAAGATGAGGTTACACCAAGATGAGGTTACACCAATACTGAAGGTGAGCTTTACATAAAATGATAGTCATATGGGGTACTAACGAATGCGCAGCTCGGCGGCTTCGGGCTTGCAGAGGTGACGAAAGAACAGAAGAGAAAGTGAGTCATATTTACAGTATATGGAATGCAAAGACTAAATACCATTTCAGCTTCTACTACGAGAGAAGACGTACCTGTGGGAAGCCCGGTTACTATGCTCCTGAGCAATTCACCGAACGTTGGGATATTCTTGAACCAGACATGAATGGTAACACTGCCTGCGATGAATATCTGGGCGATTGCCACTGTCAGTATTTATAACACATATCAAGCGTCGGGAAGCGGTTTGAAGCTAACATTGATAGACTATGGTATCTCTCATTACGCGTTGTGAGCCGCGCACGCCGCCCAGGACAGCTGTTGTCCGCATTCAGCCTCGGAAAGGAGAACCATCCAAGACCTCTTGGAACCACCATTCTTACGGCGCCATGTTGCTCAAAGAGCCAGACGACGAGAAGTGGGATTATGTTGATGAGGAGCTTCGTGAGACGCTTGTTAAATGCCTTGCTCGCGATCCTGATCACCGCCCGGACTTGCAGTACTTGCTTGATCAGGCTCTCGAGAAGTGCCAAGAAGAGGGAGAGTATGTTTACGCAGAGGGCGAGGTACCTGCGACAGATCAGTACGCTCTGACATGGATGGCGGGTGTGCTAAACAACGCAACTCCGGGTCAATATCAAGGCCCATGACTCAAGACCTTGAGCAAGGGAACCATCGCGTTCAAGGAAATGGCGGTGCGGATTAATTAAAGTGTATATAAGTACGAACGTATGTTCTTGGCACTTAATATAGCAATGGTCCACCTTTCGCTTCCTGCGCCGATCAACGTGCATTAGAGCCCGAACGGAATCCCACGACGCCAGGGCCTGCGATCCTACCGTGGTTGGGTGTTGAACGCAGACGAGCTTTCCTCGCAGGCTGCCTCGATTGATGTCATTTGCTGCTATTATTACACAGCCACAAATTTGGACCTGGACTTCTTTACCCATAACGGATTCATCCTACGAGCGCACATTTCTGCACATCGCCAGGGCTGGCATAATTACAAAGACAAGGTGCGCACACACATGGTGTACGTTCATGGCGCGATTGGACGGTCGCTCGTTTGAGACATTGTCCCATTCAGTTGGGGCTGGAGGGTTAACTCCGAAGCTTCAAAGCTACGTATGCATATGCGAAAGCGTTCATAGCCTAAAATGTTAGAAGTATGAACGAGGTGGTTGGGACTCGTAGAGGACAGGAGAAGCCTCGCGCATGTCACTGCCCCCCCGGTGCATTGCGATTCTGTCTACTCGATCCCGGCATCCATTAGCTTACCTGTAGATGTCGATAACCCCACCAGCTCTCGCCGGACACCACAAGCCATGCCAGGACTTTTCTTCCTTGCAAACACTAATTTTGAAATCACATGTGGTTAATCATTGCTGGCATTGCCGACGGCGGCTTAACAATGTCACCGGGATCAATGAATTTTTGCGTCTAGCACAGCATGAGTTGATCGCCAAGTATCTCGAGGAAAAAACGAGTGCCCATTCGACGTCACCGTTCTATAAGTATAACTATCAAACTGCGGCCGCTCGCTTCTATCCTCCTTGTGGAGATCCCTTCGGCAACGCTAACGGTAGCGTCTTGGCATTTTCTTGTGGTACTGTAGCCTCAAACCAAAGAGCAGAGATAATCAATAGGACTCATAACATACGTCAACATGATCACGGATTCTGGTAGGATCTCGGCAATTGAGAGGATCCTGTAGCGATTGTCGGCCTTGTCAAGCCCGCCTACCGTAAGGAACGACGCGGCTTTGAAAATGAAAAGAGCCAAATGCGTCCCAAAGAATTCGCAGTTAAGCCACTAGTTAGTCGGCTACCGAGTCTTGCATAGGCGGCGGAATACCGGAGTTCAGTTGTGATGAACTGTAACAGAAGTGCGAGATCTCAAAGATGGCTGGAGGTGGCTGCATCATTTTCATCTGGTCGAGTCGAAATGGAACAGGTTCTCTTCAGCTTTGCTGACTGTCACAATACTCGGCTTGAGAAAAGCGATTGCCGTTAACCTAAGCCACCCACCTAGGTTAGACGTTTAGCTTTCAGCTCATCCCACGCAGGTCCGATATCAAGGTCTTTTTGGGCGTGCGCTCAGCTCTGCGATGCAAGTGCCTGGAGCTTACGCGGGTATTTCTTGTTCACCAGCTTTGGGGCCAAAAGACCAACCAATTGTCATTGATTTCGCAAACCCAACAAAGCCACCTGTTCGTATAAGGCTTGGAAACGCCAATCGGGCTTAGCAGGCAACGATCGATGCCCGTTCCGAAAGGGTCCTGCGAGGGCCAGGGGTGCTTGCATAAGGGTGGTTGCTATACTTAAACTGATCGACCATGGGCCATGGATGGTGACGCGCGGGATCACTACCCCCGGCTAACAAAGAAACCCCTGCGCGGCCTACGCAGCATGGCAGGAACTACTCTGCTACTTAGTGCCAACTCTGGTCTTGGCAGATCATATTCAAATTGGCCAGCCTTTTGAAAATCTAGGTTTTTGGGATTCTACTGCTGCTGCGGATTGCCCAGTCCCACAGGGATGGCGAAATGATTCTCGGCCGTTTTACTGACAGCTTATTCCCCCATTGATCCCAATCCAGCACGTGGGGAATGATAACCCGACGCAGGGCCCCATTCCCCTACGGACGGCTCTTCTACCTTGTCGTGCATGATCATGATGATTGAGGCTCCCAGGGTCCGCCAATGTTAGTCAGTAAGGATTCCTCTCGGGGCCGTTCGGTGGAATCACCCGCGCTGTTCTCTTCCCATGTGTGGGTAGATCGATGATGCAGCATGAAGCGCAAATTGCTTGTCGAGAGAGGGACGCTGAAGTATATTAGACCCCAACGTCTCGGCTGTTTTGCGTCTTGCTCATTTTCTCATTCACATCAACAACCGGCTATCAACAATCTTCAACTTTATAGACCAATTTTTCTCTTTCCTCGCATAGTTTCCCACCCTACACGAAGCACATCGCCGAACAGAACACAAAAAACACAGACACAATGAAGTACACATCAGTCATCTCACTCTTCCTGGCCAGCGTCGCCGTGGCCGACCTTCCATACGGCATGCCAGAGGGCAAGCGGGAGTTTGCCCCAGAAGAGCTCCCTCCAAAGCACTGGACGGGTACATGGGGTGGAGAGCATCCCACAGGCCCGCCTACTGGTGGGTGGTCCGGTCCAACTGGCACAGGAGGTCAGCACCCGACCGGTACCGGCGGCCTGCCTGGTCCCACCGGCATTGGAGGAGGTTACGGAGGCCAGGGCCCTCCGCCACAGTGGACAAAGGGAGAAGGCAACCACCCCGTCAGACACATCAAGGAGCAGGCGTCCAAGCCCACGACGCTCGAGACCAAGACCGGCCATAAGACCGGCCACAGCGGACATGGCACCGGTGGTCCTTCCGGGACTGGCGGCCAGCACCCTACTGGTACCGGCGGCTGTGGTCGTCCGACCGGTACTGGTGGCGCCATCCCGGGAGACAAGCCCTCGGAGGGCTGGCACAAGCCCATCCAGCCTCCCGTCATAACTGCTGTCTAAGACGGTGCGCGTCCTGGGGTGTTTGTTATAGACGGGCAATGATTAGGTACGCTGCAGACCCAAAAGAAAATAAAAAATAATCCCAGGAGAACAGTTCACTGATTCCTCTTCGCAGATGTTTGTCAAGCAACACTGACGTCTATTCGCCCTGGGTTTTGTTTTGGGTCATCCCCGAGATATGAAAATCGAGTTCGACTTTGGTTGTTTTGTATATGGGGAGTCATCCACCCGCCCATGACACGGGAAATGATTCGGTTTCGGCATCGCTACTCGAGCTTTGATCTTCTCGCTTAGAGGTGCACATGTATTGTGTTTTTCAAAACGTTTCCAGATTTTGTTTCCGGCCCGCTAGGTCGCCTTCTCTTTTGTCAAGGTCAAACATTGGGGAAAACGGGAAAGAATGAGATAGATCTCCTTCGGCGCAAGGGAGCGAGTTTTATGGGATACGGATGAGACAAGGACCTCATAGATTCGGTCGTGTCGGATAGTTTCAAAAGGGAATTCGACGCTGTTCACTGAATATTCTATGCCAATCGCCTCCATGATCGTGACAACTGTGTCTAACCTGCATAACTCAATTACTGTGTAGCTGTAAATCATCATTTGCTTTTACCACTGGCTGGTCCCTATGCAAATCAGATTCTACCCGCAATACCTGCGGACAAAACTGCAACAGAAATGCATTGACACTGTGCCTAGCAAGACAGACCCAGCTCAAATCGCTGGATCCAAGATGGTTTGTAGACACTGTTCCCTGGCCTACCTGTAGAGAATGTCAGATTAGTTCAGCCAAGACCTTGAGTGCATGCAGCACGTCATAGGCACCCTACAGCAAAAATAATACCCAAAAAACAAAAGAAGGATTGTGGTCCATAGCCGGGGACCCGCTTTATTGGCTGATCCTTCCATCCTGTACATCCTTCGTTCGTTGTGCTAGGCTGGCGCCTGATAGCGGGTCGAGGCGCTTCGAATGTTTGTTAACGACAATTGACACACTGCGTGGAGCAGCATTTTGTATGAAGAAGCTATTGTCGGGCTTGCCTGTAAGTATTGGCTGGATTGGCTGGATTATATTCGACAGCCTTAATAATAGTGAAAAGTGGCCGGCAGAAGTGTTAAAGGTCAATCATTGGTGCGTCAATTGATTGTCCAGGATTCTCCTGTGTCCAAAAAGCTTCAGGTTACTATTTCCAAATGGTTTCCGAGAATTGCCATCAAAACATACTTGATAATTTGGCAAAAGCGGTAGTTTAGAGCTCTTCTCGGCGACGGTGGTGATGTTGTTCCTGTTCAAGAGGTGATTGAAGACAAGTCACATTGTTTCTTAGATTCCTCCCACGAGTGTTCTCTTATTTAGTCCAAGTTATTCTTACCTTGGGTACTTGCTGCTGCGATCTGACACCGGTGAGGGTGAGGCGTGAAGCGCAAACAAAGGCTCAGAGCTGGCTAGTCAGCGTGAGGGTAGGGGAAGATGGAAGGGTTGGTACGTCAAATATATAAAATATGTTGGCAAGGTAAGTAGGGAGATGAATATCACATATTTGAAAAGAAGGAGGAAGGAAGGAAAAAGAAAAAGCAGCACAGGGAAATGAGGAGGAAAGAAAAGCAGGATCGTAAGTGGGATCTAATAGGAATGACGAGGCTTTGACGAACCTGATGCATATTATAGCTCATGGTGTTGAGGCTCTGGAAAGCTACACCAAAGCACTGCGTCTAAGCTCTCAGTAGTGGAAGACGAGCCTGAAGGTGCCTGTACTTATACATACGCATTGAGAAAGTCGTATGAAAGCAAAGCTACATGACTCTTCATACAATGCCCGCATGAGTAAATGGTCGGCAACTGTTTGTGCTCTCCAGATATGTCTTATTATTGCCATGGACTACCCAGAGAATGTTGCAGACGAGACCAGACTACTCAGCTCCCGTGGGCCAGAACGCTTCCCCCGGAGCGTCTCCCCCAGAGCGTCTCCCCCAGAGCGTCCAGATGACGCTGTACTATCTTATAGCCATTTCATGTTATCGCATCGCGATGCCAATAGGCCATTGCCACCGTGTAAGAAACCGACATTTCCGCACCCACCGAACTAAGGGATGATACTTGCCTCCCCTTAAAGAAACCCTATAGGCAGCTTCGCTATCGAAATGAAATTTGCAGACAATTAACCTGATGATTTGAACTTCACCGTACCTGCCAGTAGTAGGACTGATGTGAGGGCTGTCCTGGCCTACGGCTAGCGATACTTTCGAGTATTGCGAATTATTGTTTTCCTAGCCACTGTAGATCAAAGCTGATTTTGATTAATTCATAGTCTGAAGCTCTTCAAAGCTCTTGACAGTTGCAACCAACTACTTTCACGATTAAAGTGCTTGAGCTGGGGATTCTTCGATGAGTTTTCAGGAACCTCAAACCTGATACCGCAAAAGTTCACCAAACACCCAATCAATCTCATGAATATCAACGATCCGCCAGCACATCGGCATGTCGACACCATGAAGACTATCAAAGCCGTTCTGAGAGTCATCCTGGGCATCTGCGCTGCAGCTGCCGCCGATGTAAGGATCGAGAACCCATCTCCAAAACAAAATCCCATCACTCTGTATATCTCCTAGGGTAGGATGTAAGCTGACCAACAAAACCTCGCTGGTGCAGCCAAACCGGCTTCTCTGCAGAGTCCCCGGCTGGCAGTAATGTGCCTCGTGGGATAAGGCGAACTTGAACCTTGAGTAACATACGATATATTCGTTGTGACTTGTGTTCAGGGATGCTCTTGGCTGTACGTGGCCGCTTGGAGGCCACTCTGTTGAGAAGCTGTGCAATGTTTGATACCATCATCGGGCCTAAGCGCCAGTATCTCTCGGATGACAGCCAGTGCTCAAGAGGTACGCGCAGAATATGACTGTAGCTCGGGTAAGGTGGGCATGTATATCGAAATGCATTCCCGTCCGCGCGGGTCCATTGCTGAGCTCAATCGCCCGGAGTCATGTCCTGTTCAACGATACGAACTGCAGCCCCTTTTCTGGATTCGGCCCCGTCGCTTTGAGCGCGCCTCCTTTTCTCAATGTCGCCGACGAGGTTCTTCAGATACACCTCGGCCTGCACAGTAGCACTGTAGGCGACGGCCTTCCAGCTCCAGATATTTCGCTTCTCGGCATCAGCTCCCGCGGCCAGCAGCGTCCTCAAGACGAGCAGGTTCCCATTGCTGCTGGCAAAGTGCAGTGCGGTGTTGCCGTCGACGTCTGACGATTGTACGGCCGCTGTGGCACCGTTGGGGGCAAACGTGAGGAGGATCTGCAGGACAGTGTCGTGACCACCTAGGCTGGCCTCCATAATGGCATCCCGGCCTCGAATATCTCGACGGATTATACAGGCTGGGTTGTTCTCGCATAGGGCATGTACGACTTCGGTATGACCGCCGGCTGCGGCGAGCATGAGGGCGGTTTGGTGGTTCTCGTTAAGAGCAGGGACAGGGTCTTCATGGCCATTGGCAAGTAGGATCTTGGTTATGTCATAGCGGCCAAGACTGGCGGCGAGATGGAGGTTGGAGTTGGACAAGCCGGCGGGCGAGGTATCGGGATTGTGTAGGAGTGCGGGGTGTGATTTGAGGATTCGCTGTACGAGGAGGTGATCGTCGGCGTGTATTGCCCTCCGCAGCCGTTGAGAGGGTTCGAGCCTAGGGCCGGACGTATGGTCAGCTTCATACAAACGAGTGCATAATGTTCCATTCAGAGGGCAACAACGTAGGGGATTTGGATAGTGGTACTGAGTCTTATCTCGTTGCGGATAGAAGAATCGAAAAGCATACATGTTGAAAGTGAATCCGGACTGGGCAGGGCCGAGTTACCCGACGCTCTGGCTGTCAATTGTAGATATGCGGAAATGATGTGTTGAATGTTGTTGTCAGTCGAGGATGAGATGATGACATGTATTTTTAGAGCTTCTGGAAGCTTGACGCGTAGTTACTTAAGTTAGTCACGGCCACTGCCCCGCGTCCACCTCCATCGTCGTCCGCCGGGCCGCCCCTAATCTACCTAGTTAGCGGCCTGCTGTAAGGTTACTCTAACCCTTGGCACTTCCTTGCTGGGGCGGACTGCAGGCGGTCAGTTAACCTACGCGACAGTAGAATGCCCTTCGTGACCTGACTAAATCATACCAAGACTCGTACAGTACTTGAGCAACACAGCACATTGACATTCTGTGATGGGTGATGGCCGTGGGGATACTGATTTGATCAATCTTAATCATTCGTAGTCTGAGCGACTCACACATTTTTTGTTCTTCTTTTCTTCTTTTCTTCTTTTCTTCTTCTTAGTTAGTCACCATTCCAGACACACTGCCTCTGCATACATGCTTTTGCCAGACTACTGTAAACAGACATGCACACATGGCGATGCCTCGGATTTATCGCCTGGCACGTGCGGAACGTAAAGAAATTATAAAGAAACGTTCAACTATATGCATTTATCATCTCGAGTCTTGTTGTCGGTTGTACTGCAGGTCGAGTTGATATTATATACAAAAAAAAAAAACCCCCAAAAAAAACCCCCAAAAAAAAAAAAAAAAAAACCGTCAGGCTCCAACTTGCCGGGGTGGAGAGATCGGCTTTGCATTGCATGCTTATTGTTACAGTGTTAACCTAACGCATGCCGGGGAACTCACAGTTGGTGTAACTTACTACGTGGGCCGGCCCTCTGCCCCTCCAGCCAGAGTATGTACTTGGTAGCTTCAGCACCGAGCACAAGCATTGCTTGTGCGTGTCGTCATTCCCCTTCCCGCATTCCGCGTCGCATTTACGATTTAGACAGCGGTAGTCGGCGGCAGAAACGGAAAAAAAGTTCCCCAGCGGCCCTGACGCTGCTGTACATAGTCAACTCCAGGAGAGACCCTGAAGCTCTGTTGCAAACTGCATACCGTGGAACTGGCTTTGTAACAACATTTGTGACAACGTCTGTATTGTTTTCTTTCGTTACCTGCCACTTGTATTTTATTCTCTCTCTTTTCTTTGGCGCATTCTACGGTGTCGGGTAGCCTGGTAAACTGTTCTCTGTCTCGTTGCATCTAATTCCATATCCATACCCATACCCATCCCTACCCTCATACTCGTACTTCATATTCACACATCATACGACAAGACCCGATGCTTCCACCTCGACTTAATTCTTTGCGTGTGTCCACCATTTCATCATCCTGCACATACACCCGCACCTGCACCCGCACCCATCTTCGAAGGAATGTCTCTACTTCACCCAATCTGGCCGACCATCTCGCCAAGCCCAAGCGCAATTCCTCCAAATCCCTGACATCAGCAAACCTGATCGCAGCCACGCCCTTGGCCACACAATTAGAACGCACGAGGGTGTGGAAGAAGACCGTGAGGTCGGACAGTCTCAAGTCAGCAAGGTCTGCCCCCCCACCTGTCTCTGGCGACAAGACCCGCGTCAACATCGTGAGCGAGCCATTGTGCGACGACATCCTCTCCTATATTGGCAAGTCCCTGGAACCTCACCAAGGATGCGATCTCATCGACCTATACCCCGGTGCAGGGCTTTGGAGCACCAAACTCCACAACTTTCTGAAGCCCCGCTCCCACATCATGATGGAACCCGATGCCGACCTATACAGGCCGTTTCTGGAGCCCCTACTCGAAAGGAAAGGGACCACCCTCATACCGAAATCCGGCATAGTATGGCATGAACTCAACGATATCCTCACACCCGAGCACCTCCCCAATCAGACCGTCCACCATAAGGATTCCCCAGGCGCCAACATGAAGAACGACACCCTGCTCGTCACCTGCAACCTCGCCTTCCATCCGAGGAAGCGACTGTTTTCCTTCGAGTCTATAGCCATGCTCCTCATTCATCAGTTCATGGATGCCATCAAGAACGGCGCCCTCTTCCACAAGTACGGACTGGTGCGCATGCTGCTATGGGTCCGCCGCGAAGACAAGATCAATATTCTGCCGCGCTTGATACAGAACCGCCGCCGCCCGAGCACCGACGCCGAACTCTACTGCGAAGCCATAAACGAGGTTGTCACCCACGGCGGTCCTGAGAAGAAGGATTTCAACCGCGACGAAAACATCGAGCGTGCCAGCGCCCTCGCTGTGCTCAACAGGATGAAGAAGGCAAATATCAAGGTCCCCGAAGGAAGAGAGTCCGATGCTTTCAAGCAAGCCATGCTTGATAGTGCCCTGAAACCAAAAGCCGCCCCCAATCCGGGCAGCTGTCCACCTGTCATGAAGCGGAACTACTTGGAAATGCAGGCCTCGCTGGAGGAGAAGCAGCCACAACATGGCACGGCAGAATTCAAGCGCTTACAAGAGTATGGGTGGCGCCGCACTGCCGACACGAAGAGACTCGAGAGAGCACATAATTTATTCAGCAGACACGAGGAGCTTACCCAACTCAAACAAGCGGGCAAGATCTCGGACGAGGAACTACATGCCGCCGAGGAGCAACTGAGCGAGATAATCGACCGACTCCCGGTATTTGCCTCGTCCGAGTTCACCTCCCTCAGAGACAATCTACACATCTGGAAGCAGGACGAGCCTGCAATGCTCTGGGACAAGCGGACTGTCGAACCCATAATCGCCGAGGAGCAGGAATTTTACCCCAACTGTGACACTTGCCTGCTTGACATCATGCCAGGTCCGGTTCATCCATTGATTCGGGATATCGGTGCTGGTTCCTCCCGCTCGGGCGAGTGCTTCGAGTTGATCCAGAAATCAATGTGGGCAAACCCAAAAGCTCCGATAGACAAGGCTCTTGACGGCGTGTATCCGGGCGCAGCAGATTGGATTTTACCACGCTGCCCCAGCTTCCGCGACCCAGCACGTGGTGGTTGTCTCGTGAACGCGAAGCACATGACCCTCACAGTCAGGACATTGAACCGCAAGCAGTGGGAAGAGCTGCTAGAGCAGTGGTACGCATGGCCTTTCCATCCAGAGTTTCGGGATCTGGTCGCGAGATCCCAGGACATTGACGATGTGGACTTGTCTGGAGGTGATGGTCCGGCCAACCCGGATCTGGTTTCCGATTCATAAAATGTACAACCATCCTCGAATATAACATATGAAAGACATGTATATAGAGCAGATACTCGAACAACCCTGATGAGATGCACGACCTGACTCTTGCTGTTCTTGGCATTGAAACATGCTGATCAGCAAACTAACAAACCACGACACGCATCAGATTGTATTTCGACGGAGGCTAGACCCGGAGCCGTTCTCAAGCTTCCATCGCTCGGACGATGACCCCGTGCTTGGGGGCGCAGCAGACAGAACAACGCGCGAGAACTTTGAATGAATCCAGGAACGGAGCATTCTGACTTTCGTTGCCAAGAACTTACGTCAAGGAACGTACCGTGCGTCCATCGACCGAGAGAGACTTGATCGGAGTAGACAATGGCACGTCTCTTTGTAGGACGGGGCAGCCTTATGGCCGGAGAGTTTACATTTTCATATTTTCTTAGACACATGTCTCATCTTGACAACTTGGCGGAAAAAAAAAGACTGTGTCAAGTCTCAGATGCGATCCGATCCTCCGGTCCACAATCACGACAAACAAACCAAAAAAAGGAAGAGAAAAAAAAGGGTCTAAGACATTTCTTTTCTATCCCTCCCTGAGACACCTTGCACTGTTTCTCTATGTGGTTCATCTTGAGGCTCAACTGGACCTGGGGGGAGAGTCGCAATGCCCAGACTCGGATACAAGTCTGACAAGGTGCGAGTCTGGCCGCTTCCGATAGTTTGGCACTTTTAGGCGCTAACCGTGTTTCCCCTGACGCTTGCAGCTCGCATGGGGACCGGCGTCAGCGCTAAGAAAGTTGCGTTGCGCGCTTGGATGAAAGTCATACGGATTAGAGTTGGTGAATTGAGTAAGTTACATGTGCTTTTTGCTTTCGATGTACTCTAGTGGTTGTGTTTTAAATGTGTTTGTGTGCCAGTCAGAAGCAGCCACGGGGCAACTTACGTAGCAAAAGAAAGTTATCTGCAGTGCGGGAAGCAGACACTACAGAGGACCAGGTATGCAGATAGATGTTCAGCTCCGAAAGGGCTGCGGTATTGAATGAATGTCTACGGTGGGGCATGCCTGTGATTGATGGCGGCATTGAGTTGGCCGGTAACGTGGAAATTGCACGCATGGATGAATACGATCCAGGGACTTGTTCCCGAACAATTATGTTACTCGACCTTACTCACACAACACTACAGTAGAATTCGAATCAAGCTCAAGCTATGCAGCACTTGTGACAATGCAGGATTCAACCATTGCATTATTTCCATGTTTATAGGCCTTCCACGGGCCCTTACTGACCAACAACGAGATGCAAGTTGGCCTGAAACCAGGTTTGGTAGTGATATGCATCTCTAAATGCAGCCCGAACAGAAACCCCGCCTTGAAACCGCCAGGATGATCTAGATGAAAGCTGGATCTTTAGCGGGATCAACACCAATTAGAGTGGGCTAATCCCCACTATTTAGACAATGCCAGGCCCAGAACACTGCCCCTTCAGGCCCCCTTCAGGCCCTTGTTATATCTATCCTCCAGTTTTCTCCCAGCTATGTACGGATCCGTATGTACGTTAGAAGACAATCGACAGCTAGCACGTGGTAGATTTTGACAGCAGCAGAGAAAAAGGGGATCGATTCTATTCTAACCGAACCGGAGGAGGGCTATCGCGGTGCTTTGCAATACTGTACTCCTTTTTTCCCTCCCTTCTCTGCTTGCGCTTCACCTAGACTGTAACCACAACAGTTTGTCCGCCTAGACACGTTGTGATATCCTTCCTCATCTTGAGGCTACACACTCATTTGAACCCAACTTGATCTTGGCAATTTTCTTCTTTCCCTTGCGCATTTGTACGCCGTACTATTTGGCTTGTCAGCAGAACTTTGGGGTAACTGTATACCTCACACAACCAGCCAGGCCAAATCCAACCCTTGAATACTGTACCCGTACTGTTGTTTAAGGCGTCTGCATTCAGGCCAACCCCCGGCTTACTTGTTTTTGTCTTTTTTTCCTTTTCTTTCGCATTTTGCCCTTGCTGTTAACCACCAATCCGGACAGCGGCACATCTTCCTTTTCTTCACTTGTACGACCTTCTAATTATACCTTTGTCCAATCCTCTCGGCTTCACGGCGCCTACGCGGGAGAGATCATCACAGTAGTACAGAGCACCTTGACAGCACAGCCATCCGAGGACAAGCTTGGCGAATCGCATCCGCATATGCACACCTTGCATTGTCAGCCCAGCCAACAACCTGTCGAGGAACATCTTGTCGCTATCAATTCGAACCTTTTTTTGGCCGTTGCTTCTGTAGAGCCATCATTGTCCGATATTTCTTTTCCATCCAAGACCTTCTACACCAGCGATAGCGACGTCTCACTCCCATATTAACTGGGCGGAGACTTGGGTCTTGCGCAAATCCAACCCAAACCAGCAAAGGACCCGACGAGGCTCCTGTTGGATCGCTGAACCGACTTTTCTGGTCCTTGTCAGTTGAAAACCCAAAACGGCGCAACCCTTTTCTTGCAAACTCTAGACGACGTCCTGGCGCCGCACGCAGATCGTCGTCTCTGCACCATGATGCGCTCTCCGGCATTCCCACCGCGGCGACCTTCACATCTCGTCCGCTACATAGTACCGGCAGTCGTCTTGATATGCCTCCTCTATTACCTTTCCAACACCGGCCCGGCCGTGCCCAACACATATTTGACCGGCGATAGTTCAGCGTCGCACCAAGACCAACAGTTGTCCTACAAGCCGGGCGAGCACAAGAAGCCGTCGTACGAAACTGAGACGTCGGGAGGAAGCGACGCGAAGAAGGAAGGGGAGAGGCCCATCCAGTACGACTCGAGCGACAATGACGCCCCTTCAAAGTCGCAGCCTGTGCCGCCTACCTCGAGCGCCACCCACCCGATCGACTCGCTGATTGAAATGGCCGAGACCACCTTCAAGGAGACCCTCGCCAAGGAGTCGCGCAGTCTGAACGCAGCTGCTGAAGCTTATCGCAAGCGACGAGGTCGACACCCGCCGCCTGGGTTCAGAGAATGGTACAACTTTGCTAAGGAACACGACGCCGTCATGGTGGAGGACTTTTGGGACCAGATCTACCACGATCTGAATCCCTTCTGGGGAATGAATCCCAACATTCTTCGCAAGGAGTCATGGGATTTCGAAATGACCATCAACATCCGCAACGGCAATGCGACCGCTGGCAGTGATTGGTTCTGGACCCAGATCTGGCTCAAAATGATCAAGACCATCGAGACGTACTTGCCAGACATGGACATTGCGCTCAACGCCATGGACGAGCCTCGCATGGTTGTGCCGTGGGAAGACATTACTGCGTATATGGAGAAGGAGATGAAGACGCGTGCTCTGTGGCCACCGAAGCAGGTCATCAGCGAGTTCGACACTTTGCCAACTGTCAAGGGCGAGCAGGGAATGAAGGAAGCATATATGACGCCCAAGACCAGGGAGAAGGGATGGGACTCTAAAACTGGTATGTCTCAGAGAAGATTCGTGCCGATTTGGCTGGCAGGCTGCTAACAGGTGAACAGAACCTTATTGGTTAATCGCTCGACGTGGGTGTGCTCCCGACAGTCTTGCACGCACAGAGAATGCAGTCAAGTCCTTCGACAAGACGCCCGACTTCAAGCCTACATACGCGACCCCTCACCAGTTCCAGGGCTATGTGTCGAACTCTTCTCTATCGACCGATTTTTGTCATCAGCCGGATCTCCAGGGTCTCGAGGGTATTTTCATCAAGCCCCTGTCGACCTCGGCTACCAAGGTTCTGTTCCCCATGTTCGGTGGAAGCAAGCTGCACACCAACAACGAAATTCTGCTCCCAGCACCCATGTACTGGAACGAGGAGGCACGATTCACTGGCGGTGGCTCTCATGGTTCGGAGTGGGAGGACAAGATCGGCAATGTCATCTGGCGCGGTGTCGCAACTGGTGGACGAAACACGGAGAAGAACTGGAAGGGCTTCCAGCGCCACCGATTCGCCGCCATGAACAACGCAACGAAGCTGGACCGCGCTCAGACAGGCGAAGAGGCCCCGGTCAACTTTGCTCTTCCTTCTGGTAGCGAGCAAGTGGCCGCTCAAAAGGACGGTCGTCTCGGTAAATGGGTGGCCTCCTTCTCCGACGTTGGTGTGACCGATCTTGCATGTGACGAGAAGCTCGACGAAGCACTCAGGCTCGAAGGCGGCCATTGTTTCTATACCGATCCCCATTACGATCTCGTCCCCGGCCGCACCCTCGATGAGCAATACGACTACAAGTATCTCCCCGATATCGACGGTAACTCCTTCTCCGGACGCTACCTCGGTTTCTTGCGCTCCACCGCTGTACCGATCAAGAGTACACTTTGGCGCGAGTGGCACGACAGCCGGTTAATACCTTGGAAGCACTTTGTGCCCATGGACAACCGATTCCTCGACTACTACGGCATCATGGAGTACTTCCTCGGCTACGAGGACAAGGCGCCCTCCCACGATGCCCAGGCGAAACAGATCGCCGTGGATGGCAAGGAGTGGGCCGAGAAGGTTCTGAGGAAGGAAGACATGCAGATCTACGTCTTCCGCCTGCTCCTGGAATACGCGAGAGTCTCGGATGAGAGAAGAGAAAAGATGGGCTGGGTCGAGGATCTGTTATGAGAAGAACGGGAAAAACCGGGGACTCACATTGAGCGTTGATTTCCGAAAAAGGACAACACTATAGGCTGTGTTGACCATGTACAAAGCTGTGTCACGTACGAACCACTGATCGACGGACGGGGCTAGGGGGGTTCGTTGTCTTGGAGTTCCGGCCTGGGGTGGTACCTGCTCATATATTGAGCGACAGGGAGTCGTCTGACTCACAACGCTGCACAATTGGAATTGTCCGGCGGGGAGTAAAAAGCCTGTTCACCTGAAGTTGTCCACTATAGCATGCGGACATCCACTCACGTAGCACACAGTTTGCATAGGTCAAAGCACCAACGACACATACGGCGTCGCTGGGTTTGGGGCGATGGTGCCACATTATAATATACGAAATTAACACCTTTCACATGCGTGCGTACGGACGAGCGAGTTTGTTAAAGATGCGACTGAAGCGAAGGCCTAGAAGACGGTTAACTCCAGCCCAACCCCGCGGGCCTCATTCAAAGCGTAGGCGCGTCGCCTTGTGCGCTGAGTGGATGGGACTGAACGCGTGTCCATGTGTCTTGGTTTGGCTGGCAGCCTCCCAGTTTGGCAAGTTCGCAGCGGGACGCCCAGATCCTTTTCGGTCCGTGAGCTCGAGGACACGGCGTCGAGCCCGAACGGGGACCTGCCGAGGGAAGAGCTTGTATTTGCTACTCTGAACACCGTGTTCGTCGAGGCTCTCACGGTGCAGTCGGTCAAAACTGCCGGGCAGGGTTGGTTCTGCGGATTCACGAATGGGACTTTCGTCTGACGAGGGGGCAAAAGACGGTCTGTTCTAGTTGGTGCCTCGATCGCTTCCATGCGAACGCCCATCTGCCTGTATTGCGTGCAAGACGAAGGTATATAGCCGGGACGAATATGGTTCCAGACGACGTCGAATCTCTAGAGTATCAGTACGAAGACTACGCCCACGAAGAATTGGCCACCATCTTCGATTCCGACTACGACGCTTTCCATGGCACAAATTGTTTACAGATCCTAGGCCATGTTACCCTAACTCAAGCCCGTATGCTTAAATATTCGATCACGTTACAGCAAGTTTGAGCTGTTTGAACTGACATAGCAATACAAATCAGGCAGTTCCCGTGACCTGGTGTTACATCTAGCAGATCGAAATTATCACATAGTAAGTACCGTCGACGTGCTGCCACAACACTATGACTGGAGGTTCTCAACAGGCGCGAGGAAAGTAAATTGGGCTACCTGTAATGTGCTGCCAGAGACAGTCTGTGATATCGTTGAAAATATTAGAGAGTGGCCTCTGGCTTAGAAGAAGCACTCAAATTGGAAAGCGAGATGGAAAAGTAGCGGGGTCGCTATGGAAGCCGTAATGGTGCTGATTGAGGTGTATGATTTCGGGTACAACGAGTGAATCGGTTTTAAGCAATATAGCATCCATTCATCAACTAGGGACAGGTTTGAGGTTTGAAGAAATTACAGTGAGATGAAGTGGATCCATTAAGTGCCCTTCTTACCCTGAGTGTATAGAACCATAGTATGATAGGTAGGTACTCATGTTCTCATGGCAAGGTGCTTGACCGCACAATTGTCGATCAAAATTGAGCATACATATAATTTAGGCACCATGCACTATAAGAGGAAGATGCGCTATTTTGAACTTAACTCTCAAACATAATCCTAGTCTTCGAGGTTCTCACAAGCCACTTCACCAAAACTCTTTTTCCCGCTTTATTTTTTTTTATTCTTTTTAACAGAACATGTAAAGTTAAAGAGGAATAGAACTAGCCATGGTAAGTTGGCTCTCCTCCAAGCGAATAAATGTCTCTAGTCTGCTAGTAGGCGTGTTAAATCAAAGCAAGAGACTTGAATACAAGTCCAGACCATCAGAAATAGAAAGTCAAAGACCGGTCTCTACTCTGCCCCTTTATCATGGGTGGCCACTACAGTATACGTGAATTGCAAGCCCAACAATTGGGTGAATATGGTAGCCATCATATAATCTCCTGCTGGCACAAAAGACGGTACGGAAGTTCGTGTCTGAGTGCCGAGACCTTGGAAAAGCCAACTCAGTGCGATGTTCATAAAACCGCGGATTACTATAAGCACTGTGAACCGAAGGAAGCTAATATGCTGACTCGATTCTGTCGTTTTGGCGTGAAACTGCTGTGACCAACACAAGATATGCTGCTCCGGTACCAACTATGGGCAGAACCGTCATCGAGACAAGCTGTCACGGAAGGAGAAAATCGCCCTCCAATTTAGATGATATGAATATATGAGTGATACTACTGATATCGAAGGAGATTAATGTTGTGGCTACGATACGCTCGTTTAAGAAGCTGTAGATTTTCCATTTGGTGCCTGATTAGAATATTTGTTTAGAGCCGAGCCGTCGACAACCCTGAAGATTACCTAAACTTTTGAGTATTTAATGAGGATATCTCTTGTAGACCCTTGCTATGAGTGCGACGCAACCTATTTCGAAGGGTGACTCTTCCTAGGTGTCATTCTGAATTGGTGTTAAGATGTCTACATTCCTGCCCCAGATATTTACTCCTGGCTTAGCACATACTCTTAGAGTTGCAGTCGGTATCTGGCCGAATTACACATTGATTTTCAGATACGTTAATGCAGGGTTGCTACAGCCGACATCCATGAGTGTCAAGAAGCCTTGGTTCAACCCGAACGACATCATCACCCGAGCGAAACCCGTGTCGACGATATGCACGAGACCATGGCCGTGACACTCCTCGAGATCAACGGCGATATATGGGAGGGCGAGTGGACCGGTCTATGAAGGTCCTCCATTTGTCCGTCAGCGTCATGGCGCAGGCCGTCGAGGCAATAAAGAAGGCCAAAGGGATTGCCGAGTGAGAGTATGAGGATGAGAAGAAGCTAATTATCAATGTTATCTGGGCTGTTTTCGTGATGATCTCGTGTGCCACCGTGGCACTCGGCGCTACGGCCAGTATGTTGCTACAAACGCTTGACTGTGTATATTTCATTGTTGGATGGCAAGGTGCAGCTGGATTGGCCATCAAGGACATCATCGACAACCCGGACATGGCTTCGGTGGCGAGGCGACTCGAGGCAGAATGGCACAGTAGTAGGCTGTGAAGGCGGAATGAGTGGTAGCAGCATGCGTCAGATTGAGTTTGATCGCCACAAAGCTGGATATTGTTGGTGCGAGAGTTTACCTAAGTTGATGGATAACACTTTATCGCGTGTAATCCCATATCTGCTCAGCTTCGAATTGGCAGGAATACTGGCGAATGGAGTTCTCGTATTTTTCATTCTCTGTGTCGATTACCAAGCGTACGTTGTCTTATTAAGATACCTAAGGTGTCGACTGATGAAAGCTACTGATTTGTTGGGAGAAGACTGGTGTATGCTTCTCTTCACATTATCGATATTCGGTAGGTGCCGCTCATCCTGATAGGAACTGTGGTAACTTGGTTGACGAGCATTAACACCTGTGACGATAACTCTAAGTCGATGTAGGCAAGTTGCTATAAGGACAATATTAAAGCTCTGGAAGGAGTGACCGTCTCAAGAACCGAGAGTTGAGCGGAACTGGTGCCTTCACAACTCGCACATCCGCAAATATTGATGGCGGTCACTTATACCAACCTCATAAAGAACTGTCAATAGCTGTCTTGAAGCTAAGCCTTGGTCGTTTGATGAAGCATTGCAGTCTGTTCCGTGAAGAGGTAGATATTTCACGATACCTTGTGTGCTCTGGGAGATAATCAACTGGGCTGAGGCTGGACAGCCCGACCTTTGCAAGCGGGACAGGCCATACCGACTTTTAGGTTTCCAATCCTTACCTGAGGCTTGAAACTCAACTAGTTAATGGGCCGCAGCGACATGGCAATGCGCAGTCCACCGAGGATAATACGAATCGAGCGAAGACTATGCGAAGACACAATGCGATATGAGTGTATAGCAGCGGCCAAGCATTTTCAATCTTTCTCCCTCGTAGGGCGAACCACCATGGTTTTGTGTTGTTGGGAATGCCGCCCGCCCCTCAGTGGAAACGTCCTTTTACTGCCAGGGTGGAAAGTTCCGTGCTGCGAGCCCGAGTAATGCGAACTTGCGAAACTTGCGCCGCCTTCAGTGGCTGAAGCACCTGAGTCGCGAGCGGCTCGGGAATTTCGTATCAATGCTTTAGGCTACGAAATAGTTTCACTGAAGCTAAATGCGAGGCAAACCCGAATCCTCAAAGCCCGTTTACGCAATACTGTACCTTGTGTCGCCCAGATTATGTCCCAATCGCCCCTGCCAGCAGAAGGAAGCCGGAGAAGGCTTCCCAAATCCAAAACCGGTTGCCGAACCTGTAAGAAGCGGAAAGTTAAGGTGTGGCTTTTTTTCTGTTTTGGCGATAGCCAGCCGACTGTGTATTAGCTACTAATGCTCCGCTCTGTAGTGCGATGAGGGACATCCTGCATGTCGGAACTGTGTAAAGCATGGTGTTGACTGTGATTTCATCATAGCTACACCAAGCAGCAGCTCAGCTTTACCAAGCCCTTCAATCCAGCTGTGCTCCTGTAACCATGAGCCGTCTTCTGGATTCACAATCAACGATCTCGAGCTGCTTCATCATTACACAACGTCAGCATGTCTCACTTTCTCGACGGAGCCGATGGTTCGCAACTTTTGGCGGGTCAACGTCCCCCAAATGGGCTTCACGACACCATACATCCTGAAGGGCATGTTATCACTTTCTGCTCTACATTTGGCCAAGTTCAGACCGGACCGCAAGGACTTTTACGTCGCCCAAGCTTTCCTTCACCATAATGCAGCCGTGAATATGGTGTCGCCCATCATCACCAAAATCACCGTCGAAAATTGCGTGCCGGTCTTTCTGTTCAGCACGATCACGAACTACTTCGCCTTTGCAAAACCAAAAGAATCCGATGATTTTCTTCTTTCGAGCCACAGCGCACCACCAGACTGGCTGATGTTGTTTCGCGGTGTTCGTGCCCTCATGGAGGCCGAGCACGCCGTCATACATCACTCCTCTGTGGCGGCCATGTTTGAGACGGGAATAGCGATGCACCAATACTGGTTGTCGCATACTTTTGAAAACGAAGCATTCAGGGAGTTGGAAGCAAACATTCGTCTCAATCTGAGGGACGAACCCGAGAAGTTGGATGTATTGATGCAGGCTATGGCCACCCTGAAGCGTAGCTATGCGACGGTTTATGAAAGTCCCCAGACGATAGCCCAGACGGACGAGAACAAAGTCCGTGGGATATTCATCTGGCTCTTCAAGCTCAGCAACCCATATATTATGCTAGTAGGCGAAGGCAACAATGAGGCCCTGTGCATTCTTGCATACTTTTGTGTCTTAATGCGGCGACTGGACTTTTTGTGGTGGATGGAAGGCTGGGGCTTGCACCTGATTGAGAGGATATACTCCAAGCTCAATGATAACTACAGGCTTTGGATCAGATGGCCGATTGAAGAGATAGGCTGGGTTCCAGATTATATGAGCCCTTCGTATTAATGAACAACTTGTCATCAGATATTTGCGCTTCCGAGCAATTATTTCGAGACTTTGACTACAGAACATTGCTTAGACTCCTTATTCGATTGAATCCAGCCTTTCTACAATGCAGTGTCGCTATAGTGTCCGGAGCTTGCCGTCAAACCCGAGAACCCGAGCGGCTCTCCCAAACCCCTGACATCTTCGGGCGACAATGCGAACTGCGGAGCCCGTGCAAAGACTATTCTCAACACAACGGGCACTATCTACTGCCACAGCCACGCAGGCAACGAGATTGAAGTGCATACAAGCTCATTGAGGTCCACCGCCCAGGCCTCTGGTTGCCGTATCTGGAAACTAGCCTTGTGTTCCCTATGTTGTGCCTCGGGCGGAATGCGACTCAATGCGAAATGGCCACTACCACAGCCGAAGCAGGTTGAAGATACTTAACTACACCAAATGCCACCGTTGTAGAAAATGAATGTACCATATAAACTTGTCAATAGGACAGCAACAACACCGATTATAACACAGTACTCTTTCACTCTTTTTCGCATTTCTTCGGCAAGCCTTTTCTTTTTTTTCCCCCTTTCCCCTTAGGAATCAAACGATATCAACCGACACCATGGCAGCTCCAGAGAAGTTCGTCTTCTACAACTACACGCCGTCTATGGCTGCGGCAGTCATATTCATCATAGTATTTGCCCTCTCTGCGCTATACCACATCTGGCTGCTCGTCAAGAACCGGGTATGGTACTTTATCCCGTTCGTGATAGGATGCCTATGTAAGTCTATAAATAATTTGGCCGGTGGGATTTGATACAGGCAAACACTAATCGCCACGAATTATAGTCGAATGTGTTGGTTACATCGGGCGAGCAATGTCAAATGCCGAGTCACCGAATTATACCAAGAATCCATACATCATCCAATCTGTTCTACTGCTCCTCGGACCGACACTTTATGCGGCATCCATCTACATGATCCTGGGTCGCTTGGTGGTGCTTCTCGAGGCAGATAACTACTCGATGATCCGGCCGAAATGGTTAACGAAAGTTTTCGTCCTCGGCGATGTCCTGTCCTTCTTCGCGCAAGGTGGAGGTATGTCTAAAGACGGCCGCTATGCGGTCCACCCGTCACATCGGAGTGTGCAGTAACTAACACCATGACTACAGGAGGTGGAATGTTGACGACGGCCAAGACGCAAGACGACGTGCGCCGGGGCGAGAACATCATCCTGGGCGGCCTGGGCATCCAGATCCTCTTCTTCGGCTTCTTCGTGGTCGTGACGGCCGTGTTCCACCGGCGCATCCGCAACGACCCGACGCCCAAGTCGGTGCGCATCTTGGCGCCCTGGAGGAAGCTGTTGTACACGCTCTACGGCACCTCCATGCTCATCATGATCCGATCCATCTACCGTGTGGCCGAGTACGCCGAGGGCTCCGGCGGCGAGCTCCAGTCCAAGGAGTTTTGGCTCTACATCTTCGACGCCCTGCCCATGGTCTTCGTGGCTCTCGCTTTCAACTGGATGCACCCCAGCAAGGTCATCAGCCGTCAGACCACCCTCGAGACCTCGTCATCGTATGCCATGGAGGACGGCCTGGAGAGTTCGAGATCCGCACGCAACAACGAATACAAGTGAGTGGGAAAGAAGTGCTGGGAGGGCGGTCAAGATTTGTCGAGGCTGATGGGAAAAGTTTAGTCGTTTGTGATACGAATCGCTCATACCCATGGTCAAACTGGAGCGACTGGGACAGAGCTGAGAGATCATAGAGATAGGGCATAACTCCTTTTTTAGAGCGCTTGTATTCATTTTCATTTTCATTCTTTCCTTTGTACAACTCACATAGGCATGGGATGGTCCACTATGCGCCGTTGACTGGGCATTACACGCGTTAATACCTTATAAACTTTTCGACCTCTGCACCAATGAGTATTACCATGCGTCTACCAAGCACTGTGGGGTTGATGGCTGACAGTCGACTCGGCGATAGAAGCACCGCCGAAAGCATTCGCAGTTCGCTTTCGTCTTTACCAAATTTTCATATATGGCAGAGGTAGTCAAGAAGGACAAATTTCGTGGAACCGCAACTTGTGACCTTGAATCTATTCTTGAAAGCGTTGTGAGCTGCATTGCGATTGGCAATCCGGCAGAAGTTGCGACTTGCAAGATTACGCTTGGAGACACGATCCAACAGAGGTTGGAGGCGGACTCCAGCACAAGTCTCGCGGCAGATCATACACACATTCTCATGCTTGTCGCAGCACTCACTAGGTTTCACGGATATTGAACGCAAGATTTCAAGTTGGAGTAAGACACATGCGCTAGAGAAGACTTCTAGAAAACGTCGAGGGCTAAGCTCAAGATTCGCGACCCAATCGGCAGACGCGGGACGAAGCCAAGAGCCAAAACTGTACTTGTTGATGCTTGCAGCCCTGCCCCTCACAAGCTAGGTTAATAGGCTTTGATGTGCCAGGATTCCCAAAATGCTGTAGCACAACAGCTCAACGCTATGCATGCTCTCTCTGTGCAAATATGATCGCGGACTGCAAATGCGCTGCGCCGATTCACAACTCCACAAAGTCGTATATCCGATGCCGTGCCCGACTTGACGAGCAGGCGGCTTCGGAGTGGGTTCTGGCGGTGAGATGGAAGTGCGGGATTATGATATATGACTAAAAGGACCAAAGTGTAATGGATGCTATTATCTAAGAAGATGTGCATCGCCTTATCTTGTTGTCATCCATCCAAGACCTTGTTTCGCTTGCAACATCACTTAGGGGTATAGCTTCAAACTGCTGCTTCGCGTCGAATATCACTTAGGGGTATAGCGTTCGCAGCAGTATCACTTAGGGGTATAGCGCTGATGCGCGGGTTGAAGAAAACATGGCAATCGTCGGGTTCAACCGGCTTTTCTCAGGTAAAAAGAACTCAGGGATGATGGAGGGAGTGCATCATGGGAACACAGATCAACGTAGGTCGTCGCTTGCGGCATAAGCTGACCTGCTGATGGCAATTCAGAGATGTAAGGAACAGTTGACATGCCTTTAGAGGAATGTGGTTCATGGCCCGGGCTTCCTCGAATGTACGTCCCGGGCTGCCTCTAAGATTAGGAGAATTAACAGGCCTGTCGAGAGGGAAGGGGGAATGGGGGTAATGCTGGGAATGCTGAGAGGCTCTTAATAGGTGTTCTTTTTGGGCGTCTTGGCGGCTTTCGTGGGGCTCTTTTTCTTATTTAGCGCAATCTGCACGCCTAGCTGTCCTAGCACTAGATTTGACTTGCATCACTCAAGCAATCAATCCATCCAGCCATCCATCGGACCCCACCATGGATCACAGGCAAATGGAAGTTACCTAATGAAAGCAATTGCCCCTCTAGGAAACAAAAAGTCAGGGACCGCGCTCGAGTAATTGCTTGAATATCTCTCGACTCTTATAACAAAGAGCTCCTTCAATCCCTCATTCCTTGCCTACCTCGTTTTCTATCTCTCCTCAAAACAATCCGACCCTTGCATTATCTTGTAGACCTCGACCAAAAGGTTCTATACCGGGAATACACCGAGCGCATCATATCCTTCCACCCTATTTCTACGCAGCAAGGCGCGGCTACAGTCACGATGAACACTTCAATGGTCAAATCCAAGTTCTTACCGAACCCTGAAGATATCGGTGTTGTTGCTGTTGGCTTTTCAGGTGGTCAGGTAAGCAGACAACCGTCCAGTTTGTGCAAATTGCACTGCAGTCCTGTACTCAGTAGCCAGCAACTAACGAGACGTCTGTGGCAGTGCAAGCCTGGTGTCGATGCTGCTCCCAAAGCTCTGATCGAGTCTGGGCTTCTTACGTCACTACGAGATGAGCTCAACTATAAGCTTCACGGTGACGATCAAGTACACTTGTACACCGACCTTGTACCAAAGGAAGACCCACCCTTCAGGAACATGAAGAACCCCAAGGCAGTGAGCAGCGTTACTGAGAGATTGGCCGATCAGGTCTACTCGCATGCCAAGGAAGGGAGAATGGTTCTGACCCTGGGAGGAGACCACTCGATCGCCATTGGCACCATTGCCGGTACAGCAAAGGCCATTCGCGAGCGCCTCAACAGGGAGATCGCCGTCATCTGGGTCGACGCCCACGCCGACATCAACACCCCCGAGTCCAGTGACTCGGGCAACGTGCATGGTATGCCTGTAGCATTCGTGACTGGTCTCGCCAAGGAGGAGAAGCCCGAGTACTTTGGATGGTTGAAGCAAGAGCACATGCTCAACCTCAACAAGCTGGTGTACATTGGTCTGAGAGACGTCGACTCTGGCGAGAAGAGAATTCTGCGCGAGAACGGCATCAAGGCTTTCAGCATGTACGATGTCGATAAGTAAGTCCCACGCAAATCTCGTATACGTGAACGCCATCTGTCAACATCTGCTAACATATTGTGCCCTCTAGGTACGGCATCGGTCGCGTCGTCGAGATGGCGCTTGCGCACATTGGCAACGACACTCCAATCCACCTTTCATTCGACGTCGATGCGCTCGACCCCATGTGGGCTCCCAGCACTGGCACACCTGTTCGTGGAGGTTTGACATTGAGAGAGGGAGACTTTATCTGCGAGAGCGTACACGAGACCGGCAGCTTGATTGCTGTTGATCTTGTCGAGGTTAACCCTAGTCTGGCAACAGATCACATTGGTGCTTCTGAGACTGTTCGCGCTGGATGTTCGTTGGTGAGATGCGCTCTCGGAGAATCTTTGTTGTAGGCGGTCTTCAACTACCTGTAGTGCTTTCTGAGCCGGAGACAGTTCCCATTGGATATAGTCCAGTGGTCTGAGGCGCGTAGCCGGAGTACGGAGATTGGGAGTTCTGCTTCGTCAATAGATCAAATGCACCACTGTACCTTACAAGAGCATCGAATCGGTCAAGCTCCAGCGCTGCATCGTGACATAACCGAAGCTCTTTTGGAAGCGAGTATGGGACGCCCCGAAGCAAAGTTCCAACGGAAATGTTTTATGACAATTAAGCCTTCGAAGTTATGCAGCGGTCTGGTGCGTTTTCATGTACATGGCAGTAGTCCGCACCAGCCATTTATTTCCACTTCCAGCCACCTTGAAAACGTCGGCCAAGTGGATTGGTCGACGATCTTGGGCGATCCGGCTGACTCCGCTCACTCACTCACCAAGCGCATAACAGCACTAACAGAAGCTTCACGGGAAAACCAATGAATCCAGTCAACATGAGAGCTCTGAATCAGGTTGAAACGATGATGGGGAACTGTTCTTGAACACAGTGAGGCTTCAAGACAGACTGTCTTCTCCCCACGACTGAAGAAATAAAATCCTGATGTGTTTGTGCATGTACTAACCTAGCAAATGGTAAAAGATCATGTCCAAAGAGTGCTAAGCTACAACCCCGGCCGCTGTCAAAGATCCCTGAAGCTCTCCTTGCGTATATCGTGGAGAAATTACCGCGCATCCCGGGATCTAACTATCTTGAATTAGCACGCGGGTACGCGATCTGGCCGACACCAGTGCGTCGCATCTTCTTCTTCTTCGCAAGATTTTTTTTACTTTCACACTCTGGCACAGACACTCCGCAAGCCTCTGACCGACAATTGCGAAACTGGCCCAATCCCCGGACGGGAGTCAATCGGGCGCAATCTACACTTGGCTTTTGGCAAAACAAAGCCGCAAAACCCAAAACCCCCCTGGACGCCCGCCAGTTCATCGCGACTCCACCGAGGCACTGAGCTGTCGCGGGGCTCTGTACGGAGCACTGCTTGCTACAAGGTCCCATACAGTACCTTGCGTCCCCGGCGCATTCGAGCCCAATTAATTCCCATCGCATCGACGAATCGGCCACCCATCACCGCGCGTCAGAAAGGATCCCTCTGTTGAGTTGGCGGTCGAGCCATCGTGAGGCAATTGGGCTGTTAGGGAGAAGCTTGCTTCCGATCGTATAAGTTTTCTGGGTACGCTGCCAGTGCTGGGCTGCGCGTTTTCCTCCACGTTCGCCATAAGGTTTTCGCATTTGGCGAAGCAAGACAAGCCAAACAAACCCATAAAATCCCACTCGAGAGACGTTTTGCATCGCTTTGGGTGACTCACCTTGAACACAGAAGGAGGTTCAGGGACACTCGACGTGCTACTAGCGACCCATTCTGAACATCTTTATTTCACGTCGCACTTCAACGTCTTGGGCAGAGTGTCTCGCATAGCTCTCTGTTCGTGTTATCGGCGTTGCAATCTCTTCGGGGAACACTAGAGTCACCCGAGAAACGCTACAATGGCGTCGACAATCACGACGGGGACGGGTTCGCTCGTCTACCAGCCCGGGCGGATGGCCAGAATCCACAAGTACCACTGGCCTGCTGTCCAGCTGAATGTCTGGATGATCATCATGCTAGTTGCAGCATCCCTCCTTATTGGTGTCTTTGCCATCTTTATTCAACAGCAACGTGTACTGAACCTGGCTGTTCCTTGGTGTGTTTTTCTTCTTCTACACCTCGCGCAACCAATTGCAAATGACTAACGTGCTGATCTTCAAAGGTACTTTCCCTATTGGATCACCGTCGGTTCGCTCACAATTCTGTTCATCCTTGGGCTGTTATGGCTCATATCGCAGAGACGGCTTCTACCATCCATCGTCATCATTGGCGCGTTCATGTTCTTCGTGCTGTGGATGGTGGGTCTGATCGTCACTAGTATAGAGCTTTGGGGTCCGTCGGGCTCCGTCAACTCGAACTGCCAGAATCTGGTTTTCAACCAGAACACCAACGCCTTTAATCAACAAGAGAAATTGGCTTGGATGGAGCAGCAGAGCATCTGTAAGAAGCCAAACCGGCCAGTACGTTTCCCCGACACCGGCTAACTCGTATATCCAGGTCAATCGTGGCAGGCAGCTTGGTCTTTCGCCTTGATTGGTTGCATATTCTTGCTGTGGATGATGATCATGGCTATTCAGGTCTTCTACGATGCTTAATGGAGTCATAATGTATGGTGGAGTGTGATAATGTGGCAGCATATACCGGCGTTTTGACTATTTCTGAGTTTGACCTATTGTACTTGACTTTTTCGACATGGTGTAAATGAGGAGTCGAGAACATTTGATACGATAATGGCCAGCACGAGCAATGAAGATCTGATGGATATATCTATGAATTTGGAGCACCAGCACATTTGTGAGAAACGACACGTTCGATATGATGTCTTGGGGTATATTATTATTTTCCGACTATTGCTACTATGGATAGTCGAGTTTAGGTCGTGCAATCATTCTTTTATCATTAAAAGGTTCTTCGTACACTTCCTCCAACAAGGTTGATAACCTTCTCTAGTTGGAGTACTTGGGGTCGACCTTGCTTCTGTGGAGCTAGTCAGTAACAATCGCTTTTTGTTTGTGACGGGGCCCTTCCGAAGAGAAAACGTACCCAGTGACCTTCTCATAGCCGCTGCGGAGAGCGTCGGTGGCCTTCTCCTGCTTATCCTTGCCGAACTGACCCTCGTGGCCGGACTTCTTGACGCCGAACGCGGTGGCCTTGTCAACGTAGTCGGACTGCTGGCCCTGGGTGCCAGTGCCTTGTTGCTTGTTTCCGCTAAGGGAAGAGGCTGCGTTCTTGAGGGCGTCCATGATGATGATTTGTGTGGGTAATTTGATATTTGAGAGATTTTGGATGATGATTGTGTTTGGCAGAAGAATTAGTACCGAGACAACGATATTCTCCCATCTACCGGCTGTATCTGGTCTACTTATATACGTCTTGGAAAGTATAACTAGAGCTCTAAGCTGATCGGTGACGTTGAGCTTCCCCAATTCTTGAAAGCAACCCCGCAATGGTTCATGGCTGGCTGGCGGAAGCAGCACGTAACCCTTCTAACGCATAGGAGGCAGTACGGGTGCACTTGTCATGGTTGGCCGAGTTCTAGAGCACACCAAACCTGCTTTCACGGGCGCCAGAGATCAAGCTTTCCCTCCTGCCAAGCCCTCATCCCGATCTGAGATACGTCAGGCGAGTGTCCTACTGTTGTCATCGGAGCTAGGCTCGTGTAATGGGGGGCGGCCGCCTGGCGTCATTGGCTGGGGGGCCAGCCCTCTGCCGTAGTGGAAACAGCCCCCAAGCTCACACCCTTACCTAGCTGTAAACCTCCCCTTGTGGGTCAATCACAGCATTGCACAGGCCGACAGAAATAAGACAACTACATGGCCCATCAGGTTAACCAAATAATGCACTTCAGCTTCCGTCTTGGAATCATGTCGATCGATAACCTGCACATTGAGACTCCTCTCGAGGAAAAGCGACATTGGCCGTTGACCACCATATTGTAGGACTCAAATGCGGTCCTTCAATGGGCCGTGCGGCTTCTAGTCCGCTTGTGGATGCAACTTTTGAGAGCTTGTCACCTCGTAGCTTACTACGTACCGGCCAAGTCGATGGTATTAAATCGGCTAAGATTGCGGACCATCGGAAGGTCTAATTCAGGCCTCCAAGTTGGAAACCCAGGCAACGGGATCGCGAACCTGAATGAGGTCAAGAATACTATATCGTTTAGTATGCTGTCACTGCAGGCAGTATGCATCCCCCATCAACACTCCTGGCGAAAAGGGCCCCTGCCAGCCAAGCATTATACACCAGCGTTGCGTATTATGAATTAATGAGGCCATGACCGTGATGAAGTCATCACGTATCGCAAGCAACGACGACGATGAGGTTAACAGTTGTCGAAAGTCCCAATGACGCTTTTGTTTTCTTGTGCTTTTGACCAATGTCGCATCCTCGAGTACAGATACGTCAACGGTTGGTCGTGGTATACGCATGAGCCTTTGACCGCCGGACACATTCGGCTTCTACATGTTCTTCTTAAGCAGTTACGGCGACGAATTGCAGGTCCAATTTGTGGTAGGTCCAAAAGATACGCCTGTGAACTGTCATGCGGGTTCGCATGTATAGGGTAATGTGCCCCTTACAACCCAGATCTTCTGTGGTGGCCAAGCTGTTCACTTCACTGCTCGAGTCTCCCGTCTACCAAACTTGACCACATGGCGCGTGACGTATGCCGCTGTCGTACTCTGGATGAACTCGATTGTGTTGACCATGCCGGTTTAACAAAGAAGGTACAACATGTTGCCCAGATGACGTCCATGTGCTCCAAAGCAGATTCTATACGGATCTGGCTAGGTGATGCGGATACAGGTTTCGATAGCCTAGACTCCCAGATTCACCAGCACCTCGAAATAATCCCGGAAGCCATAGATGATCCTCATGTCAACAGGAAAAGCGAAGAACTTCTAGTTCGCTAGGATCAAGAACGTCGGGAGCGAGGCGAGGAAAATCTCGGGTGCCTCAATGAAAGCCGTTAGTGGTTGAAATCCAACATACCGGACTCAACGAAAATGGGTCTTCCAGGACACAATGCTTAGTGACAAAACAGTTGTGTACTACGGAGAGCTATGCACGCCATTGAGTGCCTTCTCCGAAATTTATCTTCGGGTGTTCGCCTTCTCTGTTCGACTTAGCAACCAACAAGTGCCTGTTCTGAATGAGGTCAGTCAAGAGCGCTTCGTGTTCCATTTGTACAATATAGGTATCTTGTACCTAGCACGATAATACGCCGTAGACTCACAGCTCCATATAAATGGATACTATCCGGCCAACTTGAAATACTAAGTGCATAGTCCCTCACGATCATATTTCCAGTATCACGGCCTTGGAATCAACTCGGAAAGCAATCACATGGCTGCTATGGACGACAAGTATCAATTATGAGTCAAGGAATACTTCCCCGAATTCACTATCTAGCAAGTCTTGGAGAAAAAGGATCTCACCGTCTTGGCCATATCCAGAAAAACCTTGGATATAGGGAATCGCCTTGGTTGTGTGAATGGTGGTATCAATTCCAGCAGAACCAACCGCCAAAGATACCTTCACGGAATCCCAATCTAGAATATCAAGAACAAGTGGGCCTGGTTGGTTGTTCTGTCCGCCACCTCTAGTTTTCTGCAGGCAGGCATCGACCGAGGTATTTGAGAATCCTGAAGGAGAAGGTTCTGGAGTGCAAAGCGATGATTGTCGACAAGATAAAAGCCGCGACCAAGACTATCTCCAACGTATTTCTGCCGTCATATCCCAAGCACACTCCTCCGAATTTCGGCAAAATCAAGCAAGCCTATGTCAGGTTGTTCAACTCAGCTTCCTCGAACACGCCTTGGATGTCTTATCGGGGGCGTGTCTGGGCTTTGTCACTTTGTCTGATGAGGACTTGTAAAAAGTTTCGACTCTTGAACGTGACCTCCTCCATGATAGAGTCGATCTTGATTTTTTGGGCCTCTGCGGACTATCGTTCTCCATGATTGGCTCAATTATAAGGATGGAAATGAAGCAGAGGCAATATGACTCGAGACAATACTTCTTTAATTCCGCTCCGAGACAACAATTTTGAACAATGTTATCGGCAAAATATCATGTCGTACTGTGGAGGCCGAGTCGGTGCAGTCGACTTGGAGGCCAAGGCGGGCGATATGGTCTGCATTATCTTGCGCTCTTAGTTCCATTCGTCATCATCTAACGACGCAATGCATGTTTACGATCACCGGAGAGAGTTATATCCGGGGAGTCATGTATAATTACATCAAGGTAACAGGCGAGGCTCCTATATTTAGCGGACACTGGAAGTTCACGGCTGTTTAGCATGCTCCTTCTCAAACGAGCTCATTTTGCTAACAACAGCCCGCTACTTGCGTCACAATGCGTCACATCAATGCATCTCTCATTACAATATGACCGCTTATTATCAGATTATCATATTCAAAGCCCACGTTTCGGTACCACAACCGCTCGCCATGTAACTGACCGGGGTTGGCGCAATGGTTTTGAAAATCCTCAGCAGCTTGTTAAAAAGTCATGTCGTTGGCAACCAGATTTTCTCATCCGGAGAGAAGATTTACTTGCGTCTTAGCCATTCCCATTTTGACAGTCCACTTCCCTGCACCTTCTCTAGGTTTCACCTGCACATCGAACTCTTTTATAGGGGTCAGAACCGCGGCCACGTCGCTATACCTGACGGCCGGGTTCTTTTCCCACTGACCGTCGCTAGTGTTGGGTACGAGATCACACCCTATCACTAGTAGCGCCACTGTGATCAGGATTTCCGTCGCTGCAAATTGCCTCGCTGGGCAGAGGTGTGGTGGCGTACCCCAGGCTAGAAACCCGCTTGGTGGAGGAACAAAAACCTTGGAGCCGGGCTCTTGTTCTTTATTCCTGTTCTCTGTAAAACGATACGGATCGAACGTCTTTGCTGTTGGACCCCACACGTCCTCGTCGTAATGGATTGGGGACCCAGGCATTTGCAAATAGTTGCCCTTGCGCAAGAGGTAGCGCCCGTTATCGATAAATGTATCGGCCATGACCTTTCGGATATTTGCGTGGATGTGATGCATGCGCTGCGTCTCCTGAAAGATGGAAAACAAGAGGGGGCATTGTGTTTTCAGAGCTGCAATGTCGAGCACATTTCCCGCTGTATCTCCTCCGTCCTTTTCTTCAGGGTTCCTGATGATCGCATGTTCCTCCAATTCCTGCCTGACTTCTTCAACCAAGGCGGGCCGCGAAAACAACTCCCAAATGGTCCAGTACAGCGTCGGTGTCGTGTTACCAAACATGGCCACGCAGAAGAGAGTTTCCTGCTTTGCGGCGTCCTCAAAGTCCATGCCAGCAGCCTTTACTACACGCTGGCGGTCCAATACCACCTTTGAAGTTTCGTCTTGCAGCTTAATACAGTACTTAAAGAAAGCCTTGTGGACAACTTCCCGCTCCTTATTGGCTTTGCCGAAGAAGTCTAGACCTGCCATGTGTGAACGGAGGTGGAGCTGCCATCTCCTGTTATCTTTGTTAGTTCTGCCACAAACGGGTCGATGAGACCATCAGGGCCCGGGTGACTTGGTTTGGCTTCAAGGTCAAAACGGCTGAACTTACCAAAATGCTTTTTCAACCTCCGGGTCCTGGAAAGGATGCTCTGTGCCAAAGAATCCGCAGCTGCTGGCCTCTACGATCAGATGCTGAGTCCAACCTAGCAGGCCCACCGTCTTCCCCTTCCCACCGTTGACGAGATCATTAACCAGGGAGATCACCGAGTCCGCCATGCGCAGATTCTGGTCGTCCTGATGGGCACCAGGCAACAGCGCAGTTTTCACCACTTGGCTGTACTCGTCGACGAACGGTCCGTCGAAGAGACCGCATGCTGGCTCCGAGTTCCCCGCCATCTCCCGTGCCACCACTTTCACGAACGGGCGGAAAGAAAGCGTTTTGGAAGCCTTCTGAATCACCGGTATGAGGCGCCGAGATCTGCTCACGTAGATCTTGAGGGCGATGATGTCGAGGGTATAGATCTCGTCCTCAGTTCTTGCACTATTTACAGAGTTAGAGGCATGATTTGAAACCAAGATGTACAAAAAGGCTTTTCTCCACCATCCCCAACCCAAGTAGCCCTTTCACTGCATCGCACTCGCTAGTTTTCGGAGAGCCACCGGTAGAAATCACCAGATTCCTATGCGGCATTCGTCTTATCCAGCGGAACTTACCTGGTCTCGTTGTAGTATACCGTGCCATACTTGACGATGCCGAGGACATGTCCGATCAATGGTATCCGCGATGACACACGCCTCGGCTCGCGCGCGTCATCTCTGAGGCCGAGTGCATGTTCCACAACATAAGCCAAACCGAGCAGCCCGACAAGGGCGTAAATGAGTTCGTACAACATCGCGGGCTCGTAGGTACTTGGACTTGTTAGAAGCTGGAACAACACTGCAAGCGACAGTTTTCCATCGATGTACGCGCATCAGCGCGAGGAAGTTGTCACGTCTTAAGCCCGTAGGTAGGTAGAAACGCTTGCTATACTAGAAGCGTCTTAGGCGCATATGCATCATCTCGATTTTAGGTCGGTCATAAAGGCACAAGAAATGTTTATCTAACTATGAGTGCCCAAACAGAGCTAGTCTAGGGTTGGATTTGCTTCGTGCTAGTATGTGGTACAGCTGCTCGTTTTCTCCGGATATCAAGGACATATTGGCTGCATATTCTTGAATTCATTTTGGGCTGTCGTACTATGTACTTTGTACCCTGTACTGCGTAGTCTATACCTGGCCAATCAGCGAACGTGCCTACGGCAACAATGCATACAGTAAGCCGGCGCCAGCATGCATTTTACTATTGTGATGTGAGCACCTTTTGTCAATAGTGTCTTGGTTTTCCTAAATGCAGGGAAGTTCCTGGGACGTCCCTGCAGCTATGTCGCAATGCAGTCTTGCGTTACATAGTACCAGGATACAGTCACATACCTGGCAGATAATCTTCAGCAGTTGTGGTAGCATTGATGCAGCAGCTTAAGCCGATTACATACTAAACTTGCCCATTGGTGAGCGATGCCAAGGTCCCCACAGAGGCGCATACAGGATCTGACATCCATGGATGTTTCCAGATTCGTCCCATACTTGCTGTAAACCCCCGCAGCACTGAATGTCTATAGTTAGCAAGATCCACCGTCGCTACTCGTAGACAGTGTAGTCGGTCCGTGCCGGCACCGGTGGACGTTTAAGCCGCACCAACCATGTTTTCAAAAACGACCATGTACAGTATGCTCTGGCTGCGTTTGGTGGAAAGCTGGGCAGCTGCCCAGCTCCCTGCCATAAACGGATTCCTCACTTGGGTAGTAACTCCAGGAAGATACTACCCAACGTGCAGATGCAGGGAGCCAGTCAATTGTTTATACGACAGAACCTCCCTTCATGCAGGGCTGACCCAAGACAAATGACTTTCATGCAGAGCTGACCTAAGACCAACTGTTCTTTTGGGGGAAGACCCTTCTTGAGTAAAATAAGAGTAAAAGTAAAAGCGGCGTTGCATATTTAGCCGCAGGATCATCGCTTCCGATGGGCGGGACACAGTGCCAGTCTTTGGCGGGGAAGCAACAGTGTACGTGGTTATGCGACTTCAGCCCAGTTTGACCTGCCGATGGGCTGTTCAGTCGTGATCTGTATTGTGCACATGATAGAGCGAGCTTCACAATCTTCCCAAATGACAGCAAATACCGAGCCAATTGCTTGGTGTAGATCTTATGGTACCTGAACCTCATTCCAGGATATTTTGACTGATGAAAGCATTGTCACACAGCATGCACCCTCCCACATCATAAGCTGCAATATTCGTATAACTTTAACCACGGACAATGGGCTATCTTGCCAATTGCGAGACGTTCGTGTCTGGGCAGAATACTCTCTGTCAAGTCCACCCTTGGGCTTGCCCGACGCTACCAATTTTAATCCTGACGTTGCTCTTTTCGGTGCTGACATATTCCGCCTCGACACTACACTTTCGACATTTGTTGTCTGTCGGACATACCAGAAGTCCTCGGGTGATGCCAGTGGTTCCTTATTGGCTTCCCGGTCTCTATCATACCATACCAATACTCATAAACCCTACCGATTTTGTTTTCGGAACCATGTGCGTTAAGCTTCCACCACATCTTTGTTGATATATCTGTGGACTGATGAAAACAGAAAGCGATTCGGATGGGAAAGGCCATTTCAGCTTAAAGCCGGCCCAACCAACTTCACATTGACTGCCAATCCGTTTCACATTCAGGAGATCTTCAAGTCGAGGTTCCTGTCAGCGAAGTCGATTACAAGAATTTCTGCGAAGAACCTCTTGGATATCCCTTCCAAAATTCTCGCCTTCTACGATGCAGATGATTCGGGGATGGCCGCAGAGCCCAGAAAAGGTTCCAAAACAGCGCAAGAAGATAGGATCCTTTATCATCAAACCCACAGCGCTCAGAAGTTCCTCGCCGCCCCTTACCTCGGATCACTTGCCGAGCGGTACCTTAAATTTTTCAACGAGCATGTGGATCGGTTAGCGATAGGAGAAACCTGGGTGGAATATCCTGACCTGTACAAATTCCTGCAGATGACCGTCTCGCGAGCTAATATCGAGGCCATGATGGGATCCAAGATCTTTGAGGTCAATCCTGGTCTTATCGAGCACTTCTGGCTTGCCAAGCGGAATGCGCACCTGTATTTCCGCGGGTGGCCGCGGTGGCTGATACCCACAGCTTTCAGAGAACGGGATCGTGTAGTGGACGAAATCGAAAAATGGCACACATACGCATTCAAAAATGGCAACGTCACGGAATCCAGTCCCCGGGATCCGGACTGGGAACCCATATTCGGTAGCAGATACGCCAAGGCCCGGCTGCAGTACATGCTGAAGATGAAGTCGTTGACCGCACGCGTTCGAGCCTGCGAGGACTGGGGGCTGATGTTTGGGTACGACACTTTTCTTCCCAGTACTAGAAAGTCATGTCAACTGACAAATCCAGCGCCAATGGCAATACAGCACCGAGTGCATTTTGGTATATTTTCGAGGCTCTCAGAGATCCAAGCCTCTCAGATCGGCTATCTGCCGAGGCCGACACGTGTATATCCGCTAATGGGAAAATCAATATTGATAAACTAGGAACGCGACCGCTGTTGCAGTCCACATATGCGGAAGTCCTTCGGCTGCGCGTCTCGATCCTCGTGAGCCGCATGGTGGAGTTTGGAGACGTAACGTTCTCGGGATACACGATACGGCGAAACGAGTTTGTACTGATGCCTACCGATGGCGTACATTTCAGCGAGGAAGCATGGGCGCGAGCAGGCAGGCCCTCCAAGAAACCATTGCTGGAATTCGACGCCGAGAGGTTCCTGGTCGAGTCCGACATGGGGCCCGAATTCTCTACCGAGGGCTTGGCCGGCCTGTGGATTCCCTTTGGTGGAGGGGAGCGCATGTGTCCGGGACGCCACCTTGCGAAGCTGGAAATGATCTTAACCTACGCCTACCTGTTCTCAAAATACGACATAGAGCTAGGTTCTGTAGGTGCCAAAGACGTGCAGTGTGATATGAAGTTTGCACCCTTCGGTGCGTTGCCACCGAACCGCAAGGTCCCCTTCAGGATCAGGAGAAAGACGCAAGCATAATGAAAGCCAGTAGCCATTCAGTCTTACAACCAATTAACTACTTCAGATGCTGATAGCAGTCTGTTATGACATGCAGATAGGAAGTTCTACTTTGTAGCTAATCATTATTACTACTCACAAGACTTAAGTATTCTCTGAGTCATGAGTCTAACTTTGGTGGCTTGGAACGGGCACACAGTTTCGAAATAATATCTCTGCTACCTAACCTACTATCGCTACCATAGTTGAACTCAATTATCTGGTTTCCTTGGTGTCAGGACTACCCTCAAGTCCTGGCCCTCCTTAGGAGACATCAATCCAGGCACAGGTTTCGTCAGATCCGCCTCCAGCATCTGCTGGCCATCTTCCAGCTTCACGTCAAACCTATGTAATACCATAGCAGCGAAAATGAACACGGCACGTTTTGCGATATGACGTCCGGGACACATGGTGTTGCCGCCGCCGAAAGGGTGGAAACTATTGCCTTGGGCTAGGCGCGGCTTCTCGAGGAACCGTTGGTGCTGAAACTGGTCTACCGGCTGACCGAATATGCTTTCGTCCATGTGTAGCTGCCGATAAGGCACGATCAACCTGTTGCCCTTCCGCAGCCGTTTATTGCCTAGAACGGTGTCTGCTGTTATGAATCGCACCGACGCAGCGAATGACGCGAGCCGTAGCATTTCGTTCCACATGGCTTCTAGCTGCGGGACTGATGTGTGAAGGTAGTCGAAGTCGAAAGCACCGTCGGCGCGAAACACCGGAGCCGTCTCTTCCCGGACTATATCTACGAGCCCCGGCGTCTGCAGGAGGTAGGCTAGAAGCCAGAATGCGGCCTTGCGGCTGTTGGTATTGATGCTACAAATAAAAAGTCAGATTCAGTCACAAAGACTTCGTAGGCAATGGGTCTGAATTGTAGCTTACGCCCAATAAATCGTCATCGTGGCAATTGCCATATCGTCCGCACTCATGTCGAGGGCGCGCATCTCAGTTTCCATGGCTTTTACAAACCAAGCATCCTCGGCTCTCTGATCATGCGGAAGCTGTAAATACTGCTTCAGTCCCGACAGCAGGCGGTCTCGAGAAGCTTGCATCTTTCTGGCAAGAAATGTCGGGTACTGGTAGATGACCTGGTAGCTGAGTTCATCAAAGACCAAGAAAGCATCTGTCAAGGATGGATCAATCTCCGCGAGTCTGGGTCCAAAGTAAGCACTCTGGCCTCCCTTGACGAAGTAGTCGGAGCACCATTGCACCAACGGCAGAGTGATGGTTCCCGGTGTTGTCCTGGTAGCATAAGGACATGTCTCGACAAGCTTCTCCATCTGTAGATGCTTGTCGAAGAAGTCATAAAACCGAGTCTCCAGAAAGTTCAGATTCTCTCCTGGGAATAATTGATGTATGTGCATCTGTCGAAACAGGATACCTAGCGACTTCCCATGTGGATTAGGGAAGCCCTCCTTGTCCTTTGGAAGTGGTGTGAACATGGCCTCGACAGAGGGTTCCGAGTTTCCGAGGATCCGCATCATCGACTGCACGAAAATCTCGTAGGAAAGCGTCTCGGTATTTCTGTACACCTGTCCTACATCTTCGGCTTTGGTGATGACATATGTTGTCATGCCGGCAACTGTAAGTGCAAATGGCTCTCTTGTGTTACCCAAGTACTGCCTGGCTCAAATTAGTCTTCCTACATATCAACCAATTGCTTGCTTCACTTTCACCTTGACCTACCTGGCTCGAGTAATTAAGGTATTCGCGTCACCAAAAAATGAAATGAGATGACCTTTATCAAGGTCAGCCAAGCCATCATCCCAACTCGCCGAGCAGATAGGCAGTTACCTAGAACTAGTTTGCAGTCAGTGATTGTATCGAGGCTTGGCTATATCATACTATGCTTACGAGGTATTGAATATGGCAGCTCCCGGGGCTCATCATCCGCCGAGAATGCGGGTATGACGGTAAATCTGAACAACCGCCAAACGCTGAGGGCGATGGCGGATAGGATGACGGCTCCGGATAAAGCAGGATAATCATGGAAAATATTAGACCCCATCGCGAAGATGTTGTCGCGGCTCTCCTTGAGAAGGCCGGATATCGATTGCGGAAGCAGCATATTTTCTTGACAAGATATCCCGAAATCCCTAGAATCGGGTTACATTCATAGCAAGCAGTGCAGTTGAGAATCAGAACGCGTTCAAGGCAAACAAATGCAGCCAGGATTTTTCGCACAAAACCTCTTTTCAGGCCTGGCCTGCACACTGGACCCGTAATTTACACGGGAAAGTAACAAGTAAATGAACAGAGGCTCATGTAACTCAGGTCCCAAGAGCATACCGTTATCGCTTAGTTGCGTACAATGGTGGGATTTTGGTCACAGATGGGGCTGGGACATGCATAGTATGTATACAGTGCCAATGCAGTCACGACTTGTGTGCAGCGTAGCTGCATAAATCTGCACACACTACTGCATTGTCCTAAATGCCGTAGGGCCGAGTCTTACTACCTTTGGCTCTGGGGCTCGTCTACCTAAAGCAGCAGTCATCTACATTTCTAAGGGGTCCTCCTCTTAATATTACCTGCCTGACGCAAGGGACATACATGCTACATAGTGTGCGATAGCCACATTGGGGGCGAGTAACATCGTGACAAGTACCGAAGGATCGTACATCCACCAATCATGTAACTATACTTGTCTCCAATCGAACTTTGGTGCTTTCGAGTAGGTGTGGACAGTCGCACAAAGTCCCGATTTGGTTGTGCCGTACGGCTTTCGTGATATCATTTATGAATGCTTTCATAATCCTGTGCTGCTCATTACTCCACAAGTGACAACTAACAAGCCTTTGTGCTGGCAGCTAAGCCTTAGCTCCAACACCTTATGACTGGCCATCTGGACTGAGATTGTTAGAATGCATATATGCCCACAGAAACTTGGTCAGATCGTGGGAATGCGGGCACAGGTATTCCGTTGGGACCAGCTCTAGGAAATAACATCACTCATACCGCGAAAAGGACTGATTCCCAAAAGTTTGGACCATTTTCGATTACACTGGACTTCTTAATTTCACTTGATACGGAGATGGACTGGCTGATGGCCTCTTGGGAGGCCGCTAATCGCCTGTACTTCCTCGTTGTGCTCTTTTTCGTGGTGACAGCATTTTCATATGGAGGCGTACGTGCTTGATCCCTTGCAGTTCCGCGCTCTGGCATATAATAATTTTGCAACTACCAGAAATGGCTCCTCAACTACTGTGCCGAAAAATTCCAAAGATTTCGATATCTGGTTGCTGGCCCTCAGATCATCGACCAAGCATATGCTGCAGTTAGTTGACGTGTTGTATCCACCTCCAAGCTCTCCCCAATTCTGACACCATGTTAGAGCCCGAACCGACCTTTTAGAATTCTCACGCCCTCGAACAACCACTTGATGATCACGTCGAGCCAGCTTATCAAAGAAGTCTTAGATACTCCACCTCAATCTCTATCGCTTCATGCCGTAGCAAAAGAGGTCCGTTTATCAACATATCGCCATATCTGGCGCTCAATGATCAATGATCTGATGACCAACAAAAAAAGTAGTTACTGCAGCCCAAGTACACAATGCATGGCTTCGAATGGCAAGAGCAGCGAGGTGTTGAAGGCACTGGGTTTGTGCGAGCTTTGCGGAGCAGGCTTACTTCTCACCTACCCCAGTTTCAGCCTGAACTTGACCAAATAATCAAGAGCTGCCTCGATGAGGAACTAAGCAAACCGGATAAGAATGGTGGGCGTCATTATTACCCTTGGAAACTCGTTGAACACTTGCTTATTACCGCGTAATCAAGGCTTCGTGCCCGTCAAGCTATTTCCCATGGTTAAGCGCATTGTCACCAAGGTGAATTGTTTGGTCTTTTTTGGAAAGGATTTAAGTAAGTTGGAACATAGGATAGCACAATATATCGGATATCCGCTAAAGGTGTTGAACCGGAAGGTGAGAACACGGAATTTACCGCGGCTGCCCTTGAGTTTCCGCAGACGGTTGTATTCGTAGCCGAGTTGCTGCGAATTACTCCTGGATTTCTTCGCCCGTGAGTAAGCGTTGTAGCCATACTTCGAACCTAAAGACTGATGAAAGATACCAGCCTCGTGACATCCATTGTCACGCAGAGACACCGCGCAGCAAAAACACTCTTCCGCTACTTGGAGCCTGACGTCCGACGTCGTCTGGCCAACAGGGCCAAGTCGGATCAGACCGGGCACTCAGAGCCCACGGCGGTGAGTTAGAGTAGGGGGAGGCGACCATGTGAGAGTTCTTGACTACAGATTAAACTGATGCAGATATAGGTGGATTGTATGCAATGGCTCATTGACACATCGCCGCGGAAGAATCCATGGTCGGCGGCACGTATGATAGGAGAAATATTGGCCATCTGGTTCAGTTCCGTCCATCAGCTTGCAATCGTAAGTATCAATGACAAGTCCTAAAATCGTACACGAATGAATGGCTGACGATTGGCATGATTTGTTACGAAAGACCATAACATACGCGGTTGAGGATATTTGTCTACACGATGAATACGTCGAGCCGTTGAGGGATGAAATTCAGACAGCGATTGAGGATAGATCGAGTTCTCAGTTCGACGAAGCGCGACTTCCCATGCTGGATAGCTTCATGAAGGAGTCCATAAGATCTACAAATGCCGATGCCCGTGAGTTAAACCTCAACTTTCAGCGTCAACACTCACTCAGAAGTACCTGCCAGTTAGCTGTCGCCGAAAGGCCTTGAAAGATATCTATTTACAAGACGGATCGCGAATCGAAAAGGACGACTGGGTGTGCATCCCCCAGCGAGCGATGATGTATGATCCACATCGATACTCCAAGCCGCATGAGTTTGACGGGTACCGTTTTGCCAGGGCAAATGCCGCACTTCGTCAAGGTTTTACGTCAGCGGACATACCCGACAAAAGTCCTTCGACTCTCACGTCAGCAAGCCTTGATTGGCCGATTTGGGGCTTGGGAAACGCAACATGGTAAGTCCCCCGACTTATGACGAGAGGAGAAATTGAAGCTGATTTGTCGGTTGAAGTCCCGGGAGGTTTTATGCCTCATTAGTGCTCAAGCTGATTGCCATCAATGTTCTGCAGGAGTGGGAATGCAAGTTGCTGGACAAGACAGCACCTCGGTCCATGGTTTGGAGGTCCAGTGTGGTCCCCCGCAGTGATACAGTAGTCATTTTTCAAAAACGCAGTGATGCATCTAGGGTGGCAAGGCAGCTTCGTTGAAACGGGCATGCTGCACGAAATTGCTTTCGTCGCGGTTTCGTAAATGTGGAAGCGGAAATGGAGACAAGAATTATCAGGATTTGATGCCTTTGGACTTTTCTTTTTGCTTATGTGGGTGAGAATCAGATAGCTACTGTAGCATCAGAGAATGACATTAATGACGGCCAGCAAAGGGGGTTTCTGCAGCGGATTCATGTATGCATGTCACCGTAACTGTAGAGAGGAGGGTTACACTAACCTAGAATGACTACAGTAATATGGCCAACGAATGGTTGCAGCGACAGCATGTGGCCGCAGTGACGACTCGCTGCGGTATTCCAATGAATGAGCCCCCGAAAATGCATCGCCCATGCGGGGTCCTACCAATCGATGATTATATTTAGCAACACCATGCAAAAGTAACCAGTACAAAGGGGTATGGAAATTTCCGGACTATGTAATCGGTTGTGACTCTGGCCAATCCTTCCCAAGGATCAATTTAGCCAATCGAATCCTTCATGTGGGATCGCCGTGTGCATTTTAATGGAATTATGCAGTAAGGTCGTTGTGCCATTTCTGCAGCTGCACAGCCATTGGACTGGACCATGTACATGCGTACCGAGTTGGTGAAGATTGCATGCGCTTGCCTGCTGATGCGGTGCACACGAAATCTGCCACCTCGTCGGACTGTAAAAACGGTTACACAATGCCGTCCAGATGGATGGATATCATGCGAGGTTATGCTCCAGCTCTATGCCTTGTCAAACCAATACTTTTCAGGTGGATGACACGTGAGGCTTTACTCTATTTCCCTACTCTTCCAGCCGTTGAATCTCGGATCAACGTGCTGACTTTCCCACCAACTTTAGCTACCACGTCAGATCAGCCCTCCAGATTTCTACAGCGACCTGGATTGTGCAACACGCGCAGAGGGACAGCGCACACGAATCATTACAGCACCTCTTGAACATCGCCATCGGATATCATGTCTATACCACCAGGTACTGACCTTTGCTCCATACCGGCCGGTCCGGTGCCGGACGGCATGACGCCGAACTTCATCGACCCGCCTGATCTTTCGACCGCAACTCTAGTAGTGGGCGGTGTGCTAACAGCACTCTCTACGACTCTTGTGGTAGGAAGATTATGCAATGCTTGGGGCCACATGAAACTGGCCGACTGTCAGTTACAACCTAATCGCATGTTTGAGAAGACCACATGATACTAATAGACTAATAAAGATCTGACAATATTCGGCTTCATATTGAGCACGAGCTATACTGGCATTGTGATGGCCAGTAGGTGTGAAGGCCAACATACAGCCACTTGGTACTGATTTTTTGTAGTGCACAAATATAGTCGCCATGCGTGGGACCTGCCTGCTTGCTGGTATATCTCAGATTACAACTGGAAGGTAGGTTTTTGTCTGTGGTTGCTTTGCCAAAAAAGAAAACGCCAAATTGACCTATGGTAGCTACTCTTCTCACAGAATCTGCTTTTGGGACTGACACAGTTCATTACCAAAGCGGCCATATTCGTTTTATACCTGCAGCTCTTTGCCACCGGCAAGAAAACGCGCTACGCCATCACTGCGGGCATCATTTTCATGGGAATGCTCTACCTGCCTCACCCGATTCTAGTCGCCGTGTATATGACGCCTCACTCTGATGAAACCTGGGCAGACCTAGCCCTCGATGGTAGGCCTCAAAAGATCTCGCTATACGCGCCAGTCCACGGTGTGGGATCAATTGTGCTGGATACATATATTTTTATCATACCTATACTCGTTCTTCGCAAGCTCCACGTCGACAGAAAGAAGAAACTGCAGCTACTTGCCGTTTTCACGGTTGCCCTCTTGTGAGTCTGCTTAAAATGCTGAACGAAATCCTACTTCCAGCTTCTCCATGGCCCCCACTGCAAGTCACAATGCTAACGAAGCCTCCAGTGGTATTGTGTCTAGTGTAGCCTCTTGTGTGTGGAGATTCATCGTCCTATTTGGTTCCTCGGGAGATTTTACTTGGCAAGAGGGACAACTGTTCATATGGATGTAGGTGATCTCAATGGTGCTATCATGACTACCTTGCCAATATCTAACTCGATGGCAGTATGGTTGAACACAACGTGGCGCTCATTGTCGGAAGCATGCCTGGATTTGCCGGTCTCATCAAATCGAAATCCTCGACCTCCAGCCTCTATCGCACCTTTCGCTCCAAGCTCCCGGGCGGCAGTAGCTACGGTAGCAATGTCTCCAAACCCAGCCTGCCCGGGCAGTATTCAGGCTCCCACGGGAAACAAGGCGACAATCGCCGCGGTCGAGCTTACTACTATGAGATGGACGACTCGGTCCTCCAACCGGAGACCGAAGTCACTGCTGAATATGGATATAGCTCAGCTGGGGGACATCTACCGGAAGACGAGCGGGGAATTCTCAGGACTACAGACCTCGCTCAATCGTACGAGGGGCGTAAGTCACAGGCTAAATGATTTTGGACACATGTTACATGGTAACATGGATGTTCAACTGCGTTAATACGTATAGAATTTAATAAATTGTGTGTAATGATTCAAGGGTAAGTGTGAGGAAGCCGTCACTGATTGGCAGCTGCTAGAATGTTCATTGAACTTCCAGTATATACACGTTCAATGCAATAATTTGTGTAATCGACGTTTGCTAGTCATTCATCACACGTTGAACAGCATTGCAACTACATACGGTACTTAGTGAAGAGAGGTAGCCCATGCTTATCGCTCAGGGATACGTGGTGTAATGTCTGGTCAGTGATGCTTTGGTCATCGGAACCGAGGGGTTGGAGAAGACGAAAAACAAATTAATTGCATGGCGTTATCCTTTCTGTGTGACGTGACACGACTTACGCGATCCAGAACTTTGAAGACGAGCATCGGTCAACGCATGATTCTTTTGCGGCTGACCGGCACCAATACTGGAGCCAAGCTGCCAAGCTCAAGGTTACTTGTCGCCGCTTCTGGTCAACCCCTTAACTGCAGCGTTCCATGGGAAAAGAACATCTATTGTTTGTATCAAATTACATTGACTGTAGAACAGTTTGAGATTGTTACAATTACGGTAGACTGCGGGTTAGATATGCTGGTATTTCTTTGTACTAAGGCACGTTATAAAGCCTGATAATAGGGCGCGGCTCGGCCCAACTCTGCATGAGTGGGACTTGGACGTCCCTTCTACTACTTAGTGCAAGTGATAGTGCCGGGATGTGTTATAGCCGAATTTGGGGTCCTTTCTCATGCGGTTCATGTACATAGTACATAGAACAGACCACTTTCATCTCATTCTCATGCAAGTCGCAAGCTTATTTTGGGGTCGTAAAGAACCTCGCATCGTCATGCAAGGTCATGTTACATTATGACAGTAAGCAACTTGCTGGCCTGTACCGCACCGTGGCGCACATTCTACCATGCACACTGTCTATTATAGTGTCAGGCCTAGACTAGACAAGAAAAGAGCATGTGTAGTTGGGCGGGTAATCTGGCAAGGAAGGTATAATCGATTCGGAACTTAACCGCGCGGAAAAGCACCGTTGCTACCAAGTAAATATAACCCTCCATACCATACACTGCATATAATCTACTTAACTGTGTTGAATATTGCGGAGCATGTGACGAGATAGCGTTAAGTGGCATTGTATCGTACTGTATTGTGTTGTATTGTATTGCGTTGTCGCACCGAGCAAACTAAGCTCCAACAAATCTGACCGCCCCATGCTAGGCTGGTGCAAGGGAGAACGCACCGCCGCACCATGTGACCTAACCTCCCTCTCCCTCTCTGGGCTGGTGCACATCTACCAATTACGAAGCAAGGGTAAATGTAATAGAGGTAGACAATTTACATGAGGGACGTCGACGCTGCACACCCTGCCGAGTACCATTTTGCGCGATTACATTTCGGATATACCCGAGGACCCAATATCCTGCTTTTTGTAGCCTCGAGATAAATCAGCATTAGGGGAGCATCCGGTGATAGAGCGGCAACTGGCCAGCTAGTCTAGCTTTAGCTGATAGCTTGGCCCCGTAGCGTAGGGCGGCAACTACGGGTTAGCGGACGGCAACTAACTGATAGCTCCGCCCCTCTTTCCTCCGCCTCTAGGGTCGCTAAGTAGCTACTGCTGCTAGCTATTAACTGAACCGACAAACCAACACCAGCACTAGCAGTCGCACCCCTAGCAAGAACACATCCCTTGAATCGTAAAACTACGAGAGAGCTACACCGTCGTGCAAAGCCTCCTTGAACAAGAGACGAGGCTCGTTCTAGCAGAATAAAGACCGCGCAATACAGAGCACGATGCCAGCCAAGACAGTCTTGGTGACAGGCTGTTCAGCCGGGGGCATCGGTGCCGCCATCGCTACTGCATTGGCAACACACGGTCATTATGTCTTTGCAACAGCTCGAGACATATCCAAAATTCCAGAAACTCTATCCAGCTTATCCAATGTCGCGACTGTCGAACTGGATGTTTGCTCGCCATCATCGATCGACGAGGCCGTCAAGTTTGTTAGCGACCGCGGGCTCGATGTGCTTGTCAACAATGCCGGTGCCGGCTACGCAACGCCAATACTCGATGTTGATATCGAACGAGCACAGAAGCTGTACGATACCAATCTATGGGGGCCCCTTCGCACTATACAAGCCTTTTCCAAGCTGTTGATTGCCAGTCGCGGTCGTGTCGTTAATATAAGTACTTGTGGCGCCGTCGTGAACACTCCGTGGATAGGTATGCAATCCAATATCTAGCTCTCCGAAGCTATCATGGACACATAGATCTATCGCCGCACGGCTAACCATGGTCCACGACATAGGTATATACTCATCATCTAAAGCCGCCTTGACGAATCTATCCGAGACCCTACGCCTAGAGCTAGCACCTATGGGTGTCAGCGTTGCCGCAATCATGGTAGGCACTATTGACAGCCACTTCCACCAGAACGATCCTTTTCACTTACCACCGACATCATTGTACATTCCTATTGAAAAGAGCATCGCTGGCTGGGCAAGTGGTGAGCTGAAGCCCAAGGGCATTCCAGCTGACAAATTCGCCGAGACGTTGGTCCACGACATCGTCGGAACGAAGGCTGGTTTGATTTGGAAAGGGCCTAATGCTGGCAGCATCAAATTACTCTCGCACTTCGCTCCTCAATCCCTCGCGGTAAGTCCACAAATCATCGTCTCTTTTCGCGTAAAGTCGTGCAATCCCGATCAGAGCTGAACTCCTCTGTTCCTGCTAGGACGCTGCAATGAGCTATACGCAAGGCTTGAAAGAGCTCAAGGCTCATAACGATGGAAAGGGACAAACATAAAATACCTCAACGCTGCTTGATGATGTGATCAGCTGTTGTTGTTGTAAAATGCGTGGTATTCTTGTAACTTTATTGATATATCTAATGGCGGTCTGGTTTCATTGAACTCGGGGGGAAAAGAAACGTAAACAAAATTGAACATTTATAATTGGTAAAAAGTCCATACATGCACAACCTGTACTAGGTTATTGTAATTGTTATAGCACGGTTACGACATCCCTATATGCATCCAGCGCCTGCATGGAAACATTCGTCCTTGACGGGCAACAGAGCGCTTTTTCAATGGCACCAACACAACAAATTTACTTGCGCATCCATCAAGACATGAGCCTTGCAACCAACAACGATTCATAAGCACGAGCTCTATAGAATGCTGGACTGGGTCATATTTTTTTTCTTCTCAAGTCATGCCCACTAAGCTCCGGCGATGATTTTAATGCTGCCCAGCATAAAAAAGCAAAGATTAATGGCGTTCTTCAGCGGACAAGCAACATCAATCCATCCAATAATATGTTGTTGGGTCAGCCTCACTGCTCAATAGTTGTCACATGTCTCTGTCAGATGCTCTGGGGTGGAGGGATCTTTGAGATCTCGACTTACTTTGTCTGGTGCGGGCTGCGATGTGGGGACTCATCGCGAATCCTCCAGGATTCCAGCGTAGCATCGGCAATATTTCCCACATGCGCATAAAACTCTAAGTCCGCTGGATCTCGTCGCAGCCAGCCGATTTTCTGCACCATAAGCAATCCTTGCACCTCGTGTACCCGCCTCTGCACGGAATAGGGACCACATCCGACGCCACCCATGCTTCGAAGGATCATGTAGCTGACTATTGGTTTCAGCGCCGCGTGGCGAGCTGAATGCCAGCTACCCACGTGGGAATGTATTAATACAATCTATTTAGGACTTGAATCTGCAGGTGTCCTGTCCAAGATGAATGCAAGATAGATCCGGACTTGCTACACGATCTTTGGAAATGCCATCTCTCAACTCTGCCTCGTGGTGCAATCTTTTGGCCGTGATTGGCTACCTTGGCTCAGCAACAGTGGCTCTTTGTGCTCCTGCTTCCGGAAATACGAGTTGTGTGGGTTACACTATGTGATACGGACTCTCCCTCTACGTGCCTCAAGCTAATCCATCGTGAAACATAGTGCCAAAGTCTCACGGCCGCGCTATCGTCAAAAGTTGTCTATCCTGATAGCGCCGCCTACAATGCCTCTGTTTCCTCCTACTGGGCTCAAGGGGAGCAGTTGCTCTCTCCATCGTGTATCGTTTCTCCGCAGGCCGCACAGGACGTCTCTGCGGCCATCAAGATCCTCGTCGCCGGCTCCTGTAAGTTTGCTGTACGCGGCGGTGGTCACGGGTCCGTGACGGGTATCGCAAATATCGAGGACGGCGTCACGCTGGATCTCCGCGGCATAAACTTCACCACCATCAGTAATGATGGCACATCGGTAGCCGTCGGGGCGGGCCAATTGTTGGGGAATGCGTATTCGATCCTGTATAAACGAGGCCTCTACATTCCTACAGCACGAGCTGCTAGTATCGGTGCAGGTGGCTCGACCATAGGCGGTAAGTCCATGAAGCAGTTCCCTATCATGAACCAGAACTCAATCTTTTGACCAGGCGGGCTTGGATACTTGTACCCCAAAACAGGTTTCGCCGTCGACTCTGTGGTTGAGTTCGAAGTCGTGCTTGCCAACGGGACCATTGTCAGCGCAACAAAAAGCGTGAACAGTGACCTATGGCGCGCACTCAAAGGCGGTGGTAGCAACTTTGGAGTGGTCACGAAAATAGTCTACACCACCTATCCGCTCGGGGATGTGTGGGGTGGCGACGTTGTGTATCCTGTCTCGTCAATAGATGCCGAGTTGCGCGCATTCTATAATTTTGCGGCAAATCCGAGCTACGACGACAACGCCGCGGTAATGATGAACTTCCATTGGAGCCCTACGGATGGCAATATACTAGACAATCAGTATATCTACGCCAAGCCGGTTGTGGCGCCGCCTGCCTTTGCTGAGTTCTACACAATCCCGAACCAAATCTTTAACTCCACAGCCGTTACGAACATTCCAGCCTTGTCAGCAGCCCAGTCTGCGAGGAGTCCAGCGGGGCTACAGTGAGTGGCTCATAAGATATATCCATTCCCTCGTTTACAATCATGTCTAACAAGTTCATAGAGAAATCACATTTGCCGTGTCGTTCCGGAACAACGTCGACGTGCTAAAAGATGTATTCAATTTATACAATGCCAGCATAACTAAACTATCGGACGTTGAAGGGATCTCTCTCTCGTTGTCCTTCGAGCCTCTCATGCAATTGCTTGCTGCCAAGGCAAAGGCGACAGGAGGCAACGTTTTGGGCGTCGATCCGCCTGCGGAGGGTGTCGTCCTCACTCTGCTGTCCCTCACATTCACCGATGCTGATGATTACTCGACGTTGAGTAAATTTAGCCAGAAGTTGTTGAGCGATATCATCGCTGCAGCCAAGAAACGTGGCGCGTCCAACTCGTTCATAGACATGAATCATGCAGGCGCCTCACAGAAAGTGCTAGCTAGCTATGGTTCTGATAACTATGCTTTCCTTAAAGCGACAGCCAAGAAATACGATCCTTCAGCAGTGTTTCAGAAGTTGTTGCCAGGAGGTTTTAAGCTGTAAAAACACTTGGACTATCATTATCTGCGGAATTACGTTCATTCGACTCGGAGGAGGAGAGCCTGTATATACATAGGGGGTTTGGCATCAATTTGGAAGCCAATTCCAACATGTAACTTTCGTAATAAATTTTCTCATATCACTCAGTGGTAATACATATTAATTAACGCTCCTCCAGCGTGAGAACATAGTCATGTACTGTGAGCAAGGAGATCTTGTGAAGCTGAGTATCAGTAATAATGAGCGAAGGTGCCATTTCTCGGTGTTGTCTCAAGACTGGAAAAGGATCTCCAAAAATTTGTCGTGAGATCGGTTAAATCCATTTGGCCTACCCCACAAAGTTGTGGTTGCAGATCTTGCCCGGCATCTGTGCTAAGTATCCGTACGGAGTACGGATTACTCGCATGCCTAATCCAGGGTCGTTAGTGGAGAAATCCACTAATGCAGTGGAGCAGAATAACATCTTGGCAAAGCTGTTTGCGCAATAGGCGGGTCCACATATCCACATCGATCCTACCTACCCATGTACTCCCATATGCCCATTCAGTTCCGCGGCTGGGCAATGTAACCCAGGCGGCCCCCGGGCTTGCTCAAAAGCCCTATCGCAAAATGTTAGCAGTCCACCGTCCTCCACCGAAATCATCCTCGTTCTTTCCTGGGAACTGTTTGTGAGTTTCGTGGTTCCGCATGTAGGGCGGTCATTCTTCCGGCATGCCCGAAGTCAGAGAACATATCCCTGCCTCCCCCGATGCCGCCGAGCCCGATGTTATCGTGGTGGGTGGCGGCCTGGCCGGGGTGTGCGCCGCCATCACGGCCGCCGAGCGCGGTGCATCGGTCGTCGTTCTCGACGGCGCCCACGGGGGCGGGTCGAGCGCCATCTCGGGCGGCGTCATCTATGCCGGCGGTGGGACGCGGCAGCAGCAAGAGGCGGGCTACGGCGGCGACACGCCTGAGAACATGTTTCGCTACCTCCGGGAAGAGATCGGGACCGGGGTCGTCGGCGAGCCGACGCTGCGGAGGTTCTGCGACGAGAGCGTCGCGCGCATGGAGTGGTTGCAGAGCCACGGCGTCAGCTTTGGCGGCTCCTTGTGTCCCTTTCGCACGAGCTATCCCACGGATCGATACTCGCTCTACTTCTCCGGCAACGAGAAGGCGTATCCTTTTGCCACGGTCGCTCAACCCGCCCCTAGAGGACATCGGGTTGTGGGAGATGGGGCTGGCGGAATGAACATGACCGGTAATGTTCTGTGGGAGACCATGTTCAATTCGGCCGTGCAGATAGGTGTCAAGTTCAAGTTCGCCAGCAAGGTTGAGCAACTGCTCTTGGGCGATAGCACTGGCACCGTGCATGGTGTCCGCTATCTTTCGCTCGATGAATCATCCGGAGAATTCGCAAAGCACAGAGCATTGAAGGCAAGTGGCTCAAAATACCATCAGTTGTCGATACAATCCCTCGCCAGTTGGTATGACAAACGTGCAGACACTTTGTGGAGGCGCAATGCCAAAGAAAAGTCGTTGAAAGCAAGTGCCGTTATATTATCAGCAGGTGGCTTCGGCATGAACGAGATCATGATGAAAGAGTTTATTCCGTGGTCCAGCAGGGTGTCCCCCTTGGGAACATCAGGCGACGACGGAAGCGGTATCAAGCTGGGCCAGTCGGTGGGTGGAGCCGTCTCGCACATGCACCGTATGTCGGCATGGAGATTGATGTACCCTCCTGAAGCCCTTGTCGAAGGCATCGTGGTCTCGGCAAAGGGTGAGCGTATCGCGGCCGAGGACCTCTACGGCGCTTCATTTAGCGATGTCATGATCGAGAAGGCCAATGGCTGCGGCTATCTCATCCTGGACTCGAGGCAGTGGAAAGGCGTTAATGACCAGATCGTAGAGCAGACTCAGATGCCGTGGCGCGCTTTCATCAGATACCTGGTATACTGGGCTCACAAAAGGGCTGGTTCGCTCGGGGGTCTGGCTCGAAAGCTCGGTGTCGATCCTACCACGATGGAGTCAACAGTGACTGCATACAACGATGCGATAATCGACGGGAAGCCAGATCCTGTCAACAAATTGGGGTGGAGGTCCGTCATAAATGAGGGGCCGTTTTACGGAATCGACATTTCACTCAGGCGGAGTGGCATGCTAGTGGTTCCCGCGCTTCCTTTAGGAGGCCTCAAAGTCGAAGAAGAAACCGGACTTGTGCTAAATAAGAACGGTGAAGTCATTCACGGTTTATACGCCGCCGGCAAGAATGCTGTGGGGGTTTGTTCAAATAACTACGTCTCAGGTCTTGCTCTAGCGGACTGCGTTTTCTCGGGAAAACGAGCTGGGGGGCACGTTATAATCCAACATAAAGTTACTAATGAATAATTATGGCGATAAAAATTGATTATCAAAGAGACTTTAAGACTTATAACTACGGAACCTTCCTAAAAAGATCTCGAACCAAGAACGGAACGCAATCAAAGGCTTATACTTATACTTGAACCTTCTCAGCTACTCCAGCAATTGCGTACAATCCATCCTTGAACATGTCCTCAATCGGCACGGTCGCCATCGTTGTGGCGCGACGTCTCGAGAATTTACCACTCTACAAAAACATCGTGCGTGTCGATAAATTCCTTGTCACTCTGCTCAGGCGTACTAGATCCAGCACAGGCATCCAACCCAGAGAATTTACTGTCTGACACCTGGAGTTCCGGTGATAAGATAGCCATATCTGTTAGTATGAGCGCTCTTTTAGTGACTTCCTTCTGTCACTGGCAGAGTATCGCTGATGAAGACATTTGCTTTGTTAAAAAAAAAGTGTTCGAACTGCGGTTTGATCCAGGTAGCCAGCCACGTCTTTTACTCTGAGATCTGCCGTGTACCAGGGCCTTGCCTCAAAGCTCTTTATTTTTTTTTCTTTTCAAAAGGCGGTTATCAGCTGCGTTACAAGGCGCCTTGGACTCACAAAGGAGATCGGTTTTGGGTTCTCAACCGCTAGTTGAGTCTATTGCAATGCTGGTGACGTGCTATTGCTACAGATAGTTCACAGCCGTCTGCATTCTGAGCTGATGTGCTCTTCAGTTGAATTTAATAAAGAAATGCAGTCCTATTACAGTCAAACAAATGTGTCATCACCAAGAACTAAGTCAAGGCAACGGCTTAATATTTTAGAGATGATCAGTAAAGCTTTCTGCCCCGAGCCATTGTGATTGATAAGATATACAAATATGAGGATAACTCTTTTATTTGTCGGTTTCAATACTAACTTGAAAAACTGTCATCGTACATACGATAGAGACAATGCAGCCAATGATTGAGAATTCGGATCCCTTCCCGTATATGTATCAAGTCATCTGCCTCAGGCCAGCACAACATCTTCTGCCTCGATATCTCGATCATTGCCTCATAGGATTCGATGAGTAACAGGATCTGCAGCTTCGACGATCTCGCCTCGCCTTCCTCTGGATGGCGCTTGAGGAACAATGCACCGACAAGCTCGTCTGTGAAGAGATCCAAGCACATCTGAAGGCTTGCATATGTACTCCAATCATCGTTCTGCGACATCCCTATTTTGACCGTAAGTGTATGCGTCTCATCGTTGTTCATTTTGTGCACCGGCGCGTTGCCGTACAGGCCTTCGCATACATCACTTTCCACAGCGGTGACTGATGATGCGGCAATAGATGGTGCTCTCGCATTTCTTCCGTCGTCAGAGTCGACTAAAATCCGTGGTCTTTGCGTAGTTGGCGATGTGGTTGGCCCGCTGTTCTGAGTATGGTTATTTCCGGCCTTCGACTGCTCTGGTCCGGAACAGCCCGGCTCAGGAGTTCGCATATCAGGCAGCAGTGCTCTATATGATTCAGCCAGGCGCAAAGCTCTATCATATGTCACTTTCGGCGCCCCTGCGGTGTAGGGGTCACCTCCAGGTGCGGTAAGGGAGCCTCTTTCATCTTGGGGAACCACTTGGCAGGGGAAATTTGATATCTTTTGATGCTCAGTAGTTTGCGGTTTATGTTGAAGAACAGATCTTAAGTCTTTTGGGGGCGAACATGCTGAACTGGAGTCCCTCAAGTTTTGATATGATGGCTTTCTGGTCAGTCCTAGTCTTTGAGATATGCCATGAGTATGAAGTGAGTTTGGAAGTTCCCGGCAAAAGCTGGACTTTCTGTTGATGATGAGCGTACTGAGATCGTAGGAAACGATGTTCTGACCCAGATAGACGTACGGGCCTCGCTTCTGTATTTTCTTACGAGGAGCAGCACTAGTTGATATTGCGGGCCCGAAGGATACTAAACAGTGCTCTTTGGGACCCGAAACATATTTTGTAGGACCATTCATGTCGCTCGATCTGTAGCGAAAGTTGCTTTGAGCCGATGGGGATGTCAGCATAGAAGAGGACGAGTAGAGTTTTACGGGGATAGGTCCCTAGATATTCGTGGATGTCGTTGGACTTTTATTTCCTTCAGGCCAACGAACCCTTATTCTGATTGGTTGAATCGCCAATGCCTGATTACTTTGTCATTCAAATTCAAGGTATGGGCGTGTCAGGCCATAAGCACTACCAGCACCCAATTGATAGCATCGGAGTTTCTCCAACGGAGAAACGGCGGTGTTCTCCTTCAACATAAACCAATTATATGTCTCTGTGGGTGCATGATTACTGCATTGTTTATATCATATGAACTCGGAATAAGATTAAGGATGCATGAGAGCCTCCGGCGTCGTTGGGCTTCGTGTCGGGGGTGGTGAGAAAGATAATACGGTCTGCTAAGTCAGCTGATGAGACCATTCATTCAAATGCACTGCATCGAAAGATCTCCAGGTGATTTCAAGCAATTACAAATTTAGATTATCTACGTTATATGCTAGATTTGCCTATAGCTGATGCCAAGATCACCCACAAGCTTATGCTCAGCATCTACCCACTTTACTGCTGACAGTCAGGCTTAGTTGTTGAAGTCGGCTATTGTTGCGAGAGTTACACAAAACAATCTCGCGAAGACAAAACGACAAAACGTTCAAAGAAACAGCCTATAAGTATCGATCATGTTGAGTCGCAATATTCCAACTTCCTCTACCAACACTAAAACAATAACATATTAGCAACACCTACTAGTAGCGTTATCCGGCCAGCTCAGAACCTCTCACTTCCAACACTTGACCAAAATCGTCAAAAATGCTTTTCTCTTCTTTGATTCGATTTGCGATCTCTTCCTCGATGCTCACAGTTAGCCTTGCTGCTGTCCTACCTGAAAAGGGGCTCATAGTGGAGCGAGGTCACGACTCCGAGAACGGCACCCTGGATCTCGGTACCCGGGCCTGCCAGTATGGCTGCGCACCGCACACACCCACTCCGGACGGCAGTTGCGGACCTACTAGCGCAGGATACTATACCTGCCGAGCGGGTGACTGCTGCTCCAAATGGGGTTGGTGGTGAGTGGTTTCTGCCCGCGAGCATAAACTGCAAATGGATAGCTGATAAATGTGACTATAGTGGCGCTACAGACGCCCATTGTGGAGCCGGCTGTAACATCGAGTTCGGAACCTGTGGCAGCTCATCTCCGGCACCCCCTCCTCTTCCTCCCTCACCGCAACCGCCTGCCGGCAAGATTAGCCCGAATGGTAGTTGCGGTCCTGGGAGTACGGGTCAATATAGCTGTCCTGCAGGTAATTGCTGCTCCTCTTGGGGATGGTGGTAAGTCCTCTAAATTCAAAGTGACGACCAATCTGAGGCTTAATTGTTTGATACTAGTGGTGCCACGCCAACGCATTGTACAAATTGCCAGAAGGGCTTCGGTCAATGCTAGATAAGCCTTGCCGTAATTCAGAAAGAAAGTTGTTGGGTGGGGATCTATCATATGATTGCTAGGTTGTTAGGTGATAGGTTGTTTATGCACTGAATGTTGAAAAGGGGCTTCCTTGCTTTCTCTGAAAGTTTCTGTATCTTTCTCTCGACAATTCTGGTGATCAAATTTAGCAGAATGGAAACGGCGTTGCAATTCTGAAGAAGATACATGCCTTGCCACTGATGAACTCTGTGTCTTTTGACTCGCATTATCAAGTGTATATTCCCTACCAACCTCTTTGCCTATGGCCAATAAGCAACCATATTTTCTAATTATATCAACTCTTTTGGTAGGAGTCAAAGTTTGTTCTTAGTTGGACTTGTTCCAACAACAACGCAAAACACAGCTGGTCTAGATTCTCTACCTTGTAATGAAATATCTCGGCAAACTACTCACATTTAGTAGTCATTTCCACAAGACACTGGGCAATCGTTTAGATCTTTGGCACCGATTCAGTTGTTTGTAGCACACTGAGATTTTGACAATGGAGCTTCCGGATAAAACCATATATTCCAAGGATACCATGATTAGATCAAAATTATCAATGACTATGCAACGAAAGAAGACATTACAACTGTCAGAGCTTATCCGGTATCGGATTGCAATAGTGTATATAAGGGCTGGAATCCTCCGTATGTGGTAGAGAGTAGGGCTCAGCGCGTCAATACTAACACCCTAGCACTCCCTTGCAACACCAGTCTGACAAAAACATGACTACCTCAGTGAAAATAAACATAGTTAAGCTTAAGGTACAAGGCTTGGAATACATCCACGTCAATTGAGGTCTTCTTTCGGGCTGTGGCTTCGAGTGATGCGCCAATGTGCTTTTGCTTCCATCAGAGGGAACAATATTGGCAGGACGATATGTAACGACGTGTAAGTCAGCATTCCCGTATTCAAAGCCGCTACATAACAAGTTTTGGAATCGCCTGACCGAAATGTACACACAAGTTTCATTTATTCAAATTCTTAATAACATAGAGATACATGATCTGCTTTTTAATAGCAAACACTGTTTCGGTTGGACTTGGTAGTGGAAATAAATCTATATTAACAAACGCAATGTTTAGTTTACTGTCTTTGCCATATCCTAGTCGTGAAGTCGATGGGTTTTTCGCTTTGAAACAACCACAATATCAACCATGCCAGTTTCACAGACAGCTCAGGGTTAACGCTCTTGTATTTAGTGGTATTGGGGAGGAGCTGAGCAGGAAACGCGGAGCTGGGTCTGGGGTGGCCCCACAGGGATATTTTTCTATAGATAGCGGTCAGCCTTTTTACAACGTCTTTGTTCTAGATTGTCTGCTCAAATCCTACCTGATTGGCAACGAGTTTAGTGACGCTGCCGTCAATCCCGTAAGCCGTGCAAGTAAAGCTGGCACGCCCTTCCATAGAGATGGAGGTGATGCTAAGATCGTTCTTGGTCTCCACGAACTGGTTATTCGCGACAACATACAATGTGTAGCCAGTATTGGCGGCAGCGCTGAAGGTGACAGGAACGCTGGGGAAGTGAGGTTCAGGCTCAGGCACAGGCTCAGGCATAGGACTAGCCGTGGTAAGCTCCAGGAGCAGAATGGTGGCAAGGTACGAGAACTGCATTTTTGACGGTTCGACCTGCAACAATTAATCAAGATGGCGTTCTTGCACCGATAATCTTATAGTTTACTGGTATTAAAGAATGAGATAAATGGACTTGACGTTATGAATTTTTTCAAAGTCCAATCAATGTTTTATATGTGTCGGATAGACTGATCACTTGATTATCGTCAATGATCTGAACAAATTTCCCCTTTCTCTTTCTTCGAATTGAGATGCTCCGAGAAAATTTCTCGGCATCATTCTTACGCGCCTCATTTTCTGTATACAGATTATGTTATTTACTATTTTCTGACTCTTTGCTTAAATTCTGTCCTCTCACGGTTTGATTGGCTATAATAAGATGGACCGCTCTAGACCCTCAACCATATACATCAGCTGTAAGGCTTAGCCTGAATGTAAGCAGGACCCTGATTCTTGATCTGGAACTCCCGACGTCACAGATGTGCGATAGAACACCGCCCAGCACTGGGTGGTGGGGCAGCTGAGGGGTCGGTCACCAAAGACCCGATCTCGTATGATGAACTGGCGGAGGGTCAGAGGCTGGTGACATCGTGTGGGGTCAAATCAGCTATCAATTATCATTGCGAAGTTCGCAACATTGCAGTCAAATCCGTGTCAGTCCTGAGCAGTAGTTCTTGTATGAAACGGAGATAATAAATCAGCTTGGTACAATTGTAGTATATCGTATACGGCCAGTGCACGGTCATTGGAAAGCCTTATGTTACATGTGGTTGTTGAACTCCATATTCGCAATATGCGGTAACGTAGTACGGATACCAAGAGTGGGTCGATCATGGATGTCATCTTGAAATCAAGGTTAAGCTCGCAGATGCAGATGCAGATAAGCATTTGATATGCTCTCTAGCAAATTGTTTGTTTGCACACTTGCCAGTAACTTGGACTTCCCGTCGAATTACAAGACCTTGCATAATTATACAGACGCTAAGTACTGAACAGTTTTCGGTCATACCGACTGACTCCGAAAAGTCGGACTACCATTCAGCAAGCCATCATCAACGGAGTCACCGAACAGATAGCTCTTATGACTTCTGGTACCAGTGACCCTCCTGGGCCTCTTCGTTGTTGTCTAACATATAAAGATGGTGTTATGCCAGATGGCTTCACACTATGTAAGCCAATACCTACTTTAGTCATACACTTATATAGTAGACGTTAGTATCACTTTCTCAATTGAGTGGCCAATACTCAATATGAATCAGCATCAGACTTTGACTGCGGCGGACACTTTCTCGTGGCTGCCGAATGACCAAGCAGCAATGAGTCCTTCCCAAACGGCCGGGGTGGACAATGAAGACTGGACCCAGATTGCCGACCTGACTCTTCGGAGGCGAATACAGAATCGGATTGCTCAGCGTAACTACCGTATGTTTTGGAGATATTTCTGATAGACCAAGAGAAGTCTAACTAATAAGTACAGGCAACAAGCTCAAGAGGCGACTACAGGACCTAGAGTCATCGGCTGCCAATGGATGCGCAAAGCCAGAACAGACAGCAAAAAGATATGACGAAATGTCTTCTACGAAAATCCGCAAGAAGAGGGTTACTCAAAAACATGTGTCTACACTTCAGTCTATGCCAATTTTGAAGTATGGAATGGATGGACTATTGTGCCCTCAAGCCCACAATAACAGGGACCAGTCATATCATTCTCTGTTCCCGTCTTTCTGGACAGGTGTTTCGCCTGATCAGATCAACTCACTGCCTTACGAATTCGTGCAGTATTATTCAGCCCCGACAATGACTGGAGCGTACTTTGGCTTCGCAGATATGGCTTCTCCTAGCGCACTATCTACACCTCCAAGCGGGCCAGAATGACAACAACATACGAACGAGGACGCTGCCAGCTAATGAAAGAGATGGGTCAAATTTGCTCGATAATCATGTTGTGGATAGTCAGCAAGTATTACCATTATCAGAAAGAAGAGACAAAATGATGGAGTATAGATTTCTTAGTTGAGCCGATGATGGTTTGTGTCCAGGCATTTTCAGGCAGCATCAATAGCATTTTTATGAATCACCTTTAAAAACTACTTATACTTTCGTTGATTACTGCTTTCTCACGATATCGTTGTTTAGCACAACTTAAGTTTAAACTAAACTTATATACAGCAGCTTTCTTTCCAATATGGGCTATTCCATGGGCTGAATTCATAGGGCTAATGCTCGCTCTTACCTCTAGACTAATGAAATATAACACTAACTATGCTCACAATATCATTTACACATGAATAGATTAACATATCAAAAGCCTACATGGATTAGAGCCCTCAAGAAGGATACTATTATAGCACAAAACTCGAGATGTAGCAACTAGCCAAGGTTATTAAAGTTTGGAAGGTAATTAAGTTAGTGCTTACGATTCATGAAGAAGTTGTTCACTGGCACCAGTAATCGTTGACTATAGGAACAAGGGGATGAAGGAGGCTAAACATGAAAGGCGGCGCTCTCCGAAATCTCGCATGACGGCGGAGCGGTGAGCAATGTCGAAGACCGCTGGGCGGAGTACCCACGTTCGGATACTTCTGATGCCGCCAAGCGATTGCCAAGCTTTACCAGGGATCGTACAATCATGCCCCAGAGACATAGAGACACAAGACGGCGCGCGTGTGCGGCTGCTCCAAGTCGAGCTGGGGCAGTGCCTGATCCTCGACTAAGCCATACCAACCACCGACCGCAGAGGATATACGCTCTGCAAGGATACGTGGATAGGTCCCGGCGCCTGCACATTGTACTTCGTCAGGCTGCGCGCGGTCAACTGGGCAGACCTTACCAGCAAGGGCTCAACCGCCACTTCTGCACCTCGAAAGATTGCTCCTGTGGAAAGTGACCCGTTCCAACCAGTGGGGACTCTTGGATCGGTTATAGGTGTAAAGTCCCCAGGAACCAGTCATTCTTCGACGGATGCACAGGGGTTGGCGCTAGTTAACTGACGAACAACACACGGACAACTATAAACATGTTCCTACATCCGCAATTAGTTAGATACTACGACATTCATATCAATTAAGAGAGCGTGATTTGCGCGAGCTGGTGTTCTGTGGTCTCTCTTAAGGTTGACATGAATTTCTGTCAAGTCATCTAATCAGTGTAGTGCTAATAAAAGTAATCATACTATAAGCACATCGGTGCATATCAGTTCCGAAAACCGAGTCCTGAGAGATGCAATGAGAGTAGATCACACGGGTTCCAATTATAAACAGATAGCTTCGTCCCCTACTGTAACCAAAACTATTGCCACGTGATAAAGAGTTCTACATATACCTTCCCGGCCTTTACTGTACATGTGCAAACCATCCACCTTGGTTCGGGACTACTAATAATACCAATAGCACGATTGCTCGCCGTTCAAATATACGGGAAGGCTTGATGTTCAACTTGATGACATCATGATGTTCCCATGTTCCCCAAAGAGTATTCGATCAGTACTTACTCCCTGATGCTTTTGACTAGATGGAGGGCTCCGTTCAATTTGGTCTGCAAGAAGTGGAATCCTTGAGCATCTTAATTTATTGAGCGAATTCAATTGTTGAAACTTTCACCGCACAACTCGTCAAGATGATCGAGCAGATGGCATTTTCCGCTTCACACAAAGCCCGTAACCCGCGCACCACTTTGGCCCGTTGACCTGTGAGTCTCTCAAGATCCTCTATAACAATCATTACGCCACATGGAAACCATTTCCGGTCGTATGGCGGCTGTGAGCAGTTAGAAAGATGAACATATAGAGCCATTTGACCAAGATCAAGGCGACAGAGAACAAAGACTAGAACCTCCATGGTCAGATTCTGAAACCGTCTCTCAGTGCTGTTGGCGTGACATGTAGCCGGGAGTCTCCGTGACCCCCGGCGAAAAACTCTTCAATACGCATCTGCTCTAGACGGAATTCATACCCCTTCAAAAATGTCTTGGCATGTTGACCTTCCTAGATAGGTAACCTATTGTGTATCGAGTTTCCTATTTAGAGAGACATGCGAGCAATGTACCCTTTATTTAATTTCTCGGTTCCTATCTGTAAATAAATAGAGTATTATTGGTTGTTTAATTTGTTAATGTGGTAATTTAAATGATCTTTAAAGTTCGTCTAAAAGCTTCGCCCACGTGAGCACACACCGCATAGTGCACGAAGATAAGCCTTTGAAGCCCGCCGCACCTGATGAAACGTTGACGGATATATGTTCTGAGCAGTGTTGCCTGATTTCCCAATGCTCACGATGAGCTCTTTCCGTAAACAATGGAGTAGAGTGTTCTCGAACTGATTTTCGTGATTGAAATCGTTGAATTTCGGGCCAGTCAACTTGAGGTGGGGCCTACGACTCCAACACAATCATAACGATTATGTAAAGTCTGGCACTGGAATCACCTCACGCACAATCAGGTAACTGAACCAGTTATAGTGCCAAGATGGTATATCTCAACGCGCTCCTCGTCTATTCTAGCGCGACGCTGGCTTTTGCGGCGGGCTCTAGTGACCCCGTACAATACCCTACTGCTACTATAGACTCGGGTGTCATTATCGGCACAACCACCGTATTACCATCAGCAACGAGCACAGTCCATAAGTTTCTCAGCGTCCCTTTTGCCTCACCTCCTGAGCGTTTCCGCCCTTCTCAACCGCTTCAGCCATGGGAATTTCCGTACAATGCCACAACCAAATACAATGTGGCCTGTTACCAGAATTATATATACTCCGACGCGACCCGCGAAAATCTGATGAGATTGGTCATTGGGGATGCTCCGCCGCCCCAGGAAAGCGAAGACTGTCTAACCCTCGATGTTTTTGCCCCTGCCCCGGCAGCGAACGGGACCAAGAAGGCCGTTCTTTTCTGGATATACGGCGGCAGTTACCGGACTGGATCTAATAACAATCCCAGCTACGACGGTTCCAGCTTTGCCGCCAATCAAGACGTTGTTCTCGTCAGCGCAAACTACAGACTTAACTTGCATGGCTTTCCGGGGAACCCCGAGCTAAAGGCACCCGACCAGAACTTAGGGTAAGAATATACCATTGTCCTCAGATCCCCATATGTCTCAATCAGATTGTGCAGACTCCTTGACCTCCGCCTGGCCCTCGACTGGGTCCGTCAAAATATCGCAGCCTTCGGTGGTGATCCAGACAAAATCACATTGATCGGCCAGAGCGCAGGTGCCGCCATTGTCGATATGTTCGTCTCTGCTCCGCCGGATCCTTTGCCGTTCCGCGCAGCTATCATGGAATCGGGACAAGCGACATACAACGGCGGCGCTGCTAGTCCCGGTTGGGCTTGGAACGCAGTAGCTAAGGTCGTCAACTGTACAGGCGACGTCACCGCTGTATATGAGTGCATGCAAACGGCGCCGGCGGCGGCTCTGAAAAGAGCCGACGAGAACCATGGAATTTGGTTCGGACCTCCGGTCCAAGACGGTGTTACCTGGAGCAAGGCGCCACGCCGGAATCGACTAAACTCGACACAGGAGAAACCGCTCATGGCGCGCGTGCCCATCTTGATTGGCAGTACCGCCGACGAGGGCGCCATATATACGACCGGCGTGACCAGTGCCGTGGCTTTCCTCCAATCATACTACGGGCTCAGTTATGCGTCAGCGCAGGCGCTACTGGCCTACTACCCGATCGTGCCGGGCAGTAGAATCACATCAGAGGCGGACCGCGCCACTGCGGTCATGAGCGACTCCTCTTTCACGTGTCCCGCCCGGTTTGTGTACGACGACTCCACGGCGGTCGGAATCCCGGCCTGGCGATACTTCTGGGACGCCAGCTTCGTCAACTCTGAACTGGTTCCGGGGGCATATCACGCGTCCGAGATTCCGTTGGTTTTCGGCACCTATGACCGTGAGAACGCGACGGTGTTCCAGGCCGAGGTCAGCATCGCGATGCAAAAAGCCTGGGCGGACTTTGCCAAGGACCCCGTTGTGGGCCCGGGATGGGACAGGACCAAAGTTGCGTTGTTTGGTGGCGATGCAAAGCCTGGGGAGAGCGATGATGGCCGGCCGGTAATGGAGATGGTCGATAGAAACTGGATGGACACGAGGTGCTCTCTATATAAGCCCTGATATTCAAAGATGATGATACATTTAGAGAGCCTAGCATATGATCATTTACTCACTATGCTCTGCCATAAAGATAGGCCTCAGTCTCAATAACGGAGTTTCAACGCCACAGATTCTTACCTTGACTCCGAGACGCTTCCTAGACTTTGCGAGATCGCTCACGTCGCTAGCGTCAACCCCCGATGTATGTCCCATATCCCCTGCCAAGCAAGTTCTTAGAGAGTCGTGAACTTTTATGTAAGCTTCTGCATTAACTAGAAGCATTTGTCCTAATTGTCACAACGAGGCGCAATAATTCCTTGAGTATGGAGCTGCAGGGCCGACAGAGCGCCAAAGCACCTAGCAAACCCTTATAGATGGACAGCTCCTCATGATCTACAGGGTAGAATGACATATGCAGTTATGAACGTGAAGTATTTATCGTAGGGCTAAGTGTGCAAGTTATCAAACTGCAATAAATATAGCCATTTCATGCTTGCCGCCAGGGGTCAGCGGCGGCAGGCGTCCAACCACGCGTAACGGCGCTCTGTCTCGTTTGTGTGTGGCCAACGGAGGCCTTCATTATCTATCACCGCCTTGAATTCGAACGTGCAATCAAAATTGCAGATGATTGAGGCAGTGCAACGGCGCGATGAATATCACGATATGCCTGTGAGTTTTCTCGTGCACAGAACGTGTCCCGCAGATGCAGCCCCACCTCTGAACAAAAGTTTTTCACAATACGGATCCGTACAACAAGCAATGAGCAACTAGAAACCGAAACCACAACCCCAACCCAGGGAGCCTTGAGTCCCTTGACAGCAGCTTAGGGTCTCCAAGGCGGCGTCCTCTCGGTGACTCAAGGGCAGTAGGGTAATGAGCACGGTGAGATGTGACATCACCGGCTAACAGGGAAGAAAGTACTGCAATCAAGGCCCCCAGGCCCCTGACATTTGCGGGTCTAGCGCCATCTGTCGAGCCGCCGATCTGGGAGCCGTTGCGTTTTAGCGACAAATCAAGCATATTGCGATCGTCAGGTTCCTGGATTAGCACGAGCTGCAAAAAACCCTGAAACGGCTTGCACGGTCGGTTTCACACCGCGAGGTTCAACCCCCCCCCCCCCCCCCCCCCAAAGGAGATCGTCGCCCGCATGTGATTGCAAGTGAAATGAAAACCGCTTTGGAGAAGGTCGCGGATTGCCCATTCTCAGCTGTCATGGCATTTCGTTCTTTGATTATCTCATTTGTCGGCGATTGAGAGCCTACGAGCGCATATACCCAACAATACTGCCTCACCCGCGCTCCCACCGAAAGGAGTATTTAATGGAACATTGGCTCGGCAGTCCTCGATTCACATCACCACTATTAGGAGGTGATGCACCGCAAACCCAACTCTGGAAATGGTCATCGCGTCGTGAGAGCATAGCCGCCAGTCGCACCTCGCCTGCCACCACCGACATGTCTCGACGCAATGTATACTGGGTGCCGGTGAAGAAGCGGCAAGTCGACAGCATCATCGAGACCCACAATGCGATTCTCAAACGCCAAAACATCCCCAAGCTCGACGGCCCTTCCACGGCGGGCGTGATAGCAGCCGTTGTGATTTTTGTGTTGGCCATCATGGGGATGATGATCTTCCTGATATGGAGACATTCACGTTATCAGAAGAAGATGATTTCGCTGAAGCTGGAGGCAGAGGAGGTGACACAGGCGTCGGATGCAGGGAGAGAAATGGTGATGCACGCGAACAGAACGTTGGGACTCGTGCATAACCATTACAGGAGTGGCACGATAGAGGACAGAACCAAGCCGGCGGAGATTCAAATGATACGAGAGGTCGGCGATTGGGATCGACTCGGGACGGCCACGAGCCATAGAGTCGTGGAAGATGATGACAGAAGTTTCAGAACGGCGGCAGCGAGTATAAGAACTCACAGAGACAGCGCCGTATAGACAGGATGGGACATTGAGCCACAAAGACATTATTATACAATACCACATTTTCTTATTGCTACCCAGCTAAATCATATCAGAGAATCGCGCCCATCGCATCGTGCTACCTGTAACAGCTCAACTTTATATTAATATTCATGGCGATAGCTCTAAATAAAATCGCTCTAACTCCCCGGCTTCTATACATTTTGCCTTCAATGTAGGCAGGTTGCTCTTGTCCAAAACCATACGTTTGAGATCAATAGGCTGATTTCCAGCTTGCTCCACCCGGGAGGTGCTGTAATGACGCTCATTTTATGAGAAGGCATAAATATTCTATTGTGAGTGACGTGGTTGACTAGAACGAAGTATTCCAAGCTCAAATGTGACTCCGTGGTTGGGCGACCAGGAAGTTTTGAAGCTATGATGAAGTGATGATGGTGTGCGCGTCATATTTAAACTGAGAAGAAAAGGATAACAGAAAATTTAGGAAGGAAAGAAGAAACGTATGTTGTAACTCTGCATGTAGGGATGGACGGTAATTCTGCAATTCCCAGCGTTTTTGACCAACTGTTGGAATAGAAGCTCACTCTAAGTAGTTGAAGTGAGCTTGGAGCTTGGAGCTTTCGCAACGTATTTATTGTGTAACCAAGTGAATATCAGAGATTGAGCGACGAAGGGCAACCTAAACGCTAATGAGGCTGGTTGGCTTATCTGCTCGCAAAAGTAGTAGGACATTACAAAGAGAAATTTCTGGTAGTCCAATTTCGTACATTTGGATGGGTTTCTGTCGCTCCATATATTAGGCGATCAATATTTTCTGCCATTGCAATGACCTATGATCAAACTCGTTGACACGTCGAATGTTCGTCTAACGATGCAATCACACTCAGAAGCTTAACGCTGGTTCAAGGATTGGAACGCGGTGAGAGCTCGTAAACATGAGATGCTAGGATATCAATGAGGTAGATATTTCTCTATTACTTGTTTTTGAATGCGAAGATGACTCATGTTTAAGACGCAGGTGCAGGTTTGTCACAAGCATCAAAACTGAGAGCTTCCTACGTTTGCACGGCAGGATGCTGTATAGCCGTGAAACTTAGAGATGAGTTGGACTGCGTAGTCAACTAAAGGTACTACCAACAACATAATCATTACTTGTCGTAGTGTTTTTTGCTGGCAAATGATCTTGCCTGTCTAAAAGAACGCTCGTATTGCACTCAAAACATTGCTATCCAGCCCAACATAATTCATGCCCGATCAATTATCATTCGGGAACCCATCCCGCAAATTGTCGTACTTTGTCGCCGGCTGCGCGAGACAATTTTCCCTCTGCTCGAGCGCCCTAAATCCACCTAGCGTATGTACTACGTTGCCGATGAGGCTCAGATCGCCCTCCTTGTCCGCGCTGCTCTCCCACCACATGGCGCCCCCCAAGCCTCGATCTCTGATGTACATGGCCTTGTGCCGGGCCATGTCCACCGTGTCGTAGCTCACCATGGTCCGCGTCGACGGGTTGTAGCAGTAGCTGGCGCCAGACTCGGCGTCGAACCTCTCCTCGGCGCCCTCGAGCGGCAGCTTCTTGTAGTCGAAGACTCCGTTCTCCCAGGTCCCTTCGCCCACGCCGCTGTAAGGACAGCCTGGGCCATCTGTTCCCTGGAAAGCGCGGCCGTAGATGGGCATGCCCAGCACGATCTTGTTGGCTGGGACTCCACGAGAGGTGTAGTAGTCTATGGCAGAGACAGTGCTGAAGGGCGTGCACCCAGGGTTGCTGCTGCAGGGAAACAGATTCGACTGATGGCCGGCGCTCTGATCCCAGCTGCCGGCAAAGTCGTAGGCCATGAGATTCCAGAAGTCGAGCAGACGATCCATGCGCGGCAGGTCAAGCTTCTCGTAGTTCTGAGCGCCAGCTGGACAGGCTACGGTGAGCTCAAAGTGGTATGGTGTTGGGAGTGTGCGGCTGTAGTTATCCATGGCGTCGCGGACCGCCTGCAGGAGGGCTACGTAGTCGGCGGCCTCGGCAGCGTTTTGTGGATACTCCCAGTCGATGTCGATGCCGTCAAAGCCGAGATTCTTGATGAGTTCAACACAGGAGTTGGCGAATGTGGCCCGACCTTGAGCTGTGGAAGCGGGCTGCTTGAAGTTGCTGCTGTAAGTCCAACCGCCGACGCTCAGGAGAATCTTGAGCTGTCGGTTCTTGCGCTTCAAGAGGTTGAGCTGCTTCAAGCAGCCATACAGGTTGGTGCCATTGTCATTCCATGAATCGTTCTCCCAATGGATATCGGTGTCAGCCCACGTGTCGGTAAGATACACCTCGCCTGATTCGGGTCTGACATTGGCGAAAGAATAGAGGACGTGGGTGAGCTTGTCCGCCGGCAGATCTTGTGGACGGTGCTTCCGACCGTAGATGGCCCAATTGACAAAGTAGGCTACCGAGCGGTAACCGTTTTCCGGTCCGCCACCCATATTTACTGGGGATTGGGTGCTAGAATATGAAAATGCGACTCTGTTGATAGAAGACAGTAGACTTGGAGCTATCCAAGTTGTGTGGAGAGTAAGGAGAAGCCCGAGACACCGAATAATCACAGAGACAAATGTGACGAAAGAGAGTCTTGCAAATGGCCTCGAATCACTACTCGGAACCCAGACTTTATATATAAATAAATAAAAATTGCCCAACGCTCTGCATTGCGCTTCGTGGGTACTGTGCTGTTAGTGGACAGCCCTGAATTCTGGTTGAGGGGCGTGGCTTGGAGCTTCATGCGTGGCGATGCATCTCATAGTGCACAACGCAGGAAGCTCTCTGAGCCGGCAGAACGGCACAAATGCTGGACCAATGTACCAGGGTTTATTAGTACCTACCGCATGCCTCTGAATGTGCCACGGGCCTCAGTTGAAAAGATTGACACATTGCTAGCAATAAAGGCCTTGCCGTCGCAGTGTAGACAATGTTGTGCAATTACGATGACGTCGGCCCCTGGCAGATTTGGTTGCGCCAACTATCCAGCCCTGCCAGGCACCACAATTCACAGAGGCAGCCAGTGACGCTTCGTGGCTAGTGATATGCACTGCCACGCAGAAGATGCTGGTTGTCAGCGTCCTGCCAAATCTAGGAAGCCTGGCACAACTCTACCCGCCAATGGTTGACGGCTAGCTGATTGGGTGCACTGAATACGGAGAAGACTACATGTGATAACAGCAGTGAATTGAATCGTAATACCCAAACCAGATTACAATTCTTCCCTTCAGATGATTGTCTTTGAGTAGTGACACGGCTATCTGCCACTTGACAGTTGGCTGGTTGGGAACAGGTGCCAAGAGCGCCGTCCCACTTCAGGTATGGTGATACCCCCGAGGGCGTGCGACGAACAACATAACAAGCAAATAGGTCACAGTCCACTCAGGAAAAGTGAAATTAGCGTAACATCGCCGAATAGCAACAAAAACTTTGCAATTGGTGAATCAAATCATAATTGGTCGATACATGCACTGTAGAAAGCAGGTCAAGTAGCGAGGATGTGTCTCGAAGGTAGTGTCAGATTGCCGGAGCTAGTCTACGGATTTATGCCACATCGACGCCAAATACATGTCGTGATCTCAAGAATCCACGTATTCTGTTACCCGTGCAATTTCCTACCCTTGTCGTGGCCTAGTCGAAGCGGATTTAAGGCTTGTCGAAGACGTAGGTCAGGTGGCAGCGACCACAGTATTGGCGGTCTTGCATGGCAGCCATGAAGACACCAGCACCGCACTGTAGGAAGAAGGGTTAGGGATTTGGTGACCGGTTTGGAAAGGAGGGTTAACTTACAGTCTCGGCCGGGCACTCACGTCGGAGACGCTCGATCTTGCCGTCACCGTCGACCTTGTAGTACTTGAGAACAGCCAACTTGGTCTTCTTGCGCTTGTGCTTGATCTTCTTGGGGGTGGTGTAGACCTTCTTCTTCCTCTTCTTACCACCACCACGGAGCCGTAGCACGAGGTGGAGGGTGGACTCCTTCTGGATGTTGTAGTCGCTCAGAGTACGGCCATCCTCGAGTTGCTTGCCAGCGAAGATGAGACGCTGCTGGTCCGGGGGAATTCCCTCCTTGTCCTGGATCTTGGACTTGACGTTGTCGATGGTGTCGGAAGACTCCACCTCAAGGGTGATAGTCTTACCCGTAAGGGTCTTGACGAAGATCTGCATTTTGCCTGAGAGGAAACGATGTTAGAGGATGACAGGCCATGGTTTGCATTATGCAGCAGCTGATATGAAGATTGTTATAGAGGAGATGAGACGAAAAAGAAGCTGATCCTGCTGCTGCTGCTGCTGCTCAATGCTCGCTGCTGTCCCTTCAAGTGGCGCAAGGAGCTCGCGATACCATCAAACAGCAGCGACGCAGCAGACCTCGGTGATCGGGACGGGAAACGAAGATGGTGGGCGCGAGACGACGCTCATCTTCGTGTGAGGACGTTGCGGACTACACGTACCTAGACAAATTGCCTTCCTCAGCAAGTATGTAGATCTATCGGGAGAGGGTTGATGTTCAGAAGAGAACGTGGCTAGACTTTTGCTCAGTGGGAGGGGTCCACTACAGAATTTCGGCGGGAAGCACCGCACGGGCCAATAAGGGCGAGAAAATAAAAGCACAGACCGGCTAGGGTTTTCACAGCCGTAAGCCCTGGAGACGTCTAATTCTAGCGCGGATGGTGTGTCAGAACCAGTGGAGGGCGAGCACTAATTGGCTGTTGCGGCCCCAGGTATAGAAAATTTGGTGGGGCTTCCGAACCTTCATCCAGCAGGCTGGACATCGGTAACATACTTTTTGGTGCAGGAACTGTCCCGTAACAGTCTCTCGTGACACTTGGCTCAGCACGGGTCACAGGACGAGTCGAAACGCCAAATCACTGGGTGAATCCGCACTTCGCACCTTATTACCTTTCTCTTCCTTCTTCGACTTTTTCGACAGCCAGGACAGACAACACCGACAAGATGGTTAAGAAGAGAAGTAGGTACACCGAATATCCGCCTCAAGCTCCCCTTGCCATGCATAGAAGAGAGTAGTTTACAACGTCTCTTGCGTATTCAGATGGTTCAGCGGTCATCTTGCACACCACAGAACTGAAAATACCCACGGTCTTCATGGAAAGACAACACCCCCCAGACTCCTCGCCTACATGGCAAGACGAGACTTGAGCATCTTCCACGTCTTCAGGGAATAGCCAGCTGACTTGGTTTCTACCGCAGAGAACAACGGCCGTAACAAGTCGGGCCGCGGCCACACCAAGCCCATTCGCTGCAGCAACTGCTCGCGATGCGTATGTTTCAATCGTGTCCTGGTCGTCTTTTTCATGGTACTAACTTTGAATCAAGACCCCTAAGGACAAGGCTATCAAGCGTTTCACCATCCGCAACATGGTCGAGTCTGCTGCCATCCGGTACGCCTTGCCCAGTGTTCCACCGTTCCCCGGTCCGCATGCGCTAACTTGTGTCTTTCTACAGTGATATCTCGGATGCCTCCGTCTTCCAGGAGTACACCGTCCCCAAGATGTACCTGAAGCTGCAGTACTGTGTCTCTTGCGCCATTCACGGCAAGATTGTCCGGTATGTTCTAAAGACCCTTCAATGGGCGCCCGTCAGGGAAAACCACCAGTTTCGTCAAGAACTGTGTGTGCGATTCAGAAGAACCTTGGTCGATCTTACGAGCCGCCCTCCATGACGAATTCTCTCCCGACCGTAAGATCATATCCAGCTAACAGTTCTTGATTAGTGTCCGCTCCAGAGTCGGTCGCCGCAACCGTGCTCCTCCCCCTCGCGTCCGATACAACAAGGATGGCAAGAAGGTTGTCCCTACCGCCCAGACTGCCAAGGCTGCTTAAATGCAGTCTTGAGTTCATGTCTAGGTTTGGTGTTCGGGGTTTGTGGTTCATGACAGGGAAATGGTAAAAATGGAATGGCTTTTTGCATGCATGTCACCGGAGGTAGGCATAGCTCCTTAGATAACGATCTCCATGAATTGAGGCACACTTGTCACGAGCAAACCGTCATCGATTCGTACATGTCGTGTGTTTGTCATGTTTGTCCCATCGCTGCCGTTGCGACGCTCTTAGAATATTCAATGAACGGTCAGAGTGACATGGGCTACCCCAACGGCCAGGTGCAATAGCAGTATGTCCGGAGCCGAGGGAGACAGACAACCGCCCAGTATCGTAGTGAACCTAGGACCAGCTGATCACAAATATTGTAATTTTTTGCCGTCGCCAGATCTTGGCGTGCTTAGTTTGGCATGGTCCACCATCGCGTTACGCTGTCCACGCACTTGATATGGCATACCATCTCAAATGCACCTCTCCCTTCCATGATCATCAAGGCCACAGCGAGTTTGAACTCAGACTGGCTTATGGCGAACATTTTCTCAAGAAGCCCTCACCTTCCAGTCCAAGAGGCTGTTCTTTTTCGCTCCACGGCTGTCGCGCTAGCGCCGTATCGCTACACGAATCCAGGCGAGCTTGGGCTTATCCAGGCGCCATGTCTTTCGATCAAAACTCTGTGTCAACCTCGAAGCTCGTACTGTTTTGATCATGGTTTGGGCCAAGACATATTGAGCCGGGCACCTAGGCTTGATGCGAAGCAGAATAGCAGCGACGATGACTGCAATCCCTAGTTTCGAGAACTTGGAAGAGAATCTAGAAGAGAACTTGGCAGTTAATTGCTCGCTGGTTGGCCTAGCTTGTAGCCAATCCACTTTCTTGCAACAATAAAGCTCGCCCATTCCTAACAGTGGTGATCGATCAAGCTTCTCTTGTGTATCTCCATTATGGGGATTCCCCTGCCAAGTCTCCCACCGCCCTCCACCAGCTCCAGCGCCGACTACACTCCTGGTCGCTATGCAGAGGCTGCTGCGTCTCGCGCAGCTAAGTCGATTTACATCGCAGCCACCTACGCATCGGCACTGACTCACGGCCATCAAGACCACCTTCACAAGTAGACTCAGTATCGGCTGATCAGGTTCTTAAATTTGATTCGATGCAATAGCAGCAAGCCATTTCAGCTTGTCATCGAATCGAACTCGCTCTAGACCATCTCTACGTAGTATTCCTTGAGAATATCACTTGAGAACTTTGTACAGACTGTGATCCGACAGTAATCTCAGGGTACACTTTAAACAATTGAGAAGGCATTGTAGGCACAGACTAGCAGAAGGGCTAGAAAGTAGACCTTACGACGAGTCAGATGATCACCAGGGTAAAGCAAGAGAACAACTTGCAGTTCAAGAAGGACAACTACGTCGCTGACATTTTGGTGTTGCATAGAATGCCATCTTAGCCAGCTTCACAATCAAGGGCGCTGTCCTTCGTGAAACCGGTTTCGTGCTACTACCTTCATGATCCCAACTACCTTCATGCATTCGAGCTCTTTGGCAAGTGCAATAGCCGGGCCGGCTTCTTCCTCAGCAATTAGGATGTCAGCGTTTGGACTCGGACTACTCCCACGGCTTTGGTCAATATTACCGCGAGGCATATCAAGGCTAACATTGGATTGTAGGATTACTTTACTTATAATGGTACGCCGACTGGCAATATGCCTTGGGGGTTGATCAGCCACCTACTTCTTTTGCGAGACTCACTCCATTGCCTTCACAAGCATCGAATACTAAGTCTTTAGCCGGACGAATGTAACCCAGTTATCGGTGTGATGAACCATCAGAGTTATGAATGACCTGGACCACTGGCACCTCGTCTGACCCTATTATCCCGCATACATGCCGTGAGGATAACCCATGGGTAATTTTCATGGACATCGTGAAAAGCCGCTGTCGGAGATACAAGTCAATTAGACCTCGGATAAGGAGTAAACAATTGCTTCACGCACAAGTCCCACCTTGCGGCCCCGGGTACTAGCCTTTGGAGCCGCCGCAGCCATTAAACCCATATTTTAACTCGGAACTAGAAAGTATATACAAAAATGCGGCGCCACGCTAATTGATTCCCATGAAGAACTTATCTTGGTTCAAGTAATCACTACACGTGAAGAGCTGCTCTTAATGACTTTTGGCGATAATTTACGTAAAACACAGGTGAGACCACGAACACAAAAGAAAAAAAAGAAAGAAAAAGGATTTATAAAATTTCAGTCTCATGGGACGTGTCCAAGAAGAAATCCAACTTGCTGGTCTGCCGGAAGCCAAGCGGACCCCGAGCCAACTACATCTCCGTTACGCCATGTCGCTTCAAGGCATGTATCATAGGGGAGTCTGGATTTTATTCGCCAACGATCAAGTCAACCAGTTCTCCCAACAATTTTCATCACCTGTTGTCGATCTTCTTGTCGAAAGGCCACCGGTATCAGAAGTCCCAGTGACCAAGACAACATCCTCAAGATTCTCGATTTTACAAGATCCAAGTTTCTGGGGGTTGTCATGCTCAATTGGTGCACAGAGTGCTTACATTAGCGTTGCCATATGATCTCTTGTACAAAGCTTGAACCATAGACGCTCATGGCTGGAGTTCCTCGTACGCTTCTACACGATCACTACAATCACTCAAGGCAGCCAAACGAAAATTGATGGCATGCCTACAAATAACACAGCACGGTCAACGGACCAGACCGTACTTTGCTTCGACAACCGCGAGAGTTCGTAGGTCATTGAACATCAGACATCGTATTACCAATTACTCGTCAACATAATGTACGGACGTCGCATTGGCTCAGTTACGCGGAGCCCAGAAGCTGCATATTCTATAACAGAATGCCGGCACCTGTTGAGGGTCTGACGACGTCTTTGATTTGGAACGCCTAGTTCGTCTGATACAGATCGCAATGCAACACTCTTGATTTCATTCGCAGATTCGCCAAGCCCCTCGATCTTAGTATGGCATCCCTATACCCTGCATGGACAACTTCCGTCCAGCAACACGTGCACAGAAGGCCGGTCCTTTTTCTAGCATTGCAATCATCCACACAATACCTGACGAATAAGGAGCCTTGTGTCTTATATAATCACAAAGACTCACTCATTTTAGTATTAAGCCGCCAAGACTACCCTAGAGTCTAACTTCGAGGCTGGTGGATCTAGATAGGAGTATTTCATCCTTGGAACTACAGATATCCTCCGATCCATATCCTCTTTCTAATACGACATCCTACTCCTATATTTCTGTGAATTATATGGTAGCATCTGACGCACCTATGACTGTGACCATATCAATGCATCACCGTGCTAAAAGCTCGAGACCCGGACACAATTACCAGCTACAGTAACAGAGTCTTCCCGTTTTATAGTATGGTCGTCAACTTTCTTTTCTGCCTGCGAGTTACGCCCCATCAAAAACCATCTTCGAAGCCCATATAGACACATTCGCCCACGTAAGTACGTATCAACCGTGATCTCTTAAAATATACAGGGCATGCGCTCTGACACCTTGGACAGTCAGCAAGATCTCGACCGCCCTCTAACTTTGACCAATTTCGCCACAAGCAGCTTATTAACGAACACTGTGACTCACTTACTCTGCGGTTGATCTGTGAGCACTTTCTCAACATTGGTCTATCAGTCTGATTTCCAAATCTGGCCGCTTGATTATGCTTGATAGCGCGGATATAGGAGCTGATGAGCTTTGAGAGTCCCTCATTAGCATTCTAGCGACTAACATATGACTACTGTGAACCACAGCTTCGCAAGCTTCTTTATCTGCCAGTTCTACGTTGCTGTTGACCCACCAGTCTGATGTTCGTATTTGGACTTTGGATGACTCGAGGCGTGTGACCCAAGCCCCTCTCAGGTTGTTATTTGGAGTTTCGTTTCATCCCAAGTCTTGCCCTGTTGCCAATAATATATCGGTGAGGGTGAGTCCTCGTCATCGACATTACATCACAGCTTGGATGTCTCAAGTGATTCATTCAGTGCGATAGAATCGTTCTGACACACAACATCTACCGGACGATGACGGAAAGTTCTTATCCCGAAGAAGTACTTAAGAAGGATTTCGTCGCCTCTTAATCTGGACTTTTCTTTCTCTCATTTACATCACAAACACAGATCTATCGATACATCATTGGCGATACATGCAACCGACTCCATAAATTAGTCATATTGACCTCTAACAACTCATAAATCTCGCTTTTGACATAACAACGCATTGCCGGCGCCAATCTGCTATTAGTAAGTATGATTACATCCCCAGCAAAGCTTGTGTTATTCTTGGACATTATTATACCGCAGACCATGGCGTTGTTACACATTAGACCTATCCATCAAGGCTTATAGCATTCTTATGAGACTGACTTCATGTTAGTAGACCACTTCTTCACTTCTCTAACGGTCTGTAGCTAGTTACGACTAGCTTGCAGGCCTATGCAAAGTGGATTCAGTTCAGGACATCGAGCTGCCATTTCCAGCCGTGAAGTGTGTCATTGGGCAGTATCTTGAGATCTTTGCAGACTATTCGTGGGCCTGGATCGTCTCTGGATCTTTCTACGATCGGGAGGAGAAGGAACTCTGGCATATTGAGGTGATCATTGGTTGTCGACCAAGAACTCAATCACAGTCAAGCCGACAGCGCACCCTTCACAACAGTAAGTGACTCGTCAATCGTTACTTGCATCAGCTTTTCTAGCTTATGTAGAAGCCCAAACTTGGGTTGAAGCGAGCTTAATCGATTTCCTTTTATTTTATGATCAGCGATCTCGCTTTTAGACGCTATCACATATATACCCCGTCGAAAGTCTATAGGTCTTGGCTAAACAAACCTCCAGATTTAACTTGGCACGACTATCAGCTTCGGCAATCAACTGTTGCTTTTCCTGTCTTCACGAACAACATCTCTTTGCTACCTCGATTCGATCCGCATCCACACGCAATGTCGGCTGCTATTGGTCGTGGCTGGAACCCTGCCAGTGGTTGGGACAGCGGTGATCTTCCTCCTGGCCTTTCTCCCGCCGGGGTTGGTGGCTATGTAGGCATACCTGGCGCCCCAGTCGCTACAGGTCCTGTTTCCACTATGCCCTTCGCAGGTATGAATGGCCCTTACGGTTATCAAGCCTCCTCTTTCCCATATAGTCCCGGTCCTCCTGCCGCAGTAGGCCCCGTATATACGTGGCCAGCAAATGGGTTTCAGCACCCTCTGCCTGTCTTTCCTAATCAGCCTGGTGGTCCTCGCTACCCCAGTCCTCACCCTGTTGTCAGTTCCGACGCCCCTGCTCTAAACTTCCAGAACTCGACTGGCGGCATGGGTTGTGAGCCTGGCTACAACTACTACTTCCCCTCCGAGCATACCAAGATCCATGTCATCAAGTCGCGCGACCCTCCGTGGCGTCTGCCTGCTGGTATGAGCATGAATTTCGAAGCATACCACGTCCCTGTCATAGTTACGCTTGAGTGTTTGATGAATGGCTTTGGCGCAACCAATCCTGTTGCCAAGAAGAACAAGATCACCGAAGTTTGTGAGGGTGGCAATAATCGTTGGTACAAAGGTATGACGTGGAGCGCCGATGACGAGGATGAGATGAAAAAGACGCTCAAGGAGCTGGGCTGGGATAATTCTCGCAGTGGTCGTCCGCATGAGAAGCCTGTTATTTGGATTTGGGTCACGAAGGATTGAGTGCTGGTGGATACTTTCAGGATGGATATGGCTTTGCGCCAATTTTCCTTCTAGGATTGCGTCGTTATTAGATATATCTAGGCATGCTGCAAATGCGAAAGTTCATGCTGCCACATAACTTAAACATCTACTTGTGACTGTGGCGACCCATTTGATTCCTTGTTATAGCACCAACTTCCTCTCGCAGTGGTCTCCGAGTCATAGGGGTTTCTGTGCTATCCCGTGTTGTATTAGTGAAGTTCACAAGGTAGACAGTTTTGACTATTACGAGTCTTTGAGCTCACCGCTTGAATACATTTACGCAAGTATGAGAGATCGATTGAACGTATCGTATCTTAGGAAGTTGCACACTCCATGCGCATCGCACTAAAACTGAGCGCTCCAAGGATGATTGTATGACTACTCCTGACCCGCGGCACCGATGCTTGATTGTGTATATATAGATCTTCGAAAGTCGTTCCGAAATAGGCTGTGGCACTTTGAGGAAGTTTCATGCATTTGCTCACGGCTTGGCATGATTCACTCCCACCAATATGGATGGGGCTCCAACGCAACAAGAAGTGCATTTATGCTTTTCAACTCCATGGTTCAAGAAAACTTTAAGATCACGGCAACATATCCGAGCCAGTTCTAGGAATTGCTCGAAGTGCGGGGGTGCCAGTTGAGTCGTAGGCCTTTTCTCAACCTCGCCGGTTGGCCGTGGCTGACCATGGACAGACGTTGTACTGAGCGAACACAGCCGGCGTTCGGTTGACTCAATGGATCTCGAAAACGGCATCAACATCTGTTGTCATTGACCTTCCGGGTTAGGGAGCGCCACCGGATGACAATTGGCTACTCGTCAAACTTCATTGGGTAGTTCGTATCGACAGGGGCTGAAGGAATTCGAAGCATTACAGAGTCCTCGGTAACGGTGTGAACCGCAATTCATGATTGAGTAACGGTGGGACGGCCTGAAATCTTCTACCTCGGACAAAAAGACCTACCGGAACTGCTGGTGCTCGAATGCAACCTAGTTAGTCGCGACCTCCCGATCGCATTTGATTTTGGTCGTTAATGCTGGAGAAGGAACGACTTCTACTGGCATGCATTTCACGGAAAACATGCTGACAGTCTGAAACCTGTTTATTATCAATAGTCATAACTCTTGCAACATATCGCATTTGTATGACCACTAGAGCACTGCAATGATGGAACCCAGCGATGAGGAGACTATAGAGGCCAATGATGGTGCTATGCGTCCACCAGACTCTGTCCGACCGTTAAAGGCTGGGGGCAATGAGAAAAGTATTTCAATTAATTACGCGCATAACCATGACCATAGGCAAGTCGAGCTTGATGCCGAAAATCAAGACACATCAACGCCATTCGTCACCGGCATGCGCGTTGGCCACGAATCCAGTGGAACTCCAAACATCATCCTACCATCCAGGAACAGGGGCAAAAGCAAGCTGAATGTAATTGAAAATGAGGAAGAAGAAGACGGGGACGAAGAGAACACTCTCACTGCCGATGCTCAGGTAATGCTCGAGCAGGCATCCAGTACCCTTGGCATAGCCACCAATCCCGAGACATCTACAGGCGAGCCCAAGGCATCTCCAGAAGAGCCCGACGCTCCAATCGCGGCGGTGCAGAGCAGGACTTTACACGTCAAGAAGTTCGCTAAACGTCTCGACCACTACGGTCCCATCCGCAAGGACGATCTTCCGGACGGCAATGTCAGAGCTGAGCTTGAGGTTGCTAAGGAGTACAACGTCCGGGCAGTTGTCGTCCGCCCTGATTGCGTGAAGCTTGCGTGCGAGGTCCTCGCGGATACCGATATAATTGTTTGTGCAATCATCGGTTTCCCCTTCACCTTTGATGAGTCCGTTGAAGGTCGATGTAGGGAAGCAGTCGAGGCCATCAAAGATGGCGCCGAGGAAATTGAGTTGATACCCTGCCATCACCTTATGGTGTTTCGGCAGTGGGCCAACGTCTATTGGGAGGTCAGCATGATCCACGGGGTTGTCAAGGACCTGAAAGCGACCATGAACGTCTTGTTTGAGGACAATCTGCTCCAATTTCGCGATCGTTACGATATGGGCCGCCTTTGTGGCCAGAGCGATGTGCCTTGCGTTGGAGTCTGGCCCGGAACGTCAGAGGCGCTACAGGATGATTATACCAGCCGGAAGAAGCTGGCTAAGCACATATACCAATTGCGACATGGTCTGGCAGGCCGCTCACTTGCAAAGGTAGCTTATGCGCTCTATGATATCGAGGATGCGGTGTTCCTCCTAGCGAGCGGCGTAGATCGAATTGGAACGATCGACATAGCCATAATAATGGAAGAAGCGGCGGGATGGGCTGATTTGGAAACGCCATTGGAGGTGCGTGTTGGCGATTGTTTGTACAAGGTCACCTTCAAGAAAGATGACGGCGATTATGAGTAGGATTATGAGGACCAGCAACAGTCACACGACAGCACTGATTAGAATGCCATAAAATATACACAAAGCATCAATGGGCCTACTTGATGACTTGACGAAGACCCTTTACTCGAGCAGGAAGGGTGGGTGTTTTGGTAATCGCGATTAGAGAATAGGGGAAGTCCAGGATACTTTCTAATTTTTGTATTACCTATAATAGATTAACCTAATGACTCCTTTGACCAGCCTTTGACGTCTTCCACTGAATGACAATTACACGTCTTTGGAACCCCCACATTTCGGTGTTTGCTACAAGTGTCTTGTGGGCTGCTTAACTGCAGTCCAGGTCCAACCTATAGCGAAGCCCTCATGCATCTGGCATGTCCTTTATAAACTCTGTGACATAGTGCAGCTTGCGCAATGGAACGCCCTGATTCCTAAGGATAGCATAGGTGATGTCGAGGTGGAAGAAGACGTACGGAGTAGCATACCCCAGAACATAGGCAGTACGTGTCGTCTTCTTCATCATGTGCGGTCCGATATTAAAGACTATATCCTCATTGTCCTTGCCCTCGATGGAAGCCCTGTCAACTGCTCCCAGCTCTTGGAGCGTGCCGTCGATCATGTTGTACAGGTCTTCCAGCGATTTCACCTCGTGGTCCAGTTTGGGTATGGTGTCCAGTGTGACGTCGCTCAGCCGCTCTATGGTCTTCTTGGCCACCTGGGCAATTATTATGGTCTGGGTTGAGAGCGGGAACATGTCCTCGTAGATACGCGACCCGAGCAGGTCAGTATCGGAGATGTTGTGTTCCTTTGCATATTGCCCGCCCTTATGTAGGATTGAGGAAAGTGTGTTGAGTACATTGGTGATCACAGGAATGCTGATATCGTATAGAGAAATCATAATTAGGTAGAAGAATACTTTGGTAACCTCAGTCTTCAGAGTGTAAAGGTTGAAATGCGCTTTAGTTGCAATGCTGAATTCGGTTGAGTATATGTCAACATGGATTTACTTTTTAGGAATATTACTTAGATGAGTAAATGGAGCTCTCTTATATCCAGGCGGGCGCATATTGAAGAAAATTCGTTATGTTTAGACATCATTACGTATCGTCGCGACCTCGCGCTGCGGAAATCCGTCCTACTGTAAGCCGTTATGTTGAAGTCGTCGCCCACTGCTACAGGTTTCACCAACAATGAAGTTATGCCGAAGCCTTGGCGAACACAGCCCTGTCAGGTTACCTGTCGCTGTTCTATACACATTTCTAAGCAAAAAACGTGGAGCCTGAACTTCGTGTCGCGGGATTGCTGACAAATGTTGCAGCGGTCAAGCTTGGGCGGGGAAACTATCCGCCTGATGCCAAATCTCAGGTTACACAAAGCATGTGTTATTTTAAAATACTAAGATGGCACTAGTATAGTAAAAATGAGATTTCAGAATGGATAGATATCTAATACTATCAAATGTTGCTTGCTGAGGTGTGGTCAATCTTTCCTCTGTAGGTGGCTGACTCTATGTACTTGTAGATTATCATGTACAATCGCGCAATAGCGATAACATTGAAACCCCATCCAGATCAATGCGCTGTCGAGGTCATAGTAGTGAAAGCCGTTGACATTCGCCTACTCGCACGCAAGCTTCTACAATTCAAGAATCTGGTTGGCTTCCTCGGTGACCTTTCGCGAACCAATCGGGTCCGAACTCTTAGGAGTCAGTTTCTCAAAACCAGCTGTCCGAAGTCCTTCAAGGTCAGTATGAGCTTTTAGATACTCTGGGCCACACCTGTTGGTATGCTTGCTTTCGCCCACACCACCCGGGAAGTCAGGACCTGGTGTACCATCTAGAAATGCTTGCCTCTGTCTCTTCATGTACTTGGCGTTGAGTTCCGTTACCGGGCACACTGGGATGTATAGGACACTAGAGTCGGCTTTGCCCATGTGAACCTTGTCAACAGCGTGAATGGCTATTGAATGTTAGCGCGTTCTCCTCTCGGCTGTATTCTTTTACCTACTGTCACAATGCCAAACAACGAAGTCGCCAGGTTTCACCCGTGGCATATGTACCATGCACCTGTCAAGTTCAAGGTGTGGATGCAGGGCATCACTTAATTCCTGACCATGTCCGGGAGTGGCACCTTGAAGATCACTCGTCATGTCTGTACCACAGAACTCCCAATTTCTTGCGCTCAGAAATTCCGAATTTGTGGACGACTTAGTTGGGCGGAAGAAGGGCCGCAATAGTAGATATGATGTAGAGAGACGCAACAGAGGGTTGACCTGCAAGGTGCCTTCATGGGGTCCGGTATAGCTCATACTCAGCCAGCCCTGGAACATCCTAAACATTGAGCAAGCTCCCAGGCCATCGTAGTTGTTCATCACAGCTGGAACACGAGTACTCGCATCCCACGGATCGTATTCCTCCCATCTCCCCGCAAAGATCTTATCGTAAACATTGCCAAGCCCGTATCCATTTTCCTCCCATCGCTCGACGCTCCCGCCATCGATATGTGGTCCCAATGCGAACTTCGCATCTCCTGGCTGGCGAATGCGTAGTCGATCGGCATATGCAAGAGGTTGGGTCAATGAGATTGGACTCTCGGGATTTGATAAGTGCCAGAAGCTCATCAAAGCCTTTTGGGCTTTCAACAAGTTCGGATGTGATCTTGCTTTCAGCTGCGGAGCCGACCAGTAGAGCTCCCACACCTGAGGGTTATCTTGGGGAAATGCTGAATTGCCATTAGCTCGCATGCAGTAGAGACAAACATTCATCTTACCTCTCGTCGAAGGGTTCTGCTTGATGTAATCCTCAATTTCACTTTTGTATCCTCTTGCCTCCTCTTCGGATATGACACCCTGTACGATGGCTACCCCCCTTTTCTTGATTTCGGATCCTAGAACAGCGAGATCACTGTCCAAACTCCTAAAGTCGACCACAGGAACAGCATTTGGTCCTTCTCTGGCCATAATATCGTTCTCGATTCTGAGTTGCTGGAGTAAACGGTCCCAGCTGGCAACCACGGCATCTTCATTGCCGCGAATTAGCTTCCGCTTGAGGTCAAGGAAGCGTTCTGGGAGAGGTGTGGCCTCAAGCCCGGACATGGAGGCGAAAGCATCCGATATGTCTCCTTCACGCTTACTCTGCGTTGCTGACGGAGCCTGGGTATGCATAGGATTTCGAGCCTGATATGACGGCATAGCTACAGTTTTTAAACGTCTCAGGCTTGGGGCAAGTCTTCGAAGGGTAATGATAGACATGATGGCGCCAAACGGGGACCAAATAGGAATTGTATCTGATTGACGGAATTGGTAACAGAGTAAGACGGGTAGAAAAGGCCAATTGTTGCTCTTGCCGAGCAAAGGATACCGAAATGCAGTGGTGAGATTGGGGGCTTAAATGCTACACAGTTGTCACGTTGTATGCGTTGGACATATTGGGGAGACAAAACGATCCTGTTCTGGGCATTCCGCTCCTCTATACAGACAAGCTCCCCATATATTCTGAGGAGATAGCCAATCATGGGCATCCATCATTTAAAATTCATAGCACTCTGGGGAAGTGGCGATGGAATAGTCGTTGCGGAGTGTAGCCAGCCGACTATGTAAAACCGACCTCAAAGCTTAAAAACGGGGTAAGGAAACGGAGGTGCTTGATATGACCAAGCGCTGGGTCGGAGTGACTAAATTCAGCTAGTCGGATTAAGCAGCCTCCACTTCTGTGAGTAGGATACAGCTTCAAACGTGAGTTCCCTCCACAAGTTTGCTTTGTCTAGGGGTATTGATGATCTCACGTAGCGGATCCGGCATAACGGGCAACTAGCTGACTGTGACAGTGAGTGGCTCAACTAGCTGGCACAAGACTCCCATTCCTGTTGGACGCTTGACCCACCGACCTCCCGAGCAAACTGTTACCATGTCGGGGACATCGGTCATGGTCAAGTTCGTGGATACTGACGCGTCCGGGTTACCTCTCAAGAGAAAACAGGTCGCCCAAGCCTGCACAGCATGTCGGAAGCGCAAGGTACAATTTGTCGAGTCTTTTCACTGTTGAGTCGCTGACTCGATTGCGCAGAAACGTTGTGTTCATGAGGCCAATATCAGCCCCGTGGATAATGAGGCATCGTACAATGCGGTATCTCCGACCAGACCTAGTCGTAATATCTCACAGCCTAGAGAGACTCCCCAAGTTTCTCCAAGCGAGACACGGTCTCAACACTCTCTGACATCCCAATCTGAGAGCCGAAAAACGTCTCGCTTCGTTGGTGATCTGAATCCAGAGCATCTCTTCATCGAGGCCACTAGCCCGCATTCTAATCGAGACCTCTCAGTTCGGGGTGGCGTAGGTGTCTGGTCTCGGAATTCTCATGATGCAAGGCCTATGCCTACATCAGCACCTTCCCGTGTGGGGCCATCGCAAACCATGCAAAACCTTCTGATCCGTTATGTCCACAGCCATTGCCAGTCATTTCTACCTCCCGTGCAGGATTGGTTTGCCTTGAGGAGTATCTATCTCGCGAAAGCAGATCCTCTGTTTCCTGTTCTCAGCCCTGTCCTGAACGATGAAAACGACCTTTCCACGTCGACCACACTTATCAAGCAAGTCATTTGTCTTGCCGCTGCAACAAACCCGCAAGCTACACCACACCTTCGCCTCCTACCAAGCGGGATCTTGCTCAACAGAGCTGACTACACTGCAACCCTATCTACAGCGATACATACTACAGTTGAATCCGGCCTAATCGCGGACCGCGTGCTGCTTATTCGCGTTCTATTGCTATACTCAATGTACATACAGCCGACTTGTCCTGAGGAGGCAGACATGCCGAGTGCGATATTCGCCAAGGCAACGCATCAATTCACAACCCTGGGTCTCCATCTTCCGATGTTAGAGAGCGAGCCCGAGCAAGAACAGATCCGGTCACTGTTTCTATGCACATGGGCACTAGATCGCCTGAATTCTGCCTTCTATGGTAGAGCTTGTATCATTCACGAGCGAGATATCGGATGGGACTTCGATGAGTGCATTAGGAAACAGGAGCCACCGTTCCGCTTATTTCTCTCGGTTATCAAACTTCTAGACGATGTTATTAGTATATATCGCCCGACACAGAAGCTGGACGAGGAACCTCTGTATATAGACATGCCTATTCTCGAACAACTTATTGTCGACTGTGAGGCTATCCAGGTTTCAGACACTCTGCTTGGTGAGCTCTCGAAATCCACTCTCAACAAGCGGCCAACTCTGCTGACTCGTATAACAGCTACGGTAGAGGTCTTCTATCATGCAGTCGCAATACTATCATGTCGATTCCCTCAAGAAGGGGCTAAATCAGCCCTTCCCTCACGAGCAAACAACAGTCGGCGATCACTTTCGGCAGACCGCATCACAGAACTTGTGCGCGACGAGATGGGAGACCGGCTGTCCTACATGCCCGTAATTCCCTATGCAGTCTCGCTTTCCCTCAGCGTCATGTACCGCAAAATGCGTTATAGTCAGATTCCCATGTTTAGGGAGCGAGGTTTGCGCTCATTTGATACTAACACAAAACTTCTGAAGAAACTTAGCGAGACATTCTGGTGTGCGAAGACGATGAGCGGAATGGCGGAGCAGGTCTTGCAGGAGATGGGCAAGGCGGCCGCCACCAAAGCGCAAGAATCAGGCTCGGGGGAGAACAGCGTGCGAGAGGGCAGTGACCCGCGGCCAGCCCAACCTTTGCACGCCTTCAGTACGGTGCATCAAGGACCACCCATGAGTACGTTGGCACCGCACGAAACAAGCATGACCATGGGGGAGATGGTGCCTGAGATCGATGTCTGGGGCCATATGGATCCGAACTTCAACATCGGCGCAATCGACGCGGTCCTCCAAAGTAATCTCGACTTTGGAAACTCGGCCAACTGGTTTGATTGGCAACAGAATTGGGGATTCGTGGAGTGAGGCAATGAGAAAGATCGAAAGGAACATGCACAGAAACACGGGCGCACGGAACAGGAATGAAGGCAAATGAAAATCAGCAGAATGATACCCTTCCAACCATCTTTTATAGATCAGGATTGTTTAACATATCCCTTACCTCGCGATTTCTTGCGCTTATTGTCGTGAGTATGGAAGAATGGTTTCGAACTTCCACTTAGGTGTATCAGAATTTGCACATTCCTGGTCTCAGTAGCTGAGGAGCCACAGTGCACCTTTGAGATACACTTGGATGAACAGAGTCATCCAGAATTCATATTAATTGGAACTTTATTTAAACCCCAAGATAAAAATAAAATAACTTTCTTCCCCCCCTTCCTTCGATTCAATTCAAATCATTGGCTTCTCATCAGCAGCTGACTGCCAGCTGCCCCGCCCGGAGACATCCCGCGACGGCAGGATCATGACTTCTCTTGCCACCTCTGCTGAAGCGACATCATCTCACAAACTCAAAGCAATCTCTCTACCCCTTCACATTGCTAGTCTACATTCCTGCAAGATGCCGAATCCTCTGGTTTATGTCATCGCGTCAATCGTGATCCCGACAGCGGAGCTTCTGATTGAAAGGGCGGTACGCTCTCCACGGTTTCACCACGGCGTGCAACGAATCCACCGCGCCGTCGAAGACTACAAGCATGGCCGCGACCCGAACGAACCTGTGAGGCCGGGGGAGGCCACAAGAGACCAGGCACTTCCGAAGCGAGATGGCTTCTTCAAGTATTTCACCGAAGAGTTGCGAAACCAGCTCCGCGGGACGCCGACGGAGCATCTACCGCCGAACAAGAACCCCAGGAACAAGAGATGATAAACGAAGGGCAATACAAATCACCCCTCTCTACTCATGAACATTCGAACACGGGTCGACTTGAGCAATCTATTCTGAGGAGGTAGACAGGTGTCAGCACTAGTTATTGTCCGTATAGCATATACGTCGAACAGAATGTCATCGCCGCCGTCGAACGAACAAACATGATCTCGTTTAGAGACCTGTGTTTTCCCACGCACCGTTCGAACGCGGCAGCACGATCAAAATGCCGTACCCATTTGAGACTGTTTTCCGAGCGACCGGGGGGTTTGGTGCAGTGATGACGGTCGCTGGTACATCTGCCAGAGTGCCAGATGTGAAAATACCAACAGATCGGCCAGGATATGCACAAACAGTCATCCTAGCCATCATAGACACGATGGCCAGCTAAACTCGACTGGCTTCTGTATCATGTGTTTCGGTTATTGTCCAGGATCATGGTACTGCACCATCGTTCTTGCTCGATCACATCTGTCAGATGGTTGCGAGCACCGGCAATGGTCCCAGATTGCGCTTTGCATAGCTCGCTTGCTAGGAACTATCTGCCGAAGAAATTGAGGGTGTCAGGTTTGCGTCGCTTGTTTGGTCATGTATGTATTAGATACAGCTCTTGGCTGAATGGTGAACGTGGTGTTCCTGCAAATGACTTCCTTCCTGGACGTTGAAGATGCGCATTGGATCACCCTACCGCTTATCCAGAAGGCGTGATTCAAGTCACGCAAGGGAGCGGTTGCTTCTACCCGCCCTTAGAACTAACATGCCATGTTCTAGACTTTCGATGTAAGGCATGGTGTTTTGGTTACTGGACTTTAGTATATAATCACATCTCCGGATAGGCTCAAATAAACTTTCCGAAAGAATTTGGTTACTCATGATCTCTAAAGTAGTTTGTCTCGCGTGCCCATTTACCAGCCCTAAATAATCTCCTGTGACATAGTGAATCTATGCAGTCTAGCTGAGAGCTCAATTCTCGATTGTATCTATATTCAGTGAAGCCAAGAACCTCGTGTGGAGTTGAAGTCGTTGACCAACTTCAGCGTCCCGCACAGAGACAAACAAGACCAAGTTTAGAGATCCCTTGCGGGCTCAACAAGAGCAAATCTAACAAAACAAATAACATACTTCCATACGAAACCGCATTTTGAATAAGATATATAAGATAGTCCTCACTCAGCTCAATACTGGATTAATAATCCAAAAGTTCACCATCGCCCATCGTTTCAGTTCGAATTCATAATATCCCAGTTCCCGTGCTCTCATTCGTTCAGGACACCACCAAACTACCAAGCGCAATGCTCTTTAACGTTCTTACCACTTGCTTCGGAATGGCTATTGTTGTCTCGTGTCTCATATTAATTTGAGCGTAAACCAATTGAAAGCACACCATTTAACATATCACAGGCACTTCTCCCATCCGACGTCCGAATCGCCACCGAAATCGCAAACGTGGAACCTCGGTACTGGATCAGCCCATGGAAAGTGCGTTTCGCCCATCTCCCCCACTCCTTCAGATCACAGATCAACATGTTCTGCCTGTTTCTGACACCTCTTCCCCGACCGGTTGCCCATGGACTGATTTGCCTCGACGGCACGAGCGGGCCCCTATTCGCCGTCAAGGAAGATATATATGTCATCCGGAGCCGCATCGCTAGGGATGCACTTGGTTCGGGATCACTCCGATCAGCAACAACAGCGGGCGTTGTGTGCGCATGTCGAGCAGCTGGAACGCGGGCATCTACACGTGTAACGACCGGGACGACTTTGCCGTCACTACGTTCGAGTCGCTCGCGCGCTACGCCTAGGTGATTGTCGGTGCTTGACTGGAGAAGACCAACGAAACGTAGGTTCATGGTGAGTGAAAAAGAAGTTGAGCTCTACTTCGTGCTGTGTGAGGGGTGTAAGCTAATGATTTGGCAGGCCAGCAATTTGCTGCTGATTCGCATTGAAATATTGCGATCGAGCCAGACAGATGATGAGTGACTAAGACACGCGGCTGAAGATTCAAGCAGTCAAAAGTCTTTGGATGTCATAGCTTTCAAAGGACGACTTCTCTATATTCCTTCTTCTTGGTGGTCATTATGACAACACCACATCAGGGAAATATTATCGCAAGTGTCTTCCAAACATTAGTTTGTTCCTATCCAATATCATCTAATTTCTTTTATCTTAGTTTCCAACGCAGTCATTGTATCGATGAGTACTTATATGCATGGCTAGATATGGGTCCATAATCAGGTAATCTTTTGTGTCTAGTAATTTAAATACATTATGCATTGCGTAGTCTGAGCGGGCGTAAAAAGGCGAGACCTTTTGTTTCTATCCCGATATAAACATCATTAACCCTATTAAAGGCTTCTTCTCATCATCATTACTCATTATTCCATTTAGGAAGTGGTTATGAACAAGCCGATGGGGCAAGGGTTGTAGTCCTGGAAGAAGTTTAGGCTAGTGTCACCACCGGAGACATCAGCAACCTCAAAGCCGATGGTGGTGCCCGAAGGGCAAGCGAAGGAATATATTTTGTAGGCGTTGCCGGGAGAGACAGTGAACTGGCCGAGGTCAGACGCAACATCAGGTGCGTTGGAGTATGAAGTCGTTTGGGTGGCAGCGTTGCTCAACTTAGAGAAGTCAAGAGCACCAGAGCCGGAGAAGCTGAAGTCAGATGTCTCAAGCGTATCCTTCATAGGGAAGAGGAAAGATAACTGGCAAGTCTTGCCGGACGCGCTGGCAGGAATATCGAAGTTGAAGATGGTGGACTTGGTGGAGCTAATGTCGGCGTTATACTGAGTGCCGCTGGCGGTACTAGGGCTTGATTTGTCTGTGACGATGATCAAAGAGGGCAGGTTGAACTCTCCAGCGTTCTTGACACCGTTGGCAGGGCAAGTATCGGGAATGTCGACTGTACTAGGAGAAGGCACGTAAACACCGCCAGTGGTTGATGGGGTGCTGGCTGGAGTTGTTGAGGCAGCAGGTGTGGAGGACTTCTGGCTCAGAGTCGTGGGGTAAGCTGGGGTACTGGTCTTGACAGACTCAGTGGTCTTGGTTGACTGAGTAGCAACGCTTGACCGAGTAGGAATGGAGTTAGAATAGACCGGGGCACTGCTCTTGACAGAATCAGTAGCCTTGGTTGACTGGGAGTAGATTGGAATAGTCGACTTCGCGGTCGCTGTAGTCTTGGTCGACTGAGTAACAGGAATAGTAGCCTTGGTCGACTGAGTAGCGACAGAAGTGTGGTAAACGGGAACGGTAGTCTTGACAGATTCAGTACTCTTAGAGGACTCAGTAGCTACGGAGGTAGCGTAAACTGGAGCGGTAGACTCAGTCTCCATGGTTGCAGTTTTCATGGTGGACTCGGTAGCAATGGATGTAGAGTAGACCGGAATTGTGACCTGAGTTGAACGAGTAGCAGTAGTCTTGATAGTTGATCCCTGGGTGGTAGTCAGGATAGATGTGTCGTAAACGGGGATGGTTGCCTTAGAGGTTTGAGTGGTAGTAGTAGGGGCAGGTTGCGTCTCAGTCTCGGTCTCTGGGACAGGTACAGGAGCAGAGACAGTCACAGGAGTGCACTGGCTAGCAGGGCCAGTGACAGTAACTACCGAAGTCGAGTAGACAGTCGAGGTGCCAGGAGTAGGTGTCTCAACAGCATGGCAGGATCCAGAAACAGTGACCAAGCTAGTAGAGTAGACAGTTGAGGTGACAGGGGAGGGTGTCTGAACAGCAGTGCAAGATCCGGAAACGGTAGCCACACTAGTATAGTAGACGGTGGAAGGAGTCTGAGTCGGCTGCTCAGGCTTAGGGGTGGTCTCTTGAAGTTTGGTCTGAGACTGGGTTGAGACAGAGTAAGCAGGTGTAGCACCAGCACCAGTTGACTGAACAGAAGGAGTTGCGGGTGCAGAGGAAGAGCCAGCACTGGTTGATTGGGCAGTAGTCCCGGGGATTGTAGGGTAACCCTGGGAAGTACCAGCAGAAGGCTGAGATGCGGTGGCAGACTGGCTGGCCGAGTTGTTACCCTCGGAGCAGTCAGACGGGTAGCATCCAGAAGCAGTCAGGGTGATCTGGGCACAGTTGAGGCCCGTGTCGGGCTTCTGCAGGTAGATGTTAATCTGATCACCTTCACCAGCGTCACACTCGTAGAATTCAGTCTGGCCATTGTACGAGACACTTCCGTCACAACCGATTTCGAAGCCACTGTCGGGCACTTGGTTTACATCACACTGCAGGACAGTGGAAGGTGGAGTCCACCAGCAGCCACGGCCTTGAGAGTCTGTGAGCGATGTGCTCTCAAGCGTGAGTGATACCGCCGACAAGCCACCACCAGCACGAGTTTGACCGCTGCTGATTTGTCCCACGGGATAGCTCAGAGCGCCGCCAGTGGTAAAGGTAAGGGAACAGCCGGCCTCCCGAGTAGCAAGGGCATGGGCACCGCCCATTGCAGCGAAGGTGGCGAGTCTTCCAGACATATTTAGCGAGCCAAGTTATAACGATTGGTGTTTGAAGAATAGCGAATGGTAAATGTACACGGTGACTTGAGAAACAGCCGTGACTGAGATGAATAATTCAGATAAAACCGTCAATCGACAAGGGCGAGACCATTCACTTTATGGTTCTTCACAATCACCCCGGAGGCTGTAGCTGAGAATACATGACGCTCGCATCTTCCCGTCATGCACGACGCCAGATCGTGATGTGCATGTTTAGTGCCTCTATTTCCAAGTTCAGAGAATAGTGCCGGCGACGATCAACGGGAATGTGGGTATAGACGGTGCCGACTGTGCTCCAGATAATACTCCACTTGAGGCTGCTTTAAGTTTGAGGAGTAAGTATTTGCATCTTCGCCACGTAACAAGAACGCCAAGATAGTAGTATTTCTACCAATCACGTATTTCCCGACAACTTGTCATGCAGGAACGTGGAGGACCTAGAAGGACACAAGCCACATTAAGTCGTTGACGGAATACCCACAAATAGCTGCTGCATGGTGTCGATCTACAAAAGCAGCAACTCACTCGGTCAGCTCGGCTGTCTCGTCGGCCGTGTTGAGCTACATAGTTATGCCATGAGATCAGAGATACAGTAGCTCGAGCTCGAGCTACATTTCTTGCACGATTGCTCAATACGAGGCAGTCCTCGATCCAATTATGACCAAATACGGGTGCGGTTAGATATGCCGCGTTGGGCATTTACTGCGCAAGCCAATGTCACCGTGCATGGCTCCCAGTGCTAACGGGAATGACAATGATCTTTGTCCGTCCTGATACATCGTGTGCTTGACAACTGTGCCAAGAGACGTGTATTGATCCTACTCAGTATTTGGACAACTTCAGCCTTGCCTTTGACCCCTGCTCCTGATTTCGCGGGGTGTATCTATGCGTGGCCTGCGTAGCTGCCAAAAGTCCACCCATGAGTATATCTTGTGCTGAAGCATACCAAAACATCGGAACGCGCCACCGGTTCTTAGTCAACCTGCGCCATTGTAGCGATGCTTTCTTTACCAACAACTTGCTGACTGCTGAAACCTGGATCTGCCAGTGGTATGTATAAACTTCCGAGGTGCCGAAGAAGCAAGGCAATCGGCACGCGAGGCTTAGGTTCTGGCCGTTGGAAGCTTACCAGACAGCAAGACATTTTGACGCTTTGCCGTGTGACACGTCATAATTAAGCATGCAAGCAGTAAGTCGAGCTCGTATTGCACTGCCCTAGCAATAACCAGGGAAGAATGCCCTCATCAGGTTTGCGAGTGCGGACCGCCAGAGACGGCTCTCCCGGGTGCTAGAAATGTTGATAAAGCGACTTAGAGCTCGACCGACGTCAAATATTCATACGAAAAAAAAGCTTTCAAAGCCCCTGAGCCCCTCATCTTTACTATACTGATTATGGTTAGACTTACTGAGGCTTTGTCTGGGTCGGGCTGTGGGCCAGCTCCACGTCCCCCCACATTTTCATGTTATCATGCTTGCCATGTTCACGTCAGCTACGTTTCTTGGCTGTCGCTCACAATTGAACTCAGCAATAATTTCATGTCGTTGTATGAGTTTGTTGGCTATAGGAATGGACAAACGCTCATCCGATGTGGGTGCTAGATTTGAGATGAAACCTTCCGGCCTGCGGAAGGACCTCATTGAGCCGATTTTGACGTTAGAGTTGCTGTTCCTGCTGCACGTTGATCGAAAATCCTCAAAATAGCCAAGGCTGAACGATGTCATCTTGATCAGGCATCGAAGCAATACTAAGTTCACTCAATAACCCGCTTGCTGTTCAAAAAAGACGATATTGACTTTCACTACTTGATGGAGGCGTGGCAAGCAAGAACGTTTCTCGTGATACAATAAGCATGCACGTTAGCTCTTCAACAGCGTGGAACAAACTATTGCTGGTTGGCTAAAAAGCAAGATTGACATTGGCCGGCAAGGGCCGGGTCCGATCTGCGACTCTTCGGCAGGGTCACAATAAACTTTTCATATCTTTAGAAGCCGCTGCTCGTTTATGCCAGATTCCGGCATAATCGTCAGACACCCGTTTTCTGCCTGGACAAAAGGCTTTGCCGCCGCAGAACGCAAAAGCAGTCGGAACCGACTTGGCACTGCATGTCTGACTGTCCCCGTTACTTGCGGTGTGGGCGCGGCGGTGGTCTCGATAGGGGATGAGGACTGTACTTTGTAAACTGTGGCTCGTCATAGACTAACCAGCCACTGGAAATATCAGACTGTGAGTCAGATAGCAGTATCACATTTGCCTTTTCGTTCCAATCAATGCCACAGATACATTAGCCCAGCCTTCTCAACGATGAGCGGACATCCCGGCCCGAAACATTCTACACGCAAAAGGCACGACCAGCACCTTGAGGATGATGCGTCGCTGGCTTGAATTGTAGGGATCATTACAAGAATGTCTTTTTGAAGGCTGGTGTGTAAAGTACACTATACAGAGGCTTGGCGGACTTGGTCTTAGCGCATAGAGTCCGCCGCTCTCCGGTGAACCTTCTATATATGGAATTAAAGTTGATGAGATACGGCTCACGGCGCGTACGCTGACACGCTGGCTCTTCTCAAGAAGGCGAATAGTTGTTATTACTAGGCTAACTACGTCTCATGCCTCTAGGATAGTTTAGATCATGTCGTCTTTAACAACGTCAAGCCGGTCAATATCATGAAGCGATTACCCATATCAATTACAAGCACCAGGACTAGGACTCCCAAGATCTTCTGAGCTCCTAGGTGTATGCCCCCAAGCTTTAGGACGTGCCCGCTGCTGAGTTTTCCGCCCTTCTCCTAGTTCAAGGTCAGAGCCGTCTTGAGCAGGTTCTTGATCTCAGGGTCGTTGAGATTCGAGGCTACATGCTTATCCAAATCCTCCTCTTTAATGTCGAACTTAAAACAGCGGCGAGTACTGTAGCCTTGCGTCTACCACGAATGGTGATGGAGTGAGAATCCCACTTTGTGTTGCAGAACGCGGTGAATCTCTTGACCTTGCGATGAACTACGTCAAAGTTTGCGATGCGGTTCATAAGCTCTGCCTGCTCGGTGAGGATCTCGTCGTGCTCAGACCAGCGAAGGTCTTCGGGAGCGACGTTTGTATCGGCATAGAGAATTTTGGCGCGCGAGGCAGATGATCTGCGTACACTCGCTCTACATGCATGGTGGGTTCATAAACTCTCTTATTCGACGAATGCAAGGGTGACGATGAGAGATGAACCTATCAAGGCAACGGCTGCCGGTTAATAAGAAAGCTGAAGTACATTGTCCTGTTCTGTCTGTTTCAAGGACTGACTAGTTTGGAGGCGGTGAAATCTGACTCAATTTTAGGGAATCTGGCCGATAGATTAGAAGTTATGCAGGTTTAGGAAGAATATCAGGGCTAAAATCTATCCTATATGTTCGGAACGGTGATCAGGCATCGCCATGGTTGGACAAAAGGAGCATAGGTACCTGAGGCTACAGTACTGGATATCAGACCATGCATGTCTTTTCGAACGGGACGAAAAGTAATTCGTTCGCTATGCAAGTTCCCGGGCAACAATTACCGCTCTGGGCATCAAGACTAGGCATGATTCCTTATTCTTCTAATGAGAAATAACAAACAAGCAGCAAGAGCACCAATCTTGGTAACATAGCCAGCATAATTGCGGTTCTGCCTTAGTTAGGTAGCTACCATGGTGATTGTCCGTCGCTGGATATCATGCTTTGTAGGCTGACTCCTCATTCGGAATGCTGTACTTCTGCATCTGCTTTGTACAGTTGCACTTCACGATGACGCAAACCAAGCCTGTTATATCACGCTGAAGCAAACGGACCGAAGACAGCTGAATGGCTTTGCAGAAAGCCTTTTCAAATCATATGGTGGTCTAGGCATATATGCAACTAGCTATATACAAACTCATGGTATCATAATAACCCCTATCCTGATCCTCTTCTGTACCTCCTCATGTGATAGGCAGGTATCCCTGATCGTTCCAATTCGACCCATCATAATACACTTCTCTGACCTTGTTGTTGACCTGGAAGTAACACCTGTTCATGTTCTGATTGCTCGTGATCTCAACACCCGCCCCATCCCATGCCGCAGGGGTCAGACACGTGATGTCTGTGCCATTGTCGGCGTTGTCGAAAGCAGAGTATGTTGAGGGGCCCTTCCACCCCGAGGTGTCGTCCTGCCAGACGACCTGGACGGTGCCGCTATCATCTTGATACAGGAGGTATGTGTTGGTCTGATTATTGGAGTCGTTGGGACGGGCGACTGCGAACCCGCCGATGGCTGTGTCACTTGGGATAGATTCTGAAAGGTCGGCTGTAGAAGCGATTAGTCTCGGTTTCCCAAACATATCAGAGCATGCATATCTCACCAGTTCCCCACGCCTCTCCTGTGGCATTGTTGTTCGTGTCCGTCAGATATGTCCGCATCTTGCCATCGCTCCTGCGATACGCAAACCCGCCTTTGTCGAGATACCACGCTGACGCCGGCAGGACCACCATAGCCGCGCTTGCGGACCCAATGAGGTCGAGTGTGCTGTTGGTCCACCAGTTCCCCGCACTGCCCCAGTAGCGAATCCACCGAAATGCTCCATCGGAGTCCTGCGACACGATGAACGGCCAGTATGCCGCGAGCCGGGAAGTCGGCGGTATGGTGATGGGGTAATCGTTCAGTTCCAGACGGGAACCTTGCTCAGCGGCGCCCTGCTTATCTACGAACCCGTGTCCCCGAAGGATAGAATCCCGGTCAAGGTAGTACAACTTGTACTGGTTTTGCTGAGACGGACTTGATTAGCGACCATACTTGCAGAACCGCAGAGTTTCCAGCATTTCGACTTACTGTAGAACTCTGGACGGAATCCGAAGCAGCAAGAGGTGTATCATCGCCCGCAGCATACTCCAAGCCGGTCAAGCTAATCGGATCAGACCACGACGACTCGTTGCTGGCATAAGTCGACATGCGCAGCCTCTGGTCCTGCCCCTGATAGAATAAGCGAATTCGATAAACGCTCCCGTCTCTCCACCCGCTGACCGCCAATCTCGAAGAAGAACGGATATTCGTCAACGTCGAGTTCGTCGTCGAATTACCGCTGGCGCCGGAGACATCGCTGCTCGTACTCGACTTGGCCGCCCGACTACCTAACACTCCACCAAGCACGGCGCCTAGTACCACCAGTATCGCAACGGCACCGACCACTATCCATGAGAATTTCCTGGTCTTCTTTGGCTGCGGCATCTGGATCGCTTCCATGGACGGGCTATAGTACAATTGGTCATCATAGTTTTGTCCAACCTGCCCCTCACCATTATGGTGCGTCCCCGGTTTTGATACGGGCGCGATGCTATGGTTGGGCGTATAGGGTAGCTTCAGATCGTCCTGATACGGATATACGGCCTGGAGGCCCTCAGACGCGTTCGTCGGTGTGTACCGCGTGTCTACCTCAAGACCAGACGGATAATTAACCTCGAGGCCGGGCTGTTGATGGTCGATACCGTCTGCGGTGTGGTGGGTTGTCGCCGTTCCCTCATGACCGGTCATCTTGGTGTACGCGCCACTTATGCCTGTGTTGCCGCCTCACGAGGAAATCAACGTTATCGAGAAAAACACCAAGCAATGACTACGAAAGGAGAAGTTTGGAGTTGCGAGCTCCATGTTAGCTCATGAGGATCAACCCTGTTCGTTACCAATTCGCGCCGTCGACATTCCGTGAAGAGGATCTGCATCCTTAAACTGTACAGGGGAGCTAGCGATGGGTATTGGACCTGTCCAAGAAAGGGCCAAGGACACACAAGCCGCTAATATTCTGCTGGCAGCCAATAGTGAGTTGTCGTCTTCTTTGAATCCCGGGAATTATGGGCTCTTTGATTTTATGCGTCGCAAAACAGAAGCCATTCATGCCTGTACGATTTTGGTTTAGCGGAGGCCCTTGATCCTTCGAGGCGCAGAAACCCACACCATCTGCGGCCGCTAGACTGCCAGACTGGCAGCACTGGCTCCTGTCATTACTACTTGTGTGTATGCAATGCCATTGCAGTATCTCCTTGGTATCCAAACATGCTTTCTCCTTGTAGGTAGGGAGGTCATTCAAGTCCGTGTCATAGCTTGCCATCTGTGTGAACTCATCCCAAGTAAGTTCGAACTGGAAACCAATAATCGTCGCTAGAGCAAGACAGTCTTATAGCTTTAGAGTATTCTCAAAATGCGATTTAGACCCTCCAAAGCCAACATGGTTATTATGTACCGCGCGCTAGTGCATATATAAATAGATAAATTATGGGCCTCTACCAGCGCTGAATTGGGAGATGCCGTTGGTTCCTTGACTTTGATTTTCAAATGCTGGCTCTGCCATTTGGTATCAATCAACACACTCATACATACAGGCAATTATAATGTACGGTGGTTTTAATAATCTCGCAGAAGTGTTTCCATATTGTCTCGAGAGTGCTATCGTTGTTTCACTTCGCAGGGATGGACGCCCAGCCTTTACAGATGATTATTAGTCTAGAGCTTGCCGGATTTAATCAGAATGATGCCATGATCGCGTGGTGGCAACGGCGAGATGGACATCAACCTGCAAAAGTCCTCTCTACCTGGATAGGAGTATATTAGCCGCCATTGTCATTCCTGCCGATTGCAACATTGTGTTATCTTGCCCTAGTGATGTAGAATACTGTTCAAACATTGTGGAGGCCCTTGGTCCGATAATATAGGCAAATGATATGATCTTGGTCTTGCACAAATGGGATTCTGTGACCATATCTCTAAATTGTGAACATGAAGCACACTGCAGACGTAAATAACAGTGCATTGAACATTCTTTGTCATTTCGGACCTGTCAGGCCAAACACTACACCCGCAACAAAAATTCAGTATTGCTGCAGCATGAAATGCGCTGCTGCCACTCAACGCCGTAGTTCCTAAAGAGCTAATCCATACAAAAGTTGTGATACGGCCAAAAAACAAAAATCATTCAAGAAGTTGAAAAGTCTTCCTTCACCCTTTTGATATCGGTAATAGTCACACGCTAAGCCTTGGACTCCTTGTACTCCTCGTCATGATATTCTTCATGATGACCGCTACCGCCCTTGCTGAACAACACCGAAAACTTGTGCTTGGCCGCCCTGATGGGACTACGCACAAAAGAGGAAGACGAGGGAGGAGAATGAGTATGGCTCTGCTATTCCCCACCCTTCCTCCTGACCCTGACGAGCTCGGCCACCAGTTCGTCCTTCTGTCGCTCTCCCTCTGCTATTCTCTGCCTAGCTGCAGCACGATCCATGTTGCGTGCCTCACGTTCTTGTTTAAGCTTATATTCGAGCTCTCTCAGTCTAAACATCCACTTCGTGTCCGCCTCTCCATTAGATGCAACCCGTTCTAATTCGGCAGGGTTCATCTGTGTATGAGCCGTATGAGTTGAGGAGCTCCGGCTTAGTGTATTGGTCCGTGACTTGACGCTAGCCGAGGCAGAAGATGGCGTTGCCTCGAGATGCGTGGTGGAAGTCTTGCTTCTTGGCATGCTGACCTTTCGTTCTGTCGTACTTTCATTGTCGCCGTGCTTTTTGCGTATGGGCCCTGTTGGGACGTTGGGCGAAGGACTACCGTACTCTTCTCCCTCTTCTTTGTTCCCCTGCCAATCGAAGTAGCCACCGACAGCCCTGGTCTTAGCATCGTTGGCTCTCATCAGGGTGGCATTCTCGATCTTCAACGCGCGGACTGCGGCTTCAAGATGGGATATCTTAGCTGTTGTGTTGAAATCGCCTGTAGCAACACCGTGTCGTACGAGAGCCTCAAGGCGATCAAGCTTCTTGGTGCGCACATCCAAATTCTCCTCCAAGGACTGGTATTCCTTCCAAAGATCCTTTTCGACAGACTTGATGCGAGTTTGATAGCCACCAAGTATGGATTCAATGGCTTTCACCGCTGCGAGAAGGTTTTTGCTGAAGCCAGGTAGCATGGTTGCGACGGCCTCGAGACTAGGAAGAGCCCGACCGTTAATCAGGCTGTTACCATGAGCCCAGTCGGACCCACAAAGCGCCGAGAGTCTTGTCCACAGAATCAGCAAAAGATTGTTGCGTTCTGCCAGCTGGTCTTTGAAGTTGGTTTCAAGTTGAGCCAGCTTCTTCTTGTCGGCAGCACGCGTGGTTTCCAGCTCAATGATACGAATATCCTGGCTGGTGACTGTACGGGAAACATGTGAATGCGTGCGCTGAAATGTATCAAAGGAGCTCTTCGTGTTGCGGTGGGCCAAGCGCTCCTTGTCGAGCGATTCGGCGAGCTTCCTGCTCTCGAGGCCATGCGACTCAAGCAGTGCATCACGCTGCTTGATAATACGATCCTTCTCCAACAAGGCCGTCTTGGTTGTATCGAGCTCTCGGACGGTATTCTCTAGTTCGCGCTGCAGCTTAGCAATTGATTTGAGCAGGCTAGACCTGGTACCGTTGAGATCACCCAGAGCTTCGCGCAAATTATTTTCTAGCTCCATAAGCCTCTCCTTCCATTCAGTAGCCTCAACCTCACGACTCGTCAGATTCTTACGTAGACGGCGTGATTCGTCTTTGGAAGTTGTCAACTCCCGGTTAAGCTCATTGACGAACTGCTGCACGTCCTCCTTTTCGCGAGTGGCGATGATCTCGCGCTGGCGGCGTTCCTTAACGAGTCGCTGATCGAGGTCCTTAGCACGATCGCGCTCCTCTCGCAAGCTTTGCTCAGCATTCGCAAAGGCAGCTTCCAGGTCACCAATGCGGATTTTGTCGGCCTCTTGTTCCTCACGCAAGAAAGCAATCTCTCCCTGGCTAGATTCTTGTTGGACACCAAGACGACTGGCCTTGTCGTTGGACTCAAGTAACTTGGCTTCCAGTTCTTCCAACTCCTTGTTGTTGTCTACCTGTTCCACTTCAAGCTCCTCGATACGACGATGCTTGTGCTCCTGGTCATCTTCTAGTCGGATCAGTGCTTCACTCATCCTGCGCATCTCTTCCTGCAGAGCGTTGAAGTTCTCAGTTCGATCCTGTACTTCAATATGGAGGCGCTGAATCTCATCGTTGCGTTGATCAGCTTCTCCCTCGAGTGCATCAATCTCTTCTTGGGCTTCCCTGCGAAGTACCTCGAACTCACTCTCCAACTGAGAATGGTCCTGAAGCGCTTCGTCCCGCTCAGTCTGAAGAGCCATGAGGTCAGTCAACGCACCATCGAGCTCGTTTTGTAGCTCCAGCGCAGATTCCTCGGCTTCTCGCTTGGCCTCGACCGCAACCTCAAAGTCCTCCATGCAAGTCTCCAGTTCGCGCTGCAACTCTTGGTTCTGCAGCTTGAGCTCGCTGATCTTGTCGCGGTGTTCTGCCAGTCTGTTCTCAAGTTCCTCTCGCGCGGGGTCGTCCATAGCCATGGTGAGTCGAGTTCGGGCACTACCTCTCGACTGTGATCTCTCATGAGCACCGGCTCGGGATGCAGAGCGATCGAGAAGAGTGTCGATGGTTGATGGAGCGCCCACACGTCGGTGTGCCAACTTCAAGTCCTCGATTTCCTGGTAAAGTCTCTCCTTTTCACGATTTCGTGACGTGAGCATTGATGTTTGTGCGCCCACCTCTCTCCTCAACTCTGCATTCTCATGACGTAGTTGTTCGCTTTCGCGGCGAAGGTCTTCTACCAACGTGCTCGACTGACTAAGCGAACCGGCCTGGTCCATGTCTCCCCCTGACATGCCGGACATCGGCCGTGACCTCGTGGGCGATCCAGCCTTTGTTTTCCGCGTAATGTTGTAAATGTTGGTGGTATGGTGCATGCCTGCGCCGCCACTTACAGCGCTTCCTGACGTTGTCGCTGTCATGTTTAGTTCTTGCTTCAGGCGGAAGATATCGTCGCGCAGTCGTCGATTATCATCGTCAGCCTGCTCTCGGCGGGCAGTCTCCTGCTCCAACAAGTCCTTGAAGACGTCTGCCTCTTCTTGCCGACCCAGACTGTCTCCAACTCTCTCGCCAGCCCGATCTCCCATGGTCTTGACCGCCTCGGCCAACTTCCTCTTCTCTGCTTCGTGTGCCATATTCTCGCTCTTCAGGTGCTCGATCTCTGTGATGTATTCTTCGACACGCTCGCGCAGGTATAGGAGTTCCTCCTCACGCTCTTGAGCTTCTTCGTCCCACGCCGACCCTGTTTGGCCGTCGGACGAGTATCCGCTTCTAGCTGTACTCGGCCTGGTGTCTTCATCTTCGCGCAGCCTCTTCTCGAGCTCCTTGACTCTCTTCCGCAAGATTTTGTTGTCGCGCTGTATGACCGCTAGCGAAGTCTTAAGTTCGACGTTCTCCGAGATCATCTCCTTAATACCTTCTTCGGAGAGCTTGTCTAGACGATCCGACAAGAACATGACCTTGAGCTTCAAATCGAAATTCTCCTTGGACAGACGTTCAATGGTGCTAGATTGTTCCTTGAGCGTCAGGTTTCTGCCGTGCTTAGCAGCAGTGCCTGGCGCAGGTGTGTATTCGGCGGAGATCTTGCGGAAAGGATTCGAGGGAGTTTCAAGTCGGCCTTTGGTCTTATATTCGCGGGCCACGGATTCGGGGACCTCAACATTGCGAACATGCCTGGCGATCACCGTATCTGTCGGTGCGAGAAGCCCATTACTCTTCCTCGGCCTAGGTGTTGTCAAGTTGTCCTCGTTTCCATTTATGTTGAAAGACCTGCCCGGTGACAATTCGTTCTCCTCGAGAGGTTCTAGGGGCTCGAGGGACCTGTTCGAATCCGGAAAGTCGTCAATGCCAGATGCCATGCTGCCCATACTTATTGAGCGCAGGAGTACGTTTGTGCTAATACTTCGCTGCATGCCTCCCGCTAGTACTGCGCCGCCGCCAGACTGTATCGCATAATCTGCATCGACACCAATCGTGACATCGCTATGACCGTCGTCGTTGGAGACAAAGGAAGAGGTAGATGACCGCTGACTGGCGTTTCTACTGCGCAAATACTTGGGTCGTTCGCTGAAACGTAGAGCATTCCCAGGTGTATGCCCTGCATGGAGGAAGGGTTTCTGTAGGTCCAGCTCCGAGCTTTCCTGTTGGACAGTTGGCGCCCCAGCTGCGAGAGATCGATCTTCAGCTGGTGGAATCTCCAACATCGAGCTCTCATGTGATATCGAAGGGTCGGCATCGCTTGTGCCATGATCATCGGTCAAGCCAGGATCATGACTGGTCATTGAAATGGCTCTGGAAATGGTTCGAGCAGCAGCGGCGGTAGTTGGAGAAGAGGACAGGTTCTCGAGAGAAGCGGTCGTGTTGGTAGCTTCGGCATCGGTGCCAGGAAAGGAATCGTCGGCATGAGCTTCGGATACTGATGAATGTGGTCTTCGGGTGATCGAGGATTTGGGTGTCGTACTTTCAGGCAGCCCAGGTTCTGATTCTGGTGCAGGTGCAGTCTCCATCGTGGCGTCCTCGTTATCTTCGTTGCTGTCCTCAGCATGGGACGGCTCGGCATCTTCAGGTATGTCTGGTCGCGAGGCCTCTGCCACTGCCAATGGCTCTGTCTCTGCCGCTATGGGTTCTGGCGAAGCACGGGTAGCGGGATGATTTGCCGCCGAGGATGACATTGGGCGCTGTGCGTCGTGTGTTGCACGGGCGCTTGATATCGAAAGCCGATCTTGTTGCGGCTCCGCCTCTACCTCGGGATCGCGATCTACTACATTCTGATACCTACTGCTTGGACGCGCTCCTTCTAAAGGTGGATGTGGACTTGGGCTAGGACTCGGTGGGAGCGGGTTTTTGGCAGCAGCATTGGCGTCGAACATGTATGTATCGTCAATTCCGCCTTCGGGTCCTGCCACTCGTATGGGGGATATGGGCGGTACGAAGCTGGATTCAAAATCTTGGAGGAGGTGTGCTCGAAGGTGCCGTTCCTCGGTCATGGAGTCGGCATGCATATCCATATGCGCGTCTACCGAATCTTCAACATAGCTATCATCATGTTGTGGGGGAGCATTTTGCTTGTTGTCGAGCGCGTCTGAAGAGGAATGGGCCTCAAGGTGGCTCGCGTCTTCATCCATAGGTTCGATACGTGATTGTCATGCCATTTGGCAGCAATTCTTGTTTGGGAATAATATGCTCTCAACAAGGGTCTGTTTTTGGTGCAGAAGCAACCGCGTCGGCTTCAGTGAATGATCAGTGACCGGGTTGGCAAATAAATAATCAGCTACCAAAGATTGTCCTTGAAGGCAGATCAGTCAAGGTGGTGCGCAGCAGTTGGGGGTGCTTGCAACTCGGGCTGGTATTCTTAGAAAAGGGAATGAAGCGTATTCAAGAAATTTGTTCATACATCATCGGTGTAGTTGCAGTTCTTTTGGAGCAGATCACGAAATGCATTTCGAAAACAACATTCGACCTTTGGGAACAAGCTTGAATTTTGGCATGTCCTGTCCCTGGACAAGTACCTAACCTACTGTACTGTTAAGGGTAGTTGCTTTGTTGAGTGCTGAAGTCAAGCTGAGGGCAAGCTTGGGCCGCTATAATTGCAGCACGTAAGATAACAAGCTCTGAAATGTCAAATGCGGGTTCAAACCAATGAAAGAATTCTCAACCAACATTGGCTTGAACCCTCTTGTTCATGTTGTTGTTTCTGTTTGGATCATGCTTGTATGAGCTGGTCGTTAAGTTCCCCAACCACCAAATAACTTATTGGGTTACCATAATCCACCACGCTGTGATGACGCGCTTTGGTTTTTTATCCTTTGTTGACCTGAGTGGTTGGCTTGGTCTATTAAGCTGGCGCCACGTTCCGAGTCCCTCGCCTCATAGGGCGAGACATTGGCAGGACAGCGCGTTGGAGATCCGCTAAGACCTTGTGCCGAGCCCTGCTGCCCTGCTGTACGACGAAAGACTGCATGCGCTGTAGCGTTACAAAGTAGTTAATCCGTAAACTTTTGAAGAAAAAAAAACCGACCGAGAAAGAAAGAATCTCAGCCATCAAGCCACCCAAAATATTGACGCTTGGTATCAATAGGGGGCTGGGTTTTTGTTTCATTTCATTTTGTTCTTTTTAATTGGCTCTCCGAAGATACAGTCACCAAGAGGCCGATGAATACATCACTTAAGCACCATTTTCCGAAGCTCTCAAATAACCATAGAACAAACCACTTTGCGATTATGGAAAAAGCCCTAGTCTAGACCAACCTTGTCCGAGTATACCCAGCAGTGCCCAAGTATGGCTGGTATTAGTGATTGCATCCCCTACATGGTTTGACTACGCATGTGGCGGCAGGATGACTCAATTGACCTTAGCCAGCATCACTCCTCGGCTATTTACATAGACAGTGCATCCATTAAACTACGGCAGTTAAAGCCTGAGTTCCTCGCAGTTCGCGATCCAAGTCATGAGGATCGCTGTCGCAAGCGTCATCGCCCTGTCCCCAGATTTATAGAAGGATGGCGGCCACGTCAGCCGGCGTCCTAAAACAGCACGCCGACGATCTTAGTCTTAAACACTGTGTAAGAACTGCACACTCGTCGAAAGAGTCTTACAATCTGCGGAGCTCGGAAGGAACCCGGGGGTCATTGTTAAAGAGTATGGACATAAATAGACCCTAATGCTCTACTCCGTGCATGTTTGGCGATTCTTGGTATCACCACAATATATTCATTCCGTTCTCTACCCTTGACTATGACCTCCAAGAAACCGCATATTCTTATTGTCGGCGCTGGGCTTGGTGGGTTAACCCTTGCCCAAGGTCTTCGCAGGAATGGCATCAGTTATGAGATATTCGAACGCGATGACGGCCCAGATGCCCGACGACAAGGTTGGGCCATTGGGCTACACAGGTGCGCATGGGATCCGAGAGGAGAGCGTCGTACCAATGACTGATTCTTTGCCAGTGTCCTCGAGGAATTGCAAACAGGTGTCCCAGATGATCTGCCCTCTGTTGTGTCAAATGTCAACCATTTACAGCCGTTGAAGCTACCGCCCCAGTTCGTCATGCATGTGAGCGGTAGCCGCCTCGGTGTTACTGGTGGACCAGATACGTTCGTACTCCGAGCCAGTCGGCAGCGCTTGCGCAAGTGGCTCTCCACCAACACTTCTATTACATATGGCAAGCAAGCAGTCAGAATCGAGGAGACAAAGGATGCTGTCACCGTACAGTTTCAAGACGGTAGCTCCGCTTCGGGAGATCTCATGGTCGGCGCTGATGGGATAAACAGCCGCGGTATGTCCAATCGTTAGGGTGTTCAGTACACCGCCGCGCTGACCAGATATAGTCCGAGAATATCTACTCGCTTGCGACAACGAAAAAACCCTAAAGACCCACCCCTTCGCAGTTGTTGTGGGCGAAACAACCGTCTCCGGTGCCGAGTTCGAGCGGCAGCTAGTCCTTGCTCATAGCGCCTACTTGGCCGTCTCCGACGATAGAACTCTGTCCATCTTCGTTGGGCTCGACAAGGTCTCGGAAGACGGTAAAACAGGAAGTTATTACTGGTTCTTCATGATCCCCGACGAGGATACGGACAAACCTGACCATTGGACAAAGCATGCTTCGCAAGCAGAGCGACTTGAGAGAGTGTCTCAGTGCGCGAAAGCGTTCGATGACCGTTTCACAGAAATTTTAAAGCTTACGCCAGCCGAGGGCGTTCGCACTGATGCATTTTCGTTCCGAGACGCCGAGATTGACGAACAGGAGCTGGTTTCTAGCAGTCGCGTGACCCTGTTGGGAGATGCAGCTCATCCTATGGCTCCATGTAAGTTGGTCTAGGCTACCGATAAACCGCGCCGAAATTCGTGGCTGATCAATCCAGTCCGCGGTGAAGGAGGTGTACATACCATCCGCGATGGTCTAAACCTGGCTGCGTGTATAGCCAAAACCTGCAATGGGGGATACCCAACCATTAACGAAGCAATGAAGCGTTACCAACAGGAGATGATCACCCGTGGATCTGAAGCCGTGCGACAGTCGAGAGGCCAAATCCGCAGAGACCGCCAAGAGAACGAGCCATGGATGGTTTGGGGCCACCCGGCCAGACCTACACCAGAGGAATCTCTGAAACTGGAAGATTGTTCGTAGAGTTCGGCTTCAAAAAGAACCCCTTAATAATGGATACGGCTTGCCGATCTTCCGTTGAGCCTCTAGCTGCAGTATGTGCCTCTGTGCCAAATTATGTATGCATTGAGCTACATGACTCAGGGATCAGGTTAGCCTGGTTAGGTGAAGTTACTCTGCCCCATTCTGTGCGCAAGTTGGGAAATTTATATTCTTGCATCGATTGGGCTTCGGGTCATACAATTCCGTGTTGAGCCTGGATACCATGCATGGAAGACTTAAGTCTACGAGCATAATACAGACGTGGCGTTGGTTGCGCAATCATAGTGGCGGATGTGCTGTGCAGGCTGCAGCTCGTGCCAGGTAACTTACTCCGTACCTGGAAAATGGGAAAATGTGAAGCTTGTTACTCTTGAACCCTGCCGCGCTGGAAGAGCCCAGGGAGTAATCCTCGGTTGATAGTTCAAGTACGCAACTTGACACATGTTCTCTGCATGCGGTAATTGACGTGACATGCGCACCTGGAACTTTCCATACTGAGGCTGGTCAGATTTGTCGGTTGCCCTTGCATCACATAATCTGACGTCGCCAGTGGCTGAGTAGGTGATTATGACCACACAGCCACAAAATGGAGGCTTGTCAATCAGGGTTCGTCTCTGACAGCTGACTTCGCCTTTATCTGCTACGGATTCACGGCAAGCAAAGCGGAGTTCGAATACATATGTATCCACCTGTTCTCAACAACACCCATTCCTTTTAAACTCATCATACCTACATTCGAGCCAAGAACAACCTTATCGTCTACTTTGTTTCTTGATCTCATTGACTCATCAATTGTTAGGAGCTAGACCTAGAAATCACTGCACATACTCCTTACCGCACGTCTATTCGCGCATCCAGGACAACCATCCCACCATGTCAGCAGGAGATTACTACGGCGGAGGTGGCGGAGGACAGAACTACGGTTATAACCAACAACAAGGTTACTCCCAAGGTCAACATGGTGGACAATCACCCTACCCACCTCAGAACCAATATGCCCCTCAGCAGGGCGGCAATGGTTACGGCTCTCCCGCACCTCAAGGTCATCATTACGGTGGCGGCCCACCTCAAGATCAGCAAGGTTACAGCGGCCATAGTACTCAACCAAGCTATGGACAACCGCCACCACAGCAGCACGGCGGCGGCTACGGTCAACCCTATGGCCAACCCGCCCATGGCTACCAGAGCCCGCCCCCTCATCAGCAATATGGCCAGGGTGGCTCACCGCCGGGCGCATATCCTCAAGGAGGTCATTCCCAGGATTACAGCCAGCAAGGCCATCAGCAACAGCAATACAGTCAAGGCCATCAGCAACAGCAGTACGGTCAAGGCCAACATCAGCCCCAGTACGGACAGGGCGCTGCTGGCCAAACCCCACAAGAGGGCGAGAGGGGCATACTAGGCGCTCTAGGAGGTGCGGTGGCTGGCGGCACAGCTGGTGCAATGGCCGGGCATGGAATCCTCGGAGCTCTTGGTGGAGCGTTTGCTGGGCACAAGTTGGAAGATAGTTTCAAGAAGGACAAGAAGAAGAAGAAGTCCAAGCATGACAAGCATCACAAGCGTCGCGGCAGTGGATCCAGCTCGTCCTCCTCGGATTAGAGGTTAGTTTAGTTTGAACATATGCCCGTTGATTGAGTTTGTGCAGGATGTTCTCCTAATTCAATGCTCCTTATTCTATTCGCTTTGTGGTCTGACGTTCTTCTTCTTGGCATGCACCGTGCTGAATTTGAATTGAGCCCAAGAGCTGCCGACAGCAAGTATGGGCAAATAGATGCGGTCACATCATTGTAGTTACTGTTCCTAAACTTTTCACTTATCATGTGCAACAATGCATGAATCGCACATGCATCAAAACTGTAGCCTCTTATCGCCCGAATCAAGCACAGCCTCAATTGATTGAGCCTACCTAATTACATGTCCAGCATAGTAAGCATGACATCTTCCTCGATGCTAAGCTAGTAGAATATATGTGGATCATGACCGTGTCCGTTGTCCGACCTTCAGCATGGTAGATACTCAAAGGCCAAGACAACACAACGTCAACACCTGTCGCCCTGTCCAAGCATGATCGTCCGTTCATCTAGCCAGTCTAATATCCACGCCATTGTTTCTGTTCTTTGTTAGTGTGAAAGTCCCTCTCGTGCTTGTTGTCGGTGTCCGTCTTACAATTTCTCCCGCAGTCCCCCGTATGGCTTCGCGATCTTCCACGGTCAATGATACTCCAAAGTATCTTTCCAAAGCGTTGATTCTTTCCTGATCGTTCGCGAATGTTTGTTCCAGAATATTTCGTCCATCTCGCCTCCATTTAAGCTTGTTATGATCTATTATCAACGCACCATCAATCTCGTCGCTCGGGCCGGAATTCAGAGCCTTCTCGACCGGTTTAAGATCTCCGTCATCTTGTACCTCGCGCTTCGTCGTGAACCGGGTTACGACGATCTTCTGCGTAAACCATGAGGTGACGCTTTTGGAGGGTGAGAGGTTCATGCCGCGGATGTCCTCAAGGATGAACTCGAAATCAACAAAACAGTACATCGGAACCCAATCGGACTCGGCATTGATCTTGTGCTGATAAATCCAAACCTTGCTGTCCTGATTCACATTCTGCACAATTGGCTCGCGGACCAGCCTTACCCTCGCAGGTGTAACATGCACATGCTCCTGGCCCAGTTGCAGCGGTACTGCAAACAGAGGACCGTTGGCTCCGAAGCCCACGTCAACGAAGTACCGAACGCCGCCGATGTTGACGATGTTGACGCAATGCGAAAACCCGCCGTACACCTTGCGCTCGGGCGAGTAGACCCTGGCCCCCGCCATGAAGACATCGTAGCCTAGCGACAGCAGTAATATGTGGAAGAGCGAGTTGACCTCCATGCAGTACCCGCCGCGTCCGTTGTTGTACGTGACGATCTTGCTGAAGAGATGTCGGATGCTGACGTCGATGACGCGGTGCCATGAGTAGTGCAGCGTCAAGTTCTCAAAGGGGACGGTGACGAGATGGTGTTTCTTCAGAAGGTCCAGATACATGAGTTTGTCCACATCCGAAAGTGATGTTACAGAGAAATGGCGCTTGTCTTCTGGTAGTGCGATACGGTTATAATAAGACTGTATCTGTGACTCGTCAAATCGCATGCGGTCCGCCATTTTGAGTATTGACTATAAAAACTGGTCACGTGGATGGTATACATCAATTTGAAGATTGTGATTGAGTTTGCGAAAGATATAGTAGAGCTGCCAATTTCCGCCTAAATTTCCGAGGCTAGCGAATACGTCAAAGATCTTTCTGCACAACAGCGGCTGCACAACAGATATAGCTGATCATGACGTCAGGACGGTTTATCTAAACAAATAGTGCACATTTCAGCTCCTCGACACATTGATGCAATTCATACAGCTGGACTGCAGCAGAATGTGTCACTGCATACCCATCGGAAGCTGATCTTCTCCCGTGCAATGATCCAACTTGTCCCACAACTGTTCCGTACGAGCTGTAGATCTGATGTATGGCACGTGATATCTATCAAATGTTTAACCTTCAAAGTTGGCGATTCAATATTCAGAATTCAAGTGTTGCAGTTGGGCTGAATTGGAAAGTTGTGAGCCGAAACTTTGGGGCTGTTAGTGGGGTTTGCTGGTTGTTACTTCCCAATTCTTTTGCTGCACAAACAGCTTGCAGCAACACGCAGCGCTCTGAAGGCCCGATATGATATCTGACAACTTTCTCATACGAGACTATCTTTTGTCATGCAAGGATTGTCATCAGATATTTTAGACACTAACCATTGCGGCCAATCATGTTGCCAAAACAGGCCATATGACACCGCGTTTCTGTAAGCTGTGCCAGTTTTGCCAGCCTTTCTAGAACTCCCAAGCATTGAGCAGCACTAGAAATCATCACCACACCTAAGCTCGCGATATTGAATAATCAACTCGAACACCTCGACGTCAACAAGAAGTTTGGCAATAAGCTAGAGGGCCGTCGGCATATGCATGGGCGGGTAAGAGCAACAACGACAATCCAGCCGCTGCGGGCGGAATATTCCATATCTCAGTTACGGCCAGCTCAATTCAGCCAGTAACTGCCATGTCGCCAAACAACTCTACCACTGTCTCGGCCAACAGCAGCCAGGAGCATCCTGCTTCAATAAAAGGTCAGTCTAGTCCAAGAAACATGCACAAACACAAATGTCATAGAGTCGCATGCATCACTACTAGTCTCGATGTGATAGCCAATATTATCCCATGATACACTGCCAGCTTTCCCCACAAAGACCGTACCAAATCCAGTAGCCTACGATGCCATTCACTGTTACGTCAATGGAAGTCTACTGAGGATCAAGATAGGCTAACTTCTGGCAGATTTTCCATGGTCATCAAAGCCACTTGTTTTCCTGGATAGCCCAGACTACCCTATTGTGGACGGCTGCCATGTCAGTGGCTACAAGCAGCACGGCACAAACCAGTATAGTTTGTTCACCCTGCCGGACCAAGAAAGGCTATTCCAAGCGCTCCAGCTCAGGTGCCACTCAATGCGCAGACTGACGCAGAAGAAGTTCCTCATAGCAGAGAACTTCTCATCCTGGCCTGACCTCCACCTTCCAGACGGTATCAACTTGAGGGATATCGCCATGACTCCAGCATCATCACATCGATGTCCCCGCCAAGTTGTGGCTATTGATTGTGAAATGGTTGCCGTTGGGTCTGGCAGGTTTGAAGGGGGTAAAGAGAAGGAGAGAAACGAGCTTGCACAGTTATGCGCCGTAGACGTCTTGACGGGTGTGGTTCTGATCGACAAATTGGTCCTGCCCAGAGAAAAGGTCCTCAACTGGAACACACGATATAGCGGGGTCTCATATCCCAAGATTTGCGCTGCTAGAGAGAGTGGCAGGCTCTTAAGAGGCTGGCAGGCTGCCCGAGCGGAGCTCCTCAGCTTCATCGACGTGAACACGATCATCGTCGGGCATGCTGTGGAGAACGACCTACACATCCTACGCATTGCTCATAGCAAGATTGTGGACACGAGCATACAGACAGCTGAGGCCGTATACGGCGATACGGAGAGACTGGGCAGGACTTGGGGATTGAAGGAGCTGGCCAAGTCCTTGCCTGGTCTCTTTGTCCAGGTCGAGAAAAAAAAGGGCCACGATTGCGTTGAGGACACTCTAGCAACACGCGAGATTGCTCTATGGTGTCTTAACCATCATCCTGAGCTTGCTGAATGGGCTACACGCATGAGAGTAGAGCTGGAGAACAAACGAGTCGAGCGCGAGAAGAAGAAGGAAGAGGACCGGAAAAAGACAGAGGCGCAGAATGAAGTACCGGCGGGCCAGGGCTGGCCGCAGATACCTTTGCCGCCTCTAGGTTTTGAGCTATCGCAGGGCACGTCCGATAATCTCAACCAGCTTGACGCAAGCTACTGACGGACGCCTACACTGGCAGTCACATAGACTTGATATTACTAATAAATTGATAGTTTCTAGATTGAGCACTATAATATAGAAATGAGAAGCGACGACCGTCACACCAAGTGGAACTCCATTTGTTCGTGGGATATCCTGCCCTTCGACATTACAATTCTCTGTCTAGATGGAAATTTGAGAGTTGCTCCGAGACTGTTCCTATTGCTTCAGAATTATATCTAGAGGAACCAAGCACAAGAATTCCTACCGTGGGCCAGATCCGCGGGTCTCACAACGAGATGGCTGCAGAGAGAGCGGGTATTCGGACTGTTCCTTCAACTTCACAATATAATACTTCCTCCATAAGTCTTAGAGTCGAGGTATAAGACTGCTTGCTTATGCGGAATATTTACGCCCAAGCTTCAACATCGCGACTAAACATTTCTCAAGCCTGCGCTCATTCGCACGTGCCCCCGGGCCTCGAGCATGTCAACTGCAGCGTCTTGAATGTTTTCACGGCTCACGCCAAAATGCAGAAGCAATCCACAAGCGACAGGTAGACCAGTGTAGTCGACCGATCAGTTGCGTATCGAAATTGTTTACGGAAAGCGAAATGTTGGGTAGGAGCCATGTTTGACGGGCTGATCATTTACCAACTATCAGAGCGAGCTGAAGACATATGACTGCTGGACCGTGACTGGTTCTTTGTCGGTAGATCCGGTGAGGCGTCTGGGGTGCCACATAGAGCGAGCTGGGCATGAACCTTTCGATCTGCCTTTTTCTCACACTAGGCGGCATTGACCTGTGTAGCCTTGTGCCTAGCGAATGGACTGCTGCTTACCTTTAGACTAAGTGGAAACAGTAGCCCATCAACGGCAGATTTATCAACGGTAGACTCCTGCGATCAGAGACATGATGGCGCCGTACGCTCCGGCACAGATACAGAAGTCCGTTGTAGCATGCGTTCCAACTGCCTGGCTTTGCACAAGTGCACCCAGCACACCCGTTCCGACCAGGAGTACAACAGCCATCCGACCTATGTAGTCGGGTATCACACTGAATGTCAAGGTCGGAACTACAACAGCGACCACCATGGCAAGGTTGATAGGTATCGAGGGACGAGCGATTACGTTATCTTCCTGAAAGTCCGTTCCGAGATAGTCAGCCTCAGCAGAGTCTGCGGGAGTTTTGGGAGCAAAAAGGATGGAGTATTTTCGGGGCATGGGAGTTGCGGCCGCGTCTTCATCATCACCATCAGATTCTGATTGATCGCCCAGGCAAATGAGGTCTTCGCTCGTGTCGAGGAAACGGGTTTCGGGTTCTGCAATGGGGGAATGGGTAGCCAGGTAACCGCGATACTCGTGGACATCTGCCATTGTAGGCCTCGTGAAAGATTCTGTCGATTTGAGGGACGAAAGAACACGGTCTAATACCGCTTGTCAGCTAATTGTCACCTCATCAGAAAGGACATTGCGCACTGTACTGTTCTAGCTTGAAGCCGATCTTTCCCAATATATCTGTCTTGTGCCATTGAAGCTCACCTCCAGACAGAGCCTCGGCACGGCGAGATGCTGGTAGGATGCAGTTCTGTAGCCGCCGAGTCTGGGTATCTGCAGTGTCCAATCGATGCAGTTGTTCCTCCAGCTCGCACAGCTCATCCTGTAGATGCAACAGCAGACGGTGATTGAGGGTCTCGAACCGCCTGTACATGGGACGCAGACATGGTCCCGCACGATTAGAAGCTTGACCTGCTAGTTGGGAGGCGAGTTGCTCGTATCCTGTCAAAGGTAGCCTCTCGGCCCTCGGAAGATGTTTGACGTGGTGGACTTGAGCACGACCTGCCGGATGCGATGTCAAAGCTTCAGGCGATATATGTGGGAGATTTGCACTTCCTCGTGGCATTTCAGGTGTGCCGTAGCTTTTGTGCCGCCCGTCCAGAGGAATCGGGCGGATACCGGTGCCCTTCTTTGCTGGACTCTGTTCAGGACTTGTGCCCCAATCGGTGTCATGATCAGTATTTTCAGAAGACCCATTACTGCACAGGCTGCCCGAATACGACGAACTCGTACTTTTGCTGGATGGTGATGTATGTAAAGCCGGGAAGGCAGATGAGCCTTGGAACGAGTTTCTTATGCTTTCGTCTGTGACTACTGGCGAGTCCGAGTCTAGGAAGTTCATCGCATTAATTCTCAGGGTCGGTGAGACCTGGGTCTTTCTGTCTCTCCTGGCTCGACTTGTTCTCCTCCCGCGCGGTGATGCAATGACAGTCGAGCTACTTTCACTTGAGCTGCCCGACTCGTTTACCAGAGCGAGCATGCTCAGCTCTTTCGTAGTCATGAGACCTGACTGTTGCTCCTCAGTTTGATGCTCTGCCAACTGGTCGAGACACGCGCCCTTCACGGCTTCATCCATCTGCGGGTCGCTTCCTTCCGGATCTATCATATCGACCACTCGAACGGCGGTTATTGATCTCTGGTGAGTCTTCTTGCGCCCCCGAGATTCAATTTCCAGCTCTGAAGGCGTAGGGGAGGGTCCTTGAACTGGGAATGTGTTTCCAGACGTATCCGCGTAAACATTATCCTGGCTGCCCCCATCAGCTTCATAAATCGCTGGATCGGTGGTCCTCTCGCTATCGCGCACGTAAGAAGGCATGTTGATTTCGTGGCCAGGCTGAGGCAGCGACAGGCCTTTTTGAAAAAGCGTCTCCAGGGGCTGTGTGAATCAAGGCTTTCCGTTGAGTGCCCGGAACAAATAGAGACAATCTGTCACAAACAGTTTCGACGTATGGCGTGGGCGCAACGCGAAGCGCAAACTACCGGTGAAATGCTTGTGATTTCTAAGAAAATCGCCAGTGATGCGCGACGATACTCCTCAGGCGCGGCTGCTTGCTGGCAAAGCCAAGTTACACATGATGAGATAGCGGCGCGATTGGCGATGATATAATAACATGATTGATGAGTATAGAACGCGGAAATATGTTTTCAGCTCCAGAAGACCAGCGATCCGCAGGATCAAGACACATTTCGCGAGCGGTCAGTGACGACATGATACGTGCCAGCCAGGGATTTCAGCCCGGTGCCAACTGTGTTTCAGAGCCAGAGCGGCGTGGGTGACACACGGCTGAAAAGGGAGGGGCGCCACGGGGCGAAGAGGATGGTGTTGAGGGGTCACATGCCGCGATCAGACCCTGTCTGCCTGTGTTTTGAGCGTCTGGTGGTGTGAAGGGTGCCTCTGAACCATGTACCGTCCAGGGTACCTTTGGTTTCTTTTTCTGTCAATGGGCTGCGAGATCGCTTCACTCATAAGAAACGCGATATCTGCGCGCTCTCAGCTTGTCGACTCACATGAAGCGGCTTGTTAAGGACCCATATAATTCACTCATATGATCTACTTTGAGCATGATGAAGTTGACAGTGGCGCACCGATGCCGAACCCAAAACCATGGGCCCTAAACTGCTCCAAGGTAGTTCGGCCCGTCAGCGCATTGCAGCGGATATATCCACTATAGCGGGCCTAAATTAGTGCGAACCTCCCATGCCGACAGGGGAAGCCGCCGGGGATTTGAGAGCTTGACATTCTTAAAAGAGTCAGCTGGGATTTCTTGTCACGAGAGAAAGACGTGCCGCTCTCTAACCAACCCACCCCCGTCCTAGTGCCACAAATCAGCATGTTCAAGATGCGCCGCCTCTCGACAGCAACTCTGAGCAAGTATTTGCTCCAAGGACAAATCACGAGGCGCGGCTGTCTGGGGAGCTTGCGAAATTCTGCCCAGCGTCCAATTGCCGTCTGCGCTCCGAACTCACGATACCTTCATACTGAATCACAGCCCTCGCCAAGCGCGGCCACTCCTGCATCGCCCATTGTGCCGTTAAGGAAGCAACTAAAGGACGATAGGAAGAACGCAAAGGCATCGGCATCAGCATCCGGCAAAAAGAAAAAGAAGAATGTCAACAATCAGGTAGTAGAAGGCTGGGAATTGACCGTCGGCATTGAGATACACGCTCAACTCAACACGGCCAAGAAACTCTTCTCTTCAGCCGCGACATCTTTCAACGACGAACCCAACAGCCACGTCGCATACTTTGACCTTGCCACGCCTGGTAGCCAGCCCATATTTCAGCAAGAGACCTTGATCCCAGCATTGCGGGCTGCGCTTGCCCTGAACTGCGAAATCCAACCTACGAGCCGATTCGACCGGAAGCACTACTTTCACTGGGATCAGCCATCGGGATACCAGATTACGCAGTACTACGAGCCTTTTGCGCGGGACGGGCGAATCATCCTCCGACCAAGGGACGGAATAGCAGCTGAGGATGGAGATGGAATCTCAGTGGGCATCAAGCAGGTTCAGATGGAACAAGATACGGCAAAAACCTTGGCGCAAGCGGGAGAGACTCATTGGATCGACTTTAATCGAACAGGCGTCCCATTGATCGAGATCATCACCCATCCAGATATCCACCATCCGGCCACCGCTGCTGCTTTTGTGCGAAAGGCCCAGATCCTTCTGAACGCTGTCGACGCTTGCGTGTCCGGGATGGAAGCTGGTGGTCTGCGAGCCGATGTCAACGTGTCAGTGAGAAGAGCTGACGACCCCAACACGCCACTGGGCACCCGGACCGAGATCAAGAACTTGTCTAGCACGAAGGCTGTCGAGGATGCCATCATTGCCGAGCGCGACCGGCAGATTGCAGTCCTCGAAGCTGGCGGAAAGATTCTGGGCGAAACTCGTGGATGGTCTATTGGATCCACAGAGACCCGAAGGCTTCGCGGCAAAGAAGGTGAGGTCGATTATCGATATATGCCGGATCCTGACCTCTCGCCTCTTTTCATTGGCAGGGATCTTGTCAATTACTTGCGTAGCACCATGGGTCAGCTTCCAGACGCAGAAGTAGACGAGTTGATCAAAGATTTTAGTCTCACGCCAAAAGATGCACTGTCCCTGGTGGCCCTTGATAATGGGAACAGGGTCGAGTTTTTCTGGAATGTCGTTGCCGCTTTGGACTCCAAGGGGCTGGAATCGGATTCCCGGCTCTCATGTTATCAAATGGCCGCCAATTGGACCCTGCATGACCTTGACCGACTAACAGCGAATCGTCACGACGATTCAGTTGCGACACTTGGCTTCACACCGGACGGGCAGTGCGGACGTGTTTCGGTGGAAGCTCTGGCTGATATACTGTTGTTTCTCCATCAGCAGAAGATCACAGCCAAGGTTGCAAAGGAGCTATTATGGGTGGTATTCAGAGGCGATGTCCCTTCACAATACAGCAACGTTGCCCATGCCATCGAGCGCGAGAACATGTGGTTCAACGAGTTGTCTGCTGACGAGTATGCTGAACTCGCAGATACTGCAATGGAGGGTCAGGAGAATGTTGTACGGCAATTTGTGGACTACAAACACTACCCGCAGGGAAAGCTTATGTTCTTGGTTGGACGTATGCTCAGACTGGGTCCGGAAGAAAGGATTGATCCACAAAACGCAGAGAAGGCTATGCGCAAGGCTTTAGAAGAGAAGCATGTCCCTGCGTCGACGTCCTAGAATCCGAAAGTTGTGTCTAGGTGAATGATATTTACACAGAGCGATTGGCGTGTGAACAACTACTCTAGGTCGCAAGCGAGCGAGTTTAAACAATTGCCACCCCGTTCACACAAGCTGCGCCTCTGCCTGTCAGTTTGTGTACGAAGCGTTGCTCACAGTCAACCAGCAGCCCAGGTTGGCTGATCCTGTCTGGGCAACATCACTTGTTCTCACGACCTGGCTGTTAGGCGTGGTGCCTGGAGTCGGTGACGCGCATGTTTTGCTGCTTCTCAACCTACAAAAGCAACACCCTAACTAGGGCGTGGCCGGATATCAGGTTTATATACGCGCAAACATGGGCTCAGTCATATCGTTTACATCCGGGGACATGCAGCCACACGTGAATCATGTCAAACAACGAGATGGAATCTATCCTCGAGCAACATACGCCACTTTACGGCACGAAACTTGGCACGGTATACTTGGGAATCCCCAGCGAAATTTCTGTTCATATTCCTTGCCACGAGTTTCTACCAGAGTAGCTCGTGGTTTCCTCAAGCAATATCCCCGGCTTCCCGCCTTGTTGCAACACTTCCCATGCCCAGCATTTCCAATGAGCAACATCTCCTGACCTTTGCCATGCCAATACTGATCCATTTGCCCTTATAAGCCATGTTCTCGTTCCATGGATGCGGCAATATCGGACCGGAAAGCTGTCTCGTGGTAAGCAGATTTGGACGGAGAGGCAACTTGCTCGTCTCCAAGTCAGATATGCGCCTGAATTTGGATACGAAGATGCTCTTCATGTCAGAGATATCTTTGGATTCTTCTTCAAGTGCGCGTGCTTTGTCGTCAGCCCAGAACTCGGTTTCGGTAGACGGTGACGCTGTAGGAGTCCTAAACGGTGTCACTGTCATCATAGTCATGCTGAGTTTTGCGTGCCTTTAGTACCATGTTGAGAGTATAAAAGAGAAGGGGTGAGGGATAGAAGGATTACTCACTACAAGGCGATGCCCACGACAAAGATGACGATGATGGGGAAAAGATAACAAAGGATTTCCATGGTGAATAGCCACGTTGAGGAGCACTTGCAGATGGGAGAGAGTGATATTTGCGCCCGGAGTCCAACTGTAGCGATCATTTTAATTCTTGTGCTTATCTATCACTTATAGCCAGCTCATCGCAAGTTTGACATTCAAGAGTCGTTGCCGAGGAGACAAGAATGCCCGTATCCGTATATTCGCCGGTGGAATATAGTTTGGCCATGCAATGTCGAAAGTGCAGATTTGGAGGCAACACCTGATATCGAAAGCCTATCTCGGCCCAGAAAACGGTTCTTCTCCCAGCTTGTTTTATGCTTAAACTTTACCCCTTGCCGACCTCCGAGATTGGTCAACAATAACTACTCCAACACCGGGGCTGCGCCTGGGCACCGGAGTCTCCACCGCTCGGAATCGGAGGCGCAACAATAACAAAGCACGTCATGCTACTCCAAACAACGCCATCGTCGGAACTCTAAAGATCAAACTTTTGCAAATTTCAGCTTAGCGACCTATTCGCGCGTGAAAAGCCACGCCGAGAAAATTTCTTAATTATTGGGCATTAAACATGGCATCTTCATCAACCACGACGCAGCCACTCCTGGACCACATTGTGATCCTGGTCCCTCACTCCTTCCTCATATCCCCACCGGACTGGTTCACCAATGACAAGCTATTCACCTTTTACCCCGGCGGCCGCCACGCAGATGGCCTGACCGAGAACACACTGGTTCTGCTCGCCGACGGCTCGTATATCGAGTTCATCGCCTTTGTGCCGGGCATCGACCCCACGAAGCGTGGGGGGCACAAGTGGGGGCGCGAAAAGGAAGGCACCGTCATCGACTGGGCCTTGACGCTGCCCAGCAGCGCTGGGAGTGGTCTGGGAGAGCAGACCAGGACGTTCGGGAATTTCCAGCAGCAGGTGAGGGACACGCGGACGGGCATCACGTACGCCGATCTCGTGCCCGGCGGACGACACCGCCCTGACGGCGAGGAGTTGAAGTGGGCGGTCGCAGCGGCCTATGTGGATGGCGGCGAGCCGGTAGAGCCGGGGCTGCTGCCATTCTGGTGTCTGGATGATACGAGGCGCGGGCTGAGGGTTCCGTATCAGCAAGACGGCGTCACGAGACATGCTACGGGCGCTGTAGGCATCGCGCTGGTCTCGGTCACGCCTGATGCTCAGGACGAGGCGGAGAATCTGGACAAGGTGTACGATGCGCTCTTGGGTGAGGACGCAACGTCGGGGGATGATTCGCTGTGGGATCTCAAGACACTAGATGGCGAGAAGCTGCATGCGGGCGGTCAGGTCCGTCTGGAGGCGGTTGCTGAGCATGCCAAGCTTTCATTGGCTTTCTTCACGGACTTGAGGGAGTTTGAAGGAAGGACGATTGGCGGCAAGGTTACTGATGACGTTGAGCTGAAGTTTGAGTTCGTTTCTGCACGGTGAAATGGTATGGCGCAGGTGATCACGACGAAGCTTAGAAGTTGTGTATGGTATACAAACTCTATACGACTCTTACAAAGACGTCCGAAGTGTAGTATCGTCATTTCAAACCCTGAAGTACGGCCGCCGCCCAATGATCAGGGCTTATCAGTAAAATATGTATACATTATTCTGGGAGGTGACCAAAATATGCCAGAATTCTGGATCCGAATTCAAAATTCTTATTACTAGTTGATATAAACTTCCGGAAAGTGCAGCACAAGAAGGCCCAACAAGCAACCTCGTAACAACTCCACAGCCGGCGACCTTCCCTCCTGAACTCAATGGCGAAATTAATACAGAAACTCTTGAGATGTTTTCGAGGTCATTTTGAAAAGAATGTACCCGACAACCAGAAGACTTGATAGCAAAGGCTGCTGCCAGATCAAGCGCGCATATCGCCGTGGAGAGGACTAGTAGAGATAGATTTTTGTATTCCCAACGGAAAGAACGTCAATCTTTTTTGCTATCATGATCGTCTTGTCGCCCATGTGGCACGGTCGCAGCAGGGGAATTCCACCCCTCTCGCTGCTTCAAGAAGCTCTCGACTCTCTCGTGCCTGGTCAACCCTCCCTGTTCGATCCTCCTCCTCTTAATATCACTGCTGATGGCGTCATGCTGCTGATCGCGTATCTCGACAATGTTCATTGTTGTGGTACTTGCTCTCCTGGCCTGACCCATGCTAGCTGCGACGACAAAACCACACAGCACAACGACGAAGAGCTCGTTGCTCATGAAGACGGGCTGCTGTTTCTGCTTCGGTCTGCCGTCTCGTTCTCCATACCATCTCTCCCAATCCTCCCACGTCGCATTCATTGAGGGGTTACCGGGCTCCTTGCGCCAGCTTGTGTCGGCATGACGGTAGGTGGTACTATCCATAGAACGAATGGAATTCCAACCGGCACCATATAGGTCGTACGCGCGGCGTTTTGTGGGATCGGACAAGACCTCGTTGGCGGCTACGACAAGCCGGTACCTCTCTAGTCGCGCATCGTCTGTCAGTTTGTCCCCTGGCGTCTGTCGATGTCTATCGGGATGGTATATCTTGACGAGCTCGTAGAAGCGGGCTTTACTATAGGGCGCCTTCTTCTGCTGGTCGAAGATCTGATAGGGTGTTGGATTGGCACACGATGGCCATTTTGAGGGCGGTGGGGAACCCGAGCAGCTTCTGGATCTATCGTTCACCGTGGCATAACTACGGGGACCTCGCCTCCTCTGCTGTGGCTGTTGGACTGGTTTGGCAAGTTGTGGCCGCGTGGGCGCAGATGGTGACGTTATCGAAGGGAACGGCCATATGAAGGTGGGGAGATTTGAGGACGAGCAGACAGCGAGAGTGGACGATTTCAACATGATGGTTTGATTGATTGCATTTAATGGACTATATCGAAGTAACGATGCATTTGCATGGTACTCCTTGAAAAATGTGAGATGTGTAGGAAATGTCCCTGCTAGATCGAATCACGGAATAATGTCGTGGTCATGGTTACACATCTGGAAGCGATACCTCGATGGCTCTATCGCTATCTGGAAGTCCGCTATCGCCGACAGTTGACTCCACTGAAGAATCCCTGACAGAGGATGGTCTCCGAGTACCCGACGTAATTGTACATGTCAGATGTGTGTACTCTGTGCATGGTCTCAGCGGCCAAAGCTATCTAGACTAGACTAAGTGAATTATGTAGCCTGGGCAATACAATGTTGCAATACAAATATCTCGATTGAATTGGGGTATTTATTTGATTTTGATAAAAAAATAAGACCCCCCCCCCCAAATCTTGCAACGACGGTGGGACTTACAGTGGTATGTATATCATGGCCAATTGGAGAGTCTTTCCAGACTATGTACGATCTGGCTACATACTTGTACACACAGCTTAGCTTATATCCCCGTGTGGATAATGGACGGGCCCCTCTATCCCGGGTCAACAGCGGCCCGGCGATTCTCTCCAAGTTGGAGTCGGGCATTCGAAAACAGCTGCACACAATTCCAATGCATGCAGGGTTTCTGATGAGCATAAGACACACCCAACCCGGTCAAGCTCGGCCCAAAGGGCACTATACAGTACTGTAGTAAGGGAAAGGGTGGAAAGGGAAGGGGACAGGGAAAGGTACATATGTATGTGCGTACATAGTAATATTTTGAGAAGAGGACCGTGCACTACTGGGTGGGGGGGACCTGAATCTGAATCTGGATCTGAACTTGGAACTCATGCGCATTTTGAGGTCGAGGTGCAGCTTTCAATCCCACCTCAGCCACTATTCCCAACTTGTGCAGGAAGCTACGACATCGCACCAAACTTGGATCTCGCACTCTCACCACCACTAAAAATCTCATCCAATTACCTCCACTACTGCTGCAGTCCTCTCGACACCAACATCATTGACCCATGTAGCCTCTGCAGAACGCACAACCTCACTCTCCTCGACACCAACAATCCCATCTTGAGCTGGCAGATATTCGACGGTGAACTGTCGTAGTCGACTCGAGTTCCACCCACCCATACTCTAACCCACACTCACACCCGCACTCACACAACACTACACCGTTGTGCAATTGTCTATATCGTCTATAGGCGAATCTTTCCCCGTTGGCTATTCCGCCTTACTTCGCAAAGTAGTCTCCGCAGCGTAAACCTTGCAACACCACAACATCTATACAGTTCTCTAGTTTAGTTAGTAGTCAGTTACGCAACTCCAGTGGAATCTACACCTTCACCGACCCACCATCCGACACCACTTTCGACTTCACCACTCAAAGGCGACGATCACCAAAGCAGCTGGTGAAACATCACTCACACGAATTCTGACCAACTCTCGAGATCTGGACGACCAAGTTGACGTCCTCACTACGACCCAGTACACGACCCACCACCCACAACTCTCCCACAACATCAAAATGACGGACCAGTTGGCGGATCAGCTGCGCGATTCCAGCATCAGCGATAGCCCTGCAGACTGGAAGCAAAAGCTAAACATCCCTACCAAAGACGGAAGACAACAAACCGAGGATGTCACAAAAACGAAAGGACTCGAGTGGGAGAACTTTTCACTTAAGCGCGACCTGTTGATGGGCATTTTCGAAGCCGGCTACGAGAAACCCTCCCCGATCCAAGAAGAAGCCGTCCCTGTAGCCTTGACCGGCAGAGATATCCTTGCGAGAGCCAAGAACGGAACCGGCAAGACAGCTGCCTTTGTTGTACCTGCATTAGAACGCATCAACCCAAAAGTCGCCAAGATCCAATGTCTCATACTTGTACCTACTCGAGAGCTTGCAATGCAGACATCTCAGGTCTGCAAGACTCTGGGCAAGCACCTGGGAATCAACGTCATGGTCACAACTGGTGGTACTGGATTGAGGGACGATATTATCCGTCTGCAGGATCCTGTCCACATAGTCGTGGGCACTCCCGGACGCATTTTGGATCTGGCTGGAAAGAATGTCGCTGACCTTAGCGAGTGCCCCATGTTCATCATGGACGAAGCCGACAAGCTCCTCTCCCAAGAATTCACACCCGTCATCGAGCAGCTGCTGCGATTCCACCCTAAGGACCGCCAGGTCATGCTCTTCTCCGCTACTTTCCCCCTGTCCGTCAAGGACTTCTCCGACAAGAACATGGTCAACCCCTACGAGATCAACCTCATGGACGAACTCACCCTCCGCGGTATTACGCAATACTACGCTTTCGTCGAGGAGAAGCAAAAGGTTCACTGCTTGAACACTCTCTTCTCTAAGCTCCAAATCAACCAGTCCATCATCTTCTGCAACTCCACGAACCGTGTCGAGCTACTCGCCAAGAAGATCACCGAGCTCGGCTACTCGTGTTTCTACAGTCATGCCAAGATGGCTCAGCATGCCCGAAACCGAGTTTTCCACGACTTCAGGAACGGCGTGTGCAGAAACCTTGTCTGTTCTGATCTTCTGACTCGTGGTATTGATATTCAGGCTGTCAATGTCGTCATTAACTTTGATTTCCCTAAGAATGCCGAAACCTATCTACACCGTATCGGTCGGTCTGGACGATATGGTCACTTGGGTCTTGCCATCAACCTGATCAACTGGGATGATCGTTTCAATCTCTACAACATTGAGCGCGATCTTGGTACCGAGATTCAACCCATTCCTGCCACCATCGATAAGGCCCTCTACGTTTACGAGAACCCCGAGAACATTCCTCGCCCCGTCAACACTCTCCCGCCGCCTCGACAGCACCAACCCAACCCAAATAACTCAAACAACAGCAACAGCAGCAGCAACAGCAGCAGCAATAACAACAACAACAACAACAACAACAACAACAACAACAATGGCCCTCAGCGCCCCCAACAAGATCAACCCCAGCGCCAACCTCAGGGTCCTCCTGGAATCTCAGGACAGGGTGAGCCTCGCCAAGGCGGCCGGGGCGATGGTCAACCTCGTCAGCCTCGTGGTAACTATCGTGGAGGTAACCAAGGAGGCCGCGGACGAGGTGGGTTTCAAGGTCGTGGTGGATACAACAACTACCGGGGTGGTGGTGGTGGTGGTGGTAATGGCCGACCTCAACAACCTCAGCAACCTCAGCAATCTCAGCAACCTCTATAATATTTGACATGATGGCCCATTGTTCACTTCCCCTCTCCTCCATTCTCACAAGGTGATCATCATCTCTACTTGATTTCTCATTGTACATATTCCGCATTTGTTTCCGTTCGGTGTTGTGTATCATACCCAATCATACTGCCACGTTGGTTCTCGCTTTTTATGCCACCTAGCAGTTGGTATTCATCATACAGGACTCTCAAGCTGCATGAAGACATGAGGCTTGGCACATAATGGACAGATGGTTGAATGGTAAAAAAAAAATTGGCGTTCTGGCGTTTGGAATCTGGAAGAAGGTTTGTAAAGTCTTCATGGACCCACCTGCTTAAGGGGTTTAGGTCTGACCACAAGCCTCTTCGATGAAGTTGGACGATGACGTGGACGTATTGAACGACCGTTTCATGCATGGTAGATTCCATGAGATTTCTGGAACGACTATTGGTTCAACGACTATCTTGAAATGGAACCGCAATCCGTTAGTTGATGACGGTGGTGCTTTAAAGGTGGTTGGTTCATTGATCACCGATTGTTGATTTTGCTGTGCTCGTTGGAGCAGCACTATCAGTTGGAGAGTGGCTATCGTTGTCACAGGCGTTGGTGATGGAGTATTTCGAGAGTGCATGGCTTGCCCATGGGCATTGGGCCGTTTTGCAACTTTCCTGGCGCACAATCTCTCTACCTGCACTGCCATGTGCTTGAAAATACTTGGCCATAGCATGTGGTCAGGCTTTCCTGTGGCAGCCGGTCAGCAAGCAGTGTGTGAGACCATCACAAAAGAAAATCAACAAAAAAATGGTTTGGAGGGACCGCTGGAAGACAACAAGACTTTCGTATTGATCGACATTGTGAGCTGTCTCTCTGAGGTGTTCACCAGACGAGTTGGATCAGTGAGCACGTAGTTTTCTGAACAATTATTGTGCCACCCTGATTGGGTGTCACTTCTCCCTTCACATCATCGTCTGGTATAACTTGAGCATCGCCTTGTGACTTCTTCATCTAACCTTTCCTTTCCAAACCATACCCTTAAGATCTGATTACTTCGCTGTGGGAGTCTATGAAGAACTATTTCACTCCCTGTCATTCTACTCAAATAAATAGTCAACCGTCTGCGCCGCTGCGATTGTGTTCTCGCGCTGACCGTGGACCAACTTCTCCAGGAGACAATTGCTCATGCGGCAAACAAGCGACATCGTCGTAGACGTGGAGAGGCCTATCAGGTCAGGGCCTTGCTCATGTCGTAGCCAGCGTCAATTCCCCTACCACATGTTGCGGTAATTGTTTGGCGGTCGTCCTCCCCGTTGACGTTAGCCACGGCCAATCAGCACAACAACGGTCGAGGATGACCAATCTGTCGCATTTTGATTTCATTATAGTACGTGTAATCTTGAGCGGATGTCTGCGGTGAGTAAATCTCCGCCCAAGAGGCTAAGCCCCTGAATGTTTGGTCCGCCGGCTCCGCCACACCAAAGAGCCCTGAGGTCCAAGCTACCAAGGTTCAATGGCTTCAATTATCACGTCGACACGAAGAAAACGAAATATTGGGACCAAAAGCCCAAGATTCCAATCAGTGACCGCCGAGAAATCCCGTCGGTATTGCGTGCTTATATCGATGCATCTCGCCAAATAATACCAGGTGACGAGAGCCGGTGCTCAAATGGTGGTGTCTATATATATTGACCATATTTTGGAGCAGAGCTTGACTTCCGAAAGTTTTGTAGCCCCTATGGTCATTTTCTTGACTAGATTGTGAGTGCAAGTATTCCAAGTTGCTTCGCCGACTTGAACCATCACAATGAATGAGGCTCTGACATGAGATTCGAGAATAGAGTTGGATCGGGGAAATATTGCAAATACGATTACTGATAGGTTCATGGAGGATGTTGGTATTGAATAGGACCAATTCAATGTTGGTTAACAAATGTTGTCATTGGGTATCGTTCTGACCGAGATACCTTCAAACATGATCCTTTACAGAGTTGGGCCGGGCAAGTGGCTCACTCTCTAGCTGTTTCTGTTTGGCGTCGTCAGCACATTCCAGGCTTTCTAGCGAGGCTACGCTCCGTTTATCATTACCCGCTTCCTCCTAGGCATAACCGAGTCTGGTTTCATTCCCGGTGGTCTATGGACACTCTCTACATGGTATACTCGATCCGAAACTGCCAAACGTGTCATGATCTTCTATTTCGGCAACCAGATCGGACAAGGTTCAGCCAAGCTACTCGAATACGGCATCCTTCATATGCATGGCGTTGGCGGCCAGCCCGGTTGGTTTTGGCTATTCGCTCTCATGGGTGCCTTTACCGTTCTTGGAGGTTTCATCTTTGGTTTCTGTCTGCCTGACTCTTTCCAAAACCCGCACAGTACCTTCTTACCCAGGTTTACTTGGTTCACAGATCGGGAGCTGCATATTTTGCAGACACGCGTTCTGCTGGATGATCGCATGAAAGGGAAGAAGAAAAAGTGGATCGGTCGGGATGATTTTAAGAGAGCGGTAAGCTTAGTGAGTCTTCTTTGGAGACCAGTGCTATTTCTAACACGTGCCTCATCGTAGTATACCAACTGGCGTATATGTGTTCATTTATTCATCACATTGTGCAACAATGGCCCTCAACGCGCCTTTGACACCTACGCTCCGTCGATAGTCACTAGTTTCGGATTTGGCAGTCTCGTCAGCAATGCAATGGCTGCGGTTGGTTTATTCTCACAAGTCCCCGTGTCCTTCACCTTCAGTTGGATATCGGACCATTTATAAGAACCCCTCCCCCATGTGGTGATACTATCGCTGACTTTCTACCCCTTTTCTAGCAACCTCAGAGGCGAAACTGTCATTATAGACCTCCTTTGTCATCTGCTAGGTTATATCTTCAACCGTGCCTTTACTGAAGTTAATCTTCGTGGAGTCCGCTACTTCGGTGTTGTATGGACGCAAGTCTTTGGCACATTTCCACATCCCCTCAACATTGCATGGCTGTCGCTCTATTGTAATGATTCTGAGCAGAGAGCTCTAGCTATGGCAGGGTAGGTCCTCGCTTCATTACTTAGCTCCATCATATTCCTTGTTCTTTGTCGTTCCAACTGGGCGTGCGAGATGATAATATTTCTGTGCCTAGTGTCATCATGGGCGCCAACGTCGCCGGCATATATGGTGCGCAAATCTTCCGATCAGACGATAGGCCGCTCTATAGTCGGGGATTTAGCATAGCCATTTCTGTCCTTTGTGTTGGCCTCATTCTTGCCATCATTCGATGGATAGATGATACCGTAAGGCGTCGGAGAAACGCAAGGCAGACAGATCTGACGCCGAGTAAGAACAACTCCAGCTGTGCTGTTGAGAGCAACGAGAGCAGGGATGGTGGTCTGTCCACTGCTGTACCTGATACTGCGACAGAGGTTGATACTTCTCGCCAGGTTGGAGATTGAAGTATCGTTACAAGCGGTTGCCTCTGCGGCCTAAGTCTAGTCGATATTCTGCCCTTTCTAGCCTGGCAAGGCCATGTCGTGTTAATGATAATATGACAGTTTCTACGGTTGGTATAGGACACTGTGTGGTGAAGTATAAGTCTGATGCACTGAAAGGAAGACCCTGATTCTACTCGAGCATAGGAGAGTACACGCAGTGCTCGCATGAGTGTGGAATCGCAAGTGTGGCGCTCTTAGAGTGTGGAATGATAGTATGGGTACTGTCAAGTAGTATATAGAAGTCTAAGTCTACAAAGAGAACATCGGTGTATGAAAAGTGGACAAATTCCCACTGGCTGAGCCACGTGATCACCCAGTTCAAGGTTAGGTGATCCGAGATCTCCTCGCCTCACTATACGGAGTGCTCTCCGTTAAATATGGCAATCTATAGTCTCCCATATTGCCACAGATAGAGATGTGAAACACTCGTATCTTGGCGGACTCTGTAGATTTTGCATCATGCCAAGTCGTTGGCCAAGCGCTCTGTCATCTAGGAGAGGAAAATTGGTGGGTAGAAACTCGATCATAGTTTGGACCTCTTGGCGCACAGGTCTCTATCGTCCCATCCCCACAACCTCACCTACAGCGAGTTTTATGCCCTTGTCGAATAACATGTTCCCCAGCTTGGTCATCTACCGTCTGAAGAGACTCACGATATACAGCTATCTGTTCCATGAACCCACTACTCGGTTGGCATACAGGCAGGCCCTCACAAGCCTTATCTAAAGCCTGCGGCGGAGAAACTCTAAACTTCTACACCAGATATGCGTACAGGACTGTCGCAGGCCTCAACTTACCCATCGCACAGTGCACGAAGGCGCCAACCTTGCTATCCAGGGCATTGTTAATGAACGCGTTTGTCGTACGAAAATGCTGCAGATCCCCCGGCACATCCTCGGCTTCGATATGCAGATGCTTCATGCCTTGGAGTTGCTTGAGTTTGACATGGGAGTAAAGCACTGACAAGACGTGGTAGATACCTGCTCTCAGACAATTTCGGGTTGAAAGAGCACCCCAAGGCCGCCAATGTATAGCTTGCATGCTCTTGGGATACGGTCTAGCCAACCCATGCCGCCCAACGTCTTGGGAATCAATCAAGGCGGCCAAGGATAAAAGGTATGTTCATCAGCTGGAGCATAGGTGTGTAGTAATATTGTGGAGGTGTTTTCTTCCAAGTTCACGAAATGGCTACGGTTGTTCGGAGTAACAGCTGGTCTGACATGCCCGGACACTGGAGGCTAAGCAACCAACAATAACACTGCTGAGGTTCGGCAATAGTAATCTCATATCCGAGAGCACTATTCAGATTATGGCACGGAACATTGAGCTGAAAGTGGTGCAAGACAAGTATCTTCATCATAGGTCTAGACTCATATGTACGCGACTATAGGGAACTCAGTTGCCATGCTCGAGGTTAACAGGCTGAAAATCCAGTGTCCAGTTCACTTGGACCAAAATGACGCGTCGTACTCATTCATATACTGAACAAACTCACCACCTGCGGCGGCCCAGCCTTTGATACCTCCGAGAAGGGCATGACTTTTCATTTCTTCATCGCTGTGATTCTTCAAGTGGTCGCTGAACCAGCCTGTGGCACGAGTGCCACGACCCTGGGATGATCCTTAAATTAACGCAGCGTCAGTGCCTAACAATTTCGCCAAGCCAGCTGATTGAGTTTGGGCAGCCTTGTGTATGTAGGAACACAACGCGGAATCTGACTCACCGCAATACCAAATGACATTCTTGATGCCCGCGGTTTTGAAAAGTTTATACAGCGTAGGAATGCTGGGATACAAGCTTTGTGCAGGTAGATTAATGGAACCGTGAATAGTGCCACCCTAGACAACGATGTAATTCTCAGCAACTCAGTTATGTACACTCACAAAAAAGGATTGCCACCTACCTCATGGTCTGTCCGGCGGAGATCAACGAGCACGTATGATGGGCAGGTCGTGCCATCCTCGCCTTTTAATATTTCCAGTACCTCATCTCGTGTTATAGTAGCTGGTGATGCATTTGTTGGCGACGGATACGCAGCATGCCATGGCGTTTCAGTAGAGCTAGCTGGGGCCATTCTGTACGCAGGCGACAAAAGCAGTACTAATTGCGTAATTGTATTATACGGCCTAGGGTGATTGGATTGCGGTTGATAATGATTTGGCCAAAAGTCTTGCTCAGAGAACAAAAAAAAACAGAGACAGCGTGATGAGTCTTTCGAATGACCTAAGAAGGTGCTTGCCTGTAGATATAAAATCTTCATGCCACAGTGAAGCCCGCACGATTCCACTTTTTGACGATGATAGCTGACTCGCTGGCGAATTGAGCCGGATATTGTCATGCCCGAAGTCTAATTGGCTAGTGTGTGTGGTCCCTGCAACTACCATGTTTTCGGCAACTAATATTTAGCGACAGCACCCAAGTCGGGACGAACAATGATAAAAGATCAGACTCAACCATTTGAGAGATTGCAAGCCATGAGAACTGTACTTCAAAGAACTTTTATGACTCAATACTGCTGTAAAACAATCGTTCATCTTAATTTCATGAGAACCAGATCCCTCGCGAGCATGGCTTCATTATCTTTGAAAGCTACGTCAACAACTGAAGGCGTCCAAAACCCAATCCTCGACACATTAAATAGCAGTGGACAGATTCATCAACCATCGACGCATTTGCCTATTTCTGAGGCGGCGGATGACCCTATCATAAGAGCCAAGTATAGGCCATTTTTACGCCTTCCTCAAAACGGCATCGATGATTGGATCGTCAACCTAGAGCTCGAGACTGCAACTACAATGGCCTTTGAGAACTTGGAAAGAACGGGCTCGAGGTTGAAGGTACTAGTACTGTACGGAAGTCTGCGTAAAAGGTCAGTTTACATATATGAATTATTCACAGACCGAACAGCAAGCATCTGACGCGAGGAAAATACCCTAAATTTAGGTCTTATTCAAAGCTTACAGCATTCGAGGCAGCCCGCATCCTACATCGTCTCGGATGTGATGTGCGAATGTTCGACCCTTCGCAGTTACCAATCAGGGATTCAGTACATACCGACCATGCAGCTGTTCAAGAGCTTCGCGAGTTGTCGCTCTGGAGCGACGGCCATGTTTGGTGTTCGCCCGAACAGCATGGCAACCTAACAGCCGTGTTCAAGAATCAGATCGACTGGATTCCCCTGTCCACAGGTTCCGTGCGACCCACCCAGGGCCGCACTTTGGCTATTGTTCAGGTGAATGGCGGCAGTCAATCTTTCAACACGGTAAACAGTTTGCGTGTTCTTGGCCGCTGGATGAGAATGTTCACTATACCCAACCAATCGAGTATTCCCATGGCGTACAAACAGTTCGAAAACGAAGGAGGTGATGGCGGCGGCGAGGCGAGACTCTTGCCAAGCGGGAATCGCGATCGTCTAGTGGACTGTATGGAGGAGTTCGTAAAGTATACCATCATCATGCGCCCTCACTTTACGTTGTTTGGAGACAGATTCAGTGAGCGAAAAGAGCAACACGAGAAGGATGCTGCCGCCAAGACAGTTGAGAAGTTCGCCGCTAATGCTTTAAAATAGAAAATAGAATATGAACAGCCCCAGAGCCTGGCAGGTAGTATCATCGTGTATACTTGAAACTTTACCTAGGTCTTGAGATTCCCATTTTCGGCGGTGAAAGTGATCATTCAGAAGATATGCCATATTCTTTTCATTCGCAATTCATATTTGAAATTCATATCGGCTACCATTCGTCGATTGATTCTTCAATTCATCGCCGAAGTATGATTACAACACCCTCCGGCCACTGAGGACGCCGGTAGATAGTCAATAGAACTAACTTTTAAACCTTTTATACAAAAGTTTATGGACTCACGCCCAAGCATTTACTCATCTCATTATAACAAACAAACAATCATACCCCACATTACATCACCAGCTTTCTATAAAAAGATATACTAAATACAATAGCCAAGGTTTACCGTACGATGTAATTCGGAGAGGTACCGAGGGGCTTGGAGTCCTACGGCGCATTTAACAAAAAAAAAATTTTACAATAGCGGTCGAGATTATTCTATATTCTATCGGTGGAAGGCCACGGGGAGTTCACATTACCTTCCCAAAAATCTTGTATTTGTTACTTGCTTTCGCTTGAGCAGGTCATATAATACCCACGTACAAGCTAAGTGCATTATCAAATTTATTCAAGATATGCTAACAACCAACTGAAAATCTTGAGCAGGTCTAGGCCAAGGAACCTGTAAAGTTTCTAGCCTCGCCATCCCAGCTGAATATTGGCCATCCTGCTGGCAGACTCGAGTAAGTCGATAAAGTGTATCTCTTCTCGCAGGAACCATCTGAATAATTCAGATCGCATAACCCAAAGACATTGCAATAGCACTCGCCTACCGATGGAAAATCCACCGGCACTTTGCTAAATATTACTGCGAGCATATGTCAGAGCGCCGCTGTCTTCACAGAGGTGGCGGTTCAACTCACTAGACTCCTGTCATCCAATGGTGTTTCTAGCAACCACTGCCTGCATCTTATATAATGGGGGGGATTTTTTTTTCTTGGTTGGGCCTGAACCGTCACGGGTGACAGCAAGCTACGAACAACAGCTCACAGCTACTACTGCAGGTGTTGGTAATTCTGGTAACAGATTGTCGAATGCATGCTTGTATATATCCTTTGTCAAAGGGAGTGCACCCTCGCAATTCGCTTCGTCTTCGAAGGGGCGGATTTCACTCGCCCAGCCAATAACCCAGACACATATAAGATTGACATATACGCACTCTTGAAAATATGGAAGCTGCAAACTGTACAGTGTTGGTAAGGTGTCATAGTCCGGATCATCGTTATGAAAGGCCAATCGCGATGGTGCATGAATGTCATGTTTTTCAAAAGCTGCTCGTAATGATCAATGATGTGTGTCAGATACACCATGCTCTCATGGCTCGTTTCATCGGTACCGTAGGAGGTGCCCTTGGGTCATCGAAGATGTGGATGTTTGCCTTTCACTCTGGGATGTAGATCGGTAGCCATGAGGTGTCTTCATGCTTAAGACGAACCACAACTATTTCCACAATTGAAGATTCGTCAAGCACCAAAAACGATGGCGCACCAAGAAAATGGTCACGTCTAGTTCAAGTGAAGGGTTGGTCACAATACCATTGGGAAAGCCAAATAAGTAGCAAAGTGGACGCAAAAATACTGGTGTAAAGAGACACCTTTGGCCTAAGAGCATCTTAGCCTTGGGCTTATCAAAGCGCATTTACTTGTCGCTGTGTCATTCTTGGAAGCTTTAAAGCCTTAAGGTATTACAGCATAGGATTCAAAGTCGCGCAAAATCTAGCTGCACTTCATAGAGTTGAGATTAAAACAAATTTAAAGTTAGGGAAATGAGAAAACTATTGCTCGTACGGCGCAGACCTGAACTGCCGACTCAAATTATTCACATGTCTTTTTCCAGTCAAGTAACTGCTCTACTTAGTGACTTTAGTCGGTCTAGTACACGAGGAGGGTTAGCCATCGCTTAGCTAATCATGTTGTTAGACTCATCCAGCAAATGCCTGGAACAGGCAATCATGATTGTAAAGCCGCACATCTTCGCCCAATCAGAGAACACGTTGCTAGTCGTAAACGCCACTGAAACCCGAGAACTTGGGACTGAATCCCAGCGCGGCCCCGTAGTCAACATTGAATCTAAGGTAGACTGCCAGAAGTATAATCGCTTGTTGGCAAGTTGTAACAAGGTAAGGCCACAGGAGAACGGACAGAGATCGCGGTCGCATCAAAATTGGTCACTCCGCTTTTGGTTCTCCTTCTGCTATCGTTACACATTCCATGCTATGGGCTATCCGGATACACATTGTAGCAATGTCAAGATTGTCTGGAGAAGCTTTGTTCTTCTGCAAAAGAGATGAGTTCTCTGATGCTTTGGAGCTTCGTGGTTCAATTCAATATGCGCCCCGAGTTGACCGTCTGCTGAGCGCTTGAACAAATGATGTTGACGTAAAATTGATTGGACTCAAGGTGTGTAGATGAACTCATTCTATCTATCTGTCATGTCAGCAGTTTCTTGATAAATGATGGAGCTGTATTGGGATATAAGTCGTCTGACCTCGACACAACGGATTCTAGCAAGGATTCTAATGACCATAAGCAATGCCACCGATAGCTGCTACGTGGATTAACCCTCAGTTTGCGACGAGCGCATTTTGTACCGTGCATGAACTTCCGAACTGCACAAAGGCAGCCTGCTGTCCACGTTAGCTATTTACGCGTCGGTTTACACAAGTGGCGACGGGGCGCGGTGTAAGATCCTAGTGACAACAGTCGCAATCCGACTATCTCATCCTCACTCCCCAGCGAAACCATTGCCGGAATAGCTTCAGGCGCCCTCGAATTAATTGGCATTGTAGCAGCGCTTATAAATTTCCTCTTACGGCGCCGGAAAGTTACCGAGTATGGACCTCCTCTACCCGGATATGTGTAGAATCACGACGTGGCGGGGGCATTTGATGTTGGGACAATGAAAACACATACTGGAACCATAGAAGAGCTTCCTGTGGGGCACGGAAGGCATCCATCTGAATTGGATGCAGGACATGAGCTGCGGATAGAATCGCATTCGTGTTTATAAGTGCATTAATAGAGATTAATGTGAAACAACCCACCGGAGCTTTATTCACACCACACCATAGTCTGAGAAATGTGATGGCTTAGTTATAATGGATATATTTGACGCCGGATATCTACACTAAGTGGACCTGGGGGAATGTTCCTCGTTCATAAACCGATCGCTGTGGATCATCTCCCAGATACCAGTCACCCTAGCAGATTCAACCGTACAAGTAGGCGAAGCAGTATAATTAATGGCTATCAATGCTTGGTGTTCTTGTATGTTATTATATTGTACAGGTATCTCTCCCCCTCCGGTCTATCTATATCCGCTCTTTGATGTCACCCACGCTAATCAATTATAGCTTGATAACACCTATAGTCTCTTTGTGATTGCTACAGCGGGTGTGATAGTCTAGCGCGTCTTTAACACCAATAGCAATGCTGAAAATGAAGCCTGGTTTCGCTTTGCCCGACGTCATCAAAGAGACCAGCTCTGACGCAACCTGAAGCGGAAGAACAACGCCACCATCCATTGAGATTGACTTCTCGAATGGCTGAACAATGTCAAATTTGTCATTTGAATGCCAAGATATAGGATCTTAGCAATCTTTTACTTGGTTGACATTGTGGACGCGAGAAGCATCGCTATGGACAGCTGAGTTATTAGCTAAGAGCTCAATAAGTCAGCTCTAAAGACAGCCACCATATCACCTAGGTGGAACCCCGAGAAGCTGATTCCACTCCAAGAGGTCGAGAAGAAGCCAGAAACGAAGAGGTAACCAATAAGGGTGGAGGTGTTGGTAGATGCGTCGATGGGGACTGGGATCAAAGAGTTGTCAACAAACGGAATTCTCTCATACTCCGTCACCCGTATTCATACTTGACCGCATCGCCAAACTTATTCACACAATTAATATGTTTGTGGTTGTACAAGAGAGGTCATTCTGGGAAGCCGAAAGCAATATGATGGATGTGAAGGTCGCTTCCCATAATAGGTGCGTTGCGTTGATTCGAGCGATAACACGTGTCACAATGAGAATGGTTGGATGGGCATATCTATAATCGATAAATTGAATGCTTGGCCAATTTGGGCAACAGCGCGTACTGTTGGAAGCATGTTGAGCATATAATGCTCGGAATAAGGTGGAAGACCTGCAAAAATGCTAGATTGTTCCATGGTCTTATATGCTTTCTTGTACGTATCGTCCTCCGCCATTCATGACACTAGGCTGTGGAGGCTGTGTTGCTATCCCCCTTGCGAGATCAATCTTCGATGTGGCAGATTCTCATTTGGAAACTTTAATATATCTGAGTGTGGAGACTAATAAATCCAGCCAAGGTCGACTTGCCATGATTCGCGACCACAACTCGAGTACTGCAAGGATCAGTAACCTTTGCATTTGAGTAGTCATGAAGATTCCTCACGATACAAATAAATGAATACCTGAAGATAGTGATCCTATTGTGCTCTTCAACGAGAAAATCTTGTGTAATGGCAGGATCCGTTGCTGTGCTAAAGTGGCTACAATATTGTTCTACAAATCATACGACTCAGAGTATCTAAACTTCATCCTTGGGGATGCCATCCTAGTGTTGCGCGGTTCTTGATGTAAATGAGCGAAAAGAACAGCCAAGTAAACAAAAATACTCGTGTTTTTCGGCAGATACTGGCTTGCGTTACAAACCATTTCTTCAAGGCTTTGATCACTGTCTACCTCTGACAATCATTGAGCTTACTGACGTCAGAGATATGGAGGTTTCTTAGATGAATCAACTCAGCATGAGCAGATCTGTGTTGGGGCTCGAACGTGGCTAGTAATACTATCGCTACGAGTATTCGTATGTGTGAACCCGGCTTCCATCACAGTGTGTCCATGGAGACTATAAGCAGCCTGCATTAGCGTGCTGTAGGGGTAGAGAATTTTATCTACGTACATATAGATCAGACTAAGCTAACCTTAGTTTGGTCGCAAATGGCTTCGAAGGGATATTTTGGCCTAGAAATGAGTTATCATTTAAGGACGTATGATTCAAGTTTTATACTATGAAAAGGCCATTCTCTACAGGAGCGGATAGGAGCTGATCTTTCTGAATCGCCACGATGAGCTCATTGTCAGCATGATCATCAATGTCGAAATCGATGAACCCCTGAGATGCCCATTTTCTAGCAGAGATGAAGAATGAGTGACCATTCACCGTCTTGTCGCCTAGAATCCGCAAAAGACACCGCCCAGCATCTTCCGCCTCAGCAAATTGCACACCGACATCCTCGACATGTTGGAATGCCTCCTTGGAAAGGATGTTGGTCCTCACATACCATGGGGAAATGACGTTGACACGACTGCCATAATAATAGGCCGTCCTTCTCATGGAATGCATGATTCCTCGCATAGCCCATTTCGAAGCCGAGTACTGCGGACCTCTAGGGTCAGTCCAGAAAAGCCGCCCCTGAGCCAATGAGAATTAGGCAAGTATCTTGCTGCGCATTGGAAACGGTCTGCCCGTTTTGCCTGACGAAGTAGTGGAGGGCAAGATTTGTTGTAAATAGAGATCCGTTGACGTTGATATCGACAATACTAAGATCAGGCTTGATGGGTTCTTGATCCGCGCCTAGCCCCGTGTTAACGTGTGCCTTCGCTGGGAGGTGCTTTTTATCACTCACCGGAGAATGAGAATACCTCATCACGCCGTGCCACTCCTGCGTTCGCAATTACGTACGAGATCCTACCATCAGGTGCAGCTTCGGCTGCTGACTTGAACAAATTGACCTGATCATCCCAGTTTGTAGTGTCACATTTCACGAAGAGAGTGCTAGGGAGTGTAGAGTGAGCGTTGTTTCATTGAGTATTCGAATGCAACAGAAGGATTGTTTACCCTAGTACCTCCGATGTAATTTGTTTCCCTTTCTTCTCATCAAGATCGCCAATCACAACAGTACATATGCATCCATGTATTAGCTTGCGATACATCGGCATGTAATCAGCAACTCCCTTACCCTACAGAGTGAAGTGCTCGAACATAAGCCTCCCCAATGCCGTTCGCGCCTACGGTAGGCAAATGGTCAGCGAGACTATGTACGACAGTATTCCGAATTACTCACCTCCAGTTATCACGGCAGTCTTGCCATGTAGGTTGTTTTTCAATCGTCACAGAGCAGTCGACTGGACCGCTGTGAACGTATTTTGACATGAGGGATATTGGTTCTTAGTATCAGATTGCTCGAATCAGTTTAAAAACAAAAAGACAACCTTTTCTAACTTGTAAAAATAGATTGATGGAACAACAGTATCTTAAATACCATAAAAGAATGTTCCATAAAGCCCGCTTGTTCCAGAATAACGTACATACAAGCGGCAATTATCCTCTGTTGTAAATCAATCGTATAAGCAGACTGCATTAACCTAACCGTGCCCACCCACTTTCGCACGCACCCCCTTTTGCACGCCGATTTACCGACGTTTCCTCAAACACACTGATAGATAGATACAATAACTGCCAGCTATAACACCATGAAATCAATTTAAATAAACTATCTCTAGGTTATTTACGTGTCCGCTTTCGCGTGGAAGGTTGTATTTCGAGGAACGAGTCAATAAGGACTTGTTCATTGCGTTATAGCTTAGGCATCTTCCTTTTCAGCTTGTCTTGCGCTGGTTTGATCTCTGTAACACTAGCAAAGACCTTATTCGGGTCTTTTCTAACTGTTTGACGTTTATCAGGCTTGTGATTATCTAGTTCAGCTTGTAAATCGAGGTTTGCTTAACGTGTTGTTACTAGTTCTGCGAGCGCCATGTCAAGTAACTTAGCACATTTCCTAAGCAACTCCCTTACGTCTTTAGAAGTTTGCGAATGATTAATAGTAACGTCCCTAATTTGAAGTCGAAGGTCCTTACTATTATGAGGAGTAAACAGACCAATTTCAGCTAGATCTAACTCGTTTTGTGGTGTTATAAGTTAAGTGTTAAATAATAGTGGGAAGAACTTAGGGTCACTTAACACCATTAATTCATTTAAGGGGTAAATACCCGTTTTGGCCTAGCCGCTTTCGATAATTTGTTTTGTAAAAGTAAGGGCATAAGCTTTATTATAAGCTTTAAGCATCCGTTACTTGTTAACGGGCCTAATAACTTAAATACCACGGTATAGGCTTATTATCTTATAATAATAGGACTTTAACGATAAGAAGACCGTTTTGTTAAGTAATTAAAGCGCTTCGCTTGTATATGCTAGTAGGTATATCAAGGCAATCCTCTTCCTAAATGCCCTTAGCATGAACCCGGGTGTAACATAAGTATTATAGCCATCGAAGAGGAGCATCCTCCATAGGTTTAGGCAATCTAGGGACTCTTGTGGTCTGGTTTCTAGCTCGAAGACCTCTAACAACCATGACAGCGCCACTGCTGAGTTGGTCCAGCCTTTAGGGGTCGCTATATACTCAGCTTCCTCAAGATCCTTAGGTAACCATTGTGCTTGTAGTGTTGTTCCTCTTAGTATATACGTATTCGTTGTTTTCAACCCGATAGCGTTAATACTATGGATAACTAACATCCATCCAGTTACTGGGTTTTTCGCAACGCGTGAACGACGTGACTTAGACGTCCCGATGACTATGCCTTGACTTTGTTCGGCTTCTTATACACCTGTTTCATCCATATTATAGATGTCCTTTGGTAAGATCTTATAAGTGTCTTTGACCTATGATATATACGTGTAAAAGTCCTTTACGGTCTGTTTTTCAATGCCTTTGACCCTCTCAGCGTTAATTACACGTCTAACCTTAGTCTTTAAGTGTGGGTGGCGGCTAAAGAACTTGTATACCCAATTGTATCCAGGGGTGACCGTATCGTCGATTTCGCCGATACCAGTCATGATATTAGCCGTTATTTATCGCACCATATTCGAGCCCGGAGCGCGTTTACATAATTCCTCATGTAAAATCCATTGCTCAAGCTCTATTTCTTGCAATTTAGATAGGTTCTTTAACGTTTCGTAGGCTAAGGAATATGGTTACGACCCGTTAAGTCGTCGCGACAAAGTAGACCGTACGATACCGAAAGCTTTGGCTGCGCGCGTTATCGTTTCGCCGTTTCGAATCAAACTAATTGCTTTTGTTACATCGCGTTTATTTAGTTTACCCATATTGAAAATATCAAATCGATAGGATTACAATTGGTTAAGTTCTAGCATTTACAAGAAAAGCGTGGTGTTATTAACGCGTCGGAAGATCGGCGTGTAAAAGGGGGTGCGTGCGAAAGTGGGTGGGCACGGTTAGCATAATTCCCACCACTGGGCTTTCGCTTATGTCTAGACTAGAGTAGTCTAGGGCTGAACCGTGCTTTAGCGTTGATTATAGCGCCCCACTGGCGTCCGCCTCTGGGTCCTATTGGCGGGCGAGCTTATAACTATCAAGCGAAAAAGCTTAGCTTCTGCTAGCCTTCCAAGGTAACTATTAGACCACATAGATATCAAGTCCGAACTTCCTTTCTACTCTATTCTTTTCTGTGTCCGACCTTATGCCCCGCACCGCCGCTCGAGTCATTTCTGGTGACACGACTCCTGTCCAAAAAGTAGCCACCGCCGTCGAGGAGACTCATGAGGAGATTGTGATAGAACCACGTCACAATTGTTCGAATTTGCGCATAGGTAGAAGACCTTTAGGCTGGCGACATGAAGGTCGAATCTTCGCATTGGTGACCGCGTCAGAGAAGCGCCACTACAATCAGATGAGCAAAAGCAAGTCATAGGGGACTTTTCGAGAGAATTTCCAGCACCTATCTAGCGGAGACTTCGGAAATTAATGATGACCGAGGTGTTGTTCATAGACTCCAGAGCTACGACACTACGGCAGTCTATAGAAATTTCCAGCTTGCTTCCGCGGCGCCAGTGATACTCTTACGATTGCGTACTTTGAGACTGTGGTGGTTGTCAAAGTCTTCATTCAGCACACCGTGAGAGCTGCAGCCTTTTTGCGGGGTGAATGACGTTAGTGAGAAGCTCTTCTGACCGCCACGAACATCCGCCAAGATCGATGGTTGCAAAAGAAGCTCTTACAAGTTCTTGGTATCTATTCCTTTTTCTTTCCTTTTCATAGCGGGTCTTTCTAAGTTCCAGCCAAAAGAAAGGGAAATTATAGGGCACACCGTCCCTCCGATTCATATGGCAGCCAAGTTCCAGACTCTCTGCTCTTGACGTCCGTTGTGGCAGACTGATGTCTCCACCTTGACTACGGAAAAATTTCTGTTGCCCCTTGCCTATTATAAGATTATGCTATATATTAATAAGTTGAAGAAAATAAGCCATGTAGTAACGTTTGTTAATTCCATCATTCGTTTTCTACACATCTTCTCCCTTTTCAGACTCTGAAACCCTATCTAATCCCGTTCTAAATACTGGATTTTATAGTTTCAGTTTTATTAAGGGCGATAGGAGCGGTATGAAATATCGAAAAGAGCATGCCACAGAGTACGAGTACCACAACTAAATCAACTCTTCCGTCCGCTTCTCGGAAGGTTGAGCAACACCATGCAACTACACTCAGTGGCAAATGCTCGATACACTGTTACTACTTTCCTTAATCCAGCTAAGGAATTTTCCATGATACACAATATTGATTTAGATCTAAATGACGGGCCTTTGAAGTAAACCGTATAATAAAGGTTCTTTGGAGTAGTATTGTAGTTAATGTACAGCTTTGTCTATTGTATTTTACTGCTTTATTTAATGATGTCTTTATACCACCTAGGAGAGAGTTCACTAACTTGGACGATTTTATCGAACTTAACTATTTAATGTTTCCTATCGCTTTTTATAAAGAGATTAATAAATCTGTGCTTTTTTTTAAACATCTATAATTAGAATATCTCTATATAAATACGTTTACTCTTTATTCTTAATTATCGTTTATAATCTTTATTATATAATGTTTAAGGTTATTACAATACGTTTACGTCTAGCGTACTATTAGGCTAATAAGCCAAAAGTGTATATTACGGAGGTTATTTATAATAACGTAATTACATTATATATAACCGAGGGGCGTTACACTTATACTGTAACGAATACCTTAGAATAATCTAGAATAATCTTATTAATCCATTAGATTAATAATTACTTAAATTATAAGTCGTAATGAATTTTATGGCAATATGGATGACTATAGATGTCCACAGCGTACGGAGAGCACTCCGTACACTAAGGCGACGAGCTCGCGGATCACCGACCTTAAGAAGTGGTGATCACGTGACTAGGCCAGTAGGTATATACCCACTTTCTATACACCGATTTCTCTTTTATACTCTCAGACTTTTATATACTACTTAACAGTACTTATACTATCATTTTACGCCTAGAGCGTTACACTTACGATCCTATGCTTATACGAGCACCGTATTCGCTATCCTATGCTCTAGTAGATTTAGGCTCTTCCTTTTAGTGTATTACACTAAACCTTCATTATAACAGTCCTCTATATTAATTGTAGAAACTGTTATAAATTTATAATAACTATAAAAGTAAATAAAAGTAAGAGAACTCTAATGACGAAACTATTATAAAGTAGTTTCGCTTAAATAAAGAAAAAAGTATAAAAACCACTAAAGCTTTTACTAACCTTATAACGGATAACTCTATAAGTATTAACCGTATAATAACGGTAATGTTATAATACTTATAACGGGGCTATAAGATATAACAAGTATATAAACAGATCTCTTTAACTTATACTTAGAATAGCTTTTAAGACAAGATATATTACAAGCTTATATTAACTTTATAATTCGTAACGTTATAAGCTTATTGTCTTATACTAGTGTTATTAACTCTTATAGCTTAGTATTAACCGTACTTATACTCTTATAAGTAAGATATACGTTTAAACGTTAATTTCTTACTTAATAAAATGTTATATTAATATACTTAATATAGTTTATAAGCGAGCTAGCCACTTAAGGAAGCTAGCCACGCTAATTAACATAATATATAATTTAACCTTTTACCTTTATTTTCATCATTACTTCTAAATAACTTTAATTAATAAAGAAGCTTAATTAATCTTTATTATTTAAGTTATTGAAAAAAATCTAACATTAAGCGTATAACGCGTCGTAACGATATATATAGTCCCTCGTTTAACGCTTATAACGCGAATACGCGGTATTTAACCTCGACGCGATACCCGACTTAAAAATCAAATTCTTATAAAACTAGAAGAGGATACGATTATTAAAAGGATAATTAAGCTAGATTCCTAAGTATTCCCTCCTTAGTTAAGCGTTATAAAAGATATAACGAATCGATTATTACGCGACCGCGACGCGTTACGCGTCGGGAAGAACTAGGCCTTTAACTTCGTTAAGCGATAATTATAACTCAAAACGGTATTTAGTCGTAAGTACGACTATTCTAAGGCTTTATACGAAGATCTAGAACTTATCCAAGGTTAGTTCGACCTCGTACGTAATATAATCGCGAAATACGGGGTTATAAATACGGATATTTATAACTTCGATAAGACCGGGTTTATAATAAGACAAATCACCTTATCGATAGTCGTTATTAACTCCGAAAGGAAAGGCAAACCTAAGCTAGCTTAGCCTAGTAATTAAGAATAAGTTACGGTTATTTAAGGCGTTAATTCGTAAGGCTAAACGGTCTTATCGTATATTATCGTTAAAGGCAAATACTACCTCTTATCTTAGTACGAAAATAACTTAATACCGAAGAATTAAAAAGTCGTTATTAGCCCGAATGGTTAAATTATTAATAAACTAACTATAAATTAGCTAAAATACTTTAACGCGTATATAAAAAGCCGGAAATTAAGTATATACTAGCTTTTAATCCTTAACGGCTATGAGAGCTATTATTCGGATACTTTTAAATAGTATTATAAAGAGAATAACATTCTTATATTTTATATACTTGCTTATTTATCTTATATCCTTTAGCCATTAGATATAACATGTTTTATACCTCTTAAGAAAGCGTATAACGCGTAAATTAAACGTCTTATCCGAGCCCGGATTTCTTATATTACGAAAGAGGACTTCCTCCCGGCGTTTTACGAAGCATTCGAGAAGAGTATAACCGAAAGCAATATCCGCGTAAGCTTCGAGGGAGCTGGACTTATCCCTCTAAGCCCGGAAGTAGTGATATCGAAGCTAGATATGAAATTATAAACGCTAATGTCTTCTCGGCCCCTTACGCGAGAAACCCGACCTTAGGCTTCGAGGACACCGAACAACCTAATCGAGGCTACTTTACAATCTGAATTTATTAAATCTCGGATCGCTAACTATTAAAATAGCTCTCTAACCTTAATTTACGAAGCTATCGACCAATTCGCGAAAGGAGCGTATAGGATTATACACCGGATGGCCCTCTTCTAAGCCGAGGTGACTGAATTACAAGAGGCAAATACGGTTATTAGTAAGCGACGTAAGGCTAAAAAAACACGTATTCGGCTTAGAGGATCACTTAATATACAAGATATAGAAGATTTACAGGACTAAAAAGACGTTATATAGCAAGTATAATAAGAAATACGTGAAAACGGTAATGGTTCGGGTCGGGGACCGGCGCGCTAACGACGTTATAAAGTGTACGGGAAGCCCGGGCATAACGTAAGAACCTGTCAGATTGAAATAAAATTATCTAGGCAAGAGTATTCAGAGTAGTTTTAATTAATTTACGGCGTTATAGTTGCGAAATTCAGTTAAATTACGTATTATGCTAATTAGCGTGGCTAGCTTCCTTAGGTGGCTAGCTCGCTTATGAACTACGTTATTATAAAAACTAATAATAAAGTATAAAAAGACTTTGAAATAATCGTTATTATTAATCTGATCTTAAGAAGGGTCGTTAATACCTTTAGCTAAATTAGCTCGGTGATTAATTATATAATACTCGGGCTTTATTATTATTATTATTAAATACGCCGTAAGACTCTAAGTCCCTCGGTACCTCTCCGGATTACATCGTACGGTAAACCTTGCCTTAAAGGCTAGACAAAACCCGTACGCTTCGTGTGCTCTACGCCCTAATGGCGTTTACACTATAGTGTTTATATTACGACGTTAGTTCTCACCTAACTAACGTAACTACCCCTGAAAAGACTGGCTATCCCCTATATAGGATAGTCTCCCCGTTTATAATAGCCACCGGACTAAAACCTTCGACACTTCTAGGATTAACGTAGCCGCGGCAAGGTCGCGGCGTGTATTTAGCTTTACTAGAGCTATAAAGCCTCTTAAGCGCGCTTGAGCCTCTTCTAATAGCCTACAATGGAGGAATACGTGTCCGACTGTTTCGGGGGCTACGCTATAACGGCAAAGGGACTCGGGCTTTATTTAAGGCTAATTAAAGCCCGTAAAGTTATTAAATTATATTAACTAGTCTTAATCCTTTTAAATTAAATACTAACGGGTTATTATAATTATAAGTAAAAGGTAATAATATGTTTAACTTTAATATAAATCTTAAGAAAGAGGGAGAGTTTCCTTAGCATTTTAAAGCTAGACAAGGGCATTTTATTATTCGGCCGGCCAGAGCCTAAGCTATAAACGGTACATTATCTTTTAGAAAAGTTGCGTTTTGGAAGTCTCTTCGCTTGTGAGCTATGTAGAGTTACCTAGCAGATACGTTCTGCTCCCTTGGAATTTTCTTAGTGCTCGGGGTAGTAGGGCCGCTTGGCTTCCTCGGAGCGCGAAAGAAAGGAGCTCCATTGTGTATAGCCCCGGGGGCGAAAGCGGACGTGTCAGGCGGCTCACCTATAGACGTTGTCATTCGAATCGAAAAGATTTTCAAATGCCAAGAGATATTAGGGATATACTTTAAACGCGTCACTAGATAGGTTCATTCTCTAGTTGCGCCCTAACAGCGCGGCGCCAAGAAAAGTAGTTGTGGTTGGGGCCGATTTTGACTACAAATTGTATCAGTCAGAACCCTGCCTTACTCAATTGTGTCAATCCCCCGTAGTGGGGTAGGATTAGTTCCTGAGCCTAGCAGCCAAAACACTAGGGTCTCTGGTGATGAGTATTAGCACTGGTGCAACGAAGGGGAGCTGAATTATGACATGCGTGACCCGATTCAGTTCTGGCATGATAATCACTTCAAATACCCTCGTCTTTCCCGCATGGCTCTTGATTTCTTTTAGCGGTTCAAGCCATGAGTTCAGAGTGTGAGCGGCTTTTTCGGCTGCTGGCAGGCTAATGACGACCAAACGACAGGATCTAGACTCTGTTATGGTGTCTACTTGCTTAATTTTGAGGTCGCGGTATCGGGCTGCGCTGCTCAAGAGGATTGATCCTCTGATGTTGTCTATGGAAGAGGAACTAGGTCTTAAGAAACATGCTGAGGCACAAGTCATAGAAGCCGCTAAGTGGCTTAGGCTGGAGGAAGCTGACTACAATGACAATGATACATTAGTGTCTGTTAAGGCTGATGACCTTGATGTAGAGATGGCAGATAGCTGCGTCGATGATTCCGAGAGGGATAATATTATTGCGTCGGTCGAATAATTATACCGTGTCGATCAACGATAATCAACCAAACCGCGAACCCAACAAAACCCAACCAAAATTGTGCGGTTAGTTGGCCAACCAAACGACTTATCGTGATAACCGGGTTTGATTATGTCATCAACCATCGTGAAATTCGGCCTTGGTTTGGTTTGGTGGGCTCGGGTTGGTTGTTCAGAGCCTTGCGTAGCCTCTTATAGCGACGATGGCAGCTGTGCGAGGTGGACAAGCGCCACTACTCCATCACTCTGTTTCCGCACGCCTTATTTATCACTTCGCAAACGCTGCCGAGGTATCCAACCATGGGGTTGTCGTGGCAGTAAGCCCCTCGCGGAGGTCCATTAGCGCAGTACAAAGAGATCAAGTTGATGCGTAAGGATCCCCCGATGTGTTAAATGTTGGCACTGGAGAGTTATACTGACTCGATCGACACATGGTTTATACAAACATGAAAGAAGCGCCTAACCTAGAAATTTGTGGAAACTTTAAATGTTGCATATACCATTCGTTACTCATCGATAATATGTAATAAGTTGCCTAGCTAGAATTTTGGACAAGTGCAATGACGAACGAATTCGATGCAGCTATATTTGACACAGTTTCAAAGTTCAAGTAAGCTCTCAAGCAATCCTTTAGAGGAAAAGATTCCTGTGAGTATGCCAAGTTGTTACTATAATACCCTGAACGAGCTCCTTGGATTATTACTTGAAGAGGATAAACCTAAGTGACGAATCTAATTCTAGACTGACCCTTGTATTGATGGGGTCACTCATCTGGTCGACTTGTCCACTAGTTTGCATAACGTTTAGTGGCGTGTCCAGAGTGATCTTGCCCTTAATGTACCCGCTCTACGCACGCCCACACTTACACTAGCGGAGATCGGAAGACATCAGCGACAAGCGAAGTGATTATAATAGACCCACTACCACGATGACAAGGCTCACCATGCCATTCACGCGCGGTTCTCTAGTACTGGCAAGGGTGTTCTTCTAGCGAGAATTCTTATTACAAGTTGGTACCACTAGATCTCAACACATAGAGAAGAGTGCCGATCCCTGCATCGCGGTATTCGGAAGTAATAGCGACAACCGAGTCATCCATATTATACAGCCATGTCTTGCTACAATGAAGCCGAGAGAACGGCCGATATACGTAACCTTATCTCCATACTACTCCGCACTCCTCCATACTCCTCCGCATGCTGAAAGAATAGGCGATAGCAACAATCCTTTATGACATCTGGGGAAATTATCTCCACATTACCCCAAAGCCATTATCCATAGCTCCTAACTACCAGGGACGCTTATGTCCAATATGCCAATGCTATTCGTCACATGTTATACAGGATGGTCTACCTGCAGCTTCCCTGCTGACTTGTGGACCCCTAGTCGGGTCGGATTCGCTTTCATGGTTCTGTTGCGAGCCAAAGCATTAGCACAGCTTGTCACATTGGCAACGGCTAGAATTCGTCCTCCAAGCTCGGTCTACGCGACTCAACGTATAAAATACTCTGCCTTCGCAGCACTATCCCCTCATCACTCTTGACTCATCGTCCTTTTCATCATACGGCACCGATCTGAAATAAGCCTGCTGCACGCGACAAGATTATTTTCATTGCGTAAATCCCCTTAAGCATGGGTCTGTTGATCAAGAAGCCCGAGGGTGTGTCCGGGAAGACATGGCCAGCCATCGCCATAGGAATGTTCGTTGCCGTTGGAGGTATTTTGTTTGGGTATGTAGATTTACCCAGGTTGCTTCCCCAGTAGAACTCTTGTCTCATGTCGAACAGATATGACACCGGTACGATCAGTGGTATTCTAGCCATGCCTTATTGGCAAAGTTTGTTTTCTACTGGTTATGTCAATAGTAGTGGCAATCCTGATGTCACGGCATCCCAGTCTGCTACAATCGTCTCAATTCTCTCAGCTGGTACTTTCTTTGGAGCCCTGGGCGCAGCACCTGTCGCCGACGCTATTGGTCGCCGCTTTGGCTTGATAGCATCAACTGTGGTTTTTATGCTAGGCGTTATCCTTCAGACTGCTGCCACAGCTATTCCTCTATTCCTTGGTGGGCGCTTCCTTGCCGGTTTTGGAGTTGGACTGATCTCGGCGATGAGTAAGTCAACATTAGGATACCAGCACTTCTTGATTCCAGCTAACACAAACAAAAGTACCGCTTTATCAATCTGAAACTGCTCCAAAATGGTTGCGCGGTGTGATCGTTGGCTCTTATCAGTTAGCTATCACTATCGGGCTACTACTTGCTTCAATTGTCAACAATGGAACCCACGATCGACAGGATACTGGGTCTTACCGCATCCCTATCGCAGTGCAGTTCGCCTGGGCCATCATTCTCATTGTTGGATTGCTGATCCTCCCCGAGACCCCACGATATCACATCAAGAATAGCAATCTTAAGGCTGCCGCCAAAGCCCTTGCGAGAATTAGACGACTCGATGAGAGCCATATTGCTATTACGGAGGAAATTGCCGAGATCCAGGCCAACCATGAATACGAGCTAACATTAGGGGCAGTCACATACCTAGATTGTTTCAAAGGAAACCTTCTAAAGCGTCTCCTCACTGGCTGTCTGCTCCAGAGTCTACAACAGCTCACCGGTATCAACTTCATCTTCTATTACGGGAACCAGTTCTTCCAAAACTCCGGCTTTACCAACTCTTTCGTTATCAGCTTGATTACCAATTGCGTCAATGTAGGCTCGACGTTGCCTGGCCTATACGCCATAGACAAATGGGGACGACGACCAGTTCTTCTGTGGGGTGCAATCGGGATGTGCGTATCGCAGTTTATCGTTGCGATCGTTGGGACAACAACTACCAGTCAAGACTCTGTTGGTAACATCATCGTGCATAACGTCGAAGCCCAAAAGGCAGCCATTGCCTTTATCTGCATTTATATTTTCTTCTTTGCAGCGTCGTGGGGTCCGATCGCCTGGTATGTCATGCATTCACATTTTCCTTTTCCTGTGCCTCCCTTCCGGTTAGTGGCTAAAAAGAAATAGGGTTGTCACCGGTGAGATCTTTCCGCTCAAAGTCCGCGCCAAGTCGCTGTCTATCACCACAGCGTCGAACTGGATGTTGAACTGGGCCATTGCATACAGCACCCCATATCTCGTTAATTACGGCCCTGGCAGTGCGAATCTACAATCCAAGATCTTTTTCGTGTGGGGAGGTTGCTGCTTCATTTGCATCGCGTTTGTGTACTTTATGATTTATGAAACGAAGGGGCTCACGTTAGAGCAAATAGATGAATTGTATGCCGAGGTCAGCGACGCGAGGCAAAGCATCACTTGGGTTCCTACCATCACCTTCTCTGAACTCAAGAAAGAGGCTGGCGAAAAGGAGCATGGGGCTGTGGAAGTCGAGAAGCATGAAGATACGACGTAGGACCGTCGGGGCGAGCAATAGTCTGTTGTCACCTGCTCATTAGGTCGAAAGACTTGCAAACGAGCTGGCAAGAGAAAACACACGACCAATGGCTTGTCATACTCCTCACAACGTCTGCACTACCGTGCATTCATGCCCTCTCTCCACGGAACTCCCGAAGCATATCCTTAGCTTCATACACCATAGTCGATAAAGAAACCGATAGTGGTTGTAGAGTCTGAGTGTCGCGCTGATTTCAATGATCTCTTTCCTCTGGTTGAGAAAAACTTAAAAAATGCGTATTGCCAATGACTGCGCCAACCTTTGAAAAGAGCGCAGAGACACGCATTCGCTGCATCCGAGTCTGACACATAAGGATCGAGGCTTCTATGGAAGCATTTCCGTTTTGATCCTTGAGCCGAGCTGACGGCACAATTGAGTGGGCCAGCAACAGCAGCTCAACGATAGCCCATGTGTTGCCGAAGCCCGTAGTCGTGTTCTCACCTAAAAGTCTCCCTTAGTCGATTACTGCATGCCTGCATTTAGTGCTGGAGTCATTGGCCTATGTACAATACTCATAGGCCCATAGCACATGAGTCAAAGTTCAAATGTTTGGAAAATTAAGTCGTCGAAGGTGCACACCCAAGGGTCTTACGCAATGAGCATAGCCTCAGAGCCGCTGGTGTGGATGGCAACAACCCTTCTTCACCCCACGATGCTACGTGCACACTGTCGCGTTCCTATTCAGTATTAATACAATACACCGATTTCCATCATTTCCGAAAGTTGATGCTCCCTCATCTTCCTGCCTTTTCAGATGTCACACGACTGGAAGTTCTCGCGTAGGCATATTAGTGGTTCGTGATCGTTTGTAGCCCCGAATGTTTAGCGATAAGTGGCCTGCGAGATGCTTCTGGCTCGTCGCTGCGCATTCAACAAACATCTCGAAATCATCTCAGTCCAAGCTTCTGCGAGGACGACGATGAAGCGCCAGACCACAGATTTATCATTGAAGCGACCTTGCGTTTCTCTGTGAAGAAGGAGGCCGGTTCCCGGAGGCAGCAGGGCTTCGCATCTCTCTCTCGTTTGTACTGGTGTGGCTACTAAAGATGAGCAGCAGATGCCAAAAAGTATGGCAATAGCAGGAAGATTTTGCGCACACATTGCGATGAGTTCGCTGTTGCAACACTGTAAAGTAGTGTCTAAAATCATGGAAGTTAAGAGGATTGAGCAAGCAAATGTGATTGTCATTAGGTAATAAAAGGCGGTATAACCGATTCGAGCTTATATATAAAGTACTATTTATAAGAGTATAAGTATGGAGAACACTAAACTATAAGAGCTAATAATAAAGGTATAAGATGACAAGCTTATAATGTTACGAATTATAAAGTTAATATGAGCTTATAATATGTATTATTTTAAAAGTTGTTTTTGCAGCAGTGTATACGGAAGACAACGAGAATGGCTCGTTGTCGCCAATTAATACTATTTTGGTTGTCGAACTCTACTTTCCACTCATTACTTATTGATCAGTCCACGACAGAGCCTGCGAGCTCATCATGAGGCCCATAACCAAGGGACGAAGACAGCGATCCTGGTTCAATATAGAAACTCTCATTCTTTCTCTGTTTTTTGTTGCCGCCAGACAGTGACGTGAAGTTGATCTTTGCGCAGCCAAAATCTGAAAGCCGCGTAGTCACTCCAAACCCGACCAGGACGTTCTTGCCGAGCTGCTCGTGGCGACAGCGATTGTCCGTTGCGCGCTAGCTAATTCAATGGCTCTTTCACTGTCCTAGGCAACCACCTCGGCCGGCTCGTTCTACGGCTCCACACAGTAGGCGTCAATCGTCTCAAGTCTGCTTATCGTTGCTTCTCTCATGTCTTCTGCAACTTGCTGCATCGGCGAGATGAAGCGGGTAAACATCCGAAACCCTGTCGTCCGCAGGGGATTGCTTCTTGGTAGTATATGGATGTCTACCCACAGGTTGATGGCCCGTTTGACAAAGCGACTGCGAGCTGGCATAACGCTCAACCTGCTCAGCACCGGACCACAGGACTTTCAAGTCGAGAATTTCTGAATATGGGATTTTAGCGATTCTTCGGCGATATACAAGCTGACAGATTCCTCAGCTCAACACCGTCTAATTCAGCAACCGCTCCTTTTTGTAGATCATGCTTCTCTGTCTCGGGAGAGGGCTTAAACATGCGGTGCTGTGTTGATCCAGGTCCGATCTCTCGACTGTCGAGCTCTTTCACTGGTCGCGTGCTATCCAACTCGGCTACGGCCGCATCGGGGCTCTCGAGCTCGAACATGCCTGACCCTGGCGTACCCGGCGATATACTGCTGTCATTGGTATACGGAGATGATAAGTCAACACCGAAGTATGCCGGCCCTTCAGTTTCCGCCGTACTCGGGCTACTGCGGGTTTGGCCTAAACTTTCAATGCCGAACTGATGAGGGTTTTGAATCTTATCAATCACCCGATGGACAAATCCGAGCCGCGATTGCTTGACCTTCCACTTCACAAATGATTTGAGAATAAGTTTGCATTTGATCTCACTATCCTAAGTGGCTATTAGCTAGTGCTTCTTTCGCGTCAGATCTATTTGCGGCCTACCACTTTGAGCCAAAGTGAAGACTCCTTGTTTGACTTGGGCGGCCTAGTCGAAATAGTCCAATAATCTCGGACCTCGACTCCTAATTGCGAGTAGACATGGGAGATCATACCGTTAGGTAGATCGAGGAAGCCGACTTTGCTGCCGAATTCCCCGGAGCCTACATCCTTGGGTAGTCTGAATTTTTCTGTTATGCTATACCATTGCCATGTATGGTGATGCTCCTCTGGCGGCGCCTCGGCAGGTGGCTTAATGGGGTGCCGCTCTTTGGTCAGAGAGCCTAGATCCATCAGATCATCATGGCTTTGCAGGAGCCGAAGCACGAGTGCCGGTGCGACGCCTGATGGAAGGGGTTCCGCAATCGTTATCTTGGCCATCCTGAGGCCTGGACTTGGTCGCCTTGTGGGCTGTGTTGAGAGGTAAAAGTGCGTGGTGCGTGGAGCGAACGTACTATCGAGATGTAGATTGATGCATTGAGATAACTATCTCCAATTAAGATTGACCAATCTTTGTGATTTATTAAAGCTGCGACGTGCTCTTGGTCGCAGAATAAGCTCTGCTAATACGTGTGTTCAAATTGATTGAATTGTTTCATCTAACTGCCTAACTGCGCCGGTCGCGCTTTCTAACTAACGTGGCTAGTCGCTGCTTCCAAGTCACGTGATTTCGGGGCAGGGGCTTTATAACATTAATCGCGCCGTTCTTATGTAACGCGCGGCGGACAAGGTGGTTAATAGGCTTACGGGTACCCGTGGTTATAAAATGTTACGGACCCGTAATAATAACAAATTAAGCTTAACGTTATTAGATTTTATAAGAAGTATATTAATATAACATTTATGACAGTTTCTACAGTTGATATAGAATACTGTTGTAGTAAAGGTCTGGTATGACGCACTGAAAGGAAGAGCCTGAATCTACTCGAGCATAGGATGGTGAATACGGTGCTCGCATAAGCGTGGGACCGCAAGTGTAACGCTCTAAGCGTGAAGTGATAGTATAGGTACTATCAAGTAGTATATAGAAGTCTGAGTCTACAAAAGAGAATATCGTTGTGCAGAAAGTGGGCATCTACCCACTGGCTAAGTCACGTGATCGTCACTCCCTAAGTTCGGTGATCCACGAGCCCGTTGCCTTAGTGTACGGAGTGCTCCCCGTACACTGTGGCCATCTACAGTCATCCATATTGCCACAACATTTTATTAAGTAAAATAATCCTTAGATTAATTATTAAATTAATAACTATTTATATAAAGTAAGAAATTTAACCCTTATTATATTTATTTATTCCTTTATTAATATTTTTAAAGCATTAAAAACGCGATGTTTATCGCTCTCAGAGCGTTTAGAGCCCGTCGCCTTATCGCTCTCAAAGTCGTATAAAGGGTCGTGCTTGTATTGCTCTTCAGGGTAGTGCGCACTACTGTTTAAGATCCAGCTAAAATGATGGAAGAAGATTAGTACTTGTAACAAGCTTCCATCCGCCAAACATAAACCTCAGATCTGATCCTAATACAGACCCACCACGACACTTTTTGAATGATCAGGGCCTGGACTGGCGTAAGTAAGTTAGGTGTGGCCGCCGTGAATTATTGGTCACTCAGCCACACTCCATACATTAACCTTGACTGTAGGTACCAAATATCTGAGCCGGACACGGCGCATTAAGTAAGTAACGGAGGTGCTCGATTCCAACTCTGCTCAAAAGAGACTGCTGAACTGGTGGCTGTGACAAAATCAGTATTACATGTACGGACAGGGGCATTAATGGTTCTAGAATACTGTGGTAGAACAAGCGTTAAAAACCTGCGCGTTCCCAAGCTTTGCCTTTTGCAAGTTGTTATAAGTGCAGCTTCTGGTCTTGTGCATGGGACCGGCATGCATTCTTCAAGGACTGAGAAAGAAGCGCCCCAAGATAACAAGTACTCTACATAATCCTCTCAGAAACCGTATTTAGGCCACGACTAGGTCAAATACTATACGCCCACTATAGGTCCATATTGTCGACCGCCCAAGAATGAGCATGCTGGGAAACCATTGCATATATCATCTGTTTAACAATGTCCCTTGGCTCATTTTGTATGCGTTCATTCTGATTCATGTTTTCATTGAAGCAGGATCGAAAACCGTGGCATCCCGCATTGGTGTCATGGCAGTTTTGCTGCGTCCCTGTCAGTTGCCGGGAGCACATTAAGGGTTCCCTGGCGGGACTCAAATCGCTCCGCGTTGCGTCGACGGACAATACTGTCTAAAAAACCCACCGTCGTGATTTGAATGATCGGTAACTTAGTTTGATTTAGCCGTGGTCTCGCGGTACTTGGTAGTAAAGTCTGTCCTGCTTTGAACCCGTCAAGCTCGACGGCATCCGCAAACGCTAATTACATGGCCTTGCTCCGTTCATACTCGGTCCCAACCATATTAACAGCTTGTTCTGCTTCTTTTAATATCGTAATATATAAATGACTGTCTCCGAATGCCTATATAAGAATCCGATGAGGATCTTTTAGTCAGTGTATGGTAGCAGCTTTGAGGGAAGGAGTGATAATGCAGCCATTTTCAGTGCGTCTATTACCGATGACCCTGACGCACTCCAGCGAACCTTCTTTCTCTAATACCTGCTCCTGTACATGTTGGAACCTATCAGTAAGAACAAGGACGCCGACGTGCTTTTGTTTCGCTAAAACTTGTAACATCGGAATGAATTTGCGATGGATGGCCACCTCGACACGCGATAATCTCACATAATGCCTCATATTTTCTACTGTCACCAATTTCTTCATAGAGTAGTGCTGCTCGTACTTAGTAGGAAAGCTTTAGTCGAGCAACCTAGCGGCCCGCTGAATAAAGTTCGTAATGTAAAAACTTTTCCATTAGCCTGCGGCAACTCATTCTCATGGGCCTTTTGGCAGAACAGAACATTAGTGTCCACTGCGGCTAGCGTTTTGTCTGTATTAACAAGCAGCGTTGGACGGAAGGGAACGGGCACAGCATCAAGTGTCTCTCCCGTCCCACCATCCATTGTATATATCTCGAATAACAGAGCTTGTAGGCGGATAGCCGCGCGTTCAATACCATCGCTCGATATCTCCGATCTTTGCACTACAATACAGGAATCGTTTAATGGCAAGAGTAAGCAAGGGAATAATTGTTGACTGAGCGTGCTTCCGACGTCGTCTCGATTCTGCCCAAGTCGCGATGTAAATAAACAGTCCAAGTCCCTTTAAGGTGAAGATTCCTCATTATATCCATATATGCTCCTCGGAACAACGATATCCTTCCTATCCTTTGGCTGCCGGTTCCTAGCTCCCAGCATGACTATAGAAAATGAGAGTCTTAGTAGTCATGAACCGGCCGTGCTCCATACTGCTGATCTAAAGGGGGACGGTGCCCCCAACTCAGCTCGCTTATCAAGATGACGAAAACGATTTCTGTATTGACTGTGCATTGCGGTCTCTGAGAGACTTAGTGCAGCCGATTATAGCCGCAAAACAGGCCAACAGTCCAGTGAAAACCCCTGACAGTCTTGAAATTAGTACTTCGATCCAAACCAACTGGGAGAATGCGCTCTCATAGCTGAAATCATCGCACTTTGGCACCCAACCACGTTGTGCCATACTGTATATGCCGAGGCTTGCCCGAAGTCGAACTTGTTTGTACAGCTCTCTCGGACTGCCTATCGACTCGCTAGAAAACTTCCTTCCGCATGTCAGGATAAGTATAAATTGCCTTAGCTAGCTAAGCTGGAGTTCGTTTAGACACAAATGGTCGAAGCCTATTCCGGCGCTAAGACTATGAATTTACATGTCGACCAATGTCGGAGGGATCGGCGGCGATGACAATCAACCTTTTAGGAGATAATTATGTTTTATTAAAATGATGTGTTTTTATTAAATAGTATTAAATTAAAAAGTCTAAGTAAAAATAAAAAATCAAGTAAAACTATAAACAAGGTTAAATCACTTAGTTAATTAATTATTTATAATATATTTAATAAATATTTATAAGAGCAAATAAATAATGATTATATATATAAGTACATAAGTTTAAATCTTATTTAAACTCTTTAGAAATAATTATTTCACATGTTTTACTTTTTCTTTATAATAAATCGCAATGACCTATCGCACTCTATACTGCTCTAACAGTTCACGAACCCGCTCAACGTTCAGCCCCTCATGAATTGTACCATCATAGGCTTTAAGACTTTTACCTTGGCACAGCGAGTTCAAAATGGCTTCCTCTGTCGCTTCAGCCGTCGCTACGAACAATGCATCGATGGAGCTGTGCACCACCGTCTCCACCGTCTGCGTTTCCACGTTTCGTCGAAACCCCGCGCCGCTAATCTGCCCCGCAGGCGCTGAGGGACGGCCTCCTACAGCACTACTAGTCTCTGGGGTTGGACGCTGCCAATCCTGTTTCATTGCAACTTGCGGCGCGCACTTTTTCGATGCCGAAAGAGCAATGATGATGTCACCTGAAGAGTTGTATCCCACACCTAAGCCACCAACAGCTGTTATACCTAGGGAAGCCCGGGCGGCAACGCGCTTTAGTTGATGCGGAAGCAGGGGAGCGTTTGTGATTACGCAAACAAGAATGCCTAGGTCTCTAATGTTAGTAATTCGTTCCAGGTCCTGTTCATCCTCCTGAATATTTTATGTCGCCTTTTCCGTCGACAGAGAACTTACTGCCTTCGGAACCCGTCCTCTCTGTGCGATCGGGTATGGCCTCAGGAGCACTACCCACCTGTCCCTTCTCAAGTTCGTCGCGCAGCAGCAATTTACCGACAGGCACGCCGCCAATGTGTAGCATTGATTTCTGACCAAAGTTCGTTTGAACCAGAACGCCAACAACAAAATCATCTTCATCACTTCCGCTGGGCACGAGACGACTGCTTGTGCCGGTGCCACCCTTGTGGCCTAAACAGAGCATACCAGCACCACCGCCGTATCCTCCTTCTGATACATGTTGTCGAGTCTCAGCATCCTTGATTGCCTCCACAACCTGATCGTGGGTTAACGTTGATTTCAAGTCGTAAATGTCAGTGTTCATGCCGCCCCAAGTCTCGCCGACCACAGGCCAGCCATGATGATTGTAACCCGATTCGGCGTCCTCTTTGAGCCGACGAGATGTCTCCCAGCTGTGATTAGTGAGAGCTTGGTAAACCGCGCCGCAGGACATGGAGTCGGTGAAAGCAATCGGCTATTCATGTAAGTCAATAACTCCTCAATCAAGATCAAGTCCCAGGAGGAACCTACCGAGCTCGTGAATCCCCAATCCTGAATGAAATGGGTTCCCGTCATCTCACCGCCGCCGTTCAATGTGTGAATCGCTGCATATGATGGCTGAAGTCGCGTTTTCTCCGCGCCGCGTGGATAGATCAGCGTGACGCCTACGTGTATCCCTTGATCTTCATCGTGGATCGTCTTTTGACCAACCTGTACACCAGGCACGTCGAATATTGAATTCTTTGCGCCAGGAGTGTAGTAGCCCGGGCCATAGCCGAGATCGCGGATGTGGGGGCGAGCCATCACAACGTACTAGGTTACTGCTGCGGCACTGCTGGAGTTCGGTGGAGCTGAAGAATTGAATCAGAGTAACGTTATGGTTGACATATTAGACCAGCCACGTTCAAATGCTGACGCAGTCATGAATATATATTGCACTCCAATATGCGGTTCATTGCCGTGTACGACACCTTACAGCCCCGTAAAATGACAAACGCTAACTCCCTGCTCCTCCTCATCCATATGAATCATTATGAGTAGTGCGCTCACACTAGCAATAAGGTTAGTTAGTTGTGTACAGCCTAATATTAGTTTAACCGTAGTGCAGTTGTGCAGCCAAGCTGCTAAGCACTTTTCAAATGCGGGTCAACCGACCCTACTCTAGTAGCATTTCCACTGCAGAACGGTCAACTTCAGCTTACATAGAATAACTTCCGCACCACACACTAGATTAGTGAAACAACATTGACATCATCAGCATTGAAGCTAGCGATGGACCTGGACTTGATTGATACATATCATAAGCGCAAATGAAAGGAAAAGATCTCGTCTCTCTAGCTAATGAAGTGATCCGGCAACCGGCGAGAAGGACATGCACTGAGCTCTGCAAGGATCGGAGAGAGCTAAAACAACCATCCGTTGCGTGAAGTGACAAAGGCATTCAACGCAGCTCTTCCACGCAACCTGAGCGGCGTAAGTCTTGTGCGAGAATAACAAAAGCAGGTGGTGATGCCTCATCGCTTTGGACAAGCATGCGGTGGTGGACGATTCGAATGCAAACTGCGCAAGAGCCTTTGGCGCCTCGAATAAGTTATCGGTTTCAACTTGGGATCTCATATCGTCAGGCAAAATCAGAATTTCGGACTTTCGTTCCTCATAGATCTCGGAGAATATAAACTCCCAGTTAATAACCTGCAAATTACACGTGATTTGATTAGAAGGCGCATAATATCGCCGCCGTACTGGAACAACAAATTTTCATTGGAATACTTCATACTAAAAGTCATTTGCTGGATTGCTAACGTATACGAAGTTCGAATTATTCTTAGTGCCATCCTCATTACGCACTCTAGGAGTCGAGAGTCGTTCTACAGCGATTCATTTAGTTTTCCGTATTATTATCCATACATGCATGTAGTACTCCGTCTTGAGCCACACTCATTACTATTTTCTTCGAGTACTGGCGCGTATAAGTTGACTGCCTCAAAATCTGGTTTCTTAATGTTCTTGTTGCTGATCTGGTGGGGCACAAGGAAAATTAGCGACACCCAAGTCTGCCGAGGCAGCAGCGTGCGATGTTGTATCTTTAGACAGGCGATTCAATTGCAGCTTCTCGGAACCAACTAGGTTAGGCTAGTTGCGTTGTAATGATTCGTAACTGGCCCGAGGCTGGTTTAAGCTGGTTCGGTCGTTAGTGACCCCACGCTATAGGTGGAACAAATGGGTAGGGAGATTCTACTCCGTACGGATCTCACAGTGTCCGTATGGCCGGATACTGCTGACGGTTGCCCGCACGCTTTTCCGTCCCTGTCAAATGTTCATAAACTATCCAATTGGCACCCTCAAGTTGCATGAAAACTGTTCGAACCGCATATACAAACTTGCCTTTGCACTGTCAGCCTTCGCCATGATTGAAACAGCGATTCGCCACAGTCCCGAATTGGCGCGGGGACCACTGAAGCATGAGACGCTTACAGAATCCCCAATTCTAACACTGGATGAGATGATCAGGCGGCGGGCGTATGAGTTACAAGATAGTCCCTCATTATGCTATCCCAACCAAGGGTTGCTTGACTTTGAAGTTCACAGTGCTCGCAGCATAGACAGTTATGCAGACGCTGCTGCTCAAAAGTTACAGGCTTTGGGATTGCCAGCTATCGTAAGGAACCCATACGGACAAGACGCTATCCACTCAAAGATCTTGCTCGACTAATAAATAATGACGTGCAGGACCCTTCAGCTGAACAACTGCCTGTGGTCGGAATTTTGGCTCAGTCTGGTCTGCATTTTGTTATCACAATCATTGCGCTGAACCGTCTCGGATACACAGCCTTCTTGATATCAACACGGCTCGCCAGCCCGGCAGTTGTGCAACTACTCGAGTTGACCAATTGCAACACAATCCTCACTACACCCAATTCCGACAAAGTTCTGGATGAGGTTTCTCAGACACGAGGCATAAAACGTTTCCCGATGTTGGCGCAATCTGACTATTACGGGGTGCAGGCCCCGCGCTATTCACGAGGATACAACGCCAAGCAGGAGAGCAGCAAGATAGCAGTCATCTTACACTCCTCAGGGTCGACTGGATTGCCAAAGCCAATATTCCTGTCCAACCGCGCATGCATCGGGTCGTTTGCGGTGAATATGGACATGAAAGGGCTCCTGACAAGTCCCTTGTTCCACTCGCATGGTTTCTACGAAGTATTCAGGGCGATATACTCAAAGAAACCCTTGTACCTCGCAAATTACTCGTTACCTTTGACGAGCCAGAATCTCTTGAGTATCCTCGATTATACGAAGCCTGAAATCTTCCACTGCGTTCCTTACATCATCAAGCTCTTGTCCGAAAGCGACGACGGCATTCAAGCCCTGGCCAAGGTAGGTATGGTACTTTTTGGCGGCAGCAGCTGTCCTGATGACTTGGGAGATGCACTCGTGAAGAAAGGGGTCAATCTTGTAGCCAACTACGGCGCGTGAGTACCACATCCCTCGCATTGACCTATATGGTGTCTAGTGAACCTCGATCAAGATCAAATGTTCATAGACGAATATGGTTGATAGCATTAAACATATACTGACGTGGATTTCAGGACTGAAACAGGGCGAATACTGAACTCAGCTCGACCGGTGGGGGACCTCTACTGGAACTATTTGCGCATACTTCCAGTTGCACGACCATATGTGGTGATGGATGAGATCGCGCCAGGCCTACACGAGTGCGTTGCTCTAGATGGGTTACCCTCTAAAAGCACCACTAACTCTAACGACCCACCTCGGTCATTTCGAACGCGAGATCTCTTTGCACCACACCCCACAGAACCTGGACTCTGGAAATACGTCTCTCGTCTCGATGACCGCTTCACCTTGGTGAATGGAGAGAAGGTCCTGCCACTACCAATCGAAGGCCGCATTCGCCAGGAGGAATTCGTGAAAGAGGCTGTTGTTTTTGGAGAAGGTAGATCCTATCCTGGCGTTTTGGTCATGAGAGCGGCTAGGGCGGCTGGTATCTCGGATGAGGGATATCTCGATCTGGTCTGGCCTGCGGTACAAGCCGCGAATGCCAAAGCCGAGACTTTTGCCCACATTCCCCGCGAGTTGATTGTGGTTCTCCCGGCCAACGCTGATTATCCTCAGACGGACAAGGGCACGTTTATCAGAGTACCCACTTACCAACGCTATGAAAATGAGATCAACGCGGCTTACGAAGAATACGAGAATGAAGAAGGTGGCACGCTGAAGCTCGCAGGGGCAGATCTTGAAGAATTTTTACGCAGCAAACTATACAAGCAGACTGGTGTAGAGCTACCGATCGAAGCAGACTTCTTCGCCTCCGGTATCGATAGTCTCCAGTGTATTCAAATGTGGAAAACGATTCGCAGTGAGCTGGATCTTGGTGGTCGTCACGAAGAATTAGGGCAAAACATCCTTTATGAGACGGGCACCATTCAAAAGCTTGCGCGCCGTATCCAGTCACTACAAGAAGGAACATCAATATCATCAGTCGATGAGCTGACAACTGTGCTGGAGTTGATTGACAAGTATTCAATCTTCACTCCGCACCGCGGTGGCATTGGGTCTCAGCCATCAAAAGAAGTCATTGTAGGCGCTTCTTTCCCCCGAGTTTGTGGTTTATGTCTATAAAGCGGCTAACAATCCTCTATCTAGTTACTGACTGGTGTCACTGGCGGCCTCGGAGCACATCTTCTTGCACAACTGGTTGCACTCCCGAATGTCTCAGCGGTATGGGCACTGGTGCGCGCAAATGACAGTGCGGCCGCACTGAACCGGATTCACGACGCTCTGTCGAGTCGTGGCCTCAATCTCGACCCTGAAGCTCAATCAAAGGTAGTCGCGATAGCGAGCGACATGAGCTCAGCCAACTTCGGACTCGACGAGACGCAACTTGCATCACTGAAGTCCAGCCTCACGTTGGCGATACATAGCGCTTGGGCCGTGAACTTTAATATACCCGTGCAAAGTTTCGAGGACCAACACATCAAGGCAACACACAACTTGATACAGTTTTGCCTGTCTACAGAAACTTCAAACCCAGCGCGGTTCTTCTTCTGCTCCTCGGTAGCAGCAGCAGGTGGGACACCTAAGCCTGCGGTGGTGGCAGAGGGCCCAGTCCTTCAACCTGAATATGCACTGAGCCACGGTTATGGCCGCTCGAAGTATGTTGCGGAGCACATTACTCTCAATGCTGCCAGAAACTTCAACGCGCCTGCGAGAGTCCTGCGCATTGGGCAACTAGTGGGCGATACAAGTAATGGTGAATGGAACACGACAGAGGGCATACCATTGATGATACAAACCGCCGTCACACTCGGGGCACTACCAGAACTTGAAGAGGTGAGTAACACGATCGTCTACATGTCACTCCTTGCTCGACGGTATTGACATTTTGTGACAGGAAATGAGCTGGCTACCAGTGGATTTTGCTGCTTCCGGCATAATAGATCTAAGTGGTGTGAAACCAAAATCCCCTCTCAGAACTCTCAGCGACGTTATCTTCGATACTGATCTAGTATACCATGTAATCAACCCTCATCGCTTCCATTGGACTCGCAACCTGCTGCCGTCGCTTAAGCAGTCGGGTCTAGATTTTCAGTCTCTTCCGACGGAGGAATGGATGGAAAAGCTGAGGAGCTCTGACAAAGACCCTGCCAAGAACCCCCCAATAAAGCTGTTGGACTGGTTCGAAGGCAAATACGGCGCAGGGGCGCGCGCTCGGCCCAGCGGAAGTTTGACACACCAAACTGACGCAACACAGCGCGATAGCGAAACGCTGCGCAATGTTCCTGATGTTACAGACGTCAAATTTGTTCAACTACTAATCCAGAAGTTACGTGAACGATGGGATAAACAATAAGTTAACATATATACATCTTCACGATCGAAGAGCTAGGCTTGGTAATAAAGAGATTTCAATGTTATTTAATATCTTAGATTTATTATATTAGCGGGGCTTACTTCCTAGATTTAGCGCTCCGTAGTGGTCCCCATCTAGTGAGTCTCCAGCGGATTCAACGCTTAAGTGCCTAAAGACAGTTCTGCCCTCAGCTAGGAGCGGACCGTTTCAGCTGGCCATACAAATCAAGCGGGCGAAGACTTTAGGTAGCGACATCCGTACTAGTGAGAACGAGTTTCCCCGGCAATCTCTCGAGTCAAAAGTAGCTTGGTAAAAATGCTCATCTACGATATATAGACTACATAAGATATTCCCAATCCGAAGATGTTTAAATATGTGCAGCAAAAATAACAGAACTTCCCATGACCGGTGCGTAATTCTTGACAGCGACTGGACGGAGACCGGTACGCTCGAGGATAGAATCCCATCGTGTTGCGGTCCGTTCGGCGGCACCAAACAGGGTGTACATCTGGAGATCAAGGCCTGCAGGCCACACATGAGGACCCTGATCGGCGAGGACAATCTCGTCAATCAACACCCGTGAGTCGGCTGACATGGCGGGCACGATGTTGGACAGAATCTGCACTGCCTTCTCATCGTCCCAGTTGTGTAGGATCGCTCTCAGGTAATAGTATTTGGCTCCTGCAAAATCACAAGTAGTCAGTAACTCATGCGGCCGGTAGAACTGGGAGGACCGTAGAAAGCGTATAACATACCTTTCACGGGCTGAGCACTGAAGAAATCATGTGCCTGGAACTCAACACCTCTAATACCTGGATTGCTGTTCACAGTTTCTTCGCGATCCTGAATCACAACCCGACCAGCAAGCTCGGGATATTCAGATACTAGGCGTCCTGCCTGCTGGCCTGTGTTGCCACCGATATCCACAAGAACCGGCCCCTTATTAACGCTACTTACAGACTCATCAAGCGGAATCACGTCCAAGGAGTTGCCCTCTTTGGGAACACCCATGAGGCTCTGAAAGTCCTTGAGGAGATCTGGGTTCTGCTTGAGCCAGGGGAAAAGGCCTAGTTTCGTATCAAGGCCTTTCTGGAACGCTGTCCTCTCGACCTGATTCTGGTAGCCGGTCTCCTTCAGAAAATCCGGAAGAGCCTGGAATGAAGGGTTGCTGACGGCGTGGAAAAATCGCATGGGGCTCTCGATACGAGGGTCCGCCAAGGCATGCGTTGTCTTCCGGGCGACGAAGCGATCAGGCTCAGCCTCGGCTACGAGACGGTTCGCAACCAAGTAGCGGAGGATACGGCTCAGAAACAACGGGTCAGCCTTGTTATCCTTGACCAAGTCCTCTGCAGAAAGAGGCGCTTCGCTCTCGGCGAGAGCCTTGAAAATGCCGAGATCAGCGCCAATCTTGATTAGCGCTGTGAGTCGACCCTAAATTGGGGAACCGCGTTGGTACTCGTGATTGAAATACGCTATGAGAAAGAGATAATACGGGATACTTACAGCGTTGACAATGCGCAGCATGGTGTCGTATGGTGTCTCGAGCTCCTCCGCCGACTCGTGTAGAGAAGACATCAAGCGGTGCCTGGTGGATTCGTCGAGAACCGAAGACTGAGAGCTCTCAGAAGACTTCAGCAGCTCTGCCAAAGTCTTCGTTGGGGATTTTTCCTCCCCGCAATTGATTAATTATCTGGTATGTCCATTGGTTTAGCTGTTGGTGTGGCGGTTGGTGTGACCATTAGTTTGGCCATTGGTGACATCATTAGTGACATGGCCATTTGGCTCAGCAACACCTCCAAACGACCTATTCGCAGTCCTAGCCTCGCCATTCAGGTATGAAAGTGAATCGTGCATTGTAAATTTGACCTGAGCCTTCTTGGCAGCTCTCAATCCTAATTCGCCGCACTCCAAACGAGGGGCCAGACCGTCAATAGAGTCAAGAGCAAAGTTATCGATATCGAGTGAGTCCTCGGGCCGAACCATGCGACGTCCCTTGAGTGTCTTTAGGATCGACTGCTCCTCGGGCGTCAATTTCTTCTCGACCTCATCGTGAAGCTTTTCATTGCTCTCATCATATGCGTCGCCATCGACACCTAGAATCTTGAGCTTGTTAACAAGGGCTTCCTTTTCTTCAAACGAGACGTGAGCGAAAGCCTTGAAGCAGAATTCCACTGTCTTGGAGATTTCCGCCTCTGTCAATTTGCCCTTGGCGTCTGCATCAACCTGACCTTGGATGACTGTAATGAAGAAGATTAGAACTTGATATAATTACGCAGTGTGACCCGGTTAACAAGAACTTACTAGGTCTAAACAGGTCGAACGCTCTCTCAAAATTCTCCTCGTCGAAATCGTTGATGACGGGTTGATCATGGGATCTGATCTGCTTTAACGCACTAGACACGACAACCAGATTTGCTCGTCCGCGCCCGAGAGAGAACTTATAACGGCTGGAACGGTTTACACGTTATATACGGCCTTAAGGTGCTTCTTTAAGTTGTTAATAATCGAAAACATCTCGTTTTATATCGGGTTAGAATTAATCCTAAATTAATTCTCAAGGTATAAAGGCCACTTACTTTATAACATAGGTATTTACTGTTAACCTTTATACGATAATAGAGTTTACCGACTCTAACGATAACTCTACCCATTTATAAACAAGTAAGTACCCGTAATGGATCGATTTAGAATTTATTCACAGTTTAATGAAAACTCACTTCGTCGGTTTCGTACCCGGGTAAGCGAAGGCGTCTAACGTTACCGTTAGCGTTGTTTAAGTATTAGACGTACTTGGGCTAAAACAGTTCGCATTAATGCTAGGATTAATTCCAAATCGATTCTAGTTAACTTACGATTCTTTTATACGACATTTTCTTCTTTACTTCTTAAATAATTTTATAAGCTACTAGTTCTATTGTTGTTATTCGTAAAAGGGTATTTAAATGTTTATAATAAAGTGGAAGGTAGGGTAAAGATCGATTCAAAAATGATTTAAAATTAATTAGCGGGGTTATATTAATTCGTAGAGTTACGGTCTTTGTACACGTAAATTCAATTTATTTAATAACTATTAATTCTTATCTACTATGTAAAAAAAAAAACATTAGCTTATCATAATATTATAGCCTTATAACATCCCTTAGCTTACTTAAGGGCACCCCTTAAGTCACGTAAGACCACCCCTTAAGTAACGTTATACACGGACTACAATCTTTTCTTCGCAAGGGGGCCACCCCTTAACTTGTCTGATTCTCGTTTACAATTATGACCACCCTTATATCTAACCCAACGGGGCAGGCTCGGGCGCAGGATTTATCAGGTTGCCAATGACTCGAATGCACCTTAACATAAACACACGCGGTCCAACGCGTTAGATGTTGCTAAGGGTCTATACCTCGAATTCCCCTACCTATAGCTATCTCTAAACCATTTAGAAAAAAAAATATTAATAATGGATAAGCAGCCCATTATAAATCAACTTCACTCTTCGATATATCCTTGTGTAAATCTCAACGACCACACTCTAGACGACAACTTACTGCCTTCGAAACTCCACCCTAAGGGTGAGTTCCCATACCGACCACCGACAACGAACGTGGGGGATCTCGATGTCCTTCCACCGGAACTACAACAGGAGATTCTATCCCAGTTAGACTTACGTAGTCTTACGGTCTTTCAACGAGTCAACAGACGCGCCACAGAATTGGTGAATTCTCTCCCACAATACAAGACTATCAATACACATGCTCTCAATGCACTACGTGGCATTCTGAGTATTGAAACCGGGAAGTGGATTACTTATAAGACTCTATACGAGAAACTGTGCACGCTAGAGTGCGAAAATTACGGCGATTTCGGTGGTTATCTCTATCTTCTCACTTATAAGAGAGTCTGCTTCCTTTGTTTTTCACAGGACAGGCTTTATCTGCCACTATCGCCGAGACTTGCAAAGAGGAAGTTTGGATTATGTAGCCGAACCGTTAACACACTTCCATGTATGAAAGTTATATACGGGAAGTATTCACCAAACGTGAAGAACGTTTACACTCCATCAGTCCTGGTTGACTACAAGTCCGCTCTCCATGCCGGCATTGCGTTACACGGATCGTTAAGCGCCATGCACGAATATGTGGCAAAGATGGAAGATCAGAAATGCAAGGCACACAACGCAAAGGTGACAGCAATATAGCAATCGAGTCCGACCAGTGGCCATCCGCGGCGGACACTAACATTAAATCCCTTTGATAAACAGTCGGGAAACCCGTTTCGATTTGTGGCAATTGTCCATGTAACATGGTTCAATAGAGCATCGCAAGAGGTTGTACAGGGTTTCCACTGCGTCGGATGTGAGAAGTCCTGCCGGCTACCTCTCCATTATAGACGAAAATTTATAGCTACATCTTTCGATAACCACTTGAAACGATTCGGCAGTATACAAAACGGAAAACATTGTTTGCACTGAAGTTGAGGGCCAAACGGCGGCTAAAGTATACAGAGCTACGTGGTGGTGGTCCATGTTATTTAGGATAATGTTAAGGACCATTTTGCTTGATTGATGTTGTTTCTCTACAATGCTTCCTCCCATCTTGATGCCAAGGTGTTATAATCATGTCTAGCGACGCATCTAGTCCTTTCCTTCCTTCACCATATGCCTCGAACACATGTGCGTTGAATCAGCGAGTCGATTCTACACAACCGGTGTGCACTTAACGTTAGTGCCTTGTCTCTCTGGGCATTGGCGAAACTCTTCATATTTTTTGCAACCGCATGTATAGAGTCGATAGTCTTGCGTGCACATTTTGCCTCTAGCGTCGCTAATGGATAGAGTTATGCTGTATAAAAACAGTCGACAAGTGACAAAGCTCAAACTACGTTCTGTTCTTCGTAGACAGCGGCTACGCCTTTTGTTGGATTTGATTAGGGTATCCTAAGGGGAACTTACAGTGGACTTGTAAGAAAATAGTCACCGGAAAGAGAAGCTTTACTGTTTGCTAAGTATGGGATCAAAAAGAGCAGACACCAATTTATAGTTCGAGCAAATCTGCAAATATTTGTACTCGGATTATCGATCTTAAATGTTTCCCAAAACTACATGATTACATCCCCGCCCTAATTATCTATTCCTAGATGCGCGCTACGGCTAACATGCTTTATTTCTATATGAAACGAGAGTATTTTCTGCTATGCTTCGAGCGACTCTTGATACCAGAACAAATCCCCCGTCCTAATAGGGAGACTTTCGGCAAGGTTAAGGACGCGCGCTAAGTGAAACAGATAGCGGGGATTCTTTTTTTTGGCTATCACTTAGAAGTACCTAAAGCTAAAGGCTGACAGGCCTAAAGCTGAAGGCTGACAGGCCTAAAGCTTGGTCCGCATTGGTAAGACGGCGGCTAGATCTTGTCTACCTGCCTCAATGAAAGTGGGGGGGCCGGGGGGAATATGTACAGCAAAACATAGCGGATTTTGAAAGCGATGCATTTGTGGAGCTAGTTGTGACCAATGAAGAGGACACTGTAAGTAGCGGCGCAACTTCCACGATTGGTTTACATTGTATCCATGGACACTGGAGACATGAGTAGCATTCAGGCTTAGCGCAGCTGAGGAGTACAGAGCAACAGGGCTTCAGCTCAATGATATGGCAAGTCATACATAAACTCCCGTACAATATTCGATGCGCTTCACTCACTGTTGGCAAATATCACTTCTTTTCCATCACATGCATGTGATATGAAACTCAGATTTAACCCTTAATCTTTTTCTTCACTATGACAGATCATGCTTCGAACATTCGAGTACTGCAGGCAAGCGTTGATCCAGAAAGCACAAGTGAATTTCGCATCCTGATCGACGACAAATTTGTCAAATACATCACCATCGATGCTGGTTTGTATGAGTGCGATGAGATGTGTTTCGGGCCTTCTCTCGTTTCCATACTACCACCTCTTCCGCGAGGTGATTGGAAAAAGGGCCGCATATCTAGGGATCTCAAGACTGGTGCCGCTTGCTTTTCTTACAACTTAATACAACAAATGGCAGGGATTACCAGGATTTGGCATTCCACTAAAATCGATCATCTGGATCTCCGCGAAGAAAAGAAGCTACGCTCTAACGTCTATGAAGTCACCTGTCCCGGCTTCGATTCGAAAGTCATCGCAAAATTCGCCCGCTTTGAATGGGAGGTGCCGCATTTAGAGGCGGAGACGACAGCGTACAGCTGGATAGATGGCCAACAGATTGGTCCTGCTTTTCTTGGCCACTTGACTGAGGAAGGGAGAGTCATTGGATTCCTCATGACTCGTATCGCTAACGGTCGTTACGCCACGATAGACGATCTTCTTTTGTGCCACTCGGTTTTATCAAGACTGCACAAATTAGGAATCAAGCACGGAGATATCAACAGACACAATTTCCTGATCCATGGCAGAAAGGCAACCCTCATCGATTTTGATAATGCCTCCCGACTGGCTAAAAAGGATAAACTAGAAGAGGAGCTTCACCATCTGCAGGACCAGTTGAAGGATACATCCGGAAGAGGTGGTCAAATGACTGTGAGTAGCCCATGTTGAGGTTTGTAGCCTGTTTTGTCGGAAGGCTGCTAAACAAATCGGCTTCTACATCCTGTATTAGGACATGTTAAGGTGCAACATGTGAAGGGCGCAGTTAATATACGTTTCAATTGACTATCCTGTTGACGAACATCTAAAGCTTGAAAAAGAATAGAATCACAATCTTTCATCCATATGATGGCACAATTTGTAGTTGTAGATTCGCCACTTCGCCAGTCCGTCGAAACCTTATTGCTTGGGAAAGTGCACGCCGGCAGCCATGCTTATAAGCTAGTCGGGTTTAAGCTTCATGGTCGCGCTCATGGTTAAAGGCTTTAGCTAACAACTGATACACGGCCTATAGCCCGTAACAATTCCGACTAGAGTAATACTCTAATCCATCGCCAAACTTCTTATTATAATCGTTAATAATATTTAAAAGTAGTCTTTAATTTATAAAGTAAAGTATCTTTAAAATTATTACCGCTTTATTATAGTACTTATAACGGGGCTATGGGATATAACAGGTATATAAATAGCTCTCTCTAGCCTATACCTAGAATAGCTTTCAAGACAAGACATATTACAAGCCTATATTAACTTTATAGTTCGTGACGTTATAAGCTTGTTGTCTTACACTAGTGTTGTTAACTCTTACAGCTTAGTGCTAACCGCGCCTATACTCTTATAAGTAGTACTTTATACGTGAGCCCGAATTAGTTATATACCGCCTTATTACCTTACCCCGGGGCAGTCTATAAGTAAGGAGTGACAAAAGTCACTGTTTAGTATTATAATACTATCGTTATAAGGGCCTATAGACATTAATAACCCTTTAATTATAAGAAGCGACGTTAAGCTAGCGAGAAATTTATACGCCTTTATCGATTCGAACGAAGATAAGCCCGTAATTAGTATACTTTACGAGCAAGTATAAAGAGTTATCCGTAACTTAATAACCGTTCGAATTAACAAAATACCATATAAAGTAAATAAAACCCTCGATTTAATCAAAGAACCTTACCTTAAAGAGTAAGATCGCGAAGATAATTTCTTTCTTATAAGAGTTATTAACTTAGCTATTAAATTTGCCTATATCGCGAGTATACCACGCGAAGGACTAATAATATTATAATTCGGATTTATAAGCTAGTATCTTAACACCTTTAAACACGCGTAATTATCGTTCTTCGAACCCTTAACGTAAGGAAACAACGCCCTCCCCGTTAAGCATGTTAACGGAAAGGAGCGTAAACCCACTTAAAGAGGATCCCGGTAAAGGTATTAATAACGGCGGAACTAATACTACTAATAATATCGACGCGTAAGGGCTAATAGCCTTAGTAATAGCCCTTATTAAGACAGTTAAAGAGCTCGTTATAAAGTTAAAACGTATTAAGACCCCGTTAATAAGATTATCAGATTTATTAAATAACGCTCTTATAATGTTAACTACGTTACGTTCCGCTTAACGGCTAACGGATGTTAGCCTGTTCTACCCGGATCACCCGGACGTAAAGGACTTTATATAATCGGATAAAAAGGTTATAACTTAAAAGGACGTACACTTATAAGCCAAGCACGTTATTAACTAAAATAACGATAACCTTGTTAAGTAAAAAGCCATTCGTAACGAAGGATAAACGTTATTACGAGGGTAAGCGTTATAATAAATAAACTAGTAATTATTAAACGAGGAAATACGCGTACTTAAAGTATTATATACGACATTTATAAAAGGAGTAATAAAATAGTTCGGTATATAATTAAAAGAAGTAAGAGAATAACTTATTAAATAAACGTATACTTTAGAAATAAATTAAAAAGATAAATCCATTTATACTTTCGTAATAAAACTATTTAAGTACGTAAGGATTTAAGGTAATATTATACCGTTCTAACTATTATCTCGATTATATAAAGCATTATACCCGTAATTATATACGTTATATATAAAGCCAGAACAGATTAACTTAACGTTAATATACTTAAATAAGTAAAAAGAGAAGTAAAAAGCCTTAGTTAACACGCTTAAGGCTAGCCCTAACAAGTCCACGATAATACTACTCGTAGAGTAAGGCTAGAAAGAAAATATCGCTTATTAAAGAGAAAGGCGAAGTAACGGGCAAAATCGCGAGGATTTTAACCCGGATAACTATAACCGCGAACGATACACTCGACTATTAAATAGATAAGGTCGATAAGATTAACGTGCGAGACTTTTAAACAAGTTATAATAACGAGTAAGCGACGTTAAGCGTTAATCCTTATAACCACCCGTATAAGGGCCGCCACGCGAGGACGGCGTAACTAAGTATAATTAACTTAATAAATAACGTCGATTTAGGCGTTATAAGCGTTAAGGCTAATAACGTTATAAGCTTAATAATAGTTATAACTTTATTAACGAGATAATTACTTAGGAACACGATAAAAACACCCTTAACGACGAAGTAACTCTCTTTAAAAAAGGTTATACTTACTTTAGCGAAAGAGAAGAGGAGTTATTTAACGCCGAGGAAGAAGTATACTTCGTTACTTATCCCGAAACCCTTAATATTTAAGTTATTTAAATAAATAAACACGTATTAATGTTAAAGTAATTGTTAAGAATTAAACTTAAAGATAATAAGAAAGGGAGCTAGATAATTAAAGTCGTTAACAAGGAAGGATTACTTGCCTTTTAACTTAATTAAGTAATTAAAGCAAACCTAGCCTTAAAAAAGAATAAAAGGTTATTATTTAAGAGCTCGTATTTTAAAATACTTGTAAAAGCGAGTTTAAATAATTAACTAGTCGAAGTTTACTTAAATTTAAATAGCTTAAATAATATAATTAACAAAACATAACTACGTTAATAAATAACTAAGCTAGAATTTATTAATTAAAAAGAAGTAATTATTAAAGGAGTTAATAATATAACTTATCTCGATAAAGCCGTTAACTTTAACTTTTATATCGAAGGAAGAGTTAAAAGAGTTTTAATAAAAGGACACTTTAATATACGAGCGAACGTATTATTAAATCTAACGCTTAAGTTATTATTAAGAACTAAGTTTATAACAAACTATAAGGTTAAAATAAACTTTATTAAGTTTATAATAAGCTTTAAGTCGGTTTTTAACATAGTAATAAAAGGGCACGTTACTCGGAAAAGGCTTATTCTAGTAATACGTAAGGTTACGTTAATATATATTATTATAATACTAGCTTTATTTAACGTATTATTATTATTATTATTATTAAATACGCCGTAAGACTCTAAGTCCCTCGGTACCTCTTCGAATTACACTGTATAGTAAACCTTGCCTTAAGGGCTAGACAAAACCCGTACGCTTCGTGTGCTCTACGCTCTAATAGCGTTTACGTTATAGTGTTTGTAATGCAACGTTAGTTCTCACCTAACCAACGTAACTACCCTTGAAAAGACTGGCTATCCCCGATATAGGATAGTCTCCCCGTTTATAATAGCCACCGAACTAGAACCTTTAACACTTTCGGAATTAACATGGCCGCGGCGAGGTCGCGGCGTATATCTAGTTTTACCGGAGCTATAAAGCTCCTTAAGCGTGCTTAAGCCTCTTTTAACAGCCCGTAATATAGGAATACGTGTACGACTGTTTTAGGGGCTTCGCCGTAGCGGTAAAGGGGTGTATACGCTCCGAACGCGTCTATTCTAAATAAAAAGGCTACGAGTCTAATCCGTTCAGACCGGATTTGGAAGATTATCGTAGATTCTTTCCTCTTAAACTTCTCATATTGTTTTAGACCGGTTCTAGGGGCTTTATCGGCTAATGCTTTACGTTAACGATCATCTTGCGAAGCGTTATCGCTTTGTTTACGCTTTTGCCAGTGTCTAGAGAGAGCTTGTCGTATATCTGGTCCTTCGGCCCATCTTAGTGCTCGTTCGTACTTCTCGATCGGGTATGTTGCTAGGCGTAAGGGAAGCGGTAACGGCTTTCTTCGCCTAACCGGCTTCGTTTCTCGTAGTATATGCGTCGCCTTTACGCAAGCGGTGCGTAATAGCTTGTCGGTCTTTTTCTTACGAATCCGTAGTTCGAACTTCGTTGCTTAAGCACTTAAATAAATGTCTAGCGGCGGGATCACTAATTCAGCTTTAAGTATCCGCGTTAGTATAGCCTTATATTATATAATATAATTTAATAATAAATATATAATAAGTCTTTTAATATATTATAATTAATAATATAAATTTAATTATCTTTAATTAATTAATTAACTCTTATATTATATTAACGGAATTAAGCTTAAATTATTATATTAAATCTTAATTTATTTAATACGAGTTTAATTTCAAGAAGCCGACGCAAGACGGTATATATTCGTATATATTTATATTTATATAATAAATAGAACGGTAAGGATACCTTCACTTTAGCGTAGTGATTAGGTTATACGTTATCGTATCGCAGTCTTATCTTTAAAGCGCCGGATTTAGAACTTAGGTAGGTGACTACTAAGGAATCCCTGGTGTTGTATAGTTTTTTTCTTTTTTCCTTTTTGCAATTTCTTGCCATTCTCCTCAACCAGGTGGAAACACTTACTATGTAGGTACTACCTATACAAGCTGAGCACCACTTGAGGTGATACCACTGCTATCCTGCTTCGACATCCACTATAGCTTATCTACCATGCGATCCAAGTAACCATGGCAAGAGCAAAACATTGGAAATTTCGTAGCGTCCATCATTATACTCCGGTTGTATGCGCCAGCGTGTAATAACATTATAGATTGTGTTCCTAGCACCACCCAATCACAAATGTGACAACCGCTCCTGGTTCCCTTTCCAAGGAGTATACCACTGCGAGGTCAGATCAACGTGCAGTCTGCAACTCCCCACCACAGATTTGCTTATTTGATTGCTCAGGCACCCTCAATTCTCTGGTTGCAGAGACTCATGAATATCTCAACACCATCAGTATTAGCCCCTTGAAGTGCGGCTCTTAGCTCGTCACTCATCCTCCAATCACGATTGAAGTCGACCAACCCAAGAACATACCACCTTGCACGCTGCAAATTCTTCTCGTCGAAATCTTCTTGGGGAGGCAGAGGCGAGTGGGGCCGCCTGACAGAGCGGCGACTGGGCTGTCCGGGGGCATAAAACGTTACGGTCAACTGCCCAATCGCGCCTCCGCCGGCACCCAGATCGAAGCAAAGCTTCTTCAGGTTCGGCAGCTTTGGGACCATACGAACAAGCGAGAGGACCAAGGGGTCGAAGGTTGACGGGTCGGGTGTATCGCGGAAGCAATTCTGCGGCAACTCTCCGTCTGCCCTCAGCCACTCATTCTCTGGCACGAAATCGGAATGATCGGAGTGGGCCGAGTTAAAAGATGCATGCGACACATCTGAGTCTGAGTCCTCAGTATCATCATCCACATCTCTGGGATTGTCTCCAGTGTTGATCCATCCACCCGTGGGTGTGGCCACTGAGAGATCGAGATGGAGGTCGGTCAGGGTCGAACTGATAATCTCTACTCCAATCTCGGCGGCGGCGAGAAAGGCAGTAGGAGAAAGAATCCAACATCCGCCTAGTTCCAAGTTGGCAAGAGTGGGGAGACGCAAAAGCCGTCGGACCGCTAGACTCAGATCATCCTCTTCTTCTTTCTCGCAGTATGATTCAAGCTCGAAGCTATCGTTGTATGGGTTGCCATCCTCTAAATAGATCTTCAGGATTTCCACAGCTGGAAACGCAGTCTTTAACAACACCTGGGCCAGCGCGGACCTGAATTCCTTGCGTAAGCTCAATAAACGACGCCCAGGCATCAAAAGCCCCCAGGTCATATCTCGAGCTCGAGGCAAGGCAGCGGCGATTATTCCTGCAGTCTTTGGGTGCAGAGACCTGCCGTTCTCCGATAGCCACCTGAAATCGAGCTTGGAAATATATCCAACCTCGGGTAACACTCCTGAAGGTAACGTGCCTTCATCGACCATCAGAAATTTCCAAAGGTTCCGAAATCTCCAGATCTCCGGCCCATCATGGTTGATTTCAATATCGTCGAGCACCTCGGCGTCGTCCGAAAGAGACCTTGCCTCGAGGGTTACAGAGACTTCATTCCCTTTCCATGCTCTGAGCCGATCGAACAGGTCGAAGATGCCTTGCGTGAAAGCAACGTTGTTGGCGGCGGCCTCGCGGCTGCTCTGCAGCTTTTTGAGCCGCTTCGCACTCACGGGCGGCAGCACAACCTCATAGACAATGTCTTGTACAGACTGCCGCTGCTCGGTTTCGTGGAACACCCTATCGAACCTCTCCAAGCAATCCTTAGTACTGTTAACTCGGATTTTAGAGATTATTGCGCTCGCTGGCGCAGGCTGTGAGCCAGGCTCGGGCAGATTTTGATCGCTCCCGTGGAGCGTCAGATCAAAGACGTCGCCCTTTACCCCCATTCTGCCGTGTTGAAGTCTGTTCAGTTGTATGTTGGTGAGATGTCCCTTTACGTCACGAGTCGACAGTCGCTCTTAACGCTGTCTCAGATCAGCTTGACCGAGTCGGCGGGGCTGGTAATATTTGCCGTACGAGGTGTTCCGTTCCGAGTACTCGGTAGGGGCCGTGAAAGTTACACCTGTATCTGATGAACTATGAGGTATGTCCGTAGTCTGGATGTTGACATCGCGAAACAAGAGAATGAAATTAATACCCCGCCTTTGTATCGATAAGACGTAGTCTACCTTGGCGTTGATCACTGTCACGTGGGTCCCGCAAAGCGGCTAACCGCTCGACTGGTCATGCTCCGGGACGAGTTCACGTCATTTGTGCCCTCATCAAGAGGAGCACTTGATCATTCATACTCGTATGTAAGTATTATTACCAGAGATATCTTTTAATCACTGCTCAGCTGAGGCACCAGCACTGTAGACTGACTGGGAGCCGATCGGTAAACTGAAAACAACCACCACGGACACATTGACACGCATGTAAACCAAGGAATGCATTGGGAGTTGTCCATTAGGGATTGTGACAACGAAATGCTAAGTCCATGATATGTCAAAGTTTTGGAGATAATTGATAGACCATACTTGAGAAGCCAAACGTCGTCGGTGTTGGAGTAAACTCAAAGAAACGTGGGCTTTTCTTTTTCTTTTCTTTTTTTTCTTTTTTTTTTTCTTTTTTTTCTTTTTTTTTTCTTTTTTTTTCTTCTTTTGGCCCAAAACTGACCCTGCTATGTCTCGCCAAGCACTTGCTACCCTGAGATTGTTCACTCCACAACTCCGATACAATACCAATAAGTTGCCCAGAATGAGCCCCTACAGTTCTCTCCATTAGAACCCAAGACGGAGTTCCACGAGTAGAAATCAGCGTACGCCAGCGCGTACCTCTCCGCGAACAGCGAGCACCAGTCCCCATCCTGCGCCTGTCCGTATTTATTGCAAGTTGCTATCGCATTGCCAGCCTGGTTCGGCTCCGGAGCGGCGACGGGCCCAGTCGCTGTTGGCGCCGCCGAAGTTGATGTTGCTGTCGTCGAGGTTGTGGTAGGAATGGTGCCTGAGGAGGCGACACCAATGCAGTACGCATAGCTGCCCTAGAATCCGGTGAGACAGTCGTCCGAAACTGCTGGATTCCATTCCAGGAACTCCTCTTGTGTGATGTCGTACGTGTCGTAAATGACAGAGCAATCGTCGCCAGCTGTTAAATTTAGTGTTAGGCGGGAAGGAGCTACTCCGAGGGATGTGATCTGACACTTACCTTCAACAACGTGCCACTTATTACAGTCCGTGGGTTGGCCGTCTTGAGTTGGACCGGGAGCTGTAGGACTTGTAGTGGCTGTTGCTGATGTGGTAATAGATGTGGTTGTTGGCGTTGGCTCCACGTAATCCTCCGTGCGAACATAGTATTGGTATCCTGTAACGATAAAGATGGATGAATTAGTATCCATATGCTGTTGGATCTTCTCGATGAGCATGACTTACCAGCCCACATGCCGCCGCAGTCAGCACCCACACTTGGGTTCCACTCATAAAACTGCGCAATCGTAAGCTCCCGACTGTCAAGAATTTCTTGACATGTTGGGCTGCCGGTGGAGTCAACGTAGACTGCCAAAGAACAATCCTCAGCCATCCCGTCCTGCGTTACTGATCAATAAACACCTTCCTACTGTTCAACTCCGATGTTTGACTTATACGAACTGGCAGGTCCGGGTCCACACCCGGCTCCTCCTTATACGTCTTGAAGCCATAATAGTACTGCGCGCAATAACGAACCCCGCTCGCAAATGTGCACGAAGGATCTGATGTGTTGCCAAGACCTATGTTATGTGTCAGCAAAGATGATACATGCCAGTGGAACAGCTCTACTTACTGGGATTCCAAACCTGCAAGTCCTCGAGCGTAACATCCCACACTGAAGCTACCAGGTTATAGTGAGATCCCAAGTTGGTACCCTTCAGATCTTGTTGCCACTTATCGCCGACAAGGTAGCTGTAGCAGTCTTTACGGGTGCCGCTTACAAGAGGAACCTGGGTGGTTGTGGCTGTAAGTGATGCCCATACAACAGGTGGGAAGGTCGTAGCGGAGTCATCGAGGGAGGCGGTTCGAGTCAGCACATTGGTGGTGTACCCAGGCTTGCCACTGTACGTGTTGACTAGGAACCTTCATGAGCTTTGTGTTCACTGCCAAGGCCGTAGTGGTTCATTTTAACTTACTGTCTCCGACCGCTTGTACGCAGTAAGACTCTTTAGCGTAGAGATTCGTGCAGTTCGCATTGATTGCGGGATTGAGGAATATGAAGTCAGCCAGTGAGATGGAGAACTTCATAATAAGCAGGTTACAGTAATCTCCCAACTGCGCTTCATAGTAACGGCCACAATAAGTATTGGTTCCGGATGCCACATTGGTTGGCTGTGGAGCGGCTGTCGTAGGAACTGAAGGTGCAAGCGTCGTAGAGCCCGGCGAGACATACGGTTCACCAGGCTTGGAAATACAAAGCTGATCGCCAATCATTTTATCCAGATTCTGACACCCAGCGTTGATGGACTGTGACGTAACATGAGCCGTAAAAACCATGAATTGAGTGCATTGTAACGTACGGGGTTCTAAGCTCGGAGCTGAGACTCAGTGATACTGTGTTCTTTGGCGACGGCTGCGCATGTGTCCGTCTCGAGGACGGTGTAGACCGTGCAGGTGTTAATGAGACAGAGATCGCCCTCGGTGGGGAAGTTGTGGCACGAAGCAAATAGATCATTATCTATAAGCAACCACTCGGTGCCAATACCTTGAGAGAGTGATATCTTGTGACAATTATCTCCAGACTAAATGCTGTATGCCGTTCCGGTACACGTAGGAGTCGACGTCGGGACACTAGTGATGGTGCTATACAGAGGTTAGAATTGCCAGCTTGGAAAGGACATATGTTATGAGCAGCCGCGTAAAATGGGCCACAGAGTCGAGTGGGTGTACTTACGTGACGAGACTTACGGTCTTTGTCGTTAGAGGCATGTTACTAACTCCGCAACTTGCAGTCTTCGATTCATAGATGGACTGGGACTGCAGTCTTGGGCCGTTGTAGTACGGAGATTCTGCCTGAAACTGAAGATTCTTGACAAGACAAAGGTCGCAAGGGTCTGAGGTGTCATGGTCTCCAAAATAGCCTCCCGCTGGCAAGGTGCCGTCGGGGTCCGCTGCTGCTGCATATGCTGCGGCGACGTTATTGCAAAATCGGCCATCATCTGAGAGACAAGTCAGGTTGTAGGAATAACGAACCAGTTCACTGATCATGGCCACCGGCTCATCGACATCTCCAGTGGTTGTCCAGCTATCGGAAGCACAGCTGGAAATCACGGCATCGTGGTAAGATGCCAGCGCCGAGGCGCACGCATCATCACAGATGCTTTGCAACTTTGTCTGCGAGTAGTAAACGCCGGGTTACAAGGCCTTGACGGCCTTGCTGCACGCGATGTCAGTAAGAAGCGCATCGGCGCAGCGCTGGCTAATGCCATCTGGGATGGTACTCTTGGATAGAATACTGGCAGCAAGGCCGCTGGCAGGGAACATGTAGCTTGTTAAAGCCACAGCCCATTTTAAGTGAAAAGAGCGAGGTGAAGCTATACTGTTAGACTTGGGTTGGAAAGAGTGACGCTGTTATGGAAGACTGAGACTTGCGGGAGAGATAAGAAGCGAGACAGCTAGAACATGGAATATTGCGACGATAAGCACAGTATAGTGAAATATGGGAGTTCGCCTGGCGGAGCTCTATCCCTGGGCCACGACATCGGACGAAGTCAAGTAGGCCATAAATAGTTGCAAAGAACCGAGCGGGACCACCCGACCAAGAAGTGATAGACATGACTTACAAGGGACTTGGCCAGTCCTGCTAGCGACCCAGACTGTTGCTTTGAACCAAAACGAGAAAGGGAAGAAAAAGATACGGCCGACACTCGGCTGCCAAGCCATAGATTGACTAGTAGTTACAGTATCTCCAACATTAAGTCTCCACGAAGTAAAGCAGCCTCAGGTCGCGGGTCCGAGGCTCGATATACTCTTAGCGCAGCCAGTTTCTGAGTCGCGTCCTCGACTAAAGCCCTACAATACCCTGACCCGGCCAGATAGTGAACCCCCCACGCGGATCTGGTTCCTGCATCTGGCCCGTCCGTTGACTGTCGGGCACCTATTTAGCATCGCCCTGTCCGTCTGCTAACTTGCATTTCTCCGCGGCGGGGCTCTAGCACTGAAAATACACTGCATTAGTGAAATGAGTACCTACAAGTCAACTACTTAGCTCAGCTACTTCAGAGTGGTCCTTCGGCCTTGGCCCGGGTCGGTAAACGACCTAAGATGTAATTGGTTCTCGCCCGGAAAAGCCACACCCTGGAAATGCTCTTACACAAGGGCAATTTAATTCACGAATTTACCTAGGAAAACACTTGAGTATGTAATTGCTCTAAGTTTTGCGGGCAGGACCCTACCTAAGTGACTTTCAAAGAATTGCCTGCTCCTGCATGGCTGCATCTACACCAGCATTATATTAACCTGTAAGCCCAATCTTACGCCAAGCTGCCTATTGCCCTCCAGGCGCCGAGATAACGGGGGCTGATCGGGTAAACTCTTTGGCTGGGAAACGCTAAAACATTACCCGTGCCACGCCCCACTTTATTTGAAATTCGCAAGCGAATCCCCAACTAAAGCTTAACGGCTTTGTGCGTATCCATTACGGCACGGTTGGCCCAGTTCTTTCGTTCATTTAGGTCCGCTATGCGATTAGTCAGTAAATGAGCAACAGAGTACGCTTCCCGCTATCTATAGAGATATGGTTCAAAGACGAGACTACTAACAAGCGAAGCTGGACATTATCGAAGCTAGTAACGGAGGCTCCTAAGAGAAAGCCTGGAAAATCTAACACGCTCTGATAAGTGAAGATATCTTACCAAAATCGTAAAAAAGAAATCCCCGCAAGGGTTAGAGCCGCGGCCTGATCCACTACTACGGGCAACGTAATCGTCTCCGCTCTAGAAACAACCTTGAAAACAACCTTGAAGACAACCTTGAAGACAACCTTATAAGGGTATGTTTATAGACTAGTCCTACTTGTACTCGACAGGAGTGGAGCCAAGTGGACTCAACATGGCATTGTCCTCCGTCCGAATATGCGGAATTGGTCTTGAGTATGACCTCAGGGGACATAGTATGGATCATGCTATGGGCAATAGTCTGATAATTTACGAGCTCTTAGCAATCCATGTTCCACAATCGACCGATTATGTTGCTTATGGTCTTTGCAGGACGCTTTCCATTCGCAGGTCACCGAAAATCACCGATAGGACCGTGAAGAGAATAAGTGGATTTGCGCGTGAGTGCGCGCTCGCTTGCCTACACAATGAACTCCCCCTACATAATACAAGTATTAGACTCGGGAGGAGGCTCTTGGCAGAGCTCAGCCAGATATCTAGCTTTATCCACACAAGGCGTAGAGGTATCTTGTGCCATAGGAAGGAGGATTTACAAATATAACGCAGAATCTGGCTTGGTGGTTCACATGCAACCGCTCCTTTAACAAGTCAAAGAGATACTATCTCCGTCTCTTCACCCTTTCATTAGCAGGTACAATCCGATTGCTTACCTACTGTCGTTCATTACAAACCTCATCCTCTCAACTATAGCGGACGCTCAAATGCGTGGCGGACTTGCGTCCTTCGTCAGACTTTTTTTCATTCTGTCAACCCTTTCTAACTCAACACTTGCGCTCCCCCGCCACAGCTCTCATTCCAATCTTCACCGGCAGCCACATCCCGTGGCTACATGCTTGAACGAAGCTTACGAGTCTGTGATGCCCTGTTCAAACCTTCCTTTGCAACCACGCGGCCATTAACATATCCCTAGTCCCTTTGATGTCTCTATGAAACCACGAAAGAACCCGGACATCCCAGTTTGCCCAGTGAATTCAGACTTGGGTGTCACCAGCACAAATTCATTGCTTATAAGTCGACAAGTAACCGAACAGACAGATTATAGCTGCTCTGAAACAAGGCTTTGCTCAAACGGTAAGTACCACGAATCTCATACAGGTCATTTTTACATATTCAACTGTCCCAGGCGCCTGTTGTCCCAAAGAGACAGGGTGGTACAATTATGGCCCAGAAGCTTGTGGTACCGACAACATATCCCCCAACGAGGTTTGCTAGAGCAACTATAATGCCAAGGCCGAGTATGGTCGTTACGCCGAGATCCCAGGCGCGGAATGCCCTCTGAATGTCTAGTACGTTACTCCTATCACTCAAATTACACGTTCCCGTAAGGATGTAATCAGACTTGCTAATCAACCCAAAGCTGTTCTCCCTTTGGCTTCTGTGGTATGACTGAAGAGTTCTGCGTCGTGACCGACGATGAGGAAACATCCTGTCAAAGCAATTGCGAGCAGCCAGAATCAGGAGCATCCAATGGTGATATTAGGAAGCGTGTCATAGGTAAGTCGCCATTTACCTAAGGCTTCCCAAGACTTGCTTCACAACAATTGAGGACCTGCTGACGGCAATTTTTTTTTCTAGGTTACTATGAAGCTTGGGTACACGATAGGGCTTGCAATGGAATGGTGAGGATTTCCCTCCCAGAAAAGTTTTATAGCGCTAATTATCCTCGCAGTCCATTGATCAGATTCCTGTTGGAAGTCTTACTCATCTTATGTTCTCATTTGGATATATTACTCCCGGGGATTTCCAGATCGTACCAATGGACGATCTGGATGAGAAACTATTCACCAAGATAGCATTACTAAAACAACAGAATGAAACACTCAAGGTGATGATTGCCCTTGGCGGGTGGACATTCAACGACCCGGGTGTCACACAGAGTGTTTTCCACGATGTTACAAGCACGAAGGAAAATCGCGCCAAGTTCATTGGTAACCTCCTTAGCTTTCTCCGCCAGTACGCCTTTGACGGTGTTAATTTCGATTGGGTGAGTCGAAGCTCCTATCAACGCTCGATAATTTAATCCCTATTCAAGCATGGATATCTGGTTTACGGGGTGCCAGCGTTTATTCAAGGCCTGTTCTCTGACCCTTAATTGTAATAGCAATACCCTGGCGCTAATGATCGCGGAGGTGCGGAAGGGGACGGTGAAAACTTTACCAAGCTCTTAGAGGAGCTTCGAACGGCTATTGACGATCAGCCCCTGGAATATGTTGTCTCATTCACAACTCCTACAAGCTATTAGTACCTTCGCCACTTCGATATCAAAGCAAGTTCAGAAGCGGTCGACTTCGTGAATGTTATGAGTATGCTCCCTTCATTTCCTTTGCCATTGCGCCCAAACCATGCTAACAACTCTTGCTAGGCTATGAGTGAGTACAGCCAATTGTGCCTGTTCCGGTGAAGGCAACGTCTATTTATCAATTCTGACTGACTTGGTGTAGCCTCCACGGAGTATGGGATGTAGATAATCCAATCGGTTCAAATGTTCTTGCACACACCAATCTCACAGAGATTGGCCTCGCACTGGATTTATATTGGAGGAATGAAATCGACCCAGAGAAACTCAATTTGGGCTTCGGGTTCTACGGCCGAACATTTCAGCTGTCCGATCCTACCTATTATAAGCCAGGCTGCCCCTTCTCTAGAGGTGCCAGCCCAGGTCCAGTAAGTATACCACTTTGACAATGGCAACAAACGTCTATACTTTGCGCAGGTGCTGACCTTATAACCTAATAGTGCACAAAGAACTCCGGTACACTTGCCTATCGGGAAATCATAGACATCATCAAAGAGAATGATTTGAAACCGTATTACGATGAGGAACATCAGGTCAAGTACATTGTGTGGAACCAGAACCAATGGGCCAGCTACGTAAGTTTTCAATGGTTCCACGCGGAACACATTCGTTTTCTCTTTCTGCTTCAATTCCACGTTACTGATATGGAAGAGGGTGACAGGACGATGAAGATACCTTCCAAGCCAAGATTGACTTCGCAAATGAGAGAGGACTGGGCGGCCTTTTGATCTGGTCGGTATGTATCCCGATTGATGAATTTTACATGCAGAGCCTTACTAACCCAACGTCCAGCTAGACCAAGTGTCAGATCGGGATTGGCAGCAGAGTGAAGAGTCACAAGAAAGGCAATAGGTAGGGTAGAGAGTGAATACAGACTGAACTCTGCCCCCTAACTAACAGCTAGCACGTCCTCATTTATCTAGCGTTCTCCCAGCGCAACGCCTACGTTGCGCTTGATAGGCGCTATCGTAGATCCGTCGGCCCGGTTCCAGCGTGCGTCTCAGGGCGGGGCCCCTGAGACGCAGCTCACACGCTGCTAATACAGTTCTGGGTCAAGGCGTGCGCCTTGGCACAGTTCTCGTCTGACACTGTCCCTATGGTAGCGTAGGATGCCTTTCCCGGGTTAGCCCTCTCCCATCGCTATTACTAAGGCACTCTAACATTGTTTGGTGAATTGCCGTTTACTTGTATAGTTGTTAGTGAAAATAGCACTTCGTGTAAACCCACCTTATTTAGGACTCAAGTATTACTAGCTCGGCATTGGTTAAGAAACGTGCCCCGTAAACATAGGACAGATGATATTTATAAGGTTAACACAGAGTATAAGGTTTTAAAGGGCCTTATATAGCGTGGAGAGAAGCTAATATTTGGGTTAGTAAGTATAAGTAAGAGCAGTTAAAAATGAGCGAAAGCCCTCCGAAAACATTTAAAAGAGCATCGTATCCTAGGAAGATATAGAGTTCAATTATATAAAAGCTTTTCCTTCGTTAAAGGATTAAATATTAAAACATCGCTTAAGGACTATATTTAAAGTATGTAATTTTGTGACTTAAATACATTAGGTGTATTATTAGGCCTTCCGAATGCGTAAGAGTAGTTAAGTTAAGTATACCCTTATATATCCCTCGAGTCTTAAGTTAAACTTTACGTAAACTACCCTAAGCTAAGCCCTAAGCCGCCTAAGCTGCTTTAAGCCGAGCCTAAGTTGCCCTAAGTTACCCTAAGCTGCCTTAAGCTAAGCTTAAGTTACTTAAGCTAAGCTTAAGCTGCCTTAAGTTACTTAAGCTAAGCCTAAGCTACTTAAGCCGTGCTTAAACTACCCTAAGCCAAGCCTAAGCCGTGCTTAAACGCCTTAAATTACTTAACTTTAGCTAAGGCTAATATAATAAGCTTATTCCGTTATTAAAAGAGCTATATTTAAACGTTTAACTATACTTATTAAAAGTTTAAAAGTCCTTTTCTAAAAGTTAAGCTTAAGGTATAACTTATTATTAATTATATATAAAATATATCGCCTTAAAGCTTTTATACGAATAATAACTTAAATAAGCTTTAAACGGATTTACTTTTAAACGTTAATTAAAATCACCTTAAAACGAATATTATATCCCGACGAATTTTACTTTTAAGTATTTAAAATTAATAACTAGATAACGAAAAGAGTTAATCTTATTTTTATATTTATTTATTAAGCTTTTTAAAGTTACGATTTAATTTGTTTTTAAACGAACCATTATAAAGGAAATAATATATTATCCCTTTATTATTATTATTATATACTTTTAATCTCGTTATTATTATCGGCCACTTTTTTTAACGACCATTGTTTTTACTTAAGATAAAAGACTTAATAAATTAAAAGTAACGTAGTTCACAAGCGAGCTGGCCACCCAAGGAAGCTGGCCACGCTAATTAGCACAACATACAATTCAACCTTTTACCTCCATTTTCATCACTACTTCCAAATGACTTTAATTAATAAAGAAGCTTAATTAATCCTTGCCATTCAGGCTATTGAAAAAGATCCAACATTAAGCGTACGGCGCGTCGCAGCGATATATACAGTCCCTCGTTCAACGCTTATAACGCGAATACGCGGTATTCAACCTCGACGCGATACCCGACCTAAACATCAAATTCTTACAAAACTAGAAGAGGATACGATTATTAAAAGGATAATTAAGCTAGATTCCCAAGCATTCCCTCCCCGGTTAAGCGCTGTGGAAGATATGGCGAATCGATTACTACGCGACCGCGACGCGTTACGCGTCGGGAAGAACTGGGCCTCTAACTTCGTCAAGCGACAACCACAACTCAAAACGGTATTTAGTCGCAAGTACGACTATTCTAGGGCTTTATGCGAAGATCCAGAACTTATCCAAGGTTGGTTCGACCTCGTACGTAATACAATCGCGAAATACGGGGTTGTAAATACGGATATTTACAACTTCGATGAGACCGGGTTTATGATAGGACAAATTACCCCATCGATGGTCGTTACCAGCTCCGAAAGGAAAGGCAAACCTAAGCTAGCCCAGCCTAGTAATCGGGAATGGGCTACGGTTATCCAAGGCGTCAATTCGCAAGGCTGGACGGTCCCGCCGTATATCATCGTTAAAGGCAAATACCACCTCTCATCTTGGTACGAAAACAGCTTAATGCCGAAGAATTAGAAGGTCGCTAATAGCCCGAATGGTTGGACTACTAATGAACTAACTGTAGATTGGCTAAAACACTTTGACGCGTATACAAAAAGCCGGAAATCAGGTGTATACCGGCTTTTAATCCTTGACGGCCACGAGAGCCACCATTCGGATGCTTTCGAACAGTATTGTAAAGAGAATAACATTCTTACACTCTGTATGCCTGCCCATTCATCCCATATCCTTTAGCCATTAGATGTAGCATGTTTTACACCTCTTAAGAAAGCGTACGGCGCGCAAATTAAACGTCTTATCCGAGCCCGGATTTCCTATATTACGAAAGAGGACTTCCTCCCGGCGTTTTGCGAAGCATTCGAGAAGAGTATAACCGAAAGCAATATCCGCGCAGGCTTCGAGGGAGCTTGACTTATCCCTCTAAGCCCGGAAGTAGTGATATCGAAGCTGGATGTGAAATTACAAACGCCAACGTCCTCTCGGCCCCCTACGCGAGAAACCCGACCTTGGGCTTCGAGGACACCGAACAACCTAATCGAGGCTACTTCACAATCTGAATTTATTAAATCTCGGATCGCCAACCATCAAAATAGCTCTCCAACCTCAATTTACGAAGCCATCGACTAATTCGCGAAAGGAGCGCATGGGATTATGCACCGGATGGCCCTCCTCCAAGCCGAGGTGACTGAACTACGAGAGGCAAATACAGTTATTAGTAAGCGACGTAGGGCTAAAAAAACACGTATTCGGCTTGGAGGATTACTTAATATACAAGATGTAAAAGATCTACAGGACCAAAAAGACGTTATATAGCAAGTACAACAAGAAATACGTGAAAACGGTAATGGTTCGGGTCGGGGACCGGCGCGCTAACGACGTTGTGGAGTGTGCGGGAAGCCCGGGCATAACGTAAGAACCTGTTAGATTGAAATAGAATCATCTGGGCAAGAGTATTCAGAGTAGTTTTAATTGATTTACGGCGTTATGGTTGCGAAATTCAGTTAAATTGCGTATTATGCTAATTAGCGTGGCTAGCTTCCTTGGGTGGCCAGCTCGCTTGTGAACTACGTTAAATATAAAAGAATTATTAATTTATTAATTTTAAAGTTCGTAAATAATTATAACGGAAGCGATATATATACTTACGTAATTAATATAAATAAGTAAAATAACTTTATACTTTTAATAATTACAAGTATTTAATATTACCTTAATATATTAAATAAAACCGCGATTATAAAAATTAATAATATTATTATTATTATTCTAATTCTAAGTAAAGTAAATAACATATATAATATTTAAATTATTATTCTTAGTTATATATTTATTAACCGGGTATAAGTTTTAAAAGGCGAGCTTAAGTTTTTTATTATAAACTCCAAGTCGATGTTCGCTCCGCCGGGTTTGGCGGCACTCTCAACCCAGCTTAGCGCCCCACAGTCACTGTGTCGATCATGATTCGTGCACAGTCTCAGCGCAGTGTCTCCCTACATATAGTCTTGTGCTACCCCCTCATCAAGGTTTCATGTACCGTGAACTTCAACTGACTTCCGGATCTCCTTTACACAGCCACCACAAGTTGTCCGCGATTCCTTAGTGCTCTCGCTCATCTCCGATCTGATGCTGGCCTTCGTTGTATCCATCAACGGGCCGGGCTTCCAAGGTAAATTGTTAAACACAACGCTGTGCTGGAGCAGGGCAATGATCTGACAATATGCTTGGATCCCCTCTTCTCGGCTCCTTGGAATCTGTTCTCTGTCCTACCCTTTGAGCAATCACAGTATCTACTAGGTCATACCACTACAAATATGAAGACTCGAACTGAAGTGGACTTCTCCATCGCGTGCCTCACACAATTGACTTCGGGTGAATGCGTCAGGCTCGGAGAGACCGATACACTAGACCTCATTCTCCCTGATCTATAACCAGCTCCTCACCTTTCCAATTATGGTTTTCGGATGAGCTGTCTCATGGGGACACGAGATCAGTAGCCAATGGAGCCAGGCGCCCCGCCTTAAAGTGAAATCAGGACCTGTCAAAGGAGCTGCTGGTGGACTGTTCAGGAAAAAAGGCGGAGTTTTGAGGCTTGGTGGGCTAGGTTGTTACAGCGTTTCCAATTCAGTCGACCAGTGAGCATCCATGATTCGTTCATGGATCATCCGTTACCAAGATTTACGGGGAGTCCGAAGAGATGCCTGGAGCGGCTTATCCGTACTAGGTTGTTCTTGACATGCAGACACCTCGGAGGAACAATGACGATTGTTCGGCCAAACTGGGAACAATCGTGCCGACTCACGCAGGCGTTCAGATTGGGTAATCACTCTCGTCTTTCCTGGCAACTAGAAGCAGCCAAATTGGGGCTGGTATGTAAGACAGAGGCTCATTTGAGAAAATATCTATTTAAGCAAACATCCCGGGTCGTGGGACACAAAGATATTTACTCAGCAGCCTTTCTACAATAACTTCTCCATTCCAGCACATCTGGGAAAATGCCCGTCAGTCTAGACAATATCAGTTTTTATGAGCCGCCAAAGAAGTCCGCGCAGGCTCTTTCCTCTCACACAGAGGCTTCACGAATCGTACTTCCTGTAACGTCCGATTTTATTCACATAATGTTTCCCAGGAACACATCTAGCGGTCCCCGAGTCAATATTTCTGAGGCAGAGCAAGACCTCGCCAGGTCTTCGTCGTCACCAGAAGTTATTGGGCAAGCCGGTACATCGGGCCGGGTCAACTCCGAGCTGGAAGACAAGGGCGCAACCTCTGCGGGTTCAACAATGGCAAAATCTACAAAGATTGAGCCACTGTTAGAACCTTCTACTATCAAACCGAATGATGGAAAAGAGTTCCATTCACTACAGACACATGAAGGCGTTCACGATCATTCAACTAAAGGGACCTTCCATGGTAGTGAGGCACCTTCTGGTTTACATTCGACCCGCCCTCTTCAAGGGCGCCGAATGCTGTCTTTCGCTAGCAGGACGTTCCCATCCGAGGTCGAGAGTACCTCAACAAAGTTGCGAGATCAAGTGTCTGCATCGACTCGCGACGCATCCGACCTTCCAGATATAAGTACCAGGTGTATAGATCGACCAACCACCATACCCGACACAATACCTACAGGTGCAAGTACCAACACCATGCCACATTCCTCTTCAACATACTTTGAAGCCTCTAATCTACTTGTTTCTCAGTCGCAATCCCGGGAACCCTGTGGTGACGAGCAACACACATCTGAGAGGCCATCAAGTCCCGGCAACGTAACGTGCAATGACACGCCAATTCGGGCAGAGTCTTGCTTCGAGGACACGGTGTCACTCCCACTATCTAGGGGACGGGCAACTTCAATAGAAATAGCCCCTGAGCTAGCTAGTCAGCGCACTATTGGAGATAGCTTGACTAGCATGAACGCGTCCTTGCGGAAACACTCGCCAGTCCTACATTGTGAGCCAATCAGCCCTAAGAGAATGTGTACCCGAGGCTCTCCGAGGGGCGGTTCCGTAGGCCTAAGAGAGCCAGGCAATGAGCGGGTGGATGAAGCACCTTATGAGGACTTTGAATTTGACCCAACCCCTTCGGCGGATCAACAGGGTAAGAAGGAATTCCGGGTTAGTGGGCAAAGAACGCATTCCACTCTCGATCCTTCGCATGATCGTTCAATTCGCGGAACAAGTCACTGCAAAATAGACCACGCAACAGTTACAAGTGCAAGACTCCCAACTTGTGCGGAAACCTCGAATCGGTTTGAAGAATGGTCACTCAGGGACGCAATATTGAAGCGAGTCACAGTGGGTGGAGCCTCTACATTACAAGTCCAGTTTAGCTGGAACCCTGATCCAGCAACCGACCATTCCTGTGCTTGTTCCGGTGGGGAGGGATTCCAACTTTCAAAGAGGGATCTACATGGTCCAATCTTCACGGGTGTGTCTGAACCCATGACTGGCGGCTCTCCCTCTCCAGATTATGATTGTTTCATCATAGACCAAAAGGAGATAGATGGGGAAACCTACTTTTTGTGTCGTTGGGACCCCACTTACGAGCATTCTAGTTTCGTCAGTGACGAAGCAGTTCGAATCTGGAGGGAGACACAGAAACAGAAAACTCAGACAGTCAACAAAGGAAACACTGAGGAGAAGAAGGCTAACGGTGTTCGAAGGCGAGGACGACCGCGAAAGAACCCGCTGCCTAAGTGATACTGCACGAATCAGGATAAGTCTGCACTCATTTGAGCAGTTCATCATCCCCAAGAAGAACTAAGTCACAGGAAATAGATCACAGCCACTTTGGCACATAAAATATTGTAGTTACAGCTGTTTACTATAGACTTCATCTTCTGCTCCATCATTCGTCGCTACCTGGGTACATATTGTCTGTCGATACATGGGGGGCTGTATCTGCCAAGAAAATACTGTGGCAGTACTGAGATATAGTGCAGAAAATAAATGTGAAGACAAGGGATAGATGATGAGTTATCTTTAAGGAAGTAATTTGTCCCTTCCGCACAGTTGTGAAGTCGCTGACTTAACAATTCGGTTCTGAATCTCCTTCAAGTCCCAACATATATTCCCGAAACTAGTAGCTCTGACATATCAAAGTAACACTATAGCTCTCTACTCCACCACACATTTTTGTGTTACCTCCAGGATCGTAATTTCTCAGCCTCGGCAGCTCCTCTCAACATTCGTTTTCCTCTTTTGTAGCTACAACGCTAGTACCGTGATTGGCTGAGGTATCGTTGTGTAAGCTCCCTGTGTCGGTGCGGTTCCTGACACATAGTTCTGACATGTTGGCTGGGTTAAGTCGAACCGCTGGAGGATATACCATAGCCACTTCCTCCTTGGTTATTGGCCATGCGGCGGATGATGCATATTCGTAGTGCTTACAACGTCGTCGCACCAGGATATAAACATCAGCGGAGTAACGTGATCTGACCTGATCGCATTTCCACATCAGATTTTTGCACGACTTCACAAAATTCTCGTTGGTTCTATCACGCTTTCCAGCGTGTCTGATAGACTTGCCCATACTTCAAGTACACACCAAGTATAGCATTTGCCAACTTTCGGCCAGGAGAAATTTGTATGATTGTAACGCAAGCTCAAAGATTCAGGCCAGGTGGGTTAATGTACTCAGGCCAGAAACTAAATGAAATTCGTGTAGCCAGGAAATTCCTCTGTTCGTGGGCTGATTTTGTATCGTTTGGCTGTTTAAGGACTCTTACGATATACCAAGAACATTTTTCCCAAAAGCCATTTCTGGATTATCCCTGGAAATATGAAGTTAATTCGGGCGCTTGCCTAAATGGGTAAAAAAGGTCTGTAAAGATCTATTCGACTTGAGTATGCTGGAAACATTTCGATGGACCTTGACGTTCTTGTTGCAAGAGACAGACTTCTAGACTGGGAGTACTCGTTCCAAGCCCTTTCCCCTTTTCTAGAGCTTAGTTGCCGAAACACTTGGCCTTATTGCCTAATTCAGTTAGGTCAATTCATTTACCAAAAGAAACGGGTCTTGTGAGAAATAAATTCCCGCCCGTGATGTGGAACCTATTCCGTAACTGACCATAACACGATTGTATTTCATTTAATGTACAGTGAAGGGCGAAATGGGTGTCGCGGGTCAGGTTATATAAGCTATTTAATTAGGCCCAATTCTGGACACTTGTGGCCACATGCGATATGTCGCTTGTACCCCAAGTACCAGTACCGATACACAAGGTCGCCGTTCCCTAAGAGGAAAAGCACGCTCGCCGTTAGAATGCTGAGCTACCCCGGATGAACCCCTAATAGTGACCTTTCTCTTTAGTGCAGTACCCTGCAATACTGGCAGGCGTAGTTGTGACAGTGGTGGGAAAGTTACGGCTCGTTCTTCTCTCGATGTTGGCCATGAACAGCCTGCAGAAGATGTATACTCGTAATGCTTGGATCGCGGTCGGATTCAGATGTAAACGTCTGCAGACTACCGTGATTGAACATCGTTGCATCTTCAAAGCAAGCTTCTAGAGACCCTTGCAAAGTTTTTGTTGCTGCGAACACGCTTTATATTCTGCTTTCCCAATCCAACCATCGTGTAAATATTGTTGTGTCGGGGGGTGCATGTTGTCAGAACGAGTAGAGCCGCAGCAATATGAAAACTTGGATGATTACAAGCTGGAATTTGACTTCTCTGGCGAACACATCATGAACGATGAACAATTTGTGTTAATACAGTACAGTATGGCCAAGCCTAACCTGACGTCAAACCTCATTAACCTCCCGGACCATTCAATAGGCTTTAGTACACCAATATTTTTCGCTTTTAGGTATTTGTGCAGATCATGCAGACTTAGAATCCGGTCAAAAAACTGTACGAACAGTGACGACCAACTGATTGAATGGAATTGTGATTTTATGCGCATAGAACTTGACAGACGTTCGTGCTATATCATATTTTGCACAATTTTAATGGACAAGTAGCCAGGAAATAGCGCATATCACTAGCGAAATGCTCCTAAGCGCCGACCAACATTATGTTATGCGAGTCTGGCTTCGTTACGGCAGGCCAAACGCTTTTCCTATTGAAGCGGACGCAGATTTTGGTAAGGTCTGTATTTATAGTTATTGAAAAAGTGGCTCTTCAGATAGTAAGGCGTTAGGAAGTGCTACAGTAACAGTCAACGTTGAAAAACAAAACTTTTAAAAGGAGTACAGACATGGTCAAAAGTGGCTTCCTCTGTTTGTCTTTCTTCTCGCTCTTTACGCACGGACAGTGCAATTGTAGCTCGCACCTAGAAGTATACATTTGACCTCTGGAGTACCGTGATGGCTGAGGACATATTGTTTCGGGTCATAACAGCATACACGCAGCGCTTATTATCCACTTTTGATGATGTTGACTAATTAAATAATATTTAGATCATAAATTACTGAAGAAGAGCTTGGTTACATACATCTCATGATCCTGACTTCAGACCTGGCATAGTCTGAAAGGATACTCGTGGTATATTTCCAAATGGAGCCAAGATTGGATCGTCTGTGCTCAAAGAAGAGAAAGGAAGACGAAAAGAGGAAGCTGTTCCTGATTATGTCTGTAGGGCCAGGGACTTAACAGTAATGCTTCGTTTCTTCTAAAAGTGGAAGAGGCATTGAATTTTTTTTTGGTACGTTCCTCTTGTTGTGTTCTGATTTTGAAGTTTTCGCAAATGTAAGCCGAGGTGATACTGTATTTGTTGCAAATTAAGAACATAAATGCAGTGAAGTGATGCATCTGTGTAACTAGCCCGAATATCAGATAATTCTAATCCACAGCAGCCCACATGACAATCTAACATTCTCAGCAATAATGACTATATGCGTTGTCGCTACCGATTACGTGAGCATGAAATACATTAGGCCAAAATACCAAGGGCTCCAAAATCCGGTTGAGATATTTACAAGCTTCATTGAAGTACTCAATCATTGGCCACATACTGAGTGGGACATTGAGTTGCTAATGAATCTCCAAAGATCCCTTCCCCGGGTTGGCCCTCTTCCCAGCGGTATTGCGGAGGCAGTCCAACGCTGTGTGGTTGTTAGTGAAAATAGCACTTCGTGTAGATCCACCTTATATGGGACCTAAGTATCACTGGCTCGGCCTTGGTTGAGCCACACGCCCCAGTATGCACAGAACTAAAAAAGAAAAAAAAAAAAAACTATAGCAAAGCAGATGCACCAAGGGAGATGATAATATTTACAAGGCTTACACAGAGTGTGAGGTTTCGAAGGGCCCTGTATAGCATAGAGAGAAGCTATTATTCGGATTAGGAAGTATAAGTAAGAGCAGTCAAAGATGAGCGAAACCCCCTTCGAAGACATCTAGAAGAGCATCGCATCCCAGGAAGCTGTAATTTGAATTATTTCAAGCAGTTTTCCTTCGTCAGAGGATCAAGTATCAAAACATTGCTTAAGGACTACGTTCGGATATGTGATTCTGTGACTTCAGTAACTTAGGTGTATAGGGCCCTCTGAATACATAGGAGTAGTAGTTTCGTTGGATGATATATGTGTAGAGAAGTCTTGCGCCTCTTCTTAAAATAAAAGTAAAGCAGTAGGTTGGTTTGGAGACATAATTCAGCGTCGGGCCAGGTGCGCGCCTGTATGTGCCTTGAGCCTCAAGCCATAGACTTCCATGATCTGCCCTAAGCTATACCTGAGCTGCCTGAGCTCCCTGAGCCGTGCCTGAGCTGCCCTGAGCCGAGCCTGAGCTGCCCTGAGCCGAACCTGAGCCGAGCCTGAGCGCCCTGAGTTACCTAGCTTCACTAAGGCTGGTACACAAGCTCCTTCCGCTATCGGAAGAGCCATATCTGAACGTTTGGTCATATTTACCAGAAGTTGAAAAGTTCTTTTTCGGAAGTTTGGGCCTAAGGTACGACTGCCATCAATCATGCACAAATATGTCGCCCCAAGGTTCCCATACGAATGATAGCCTAAGTGGGCCCTGAACGGATTCACTTCCGGACGCTCAATTAAAATCACCCGGGAACCAATGCCGCATCCCGACGAATCTTGCTTTCAGGTGCTCGAAGATCAACAACTGGATAACGAAAAGAGTCAATCCTACTTCCGTACTTATTTGTCGAGTTCACTGAAATCGCGCTCCAATTTGTTTTTGAACGAACCACGATGAAGGAAATGATATGCTGTCCACGTATTATTATTATCATTTACATACTTCTAATCCTCCTGGCAGTATCGGCCACTTCCTTCAGCGACCGTGGTTTTCACTTGGAGACTCGACAGATCAGAAGTGAACATCGAGGAATTGTCAATCCACTAATTTTAAAGTTCGTAAATAACTACAACGGGAGCGATCTATATGCCTACATAACTGGCACAGATGGGCAAGGCAACCTTGTGCTTCTGACAACTACGGGCATGTGGTACTACCCTGATACACTAAATGGAACTGCGGTCACAAAAATTGACAGTACTACCATTGCCATTCCGATTCCGGGTAAGGTAAATGGCATGCAGAGTACTCAGATTACTATTCCCGGTTACATATCTGCTGGCCGGGTGTGGGTTTCGGAAGGCGAGCTTGAGTTTTTTGCCGTGGCATCTGCCCACGGTACCATAACGCTGAAAGAACCATCTGCCTTCGATCCGGATGATGCTTCTGCGCAAGTTGACTGGGGTTTCCTGGAACTCACATACACTGAGGAAAGTGGACTTTACGCAAATCTCTCCTTTGTAGATTTCGTCGGACTCGTCCTGAGTATGGTGTTGACTCTTGATAATGGCGAAGTTCAGGTCGTAAAAGGGGTGGTTGATAATGCTGTTATGGAAGTGTGCGCTGCTTTGCAAACGCAGACTAATTTGGACAGTATGCCATGGGATCAAATGTGTGTTTATTCAGAAAAGGGTATTCCCCTCCGAGTACTCGCTCCCAACCTGTTTGAGTCTATCAATCCTGGTTCCATGGAAAGTTACTATACAGACTACGTAGACCATGTCTGGAGACTATATGCAACAGAAGATCTTACTTTCAACCCTGGTACAAATCAGTCAATCAAATGTCGCGTGGGTGATGACGATGAGCTCAGTTGTGACGGCGATAACCGATCTTATTGTCGGCCCCAGACGGCGGATATCTGGAGCTGTAGTACGGGGCCTTTTGCGATACGGGAATCTGATAACGACGTCCACCGTGCTGTTGTTCCACGCTTGTGTGCGGCTTTTACTCGTACCACCCTGCTTCTGGACGGTGGGGATACACAGCCATCTTTAAAGAACACCAGCTACTATCTGAGAACCCCTACCAACCATTATAGCAGAATTGTGCACGAAAATGAGGTAGACGGAAAGGGTTATGCATTTTCTTATGATGACGTCAGCTCCGTTCAAGAGAATGTTGCAGGTGTAGTTGCAGGAGCGAATCCTCGTTCATTAGAAATTATGATTGGAGGATATCGGAGTGGTTGATTACATGTGTATTTGGAACAGTATTGATGGAAGTATAGCCTTGCAGTAGACCTCTAGGTGATCATCAATCACCTCGTAGCCATCAATGTATCCAAAAATCTACAAATCTTTGCAATGACATCGCGACCGCTGTACTCTCTCGACTCGCGATCACGAACAACATCTTTGCATAGCCTATTCCCCATCACACAAGTACCAAACGAAAGAATAGCATTATAATAGTGGTGATATCATTTGTTACTCTACCACAATCCGTAAATCTCCGTGACTTTACAGTGACCCATTATTGCCCATTTCTACAGATTATCCTGCGCACAGTAGCCGCGGCTGATATCGTGAAGTCCGGTCATGAGGCTGTCGGTAAAGACGAACCTGTTCCTCAAAATGCTCGTTGAAATTGATCAATCAATTTGGTGATGTCGTTGACATGTTGAGCCCGTGCATTCGAGTGCTGGCGCAAATAAGAAGGCTGTGCTGCAACCCCTACTATATCTGCTAATCGCGATGAGGCGTTGTGGCACCACATCAAGTGGCCTGATGTGTATTTGTTTGCGCATTCGTCTGAAGGAGTAACAGGTGCGTTCACTAGAGGTTGTAAGCAGATGGGCGAGCTCAGACTAGGTTTTTCAATCACGCCCTCAGTCGAACCAACTGCGCCAATAGATGACCAGCCGTTGCCAAAGGGAGTCTGGGGGCGTTCATGTTGTTGTTGGACCATCTCCACCTGAGCCTCCAAGAATGAATTAGCGTCACGCCTCCCATTAACTGAATCAGAGTATCTGAGTTCCAAGAGAAGTTGTGCTGCCTGCTCGTCTGTACAAGAGCTTTCAGTAGTGTTTTCCTCGGCGGCCCCAGCCAATGGCCACACAGGCATAAGCCGAAAGCAGCTTTCGCTTTCCCTACATGCTATGACGGTGATGAAGTGTATGTCGCTACAGTCCTTTGCTAAATGTCTCGCGGCTTTGTCAAAAGAGACAGTCAAGGGGTAGTGCTCCATGGCCGCGATTGTTGTACACCTTTCTCTATGTTGGGAGTGGTCAGAAAAAGGATGAGTGGAGATAGTAGTTTGATGGGCTTTGCTGGACTGGTATGAGGAACCAACTGCGACAGCGGGGAGCAGACGCCTCTTATATAGCCAGTCGCCGTCAGTACTCGGATAGACTTTCTATCCGCCCTCGTAGAAGTGGTATTCGAACTTACTCCGATAGCTATTGAGTTCTTTGTTGTGCTGCGAATGCCACATTCAGCCTTGTGGCTCAACTAGATCACATCATTTACAGTTGCTCTGACATGGTTGGCAATTGTAACTGCCAAGTGAATCAACAACTCAAGGATGAAGGATACCATCGGTCAATCAGGCGGAAGTCTCGTGAGAAAGACGGTCGCTACATAGGAGGCAGATGGAGCCAATATCTCGTAATTAGTATAGAACTTTTACAAAGCAAGGATGAAGAGCTGGTCGAAGGCTACGATCTCTAAGTCGTGATGGTACTGGTTACGAACCGTCTCTCATGATCTTGTAGGATTGACCCTTTGATACGACCTGCATGAGAGCTGTAATGAACGACGAACAGGACAGACACCTTCAATAGGCGAGACCATGCCATACTGGGGCCAAGGAACTGAATCAACAAGACTTTGGCAGGTCTGTTCCAGTACAGTTGTTCCGAACTCCGCTTGACGTGCACCGAATGAAGAACGATCTATGATATTGTCAAATACGAAACAGGGTAATCGGCCTCGTAACTTCTGATCCTGAGTTAGACATGGCTGGGTCAGGTGCAAAGTAGGACAGGTTACTTTCTAAGAACACCTGCGGAGTACTTGGATCCACATCCTTCTCGGCAGAAAATTGGCCAACACTACGAATCCGTTTACAGCTGCGACACGAGCGGACAATGGATGTTACTCCATGATAGTATGCTATAATAAATACATGTTTTTGTCCACGACCTCCTTTTGTGATCACCCGTAGTAGTCACCCAATCGATCGACCCTTTTGAAAGACCCCATATCGATCATTAGCCAAATGGAGGCCACACGCATTATCGACAACGTCCAGTATGGCGCCCCGATTGAGACAACTTGGTCTTCCCACGTGACCATATCTCACATCATTTGCACGGTTTATGCCTCACCTTTCACGTTCTATGGTGTACTTGCCCGTAATCCTGATCGTATACTAGACCAAGGTCAGACCAATGATGAACTATTGTGGGTCTACGATAATGGTGCAAGAGTTTCTGTCTGGCAGGAAACCTGTCAGCGTCCCGTTGCGACTGGCGACATGATGGACTACGAGATGGAAGACATAGTCGGCCATCACGAGTATGAAAACGGACGCCTGTTTTATGCGGTAAAATGGACCGGGCGCGATTGTCCCACCTGGGAGCCCGAAGAGGATCTGGTGGCTCATAATGCGTTGCTTCTCTGCTATTGGACAACAATGCTGCGCCAGAATCAGCACCACTTGTCAACGAAGCTTTAGACCACAATGATATCTGCCAAGCAGGAAACGGGTGCTGAGGTTATGGAAGTGGGCTAAGAAGTTTTTGCTCTGCTCATTGGAGATATTCGTTATTTGTGTACATGTAGTGAGCAGCACAAAGATACAAATAGAGCAACAGTATTTTTCCAACGCGATCGTTTCTTGTGGTTACAGTGCATGTCTTGCCGACTAAACAACTCTTTGCTCTGCTTTCCATGTTCGCCTCCTGATCTTCTGTGGAAGCTCTTCACCACTGCTGAAAGGCACAATCTTCATAGTTGACGATGTCTCTCACTCGAAAACCCGGCTTCTATCGAGAATGGAACCTTACTGTCGTGCGCGCTTTTCCTCCTGTGGTCATGAATCGTTATCCAGAATCAGATTACCGCCATCTACGACCTACGCAACATGGATGGATGGGCACATCTGTCCAAGACCGAAGCCGTATAGTACGCGTGGAACGGGTGGCGAATATGAGGATTAGCGACTTTGAGAGTCTTGTCCAACTACGCCATCTTCATATCGCACGCTTCCTTGGGCTATATTATAATTCAAGGTCAACCGACATAGTCTTCGAACATACCGATTTGGACCTTCTCGATGTTTGCCCACTAAGCTCAGAGGCGGAAATTGCTAGTGTGGTTGCCCAGGTTGACACCCTTGATTATGGAGAAACAAGAAACAAGATCTTGTTGGCATATTTGCTAACTGTCTTTTAGATGCTTTCGGCGATCACGTATCTGCTCTCGTTGCCAGTGGATACTCGTATTCTGACTGTGCGCTTGTCCATGTTCGGACTTGTCAAATTAGGTAACATATTTTCTCCACCTTGTGTGCAAAGACATTCCGAATACTATCAAAATGTTGAATATTGTTTAGTACTTGACTTTCGCCATCAGCCGACGACGGACATCATACACAGAAAAAGGATGTATCGATTTATGGTGTCGTATGTAGAGCAAGTAATGACGAGCCTGAGCCCAAGGGATCATGTCTGGACATTCGATGCAGCAGACTTCCTTGATGTTTTGTATAGTGGGGACTTACCCGTGTTGAGTGTGAGTCCTCGGACAATGTTTCAAACTGTTGTCATTAGCCCTAAGTGACGGCGGGTACTGATCGCTGGGCAGCATCCATTTCTCTGCAAGTCTCGAGGGCCAGCAGGGTCAAGAGGGCCAGCTCAGCTGTGTATGCGCAGATTGTTGGCCAAAGGGGTCGATCGCGCCTAGCGAGCTACGAGGGTTGCATGGCTGCGAGACACTTTATCTGACTATTAGTTGGGTACATCCACCCCTGACCCTTTCATGAGCCATAGTCATCTTACAGACTCTATAACTTCAAACACGAAAGCAATCTCATAAAAGTCAACCGAAGCTCTATAACAATAGTCAAGAATTTGAACACTATTCGACCATGATATCATGCATACTGCGATGAAAGAAGACCTCGAAGCAGATGGCCAGTGGCCAGAGGGCACAATCGAGCAACAGTCTATTATAATAGTCAGCCACTGTCATTTGTTGCAATGTGCTGTCCTGGTGTTGGTGCTCATACGTCATCTAGATAGACTTCTGCTCGACCTCAAACTACAATAATCAAATTCAGTGCTCCACTAAGCAGTAGCACTTTGCTCATGGAGCAAAAGATATATTTAGCTATAACTGCCATCATGCTTCCCTCATCCACGCAGGACGGAGGAGCATGGGCCACTAACAACAGTGGAGCTAGGACCTCATGATTACAGAACTACGAGAAACCGCGCACTTTGTGCTGCAGCAGCGCTAGACGTCAGCATCGTTGTACGTAGCCTGTCACTCATTTCATGCTGATTAGTGTCATTCGCACTAATAATCTCCACTTGAAATAGTCCCATATGAAGCATATCCAGCGCCAATGTTGGAAGATGTTAGATGTGTCTTGTTTGGGAGGCTCAGGTCACGTTCATATTGGCTATCATTGTTTAATGTTTTTAGTTGTTGAAAGCCATACGATGAAGAACTAGTCCTCTCTATCGGGCTTAAGCCGGGCCACCGGGGACGGTCAGGGACAAGGTAGAGTCTTATTATACATATCTACGCAGGCTTGTAGAACTTAGGCCGTAGAAGAGTGTTTAAATCTGCCGTAAACTATTGCTAAATGTAGACAAACATTGTATAGTGTTCAACCGCGCTCGGAGAATCCCAACAGAGAATAAGCACTATCCTTATGGCCCATGATTACCTAGCCAAGCTTTTTCTCTGAACTAGGATCGAGAATTAGTACGTGTAGTAGTAGCACATGGCGCCGTTCTGTGTATAAATGTCATCTCTGACGGTGACATTTGGTCGCGACCCTTGCACACTAGTCACAGCATCCAGCGTTAAAGGTGTGCAGGGACTGCTGTTGTCGATACAGCCGTTGATATTGGTCTTGCGAGGGGCATCGCCGTTTTGGCACAGCCAGAAATTGCGGTCGACGAAAGATGGTGAAGGAAGAAAGTAAGATCCTCTGGTGACGAGGAGGCATCAGCCATTACGGAACCGACACCATTATGACCGTATGTATGAGGGCCGAGCTCGCACAGTTTTTCCGTATTGGCGTAGTCGTCACGTGAGTTGTAAGTATTGACGAAGTCCTCATTGCACTGGGCAGTTAAATACTCATCAACAGCGCGGGAGAAACAGTGGTCTTGAGAACCCGAACAGGGTCCAATGTGGGCAACCGCATTGGGCGAATACTACCAAACTAGCTAAGTTTTAATTTCCTTTTATAAGGGTATAATACTTACACCGTTGGTATCACAAATACCATGGCCATTGGAGGCCGTAGGAAGAGGCCCGAAGAAATTGGGCGTGAAGATGAAAGAGCCAGAAAATTACCAGCGTCAAGAGTTTCGTCCCACCAATCCCTCATAATATTTCCAAGGTCCAGACGTAGTATCGGTGCCAAAGAAGAAAAATGATGTTACCGTGAATGGTGTTGGTTATCATCTGGTGGACGCGGACCAGGTCTTCGTATCGGCTTTGAGATGGTGTGAAACCGCCAGACGAAGGTGTATCCATCACACTTGAAAGCAGCGGCAAAGGCATGCCTATCTGTGTCCGAGTAGTCTCTCCATGCAAATCGTTGATTTGTTTGCCGCAGCCTACCGCAACAGCATTCACATTATCAACTGAATCGTCAATTGAAGGGGATGTTCGGTTCGCCAGTAGAAGATGAAGTCGGAAACGAAGACGATGACCCAGCAGCTATGGAATCAGCGATGGCAATGGCAACATCTTCGAAGTCGTTTCCCAGACCAGCGATGATCTTGCAACTTTAGAATTCCCGACCGTGCATCCTCCAAAGATATCGTGCTAAACCATCCAAAACTTTCGTAAGGGTAGGCCAACAGTGTAAGGTATGGATGTGACTGTATTATGGGCGCGCATTTTCCTATATAAAGTGATTAGCTACGAATATGGAATGGTAGTGACTGTGAGGGACTCTGCCATCAAGCATGTATAGTCCGTTTCCTCTTCTTGTTGTCTATTTAGCCATCACGTGGCACGGTCCACAACTGTGGTTTCCTCTGGATGCCATCTCAAGGTCTACTGTAACAAAATAATTATCCACTACTCAGCCTTACTGTAATTCCGGCCATTGACTCCAGGAAAACGAAATCTTGTACAGGCATGATCAAAATTGGCTTCCTCTTTTCGTTTCTCTCTCTCTTCTCTTCTTCGAGCACGGACGATCCAATTATGGCTCCCGCCCTGAAGTATGATACAAGTACTCTTTCAGACGACACCAGTTCTGGACTGATGATCATGATTTGTAATTGAGCTCTTATGGAGTTGTACAGTATTATGCTCCATTTATCGTATAATGAGTCGGCATCATCAGAAAGTGGACGATGAGCGCTGCTCCATGTAGGCTTTATAGCTAGAAAGAGGATATCTTCGGCCATCACGGTACAGACAGAATCAAAATCGGCTTCCTCTCTTTCTCTCTCTTCTCTTCTCTTTGAGCACGGACAGTCCAGTTCTGGCTCCTACTCGGAAGTACACTTTTGAACCTCTGTCGTACCATGGAACTTGAAAAATGTCCTTTTCGGCCCTGAACGCATATGTTTGGTGCCCAAAATCTATCTTCGATAACGTACAATTGAAGTGTAGTAGTGGGTGTATCAATAACTGCGGAAGAGCTGGTCGAAGCTCACGCTCTTGTAATCAGAATTGATACGGTCCAAAAGAGTACTTAGGGTATACGTACAGGCTAGAGCCAGGAATGGATCGTCTGTGCTTAGAGAAGAAAAGAGAGAGACAAAAGGAGGAAGCCGGTTTTGATCTTGTCTGTACTTCAGAGGTTCGAAAGTATACTTCTGGGTGAGAGCTACAAGTGGACTGTCTGCGCTTAAGAGAAGAGAAGAGAGTAAAAAAGGAACAGCCGATTTTAATTCAGTCTGTACCGGCTTCCTCATTTTGTCTCTCTCTTCTCTACTCTAAGCACAGACGATCCCATTCTGGCTCTGACCTATACGTATACTCGAAGTAATCTTCTAGCCGATATCATTCTGATCCCAAAGCGTGAGCTCCGGTCAGGGTCTTGCAGATACAGCGAGTACTGTAACGAAATTGGCTTCCACTCATATGGACGAAAATCATTATGCACGAGAGCCATTTCTGGAACCCTTCGAAAATAAGAGGTAATTCTAGCGCTTGCCCGAATAAGCATCATGTGATTGACATGAATTCTCACGTTTTCTCGCACCGGAAACGTCTTGCAATCAAATATTCAAATTCCATATTTACGGAACAGGCCCTCCAGATTGATAGGATCCCATTCTAGGACTCTACCCAGTTCTCAGACTTACGCGATCCACCATACGAGCACATATGGATCATTATCCAGGTAAGTGAAATCATTATATTTATGAGTCCTACATTACTCGATGCAGAAATGGCTCTCGCGAGAAACAAATTCGCACGTTTGATGCGGAAGCAGCGTGTGAAAACAGTCGAACCAGTCGAACGAATGACTGACTGGTTCGACTATTTTGACACGCTGTGCGGAAGTCAATTTCGCTATTAGGTGTACAGACAAGATCAAAACCGGCTTCCTCCTTTTGTCTCTCTCTTTTCTTCTCTAAGCATAGACGATCCATTTCTGGCTCTGACCTGTACGTATACCCTAAGTACTCTTTTGGACAGTATCAATTCTAATTCCAATAGCGTGAGCTTTAACCAGGCTCTTTCGCACGTATTGATACTGTACACCCACTACTACACATCAATTGTACGTTATCGAAGATAGATTTTGGGCACCAAACATATGCGTTCAGGGCCGAAAAGGACATTTTTCAAGTTCCATGGTACGACAGAGGTTCAAAAGTGTACTTCCGAGTAGGAGCCAAAACTGGACTGTCCGTGCTCAAAGAGAAGAGAAGAGAGAGAAAGAGAGGAAGCCGATTTTGATTCTGTCTGTACTGTACTGTACTGTAACGAAGGACATAACTCCAACTGGGAGTTAAAAGTGGCTAATTTCAATTCAGGACGTAGAGTACAAACCACTTTATGAGCAATCCATTAATGAACCCTTTTGTTCTGGGCTTTGTTTTCAGTAGAATGGCAGACACCAGAATTGGATATGCGGAACCTTTTCTCGATGTGATATGAAGTATAAATACACGAACACCGACAAGATAAAACAAGTAGACAGAACTATCGTTCAAAGTCACAAATGTACAATGGCGCCTACCAAACCAAAACAAGCACCTAAACCTGAACATGTACCGGAACAAACTGCTCGAGCTCTCAGAAGTCAGGTTCAGAAGGGTGGAGTTCACGGCTTACCCCCAGAAAAGAAAATTGAAATTCAAAACAGAATACTTGAGCTTGAGGCAGAAGCATCCACAGACCCCAAAAAGCGAGAGCAGTTGGAGACTCTGCAGAATCAATTACTGCCAAGAGGGTCTTCTTCACTGAACCCGCGTGAATCTATCGATCAGGCGGCGAACAGCCACGTTGGTGGTCCACAGAACGGGCAGCCTCTGTTCGTCCCTGCTGCCGTCGCAGGTGCTTCAGAAGGCAATGATACAACAGCTTTGCCTTCCACTGAGAGAGCTGAAGGCAGCGATACGACAGATTTACCTTCAACTGAGAAAGATGTAGATGGTGCCGGTTCCGATGTGGACGATCTAACCAGTTATATGGGCAACCTTGGCATCACTGATCATATCGGTGGTGGGCCGAGAAATATTAAGCCTATCGGCTGGTTAAAAATGGGTTGGGGATATCGCCTCTTGATACAATACGGTGAAGATCGATATGCAAAATATCGGTTTCAGCAAGGCTCAAAATTTCGCACGTCTATCACTAAAGAGTACGAAAAAAACTTGAAGGACGCCCCTAATAAGATTGGGAAAGATGAAAAGGTACTTGATCTCCAAGTCAAAGCTGTGGCTTGGGTATATCCAGATGACGAGGAATGTCCGGTAAAACTCCTACTTCGCAAGAACTGGCCAAGAAACAGACGCAATGACCCAATTGCCCCAGGGATTTGGGTCAAGGTGCGACGTATGATCGAGCCGGATACACCAGAAGGTGGAGACACAGAAAATCAAGACATCAAGCCGGTGTTCATTGACAGTTGGGAGACAAGAAACGACATCGATAGACTTATCCATGGGGAAGATGTCACACTCGCGAAAGAACTCAAATTTGGAAAGTTCACTATCTTCGAAGAGTCGGAGGTGGTTCCTAAGATCGATGCCCTTATCGTTGCAACTGCAATTTGGGCAGAGACACGTTATCAGAAGCGACCCGAAATAAAGAAAGAGAAGAACCGTGATGGCTCTCCAACACCGGCTCCTGACATCAACGCCATCTCGGATGTGAACATGACTGGGTGAATCTAGACATGTTGATAATGATTGGTTGCGTTTTCGTTCCCATCCCTTGGTCTCTCTCCTTTTGCTTTATCGGTTCATTCTTTTTTTTACAAAATCTTATCCATACTTTTTCCTTAGTTCTGTTATATTATGTTTTACATTTGAATTTTGAACTTCTTCCGAGGTATCTTCTCATCATTTTTCTACACATCGCTTAACTTTACACTTTTTAGATAGGATCATCTGAAAACCATTTTCTCCAATGTGACTTTTACTATCGTAGAGTACTGTAAAAATCTTGGCAAAGGCTTGGTCAGCAACTATGCCAGTAGCAGGGCATAGATTATTTTTCCGCCCTCTTATAGTACAGTAAACCTTCTAACCTGATTGCTCATCAGTTTCTTTGAACTTTCTCACCTCCCTTTCGAAGACCAATTCGTCGCGGCTTGATTCCTTCAACCGTACCGCATGCAGCTGACCAACCCCACGGTCGTGAGATTTGTGCTCCTTGAGAAATGCTGAGCAGTAAGAGGTCATTATGACTGCATTTACCTTTATTTTGCTTGGTTCATTTTGTTCGTTTCGTCCGTTTCGCTCAATAAGACTGATTGTGGAGCATGGTCGACATCGATTCCGAGCGCGTATACTGGAACCCAAGCAGCACGTTAGCCGAGAGGCAATCCGGGTCTGGGAAGAGGAAAGCAAAGAAAATGAATGGCTAAATCCGGAAGATCATACAAGAACTGGAAGCAAGAAGAAGCGACATCGATGCCAGTGAGGAAATAATCGTTGTGCTTGGGAGCATTTAGTACATCAATCCCTTTATGCAGGCTCTTTTGACAAAGAATGCAAGATCTAGACGATGTGCCGAAGACTTTATTGATGGAGTGGACACCAAACCTCTCTCTTTTACTTCCGCGAATCGAATGATTAGAAAGGTCACCACATTGCGTTCATAATGTCGCGTACACCAAAAACAAGGAGACAACATCGATTATAGATCTGGCATTTCCTCCCACCAATTTCCTAACCCTTTCTACCCTTTTTTCTACGCTCGTGTCATCCGCCCGGAAAGAGCTTCTGAGCCTACGGAGGTAACACCGATCTGCAGCGGACCAAGTTTCCCCCAGGGCCTCCTAGATGAAGGAGCCGTCTTCAAGATGCCGTTTGCCACGGCCACCAGATCGAGCCGTCCTCCTCCATGCACTAATCTCATGGCAACGCACCGCGTAGCTTCACGTATCATGGACTTAGCACACCGAAAGGAGCAAGAAGATAACTGCATATTTGTACGCATGGACAATTCCCTACGAGAACCGGGGTACATGGGTGAGTCTGCAAGTCAGATATGGTATGAACGCTTAGCATACGACACTAGTAGTGCAAACATAGATCAATATTCGGGAAAGGGGTTTCAGCTGTTGGAGACTCGGTGCAATTACGTACCGCGTAATTTCTCAGTGTTCTGATAGACACGGAACGCTCTTTGCCAAAGCTTTGCCCACCAGAGTAGCCTGGAGGCTGGGTTGCAGGCATGGTGAGCATTGCCCAGCGACTAACAGGGCCGGTCGATTGAGCGGACACCCAGACTCTTCAGCGCAATATAAATACTGGAAGGACCCGGCCAGAGTGTCGAACAAATTTACCATTGTTGTCATCGTTCTTCCCCTTACCAGACGTCAATCGTACTTGAACCATTCCAAGATGTCGCACCCATTCCAACAGATATGTTGGCAAGATGTTGGTGGTCAATTGAAATTGCTGGCAGTAGATAGCGGAAATCTCGCCAACCCTTGGAGTATCAAGTTCCCATTTAAGTTTATACATGCACCGCCAAGGCACAGAATCTGCCCATAATCACATCTCGCAAAGAAGCCTCTTAGGTCACATGAATAACTCAAATCGTTCGTGTCATTCTGCTTCGCGTCTCATATGTACGATGAGTTTACTGCAACACGATGATACAGGCGACAACATCCTTACTCCCGGCCTCGCTGACAATGAGGTTTCCCCTTACGCGACGTGCGCAACGGCAACGGCTTGCGAGGCGTTTGAGGACAGCTGGCTCCAGTCGTAACTGCTCTGCCTGCCTTTGCTCACGCGGACGGAGTCGATATGATTCGGAAGGAGCGAAATAAGGTCGTTGCACAAGGGGGGCTTGTTGTTATCCCTTCGGGCGATGACGATGGAGCTTGTGGATTGAGCCAATCTACTACGTGACGCATCACTTGATGTAAAACCTGGCCGTTGCTTCGCGATAGTTTCACGACTCGTTGCACGCTGGGGAAGTGCAGCTGCGGCTCATGAGTGATGTAACTATATAGATTCCATTAAGCCGTGCTGTTCAGCCCATCTAGGAATCCGGCGCGACGTCTAGCTGACACGGCTTGGAGAGATTCCTTGTCGGGATAGAATAGCGCTTGTACCTCGGAGCCCGTGCGGTCGGGACCTAAGTACTTGCACATGGCCGCCCAATCCAAGATTCCCACATATCTGGCCGCATCGATCAATAGCAACAAGGACAGCCCGATGATCTACTTTGGTCTCATAGCGTCCGCCAACCAGTTGATGAAGGATGCAAATATGCGAGACAGGCTTTCGACGAATCGTTTGTGACCGATCGCTACGACGATTTCTTCACCGGCAAAATACAAGGCAATGTTCCACAGAGACGGACCCTTGAAGCTGTTACGGGGCCCGGCACCGGGACCAGGAATTACACAGTACCGGCTCGTGTCTTACAATGGGTCGTGGCGTCTTGCCCCTTTTACTCAGGTCTTGTCATGAGGTTGCGAAGCTTCACTAGTATGAGGTGATTAGTATAATACTAACACGTTCCGCATCCGGTAAGCCATGAGCATTAATTGGGCCGTAAGTTGTGTATTGTGACAATTAGTATAGGCTTCACCTATGGGTAAGATACATGCTTGAGTTTTGATCATCAAGGTAATGAATGTCTGTGTAGAATAGGAGACGCCTTCTTTCATGCCCTCACTGGTATCCTCTAATCACTGTTGCTCACTATAGACACACTAATTATAACTGACCATGTTACGTGACCCCTCATGGGTGTCTTCATCCCTTGTCTAATCGTGTTCCTGAGTCTTCTGTTCCTCATGATTGGTTTCCCATGTGTTCCAGTGTTGCCCATTGGGTCGTGCCTTGTGATCTCATCGGAAATTGGCGCTGCAGTTGAATCTGGTCTTCAATTTGATATGGCCTTGTTTAAGCCTTGATCATTTATCTGGGGTTCTGCGTCGTGTGGTAACGGTAGCACATCGTCTAATGATAGTGTTGGAAATATGCTTCCCAAATCCATGCCCTGCTCCCAATTCCGGATCGTAACTTCCAACAATCTCTGAGCTGTCAAGACAACCAGATCGCCTGAATCTGACTCAGTTTCGGGAATTAGAAACATTAGTGGTGCTGATTTCCAAAGTCGTGTCCCGGTCCCTTGGTTGAGGCATATCCATATATACTGGTAAAAAAGTCTCGGCTCAAAACTGTAGTCCTGACCGCTGGGGGACAGCCCCTGTAAGATCAGTTTTTGACGCCGACAAGCTTGGAGATACTCCAGTGCACGACTGGTGATGACGGCACAGCGGAGCCATTGTGCCTGCTCGTTTGTTATGAACTCTCGTACAAAGTTCCTTCTGCTATCTCTTTCTGCGTATGTTGTGGTGTCCTCTTCCGATTTTTTGGCACATTTGCTAGGATCATCTACCCAATTCGCCAGATGGTGGCTGTTGTCGGGCCATCTCCATTGATAATCATGCTCAAGAAGAGCATGCATCCGGTCTGGTAAATGGGTCGCAGAGCGCTCGAACATCAATAGCGACGCAGCTTCGGCTAATACAAGAGTCGTTTGTACCTCTGCTGCCCACCCCGCCATTGTTCCATTTCATGCTCGCTGGGTGGTACATATTTGGCCATGGCTTTGGATGGGGTACTGTGCTGCATCCCTTTTTGGTCCTTAGACGAAATGGTGCAGTGCCGTACAGTACAGTAACATCCGGTGGTCTAATGAGTATGCTGGTACTGTACAGCAGTGTGATGGGTTAATGGAAGAGTGCCCTTGGAGGCTTTGGTAGAGAACAGCCGACGGAAGTGGTGGAACACTTGAGGCTGGCGGTCTTGGATGTGCTGGAAAGCACCTTCGATGAGATTGAATAAGTCCTTCAACCCAAGGATACGACTCTATATGAGGGGCATTGTGGCGCTTGTCGGAGAGAACTCACAAATGCGGATCTCTATATGTATCAGAGGTTTGATTGCGTAAGTTGATCCTGTCCTTATTCATGCCTTGACTGATCCTCTCCCAGCTGGTATGCTCGCGATGCGCATCTCTTCCCGGTGGTACACCCTGCATCACAGGCGTTCATTATAGATTTGGGCGGTAGTAAATTTTGTCAGTCTACGGTCTGCATGAACCCTACAAGATATGCTTGGGTCCACTCGAGAAACCAGCAAGACCTCGATGTTGTTGTGAGTTCCCTCAACGGTACTTCCGGACGCAAGTCCTATGTGTCGAAGAAAATGCTGCGAAAGATCACGGTGTGAAGATAGTTGCCTTCAGACTTTCCACGTGTTAAGTTAAACCATTTGTCATCGATAAACGATGGAAACGAGTCTTGAGCGTGATCCAATCTTGTCATTAACAACGTTTGTCGTGGGGTGCATTTGTATCGACGCGACTCACCACCTTGGTGGCAGGGTGAGCCATCTGTCTGCTGGCAGATCTGCCGCAGATCTGCTAACAGATCAGATGGCAGACAGATGCGATTTTGAGCCACCCAGCAGACGCAGATTCTGATCTTTTGGGGTACCGGCAGATCAGAAGCAGATACGATCTGGGATTAGCAGACAGATAGCAGATCTGCGCAGATCTGCTAGTGCCAAGATCGTGACCCTTGCTGCCGCCCCTGGCCCGGGCCCCGATGCTAGCCAATACTTTGACTCTAGGTGGATTTTGTGTGGAAACAACCCCCTAAAACTTTTCATCAGTCAACCTGGGAGTCTGATCTGAAGCTACAGGAGCTCAACACTAAAATGGGTTCACCCACGCCTTTAGGAACACCTTCTTCACCTACTTCGTCTGTTGCATCTACGCCAACACCACTTAACCGTGAGCCTGAATCGTTCCCTGATTATTCTATTTGGACGCCAGATCGCTTTGCAGCCTTTCCAGGCCTGGGACTATACCATGAGCCCAAGAAAGAACTCAAATGGTGGTGGAAGTATGGTTTTCGACTCAAGGACCCCAAACGGCCGTTGAAGCTACAGCAGATCTGGGTGTGCGAGGCGTGTCTTCTTGTGAAAAAGAAAACCGCATTCGTGGCCAGTGGTAGTAGATCTATAGAAAAGCATCTCAAAGAAAATCACAGGGTGGTAGAGAAGGGGGTAAGTTACAAGGCAAATAGACTTAGATCTGCGAACTTACACCACAAATCCCACCTAGAAGAATGCACCTACGTCTACGCCGTCTTCACAACGTACGCTTGACTCCATGGTCGACTTTTCACAACCACAGCAGCAGGCACTCCACGGGCAGCTCGCGATTCGTTTTAACAAGGCGCTAAATAACCTCTTGATTTTGGACTGGCTTTGTTGTTCAAATCTGCCGTTCAGGATCGTAGACAACCCTCGCTGGCGCCGTCAACAACTGTACAACAACCCGATACTAACCGAGCAAGACCTACCACATTCAAAGACCATCGTCCGCTTACTCCTGGCCGAGTACAAGCGAGCAGTACCCCAGATCAAGAGCTTCCTACGGACAGCACGTAGTCAAATTCATCTAACTTTTGATGGCTGGACCTCGAGAAAGTTTATCTCGTTTATAGGAGTCCACGCTCATTTCGTGGACAAAGACTTCAGGAAATGGACCATATTATTAGGTCTTCCTGCCCTGGTCAAGCGTCACACGGGGTCTGACGTCGCTGACGAGGTTCTAGCGGTAATCCGCTTCTTCGAGATCGAGGATTTGGTAGGCTACTGCACCTTGGATAACGAGTCGAAGAACAAGGCGACTATGGTAAAGATTGGTGAAGAACTTGGTTTCGATGGTGTTGAGCGGCAGATAAGCTGTGCTCCGCACGCGTTGCAACTCGCCGTTCGTGCCTTGCTTTATGGAGATGGGTGTAAACGGCTGCCGCTTGATCAGGTATTGGAAACCTGGCTTCAGGAAGAATTTGCTGATGAGCGTCAAGAAAACGACGCTTTAGAGCGTGCCTTTGGCGCCGTGGCCGTGAATCTGGAGGGGGAGGAGGAGCAGGAGGAGGAAGACGACGATAATCTTAATCAGCAGGATTCAACTAGCGAAGATGATACAGGCAGCGATTCTTCGGATACTGGCAATTCTTCTGACTGTAGCGAATCTGATGGTGAAGACGAGACTGGGGTATCTGAAGCTGAAGTTGAAGCTTTAAGCAGCGCTTTTGATTACCTCACGCCAAACCAGATCACCACCAAGACCATGGCCAAGTATAACAAGAATGGCCCGTTTGGTAAGCTTCACAACCATGGCAACTGCTTTCACAGAAGTAGTCAGCTCGTTGGCGCCCTCCGCCAGATTCAGCGCGATCTCGACCCTCAAGCGACAGTCAAGGAATGGATCCAAAATAATGCAACGCGGTGGCAAAGCGACGAGGCCATGGCGGCGCGCGCCTTGGAGCTGAAGCAGGTAATCAACCGGCTGCATCAGAGTTTAACAGACCACTGGGAAGGTGCTGGGTCGAAGCAGGGTGATAAGCCACCAATCCTTGAATTTAGATTGGGTCCCCAGGACTGGCGAGTGGTTGAAGCAATTCAGAAAATCCTCCAGCCATTCAAAGTCGCTTCGAAAAAGCTTCAGGGCAACGGACCTGCTGGTGCGCTTGATCAGTATTTTCCACAGATGGAATACTTGCTTCTTCACCTGGAGGACTGCGCTGCTGGCAATTGCTATTCTGAGAGGATTGATCCTGAAAACCCTGCTGGAGATCCCATCCCAGAGAACGTAAAGCTATTCGCGAATCTGAGTAACCAGCAACGCCGCTTCTTAAAGGCTTACATCAAGGTAGGCCTTTGGAAACTACAACATTACTATGACAAGCTTGTCAACTTGGCCTATGCTGCCGCCGTAGTCTTCAACCCCAATATGAAGATGGCTGGGTTGCAAGGTATTTTTGATGCTGAGCCTCAGCGGCAACAGCAATCTTGGCGAGACCACTACCTTGGCCAGTTGAGGACGAGATGGACTGAGAACTATAAGACTCGGTAAGCTGCGGTGGTGACCAATCTTCGTTCCAGCTAATCCTCTCCCAGACCGTCGTCTAGCTCCGACGCACCAACCCCTGCCAACCAACAGCCAGTACTCACAATGCTTCGACGCCGGAAGCGATTTTACCAAGCCGACGCCGCCAGCGAGGTCCCTGATTCACAAGGAACACAAGACACGCAGCAAACGGCTAAAAGGAGGAAAGGTAAAAAGGCAACGCCAATCAGACGTGAAGATACACCAGACGACGAGCTTGAACAATACCTGGCAGCGCCTATCAACGACCTATCGGCCTACTTCGACGACCCAGTGGGCTGGTGGCGTGACGTTGGCGCCAGGCGTTTCCCGACCTTATCTTATATGGCGGTGGACTACCTTTCCATCCCTTCAGCCCAAGCAGAAACTGAGCGCCAATTCAACAGCGTGGGTGAGATGGTATCGGCCAAAAGAACTCACCTTGCTCGTCACGTTATTGGCGCAAGCCAATCTATCAGGTCTTGGAGCAAAGTGGGCGTGTATAAGCCCGAATTACCGCTTGATCTGCTAGATAAGCTACCAAATACGGCGTTGGATTACGATACTACGCGTGAGCTGGTTGGCTGGGCGCGACGGCGCTAATACGGGTGTGAGTCGGTTTGCTGGCTATATATAGACACAACAGATCTGTGGCAGATCTGCTGGCAGATCTGCCATCTGCCAAGTATCTGATCTGCCAGATCACCACCCAGCAGATATCTGCATCTGTTGCCAAGGGACTCAGCAGACAGATGGGCCATCTGCTTCTGCTTCTGCTGAAAAATCCTAGCAGATCAGACAGATGGCTCACTCTGTGTAGAACTCATCGAGCCATTGCTCAGATTATGATTTGCTTCGTCATTGCTTGGTAAGGCTGTGCTGTTACTGAGTGGATTTCTTGGTAGTGTTGGGACCGTGCAGGACAGTGGATTGGTGCCATTGTTCAGTCCATACATTGAGTGTGTTAGTTGCAGATTATTATGATAGTTGTGCGTCATTCCGTAACTTTGATCTTCTGAGGGATATCTCTGCTGCTGCAATGAGCCATGCGTATAGGAGTCCAACACAGAGCTTCCACTACAGACATGTCACTACAGAGATTCCACTACAGAACTTGCAGTACCCAGAATATGCACAGCCCCATCTGTATCGTTGCCATACAGGCTTGTCTAGTTTGTGTAGTTCGTCATGCTCACCTGAGTGCTGCGAGGACACCAAGTATGGTGCCTCCGTTTCCATGGCTACAATCTGTTCCTAAGTCTTTCACGTATAACAGACGGATCGATGTAGCTGTAGCTGGAGCATGACAGATCCATTTCCTTTGATATTTTAGGTAAACTATTGGCAAATAGCCGGCTCTTCATCAAAGCTACATGACATCTTTAAATCGCTTCAGTGATACGATATGTCCATGTCAAGTATGTAGCAGTATGAACACAGCTACATGACCCATTATCCCTGGGACTGAACTATATCCTTCATCCATCCTCTTCAAATACTCATACCTGACACTTCCAGAATCCACTGGCTAAAGAAAAACGTTCTGGTTGAAAAGAACTCCACACCCTCTTAGATACCTCCTTAAATGCCCTTTCTTATATCCTGACTGTGCTGGTTGAACAGTATTCAATGTTACCTGTTGGCATGATGGTACTCCTCAGCTTTCCAAGATACTATCACCTTAAAACGGTTTTAGTTTGTGTGTTTCGTATATTTTCGACTGAGAAGAAATCCTACCCGGATCTTCCCTATGGACCGGCATCAGCACGGCGGGTGATATCATAACCCGAACGTCCATCAGTCACTGAAGACAGATCGTACCCAGATCTTCCCTCTGGATCGGCATTAACGTCGCGGGTGATAACATGACGAGATGATCGGCTTGGTGCCGATATAGCCATATTTGCGGCTAGCAGTTGAAGTATAAGATTGAAAGGATGCATCTTCAGTTGAAAAAAAGATTGGGTAGAAAACCTATGATCGAAGGAAATTCGTCCGGATACACGAGAGGTTTATATAGATCTGTAAAGCCTAACTCGCTATCCGGCCAACGTACGTGTCAAGCCAATCAGCACTAGGTTCATTTTGTAGACAAAGTTGGTTCTGAACTACAGGAAGATTCAGAATCAGTGTCCTCTTTTGGATCATTGAGTACTGATCTTTGGATTAAGCTGTAATCCAGACTTTGCGGATTTTATCATTCTACGGGCAAAACAAGATGTGCTAACAATCCGCCGGTAAGAACATAAGCATATTTCATTATACTGTAATGCGTGTTTGATTTTCGTGCTGATGAGCTGTGGTTGTGGATGTAGAGCTTCCCTCGACCGATACATGTTCAGTATGAATGCAGACACGCCAAGATTAGTCATCGTCCTCGTCCTCGCTATCGCTGTCATTCCATTCGTTCAGAAGTTCAGAGTCACTTGTCTCCATAGAATACTCATCATCTTCGCCTGAGGTTGGGAACTCGCCTTCGTCGCGGTCTGGTGTTGGGGCCCACTATGGTGATACTAGTGGTCCACCAAATGAGGCTCCGTAGTAGCTCTTTGAAATCGGTGGGTAGACTAACGCGCCGTGATGTGGTACTCTGCCCGGCCGTGGCGATGGTGGCGGCGGTGTAACAAATGGGACTTCCGGAGCTAGAGTGGTTGGGATCTCACTCGGAGAACCCCGAAACCCTGGCGACTGCGGTATGGGCGGCGTAACAAATCTGGCCCTCGGAGTCGGCGTGGATGGCAGATCACGCGAAGACTGTCGTAGCACCAACGACGGGGCTGGCAGCAATTGCTCAGGCGAATGATGTGAGTCCTCGCTAAACCGCAATGACCGGAGCTCTGCAGGTCTACCACCGGAACGAATCCCAAGCCCGTAGTTTGCCTCACTGAGTGACGCAGAAGCTGGCCGCTTCCTCCTCTTGGAGCTCTCCACGGGTGAAGCTACTGTTCCACCCGCAAGGAGGATGGTCTCTCGATCGGTGGCGGACTCATTACTTGGACTAGCGTGTGCATTCGAATTAAAGTTCTGCGAGTCGCTAACAGCCTGGATGCTACTGCCGAGCCATGCTAGACATTTCAGCGCAGACCATCTTTTGTGGGGCTGTCTGAAACCGGAACCAGAACTGGTACAGTCCAAAAGTGTACTTGAAGCACAATTTCGATCGATTGCCCGAATTGGCTCGTCCGTGCTCAAAGAAGAGCAGAAAGAGTCGGAAGAGGAAGCCGTTTCTGATTATGTGTGTATCCAATTTCTAGACTTACACTGCCAACTATACGGATACTTAAGGATCATTACCCGAATGCATTACTGTAGCTCATTTCATTATCGCTTCTACGACACTCCATCTAAAAACGGCTCTCCTAAGAAACAAATCCTCGCCCTCAATGCCACAGCCATTTTAGTTGCTGACTGTATGAATTCATATAAATGTGTAGCTCATGCTTCCTGTTATATTTGATAGTAAGTGTCACATCATAGATATCCTGGGACAAAAGAATATGGCAATCGAATTAGGCCGTTCTATGTTCCTCACGACACTTTATATTGTAGCAGTCAGTGTATCTCTGTATTTCTCATGGTACTCATTCAGTATTACAAGCAACCAGAAAGAGGGTATCTTCAAGATAAAGGTCAAGCGAAGTGAATTATTCCATGCGTTCCACAACTAACATAAGCTAGTTCGGTAGTCTATTTCGCCGTAATTCCCCCATACAACATCTTGATCTGAATGCTCCAGTTCTTGTTGTTCCGGACTTGGCCTCGGCTATAACAGTCGCTGCGAGCGTTGCGACGGACGTTGCCACAAGTGTCCAGGGCCAGGCTTCAAGCTTGGTAACGAGTGCGATCACAACTGCCGAGACTAGTATCACTGCAACGATACCCCAGAGCTGTTCTTTGGGATCCAAATTCGCCTGCATCGGATACTCAAGCGGCGCCAACTGTTACAATCTACCGCTGAACGGTTCGGATCCTTTGACATCGAAAATCACGCAGCTCCTTGGACCAGAATCGGCTTTGACAGTGTTAAAGATTATCCCTTCCGTAGAGAACTTAATCATCGTGGGGAATGTCTTCATCTTTATCTCTCTTATAGGACTTGTACGAAAGGTGCCGTTCGCTCGCACAATTTTGCTGGGATCTAGTGCAATAAGCTTCGTATTTTTCCTGACATCTGCTTCGTTTATATGGGCTTCGATCCACGGCTTTTCTTTATTGGCATCCTCAATTAACGCAGAACTCGAGAAGGGGCCCATGCTAGCTACTTCCATAGCCACATTTCTTTGCAGCCTTATTGGTTTGGGAAGCTCGGTATTCTTGTTCTTTTGGGATTAGTTGATACGCTTGGCCTTAGTAGCTCAATGATGGTATTAGAAAGATCAATAGACCGCTTGAACTCGAAACATTGTATAATGACATACTTCCCCTGGTTCGTTGTAATTGAAATAGAGGAAAGTTAGAATATCGAACCTTGAAAGAGCTTAAACAAACAAACAAACAAACAAACAACGACCAAACAGCCAACTCTCGTAGTGTTGACTGGCCACAGTGGAGAAGTTATCCCCAGCGACGGTGGGTCATACAACAGTATTGAATATTAGATGAGGTCAATTATGTATGTAAGGGGATAAACACAGCTATATGGTGACGTGACATATATATTACTAAAACGATATAAAGATGTCATGTGGCTATGATGTAGAGCCGGCAATTTGCCTATAGTTTACCTAGACATCGGAGGAAATGAAATCTAACATAGATAGTATACGGCATGGCCTTTCAGTCCATATTTAACCTCCAGCCGCTGAACCCCAGCTGCCTTGTTCCAACTGTCGCACTTTAGGCACAGATTACTGCCCTGAACTGGAGGCGCCGTACCTGGTCTTTTTAACTATGTAATTTATTGGTGGAGCTCATTAAAACCGCCGTCAGCCTTCAGGCTAAGTGATTTATGGCATTGTAACCATAGACCGCCCCCGAGCTCGAGGTGGCGGTTGAGAGGGTTTGTCCCATTCGCCTGGCGTTAGAGAGATGCCATCTGGATGTGCCTCGAGACTACAGGTGATGGATTACTCCCTCTTTTCCCGCAGATGTCCTATCTCCCTAGGTTTCCTGCGGGGTGTCACAGATGTCCCAACCCTGTGTACCGGCCAGCGAAGGCGGCCTCTGCAACCTGTCCGTGGTGCTGGCTACGAGCCTGTTGTTCTGCAAGAGCTCTTTCGAGTCTCTCTTGTCGGGGGTCAACAGAGCCAATGCAGAGACGCATCTTGTAGAATTTGTGGATTTTCAGTAGCCATTATGGCATACACGTACATAGATAATTGAATAAACGCTGGTTTCGGCTTGACCATTTCGCCAATGATGTATGGGCTCACGGTCACCGTGTCCCATGTCTTGTGTCGTTTCCTCGCCTCTTTCTCCATCTCTACCCTGCTTGACTGCCCCCACTGTATCTGACTGTCTATCAGGAGTATGTAAGTAAATACAGTACAGGGATATCAAATACTGTCGTCTCGTGCACATTGGACTCTACTTTGCTTTGCCGCCGGACTGTCTATCGTGGCTGGCGCACAGTCAAGGAACTCGTCGATCATAGTGCCTAGATTGGTTGCGAGATGATCGGTGGTGCGTGGGCTTAGAATGTGATTGCTTTCGAAGGATGCGTCGTTTCTAAAACTAGAGACCTTTTCTTCTCGGCAAGGTTGGGCGATGCGCAGATGTGACAGACATTGGAGATTATTGAAGAAAGTGGATACACAGCGGTTGTAGTTAGTTTCCACTAATAAATATGCTTTCATTAGGACATGCCAGTAGCGTGACCATGTCCTCGTGCCTGATAACCACGGACTTCCTGCACATCTTATCACGTCCGACGTACCTGCACTCACTTTCATCCCAAAACGCCTGTACGGGAAACCCATCTCCATGTGGCCGCACCCAAACGGAGACCCAGGGCAGACCTGCCAATACGCAGCTCCCAAGTTCCTCCAGAGTCCAAAGCTCACCAGTCTCACTAGACCACTGCTGGCTTCGACGTTTCCAGTGAAAAACATTTTGGAGGTCAGCCACCCTGAACTCTATCGTTTCCATGTGAACATGAACGTTGCACCAAACCCTCTTCTTTGGCTTGTTCTTTGGCTTGTTCTCGGCGGCAGTCTTCCGTCGCTTTGCTCTGTCGTTCTCTGACGTGCTCTCGTCGATTACGTCGTCGACACCCCTCTTGGCAGCAGTGATGCTGCTTTGAAAACGTAGAGTCTGTCCATTTCCGTCACTATTCGAACTGCCATGAGAGTTGTCGACACGAAGGTTGTTGCCAACAATATCGGCCTCAGACTCCCAAGTATTGTCACCGCCCCAGCCCTTCCACTTCACAAGATATTGCGTCTTGCAGCGCCAGGTCTGTTTCTTAAGAAGGCGCTCCACCGCGAAGTCGTTCCCGGTATAATTCGCGTCGAACTCCTCGATTAAGTCGGTACTAATGTCCTTCTGCTTCTCCCACGTGTTGTATTCGTCGCTAAAGCCACTCCATCTCACCCAATACCATGTCGTCCGAGCCCGGGTCCATTTGCCAAGCAACTTGTCGACCCTCCAGAAGGTGGCATCCGTCTTGTGCTCTCATGGTCATAGCTGTCCCGGCCTTCAGATACATCTGAGAAATCGGCAGCCGGTGGATGATCAATTGCAGACGTATAGTCCACCAGAGCGACATACGACGGACACCAGAACAGATCATCCTCTACCACCTGTGCCGAGACGGATGCCTCTACAGGAAGAACAGGCATGTTCATGGTCGTGACGGATTCGGATTCTGCAGTACAGCCATACGGACCAAATGACGTATTCTGTCTTGGGATTGACCAGCACTCCGATTGTGGCTTAGAAACCACTGATACTTGGAAGCCTGCTGGTACGAGATGCCTCATGGTCGGTGTATTGTGGGTTTCAGTCGCTGGAGGAAAAGATGCTTCGTCGTATTGAAGAGGGAAGATTGGACGTCCTGTGTAGTAACAGGACGGTCCATACAACAATGAACGATCTCGTTGGTAGCTTTCCATGGTGATAACAGTCTACAACGTTCGGAATATCGAAGGGGTCAAGCAGTTGTGTTAAGTGTCAGATTTTGGAAAGGACGGTCTGGAGTGCCTGGACGGCGCAGTACGAGTGCGAGAACACTCCTATTTATGATCACTCCAATACAAATCGGCACAACCTGATCGAATGGGTCTAGCCTTGCGGACGAATTCTCGAAATCACCCCGACCAGGGACATTACGCAACCGCGGATATTATTTCATTCAGCATACTGTGGCTATGCCTCAAACTGCGCTTTTGCAGCCATGGTAGACAGGCCAGTAGTTGACGACGGCGGTTTTCCCAGCCACATATACGATGAGCAGTCAGTGGAGAAGTCAGGTCTTGACTGAACCATACAGAGCAATATGATACAGCAGGCATCCTAGTATATGCCACCGTCTTCCTCCACCATATCCAACAGAGCTAGAGTCCCTGGTCGGGCAAGGCAGACGTGATATGAGTGTACATCAGAGCCATTTCTGGGCCCTTCGAAAACATCAATCAAGGCGTATAGCCACGATGATCGAGCTATGATTTCGGATGGATCCCAAGGAAAGGTCCACAGCACAGATATTCGGAAGTCTTATTGGTACTAGACATGGCCAGACATATCGTCATCATCGCTGAAGTTACCGACATTGACATTAAAGGCCGTGCTGCCCAGTGTACGAGTAGACTTGGTCATCCTCAAATATCTTGCTCGATCTCCTCCCCCGGTCTTAGGGTTCTCTGCACCAAGCATCTCAACGCTTAAAACCTGCTGCGACCAGTACTCGATCGCAAATTCGAGTTGATATTTTTCTTGCCGCATTTTTCAACATCAATCTCGGACTTATGCTTTCGCTTCCAAGGTCCATAATCCTCATCGGATAAAGCTTCATTATCGTCTCCAGCCTCCTGATCCGAATCCAGTCGAGCGGCGAAGGACTTTTTTTCCGGCTTACGGCCGCGCTTCTTCCCTTTGGTTTTCTTGATGACATCCACCACTTCTTCCTCATCCCGGTTCCTTCGGGCCTTGATTTGCTTCTTTGCTTCTGTCTTTCCTGCTGTTTGTTCTTCTTGTTCTTTGAGTAACTTCTTGGTCAAGTTGGGAAATTCTGCACCATAGTCAAAAAACAGTTCCTCACCAGCGTTGATATTTCCAAGAGCACTGAACTTGATGCGATACTCGCCACCGACGTACATGATCTTAGGGGTGATGTTGCAGCCCTGACCCTTCCCAAAATCGTCTTGATGGTTTATATATCTGCTTAGGTTGCCGTAAATCGCAGCATCGATCCATACGCCCTCTTGCTCTAGTAGAGTAAAAAGGTAGGACGACTTGTGCTCTTCGTCGAAGACATCTCCTCTGCGGGCCTCACGCCGAACTCCCTCATCTTGAGTAATCAGTTCTCCGACGTATTCGATCACAAAGTCTTCTTGAGTGATATTCTCTGCTGTAAAAAGACCATAGCCACAGCCTTCGATGGTGGATCTACCAACGAGCAGCGTCTTCGACTTTCCTCGTTGCAAGGCGCAATTTTGGCAACCTTGTTTGAACAACTGGTCATCCTCTGCATTCTTTGGATTTGCTCGGTCCGCGGCCCCACAATTGGCACAAAGCGAAGGATCGCACTCCCGGTTGAGCTGTATACATATACAGGGCCTTTCTCCTTTCTGTCGGGATGAACACGTTCTACCCTGGGAATGGCAAGAACAACCAGTGAATTTGATAGCGCATGTATCAACTGTACAACGGCAGAAGCGCTCACACATGAGACCGTTCCTAGCACACTCACAGTTGTCCTTCGTACAAGGCCCGTCGTGGCTGCAAGGATCAAAGTGGTCCTTTAAATGATGTGCATGTGTAATGGTCTGTTCCTGCCAGTCTGCATGTAATACCTTCTTAAATCGGTCGTACCAGTGGACTGGCTTGACCTCTGATTCCCCGGACCGGGAAGGCTGCTGGGGTAACTGCAAACCCAACTTGTGAAACTGACGATCCACGTCGCAACAGGGTCTACCAGTAGCCACGGCAGTTATACACTGGATTGGTTCGTCTTGGTCGCAGAAAAAAGTAACAGCTGCCTTCAACAGCATTATCTCCGTTTCACTCCAGCTTTTAACTCGTGCGTTGAGTCGAACTTTCAGAAAGCATTCGTCGCTGCAGGGCTTGCGGAAGTCTTCGTACTCCCATGGATCGTTGTTTGATTGTGACCGTGAAGAGTTGACCTTTGAAGCTTGAAGGGCCTTCCTGCCAACGAGGGGTGTAATGCCACCCACGACATCAATAGAGAATCTCTTGCGCTCGTTATCGGTTCCGTACTCTCCATGCTCGCATGAGTGGCTGAAGCAGATGAGACAGCCTAGCAGCGAATATGTTTCGAGAAACGTGTCTAACGTAATATTTTCCTCGATCGGTTTGGCTTCGTTTGGGGTATATTTTATCAATTTCTTTGAGTCGACAATTGAATCAATGGACTTATCAAGGAGCAGGACATCGTGGAGTGTCACTGCCCCTTCATTCCAGACATCGCCATTGTCAAATACTCGATCAAATGCCTCCGTGAAGATCTTAACGGTTTTTACTGACCCGGGCGAGTCGGTATCGCTGTTGCACGAGCCAAAAATAGTGGACACCTGTTGCGATGAGATGGCATCTGTCCGACTTGCCATAAAACGGCTGAGCGTAGCCTTCGAACAATTCGGAATGGAGAGCTTGTCGAGCCAGCTATCCAAGTAGAGAAGCAAGGTAAGCGCCCGCTCCTTCCGGCAAGTTTGATTCACTTTCTCCTTGCTGGTAAGGGTGGCAAGCCCAGAAGTTTTATCCATATTCTCCAGGTTCTCGAGCCACCTTCGATATTTTAACTCCTCCTCGTCTGCCAAGTCCCGCAGGTGTGGCACAAAGTTTAGGATTGTGTTACGTGACAGTATGTTCTTGCGAATCTCAATATGATGAAAATCATATTTGGGCACTGGCTCTTTGTCGGTCATGATGCCTATCACCTGGTAATAGTCACGGATTGCTTGCTTGCCAGTACGACCGGGACCCATGTGCTGTAATTGAGTTAACAACGTCCCCCGATCTATACATTCCAACGTACCTTGAGCGTTAGCTTGAGGGCACCACTGCCGGCTTCGACTGGTGTTCGCTTCATGCCAACAAACCAGTTCTTCTTGGAATAGGTCTCAGGCGCTGGGGCCATCTTCTTCCAGGTATTTTGGAGAAGATGAGTAGTAACTTTGGCAGCACCTTCACCTATATCATACGAGAACTCACGCAAGGTGTCTTCGATTTTTTCTACTGTCCAGACAATTTTCCGCGGCGTCTGCTGCGTGGGTGTGCTATGAAAGTTGCCGGGATTTCCAGCAGGAGAACCAACGCCGTGAGAGTCCTTAACAGAAGCTCTGTGGATGGGATTCGTAGAGGTCAGTGTAGCTTCTCCTCTGACTTTCTGGTCATTGCGAGAATCACTCTTCGTTGGAACTACCGTTGTGACTGGGGAATTTTTTGATAGCGCCTGACGAGTCAAGGCCGGCGAGCTTCTAAGCCTCTGAATACGCGGGCCTGGCTGTGATTCCTGAAGTGCTCGTCGAGCCGGCAGGCCTTGATCTGACTCATCTGAAGTACAAAGATCGATAAAATCAGTGTAATTGGGCGCCATCATGGGATTGTGCAAGCCTACAGTACGAAATCGTTGAAAAGCTTTCGAGGCAGGTTCTGGGGTAGTTGCGCCTCCCAATGTCTTGCTGATTTGTGACAGATTGGTAGCAACACGCGATGGTATCGCGCCTCAAATGAGTACAGTGTCCACAGTGCTAGGGGCTAGCAACATCAGGAACAAAAGAAACCGTTCTACATATTGTTCGGGTATCTGACAGGGGAGGTCCGTTCGCAATCTGACCATGCCCTGTCAAGTTGCCACCATTGGACCGACGTAAGACGCGCTAAATGATGGCGAATGGGAAAACACAGCGGAATCCGTGTGACATTGGATCTCTTCTGCGGCGCAAACAGGTCGCTGGAAATGTGCGACTGAGCTCCTCCGGTATCACAGCATCACACCTTGCATCTCGGTAGGTTAGCTGTTTTCCTTATTTATTTATTTAAGAACGAAAAGACCCTATCGGAAGCGTCCAACTGTTACAGATTTACTCGTGTCCGCCTTCCAGCTTTTCGCCAATTCCGTCTCTCAAGTTTGTCATTTAGTGCTCTAAGAAAGGGAGAGCGAGCGAGCGACTCGAATTTGGGGCAAGATATATGACACGGATGGATCGTTCTATCGATTAAATACGATAACGGCGCGGGCACGATCCGACAAAGGCTCGGTTGAGGGTGGCTTCTTCTCATCGGGATCGATCGTCTTCATTCTCGCATCATTGTCGTCGCCGTTCCCTCGCTGGGGCCGTTGGCATCCCCTTGTCGGGTGCGAGCGCGCATCGTCGCCGTCGTCGCGGCCTTGTCGCTTCGTCGGCGCGGCGCAGTGGAAAAATGGAGGATCGTCGCTGTCGTCGCCTCGCCGTCCCCCTCGTCAGGTCGTCGCCGTATGTTATCGGTTCGTGGATGCGTCGCTATCGTTGTGTTTGAAGTGTCAGCTAAGGTTAACCTAAATATTCGGTAACGGTTCATTCAGTACACATAGTGACACTCTTCCTGGTGGAGAATAAAATCAAAACTCCATGAGCACGATCAGCGTCGCCGGTTGGATTTTAACGAACAACTGGGGAGCTAGTGGCCTTGTCATGCAGGCACATGCAGGGGCACGCACAGTAATGGATAGGCATACACGTAGTCAGCTGGGGCAGCTCCACACAATCGACCCAACCACTTTAGGGATTGGTGCACTCAATTGGGCCATTGCTGGCGAGGCACTACATGACGCCCTGGTCGACAATCGGAACCGAAACCGTACCAACAACAGCGTCTGCACGAGCACAAATCCCATCCAACACCATTGACAGTGGCCCCGTCGGGGCCTGCAGGTCGCAGTCTCCTGATGCGGGGTTGTTTGACCGACGACTGTGCGCCTTCAGCCGCCCGAGGCTCCCGACGTGTCCTAGACGACGACGACGACAACGACAACGACAACGACATGACCTGCCCGATTGGACGGCGCGAACCACCGAAGCCAGTATTGGTATTATTCACTCAGAGCCATCGCATACGAGACGACTCCTGATCGCGAATTGGGAGCAACACAGAGAGGCTACAGAGCCGGGCAGGCACCCTCGACCCGAAAGCCTGCACGGTGGCTTGCATCGCCTCTGTTGATACTGAAGCCTAAATGGCTCTTTATATGCTAGACGAGCGACATACCGGCGGTTCGCATGGGCCGAGGTGACGACTATGTGTTCCACGCAGGCAGCATGTGCGGGCACAACATCGTCGTAGTGACGCTATCGGCAGGCCAAGACTATGGGACAGGATCGGCGGCTGCGCTTCCCTAATCGCTGGTTTGGGCTGCCTGACCTGTCGCGAAGGCCGGCGCGCGACATCAGGCTGGGGGACGTGCTGGTCGGTCTTCCGGACGGCGAGAGCGCGGGACTGGTTACATATGATCTGGGCAAGGAGACGGAAGTTGTGTTCGAACCGCTTCGACAGTACACTTTGTTCCTGCTCAAGTTGTCTTAGGGATGAGGCGTCGTTGCGGTGATTCCTGTGGTTATGGCCTGTCCTAGTGTATTCGTCTCCACAATTGTTACTGTTCACATCATTGCCTAGAAGACCGCGCCTGCTTGTCCCTGAGCTGTGTGGTGATGGCGCATTGTATTCGGGTGGGAACCAGGAATCAGGTGTAAACCTTTTCATCTTCTACTTCAATCCTTTCCGCTGCAGCCGCCGTGCGACCCGCAACATGAAAGCACCAAAGCACCCGTGACGGTGATAGCACCGACAATGATGCCAGCAGTTCGTCCTTATACTCTGTCCGGAGAGGATATCTATCCGAAAGTTAATTCCGCCCGGCTCTATGTGGCAAGAAGGGGATAAAGGAGTCAGTAGCACCTCACCAGGAGTAGAAGGACTAACCGTGAAGATAATCAAAGCATGCTGGCCTGCGGTTGGGAAGCATGTAACGGGTCTCTTCCAAAGGTGCTTGATGGTTGGGCACCACCCAAAGCCATTCAAGGTACCTGAGGTGGTCATGATCCCCAAGCCGGGAAAGAAGGACTATTCAGATCCCAGGACCTATCGGCCAATCTTCCTGTTATCGTGCCTTGGTAAAGGGCTGGAAAGACTAATTGGCAGAAGGATTGCATGGACAGTGATTGAACATGGCATCTTAGCACCACAGCATTTTGGGGCCCTGCCGAAGCGTGCAGCGACGGATTTGGTGCACTTGTCTATGACATTGAGCAGGCTCTTAACCAAGGCCTAGTCGCCACACTGGTAACAGCCGACGTCAAAGGTGCCTTCGATGCAGCGCTCGTCTGTCGTTTGGTCGTACGTATTGTTCGGTCAGATGATCCATCCAAGTCTCGTTCATCGCCCGAATAGTCGGATAATCTTCCGTCTGCTGTGACTTCTCTTGGTGTTGTCGAAGCGTGCTGGCGCATCACTTGGCGGCGTTCTATCATTTGTGTATTTGCTGGGGCTTTGGAGCGGCGAGCAAGCCGGACTCTCTTCTTTGGCAGAATTCCTGGCTTTTTGTCGATCTGAGCGACTAGAGGTTTCCCACTCTGGTGATTGACCACTTCCTGTGTATTGACTTATTTCGATAATCTTTGGGATCGCCGGAGGGCTGCCATTGAGCGTGACGAGAAAGCAGATACGCCAGAGTAATGGCATGCGATAAGTTGGCCGGCTGGCAGAAGACTCGTATCAAGGCAAGAAGACGACTGGAAAGTTCATCTTACAGCAGGTAACGAAAACGGCTTCCGCTTTGTCTGGCAAAATTGTTAACAAAATATCCATTTTCGGCACTACACAGTGTCAGCAATGAGGGGTACTTCTAGATACAGGACAGTACTTCTACAGAGCCACTCGTTCTGTCCGTATTGTGCCTCTTGTACTACGAATGAGCGCAAAACGACGAACGAAATCCACAAATGACTTTCCTGCTCAAATGAAACGCTGAAATGCATTATAAGCCGATCGTTCGTGACCTCCACGTCGTACAGTAGCGTCGCAAGCTAGGGAATCAGACGCATCTGCCACGTGCTGTACCTGTGCGTAGGACTTAGCGCTTCGTTTCCACCTAAAGGCCCTAAGCTTGTCTACAGTGAGGGGCTTAGCACTAAATCCCCACCCAAAGGGCTCCTGTCTAGCAGGGGCAAATATGTCAACACCTTCCAGAGTCTTCTGTGATTTAGCAGTTCGCACGACCACGATAGGGTTGAGCCTCTTCCCTTCCATCTCAAGTAAACATGCTTCCATACCAACGGACGCCCGGATATCTACGCCGATCCCGATGACGATACCTCAGACTTTCGAACCCGTCAATGCAGTATTCGCAAGCCACCCAATGACTCTACTGTCTACCATTGAATCCACGACGAATGATAGCCAGATACTTCAACGATGCCGATCGATATCAACACTATATCAGCTAGTCTTCCGTGAGCGAGGTCGCTGTGGATGCATATAGGCGTTGTTCGATTGTAGGGTAAATTCCTTTGCCATTTACGTCGTCTCTCTACGCTGCATTGCTATAACTACATGATACAAATGTAAGGCAATTCCAAGAATACCTAGTTGAGTTTTCTACGGTTCACGATCCACAGCATCTTCCTTGAAGAGGATACGATCTTATCACGCAGACCTCGTCGCCTTCCCATATCAGTATGTGTTGGCGATGACATCCAATCATCCAGAACCTCAGCAGATGAGATGGAGTGAGGATGATTCTGCCCTAGAACGCGTTGACGGCGCTGCACACAATCCTTCATAAGATTTTGAGCATCGACGTTCCGACCCTGGCGGTGCCATGTGAATGCAAGATTGTTCATGCTGGTCAGCGTGTCTGAATGATCCGCTCCCAGTTTCTGCTTGCGAGTCTCCATCACTTCCACCTCCAGCTTCTCCGCTTCCTCCCACCGACCTTGATTCCTGTACGTCGACGCCAGGTTGCCCATGCTGGTCAGCGTGCCTGGATGATCCGCTCCCAGTTTCTGCTTGCTCGTCTCCACCACTTCCACAAACAGCTTCTCCGCTTCTTCCCACCGACCTTGATCTGAGTGCGTCGACGCCAGGTTGCCCATGCTGGTCAGCGTGGAAGGATGATCCGCTCCCAGTTTCTGCTTGCTCGTCTCCATCACTTCCACAAACAGCTTCTCCGCTTCCTCCCACCGACCTTGATTCCAAAACGTCGACGCCAGGTTGCCCATGCTGGTCAGCGTGTCTGGATGATCCGCTCCCAGTTTCTGCTTGCTCGTCTCCATCACTTCCACAAACAGCTTCTCCGCTTCCTCCCACCGACCTTGATTCCAAAACGTCGACGCCAGGTTGCCCATGCTGGTCAGCGTGTCTGGATGATCCGCTCCCAGTTTCTGCTTGCGCGTCTCCATCACTTCCACCTCCAGCTTCTCCGCTTCCTCCCACCGACCTTGATTCCTGTACGTCGACGCCAGGTTGGCCATGCTGGTCAGCGTGGAAGGATGATCTGCTCCCAGTTTCTGCTTGCGAGTCTCCATCACTTCCACAACAGCTTCTCCGCTTCCTCCCACCGACCTTGATTCCTGTACGTCGACGCCAGGTTGGCTATGCTGGTCAGCGTGTCTGAATGATCCGCTCCCAGTTTCTGCTTGCGAGTCTCCATCACTTCCACCTCCAGCTTCTCCGCTTCCTCCCACCGACCTTGATTCCTGTACGTCGACGCCAGGTTGCCCATGCTGGTCAGCGTGCCTGGATGATCCGCTCCCAGTTTCTGCTTGCTCGTCTCCACCACTTCCACAAACAGCTTCTCCGCTTCTTCCCACCGACCTTGATCTGAGTGCGTCGACGCCAGGTTGCCCATGCTGGTCAGCGTGGAAGGATGATCCGCTCCCAGTTTCTGCTTGCTCGTCTCCATCACTTCCACAAACAGCTTCTCCGCTTCCTCCCACCGACCTTGATTCCTGTACGTCGACGCCAGGTTGCCCATGCTGGTCAGCGTGTCTGGATGATCCGCTCCCAGTTTCTGCTTGCGAGTCTCCATCACTTCCACCTCCAGCTTCTCCGCTTCCTCCCACCGACCTTGATTCCAAAACGTCGACGCCAGGTTGCCCATGCTGGTCAGCGTGTCTGGATGATCCGCTCCCAGTTTCTGCTTGCTCGTCTCCATCACTTCCACAAACAGCTTCTCCGCTTCCTCCCACCGACCTTGATTCCAAAACGTCGACGCCAGGTTGCCCATGCTGGTCAGCGTGTCTGGATGATCCGCTCCCAGTTTCTGCTTGCGAGTCTCCATCACTTCCACCTCCAGCTTCTCCGCTTCCTCCCACCGACCTTGATTCCTGTACGTCGACGCCAGGTTGGCTATGCTGGTCAGCGTGGAAGGATGATCTGCTCCCAGTTTCTGCTTGCTCGTCTCCATCACTTCCACAAACAGCTTCTCCGCTTCCTCCCACCGACCTTGATTCCTGTACGTTGACGCCAGGTTGCCCATGCTGGTCAGCATGCCTGGATGATCCGCTCCTTGTTTCTGCTTGCTCGTCTCCATCACTTCCACAAACAGCTTCTCTGCTTCTTCCCACCGACCTTGATCTGAGTACGTCGACGCCAGGTTGCCCATGCTGGTCAGCGTGTCTGGATGATCCGCTCCCAGTTTCTGCTTGCTCGTCTCCATCACTTCCACCTCCAGCTTCTCCGCTTCCTCCCACCGACCTTGATTCATGTACGTCGACGCCAGGTTGGCCATGCTGGTCAGCGTGGAAGGATGATCCGCTCTCAGTTTCTGTTTGCGAGTCTCCATCACTTCCACCTCCAGCTTCTCCGCTTCCTCCCACCGACCTTGATTCCTGTACGTTGACGCCAGGTTGGCTATGCTGCTCAGCGTGGAAGGATGATCCGCTCCCAGTTTCTGCTTGCGCGTCTCCATCACTTCCACAAACAGCTTCTCCGCTTCCTCCCACCGACCTTGATTCCTGTACGTCGACGCCAGGTTGGCTATGCTGGTCAGCGTGCCTGGATGATCCGCTCCCAGTTTCTGCTTGCTCGTCTCCATCACTTCCACAAACAGCTTCTCTGCTTCCTCCCACCGACCTTGATCTGAGTACGTCGACGCCAGGTTGGCCATGCTGGTCAGCGTGTCTGGATGATCCGCTCCCAGTTTCTGCTTGCTCGTCTCCATCACTTCCACAAACAGCTTCTCCGCTTCCTCCCACCGACCTTGATTCCTGTACGTCGACGCCAGGTTGGCCATGCTGGTCAGCGTGTCTGGATGATCCGCTCCCAGTTTCTGCTTGCGAGTCTCCATCACTTCCACAAACAGCTTCTCCGCTTCCTCCCACCGACCTTGATTCCAAAACGTCGACGCCAGGTTGGCCATACTGGTCAGCGTGTCTGGATGATCCGCTCCCAGCTTCTGCTTGCGAGTCTCCATCACTTCCACCTCCAGCTTCTCCGCTTCCTCCCACCGACCTTGATTCCTGTACGTCGACGCCAGGTTGCCCATGCTGATCAGCGTGTCTGGATGATCCGCTCCCAGTTTCTGCTTGCGAGTCTCCATCACTTCCACCTCCAGCTTCTCCGCTTCCTCCCACCGACCTTGATTCCTGTACGTCGACGCCAGGTTGCCCATGCTGGTCAGCGTGTCTGGATGATCCGCTCCCAGTTTCTGCTTGCTCGTCTCCATCACTTCCACAAACAGCTTCTCCGCTTCCTCCCACCGACCTTGATTCCAAAACGTCGACGCCAGGTTGCCCATGCTGGTCAGCGTGGAAGGATGATCCGCTCCCAGTTTCTGCTTGCGAGTCTCCATCACTTCCACCTCCAGCTTCTCCGCTTCCTCCCACCGACCTTGATTCATGTACGTCGACGCCAGGTTGGCCATGCTGGTCAGCGTGGAAGGATGATCTGCTCCCAGTTTCTGCTTGCTCGTCTCCATCACTTCCACAAACAGCTTCTCCGCTTCTTCCCACCGACCTTGATTCCAAAACGTCGACGCCAGGTTGCCCATGCTGGTCAGCGTGTCTGGATGATCCGCTCCCAGTTTCTGCTTGCTCGTCTCCATCACTTCCACCTCCAGCTTCTCCGCTTCCTCCCACCGACCTTGATTCCTGTACGTTGACGCCAGGTTGGCCATGCTGGTCAGCGTGTCTGGATGGTCCGCTCCCAGTTTCTGCTTGCTCGTCTCCATCACTTCCACAAACAGCTTCTCCGCTTCCTCCCATCGACCTTTAAGTTTGTAAGCCAACCCTGCCATGGTAATGCTGTTCAAAGAATCCTGGTGCTCTCTTCCAAGAAGTCTTGTCCTGACTTTCATGGCAAGAATGGATAGTTCCTCCGCCTCATGCCCGCTACCTATTCTCTCATAAAACCAGGCGGTCAAGTAGAGAATCGATGCCCAATCTAGCAATGCTGCGTCATCCTTCAATTTGTGCCTCGAAGCCGCTCTCGCATGCGGCAGTAATGTTTTCCATGTTGCCCAATTTTCGTATTGTCCATCAGGCAGATGGGTGGAAAGATTGCTGATAAACTGATGCTTCCACCTTTCTTCCTGACCGTCATTTGCAAGCCACTTTTGCGTCGCTATTTGTACCAGCCGGTGCATCTCGAAGACGTCACTATTCCCCGTAACGGAAACGAACGAAAAGTTTCTTAACAAAATAAGGTCATCCTCGAATGTGTCTTCATCACTGGATGCGGAGTCACCCGAATCCCAGTCGCCGTCATTGTCATCCTCGAGAACGCTCGAATTGCCATCGCTTCCAGTCAACTCAGCATGATAATCAACCCCACGCATTCGAAGTAGATATTCAGGTATGCCTTGCCGATCGAAGTAGCTCATGAGTGCTAGCAGGTCTGCTGACGATGGCCTGGTTTGCCGAATATAATTGAAAGATATGTGCCACGTGATGATAATCGAGTTCTTGGCGTCGCGATCTCGACGAAGCTGGCCGCCTTCGTAGTCCAGCAAAGTGACTCTCTTTCGATCACTTTTCTCAAACATCTCCAAGTACTGTCCCACTGAGCAGCGCGGCGCTCTGTGCGCAATGTAAGCAGTCGCCTGTACGATGGCCAACGGCATATATTCTAGCGCGACGACAAGCCGCGTGGCAGTATCGCTGTCTGTTTCGGACCCCAACTTGTTTTTAACAAGAGCCAACGCCTCTGCCTTGTCCATGGGATCGACCATGATGATAGCGTACGATTCAACAAGCTGCCGAGCCGCATTTTTACTTCGTGTCGTGATCAGTATCGAACCGTTTTCGCAATTCGGAAGATAATCGATGAGCGGCAAGGAGCGGGCACGTCCTATGCCGTCCACTCGATTCTGTTGGCGATCGAACAGAAAGTCAGCGGCATCCAAATTATCGAGAATTAATGTCCATTCTCGCTTCTCTTCGCGTAGCCAGCTGCACACAAGCTCGAAAATATTGCTCCGAGGATCGCTCCACTCGGGAATTTTGAGATATTGGGCGATCTCTCGGAAGCTTTGCTCGTAACGCGCGACATTGCTTGCGTGGACCCAGAAGACCCAGGCGTTGGCTGATTGATCTCGAACTTGGTATGCGTATTGGATAGCAATCTGCGACTTGCTGTATCAAGTTAGCTACACACTCTAACCGACCACCGAAACAGTGCTACTAACCCAACACCTCCCAAGCCGACAAGCGCAACGCGTGAGCCCGGGAGCGCGAGTGCTTGACGGATGTAGTCGAGAGTCTGCCCTCGTTGGACGAAATCTCTGTCGCGACGAAAGGGTATGATGGCGGATGGGTCTGGCGGGGTCCCAGACATCCCTAGTCCATCTGTCAGTGGAACACAGAGAGGTGCTAAACCCAAATCGGCATGTTGGCAAATAGGTCCTTCGGGGTATATGCAGACATAAGCAAGTACAGTGGAGAAGGGAACGGCGCACCACCGAATTTACTGTCGCAAGCGAGCCTCGTGGTAAATCCTTGCGATGAAATGCTTACCCGTTGATCGTTCTCGAAGGTACGCCCCCGCACCTTTCACTAGCTGGATAATTGCGCCCTCAACAGCTCGGTATGCTGCATCTGGAACACGGGGAAACTTCTGGAGGTTGTAATGATGCCGTTCAAGCGGATGTCTTTCTATGGCTTTGGAGTAGTCCAAACATGCCGATTCCTCAGTGACGAGATAACCCTACACTCTGGTCAGGCTGTGGATTGACTGCTTGGAGACTGCTCGTTTCAAGATCTAACTTACATCTTTCAGTTCCTTACTGCCCAGTGTCTTGCCTATTGGGCTTGGCTTCATCTCGTAGAAGCACATCAGGGGGATTGGATGATCTCGACGGGTTTCTGTGTATCGTGAAACTATGTCTTTTAGATGCGGATTCTCTTCAACGGACAATGCCATGGTTTCCCGGTATATAGTGGAGTCCTTGTTATTGGTAGCCACGACATTGACAATCTCTTCTAGTGTCAGGCCTGCTCGTCCTCGAAACGGCGTTCCGAAGAAGACGAGCCCGGCGGTGTAGCGAAATGGGCTTGACCACTTTTTGGGATTATCGAAAGAGCGTCGAAGAGCTTGGAGAAGGACCAGGCCACCGTAGCTATGCGCAATGAAGATTATCGGCCTAGTGGCATCCTAAATCGCTAAGCCGATCGTGAGCTAGCAGTGGGACACCTAAGCTTACCCCACGATGGAAATGCAACTCTGTGAGTAGCGTCTCAGCCACGTCAGAAACATTCGTCCTTTTCGGCTCGTTCTCCTCCGTGCCAAACCATGTAGACTCGTATCCGAAGCGCATTATGCGTGCATTAGGGACTGCTTTTGGGAGCATGTTGGGATCTGCCAGCCAATTTGTTCTCTCGTCCGGTCTCTTCCAGGTCCAGGTATCATCTGGGTGGGCACCGATGCCATGAATCGCGACGATGCTACAGGGAGTTAGCGATATAATGAATTGGTCGAGGACGCGCATACTCAACCACGACATCGATAGTGCCAGAATCTCGTTCCAGAGGGTTGTGCAAAATCTTGATTCCAGAGGCCATGGCTGACGTCTCGCTTTCGAACGCCTTCGATTCTCAAGACTTCTGGCTTGTATCCTCGACTGAATCCCTCGAGTCGTGGTGGCTGACACTGTTGTACGGTCCATCGACGAGTGTTGCGATGCGCAAGCGTTAGGAGCAGTCTGGGATGAGGCTGGAGGCATCGCAGAAAGTGCAAAAGGCGTTCCCTGCGCCCTTTCCAGTGGTGTGTGCCTGCCAGCGAAGTGTGCAGCCTAGGCTGACTTTCGGCGAATCTCAACCTATCGCAGCCCCGTATTTGCGCCAACTCATCAACCTGCAGCGCCAATAAAGACTGAACCACTAATTGTACTGGTGCAGCCGCCCGAAGCCCAGCACCTTCGCTGCTTGTGCTCAGGCAGGCTGCCGGTCAGGCGTACACAAGGGAGCCGAGCACATAAACCCACCTTTTGGCAGCAAGAAAAGCCGTCTACTTCATAAACCCCAGATTGGCCTATGGCTGTACTGAAATTTCCTCCAAGCACTACTTGATCTAGAATTATTTGATTATGTCGAGATGGGCGTGGCTTTCGACTTCTCTCAGCGAAGCATCAGGGGTCTTCGGAGAGTTCAACCAGTGTGTTGCTTATCAATCGGGCAATCAGGTACGTATGAAGCTAATGCGCTTACAGCGTTATAGGATATCGTGAGATTTTGACTGGACCTTGAACAGAAATTGCCCCAATCTCCAGGGCAAAGTAGCACGCTAGAAACCGAACTCGATGTGTTGACCTTCATGAACGAGGTTACAACAGTGCGTCGCTCCGAGACTGACCACTGCTCGCCTTGTGCTAACACTTGAGCAAGACTCGGCCGAAAATGTGTATACTGTACGCGTCCTGCTCTTCCCCCGAAACTGTAGGGTGGGTGGTTGATGACTTTTTAGCGCATTTACGAACCGAGCCCCGGAAAACAATGGAAGACTGCCGCTGCCCATTTCCAAGAAACTATTTCAGCAAATCGTCCAGGTCTTTGATATATCTGCAACATTCCTCACTGCCCTGACTACCGGTTTAGCAACGTACAGTAGTACCGTTTCACCAAAGAGTGGAGAGAGTGACAAGGAGGAACGCTCATGTGAGCGACAGCCCTATCGGAATGGAGGGGTTACTTACCAACAGCCAAAGATTTCGTTATCCAGCAAAACAGGGCGTATTCTGCATGCTCAATTGGGCTCACGTACAGTATCCAAAGTGGCCAAACTCGCATCCTGCTGTTCGGTGTGGAGTCATGGTTTCTATCGCAGCTATTCGAATACTTGAGATCCATGTCACCTCTTCCGTGCGGGCCAATGGTGGTGCCCACGATAGCTATGGAGCTGCAAGCTCAGTGGTTCAGCAGGACTATCAAGAGGTGCCAGGATGGGGTCCATTCCATCGAAACAGCTACTGGAATGAGACAGTTCAACTACCCGCATGAGGAACCGGACGAGCTTGCAAAAGATTGGAAGTATCTAGACTTGATATCCATCACTCGCGAACTGAGCGGCTTCTTGAGCAGATTCGCTTTCATCAAATTACAGGCGGACACCGGAGAGTATCTGCTGGAACAAATGGCTAAGACTACCCTCTCACTCATGCACGAGGCGCACCAGCATCAAAGTGCATTCTATGACGACCAGCGCGATATTATCCACAAGATCGAGGAGCATCAAAGCTTATACAAAGGGATAGCAGCGCGCTGCCGCTACCTGACAGAGCGAGCTACCGCACAGAGCCAAACTGTACTAAGTCCGCAGCGTCCATCCAAGGAACGTGCTAACCAGGCAGGTGTATTGTCTTGTTGCCACCAAGGACAACATGATCAATATAGATATCGCTCAAGCGTCTCGACGTATCGCGGAAGCCAGCCGGAAAGACAACGAAGCGATGCGGGCAGTCGCGGACCTCGGCCGCAAGGACAGCCAGCTGATGATCCAAGTCGCGAAAGATTCCCGAAGTGTTGCGATCGCGACGGCACGAGACAGCGCAGCTATGCAGGTGATCGCTGCTGTCACCGTCTTATTCCTCCCTGCCACTTTCATCGCGGTCAGTATTCAGCGACTGAAAAGAAAACCACCAGTTGATAATTGTATAGACCTTCTTCTCGATGACGTTCTTCGATTTTCTGGACGCTGAAAGACCACGTGTCTCTCCGTGGACCTGGCTATATTTCTTAATTACAGCCGTTCTGACAATCGCAATTCAACTAGCTTGGGCGGTTTTGTCGAAAAGAAAGAGCGCAAGAATTATTCGGGGAATTTCGGTAGATCTTTGATATTACTACCTTGAAGTGGCAGTGAGTCTTAGCGAGTTGTGTGCAGTGCACAGTGGAGTCCATTGTCCGGAAGCTTCGCAGCCTGCAGACGCTTGATTTCGGTGAGCTGGAGGCTGTACAGCCAGGGCGGCTGGTTTCTCCGCCTTTTGTTGCCTAATGACAATCATATTTGCTTGCTCAATCCTCTTCCATGATTTTAGACACTACTGTACAGTATTGCAACAGCGAACTCATCGCAATGTGTGTGCAAAATCTTCCTGCTATTGCCATATGTACGTTTTGGCATCTGCTGCTCATCTTCAGTAGCCACACCCGTACAAACGAGAGAGAGATGCGAAGCCCTGCTGCCTCCGGGAACCGGCCTCCTTCTTCACAGAGAAACGCAAGGTCGCTTCAATGGTAGATCTGTGGTCTGGCGCTTCATCGTCGTTCTCGCAGAAGCTTGGACTGTGGTGAGTTCGAGATGTTTGTTGAATGCGTCAAGAGCAGGACATCTCAAGATTCTGACCTCCGTTTATGGACTGGTGGCTCCTGGGAATGGAATACCGAGACAACACTGCACTCTGGACAAAAACAGCAGCTCTCTTCATGGTTCGATCAGCTTTACGGTTGTGATGCTTCAGTAGAGGCCGCCAAAACAAGTCTTTCTGATGCTTGGGACAAACTACGAACCTCGAATACCAATTGGGATTCGTCTGTAGAAAGAAAATCAACACTCAGCTACATTCGAGGAGCTTATGTTTCGGAATTACGAGACTCGCGCACGCAATGGTTAAAGGTCCTCGCTTTATTCGATCGCAAAGCGGATCAAACCTCGGTGAGCAGCAACTTAAGTCTCGTTATAAAAAATGTACGGAAAAAGAGAGCTCGCAGAAGGTGTGAAATGTAGGGCACTAGAAAGTGGACAAGGAAGTTAGGTCATCACGGAGCTTTGGGCCTTGGCGACTTGCTTGGGTCACCTTCTCAGTCTGCTGAATGCCTTATTCAATAGACGGTAATGTATCGTCTCCGTAACCCGCTCATTCTCGAGAGAAATAGCAACACAGTTATATGTAGCTTATCTATGGGATATATTTGTACCAAGAGATGCATCCAAAGACCATGTGCTGAACGTGACGAAGGTGGACAGCAGCTAGGCACTAATGGATGTTGGTGGGGTAGGCTTACCGGAGGAGGTTTGCTAAAGGGCGTCGCTGTCCTTCGCGTCAGTCATCCTCCACACGGCAAACATAGCCATCACTAACCATGGCACCCAACCTCGCAGTATCAAAAAAAGAACTGATTCAGGGCATGATCGAAAGTAATGATTTTACTGACGTTAAAATTACAAATGCTGTTGGCTGTAGCACGCGGTCCATCCAAACGATTCGAGCGAACCTACGATGTTTCGGGTCTACCAAAGCCCCTCGAAACGCGGTTGGACGTCCGAAAACCGTCACGCCTCCCATGCTCTCTGCTCTGCGCAATAAGCTCCTCGATATACCCCATATGCATCAAGACGAGATGGTTGATTTCCATGCCGATGAATTCGATGCTGAAGTGACGAGAATGAGCGTGAGCCGAGCCCTTGCTTCGATCGGTTGGACCAGAAAGACAATACGCCGCTTGGCTGCTGAACGGAATGCTGATTTACGTGATTACTATTGTCATATGATATCGGAGTTCTCCTCCTATCATCTTGTATATATTGATGAATCCGGATGCGACAGCCGTACCGGGCATCGACGAAAAGGATGGGCTCCGTCGGGCGTGACCCCTACTCAAAAAACCTGGTTCCATCGTGGCAAAAGGTACCAGATCCTCCCAGCATACGCGCAAGATGGTGTCATTTACGCGAAGATATACGACGGTACCACCGACAGTGCCGTGTTCGAAAGTTTCATTCGTGACCTGTTGCCTTTTTGTGGTAGATGGCCAGAGCCTAGATCTGTCCTCGTTATGGACAATGCACCGTTTCATCAACCGGACCAAATTGAGGAGATATGCAGGGAAGCTGGTGTCAAAGTGCTCTTCTTGCCGCCCTATTCTCCTGACCTGAACCCGATCGAGGAGCTCTTTGCTGAGCTAAAGGCATTTATCAAGCGGAATTGGTCGTCACATGTCGACCATTCCCAGGAAGGCTTTGTGGCGTTCTTACAGTGGTGCGTGGACATGGTGGGATCACGAGAATCAAGTGCTAGGGGCCACTTTCGGCATTCCGGAATATCTATTGATGAACCCTGAAGGAGAATGCGGAAGGAAGGGGGAATAACTGTTCTACAGTAGAGTCATCCATTACGCTGTTTCGCCCAAGCCTTAATATCACGAACAAATCGCTTAGCAATACCAATCTTCACGCCTCCATCCACAAGAAACTGATAATTCTGCTCTTCATACAGCTGTTCGAGATCATAACCGTGCTCTAGCGTCAAGTCCCACGCTTTGCTGAACTCATCTTTGAAGGCCTCGGTCTCTACCTGCGATCGTTGGAAGTCACGGTAGTCTGCACCGATGACATCCCTGGGCCCAGTCAGAGATACGGGGCTTAGAATAGTAGTGGAAGATCCGCCAGGCATAACATTAGTAATATGTATGGGGATCTGGCCTGTTGACACACGCTTTCGCTTGCGCTCCGCATGCTGCTGCTCCTCGGCATACAGTTGCCGACGGATCTCTTCAGGCATGTCGCTATGTCTCGTAAATGTGTTGCGCCTCTTCGATCCATTTGATGGTAGCTCTGAAGTTATGTGATTTCATTCTGTAGTGCTTCTTTGTTTCATGGTCTTGCCAGCAATGCGGGTCAAGATGACATGGCGGCCCAGGGCATCGCGTTATCTGGTATACAGCCACCCAGATGGTGGGCTTGCCGGATGACTCTTCAGCCTGTATCTGTGTCGCTCGGGCAGCCAGCATGGACTTGGTGGCAGAGGCCCGGGCCCGCCCACGCCCGCGTCCCTGAGCAGGAACATCATTTGATGGACCATCATCATCATTATCGACGTAGGCAAAGATCATCTCAAGTCTAATGGATCTACCATCTTCGAATTGCCGGCTCCAACCACGAATCTGCTTCTCGATGTCGACCCAACGGATGTCGAGGCAGTCGTGGTTTGTCACCAGATTTCGCACAGAGCGATCCTGCACAATGGCTACCACTTGCGTATCTTCAACATGCACGTTGCCGGGCAACTTCTTCGCCGCCAAGTTTTCTAGCTTTGGCTTCATGAACTTAATCCAGTAAGCTCCAGGGGCAAGTACGAGGTCCGGCTCGGTATTCTGAAACACCTTTTTCTTTCTGTACAGCATCTTCCATTCGATCGAGTAGTGGATGCAAGTCGGTATTTCATCATCGTAGGACTTATTCTTGTCCCAGTCCGCGAGTTGGAGAAGAGGCAAACTCGATCGGCCACATCGTTGCGTGCTACGGTCGCGGCTGCTGCGATCATTCGGCGGTTCATCATGAGGGTCAGCAAAGGGTTCATGCGACGCTTGAGAGCTCTCAGAGCCTTGTCGTGATTGGGAGCGAAGAAACTGGGGCCAGCCGCCCACTTCATCAAATGAAATAACCTGATCGTCAAAGTCAGCCATGTCGCAGCCACTTTATGCATGCAACGGTATCCTGGTGGGAGATCTGACGCTTCGCAATTCAATCTAGCATGATGGACGTACGCTAAGTCGTAGAATATTCCAGAAGAAACGCACTGAGCCAATTGCCCGAGCTTATTCTAGTCCACCCAACTATACCCCTCAGCAGAGTTCCAGTAGGTGCCTGCCCCCGCCCACCCTTAAGCACCGGTGGCTCCAGTGGACTACTGTAGTTTCAGGGCAAGTGCGAGCGCTAAGCCCTACGCAAGCCAGCATAGCACGTGGCAGCCCAGTCTTTGCGGCATGCGAACGCTGCAGACGAATCCATGGCAGTGGTGATGTACATAAAAAAGACCAAGAGAGAGGAGAATCGAAAGCAAAGTATGAAATGTATGTTCAGAGGGATCGCACGTTTCTTATAGCTTACTCCTTGCCTTAGGGTGGTTTGAAAGCCGCCAAAATAGGACAAGGAGTGGCCCAGAATTGGCCGTAATTAGGCACTGGATTGTACACAGTTCGCACTGTAGAAATTGGCACTGTGTAGCGCCAATAATGGACGTTGGGTGAACAACTTGTGCCCGACAAAGCGGAAGCCGTTTTCGTTACCTACTGTATGTACAGTGGTAGCGCTGGGGGACTGCGACGACGACGTGAAGAAACGTATCAGAAAACTTTTCCTTCTTTCTGCTGTTCTTTGCGACGAACACGGGAAGACCGGACGAATTGATTGGCGTGGCTGGAGGATCAGCCGACGCGAGGTGCGGGAGCTAAAATGGCTTCCGACGTGGAGGCGGAAATCGTGGTGGGGGTGTCAGACTCTATCGCGACGTCGACCAAACGAGCGACGCGAGCGACGACAGCCACTGCGGCGGCAGCGAGAACGACAAGACGAAGTGCCCCTGGAACTACGACAAACGATGACCCGAATGGAACTCGTGAAGACGGCGACCGGGTCGCCGGGGGACTTGCCCCTCAGAAAATGCTGGACATGCTGGTACTCTCAGCGCGACAAGGGAAAGAGATGAAGGCGGTGGTCATGCATCTGTCCAAAATCATTGAAGAAAGCAGCGACCGGCACAGGCAGGAGCTTAGCGCAATGAAACATCTGGTGGAACAGCTAACGACCGAACTGAAAAGCGTGCGGGAGGAACTGGAAGAGATCAAGGCCGGCCAGGCACTAATCGCAAGCACGCAGAAGAGCCCGCAAGCATCGTATGCAGACGTCGCGCGTACGCCGCCGACAAGCCAACCCACGAACGTGCGTTCTCTAGGCACAGGGAACACGACTCCTTCCAACTTCACGGACACACTATATTGCACGATCGACACCACAAGAGTAAGCGCGGACAGTGCGAACACATGGAACGCCGGAACGACAAGAGCAGCGGTAGAGAAAGAGATCCGATCGATGGAAGGGCACAAGGAGTGGAGATGCCGAGCGGTGACGATGGACCCAAAAAGGCCACAGAGAATCAAGATTGTTTGCCGAGACGAAAGCGAACACGAACTCGTTAAGAAAGCGGCCGAGAAGATGGTGACCGGCGGAGCAAGAGTGCTAAGAGATGAGTTGTACCCGATTAAGGTCGACAGCGTTAACCGGACTGCCGTGCTAGACGAGAACGGAAACATCCGCCAAGGGGCGGCAGAAGCGTTTGGACAGGAGAACGAAGCAACGGTGGCCAAGATCGCTTGGCTGAGCAAGAAAGAAGTGCCCAAAGCGTACGGATCCATGGTCGTCTACCTGACCAAGGCTGCAGACGCCCGAAGGATACTGGGAGAAGGCTTCTTCCACGCCGGAGGGGAGTCGGGCTACACGAGTGTGTTCGAGCGTCGCGAAGGCCCTGCTCAGTGCTACAACTGCCAGCGGGTTGGACACAAGTCATTCCAGTGCAAGAACAACCGGGTCTGCGGACGATGCGCCCAAGAAGGCCACGCACATAAGGAGTGCACCGAAGTGGTGCTCAGATGTGTCCCATGTGGCGGTCCGCACGAGTCGTTCAGCCGAAACTGTCCGAAGCTCTATCCTGTCCACCATGACTAAAGAGCTTCGGGTGGTGCAACTGAATGTGGGCCGACAGTCGACGGTGCAAGAGAGTCTGATGAATGACACGAGTATGAGGGAAGTATCGGTCGTGGCCATACAAGAACCACAAGCGAGAATGAAGGAGGGCAAGTTGGTGACGGTGCCGCGGGCACACTACGGGTGGACAAAGGTGGTGCCAACGGAGAACCGGGAAGGGAGATGGGCGATTCGGAGTGCGTTGTGGGTGAAGAAGGAGTTGGAAGCGGAACAGGTATCGATCGCGTCGCCAGACATGACCGGGGTGTTGATCAAGGTAGGGGAGAGAAAGGTGCTGGTCATCTCGGTGTATATACCGCCGACCGACCAGGATGCGCTTCGCGAAGCGTGCGATCTACTGCGGGTGGTGATAGACGAGGCACGACGTAGGCGAGGAGATATTGTAGACGTCATGCTGGTTGGGGACTTTAACCAGCATGATCAGTTGTGGGGAGGAGAGGAGGTGACGTTGGCTAGGCAAGGAGAAGCAGACCCGATCATCGACCTAATGAGCGACTGCTCCTTACAGAGTCTTCTGCCGCGGGGGACGAAGACGTGGGAGAAGGGCACGTCAGCGACGACGATTGATTTGGTGTTGGCCAGCAACGACCTGGCAACGCAGGTAGCGCACTGCACCACCTCGGAGGCAGACCACGGATCTGACCACCGGGCGATCGAGACAACGATAGACATGGACATGTCAGACCTCCGACCGAGAGAGCGACTGCTCCTTCGCAATGCACCGTGGAAGGAAATCAACAAGCGGATCGCGCACACACTAGAGACGTTGCCCGCCGGAGAAACAGTGCAACAAAAGACAGACTACCTAATGTCAGCAGTATCGGAAGCAGTACATGCGCTCACACCCAAGGCCAAAACATCACCCCACGCAAAGCGGTGGTGGACGTCGGACCTGACACAAATGCGATCAGTGTACACGTACTGGAGGAACAGGGCAAGAGCAGAGAGAAGGGCAAGTTGTTTCTCGCAGGCGCTGGAGGATACAGCCAAGGCCGCGGCCAAGCAATACCACACGAGCATTCGAGAACAGAAGAGAAAACACTGGGATGAGTTTCTTGCCGACGAGTCTAACATCTGGAACGCGGCCAAGTATCTGAAGTCGCAGGGTGGAACAGCATTTGACAAGATTCCTCAGCTGACGAAGCAAGATGGGAGTCAGACCAGCAACACGAACGAGCAAGCAGAGGAACTGCTGCGCTGTTTCTTCCCACCACTGCCCGGAGATATTGCAGACGAGGGGACAACAACAAGGAGGGGCGGTTCAGTCAGCATGCCTGACATCACGTCAGACGAGATTGAACGACAGTTGTTTGCGGCCAAACCCCGGAAGGCACCTGGTGAAGATGGCCTTCCAGCGGTAGTGTGGCAGCAGACATGGCCGGTTCTCAGGGACAGGATTGTAGCGCTTTTCAGACAATCGCTAGCCGAAGGTGTGCTCCCGCAGCAGTGGCGACATGCTAAAATTGTACCGCTCAAGAAACCAGGCAAGGAGGACTACACTGTTGCCAAAGCATGGCGTCCGATCTCATTGTTGTCGACCCTGGGCAAAGTGCTGGAGTCGGTCGTCGCGGAGAGGCTCTCGTATGTCGTAGAGGAGTACGGTCTATTACCTTCGAACCACTTTGGCGCGAGGAAGCGCAGATCGGCAGAACAGGCGGTGCTCCTGCTGCAAGAGTATATCTACAAGGCATGGCGACGACGACAGGTAGTGAGCCTGATCAGTTTTGACGTCAAGGGAGCGTATAATGGAGTGTGCAAGGAGCGACTCATCCAGAGGATGGAAGCTCGGGGCATACCAACAAGCCTGTCAAAGTGGATCGGTGCCTTCTGCTCTGACCGCACGGCCACGATTGAGATTAATGGGCGTACATCCGAGACCCATAGTCTGCCACAAGCAGGACTACCCCAGGGCTCCCCACTCTCGCCGATCCTGTTCCTGTTCTTCAATGCAGACTTGGTGCAACATCCCATCAACAAAGTTGGCGGATCTGTTGCCTTCGTTGATGACTACACAGCGTGGGTAGCGGGACCGACGGCCCAAGCAAATGAGGTGGGCATACGAGCGATCATTGACAGGGCTCTCGACTGGGAACGTCGCAGCGGAGCCACGTTCGAGGCAGACAAGACGGCGATTATCCATTTCAGTCGGAAGGCAGCCAGAGTGAACAGTAATCCTTTTCTGATCAAGTGCGAAAGGGTGTATCCGCAGGACAAGGTCAAGATCTTGGGGGTCACGATGGACTCTCAGCTACGGTACAGACTGCACATCGCACGAGTGTCGAGCAAAGCGCTGGAAGCAGCTATTGAGCTGCGACGGCTGAAGGGACTGCCACCGGCAACCGCCCGACAGTTATTCACAGCCATGGTAGCTCCGATCTTGGACTACGCATCGAACGTCTGGAGGTATGCCTGTGGTGATCGACTGATGCACGTTGTCAATAGAGTGCAGAGAGTCGGGGCTCAAGCAATAGTGGGCGCGTTCAGCAAGGTAGCCACAGCTGTCGGCGAGGTGGAGGCTCATATCCTGCCAGCTCGAAGTCGTTTCGCCAAGCGGGCAATCAAGCTCTGGATCGACATCCACACACTGCCGAGCAGCAACCCACTTCGGACGGCAGGGTTTCGGATGTTCACGCGGTTCATCTCACCGATGCAGCAACTTGCAGCAGACATGAAGGACGTGCCGATAAGCAGGCTAGAGACGATCGATGCCTACGCAGTGGAACCGTGGACTGAGCGGGTCGAGGTAACCACCGAGGAGAACGACAGAGCCATGGAGCTAGCCAGCGGGCAACGAGCAGTCCGCATCGCCGCCAGCAGCTCAGCCAAGAATGGTCTGGTCGGGTTTGGAGTGGCTATACGGCTTCCAGATATCGGCTGGGCCAAGACCAAGTTCATGCTACACTCTGTGACCCTCGGGACGAGGGAAGAACAGAATCCCTACACGGCAGAATTGGCCGCAATAGTACGAGGGCTGCGCAAGGTGCCACAACACATCCGGCAATGCGTGCTCATAGTGTTCACGAGCAACAAAGGTGCCGCACTGAGTCTTGGTCGACCCTGGCACCAGTCAGGCCAGAAAGATATTGCCGACTTCTACGCGTGCGTAAGCCAGCTTCGTAAACGGAGAAACAAAGTTATCGTCGTCTGGATGCCACAAGAGCAGAAAGAGAGCTACGGGGACGAGAATGTTGGCAATGACACGAATAACGATAACAGGAATGGGAACACCGCCCTAGCACGCCTGGCCAAAGAAGCTGCTCGCAAAGCTACCCTCCCCGGTAGCTCAGTACGGACACCACCATACCGGGCCAAATCAACGACATTAAACAATGCCAGAAAGACACAAAGTAGAACGCCAGTATTACCAGACAACGTCGGTGCATTCTCCAGACGGATTGACACTGCTTTACCCGGACGACACACTCGACTACTGTACGATGCATTGTCATGGAAAGAAGCCAGCATTCTAGTCCAGCTGCGGACAGGAATGGCCAGGCTCAACTATTATCTAGCTCAGATAGGCGCAGTCTCCTCGCCAGAGTGCGCCTGTGGACACGCAAAAGAGACCGTCGAGCATTTCGTTATGCACTGCCCCAAGTGGACAGCCTATCGCAAAGAGTTACTTCAGTATACGCAAGACCGAAGAGGAAGCATCTCGTTCTTCCTGGGTGGGAAGACACACCGTGATGTCGATAAATGGACGCCAGATCTTGAGGCAGTTCGAGCCACAATTAGATTTGCAGTCGCCACAAGACGGTTACAGCTGACGGTGGGGGAGAGCAGTGATTCGGCATAGAAAGGACAAAATCATGTATAGTAGCAAAGGCATCTCAAACACATACTAACCCAGCATGTCGCGCTTCAGTCGCCGAGGATAGGACTCTGAACACTTGGAGGAATCAACTTCAAGCAGAAATGCTGCATACTAACCACTAACAGTATCAACAGGGATGTCACGACAGAGAAATGGATTGAGACAGAAATGGAACTGACCATGAGTATGGGCTCAAGTCGGAGTGATGACGGAAGCTTGGGTAGCGTTTTTGTACTATAGCGTTAGTTGCCCTCTAGGGGAATAGCCCGGGCGTAATAAACGTGTGTGTGTGTGTGTGTGTGTATGTACAGTACACCACCACAACATATTGCTACATGAATACTACGACAATACTCGATCCAGAAACGGGTCTCGCGAGAAACAAATTCATGTTCTTAATGCGGAAACCAACTTCGTTATTGGATGTAATCGAGATCTAGCAAAGTATTTATTGCATGTCTTCCGGTTTATGATCTCAAATATCCACATATGAATCGTAAAGTAAGAACACGACCAAGTGAGAGCAAGTGAATTTTGCAGAGATCCCATATATATAGGTTGCTGGCATGCATGATGATGCTTTATGCTCAGATCATCTTTAAATAACCAGGGGTTAACTGTGTTCAAGTGTTATAGCGGCGATAGACAGGAGACATGATGCGAGGCCAGAAGAAGTTGTCGGATTTCAATAAACTTGTTTGCAACTCTCTTCATGTGTCATGTTCGGACAATGATTCTGATTATTCTTAAGTCCAAAGAGCCATCCGTGAGAAGAACCGAAAAGCTCCGCAAGGTAGCCCCCCAAGCAGCGATCTAGAACAAGCACAGGCAGACTATTCTAGCACGGCACATTATGGATTTGACAGAGCGCTCGAGCATCCCATTGTAAGACAAATTCTGATGCATTGTACAGATCAATGCCTACAGAGAGGAGCCTCCTTGACGACCGGGCTAAGAACCAGACCATGAGGAATTTTCTCGCGCCGACTGCTTCTGGCTGGGTTTGGATTAGTCACCACATATCGCCGGAACAACCTTATGAAGATAACTGTAGCGGTGCATGACGTGACAGATTGCCCAGCCATAACTCAGCGTTTCGGTCTTGCGCTTGTCTCTAACTGTTCATGCGAGCTGATAGTTATGGTTGGTTGGGTATTGAAATTAGTTGCATGGAGTTGACATTAGTGCTGTGTGTGCGAAGAGGTTGGTGCTCTCAACGCAAGGCGCATGGCCTGGCGGCGGGTTGTGGACATTGCACCTGAGTATGTCAGACGAGCACAGTCCGACTTGGCTTCCCGATACAAAGCAAGTCTCAATAGTGAGTCTCAGAACCTCAATTTTGCGTGATATGAATGCACGAATCACTGACTTGTGGATACCACTCCGGCGATCACCCTTGAGATCTCATGACTGGGTGTAGTATCGTGGCCGTCAACGGGCAGCGGTGTGAATATTGGCACGGTTCGGCGGTTCTCGTGTTGATCCCAAGACCCCGAAAAGGGAGTTAGAAAAGTCGATGCCGACAGGACCTTGGTAAAATTTCCCTCTTGAGTCATCTGGTGGATGGCTCCCAAGAACACTTTCACTGGAAAACTCGAAGCCGGCGGTGGTCTGGCGGGAATGGTGCGCTTCGGACTCTGGAAGACCTTGGGAGCTACGTATTGGCACGCCTACCCTGGGTCTCCGTTTGGGTGCGGCCACGTGGAGATGGGTTTCCTGTACAGGTGTTTTGGGATGAAAATGAGCACAATTACGTCGGACGTAATGGGATGTGTAGGAAGTCCCTGCGTATCAGCTATGCAGAGATGGCGAGGTTACTCATGTGTCCTCACGAAAGCTTCTTTATCAGTGAAAGTTGATTTCGCGTCACGAGTCCTACATTTTTCTATCTATTTGCCGGAAAAGTAAAGGGTCCATGATGATGTCTAGTAGTTCTTCTGTTGTGTTAGGAAGCAAAGCCATGATGAGTAGTGCTTGGTCACGGGGAAATCTTTGAGAAGCGTGTAGAGCGAAAAATGGTGCCTTTTAAAGTCACGACACGAGGATGGTGATTGGCTGTTGTACCACTATGGATTGTTGCGAAACTTCCATGCAAAAAAGAGCACAAAGACATCAACGTGTCTGGCCCTGACTTTGAGAAAACGGTGGGTTAGTATCTTGCCGAGGCCGAGCCTGAGCCAATCATAGTTCGTGACATATCCAAAAGTCTTGAGATTGTCTGCACCAAAGCATAGAGTAGATTGTTCAGGATAAAATACGATAGGAAGCATCCGTATAGACAAAAGAATCTCCAATTTTTGATCAAACCCTCGTTTGGGCTCTACCTGTGAGCTCAGACAACTCCGTGAGGCCCATTCTCAGTCTCTATTTCATCGAGATCAATAATGCCACCACCACCAACTCCTTCGCCGCCGCCTCCTCCTCCTACTGGCCCAGCTATAACTGGGCGTGGCTGGGCTCTTTCATATCAAGCATGTCGACAGGTCGGGATGTTCATCACTCTGATGGTCTCCTGGCAGTGTGAATGAACCTTCCCAGTTAGCTTTGGTACTCTACCGCGTAAGTCACCATGAATTTACTCACATACGGCAGTGCGCTCTCTTAGATTCAGTGCGAAGTTCTTGTTCGACACCCTGAACAAGGGCAGTGACCTGTTCTTTGGTGAATTGCCTGTATCGAGTGAGAGGCGCCATGCTCAATGCTTCCATGCCCCTGCATGTGATTGCTGCGGTTTGGAAGAATGTTCCGGCCTCCTTAAAGTTTTTATCGCGGGGCCATGGATGGCATGGGATTTCTTTAATGTTGCACCTTATGTCAACGAATCCTGCTTCCTCGAACCAGGACTTTGGTGATGATTTAAGGCTAATAGGCTGTCCAGCATCTTCGTAAGCCAAGTTGACTTCATTGAACCACAGCCGGAATTTTGAATCCGATGGTAAACTGTTGTCATCACTCAAGGGTTCCCAATCAATTTCCACGTGTTCGATTACACCTTCGCCGGGCTTCAAATATCTGCAAGGGGAGTTGGAATTAGGTTAGCATTTGTACAAACATCAGCTTTAGGCAGAAGCCAGCGTACTGAAGAGCATTTTTGTATAAGCCACACCAGTCCCGGATACTTCCTGATAACATTCTAATGTGAATGAGATCAACAGAGTCTGACTCCATATCCCATTGGCGCTCTTCGATATCTTGGCGCTTGAACACGGTATTGGGTGGGATGCTTCGCTCAGATCAGCCTTTGGATGTTTGCACATTCTAAGTCGATTTTGTTTACCTTTCCGGTTGCCAAAAGTTCAAGTCTAGCCCAATGACTATGCCATCTGGGTACTTGCTGTGTCATTGTCAGCCCTTGATCATAAACACTCGAATTCCACTAAGTTCAATTTACGCAGCCATATCCATTGCCCAAATTCCGGTGCCGCATCCTAAGTCGAGGATCAATGGTTTTCCTGTATGAAGTCGAGCTTCATGTAGGCCGTGCGTCGTATCTGGCTTACGCATGATGCAGAAAAGTTCATGCATCATGTCCATTCGATCCTGTTCCTCCTATGTGCGGGTCAGTATTGAGAGGTGACCAGCTCTGGGCAAAGAGGAAGGAGTTTCTACTTTGTCTACGGGAAGCATGTTGCGCCCGGTGCAGAAATTTCCATAGTACCGGCCGTTTTCCAAAAACCATGGCTTCTGTTCATGTGGTTGAAGGCTTTGATCCGGTAGAGCAGATGCCTTGCTAAGATAAAAAATCCAGTAGCTTAGCACATATCATCACGGCAAAGTTTTGGTGTAGATTTAGCTTACTTGAGTGGGCCGAGAGTGTTGTCAGACATCATTCGTGTCTGTGCCGAGAGTACAATGATTTAAGAGAGAAGGTCAGTTTCAGTACAAGATCAAAGCGACATGAAACCAGAGCTTGTAATATTGATCTGACGTCAAATTTGTAGAAGGATTTGTTGGCTTATGAATGATCTCAATGATGGAGGAAGAGACTGCCACTGGCTGATACAATCTAAACTTAAAGAACACGTTGCATCAGCCTAGACAAGGATATTCAGCTCAGGATTCATCAAAGTGAGTACCTGTAGTTTTGTTTTAACCAAGTAATAAGAGTAGGGAGTGAGTCTACGACGTTGCAGCGTGTCGAGATCACCTAGCATGCAGCGTCGTTTTGCAGGAGAAGATGCAATTTCTTGGCAACACAGGGACCAACGAAAGAGTTACCTGCTCCAGTCAAGCCATAGAAACCTTGCATGATCAGGAAAAGATAGCGGAGTGCTTGTACTGACGTACATATACTAGCCACGGAGTTTATTTAGTGCCTTCAACAATTCAATAGTGCTAGGAAGGGAGTTAGATATTGCCAACACGACTAGCTATGCCAGCTTCCAGCAAGTACTGCAACCTCTGTGGTTCCTGCACCAGTCATGCTCTTAATATGAGCTACAAAAAAGATCCCACCCAATGAGGGCCTTAATTTAACGAACTATTCTGTCCAAAGGCCCTATATTACTTTTTTATTCCTCCATCAACCACGTAACGTGAGAAATGCAGTTTATGCCTCGTGAAGTAGCTGGGTCCCTTGCCGTTGGGCTCAGCAGTCCATCAACCTGGTCCAGCCTCCATCTGTCACCGGAAGCATGAAGTGCGAGAGGTAGAGTTCGTAGTACATCAATCATAGCGAGATTGCAGTCGGAGATATCCGGTATGTGAGCTTTAATCTCGGTCAAGGATTCAGAACAGTCTCGTACAGTCTAAAGTCGTGTGGAAGACATCTAAAGTTACACTGCAGAACGGAAAGACAATCTCGGTGCTCACCCTAGTTAACCGCCCGTCTCCAGAACATCCTTGATCACTGCATGTATCCATAATCTCCCTCATAAAACAAGGGTATAGCACCCTCAGATGAATAGGTTCTGCCACATTAGCCATGGTCCCACCCACCAATAGAGGTAACGTTATTACTTGGCGCAGGCGTTGCGTAAGGTCGTCTACGATTTGATCATCATAGTGCCATGTCACTCCGTTGAAACAACTTAGTAAATTTAGTAAATCGCTTCCTCTGGAGAAGGTCCCCAACCTATTCATTATCACCTAATCTATTCGAATCGCTCATTTGGTTGCGAAATGAGGAAATATTAAGTATCATATTTTTGGAGTTCGACATGCTGCCAGAATCAGAGCAAACAAGGACGGACCAACAAAATAGGAGAAACCAGAACCTGCAGGAGTGTGGCATGCTGCTACTTGTTCTGTAGTCTTCAGCTTGGCTATTTGGTTCTTCTTTTCATACTAGCTCTATTCTACCTTCCTCTTTCAAGAGCCTAATTGGTCTGGAAAGAGCTTTGTCATGATCTAAGTCTGCTTGCTTGTGCTGCCCGACTTCTCGCAGAACTACGCCGGTATGTTCAATAATCTTCCTCGCACACTAAGCTCTTTTCAGAAGCTTGCAGCGAAGCAGGCGCAGGCGTTGGTAAGCAAAGTGAAAGTACAGCTCCTGGATCGTGGCTTCCTGCGCCTACCTCAAACTCCACTTGGCCGGTCTAGGCATTCTGATAGGAGCGAGGTAAATTGATTCCCGTTTCGCCCGTATATCCCGGATATAGATCCCTGACAGAAACAAGATGAAACCTACATGGGATGTTGACTTGCCCTAAGATCACTCTGAACTTTAAATTAGAAATTGCAGTCCGAAGTAAGTTCGCAGCTGTCACTTTTAGCACTACGCCGAATTAGAACACTGGAATTCAGTACTCTGATACAGCGTAGATTTACACAGGTGTGCCTATACTCCGTCGACCACTCTTATCGACTCACTCAGATTTGGCCGAAATGCCAGTGCGTGACGATATCGGTATTTGGCAGGGAATCGAATAAATACGCTTCCAAGTCGAAAAAGAGCTCTGGAGTCTGATCAATCCTCCATGGCAAATAGGGGCTCGCAACCTCTTCTGTCCCAAACATGCTGTCACTGTTTTGTGGATATGTTGTCTCGTCGACCGCTGTCATAGTCTTTTCCTCGGTTGGGCTGAAGTCAATCCAATAGACAGGATCAAGCAAACCCGTATCCATGTTATTGTTGTTGTTGTTGTTGTTGTTGTTGTTGCTGCTGCTGTTGCTTGATGGAGAGGTGAAATGGACGACAAGACGGAGATGCATGTCAAGTCGGCAGAGTTAGTGGAAAGAAGAAGAAAAGAACGAAGCCAGCGAGGAAAGGTCGGCGGCGTCCCATTTATATCCAGAGGGCCCTCCTCATTTCCAACCTTGCTAAGAGTCAAGCTCGGTGCACTGCTATGTTGCCCGTCTAGTTGCTGACCCGTCCTCCTTTGGATATGCTCCTCTTTGGCGCGAAGAGGTCGTGTCCACCCAAGAGAGCTCTCAGACGCGATTGGTCGTTTGTTTGTCTGCCTGTCAGTTGAGTTACTGGTAGAAAAGGTGTCATTGGCATGAATGCCTGTACTGGAGCTGACACGATCGAAAGTCACTGATGTGGTGTCATCAGCCGAAGTATTTTCCGACGGTCGCTGTGATCTGGAGTGAGACGAAAGAGCCTTGCTCTCGGATATCAGCCGGTCAGCCGCAATATGCTGTCACGAAGACCTTCTTTTCCAGCAAACATAAGAGAAGATTGAAGAAGAATTGCCACCATTGGTTGGAGATGAAACTGATGGGTTGGCCTGAACTGAGGAATCGACTGATCGTTTGTCTCTATGGCCGTGGTTTCTCCTGAGCGAATTCCAGTACCTGACTGCATTGCATAGGCAGTGTCATCTATGAACATCTGCTCGATCATGATAAAGTGGGTTGATATCCTTGAGTGTCATCTCCCGAATCTTAGTTCGAAGATAATGCAAGCCCGTTGGCTATAGACAGGAACATCTGATGTCCAGCAATAGATATTGTAGCATTCATAGGATTTCTGCCGTCAGGCTTGTCCTCAGGATGGTGGGCATACGACTGGGATATCTGTACATGGCCCAGGTTCTGGTATCTGTCCAACAAGGTCGCCAACGGTGCGGCGTGCATCAGAAATCGTTCCCACATTGTTTCTTGGCAGAATGCCTCTTGGTATCTTTTGAAGAATCTCTCTGTAGCGGATGGCTTGTACAAGAGCGGATGTGGGCGTAGAGCCGAGGTGAACGCGGCGAGAGACATGGCTCGTTGTGGATAGAATACCTCGAAGGTCAGATGAATTTCTCGTACGTGCAACCGTAGATCGGTTTCCGACAGTCTAATGAGACTTTGTATCCCGAGATAGTTAGGTCCTACGTTGAGGCACTTGAAGGAAATGGAATTGCAGACGCGCATGAGCTTCTTGCAGACCCGCCGACATGACAAGACCTCGTGGTGTGCCAGTTCACCAATGATCAGGAGTAAGATTTCGTCTGCAAGAAGCTGCATGACCGCCGAAGAAACAAATGAAATGGCTTGGTGGAAAGTGCATGTACGGTGTGAAAGGGCTTGATTGTCATCTAGCGCCGTTGCTCATATATTGATGGTAAACGATTATAAAATCTGAGAGAAGAAGGGGGGCGGAAGTAGAGACTCATCGAGTTGTCATAAGTTACGTGAATGTGACGAAGAACTGAGAAGTTCATTGTCCCTGTGCCTTGGGGATTGGCTTGCTACAGTTGCCTTCGTGCACTGGTTTGGTACAGGTTCCGCAAATTATCTTTCCACAACGGTAATTTCTGCCATGAAAGGAGAAGCAATCTCCACACTGGGGAACTCGGGGTTCCCGGCGTAGACGGTACGACGTCATGGAGTGTGCAAAATCCAAACTTTCCCAAATCATACGACTTCCACAATGGTTTGTAGTTTATGCACCATCGCTGACGTCGGCGCTAGTGAGCAACTGCTCTGAAAGTGGGCCTTAAAAAGTAAGCGTACACGGACTTAGTGGTTGCAATAAGACTGATTTTGCTGCCGCGCTTTCATACCGTACTCGAGAGCAGCATCCATGCATGCACAGCACATTGAGCGAAACTACCCATTTGGAATTGGCAGCCAGGCGCCAATCACTCTTCAGTACTTACGTTCTCTTCAGTCTTAGAAGATCCCACCAATTTTACTCTTATTCTTTTGCCTTCTTTAAAAAGGGGCTAATTTTGGAAAGGCAGTGTTAGCACTAATCACTGCAAGATCAAGAGCCTTGACGTCACTCTCTCGTTTATGACAGTCACCATGTTGACGGCTCATGATACCATGATTCCCGAATGACTTGGTTTGCTTCACTCAGTTGACATCTAAGAACGATTCCTGGACGATTCCTCCCCAATCCACCGAGTTGCACTTAGAAAGATACTTCCCAGGCTCAAATGCCGTCTCTCATGCCCTTCCGCACCGCACTGCGCACGCCAGCTACAGCGCACATTTTACCTATGCGCTGTACCCAGAGTTTCCAAACTTCGCAAACAACATGCATGGCCTATAAAGACGATCAGAACCGGGAATCACTTAAACCAAAAGCGCACGACAACACAATATCTGGAACAGACGACGAAGCAGCCGCCAACGAGGATGCGGCCTTCAACCCAGAGAAGACATCACCGGAGACTGCGAAGGACACCATGGGCAAAGGTGGTGGTGTTGGTAATCCGCTAGAGTTTAGCCCAGCCAATAAGGAAATGGCTCGGGGAGGTCAGGGCCATGCGGATGGTAAGCCTCAGGCCGGCGACAACAGTAAAAGCAGCGGTGGCAGCAGCACCTCGAAGGGTAAATAACGTTAAGAGACCTAGTGTTGAGTGTTAGTGTTTAAAAGAGGACGCTTTTGTTCAAGAGTAAAGCAGAGGACTGTTCGCGACGTCATTCCGTCTGTTTTGCATTGTAAAACATTCCATTAAGAGATGGGATATGATACCTGTTCTATACAACATCATTACGACCACATCATGTCGGAGAAATGGCGGTCATGGCTACTTCATGAGCGCGCGCATACACGTGATGTATTGATTTGCATATTCTGCCCGCAAGGATCAGAGGTGCCTTCCCATATATATATATATGTATATCTGCAGTAGTGATTTACAGCAGTCTTCCGGATGAGATATTGGGTGCGGTTGGACCATATTGCCAAAGATCCTCGTTCCAATAGGCGTCACCGTACGCTATATTCCAACCAACTACTCCACAGGAGGTGGTGAGTCGCGTCGATACAAATGCACCCCACGACAAACGTTGTTAATGACAAGATTGGATCACGCTCAAGACTCGTTTCCATCGTTTATCTATGACATATGCTTTAACTTAACACGTGGAAAATCTGAAGGCAACTATCTTCGCACCGTGATCTTTCGCAGCATTTTCTTCGACACATAGGACATCTTAAATTCTCGTCTATTCTGGCTGATTCCAAACAATCATTGCACAATATGTGGCCTAGTCTTGCGTAGGAGACTTGTGTCCGGAAGTACCGTTGAGGGAACTCACCACAACATCGAGGTCTTGCTGATTTCTCGAGTGGACCCAAGCAGATCTTGTAGGGTTCATCCAGACCGTAGACTGACAAAATTTGCTACCGCCCAAATCTATAATGAACGCCTGTGATGCAGGGTGTACCACCGGGAAGAGAGGCGCATCGCGAGCATACCAACTGGGAGAGGATCAGTCAAGGCATGAATATGGGCAGGATCAAGTTACGCAATCAAACCTCTGATACATATGGAGATCCGCGTTCGTGAGTTCTGTCCGACAAGCGCCACAATGCCCCTCATATAGAGTCGTATCCTTGGGTTGAAGGACTTATTCAATCTCATCGAAGGTGCTTTCCAGCACATCCAAGACCGCCAGCCTCAAGTGTTCCACCACTTCCGTCGGCTGTTCTCTACCAAAGCCTCCAAGGACACTCTTCCATTAACACATCACACTGCTTTACAGTACCAGCATACTCATTAGACCACCGGATGTTACTGTACTGTACGGCACTGCACCATTTCGTCTAAGGACCAAAAAGGATGCAGCACAGTACCCCATGCAAAGCCACAGCCAAGTTGCGAATAGTCCTCTGCTTTACTCTTGAACAAAAGCGTCCTCTTGGAATAGTGAGGGGTCCATGAAGTCCTCCTGTTCCGGCTCAAAGACCTCCTTCAGCTTCATCACCCAAGTCTCCAACTCTGCGTTCTGATGTTCGAATCTATTACGAACTCGTCAGTCGGAGATTCAAATTGTATAAAAGTTTGTCTAGGTAACTGACCCTTGCTCAACCGTTTCTCTCCTGAATAGAAAAGAAATCCGTCATCAGTACGGATACTACCGATCATTTCATGGTGAAGGAGTAAGGTCAACACTTACAAGCCCTTCGTCCTGAAGAACAATAGTTAGGCACAATCGCACAATGAGGAGACGAAACGTCAGATTGACTTACTCTGCAACGGACTGTGTCAGAAGAGAAGAGAGATTGTCTAATCACAATGACATGTCCTCTATCTGCCTTTGCATGTCCTGTATAGGATCAGGAGGCCTCGACCCATGGGCTGACATACTGAGTCATGGTATCTGCCAGTGGATCGGCCGCGAGATGTCCTCGGTGTTGAACAAGCTTTGGAGGCAACGCCGTGAGTCCCTTTGTGCTGGTGGGCATACTGGTGGGCATCCTGGCCGGCTTAGTACCCTGGCCCCTACTAAAACAGCACGACCATTGGAGCGTAGCTGTGCCAGGTGAGCTCTTGCTTGTGGCCGTCGAGCTCGTGGCCAGAGCGCGAAATCGATCGAACCGATCGATCTGAGGGTGCCTCTCGATCGAATCGATGGGTTCAGGACATACGTTCGATCGTTATCGAGTCGAACGGTGTGTTGCTCGAGTCGAATCGAATCGAGCAGCCTCAGGTTCGAAATGATCGATATCAAATCGATCGAGCGCCTACTCTGCTACCTTTATTTACCATTAAACATTGCTATCCTAAGTTTCGAGGCCATTTACGCCGCATGCCATTTCGGACTATGCCCTCACTAGTCGAAATCGTCCTCTGAACCTCTTTTGATAAAGCCCTGATCCAGCAACGTAGCGAACCACTGTTCTGACTGCAATAGATGTTCCCTATCAGGATCCTGCGTGACAGCTCGGACAGGTTGCCGTATTCAATGAACTCGCCTGAGGTGGTTGACTATTGATTTGGACGTACTCGAGACGAACGTATACGTGTCGGTTGGTGGTGGTTTCGATTTGGCAACACAGATAGAACACACCCAGATGTGTTTCGGGAGTCGAGACTGTTTGTTGATCAATCGGTAACCATGAGCCCACCACCAGACCCGCATATTCTTGATGTTGAAGTCTAACTCGCAATTGGGAAATCGGCACCACCACTCCATGCACCAAAGTTGATAGTCGGGGTATGCATCGTTTTGAGAAGCCGGTGTTGTCAGGGTCTGCGTTGGTGTATCAGCAGGCTCTTCGACCGGTACCAGCTGCGACAAAGGACTCAGCGTATTGTTCGCGGTAAGTTGTGAGGATGCTACAGAGGGTGTTGCTGGTCGGCGACGTGGATTGAGCTCTTGAGGTGTCAAAAACTGGTCCATGTCGGTGGTCCTTAGCCCAGCAGACAATAATACATATGTACAACCGGTTTTGCCAGCGATGACAGGCAAATTAATCAATGGGACTAAGATTGGATTGATCCAGGAATGGCACGGCTACCCAATTGATACGTACGCGAGTGCATGGCTCAGTGTTTGGTCGTTGACCTGTGTCAAAAAGTTGACTGCCGAGTAAAAACTCACTGTAATTTGAAGTCTAGCCAATCAAGCGGCTTCGGGATAGTTTGCGACAATTCCGATTGGTTTCTAACTAATAATTCCTTCATTGTGGGCCTTGGACTGTTTTATTGGATCGACCGAAATCGACCACATCGATCTTCAGCTCCTCGCTCGCGCTCGAATCGAATCAATCCAGTAACGGATCGAATGATTCATTTCGAACGACAGGAGGTGTATGATTCGATTCGATCGCAGTCGATTGATTAGTCATCCGTCGATTCGATCGAACGCTCGATCGATTTCGCGCTCTGCTCGTGGCGGAGGTGGTGCTTGCATCGTGGTGATGAAAGGTCTAGAGAGTTGCGCAGTGTTCGATGATGCTTGTGCTTGTTACTATTGCGGCAGCCTTTGTGAACCGTGGTAGTAGAACGAGATGGATGAAATCAACAACAACATCATCTGTCATTGTATTATATAGTAAGTTGTCAAACACAGAAAGAACAAAACTGACTCATTGTTCCCATATGTCCAGTTACTCGTTTTCGAGTTATATCGAAAGACTACGACGGTCTGAAAAGGGATCTTTGTCTACATTCTGTGCTACTGACAATACACATTTCGGGGGGTTTCCACGGCATTTATGGATTGCCTTTTGAGTGCCACGGCTGGGGCATACCTAAGGCACGTCCCGGTAAGCCTCGGTAACTATCTTCGCCTTTACAAGATTTCATGGGCGAGGCTTCATGCAAGCACTCCAAGCTTGGGGTCATACCAAGACCGCACGCTCTCTTCTACGTGGCAAATCTCATACGAGCAAATCAAGTCACAAAATTCCCTTGCCGCTAATCTGCTCCAATGGTGCGCTTATTTTGATAACGAAGACGTATGGTTCGAACTCTTCCAGCACTATGGTGATGACGGCCCAGCGTGGATTTATGAATTGCATGATGAGCTGAATTTTAATAGCGCGATGGGCATATTGCATAACTACGGGTTCGTTGAGCCATACAGCTTCACTTCAGAGCTGGTCGAATCGAAGGGATACAGCATTCACGCATGCTTGCACTCTTGGACGGTTCACATACTAAATCAGGGTTGGGATGGCTGCCTAAACAAGCTCGCGCTCGAGTGTATAGCATCAAAGGTGCCATCACAGGATGACGATCAGTTCTGGCTACTTCAAAGACGACTTTTAGCACATGCAATAACGTCTTGCGCCACATTTCAAGATGGAGATGATGGTTTGGATTCGGCTTTCCATAATCTAGGGATCCTTTACACAGCTCAAGGCAAGATGCAAGAGGCGGAGGAGATGTACTTGCGGGCGCTTCGAGGGTACGAGAATGCGTGGGGACCGGATCACACGTCGACACTCGACACGGTCAACAACCTAGGTATCCTTTACAAAGCCCAAGGCAAGATGCAAGAGGCGGAGGAGATGTACTTGCGGGCGCTTCGAGGGTACGAGAAAGCCGTCGGACCTCAACATATCGCGAGATATCGACCAGCAATCAATACGACGTGGGGTTTCGGAGCCTTGTTATGGGATCAGGGCAAGCTTGTGGAGGCGAGGACATACTATCAAGGCGCCCACGACAATCTCGAGGCAGTGCTGGGACCCCATCATCATGAGGTCCAAACACTGCACAATATTTTACTAGAATTGAATCAGAAGATCCAGGGTGAGTCGGTATTAAGAAGCTAGGTCACTATAAGACCTTCTAATTAATGCACGCAGATACGACGACATCACAGCAAGTTCGAAAGAGCACACGCCGAGATGCCTTAAAAAGAGCCTTACGCATTTCCTTAAGGTAACAATATTACCAGGCAACAGATATTTGCAGAAATAGAAGACATGCGATGTGGCCTATTAGCTAGAACGCTTTGCTGCAATCTCTCTCTCTATATAATCGACGGTTTTCGGAAGGTACAAACAAGTGATAGTTATCGTTACTGTAATTCCAATGTGCTTTTTATCGATAGTGCGGGTTACTGCAAGATGTGAACTAAGATACAATATAATCGGTGACTGCTCCTTGAACTGAAATTTCATCTTAATCAATTAGTGGCCAGCCACTGACAGATGTGATGCGTTGGGAAGCCAGGCGACACGACGAATCAAGTGTAATGGCCTTTTGCTAAAGTAGGCCGACGTTTGGTACTGGTACTTGTGGGTACAAGGGTGTCGGGCCGATCAACATAAAAGTCCAGAATTGGACCCTGTTAATTATCTTATATGACCAAACCCGCGACACCCATTCCGCCTCTCACTGTAATAGACCCATCAGAAGGACTTTGATAGTCATGGAAAAGGATCTAATTTCGTCTTGTAGCGAGAACTGGTACAGACAGAATCAAAATCGGCTTCCTCTCTTTCTCTCTCTTCTCTTCTCTTTGAGCACGGACAGTCCAGTTTTGGCTCCTACTCGGAAGTACACTTTTGAACCTCTGTCGTACCAGGAACTTGAAAAATGCCCTTTTCGGCCCGGAACGCATATATTCGGTGCCCAAAATCTATCTTCGATAACGTACAATTGATGTGTAGTAGTGGATGTATCAATACGTGCGAAAGAGCCTGGCTAAAGCTCACGCTCTTGGAATTAGAATTGATACGGTCCAAAAGAGTACTTAGGGTATACGTACAGGCTAGAGCCAGGAATGGATCGTCTGTGCTTAGAGAAGAAAAGAGAGAGACAAAAGGAGGAAGCCGGTTTTGATCTTGTGTGTACTACAACGGATTCTTTCTTATTGTATTAGAGCGGATATGAGCGGAAGCTAATTTCGTTACTCACTGTATTACAAGAGATACTGAGGACAGACGGATAGGGGTATTGTTATAAAGACGACGTTCTACTGCGATATTAGACCGTAGTGTATTGACAGGTGGTTCGAGGACTAGCTGACGCGGGGTGCGGGATCCAAAATGGCGGACCGTGGAGAACCGCAAATCGTGGTGGGGTTGTCGAACTCTATCGCGACGACGGCCAAACGAGTGACGCGAACGACGACGGCCACTGCAGCGGCGGCGAGACCCACGAGACGGACGACGGCTGGTAATACGACAGGCGTAAAGAAGACTACTGGAACCCATGAGGACGATGTTGAACTCGCTGCGGGGGCTGTCCCTCGGAAGGTGCTTGAAATGCTGGTGCTGTCTGCGCGACAAGTGAAGGAGTTGAAGGAAATGATTGTTCACCAGTCAGAAGTCATTGAGGAGATCAACGAACAGCATGCGACGACGCAGCAGAGCCTAACTGAAGTCAAGGGTCAGATGGAGAATATCGTAGCAGAGTTGAAGTCGGCACGGGACGAACTGGAAGAAATCAAGGCTGGCCAGGCGCTGATCGCAAGCACACAAACGAGCCCACAGGCGTCCTATGCAGCCATCGCACGAACACCACCGACAAGCCAACCCACGAATGTACGCACTCTCAGCACAGCGAATACGACCCCGTCGAACTTCACCGATACACTGTTTTGCACGATTGATACCACAAGAGTAAGCGAGGATGAAGCGAACGTTTGGAACGCCGGAACGACGCGAGCTGCCGTGGAGAAGGAGATCCGATCAATCGAAGGTCACAAGGACTGGCGATGCCGCGCTGTGACGATGGACCCGAAAAAGCCGCAAAGAGTCAAGATTGTCTGCCGAGACGATAGCGAACACGAACTCGTGAAGAAAGCTGCGGAGAAGATCGTGACTGGCGGAGCCAGAGTACTGCGTGACGAACTGTACCCGATCAAGGTCGATAGCGTCAACCGGACCGCCGTGCTGGACGAGAACGGAAACATTCGTCAAGGGGCGGCGGAAGCGTTCGGGCAAGAAAACGAAACGACAGTGGCTAAGATCTCGTGGCTGAGCAAAAAAGAAGTGCCAAAGGCGTACGGATCGATGGTAGTCTACCTGACCAAAGCAGGGGACGCCAGAAGGCTGTTGGCGGAAGGCTTCTTCCATGCCGGAGGAGAATCAGGCTATACGAGAGTGTTTGAGCGTCGAGAAGGGCCATCGCAGTGTTACAACTGCCAGCAGGTTGGACACAAGTCATTCCAATGCAAGAATACTCGGATCTGTGGAAGATGCGCCAAGGAAGACCATACTCACAAGGAATGCACAGAGACTGTTCTCAAGTGTGTGCCTTGTGGTGGCCCTCACGAGTCATTCAGTCGAAACTGCCCGAAGCTTTACCCGGATCGCCATGACTAGGAAGTTCCAGGTGGTGCAACTGAATGTGGGCCGACGGGCAGCGGCACAAGAGAGCTTGATGAACAACACGAATCTGAGTGAAACGGCAATCCTAGCTATACAAGAACCACGTGCGAGAAAGAAGGGAGGGAAATTAATGACGGTGCCAATGACGCACCATAAATGGGCGAAGATGGTACCTACGGTATCCAGGGAAGGGAGATGGGCGGTCCGGAGTATGCTGTGGGTAAACAAGGAGCTGGAAGCGGAGCAGGTGCCGATTGCGTCGCCGGACATGACTGGTGTGATGGTTCAGATAGGAGAGAGAAAGGTGTTGGTAGTCTCGGTGTACATACCGCCGACCGACCAGGACGCTCTTCGGGACGCGTGTGCTCTACTACGCGAAGTGATGGATGAGGTACGGCGGAGGCGCGGAGATATCGTGGAGGTCATGTTGGTTGGTGACTTCAACCAGCACGATCAGCTTTGGGGAGGAGACGATGTGACGTTGGCCAGGCAAGGAGAAGCGGACCCGATCATTGACCTGATGAGCGACTATTCGCTACAGAGTCTCCTGCCGCGAGGGACGAAGACGTGGGAGAAGGGCACATCGACAACAACGATCGACTTGGTACTGGCCAGCAACGAAGTAGCAAGCAGAATGATGCACTGTGACGCCTCCAAGACAGAGCACGGGTCCGATCACCGAGCCGTCGAGACGACAATAGACATGGATATGGTGGACTGTCAGCCAAGGGAGAGGTTACTCCTTCGCAACGCACCCTGGAAAGAGATCAATGGCCGGATCGAACGAACGCTAGAGATGATACCGGCCGGGGAGACGGTGCAACAAAAGACAGACCACCTGATGTCAGCAGTATCCGAGGCAGTTCATGAACTCACACCCAGGGCCAAAACATCGCCCCATATGAAGCGGTGGTGGACGAGCGATCTGACACAGATGCGATCTGTGTATACATATTGGAGAAACCGGGCGAGAGCAGAGCGGAGAGCTGGCTGCTTCTCTCAGGTGCTCGAGGACACAGCAAGAGCAGCTGCGAAGCAATACCACACCAGCATTCGGGAACAAAAGAGAAAACACTGGGGTGACTTTCTAGCCGATGAGTCCAACATCTGGAATGCCGCCAAGTATCTAAAATCGCAAAGTGGAGCCTCGTTTGATAAGATTCCTCAGCTGACAAAGCAGGACGGAAGCCAGACAACTAACACGAATGAACAAGCAGAGGAATTGCTGCGTTGTTTCTTCCCACCACTGCCCGAGGATATTGCAGACGAGAGAACGGCGACGGTAAGGGAGCCAGTCAGTATGCCCGTTATCACGCTCGACGAGATTGAACGACAGTTGTTTGCGACGAAACCATGGAAGGCACCTGGCGAAGATGGCTTACCGGCGATCGTCTGGCGACAGACGTGGCCAGTAGTCAAAGACAGGATACTAGCACTTTTCAGACAATCACTAGCCGAGGGTGTGCTGCCTCAACAGTGGCGACATGCCAAGATCGTCCCGCTGAAGAAGCCCGGCAAGGAAGACTACACCATCGCCAAAGCGTGGCGACCAATCTCGCTACTGTCCACCCTGGGCAAAGTGTTGGAGTCGGTCGTGGCGGAAAGGATCTCGTACGTCGTAGAAGGGCATGGTCTGTTGCCCACGAACCATTTTGGTGCAAGGAAGCGAAGATCAGCAGAACAAGCAGTGCTTCTGCTGCAAGAGTACATCTATAAGGCGTGGCGACGGCGGCAAGTAGTGAGTCTGATTAGTTTCGACGTCAAAGGCGCCTACAATGGCGTGTGCAAAGAGCGGCTCCTCCAGAGAATGCAAGCCCGAGGTATACAGACAAGTTTGACGAAATGGATTGATGCTTTCTGTTCTGATCGCACCGCCACAATCGAGATCAACGGCCGTACGTCTGAGAGCCATGAACTTCCACAGGCAGGGTTGCCTCAGGGCTCGCCGCTGTCGCCAATTCTTTTCCTGTTCTTCAACGCAGACCTCGTGCAGCATCCCATCAACAAGACAGGTGGATCCATCGCATTTGTGGACGACTACACAGCATGGGTGGCAGGACCGACTGCGCAAGCCAACGAGGCAGGAATACGAGCAATCATCAACAGAGCCCTCGACTGGGAGGGTCGCAGTGGCGCCACATTCGAGGCGGAAAAGACCGCCATCATCCATCTCAGCAGAAAGGCGGCCAGAGTCGACAACAACCCTTTCCTGATCAAGGGCGAGAGGGTATATCCGCAAGACAAGGTCAAAATACTGGGAGTTACGATGGACTCTCAGCTACGGTATAGACAGCATATTGCACGAGTGTCGAGCAGGGCACTGGAAGCAGCCATTGAGCTCAAACGGTTGAAGGGCCTGCCACCGGCGACGGCCCGACAGCTGTTCACCGCCATGGTGACTCCCATTTTGGACTACGCATCAAACGTGTGGAGATATGCGTGCGGCGATCGGCTGATGCATATCGTCAACAGAGTACAGAAGGTGGGCGCACAAGCGATTGTGAGCGCATTCAACAAAGTGGCCACGGCAGTCGCCGAAGCCGAAGCACACATCCTGCCAGCTCGAAGTCGCTTCGCCAAGCGGGCGATCAAGCTATGGGTCGACATCCATGCACTACCAAGTAGTAACCCTCTTCGGACGGCAGGATTCCGGATGTTCACACGCTTCATCTCGCCGATGCAGCAACTTGCAGAAGACATGAGCGAAGTGCCGATAAGCAGACTTGAGACGATTGACGCGTATGCTGCTGAGCCGTGGAACGAGCGAGTCGAGGTCTTCACCGACGAGAGCGAAAGAGCCATTGAGCTAGCTAGCGGGCAACGGGCAATCCGCATCGCTACCAGCAGCTCAGCCAAGAATGACCTGGTCGGGTTTGGGGTGGCTATATGGCTTCCGGATTTTGGCTGGGCAAAGACCAAATTCATGTTACACTCTGTGACTGTCGGGACAAGAGAAGAGCAGAACCCTTACACAGCGGAATTGGCCGCAATAGTACGGGGACTGCGAAAGGTGCCACAACACGTCCGGCAATGTGTACTTATAGTGTTCACGAGCAACAAAGGTGCTGCACTGAGTCTCAAACACCCGTGCCACCAGTCCGGCCAGAAAGAGATTGCAAACTTCTACGCGTGTGTAAGCCAGCTTCGAAAACGGAGTAACAAGGTTGTTATTGCCTGGAAGCCACAAGAACATGATGAGAACAACGGCGACGAAGATGTTGACAATGGTGCCAGGGACACCAACAGAAATGGAAATTTCGCTCTAGCACGCTTGGCCAAGGAAGCTGCTCGCAAAGCCACCCTCCCTGGTAGCTTAGCACGGACACCACCGTTTCGAGCCAAATCGACCACATTGAACAATGCCAGAAAGATACAAAGCAGAATCCCGGTATTGCCAGACAACGTCGGTGCATTCTCCAAGCGGATTGACATAGCTTTACCCGGACGACACACCCGGCTACTGTACGATGCCTTATCATGGAAGGAAGCCAGCATTCTAGTCCAGTTGCGGACAGGAATGGCGAGGCTCAACCACTATCTAGCTCAAATTGGAGCAATAACATCACCAGATTGCGCCTGCGGATACGGAAGAGAGACTGTAGAACACTTTGTCATGCGCTGCACGAAATGGACCGCACATCGTAACGAACTGCTCCAGTATACGGAAGACCGAAGAGGAAGTATCTCGTTCTACCTTGGTGGAAAGACCTATAGTGACGACAACAAATGGACACCAGACCTCAAAGCAGTTCGAGCAACAATTGGATTCGCAATCGCCACAGGACGATTACAACAGACAGTGAAGGAAGTCGGGAGTTAGGCTTAGAAGGAGAAAATGATGCACAAAGGACATCCCAAACATATACTAACCCAGCAGGTCGCGCTTCAGTCGCCGAGGATAGGACTCTGAACACTTGGAGAAGTCAACTTCAAGCTGATCTGCCATGCACTACAACTAACAGTATCATACAGGGATGTCGAGGACCATAAGTGGTTTTGGATGGTTGATTATAGTCTTGCAGTATGGGCTCGAATCGGAGTCAAGACGGAAACATGAGAAGCGTTTTTGTAGCATAGCGTTAGTTGCCCTCTAGGGGAATGACCCGGGCGTAATAAACATGTGTGTGTGTGTGTGTGTGTATCTGTACAGTCAAGATTTGAATTTTAGAGGACGCGGCTGACATCTTCCAGACGTGAAACCCTTTACATACAGTACACCACCACAGAACATTGCTACATGAATACTACGACAATACTCGATCCAGAAACGGGTCTCGCGAGAAACAAATTCTTGCTCTTAATGCGGAAACCAACTTCGTTATTGGATGTAATCGAGATCTAGCAAAGTATTTACTTCATGTCTTCCGCTTTATGACCTCAAATTTCCACATATGAATCGTAAAGTAAGAAACACGAACAAGTGGGAGCAAGTGAATTTTGCACATATCCCATATATATAGGTTGCTGGCATGCATGATTATGCTTTTTGCTCAGATCATCTTGTAAATAACCGCACTTACTGCACTACTATTCCGCGTAGTTGCAATAACAATGCCGGGGCTGGCATAATCAAAGGGAACCAAAGACCAGATTCCGCTAGGTTCCGGAAAAAGATGAAGCACAAAGCAGTGATTCGGATAAACCCCGAGTCTTTCGCTTTCTTGTCAACTAACCTCTGTGCTCTTTATCTAGCTAATTACAAAAAGATACTCAGAATGAAACTCAAAACTCCAACAGAACGATATGCACGAACCCTTTCAACTCCAGACGTTGCAGTAGTCGTTGTAGCAGAAGTGGAACTTGTAGAAGCAGCCTTGTCAATCCCTGTACTTGAAGTGGATGACGATATTGATATTCTCGACAGTGCTGAAGTAGCTGTGCTCCCAGCGGTGCCAGCAGTGCGTGAAGCTGTCTGCCCTGTTGCAAGGGTCGTCTTCCCCTCGCTCGCCGACGTGTATTCGCCAGTTACAATGTTTCCACTCCCACCAGTTTCATCATGGAAGGAGCCTAGGACCAAGAAAGTCCATGTCAGGATATTTATTGATTTATCTTGTCTGGCAGAACAGAACATTGAGATTATTTTAAACAATATAAAAATCTGCTTACCGGTATCGGTATCTACACACAGCAACGTGCCGTCTGTGTACATGAAACAACTCTCGCTGCTTGTACAGCTAAGACTCGCACGAGTTTTCAGCTTTCGTCCCATACGTCCAGGGGTTCCTTCGCAGAGTTCAAGGCACCCAGGGTTGTTGCCGCATAACTCGGAACAAGTGTCGCCTGGGGAACCAGAACCAGAACCACTACCGGAAGAGCCGCTGGATGTAGGCCAGGCAATTGCGGTAGATGGTATACACCCAATAGCAAGGGTGGAAGGGACAAGTGTTAGCCAAAGGCAAGTCGCAGTCTTCCTAAAGAGCACCATGGTGTGGCTGCTCGAAGTCGTTGATAGGAGTACGATGGCGGCAGGACAGGACTCAGTCTGGTAGTGTTAGTTCCCCGTTCGCCAGATTGTTTCAGGCATGATAAATTTATGTATGTGTGTGTCTGTGTGTGTCTATATATATGTGTGTGTGTATGTGCTGAGTGCATGACTTTAATCTATCGTAAAGAAATCCAATGAAACGCTATTTGCTGGCTTGCCTTGCATACCTGGCATGTAGCTTATCCCATTGATTGCGGCGCGGTAAACCACCGGTAAAATTGTGCTAAGGTACGACAGTAGACTGCTTAGCATATATATCTGTCCAATCAAAACCTGCGTTGAAGGGGTTTAAAATTCCCGCAGCTGGCTTGGCAAGTCACTAGCCACACAAAAAAACAGTGGGTTACCGCGCCGTAATCAATGGGTTAAGAAGATATGCGAGGTCATGCGGTGATGTCTCAGTTCAGCTCAGCGGAGTCCGCGCGATGTTCTCGCCCAATCACTGCCGAAAAGTGCAAAACGGGATTTTTAATTTACTCTGAAACAGTCGCAATAATGCGGCTGACATGTCCAATGGACACAACATGTGCGCTCTCGCCGAGGAAAAGCGGGCAACCAAAGGTCGTTGTGGTTGCATGCGGCACGTTTGTTTCGTTCGCTTCGTTCACTGGGCCGGAAACACCTTCCGCAAGATGGTCGCGACCGTTTTAGGCAGCTAGTCAGGCTTGGTTCCGAGTCAACGCTGTAGAGCAAAATCGAGCCCGGTCGGTGGCGCTGCCTGGAAATCGATATCCCGAATCTTGCTTTTCGCCAGTCCAACTCCGACGGCAAGTAGGAGAGTAGCGTATCATTCAGCCTGTTGTTGCTCAGGCGGAAGGAAATGACTTGACTCCGTGCACTTGAGGCGACCAATAGGTGATCAACACTATACCTGATTGGGTCGAGACGTAAATAGCGTAAGCCACATGCGGCTCAAAATGGTATCTGCTCGACCACCATCTATATGCAATATAAACTACACTAGTGTATTTCAGTCTAAGCAGCCCATCTGGAAACTATTAAATATCAGTGGAGTGGCTTGCGAAGATAACTTACCAATATTTGCGCCGGGTAATAGATTTTAGCATAGTTGAGAAAGATTCGAGAGGAGTGTTAAATATTAGAACGTACGGAGTGGTGGTTATGGCAGAACAGCTTCGATCACCACTCCAATGGCGTGGTGGACGGGCTAAATGGATCACCTCCGGAATCGTCGCAAGCCATCTTTCTGCGTTTTCAGGAGCTTGCATCAGGGCACAGTCCTGGGGTGACGGTCAAGTGGATCCCCGGACATCAGGACATTGAAGGAAACGAAGCTGCCGACAAACTTGCCAAGGAAGGCGCAATGCTCGAGACGAGGATAGACAGTCTGCCTACGGTTGCATGGGTACGGCGACATCTCAAAGGAAAGAGAAAAGACGATTTTGCCCGCTGGTGGGCGGCGCAAGACGAAACCAGATATGAAGATGTGCATTCATATGCGGCGGTGTCAAAGAACCTCGTCTCATTCAAAAGGGCTACGCTGCACAGGCTCCTGGCGGCAAGATCTGGCCACGGCGACTTTGCAGCATATCATGAACGATTCAGGCATACGGACTCCAATAACCACTGCACTTGCGGAGAGAGAAAGACACCAGAGCATATTTTCTTCTGTAAGAAATTGCAAGGACACCGACTGCTCCCGAGGCACATGCCAAGGGCGGCTTATACACAATATTTGGGGGAGAAGAGTGCGCAGTGGGCGCGTTTTGTAGAGAGGAGTAGATTTTTCACAAGGACATGCCCGAGATGAAGGGCCGTTTGAATTGACGGACTGAGTGAGTGTTCTCACTCAGGTCCTGCAATAGCGTGGACTGGCACGTGCGCAGGCTGGAATGTATGTAGATACTGATACCTCCAAAACCCTGCGATGTATGGCTCTGGGAGGCGTGGTTTGCCCTAGTAAGGGACGGTCCCAACGTTAAATACATTCAATCAATCAATCAATAACCCGTGCTTGCACAAGTTCAACATTTCCAACCATCCACGTCCAATCACTTTATTGGTGTGCCGCAACCTTTGCCGATCATGGTCAATGGACATCCGCAGAACGTTCCGCAGAACTGGCAGAGGCTGAGTTCACAACCGCATTGGGCGCAAAATCTGGCAGTGTCACCACAGACAAGTCGTGATGTTTGGCGTCAAAACGACACCACCCAATTACGACACGCGCGAGTTTCTCGAGGCTCTTCATCTCGCCTCCAAACAAACATATTGCCCCGGCCTCCTCAACTACAGCAAGGGACCCTTATGACCACATCTTCCAATTTCCAGGATGCTGGCCAGTGTGTTGCTTCTCCAAATCGGATATCGAGAGAAATCAGGCCTTTCAGCCCCCCAGAGCGCTATTACCAGTACGTCAAATACTTGGCTTTGGAGCCCACACCAATACCTCAACAAAACATCTTCCACGTTTTTACATTCAATATGCCCAAGGAGGAATGTGAAAAGATATCTAAAGATGGGAACGCCGATCAGACTCCTTCACAAGCCAATTTTTACTTCAATGCCTCTTTGCACGTGAGGCTGCGGGTGTGTCTTAAAGAGAAGGTTGCTCCGTTCTCCGAAGAAGACTGGGTACTTGCCGACGGCTACTGGCCACAGCACATACAGATACATATCAACCATCAGCTACGGGCGACCAAACAAAAGCAGCACCATGGCAAACATCAACCAATAGAGATTGGTCAACTTGTCAGACCAGGCGGAAATTTTCTCCCTATATTGGTACCAGTTCACGAAACATTCGATAAGGATGCAATCCCCTATGTAGCTGTTGAGGTCCTCGAAACTCTCAGTCACAATTCGATTCAAGCTCTACCCAACTTCGATGCAAACTCCGTCACCTCCCCGGGGCAAACACAAGCTATAATCGACCAACGCCTTGGTAGCTTATGCAATCCCGATGACGAGATTATGATAGTCACGAGCTACCTCACCATAAACCTAGCCGACCCCTTCAGTCTTGCTCTTTGGGAAACGCCAGTTCGGGGAAAGAATTGCATCCACCTAGAATGCTTTGATTTAGAGACTTGGCTGAAAACCCGCCCTAGAAAAAGGCCTTGCACTTGCGGTGCCACAAAGGTCTCAGAATGCAACCTGTGCATTGGGGAACCATCACTTGTAGACAAGTGGAGATGTCTGCTTTGTAGAGGAGATGCGCGTCCCCATAAGCTATATATTGACGGCTTTTTCGTTGAAGTAAGGAAGTCTCTAGTAGAAAGAGGGCTCTTGCATGCCAATGACATCAAGGTACGCGCAAAAGGAATTTGGACGTCCAGCCCGGCAAGAGACCCGTCGAGCTTGCACCCTCAAATGGCCGAGGAGACCCTGTCATCCAGCTGGTCTGACTGACTTCCTCTCTCTCTCTCTTTCTTTTGTTCTTTGGATACCGGGATGGCGCGGCGACACGAGTCTGACGATTGCGAGACGTGGCTTGTTATCGTTTGCGATACCGCACCTCGTGAGATCCTGCGGTGGGATACGGATACCACGCATACGTAGTCCATGTCTGATCTGTTCCGCGGCTATGATCACGTCCTAGACCAGGTAGGAAGAACGGATGCCCTCCAACGCTAACGACGAGCCGTGGCGCAATACCACAAACTGCAGTATTTTGAACAACTAGTCCAGGAAATCAAGGAGTGCCAAACCGGCGGCGCGTTCCTCGGCGGCACCGCTAAAAATAGAGCTCATAAAGAGTACCCCGAGCGAACATGTCCAGATGCAAGTCTAGAAGAGCAAGGGCGATGCAAGAAGAATTAGACGTCAATCTTCGGTTCGCCCGCAAATAGAACATACTGATCGAGGGGCTAGAGAAGAAGGGCGAACGAAGCGTTTGTGGTCTTGGCGAAGGTATCGTCCTGGCTGCCACGCCTGAAGTGTTTCGGATCATGTAAGAATGTATGCAGCTGACGGTGTGGGGCTGAGAGGCTAAACCGTGACTTAGAAATGATAAAGACGAGACACACGCATCAGTGAACAGCTCTAACACCACCGACTGACTGCTGACCAGGACTAGGCTTCGATTACGGGCAAGTCTGTAGCGGGTCATAAAGATATAAAAGTATATAGGCTACATACAACTACTCTACCATTGACCATATTAGGAGCCGATATTAGAATCAACAACCCCATGCCTGTTCTCTCACATCTTATGCAGAAGGTATAAATTGCAAAATTCTGATCGTACCGTTTTTTGTATTCTACCTTCCTTCTTCTTTTCTCTAACGAGATTATATCTGCGGAGATGTGAAGAGCACATGTGAAAGGAGTTATGGAATTATGAAGATAGTCGAGTCTAGACGCACCCGGTATCATAGTAAATGTTATCCGAGAGGATGGGACTCAGGACCTCGCTATCACAGCTTGATAAGGATATAGCTGTACGGTTCGATAAGTAATACTACAATTTCTCTACTCACCGGTCAAGTTCAGTCCCGTCCGATACTCGGCAGGTTAATGTGCCTATCCAAACACTGATCACTGCGTGATTCTGAATCTTCATGACTTGTGCTGTACTATTGGAACTGAACCTCAGAACAGATGTATACAATGAACGGGCAGCGCGAAGATGCCTACACGGAGTCGCGAACATGGCATGTGAGTGTCGCCCAGACTATCGAGGTTATGTCCGAGCTCCGCGCGTGTGGTGACAAGGACCGTAGACCGCTTTTTCTCATTGCTGCCGATGACCTGAGTGATCATCTCGACAAGAAACTCGTGAACCTATCATCACGTCTCTGCCTCCCCCATTTGGTCAAATAGTTGACTCTCGCCGCCTTCACGGCGCAGGAGCGACATTAAGTGGTTAACTATGACATGGTCGATATCCACAAAGGATGGCATTGCTTAGATTAAAATTTCGAAGCAAATCTCATACCGTAACATTTCACTCGAAGGGACTACCGAGGTGACGTGAAATTCGCTCTCGCTTACAAAATTGCTCTGTATCGAGATTATGTCCCTCAAACTGCACAAATAATGATCTAGCATCAATGGAATAACTATGCTTCAACTTAAAAGTGCCCATGAACCATGGGCGCGAATTCAACAGCACCTTTACTGCGCTGGTCTCTGGACAGGCTGACCAGATGTCTCGTAGGGACCTTGGGTATTCTCTGGCGCTCCGTGGCCGTACGTTGACTCTGCATCCTTTCGGGTGTTCTCGACACCTGACTGTTGCACCGCACCTCCGGTCACCTGAGCAGATAATGGACTAGGTGTTTGCTGTGGAACTTGGTGCGGGTAATATTGCTGTTGTGACGAAGCGTAGGGTTGTTGCGGGTATGCCTGCGATTGATTCTGGACTGTATTACTTTGTTGTGTGTAACCTTGTGCAGGCAGGTTCTGCAAAGGGTAGGGTTGCCCTTGAGAGTACTCAACGGGCTTCTCTGCACTGGCTGGGACCTTGGCGGAAGCGACTGCTGGGTTAGGTTGAGATGTCGAAGTGATTGGGTTGCAATGTAGGCCAGCGTTTCGGTGTCGGTGAAGCATGACACTGTGGATAACGAGAGAGACCAAGAAAGCCAGGCTGTGTGGTATGTCAAAAAAACGATATTTGTGTCTGGTTTCGGGTTCGCTTACAATTCCGCACCACCCAAACCCGCTGCAGCGGCGAGGATTGCGAAATATGTCTTCTCAGCGCTTGACAGACTGTAGCAGTAATAATAGGTGCAGTAGCCCGAGGCGTATGGAGCGATTTCTGCGGCTAGTAGTGCGAATGAGATGAGCCAAAAGACGACTAGAAAGATATCCAGAGACAGAACGGCCCAGTAGTTGTAGAGAGCTGGGGCACCAAACTCGGCAACTATGATGTAAATGCAGGTGATCAATGTAGCAAGAGCCTGCGTCATGTCAGCTTGATAAACAAGACTGCTTGACAATACGAACAGAGAATAGTGATAAAATATCTCCATCGAAGGCAAGCTGAGATACACCATAAGCAGTCAATCCCAGCACGACAACAGCAAGAACGAGCTGAACGATGCGAATGGCGATGAACCCTTTTGGATACAACGGGAGATGCTCGCGCCCGGGCGCACGCTGACTCAAGTATTTACCAGGTGTCTCCATCGTGAACAATGATCAAAGACAGGAAGGGGCGGCAATTGCGATCAAAGTGGTTGTTGGTGTGACAATGATAGGACAAACGTCAAGAAACAGATGGCAGGATTGGGACAGAAAACATTGGCCGGAAGAAGACTCAGCTATTATAAGCCACAATAGCATAGGGAGTCATGCTCATTTATCGAGTAAAACAACTACATACCACCAATCCAATAAGCATACGCGGGGCGGCAACGTTTTGCCAATGATCAGATGCAACGGGGTTGTCTGCCTTGTTGATAAGTCTGCCTTGGCCAAAGCTTATACTTGGCGCTTGCGCTTGCCATTCATGGGGGGATGCTGTTGCTGAACAGTACCGTCTCTACTTAAGAGTCCAACCGTCTCTTTGAAACGATTCCAATGTCTCGACGGGGATCATTCTTCCGATGAGCGAACGCCTCGCGTGAATTCTACGCGGGCAGTCTACATAGAGTCGCTGAGGTTGACCATTTGATGCCCAATTTGGAGATGTATCCTGGAAAAGTAGAGTGCAGGGCGGTTTTACGTTTAGCCTGGTGCGGCTGAACGTATTGAGACTTCTAATGTAAGGACCCTTGAAGCTGAAAGAGTTGGGCGGCAACGGCGCGGACCTGGAGCGCGTCCTGATTGGATAACTTTATGAGGAGCTCGTAATGCTGTAAAACTCGTCCAGGCGACAGGGGAGATTTGACTCATACTCCAGCCATGGTATTTACAATGACCCAGCCTCACCATTGTTGTTTTACTTGCTCGTGAAGTCCCTTGTTGCCGCTACTGTCAAGTGCCACAAGTTCGACAAGAATTTACGTTCCGGCGTTTGAACGTGTAGAATGGGGGAACGTTAAGCGAGAAATCCCAAGTCTAGTATGTATCCAGCTAGGATAGGCCAGTCGGAATCATACACGATCTGACTGACGTGAGTTTCCTTGGAGCGACAAAGACTACATGCTACTGCCACCCCAACACGTTGGCGCTTTGCTAACGCCCGGGTTGCCTCGGGGATTGAGGGCGCTGATCCTGAGGCGGAGTGGGTGATAGGTGCATGCAGAAGAGGCCGATGATATCTACACATTTTGTGTGACTTAGCGAAGATAAAATGCAGTTTGAAATTGATGAAATCAGGACAGCTAAGCAATCAACATGTAACCAAAGATCAAGCTTAGTACGTACGGCAGCACTGCGGGGTGTGCTCTGTTATAATGGGGTTCTCTGATTGGATAAAAACTTCGGACTCAGCTCCGCAACTGCTCAAACGCATCTCCATGCGTCGGTGTGAAAGGAGTCTGCGACTACGCAGACAGTCACAAGAACAAGAAATGGCAACCTTTCGCAGCAGCAACAACTGCCTCAGTGACAAAAGCTATTCTTGGGCAATACACCCAGACGGATAATCCAGCGAACTATGGCATCACTCACGTATGAACATCTGGGAATAGAGATTTGCGAAAGCTATGACAAACCTGATATCTACAGGTGGACGAACTTCCTTGTGGAACCCTCCGTCATATCGTTTCGGCGCGAAGGTAATATATGACACAGGCAATATATCGACTCAGCTAGTCTGCTATCGTCACCGCGATACCACATCAAGATGTCTCAGCCCCAGAGTGACCACTGGGATGGCCTGGAGACGAGTTTTAGCTAGTATCTGGTACAGAAAGAAGGTATCTCTGCCGATCCCATATCCTATTGACAAGCATAGCCAATTGCAGAGTCCTTGACTTATCTACGGCGAACCGACTCCCATCCTCTACCCAGTCACACTTGACTTAAACGTCCTTCCATGTTATACACCTATAAGACAAGGTTCTAAGCCATATCCTAATCCAGCCGACTTCTGTGGCCGGCTTATTTTCGCCCTCGATCAACTTTCCAGGATATTTGAGTTGGTGCGATCAAAGGCTAGACACGCACTGGAGGCCATATCGGGTATTCTATACGATGATACTTGAAAAAACTACTTATTGGATATGCTTTATGTGTTTGTTATTTCTCGAGAGTCTGCAAGCCTGAGTTATTGCTACATACAAAAGGTTAATTCTAGCGTTTGCCCGAATAGGTATTAATTGATTCACATGAATCGTCACGTTTTCTCGCACCGGAGACGTCTTGCAATGAAACATTCATATTCTTTATGTATGGAACAGGCCCTCCAGATCGATAGGATCTCATTCTAGGACTTTACCCAGTTCTCAGACCTACGCTATCCACTATATGAGCATATATGGATCATTACCAACGTAAGTTAGATCATTATGTTTATGAATTCTACATTACTCGATTCAGAAACGGCTCTCGCGAGAACCAACGTGCGCTTGATGCGGAAGCCAATCTCGTTATTAGATGTAAGTTGGCCGGCTGGCAGAAGACTCGTAGCACTGTACAGTACCTTCCGAGTTCTTGTAACAGGACGCCGTAGAGGGTAAGAGCCCCGTACGGTCAGTCCGAAAGAGTACTCGTAGTATCCTTCCAGGTGGGAGGCCAAAATTGGATCGTCTGTGCTTAAAGAAGAGAAGAGAGACGAAAAGAGGAAGCCATTTCTGATTATGTCTGTACAGTTTCCGTTCTATCTGTATAGAGTACTGTACGCGGACACTACATTGACTGCTCAATAATGGTACATACCGGCAAAGCATTGCATATATCATTTATGGTTGCACGGAATCAGAACCAGCTACGTAGTGGTGTAATGTCTCCACACTTGATCTACGATGCTATGTACCGGGCACCACGAAACCGGCTACTTTGGTCGGTAACGGAAGGTAGTCAGTCCCTATCTAACAAGTCGGATTGTAGAGATAGCCAAAATGTCGTACATATCTGATTGTGCTTCAGACCCATCGCGACACTTTTAATTGTCGGCACTGCACACCACGAAATCGGCTACTCAGGCTGTGTCCACAATCTGACCCGTAGTCCGAGACCTGTCTTCGTGCCTGACAGCGACAAGACCCCGGTTTGTCGCAGAAACAACACCACCCAGCTAGAGACGGCACAAAGATGACCATAAACATGTAATTGGCGACGAAAGTCCACATACATATCGTGGACCAATGGTGTGGCAAGAAGAGTAATCAGTCTATGTCGACATCTGCTGCGAATACATTCTTGTCGCTTCCTTTACGGGCCTCTTTCTAGTCTCCTCTGCTTTGGATGCTTACGGGCTACGAAATCCGGCATTGTTCATTTACATTTTGCCTCCACAAGGAGCCATTTCTGATTCCATATACACTAGCCGTCTCTTGGGATTGCCAACCCGCTCTGGGGATCTGTCGTAGGATGAACATTGATTCTCCACAATATGTGTATGGACGTATTTAGGACTAGGCAAGTAGAAATGCTTCCTTCTACACAGATCGAACACCCCAGTCAACAGCAACTGTCCATGAAGTTTGTTGTATTGAGCCGGTATCGACTGTACGATTTCCCTATGGATTATCTATCAAACTGTCCCAGGTTAGACGCCTGGATTCGCTCCTATCATTTTCAAGCAACGCCTCCGTCACCCACAAAAAGCCCGTCTCTTCGCTTTTGTAAGTGCATAGTTCTCCCTTCCAATCTCTTCTTTTTGTCTTCCAATCTCCTCCCTTCTGACACTACCTTCCATGTACCACTCCACCTTTGAGATCAATGCTCAAAGTTCCTGTAATCAAATGAGTAAACGCCATCTACATGAGAGGGATCTTTCGTTCCCCAGCCCAGCACCGTCGCACGATCTAACACTTCCCGATGACGAGATAGCCGCAGTCGAACAGGAAGACGAGCTCTCTCAAGCCTTGCTTTTGCTGATTGAAAGCGTAGTGCGTGACATGCAAGACGAGCTCCAACAGCAATTGAAAGCGCAGCTACAAGAGTCCCAGATGGAGAGAGTGCAGCACAAGAAGGTACTCTCCTCACTAGCGGAGTCACTTGTGGCGAAACTACATACTACAAAAGAAAAAGGGGTGGAAGATATCGAGAAAAGGGTCGGTATCCATAACTTGCCGGAGCACTGTGGCCGGCGAGGGCATCCCAGACAATAGGCGAAGTCGAAAACCACTCTCCGACATGTCTACAGCAAGTAACTGTGAGGAATGGCGAGCTACACTTCCACACGAGGAATATAAACCAGATCAGGTTGGCGAGATATCTCTGGGCGGAAACGGTGGTCGGAAATGGAAATCACGAGATGGGCGGTATAAAATATCGGATCAGTAGTCGCTAGGGTTTGTAAATACTTTATAATCACACCACCTCTACAGCGAAGGTATCGGCCCAATATTTAATGTTCAGATGTTTACTGATCTGAGAATCTGCCGGTGACCTTTGTGGATACTTTCGCAATATACATAGATGGTCTCTATGTACGTCGAGAAATGATCTGGCCTATACTAATGCATCAAAAACAGTCTGCCACGACAACTTTGCTTTGCACTTATGCCTTTTGGTTGTGTCATCAATGAAGGTTTCTCCGGAGCTATGGACTTGCAAGAGAAAACTTATGGCAGGCAGACAGGTTTTACCCGATATGCAAGCGTCCGGTTGAAGTCAAACACGACGTAAGTTCCTTGACGATCAGCCTGAGCAGAGAGCAATTCATCAAAGACTTCTGTAAAGGCCAAGCTCGCTACTGCTCTTCGATTTTGGTTAATGCTCTGCTCGCATTGGGCTACTCCTATTCTAGCCAGCACATCGGCACAAAGGACACTCAAGGCACTTACCCATCGGGGGATGAGTTCTTCGCAGAGTCGCAGAGGCTACTTGATGCCGAAGAAAATCACCACACTTTAACTACCATCCAAGCTCTAAGTATAATGTCGCTTCGCCAGTTGAGCTGCGGAAGAGACTCTGAAAGTCACCATTATTCCGCACAGAGCATAAGATTAGCTATCGAAATGGGCCTGCAGCGTCCTGACAGAACGGCAGACAACGACGAGTTCAGTGTCAAAAACGCTACGTTTTGGGGTGCTTTCGCATTACATCAGTGAGCTATGTATATATAATATATATACAGCATTATTCGTGCTTGTCACCAGCTAATGCCTCTAGTGCATGGGCTGTTACATCGCACTCTCTGCCCTGTTGCTCGTCAACGTTTACAGCTCGTTTGCCACCGAAGCCGGCGACTTTTCTTGACGCCGAGGATGCCTTATGGGTCCCTTATACGGATGAGAGTATGTTCTTCGAAGTAAAGAACTACCTATATATGCTTAATCTTCACAGTCGGCAACCTCCAGTCACTTAAACAGGTATCGCATACTGGCTCTGTCTTCTCGGGCATTTGCGACCTTAGCAAGCTGATCCACGAAACGCTTTACACCCTCCTTCGTCCAGATCATCCACCTACAAGTAGAGAAATTCTGATTTTTTATACGAAATATTTGAGCTGGTATGACTTATTATCCGATGTCTTGCGGCTTGGGCATACCTCTACTCCGGCAGTATTATTTACGCAGTATGATATAAGCTCTTAGGACAGATTTCTTTCTAAACTCAATAGCATGTACTATCATTTCGCCGTCCTATTACTTTTTCGGCCCTTTGTAACGCTTTCAATCCCTGGCTCGAATATTCTCCCGCGGGATGTTTGTTTCGAAGCTGCAAACAACATATCAGCCTTGTTGCACTCCTACTCGGCACTCCATACGCTACAACGCATACCTAGCTTTGTGCCGACCCTCCTTTTCGCAACATCAATCATGCATCTTTCAGTCAAACCTAATTTAAGCCCGCCGATAAGACGAATCAGGGTCACTTATTGCTATCCTTCCAAGTTGCAAGCGTCGTTGAACGGGCTATGGCCGACCTGGGTAAAATAGCCGCGTGCCACGCCTCCGCCCAGCGGGCACTCTATATTCTAGAAGCCGTTGCAAAGAAGGAGAACCTCTTGATTGATACCCAGCGGCTCCTGGGTCAGCAATTATCGGATTATCTATTTGCCGGGAGTACTTTTGGCCACACTTCTAATGGCCTTGGGGAGGATGCTCTAAGTACTTGGGACAGAAATCTAGGCAGATTTATTTGTAGTTCTCAGTGGCTTGCAGCTGGGGTGCAGGAGCTTCAAAACCCGCCCTTCTGGCTGATTAAGATGCACGACCAGACATGCTTTCCCAGTCAAGCGCTTATAAAAGCAGCTGGGTTTGCCTCTATTTAAGCAAGGCTGCTACGAGTGTATTTTTGTTAAAATACCCAGGGTCTGAGCCGTGGCGAGGAAGGACAAAAAGTTGAATCTGTCAGGCTCCGCCTGCGGCCGGTGCACCTCGGCACCTGATGCGGAGCGCCGGTGGAGCCAGTAGGACGAAGGCCATTCTGAACTTGGCATGATCTGTTCGGTACAGGGTTGATGATGTAGCAGTGTTTGGGTATAACCTCACGGCTGATAGACTAGGAAACGAAATCTTTTGAGGGGAGAGTCAGCCGAACAGCCCTCAAGAATCGCAAACTAATAGGGGAGGTTGATGGGTACACTAGTCCTAAATAGTAGCTCAATTGTCACTTGACAGGCACGTTGCTTGACAACTGCAATGTCTGTAGCAGCGCCTCTTTGAGTTTCCCGGTCCTCAATATTTGTATGGACGGAAAAAGCAATGGCTTGGACGAGATCACCAGGAAGTATGGTCGCAATCGCTGATACGAATCGGTACGATCCAGTTCACACACCACCATCGCAATTCGCACCGCTTGTAGTACGATAGCACAATGGGCAAGGATGACCAGTGCCATGTGATTTTTCTGCTCTAGTAGATTGATTTAGTCCTCCTCAACCAGAGGCATTAGGCGCAGTTGCAACTTCATTCCTGAAGCGGCGGCCAAAGCTGTCGTGCGACGAGCTAACTCTGACTTGACTCTGACATTAATATAGATAAGACACGTAATTGAGAAGATGCACAACGCTATCTCTATATGCGTGAAGATTTGTTAGGTATTTTGATTCATTGATCGATCGATTTACAAAACTGCATGCGCTGCAAGCAAATGGCCATTCGTTGTTGCCATGGTGCACCAAAGGGCCCATGCTTATGTCGACTTAAGCGGTTGATCGAGCAATCCTGAGAATACCCACAACCTCTCTTATCAACCTCCGTTCTGCTTCCAGGCCCAGTCCCGCAGCAACCTTACACACGTTCCTCATATCATCCTGCTCCGATATGAAATTCGGTCCCAGTGCCAAGCGGCAGCGTGAGCAGCAACAGCAGCAACAGCAGCAAAACGACTAAGATCTGCGCATCAACGATCGGATACGATCCTTTCAAGAACTGTCGTCCACAACAGTAATTAACCAGCCTACTGAGCACCAACTCGAGGAGCAAGAGATTGAAGACTGCAGATTACACCCGAGCCCCAGTGGCCCAGGAAGCGAGTAAAATTCACTTGCTCCTCCGACGCTTACTTCGAACATCCATTTACCGGGGATGGATTACTCCTTTCTCGCAGACGTCCTATCTCCTCACGTTCCTGCGGGGGTCGCAGATGTCCAACCCTGTGTACCGGCCAACGAAGGCGGCCTGTGCAACCTGTAGGTAGTGCTGGCTACGAACCTGTTCGTCTTGACTGAGATCCTCGGTCGAGATTGAGCAGAGCCAATGCAGAGCCGCAACTGTACATAGTTTATCTGTCGTAAAGACCATTATCTAGTTGCATGAACAAATTTATAACTTGACATAAATTACATGAATAGATCCATACCGTCACGTAAACTGCAAATGAACCAAATATACAGTGATAAATGATAAACGATAGTTCTCTTGCGTGAATGACCTGCTAGGAATATAGCATTTTGGCTGCTCAAGTTAGGCTGAGTTGTCGTTGACACGCTTGCGTTCGCGCTAAGAAAACGAGCTTGCTGCTTAGAGTCAGCCAAGAAAGATCAAGAGTGGGAAAGGGAACCCGGACTTGCGCAAATCTCATGTCTACGCGTCTCAATGACGAACAGTGGTCGCATGAGTACAGCACGAGAAAAGTACGCTCAGAAGCAGGACTCATGCCATGCCGGGCTACTTTAAGTGAGGCGATCAATCCAGCTTCTGGCCAGAGGGTGCGGAAACAGCACGTTCGCGATCGAGAACAAAAGTGGACCCCAGAGCTTGATCATGGACCGGACTGGACACCAGCCACCAGTCTCCAGCTGGCAGGTCCTGAGGGAAGAAGCCGCCGCGATGAGGGTCCAATGGCTGAAAAAGGACCCATCCATTTCTCAACCCTCATCGGCAGACTTCGTGCATGAGGCCATTTCCTGTCTTGTTTCTTTCTCGCTTTCTGTCGTGAGCGCATGTTGTCAACCAATGAAAGGCGCCAACTTTCAGAAGTGGCCTTAGTCTTAGTGACATAAACGGACACCCATACGTCATCCTGTAACGTAGCGCAATCTGGACAATCGAGTACACACAAATGGTTGCGAATGGATGAATACTGACCGTACTTATTTCTGATGGCGTGGATGTCCTAGGATCAATTTAGGGCTCTTGTTCGGACAAGGGTTCGGTTTAGTTCCCGCTTCCAATTGTCGACCAACAGTGGCTCTTTCACGTCCCACTCTAGCATTTGCTTTGAAGGCCGATTTCAGTGCACAACCCAAAGTGGCTATTGGCCCCAACAACTAGAAACAGCAGCCTCATTGAAGTGTGCTGACACACACACGTCATCCTGTACTGTAACGTAACGCTATCTGGACAATTGACTATCGAGGTGCACAACTCGTTGCGAACGGATCAACAATGACCGTAGTACTTGTGTTTGTCGCGTTTGGGCCAGTCTTGTTCCTTGATAGTGTGGATCGAATGAGGACTCTTGTTTAGACAAGGCTATTCGTTTGGTTCCCGCCTCCAAATGTCGACCAGGGCAGTAGTCCATAGGCTCGATTTACTCATCACCGAAAGGGTAGATCCCCCACATGAGTGTGGGACGCCATTTCAGGTCCCAGATGCCGTCGTTCATCCGCAGTCGATGGAACGCATATTTATTGCTAATAAAGCTGTTTGGGGGCCGTGTGTACGTTACAAATGCAGTGATGTAAAGTAACCAGCCAATACTCGGCCGATGGTGCTTTGTGGGCCTTTTGGGGAGATCGATTGCTGCAGCAAGGATACGCCCGCGTTGCTCCTACAAGGGCAACGCACATTGCGCTGGCACGGGCCATATTAGTAAGAGGTGGCCTGAAACGTTTTATGGGCCTGGCCATCGGTCCGCTCTTTAATCTGTCCCCGGTTATCGAACCCATGTCATTTTGAGCCGCGTGGAGCCTGTCGCCATTTTCAGCACCACCAAATTGGGGACGGTGTTAGCGACAGGTCGGTCGCGTCAAATGCGCGCAATCGCATGACCACTTTTCACCACTACACAGCAGCAACTGTCTGAACAATGCCTTCTCCCTTTCGATGCTGTCGAAAAATGGACATGCTTGGCAGCTGTCATGAACAAAAGCAGAATCTGAAATAACGGTTTCAAGATCCGATCAGCCGTTGATTGGGCTCAATGCTGACTACTGCTTGCCATTGTTGAATCCAAAGCTGGCCCTCAGCCCAACCTCCAAAAGCCATCTGCTGTCGAACGAACGAAAAGTACGAAACCAACGAAGCGGACGCAGGCGCATATAGTCACGACGACATCTAATTGCTCGCATTACTGAGGGAGCACAAATGTTACGGCTATTGATCTGGGCAACCACATGCGGCACCCATTTGAGTTCTACAGAATGAGGTTGAACAATAACACATGGAGCTTGCGAAAGACAGATTATGGGCATTTCATTTGTATGCGCTATGTAGATATGCTATGTAGGCCATGGACCAAGATCCAGGAATTGCGTCTTTGCATCGGCTCTGCTCCGTTTGGAGCAGGTTCGTAGCCGGCACCACGTACAGGTTGCAGAATCCGTCTTCGCCGACCTCATCCCAGCGATTATGTCCGGGGGAAGCGGGTGGTAACGCTGGCCTGCCACAGCGAAGAGAGTTTACATCTGGTAGGGCATGGTTACCTGGCAGATGGACACGAGTGTGAAGAAGAAAGGAAAGAAAAGGTTCAAGACAACCTGGGCGAGGACAGCTTATATAGATGAGTCTGGGTGGATCGAGCCATGTGATTCATATGATTCATGCGACCGAGCTATGGTCTTTCGTGTTTTGGCTAGAGTTGCATCTGGACCTGCCGGTCCGATTCTGGAAAAAAAGATGGCAGGTGTCATGTACTGTCAATTTTGGACTCCTACCGTCATTTGGAACTCTACGATGATCAGTCTGATCCAGGTACTGTACGTAAATGGATCGCAGACCGCTCGAACATCAGTAGCGACCCAGCTTCGGCCAATACAAGAATCGTTTGTACCAAGAACTGTTCTCTGCTACCCACGCCGCCATTGTTCCATTTCGTGCTCGCTGGGCGGTACATATGCGGCCATGGCCTTGGATGGGGTACTGTGCTGCATCCCTTTTGGTCCATTAGACGAAAGGGTGCAGTGCCGTACAGTACAGTACAGAGAGAATCAAAATCGGCTTCCTATCCTTCTCTCTCTTCTCTTCTATTTGAGCATGGACAGTCCAGTTCTGGCTCCCAAGCAGAAGTACACTTTTGAACCTCACTGGTACCATGGAACTTGAAAGCACATCTTTTCGGGGCATGAACGCATATATTCAGTGTCAAAAATCTGTCCTGGGTAACGTTCAATTTCCTTGTAGTAGTGGATAAATCAATAAATGCGAAAGAGCCTGGTTGAAGCTCACGCTCGTGGAACCAAAATTGACACGGTCCGAAAGAGTACTTGCAGCATACGTATAGGTCAGAGCCAGAAACGGACCGTTTATGCTTAGAAAAGAGAAAAGAGAGACAAAAGGAGGAAGGCGGCTTTGATTCTCTCTGTAACATCCAGTGGTCTAATGAGTATGCTGGTAGGCAAACACTTGGATGGGTTCTTCCTGGCTGTGCTGGTACTGTACAGTAGCGTGATGGGTTAATGGAAGGGTGTCCTTGGAGGCTTTGGTAGAGAACAGCCCACGGAAGTGGTGGAGCACTTGAGGCTGGCGGTCTTGGATGTGCTGGAAAGCACCTTCGATAAGATTGAACAAGTCCTTCAATCCAAGGATACGACTCTATATGAGGGGCATTGTGGCGCTTGTCGGAGAGAATTCACGAATGCAGATCTCCATAATGTATCAGAGGTTTGATTGCGTAAGTTGATCCTGTCCATATTCATGCCTTGACTGATCCTCTCCCAGCTGGTACGCTCGCGTTGCGCGTGGGCATCGCATGGTTTAGAGCAGTTGAAATACTGCCTTTGTGGTGTTAGTACTACAATTCATCCTGAGCGGGTTCTATCATCTTTTGCAGCTTGACGAGCTTTCCACATAGGGGAGTGTGTACATTGACAGTACTCAAGGCTCTTCTGGGACAGAACAATTCTTGTAATCCTTCGCACTCCTCTTCATGGCGGGGTGTATCATTATCAAGCTCGGTGTCGCCAAAGCGGGAATTGCCCCCGCATTTTTCGCGACGTTGTGCAAATGATTTTCATGCGCTTCAAGGGTAGGCCTCCGGCAAGCGCCGAAGCGGAGTCCCTGAAGAACCAGTCGGCAAGGTACACCGAGTTCTGTGTCCAGCGCATTATGTCAGGCTATGGGGACAACGGTTACACGGTACTTGAACTTCCTATACTCATCAACGCTTGGATCGAGTCAACATGCGAGTATATCTAGCGTCTACACCTCATCCAGACTTCGATGACGATCAGAGCGAGGTTTGATACTACCCTAGATTACGGTTCGTGGACACCGATACGATGGAGTTGGTCTCCCAAGTGTGAGCTAAGCGTTAGCAAGTATGGGTATTAGTCAATAAGTAGAGAATTGCCTCAAATAAGGCACCTTTGGGTTTGCTCTATTTGCGTTGCGAAACGAAGGCGACCGGCAAGGGAGAAATATTGCTTCGTTTCTGGCACCCAGAAGTCCATCAAGCGACACCTTATGTATGGTGAAGTCTAATACATTTATTTCGTTATGAGCGTCTTGCATGTCATTGACTGAACCGTTAGGTTGGTTGAGGAAGCTTATGCATGATAAGGTGTTCGATGGCTGATAGTCGAACCTGTGCGCTACGTCAGGCCTATATATATTCAAAAGGTTTGTGGCTTACTAGAAGTCCGATATAGCCGAAGGTAAATATACGCCAGGAACGAATAACTAAGCGTATGCTAATCGTCCTCTCTCCCTATGTAACTTCCTTTGGCTACTTGGTATGGCGTAACCTCCAATAGGGTCGATGTCATTGCTCCCAAGCTTCGATAAGTGCATTGCACTCGCATGCCTGCCAAACGTAGTGACCACCAGTCTTGCCCTTCCAACCTAAAGAGCTCTAGCATTCCAACCAAATTTCTCCTCCGACTCTCTCTTCGTCTGATACATACAGTCTTTTTCCCACCGGTATTTGACTCTTATCTGTAACAGCATCGCGACTCTCCGTAAGCGACGACCTCTTGCTAAACTTATCTCATCTTTCCGCTAACAGACTACTCGATATAAGTTTACATCAAGCTCTTACTCTACTCAGAACACACCCTCGCAATGACAGCTCAAGTTAACGGTGAGCCGCATCCATCCTCTGCAACACTGACAGTCAGTCAACTTCCACTCTTGTCGCTCCGAATTATCTGACTAACATCTTGCCTACAGCACATCACCAGTTACCCTGTTGTCCACCACGCCCTGTCACACTACAAGAGCAATCCTTACGGGAAGAAGTCGCTCGAGCTAGGCGACTCAGCTTACCAGACATTTGCGAAGCCCATTGTACCCTACCTGGCCAAGCCATACGAGTACATATCACCCTACGTCAAAAACGCCGACAGCTTCGGTGCAGGCGCCCTCACCAAGATCGATGAGAAGATCCTGATCCTGAAAGAGTCGACCGAGAGCATTCAGGCCAAGGGAAAGCAGGTCGTCTTTCACCCCATCGTCAAGATCAAGGAGATTACCGATCACCTGTTCAGCGTCTACAACTCCGAGGTGAAGCAGGTCGCCGGCCACGGCTTCGTTGCCACCAACAAGGCCCTCATCTCCACCGGGCTCGTCTTGGCAACGGAGGCCCTCAATTGGACTGGGTCCATTCTGCGAATGGCAAGGATTAAGCTAAGCAAGCTGGCAAGGAGCTAGTTAGTGAAGTTAAAAGGCGGTAATGCGGGGTTCTGCACGTAAGAAGACAGTGCCATAACCATGCGAGGCCCGTTTGATACGTTGGTTACGTTTGCGAGGAGTTGTATCCGGATGCAATTCATCCACGCTTTTAAAGTCTTCCGAAACTTGCTCCAAACCTAAACTCGAGGCCATTAGTATGTCCTTTTTGATGGTGCTCTTTCCTACGTTGTCAGTCGCAGGATTTGATGGACACGAGATTGGTTTCACCGCTCTCCTTAACCGCACGAATCCTAACATCCCGGCCCCATGGTCCCATGAGACCTGGACCCTTAAGCCCGTTCATGCATCCACATACTCTGCATATTCGACGAAATCGTCCTTACTCGTGTTCTCGTCGAAGAGAACTGAAGATATAGCGGCTCGAGCCAGCTTCCGAGTCCAATGCGACTCTTTATCTACTGTCCACATCACACCCAGTCTCATCCTCGGTGTTACGCATGACTGTTTGAAGTACATAGTAAAAGTGGGGTTGTCGTCTCCTTCCGCTTTGGCATTATTGGAAATCGTTCCGATCTCAACCTTGAACTTTACATTAGAGAGCCCCTCCGCGTATATTGGCCATATTGTTGGTGTGTTCCCATTTATGCTTCCTTTCATTTTCATCAAATCCTTGAAAAGGCTCTGTTCGTAGCCTTCATTCAATAGGATGTCTTTCGCCCCCGTTTTGGCCGCATCGTAGTCCGTGATCAAGTCCATGTCCAGGCGGATCAAAGTAGTGCCCAAGGTAAAAAAGCCTGGTATACACTACTAAAATTCTAGCGATTGCATATAGAACCATGGTAAATGAGCTTATATTGGCTAAGAAATCGATGAACTACCCTAATATTGGGGGGTTGATATACTCCATGGTGTTTTACAGTTCGGCGGTCTCGCTGCACTTCAGCCAAATGACAATTAGATACCCGAGTCATCCTGTTTATAATGTGCTTGAGCTAGTGAGTTGTAGAACGGCGCCCAGGTCTTGCACGTATCGTTTAGTTGGTCGACATCTGCTGCAATCAGGTCGGGTATCTCTGCAGGTCTCTCGACAAGCTGCAAAGCGAGGCCTTGACTTGCGTGAAAGGCAATGTGGCAATGAATGAGCCATAAGCTGTACCTATTAGTATGTTCCGTCGGGTGTTGATAGCTGAGATGCCTTACCCAGGGTTGTCTGTCTTGAAAGCAATCACTAGGTATCCACTACCATATAATGTCACCGTATCTCTTCGTGGCGGGTTCTTGGTGTTTAGCTTCACGCTAGAGTCGTATGCTGTTGAACCTTGGGCCAGAATGTAAAAGTCATGACCGTGAAGATGCATAGGATGCCAAATATCTCGTCCGGTCTGGTCCTCAAGGATCCAATACACCCATTCGTTGGTTGCTTCCACTGTCACTACATTACTCTCAGGAGGGAGTCTGGTGTCGCCTCTGTATATGTCCAATAGAGTAGGGTTCTGCCAATCGACGATCTGCGTCTTGGTGCGGAGCGTCCACTTGAAGGTAAGGTCCGGCTCCATATAAATGGTCATCCCTAATGTATCTTCGAAGTCACTGCTACCTACATTATGGGATACCAGGGCACTAGGCTCTCGTAAGGCTCGTCTCCACACGAGTTCGTGATCGTCTTGCTGACGCATGTGGTCGGAGTCTTATCGGTATCCGCACCGACGTATCGCACGATACCTCGAATATTGTTCTTATTGAGATTATCGTTCCTATTGCAGGCAGTCTGATAAATCGAACGAAGCCAGTAGTTCCCCACTGGTTGATCAGCCTCGACAATAACGTCATACCGCTCTCCACCAGATAAGATGATGTTGTCGGTCTCATATGGCTCGATTGGTACAAAATCATTTGCGATCACCCTGAGCTTGTGGCCGTCAATAGTGAACTTGAACCAACCGTCAATCTGGGTGCCTATGATACGAAGTCGATATTTCTTTCCCTTCTGAAAGTTGAGCTCAAATCGTTCAGCCGTGCCAATACAGGCCGGGTCACTGGATTGGCTGCAGTCATACGGATTCAGCCCGTTGATGAGGCCATTTTCGCCAACCGGTTGGACGTCAGCCGCATTTCTCTGCAGGTTTTCCCATATGGTGAAGACGCTGGTATGGGTCCAGTCTTGCAAAACGATTGGGCCAGCGTCAATATCGTAGTCTGCAGTTGCTGGCCCGTGAATGATAATCGGACCAAGGAGGCCTTCGCCGAGTTGTAAACTGAAGTGCGAATGGTACCACGAGGTTCCGTATTGCGCCGCGCGCCATCTGTAGGTCTTCGTCTGGCCATGCGCTATGGGACACTGAGTCACTCCTGGTACGCCTATGCCTGGGTCAGCTTGATTTTGCTCCAGGGATTGCATGTGCACTTACCGTCGCTAGCGACGCTGTTAAGCTGCCTGACACCATGCCAGTGCACTGAGGTGCTAGTTGTTTTCGTTTGTTAATGCTAGATCACCAGCGAATAAGGTTGGTTGAAGCGCTTGCTCACCCATTATCAGGTATGCCATTTGTGATATGGACGACAACCTCGTCTCCCCAGTCTGCTTCAATTGTCGGACCTGGCATCGAGCCATTGAAGACTAATACTTCGCGCTCGTATCCATCCGGCGCAAGTGTGGTCGATTCCGCAGTTAACCAATACTTTACTACTGGTTTAGTTATACGGCCATGTAAATGTCATTCGTCCTCGCATACCTCTCTCGTCACGCCCGTGTAAGGTGTCGTCACATAGTAATAAGTATCGATACTGTAACTCCCCCAGCAACTCCGCGATGTTGCTGTATTCACGCAAGAACTTGCGTCTGGTGCCAGCGTCTTTGGTGTTGGAAATGCATTGGGTGTTGACGATGATTCCCGTATGGAGAGTGCATCTGGTATTCTGACTGGGTTCATCACATACCGTGCGTGGACAAAAGATTCAAGGCCCAGAAGGGTAGCCAAAATAGCCAAAGCACGCATCGCACAGCTGAACGAATGAATGGACTACTTGAAATTATGAACCATGTCAAGACAAAAGTGCATGTTCGTTACTTTATCATCTCATAAATGAGTTGTAGCTCGGAACACGAGCCGTGCTAACCTCTTCATGATAACCCACGATATCTGCGAGGCCATACCACGTCGATCTCAGCTGTATCACACAAATAACCTTATCGCAACAAGGTACTTTCAGATGCTGAATAGCTTAGTGTCTTAGTGTCCGAGATACAAGCACATCGGAAAATTGGGCCGGGCGTGGCTTCTGGCGCCGGCCGGATTCGTCTAGAGCCCTCACCAGAACAGATATCCCAGATCCTGGATGCTACCCTTTGGGGTTAGAAGCGGCGATAGAAAAGTCAGTAGGCTTTGGATACAAAATACCCAACTAGTTCCTATTGCACAGTCAAGCGGGGATTTGCCGTGCCAATGTGCATGACTTTAGAGTTCACGGTAACCCAACTTGTGGGACCACTTGGAGTTGATTCTTACGATATCGTGATCATGTGGGCATGCCTTGCAGCGAAACAGTTGTATGGCTTTGATTGGGCCTTCGGGCATTCGCCGAGAAGAAAACCAATAGTACATCCGCGATCATTACACTGTGCACAATAGAGCACGGGCAGCGAAGTGCTGTGGACTCCTTCGTTTGGGCGCATGTTGAAGGGAGGTGGTTGGGCGTGGTGGCGCATCATACAATCGCCGAGCAAGCTGTCAATACCGAAGTTGGGTGCATGACAGCCGCAGGATGACTGAAATGTTGATTAACACTACAAGCATCAGATCTTATGTTAGTATTCCGTATGTAAGGTTAGTTACCTAAAATTTGGAAATGTCGCAGAGGTCTTTCAGCATGAAGCGTCAACATTAAGGTTTTGCACTGGTAGATCCTTCCTGAACTCAAGAATCGTACTCCGTCGGTCGCAATGGCATCAAATCCAGCGCAGAACACTGTCGTATTCGCAGTATTGTCACACTTGACGAACGTTAAGAGATAATCGCGGATGATGTTAGAAGTATCGATTTCGATCTGCGGGTTCTCGCCCATGTCTGTCATATATCTGCCGAAGATATTAACCAAGTCACTGAATGGAGTACGCTCAGCTACAGTACCGAATAGTGTTCAAACAATTCCTCTGATCCAAGATTGTGTCAGTCGATGTGATAAATGGGACTCTGGTCTCCTGCGGCGGAAGCTTGACTTACCAGCCAAGAGTCAACTACATGTTTTTAGGCCGATAGATCGTCGCAATACGTCATTGCCGTGATTGGGACATTTGCATGCCCCCAAGTCGGCAATCTATGCCGCTTAATTCCCTCCCGTAGGTATCTCTGTTACAGCATTCGAACGTACAGCAGAATCCTCGACCACATCCACCACCTCTCGTTCCGAGATAATGGGAAGATCTATTTAGTCGTTATATATAGCGCTCTCTACGTCCTCTAGGTTCGCTTCCGGGGGCTTCCGAAAAATATCTCCTTCAGAAGCTTCGCTTTATCTTCCGGCTCTATTGCTACATGTGATGATTTTGGATCCTTCAATGCAGGCGTGACCGTTGGTACTTGTTCTTTCCTTGTCCTAGCCCAATATCGCAGCGCTCCAGAGCGATTCCGGCGACTCCGAGGCCTTTCCACCCTGTCTCGTTGACTACGCCGGAGCGCTCTTTGGATGGCACTCCCTTTTTATTTCTCGAGGTGCGGTATGCTTCCCATGTTTCTTCTGTATTGTAACGCGTTCTTAAGAGGTAAATCAACCACCAATGCAATCGACTCGACATAGTCGGTTTGCCATGTTCTTTGCATCGTGACCTCTTGCGGCGCCATTTATTCTCTACTTTGACCGGTTACGAACGGTGGTTGATCTCTGATAGTTGTAGGTACAACTTCTTTAATATTTGTTCAAGAAGCAGTTGAGCATTCGGCCCAAAGAATTACGTAAGGACGTTACCATTTCGATCACCATCTCTTGGTGACTTGCGAGCTTCCTGGTGGAAGATAAATTTCATTGGTAACTATACTAGAACACTTTCCATGGCCACAGAGTATTTCTAATTGTACAATTTAAATAAATTCTTATGGTCATCTAGAAAACACTCCGCACACGAAGTATTTCGGATTATTTATATGTCCGTGCCCCGGTCACTCCAGCCCGTGAGACCTTGATCCTTCTAGCAAGTGACTTAAACATCTTCCTCATCGATTCAGTCATCTTCTGTACATTTAGACCGTTGATGGCAATGATAATGAAAGGTACTGTTTTACCCACTCGATCGGTCTCATGTCGATCAAGTATTTCGACATGAGCAAGAAGCGCACAGGATTTCACTGTATAACTAAGAATTGCCCACGATCAGCCCCTAATGTAGCTATGGGACTACTCCTTCCAATAGTTTGCTGAACTTATAGCATGAGCGAAAGTAAAGTCAGAATTCATCAAATATTGAATCAAACTTGCATCACAACAAGCGAAGGCGACAAGTGCCCGAAAGTCCATCTTAACTCCGAAGCAGCTATGACAGCAGCCATGCTTTGGCCAGCTGGTTTGTCTGGCCTGGAGCATCCAGCGTGCTCCAGCCGTCGTGGGTAATCCTCAGGTGTAGGCTGCTGAGCCTGGACTGCTGCGACAGGTCAGAAAATGGCTACCAATATCGGTTTGCGGATCATCTAGGAGACAAACATTACTGCTTAGACCCTGCAGGAGTTGGATCAACGACTAGAGGAGGTTGGCAAATAGCAGCTCAGACATCTTACAGGGCATCTGGTTGAGACTTTCCGGACGAGAGCCGATGATTATGATTGTGTATCGCGCCGCCCGTATTGTCCTTTATCGTTGCGCATTATTTGGAGATAATATGCACTGATCGAATGCCATATACATCTCCGCCTGCTACTGCAGACGGTCGCTCCGATCATCAGGTTCGATATCGATCGGTACAATTTTCGAACCAGTTCGTTCGGTATCAATCGGTAGGCTTGTGAAGCGATCGGATTCGGCATTAGCGACCTGACCGAAATACACAATCGACCTTGGGCCACCATCAACTACGATCCGTTCCGTCGCGTAAGGTGAGTCAGTAAAAAGGATACCTTAGGTTTCGAGACGTACAAAAACAGAGCGCATATGTATCGACAGCCAACTGACGAAGACGGTATAATTTGGTGGAGCACTCCCAACCTAATTGGCCGAAGACATAAGCGAAGCGAACCTACAATGTACTAGAATTTTAATGACCAAGTCGATTCGAAATCGAATCGAGTAGTTGTTTGGTACCGGTCGGGTGTGGCCCTTAAATGATTGATTGATTGATTGTATTTAACGTGGGGACCGTCCCTATTAGGGCAAACCACGCCTCCCAGAGCCATACATCGCAGGGTTGTGGAGGTGTCCGTCTATGTATATACATGTCAGAGCCGCTCACGTGCTAATCCACGCTATTGCGGTATCATGCTGGCGCTGCCAGATGATGTCAGTCAGTATCCAACCTCGATTCCGTCAGAAAACATCCCCGTCCATTGCTATCCGACCCATCAGTCCGCAGTCCTCCGGTTCGAACATCGTCCCAGTAGCCGTTCGATGTCCGTCGAATTGGTGGTGAAAGCAGGTGATGTTGCTTCCGCCGGCGGGGAAAAACCACCGAGGTGGAAAAACCCGCCAGAATTGGATATTTGAGGAAGACTCTTTGGTCATCGGGCTCTGCGATAGAGCCCATCTCACTGTCGTGTGCCTGTTGACGACTGGCACAAGCCACTGCTGAGTTGGTCCAGCTCTTAGGGGTCGCTGTATACTCAGCTTCCTCAAGATCCTCAGGTAACCATTGTGCTTGTAGTGTTGTTCCTTTTAGTATATACGTATTCGTTGTTTTCAACCCGATAGCGTTGATACTATGGATAACTAACATCCATCCAGTTGCTGGGTTTTTCGCAACGCGTGAACGACGTGACCTAGACGTCCCGATGACTGTGCCTTGACTTTGTTCGGCTTCTTGTACACCTGTTTCATCCATATTATAGATGTCCTTTGGTAGGATCTTATAGGTGTCTTTGACCTGTGATATATACGTGTAAAAGTCCTTTACGGTCTGTTTTTCAATGCCTTTGACCCTCTCAGCGTCAATTACACGTCCAACCTTAGTCTTCAAGTGTGGGTGGCGGCTAAGGAACTTGTATACCCAATTGTATCCAGGGGTGACCGTATCGTCGATTTCGCCGATACCAGTCATGATATTAGCCGCTATTTGTCGCACCATATTTAAGCCCGGAGCGCGTCCACACAATTCCTCATGTAAAATCCATTGCTCAAGCTCCATTTCTTGCAATTCAGATAGGTTCTTTGACGTTTCGTGGGCTGAGGAATGTGGTTGCGACCCGTTAAGTCGTCGCGACAAAGTAGACCGTACGATACCGAAAGCTTTGGCTGCGCGCGTTATCGTTTCGCCGTTTCGAACCAAACTAATTGCTTCTGCTATATCGCGTTCATTTAGTTTACCCATATTGAAAATATCAGGCCGATAGGATTACAATTGGTTGAGTTCTAGCATTTACAAGAAAAGCGTGGTGTTGTTAACGCGTCGGAAGATCGGCGTGCAAAAGGGGGTGCGTGCGAAAGTGGGTGGGCACGGTTAGTTGACTTTGATGTCTTGGAGACCTGCTCTAGAATTCAGAGCATAAATGGGGATCGTCCCATCCGTGCTGTGGTGCACAGTGCAACAAACTGTATACGCATATTCGAGACTGCCTCCAACTGTGTCGCCAATATCTTTCGCTAATAAATTACCAGCAGATGCCTATTGCACTTTAGCTTGTGGCTAGTACCATTTAGAAATCCTGCGTACCTTGTGGTGTTCCTGAGAATCATGTGTTTCTAAGAAGCTAGCTGCATCGGAATAACGTATTTCGATTCTCCGTATTGTTTGGGAGAAACGTCGGTCGAAAGTACAGGTCGGGAAAGAGTTGTGGAGCGAAACGGCGAAAGTCTTATGATCATTCCGAGCAAAACAAGGCATGTTATTGCATCGGCAGCCACTTGAATATATGAAGTCATGTTGGATTTCTTGGTCTTGAGAATCCAAGGGCCTTAGTGTTGTGAGGGTGAGCAAAGAAAACGAGGCTTGGCGGAAAGCGAGAAAAAAGGGATGAAGGAAGCTAGGTAAATGACCTGCGAACAACTCTGGGTATCCGTGGATATTTATAAATGCGATGTCGCTAAGCAGTCTCGGCTGTGACATAGATCATAATGACGCCGGCGATTCCGTCGTGGCTAGCATTTAAATCAACGTGCTAGTACTCTTCTTAGCTGCCTCTTCAGATGTCAAGCGTGGATAGTCGGACCATTAGACTTTCCGAGTCGATGGGGCTTACGCCTGCCGCGAAAGTTCGTTGCACCGTGACTTTTCGCGAAGATGTCGAGTATCCTGGCTATCTCCAGTAACACAGATGAGAATCTGAAGGCTGAGCTACACAACGGCACTTACTTCGACACACAGGACATTAGGATTCGCAGCGATCCAGACAAACTCCAAACATGCATTGCAAAATACATGGCCCAGCTCTGTATCAGAGACTTGCGTCCAGAAGTAGAGTTATGGGAACTCAGCAAATGGACGGGGTCTGCTCAACGATGTCTTCCGCATCTGGGAGTCGAGCTTCTGGTCCATGGCATCAATACGTGGCTGTATTTCTTCACTCGATCTGACCGACTATGGGGACGTGGATTGGCCAGTCTTTACTATGGTGATTGTTGGGAGGTGTCTCATTATCGCACTACGACATCTCCCCTAGATCGCGCTTTTAGTGGAGTATTAGCCTTCTGCTCTCTTGTGTGTAGTCATAAACATTCAACACCATTTGTTATGGGATGAACCCCTAGCGAGAGACTCAGGGGCCAAGGCCCCATCGTAGGACCCACAGAACCTACTAGACGCGCTAGAGGTTAGGAAGGAAGAAGTATATAAGAAAGAGTACACAAGAATGCAGAAGCTAAGAAAGACTTCTCTCCTCAGAGAAGTCTTCTTGTTCATAGAGATAATAGACGTCAGAGTGTAGCATTCGGTCTAGACCCATTACAGGTGTCAACTCTCGTAGATAATAAACAGGGTGATTGAGGCAACAACCCCTCACACATGTTCAACGAATCATTTCTCAATTTCTGGCCAGACAGGAGCATAGAGTCTTTCGTCTTTCGTAGTTCTCCTTGCCCAGGCGTTTACATGGTTTTCGCAGAGGATGTTCTGACAGTCACCTGCTTGTTTTGGGTCTTGCGAGCAACCGGGGTCGGCGCTGCAAAGACGTCTTCCCCAGGAAACTCGATTGATCAATTTCAACGAGCATTTTGAGGAGCCAGGCTCGGCTTCACCGACAGTCTCATGGCCGAATTCTAAGATTCAAGTCGCGGCTACAATGCACCTAATCTTATTTTCTTTTTAGCTTTTCCTCCAATGACAGTGGCAGTGTTCTCAACAGCTTCGCCTATGCCGACACTAAGTCCATGATACGTGAAGCTACGCGGTGCGTTGCCATGAGATTAGTGCATGGAGGAGGACGGCTCGATCTAATGGCCGTGGCAAACGGCATCTCGCAGACGGCTCCTTCATCTAGAAGGCCCTTGGTGCGTAAAGGGATTGATGTACTAAATGCTCCCAAGCCCAGCACAACGATTATTTCCTCACTAGAATCGGCGTCGCTTCTTGCTTCCAATGCTTGTATGATCTTCTGGCTTTAGCCATTCATTTTCTTTGCTTTCCTCTTCCCAGACCCGGATTGCCTCTGGGCTAACGTGCTGCTTGGGTTCCAGTGTAGGTTCCCATTCAATTAAATACCACACCTCCCCCCTCATTTGCTTCTCACCGATGATCTTGCACGGATATTCCCGGTCGGAAGTATCAAATCATAACTTGATGTGACGTCGGGCACTCGGCCATCCTTGCCAAGCCCTGGATCCTCGAGTAGCGCGTTCTCTGGGTCAGCGAGGCTAGTATCGGAGGATGTGGTCGTAATGCATTGTGAACTATCTGATATTAGAGACAATTAGCATGGCTCAAGTTTCTATTTCGGTAAGTGAATGAGCATACTCAAACTCTCTGGGTCTGCAGGGAAAGGGAAAATCGCCTGTTGCATAAACTTTTGTTTTGCAAAGGTCGTGCCATGAAAATGCTGACAATGGCCGTCAAGGGCACAGTTCCGCTCGCTGGTGTATAATATGACACTAACACTGGTCAAATATCGACGTCTTGTTTTAATAGTTTGGTATTTGAAATTCAAATATCACCTGCAAATTGCCTGTAGTTGTGTACGGGCAGTAAGAGGGAGGAATATGCTGGTAAAACTGTTTCCTCAACGCCAATATTGGTCCCAACCAGATACAAGGTTGTTCTGGATACGCTCCAATTCCACGCCATCGATACATGTACTTTATTGAGGTTCAGATACTTGTGAGGCAGCAATGGTCGTGACCAAAATGCTGCTCCTGCCGTATTTTATACGACTATCTGGAGCCAGCTTTCGAATCAATGCCAAGTAGTATCTAATATTGAGCCTAATCGTTGTTTATCACGTCTATAAATGGGTGTTTTAGAACCCGCTTCGGCCCATGACAACTTTCGAAAAAGAAATCTGGGAAGACGGGTCATGTCTCATAAGCCTTGGAGTCCTCGACAGGAGGAGACTCTAGAGTAGATATGGAACAAGAGCAGAGTTGGGAAGCTATAGCCAGGAGGCTGGGTCGAACGCCGGCAGGGGTGAGGCAGCACTGGTGGATGATGGAGCGCAGGTTCAGTCCGAGGAAACATCAAGTCCAGAGGCCATTAGACTGATACGTCTACACTTGACAGAATATGAAGAATTAGTGGCGGCGACGCCCATGAGTCGAGCCAGGTGCTGCGAGAGGGTATCAGCAGTAGAGCAATTGAGGCAGCAAATAAGGCTGCAGCGTTGCAAAGGTATGGTAGTCCATACTCAGTAGTGTATACAATTGTTACAGCTTTATAAATTAGAACTAGCGAAAAAAACGTCAACAATCCAGATCTGTAATGAGAAACTGCTTTCCTAGACTACGGTACGATAGGAGAAGGAAGTACTTATAGTGACATGTAAATACCGGGTTCGCCCACTTTACACAGACTCTGCACTAGTTTCCATCATACCCCCAGATCAAGATTACAGGAGTGACCTCTTACGGGGGCTACATTTTGTCTCGAATATTCAAAAGCATCTTCGATTACCGTGGGTTGCCACAACTGCAGACATGTGTCTTTGGCCATGTGTTGGATAATATTCCAGTCTTGTCAGTACAGTAGTCTAACAGTCAATCGGGTTCTATCAAGGTTCAAATCATCCGGTTGTGAAATGACAAAATATTATTCGGGTACAGACATGATCAAAATTAGCTCCCTTTTTTCCTCTCTCTCTTCTATTCTTTTAGCACGGACGATCCTATTATGGCCCCCGCCCTGAAGTATAGTACAAGTACTCTTCCGGACCATACCAGTCCTCAACTCATGCTCATGGTTTGATTAAGCTCTTCTGGCGTTATTATGCTCCATATATCATATAATGAGTCGGCATCATTAAAAGTGGACGATGAGCGCTGCATGTAGGCTTTTATAGCTAGAAAGAGGATATCTTCGGCCATCACGGTACTCCAAAGGTTCGAAAGTGTCCTTCCGACTGGGAGCCAGAACTGGACTGTCCGTGTTCAAAGAGAAGAGAAGAGAGATAAAAAGAGGAAGCCGAATTTGAATCTGTCGTACAGCACCAAAGGATGACTTCGGGTTTACTGATTGCTACACATTGCCGGCTATTTTGATCTTTTGTACTCTATACAGTTCACAAACGGATTCTATCACTCTGCGAAGCTAATCTTACTATTCTCTACTGTTATGGAACAAGCAGACAACGTCTTCGCCCTGACATCTACCGAGTACAAGTTCACGTCATCATTTGCATGAACAATAGATAAGATTCGAGTACATGCTTAGCTTAACTGCTAAGATTCCTCAATCATCCGTGTATGTCTGATATCCATCATTCATCAGCATATCTCGAGCTATCATTCTCCAATCATGGAGCAACACTGCAACAGACATCAAACAATCTGGGATGAGCCTCATATAGCACGACTGTTCTATTCCCAACCCAATCTCCTCCTCGTATCTACCCCCAGACCATCATTGCCTGACAACTCGGAGCGGCAATCCCATTTTGTCCACCAACCGTCTCATATGCCAGAGCCAACGGGAGCTCAGAGTGGGAAGGCTCTGATCCTAGCGCTGGATTCATCCGAGAAACATCTTACATTCCCAAGCCCTCTCTACGAAACAACAAGATCGGATAACAAAGAAAACCTCAGCGCTAAATGAAGTATTACTGAGTCATCAAAGGCATGCTACCAAATCCATAGACTGTGAGTGATTTATCTCCTGAAATCCCACAGGCCAACCGTGTTGACAATATACTACACAAACGCCATATGGCTTGTTTTCATGGGCATTGTTGACTAAGGTCACCATTAGACAAACAATTCTTTAGTACTGCACACCATTCCGCGGCCGAATTCAGTTACAGATCTTGATGTGCTGGGTGGCGTCATGCTTGCGTCTAATCCTGCCTGGCTCCTCAAGTTATAGCATAGTAGTGCGGGTAACGAGCGAGGATAACCTCGAGTCGTAGTGTACAGTAGTATCACTTTTATCTAGGAGAACTACAGTCATGGTTGTGGGCGTCGACGGCAAGCTGACACAGCTCGTCCTCCTGTTCGACTGCGGCTCTCTCGCCATTAGGAAGTGTTACATCGTGCGACGGTGCCGGCTAGGCAACGAAAGATCCCCCTTATGTAGGTGGCGGTTACTCATTTTGTTGCGGAAATTTGAGTGTTGATATCAAAGGATTGAGTAGTACGTGGAAGGCAGCGTCAAAGAGAAGATATTGGAAGGTAGAACTGAGCAGTTACCAAAATGAAGAGACGGCCCTTTTATGAGATGTTGGAGGGGGCTGTTACGGGCTATGGGCCGCGTATCAGTTGTCAGCTAAAGCCTTCAACCATGAGCGCGACCATGAAGCTCAAACCCGACTAGCTTATAGGCATGGCTGCGGCGCGCACATAAGGTTCGACGGACTGGCGAAGTGGCGAATCTGCAACTACAAATTGTGCCATCATATGGATGAAAGATTGTGATTCTCTTCTTTTTCAAGCTTTAGATGCTCGTCAACAGGATAGTCAATTGAAACGTATATTGACTGCGCCTCTCACATTAGTAGCTTTAGTAGGCATGATATAATACTAAAAGCGTAGCTCAAATAGTAGCATTTCGTCCAAAATCTAATCTAGACCATCACCCGACTTGACCCAACATTCTCACTGAATTTTCCGTCCATAATAAGGCCTCTACCACCACGCGATGACGGTATAATGAGGCCTTCGCGCATGTCAGCATGCAGCGCACAGGCGATGCAGCAATCCATCTAGTCGATGGCGCCGGCAAGGATGCAGGTACAGACCCTGGCGCTTACCCCGCAGCACCAAGAGAAGAGACAAGGGACAAGAAAAAAAGCACAAGATGCGGAGAGGGAGACAGAAGGAAGTGGGAAGGACAAGAGAAGGAAGAAAAGACAAGAGAAGGAAGAAAAGACAAGAGAAGGGAGAAAAGGCAAGAGAGGGGAGAGGTGCAGGGCGGCATTCGCCTGACGAAGGGGCTGACAAACCCTTTGTTCTTCTTCTTGGCTCCCTTTGTTTGTTCGAGAGCCAGAAATGGACATCGACATCTGGCTCAAACAAGTCTTGTGGATCCTAGCCCGACCAAAAGCACCAGAAGCAGAGACGGTATCAGAAGCCCACTCAAGGCCGCGAAGCAGCAAGACGAGGCGAACAGTTCTTCTGTATCAAGCGCTGTATGTTCTTTGCCGCGAATAAAGCAACCTCGTCGCTGCGACACGCTTCCACCTAGACGAGCCGACCAACCGTTCGTCCGTGACAAAGCGATAGCTGTCGACCTAGCTAAACACGAAATCGAGTCAACAAAGGAGCGAACGGACTGACGAAGTAGTGAGTCAACGAACAATCGAGGACTCGTGCATGAATCCAAACAAGCTCACTTACTGCGCCGGGGCATGTCGGTGGACTAGTCAACACACAGAATAAAAGTATCGAGCAAGAAGAAGAAGTAGGTGGATGACAAAGGCAATAGCAGACATGACGGATCTGACAAACATGGACACAAGTGACGGAGAGCTCTACCGTCGGATCCGCCTGTCCCAGCGGGAAGGCAGGTCCGATGTCGAGTCAGAATGTCGATCTCAGCTGAGCTAGCACAAGAAGCGATGTCTGAACCAGTTGCTGAGGCACGAGCCGACTGCGAGAGGTTTTCGACGAGCTCCTGGACCTTCCGGGTCTTTGGCACGATATGAAGCTGAGCATCATCAACAAGGTTATGAGCATGAAATGTGACGAGGTGGGCCGAGCAAAGACTGTCTCGCAGGCTGTCTGGTGAACTGATGATGCGGACAGGAGCTCCTGAGGTATCTGGAACATATCCACGCGGTTTGGAAGAAGATCTTGGGCGCGAGCGCTGTGGTGATGGAAAATACGGACACCGAGACTGTACTAGCCGTGGAGCTGGCATGTCCAAGATACTCGAGCACGGACAGGCGGAAACTACGACTTCTCCTCGAGAAAGGTCAGATCTTCCGGGGTCTTGGCCATCAGGAGCGGGAAGGGGACTGGGGAATCCTCATGTAGATAGACTGCATCGTTCCCTCCCTGCGCTCGTTCTTTGCGGATGCCATGTATCTCTGGCCCTGTGCGAATAACATCCGGCACGTCATTGGCCTTCCCGGGCGTAGCGAGACGACGATCTACCATGCCCTGCAACAATGTTTTCGCCAAGAGGATGACGAGCACGGGAAGAGGAGCCAGCTGGTAGTTGAGAAGGAATAAGCAATCTTTGATACCAGACCGGCGCCTTCGACTCCGGGAGAGATCTTCAGCCTCGGCCGGCGGCAGCTCTGGCTGTATGCGATGAGGCACTTTGCCCAGGTGGCGGCAGGGTTGATATACACTACACCATGTGTACACTGGTGTACACGGGTGTGATTACATAATCGAATACACCTATTACATATTTTTCTGGCATGTAGCTCCACCTTATCCATATTTTGCTCTGGTGTGGTGTGGTGTGGTGGTTTTAGGTGTATTATATGTGGGGCCATTTCTGGGGTACAGTGACATGGCCTGAAGACCCCTGGCAAATAAGGAGTACGTACATACACCTCGGTATGTCTTGCCATATAACTCTATGTACTTTCTATCTGACCAAGCTGGTCATTAAGATTTCCCCTATTAAGTGAGTTCCGACCTCCTAACGGCGCGTCCTAATCTTTTAAGACCTCTTTTGTAACAATCAGAGGTTCTACTACTTCATACCGACTCTTAAGCTGCTTATGTGTATTCACTACTATGAGTGGCCATATTGAGCGTCTTGGCCCGTCACCAACACTATCGCCACCTCCTGGAACTTCTCATGACCTTGAACAACGCCTTTTTCGACACTTTTCCGGCTGGTTGTGGTCAGAACGGTCGAGGGATCGACGATCGTGGGCATGGCAGTATGGCTTCGATATTCAGTGTGAATCTGAACGCCGATGGGTCTGTAGGCCATGCCTCGAAAAGCGAGACCCTAAACCAAAAAGCTTTTCCACTGGAGGCTTACAGAATGCCTTAGACCACCTATATCTCGGCCATCATATCTTTGCTCCAGAGGGCAAGACAAAATCGGATGCCGAGCGACGCGACGAGAGGAGAGGGAAAAAGAAGACGTATCGTTCGATTGCCAACATGCTCAACCTTGACCCTAGTAAGCCGACGGAGCAGGTTTTCGCCAACAACATGATCAAACGTTTCGATTCTTCTCATTTCCAACGGTTGCTGGTGGAGTGGATTGTCGACGCGAACCTCCCTTTCAATACTATAGACAACGCGAGACTACGGGATATCTTCGACTACTTAAATCCATCCGTCGCTATTCGGGATGCCTGCCCTGGTCGGCTAAAACTCAAGGAATTGGTCGTTACAGAATACTACAAGCATCGCGAGGTCGTTCTTGAGGCTCTACAGAACGCTCCAGGTCGCATCCATATCGCCTTCGATGGCTGGAGAGCTCCGAACCGCCGTAATCTTTACGGAATTGCTGCTTTCTTCAGAGATGAGCACACAAATCGGCCGAGAAAGATCATCCTTGACGTGCCAGAAGTTGTAGGTAGACACTTTGGATCAACAATAGCCGGCTATATCACTCGTTCCATCGACGCATATGGGATCGGCGACAAGCTTGGTTATTTCACCCTCGACAATGCTGCTAACAACGACACCGCTATGGACGAGATTGGCAATTATTTTGGCTTCAACGGAAGACAGCGAAGGTGCCGCTGCTTTGGCCACTGCCTGAACATATCGGCGAAGGCTCTGCTCTTCGGTAGAGATGTTGAGGCCTTTGAGGCAGAGTTAAACTCTATCGAAACATTATCTGAGGCCGAATTCCACGCCTGGCGCAAAAGAGGCCCGGTTGGCAAACTGCATAATTTAGTGGTCACCATCCATCGAACTGATTACTTGACTGACTTGCTCTTATCACTTCAGGCCGACGAGGAACGTGCCGTTCTTGTTGTTCTTGATAATGACACACGCTGGCTTTCGCAGTATTACATGATCAAACGCGCCTCAAGGCTCCGCCACTGGATTGAGATGGTTGTCATCAGATATCGCCAGATGTGGGAGAACGAGAACCGCAGCAAGCGTACGGGCCAAGTGCTTGCTTCAGCAAGGTTGCCACTTATTCTGCAGGATGAGAATCAGTTAACGGAAAACGATTGGACTGTGCTGGGCCACTTCTCAGACCTCCTTCAGCATTATGAGAACACGCTCAAGCAGCTCGAAGGCGACGGTCAGATTGGCGAGCGGTTGAGAGGTTTTACAGGCTCATACGGTAACATATGGCAAGTTGTTCAGGCTTATGAGTATCTTCTTCACCACCTTGAAAACGTATAAAGTCATGGCTGATGATTTTCCCGATCCAACACAATTTAAAATTGGCGTAAATATGGCGTGGACCAAGCTTGATGCGTATTGCAACACGCTCGACGAGACGCCGGTGTATTATGCCGCACTAGCATTACATCCGGCTTACCGGTGGGACTGGTTCGAGAGCCGTTGGGAACATCGAACCGATTGGGTGACGGCTGCTAGATCGATGGTCGATGAGATCTGGCGCACAGAATACCGGAGCCGTAAGATCACTGCCGACGCTGTCATCTCCTATTCTGCCTCCACTGCGCCTCAGAAGCATTATGGCAACGCGTTCGAGCAGTTTTGTGAAGAAGCCAGATCGAAGTCAAAGCGACCTTATTGCGACTCGGCAGATGAGTATGTGTTGTGGATGGCGCAACGGGAAGAAGGAGACGAAGCCGTGGATGACCCTATTGCGTATTGGCATGACCGGCGTAACAAATGTCCAAGACTCTCAATGATGGCTCTTGATATCTTTACCGTTCAGTCAATGTCGGCAGAGTGCGAGCGCTTATTCTCGGTGGCAAGGAATATGGTCACACAACTACGCAACAGGTTGGATGTCGTGATCGTTGCTATCTGTATGGTATTGCGCTCGTGGTACCGCTCGGGGCTCGTTGCTGATATTAATCCTTTTTTCCTATCTGTCTTAGAAGACGATGAGCGGCAGAGATTGGCTTCCATGGCGGGGACTAACGCCGTTGAACAAGTTACTTCGTGGCTGAATAATGATGATGCTGCTGAGCCCACATGATTATACATCGCATTTGTCTGGATTAGTGTTACAGGGGTTTCGTGTACACCGATGTACACCACATACACGAGACTGGCCCATGTATTACAAACACGACGGGTTTCTATACTAATTTTACACCTTATCCACCAAGCGCCATGGTGTGGTGGGGTGGGGTGTATAACAACCCTGGGTGGCGGCCCCGTGACCAGCTCGGAGGAATGGCGTGTGGCCAATGTCGGACCAGAGAGAGCCGACGAAAGCGTCCTATGCGGCTTTGCTTCCCTGGCCTACCGGTTAGGATTTCGAAACGATCATATTCTGGACTTCCAGCAGCGGTCTCCAGACAGGGAGATTGCACGTATGGCCTTGCTACAGGCACGGAAACCTGGCATGTATGAGTATGATGGTGATTCTTTCGAGTCGTACCTCGATCAGAGCGAGAAGATGATGAACACTGCGAAACCGTGCAGGAGCGGGCCGCTGGACGAGACCCAGGCTTGGAGGGATGGTGTGGAAACCCAAATCGGTGTGGGGGTCCGGGCAGCAACGACCACCAGCTCGACAAGAAACACCTTTTTCTCGATACAATGACGCAATCACACGGTCCGGTACAAGGTCTTGACTGCATCCTGATACTTCACTATCATCCTCCGACGTTTCCCATTCCGCTTCTAGTTGTGCACGCGCATCACCAAGCAAGTCTATTGAGATCTGCCGATCAGGATCGTCTTCGGCGTAGAGTTGACTTTCGACTGACACGACGTGTTTTAGAAGGTCAATAGCCTCTTGAGCGAGCCCATCCTTAAGGTATGCACTGGCAAGAGCGTGCTCCGATCCCAGTCGAGAGTGATCCTTCTCATCCAGAGTCTCCCTCCGCACTGCCACCACACGCTTATATATCGCAATCGCTTTTTTGATCCGCCGGTCGTCGAGGTATGCACCAGCGAGCCAGCTCTTAATGTTTAGTTGAGAACTATTTTCTCCCCGCACTTCTTTACTTCGCCACCCGCACACCTTTTTAAAGCACGGTACTGCTTTTTTTTGAATCGTCGGTCTGTATATAAACATCTTCCAACCTTCGATAAAAGATTGTATCGATATCTTCTGCCTCGTGCTCCTCCCTTCCGTAGAGCAGCCGTAATATATAAGGTATATACTCTCGCCATAATTCACGATTAACAGTATTGTGAGAAGGGAAAATGTCCGCAGCATGGCTTGTCGCATCTTCGACTACTTGTGCCTCCGACCCTGCCTCTCCGTCCATCCCCGTGTCGCTATATGCACGGGACTGTGCATATCGAACATATCGCTGTCTCCGCGCCGGACCAGGAACGAGTACCCATAAAGCTTACCGATAGCTGACTCCAGCTCTTCCGACCCTGATGGCCACTCTAACTCCGACTTTGGCCCCGGCAGCATCGATTGCGGTATCGCCTTCGGCTCGATAGAAGACATAAACGATAACAGTTCGATAGCCGTCTTGTTCGATTTTTCGATCTGCTTAAACAACACCAGCCAAGTCGTCGCCACCGCGTTTCGCGACTCCCGATACCGAGTGTTATCTCTGAACGCTCGTCTGAGTACTCTGGCAGCATCCTTCTCAACACCTCGCAAGAGGCTCAATACTTGCGGATAGGCGCCTTGTTCAAGTTGAGATAGGCCGCTGCCTACGTGATGGCGAGTGGGAGATAAGTGAGATAGTCGAGAAGCTCTGGTATTAATGCTTGCAACATTTGTTTCTGAGGTAACGACTTCTTGAGAAGGTGCGTCGCCTCTTCGCGACTCATTTGCTCGATGTCGGCTTGCGCAAACTCCACCGCGACCTGTCTCGATCGTGTCGTTAACAGAATTAGTCCGTGGTCGCTTCTAGGCAGAAAATCCTCGATGCCAGGCCCCTCGCCCGATCCGAACACCAGCTCCTGGTCATCAGCGTTGTCTACGACCATCAGCCATCTGCCAGCCTCCTCCGAGCTGAGATATTAGTAAATGAGTTCCTTAACGTCCTCCCCGTCGCCTTTCTTTTGCACCCCAAGCTTCTTGGCGATCTTGATGTATGCCTGCTTTATACTGTTTTTACTTAAGATTAGCACCTAGAAGATCGAGTACTCTGGCCGCTTCTTTTTGACTCCGTACGCCAACTGCAGGGCGATCTGCGTTTTGCCGACCCGCCTAGTCTCACCAGCGCCGTCCTTTGGCATAGCTCTTCGCCGAACAACTTCTTTTCGAGCATGTCTAGTACGGCGGTGCGACCAGTAAACCTAGAGTTCTTGGCGAGTGGGTTGTGGTGACACGGCTGACGGAAACTTTCTATTTCGCTATTAACAAATTGTCTTATCCTACTATAATAAGAATAAAAGTATGCTAATGCTCTACTCACGATCCGGGTTGATACCTTCCGTAGCCATTCTTTGCTCTGCCCCGGTACGACACCGTGTCCGAATCGAAAACTTGGCGTATTAGGCTGGTCCGAATCGTGCGGCAGGATGACATCTAGCACCGCTTGAACATACGACGCCGCCATCGCTGCCGCATACGGCTGCCACTCCTTGTTTTTGTATTTATCTCCATAGTCGCACACCCCTCGGATCACACCGACGGGGATGCGGCTCATGGTCCCTGCCGCCTCCATCTCCACCCCGATCACTCCATACTTGTCTCTCAGCTCGTCTCTCCTCCGCGCGTTTTTTAGCAGTTTCTCGCCCGACCTGATCGGCCCATACCATACTCGAGTACGTCTTGTGTCTGGTCGTCGGGCGCGGTCGGCCACTTGTTCTGTTCCGTCGTCGTTCTCAAATATAGTTGGTCGCAGTCCTGACCTGGATCGGCAAACGTGCCAGTCGCATGTTCTTTGTCGCGGATAGTCTCGTAGAAGGGCAAGAACTCCTCGGCGTTATAAGGTGCCTTAAACTTAATACTGCCGATCGCTGACCGGATGATCGGCTCCGTCGTCGCCAGTGCGTGTCCCCGTCGAAGTGGCTCGAACCCGTCTTCGGTTTCTTTGCCCAAATCGTACGCAACTAGTCCCGCGCTCTCGCCCTCAGGAAGACCCACCAGCACGTCGCCTAGTCGGATATCTCGTGGTGGTGTGCGGAATAGGTCAGACAGCCCTGCTGCCACACCAACGAGTAGTCCGAACCAAGGATTTGGAAAGAACTTCTTGACCTGGCTCGCCAGCGCCTCCGCCGACCCCGTCCCGTACTTCTGGCCCGCCGGCAGTGCCGCTATGACGACGTTGTGCTCGCACATGCCGCCTGCGTGTAACACATAGTTGTCGCCTCGGCCCACTGGAAACCGTCCGCGGTGTCGCTGCCTGGGCCTCGATCTCGAGCGGGGCGATCCAGGCTACCGTGTAGTCGTGAGGGTCGAGCGTGGCTGTTCGTCTCGAATGGTCTCTCTGTGTTGCCTGCATGTCGCAATCGCAATCGCAAGCCCCGTCTCATAAACTATGAAGACCTGTCTTGTGCAGGATGGCTTTGTCGCTTATAATACTGTTACTGGCTTCGGTGGCTCGTGCGATTCAATCGAGCTGCTCATATTGCTGTCGTCGCTGTCGTCTAGGAGGACATGTCGAGAGCATCGTGCTGCTGAAGAAGGCGCAGTCGCCAGTCAGCAACCCCGCATGCACAGGACGAATCTGGCGGCTCCAGACGTCCAATCATCCTGTTCGCATCGCAGGAGGCTGGAGGCGCGTCGCTGTAATGTAGCAGGACAGCAAAAGTCGGTTGTTACTCCTCTGAAAGAATTTTGCTGGAAGAATTATCTGCAAAGATTGCTTCTACCCTCATTCACCTACGTTCAACATAGGAGTGTCAAGGGCACGTAAACGATGCTATAGCAGTCAGAAATGCTGTAGAGTTTCAAATAATGCACCTAAGGCAAGCAATTCTTATGTTCCCGTCCCCATCCCGCCTTTTCCTGATTCATTCCTTAGCGCTCGATTGTGCATTGACCAGCACCTGGCTCAATATGCGATGATGATAGAGCTAATGGCGCGCAAACGACTATCCACAAAGAGTGATATATACTAGAGAATACCGAACTTGCAGATGTTCTAATCATTTCAAAGAACCCAGTTTCTTAGAGCTTGACTAGCTCCGTGCCGTAAAGGGCGGTAGTCGCGCCGATAGACGGTCGGGTACGGCCCTAACAAGACCCTTGGGTCTCCCGGCTTAGTCCTTGGGTGTTGTGGGCTTAGAGAGTTGGAGCTCCGCTTGGTTGTTGATCAGATGCAAACAAAGATGTCCGCATATGTTCGAGCTTAGGTCTGTCTCTTTCTCGATATTCAAACGAGGGATGCCGACCCTTTGTATCGAGACAAAGTCCGTGACACAGCTTAGGCATTGAACCACATCTTAGCAACCCGGAACGCTCTGGCGTAGTCGCTTAAGTCCAAGTAGTATCTCCATGGACTGAGTTGGACATGTAGGGCGTTGCATTCCCTGTGGAAAATGATCGGCCCTTCACGACCGTTCTTATTACCCTCCTTCAACAACCACGTACTATAGAACATGGCAGCACAAATACTAATGAACGACACCAGAGAAAGGAGAGTGTTCGGGGCCAGGTTGAATCTTTGCAGATCGTTTTTCCTATCCTCCCTCACGGGCACACTGAAACATGAACTGATAATATCGTGCAACCAGACTATGAAAGCAAAGATAAACGGAAGTAAAGCTGCAACCGTCCAGAGTAGAAAGAAGAAGAAAAGTGTGAATCGGCCCTCGAATGGGAAGTTGGTGTCGTAAGAGAAGTAGCCACTTTTGAAGAATACGTTTTGCGAACAAAGCTCTCCTGTTGTACACGGAGTGGATCCGGGAGCATCTGGAATCTGGGACGCAAGGCAGTCGTAGCTTTGCAATGCGGAGGCTTTACCCAACAGGTCGCCTCGGTAGACGTAAAGGACGTACACACTAGCAATCCACTGTAGTACAGCCATAATGTTCAAGTTCCACGTCAGTGCGCGTTTCGTACGACAGCCCCCGGGAAGCGCACAGTAGTAAGGATGATATTGGATAAGTCTTCCAAGCTTCCATGTGGTCACCCAGGAAGTTATGGCTATTGTAGCCGACTTCGTTGCGTCTGAGGCAAACTCGCCAAACGAAACCCACCACCAGATAATCGGACCACAGACGTCATAAGCAAGGAACATCCAATCGATCCACGATATATCTTTTGATCCCTTACAAGATTTGTGCTTGGTTTGGGATGATTTGGCGAGTTGTGTCCCGCTATGCCATAAAGCGGTAATTGAAGTGACCAATATGGTCCACCAGCAGGCGATGCCTGGCAGGTTCGTAGCCGAAAGACGTGCTGTGGACGGGATAATCTTGAAGCCGTTAAAGCAGTTAACTATCTGGCACCAGTCGTGTGTATTGCTCACGTAGCCAAATCCTTCGGCTGCGTAGATTTCAGGGAGGGATTTGGGGCCGCTCAATTCCGCTAATAAATGCGTACAGTTATAAGTGTCAGCCAGTGGACTGTAGCACTTCTTGAAACCACTGTTCTTGTACAGCGCAAAATCCGAGGTCTCCGGCTCGGAGCTGGTATTGTTGGTTGTTACAGATCGGGCAATGACAGCGACCATAACGCCAAGAGAAAAGACCGCCAGCACCAAACCAATACCAACAACGATTAGTACGGACAACCTTCCAAACTTCCATTGAAGCCAGGCAGGTTGCCTGGGGATTTTGTATTTGATGGGTTCGGCTTGTGAGAGATTAATACTCTGTTTTTCTTCGGCCAAAGGTGGGAGTAACATACGGTAGTCTTGATCCTCTAGTGCGCCATACTCGAATTCGTCTCTGTGTTGCCTCGATATCGGCGTATCCTGCGGCATATAATGTCCGCTTGAGGGGTCTCCGGCCATACTTAAGTTTAGATAAAGTAAGATGGTGGTGAGTATGTGCAAGGTGCAGGTATGTAGTCAGGTTCGTCAGGATTCTTGCTGGCAGAAAGAGTTCAGCAAGTTGGGTGCTCGAGCGGGCTAGGCCGGTGGCCGCTTCTGAAATCAACAAGAGAAGTTCAGCTCTAGTTACTACGTGAAGTCGTAGTTGTGGTAGGCAGTTTGAAACAATTATGTTGCACCAACGGCTTAATGATTTGGAAATTTTCAGAGGTTTTGAAAGTGTTCATATCTTTCAATGGCTGCTGAGACGTCGGTACGTGCTTGGCAGGGCAGTTTCGTGAGTTCTACTACTTCAGTGCCATTGGGGGCGTCTTCCTGCAGAGGGAAGTAGAACGACACAACCAACATTCTATTGGCCAGCAACCAAGAAGCGAGGCTTTGCTGTCCAGTTGAGAAAAGCGTGCATGCAAATGCAGCTTCGGTCAACCAGTCAGCAAAAGTTTAACGCACCGCTCGTTTGCATCTGCGCCTCTGAGCGAGCCACATGTTGAGTGCCTGTTCTTGGACCCGCAAATCGGGTCGGGAGACCATATACCCCGAACAGAGCAAATGAGTCGTCCACCAGCGGACTGCAAGGGTCTGCTGCGGAAATCTGCGCAGTCTCGCAATCTATTGCCCTCAAAGGAAACACGTTACCCATTGGCCCCTGTTGCGGCCGACGGCTTTTAGCAAGACTTGCCTGTGTGCATAGCCACGCATTACCTGTATGGTCACAGCCCTATAGTTGCTGTGTGCAGGCGAAATGTGTGTCTTCCTAGTGAATATGTTCCGCCCCTGTGTCAGGCATCAATTAGGCTTCGAAGGACATTGCAGGACGATGCTTATGGTGAATGGCGGCAATACACTAACAGGTTGTACTGTATCGGTTATAACATTTGCGTGCCGAATAAATATTAATATCTACCGCCGGTCCATGGGTTCTGCTTCGTCCCCCTGGGCTGTTTACTACTCATTCTCCTCTCATTTCATTTCTTCAATTAGCAATGTATAATTTCAAGGTAGCTTAATACCAAACTTTCAATCACGTTTTTGGATAGCTAACTGCTATGGTTTTACTTTACAGGCCTCTACTAAAAATCTGAGAATTGGGACACGCGTCACACATACTTTCCTCGGTGGCACTTGGGAGATTATTGCTTTCGTAGCCGGCAATAGACTGCAAATCCGAGACTTGTTCGCGGCTCGAACAATTAACGTTACAAATGAAGAAGTTCGTCTAGTATGATTGAGCTTAGCTTTCGCCAAGAGGATAAATCACAGTTATAACGATTCGTTGGGAATAGCGATCGTGTGTAGCTGCGAAGGGGGGTCAGTGAATCTCGATGAGCCAATAATGCGGGGGACAAGGAATCACTGCTTAACCGTGGTCTTCATCAACGGGCCTAAATATACCCCGTCAAACTTGACTTGAATTACTTATACCGCAAAAGCTTTTGATAGAAATTAATGCTTTGTGCGTAAACGCATGTCTGAGAAGAATAATCATTAGCAATAGGATTTCAGCATCAGGACCGTGACAATAGCAAGCCTCTTCTACTTGACCCACATCCTAAAGCCAACCAGCATAATTAGGATCATGGCTGGAAATAGCAAACAAAACGCTCTGGAGCTAAGCCAGACGTTTGCGGAGCCGCGGGCATGGTGTCCACTGTGGGCTCAGCCGTGTGCCGGTCCACAGCAAAATTGGCCCCAGCTCAAGGCCAGTAACTACAAGGAAAGGTTAAAGAGAGGGAGAAACGTTGTAATACATTATAAATATAGACTTTGTTAGGAGAGGCCGTATGCTTCAAGGTCGATGGTCAGCAGCGGAAGAGTTGTCTGTGTACATTGAACAAGAAACACGACAGGAGCGGCGCCACTTTGAGTAAAATATGGCGGACTTTGGTGAAAGCTGGCTTAAGTAGATATTATTGTCCAAAGCCGGGGCTAAATACTTGGCAAGACTTTGGGGGTGTTGCATATTTTTTGCCGCGTACTGTAGCTAAAACCTGGAAAATGGCGGGGCAGCCTTATCTGCAGCTTTGCCCACTTCAGGAGCGTGGATGTTTGCCAAGCCAATCTCATCCATCAAAAAGTGAATCTAGTTCGGCAGGCTGGGATAGGCTGACACCAGTGCATCAATGAAGGTGAGGCTTCGGCGTAAAGTCTGATGCGTATATTTTGACGGCGTCGGACCGCCCAATTGAAATTCGCTCGCGCTCAAATATTATGTAATTGGTGACAGTATGTTGATTTTCCAACCATGCCGGCTGACACAATTCTACGCAAAGGGATAGTCGCGCAGAGTAGATGGCCGCCAGAAAGCGTGGTGCCTCAAATGTGTAAAGCTCGGTATATGCCGAGTCCGATTTTGTGAAATCGGGGAGTAGATGTATGGAAAATGCTGCAGTGCCAAGCCCAATTTCATGCATTCTGAGGTAGCCCACTGATTTACTCTATGCGGCAGGCTGAAAGACCTCCCATCTCACCCTAAATGCCAAGCAGATGTTGCCTTGGCTGCCTCCCTTTATGGAATTGGAATGCGCCTAACGGGCGCCATTCCCGGTTTAAAGTGCCAAATCTTGCGAGTTTCTTCTCTGACCTCACACTTAACGTGAAAGAATGTAGGCACTCTTTCATCGATTCTGAGCTCGATCGACATGGCAACACCAAGCCGTCTCCTGATGAGTGGAGAGCAACATGGCCACGAACTATTGTCAGAGTATCAACCTTTCCTCCGGACAAATTCTCCAGGTAATCCTCATACCTCAGAATACCATGAACAGGGAGGAGAGTCGCCCTCGAGTGACTGCGCATCCAAAGAACATGACGATAAGACTGGACAAGAAACGTCGCCATGGCGTCCAACCTGGTTCCACCGACGCGTCTTTTTGATGTTTGCAGCTTGGTTTGCTATCCTAGCTGCGTCGATCGAATTGCTGTTAGCATTCTCACAGAAACAGCACGGGCTTGCTGAACCAAAAGGAGGTTTATTTTATGCTTGGACGTTTGGGCCTACCGCTGGTAAGTCTTGAGCCGCGAATCCCCTGCCACCGATTCTGACGTGTTCGTGGGTAGTCTTTGTTTTAACTGCAGCCTTCTGGGCTAGGGTCGAGTATCAGTCAAACATTTCAATGCCCTGGATGCAATTACAGAAAGGGCTATCTACGGCTCGAACGACTATCGAACTAGATTATAATTCCAAGATCTTGCCAGCACTAATCGCCTTGTCTATATGTAATCGACATTATATCGTCACAATCGCAACTGTCACTGGGCTAGCATTGAAGGCTGTTATCGCCCTATCATCTGGTCTGCTATTTCTCCAGCCTGGGACTGTTATATCCTATGAAAGTTCACTGCCGCTCAGGGATGCCCTGGTGAATCGAGTACCTCTTTTTGACGCTGCGACTATTACCTCTGAGCCATATGACACATTCCTTGGTATACTCGACCTCAACCTCACTGTACCCTTCGGCTATAGTCCAAAAGTGGCCTATCAGACTTACATCGGCTCCCACATTGGGGCTAACGACTCTTCGAGCGCTGTCGTGCAGGGCATCTGGTCTGACTTGATGTGTGAAGAGTCGGATGTCTCGATTGCTGATGGCCAGGAAGAAGCACAAAACGACACTCTAACATTGTCACTATCTTCAACTTTCTGCGACAACACTATTGAGGCCAAACTCTCCATTATCAAGGAATATCCTGGCGCTAAGCGACAAGATACCAACTATATCCTAGGTGGATATTTTGGCCCTGGTGGGGGTTCCATCTGTAGAGGAGCCGGTGGACCAGTGTTTGCCCTTGGATATGCTTGGTTCATTGATTCTGTTGAAAAGAATTCTGACTTTGATCAATCTATGGTAATGTTCTGTCAGCCCATGTACTACAGCGGCCATTTAGAAGTCAACATTAGCGAGACCTCACAACCGACAGTAGAGGAACTGTCATCGCCCGCACCGACTTTATTGGAGGGAGATATGGGTTGGCTTGTTCGCCGATCTTATCAAATTGACAATCCAGGTAGCGCCCCAAATTTCGCTCTTGGTGATTGGGTCTACAATTCCAGTGGCTTTTGGCCAACGAGATACTACAGTAGAGCGCCCGATGAATACCCAACTGAATTGAGCAAAGGATATCTCCTTCTCGGTCAAGCTATCCCTACCGACTGGCGTAATGTAACATTTGATTCCGCTTTCCATGCAATCAAAGAGTTCTATCAAACATTCGATCCTCTCGTCGCCCACTTTTTCCTGCGCGAGATGAAGCCAGGAGAGGCCACCGTTGAGGCAGTAGTCTCCGAAATCCGAAACAGGCTTCTCGTCAAACCTGTCATTGCACACGTGATGGGGGGTATTCTAGGTGTATCAGCGGCGGTTCTTGTTTTAGGTTCAACTCGGCTCATACCTTCCAGCGGCTTTGTTCCCAACGGACCGGGGAGCTTCATCGGGGCAATTCGGAATTTAACCCACAGCACAGAGTTTTTCAGAGCCCTGGCCAAAGTTGAGGAAACTAGAAATGGATTGACGGGTAGATTTTCTGCGAATACGAGAAGTAGTGAGGGCGATATGAATGGTTCAGAGGCGAGGGAGTCATTCAGAATTATTTCCCGCGACGTTGGCGCCAGCAATCCCAGCAAAGACAACTTTACAAGAGATGATATCCAGGTTTTTGATCCTCTAGTCTTACGTTTCTCAGTACAGGTGGCAATGCTCAGTCTGTTGATAGCTACATTGATTTCCTTGCAGATCTCTTCCTGGATCTCCAAGTCTTCATCTGGCGTCGGCGACATTGGCAACAATCCTTACCTCCATTATACATGGACTACTTTACCCACCCTGGTTATGGTAGGTATTGGTACCTACTTTGCTGCTTCTGACAAAGAAGTAAGAGTATTGATGCCGTTCGCAAATCTAAGGGCAAAGACGTCTTTTCGGACCCTTGAAACTGATTTCTCCGATCGAACTGCGGCAGAGGCTATGTGGCTGTCAGGTCAGACAAGGCAGTGGCCGATTCTAGTGGCAACAACAAGTTCGATCCTTGTGTCGTTCCTTACTATCTTCGCAGCAACACTGTTTTCGGCGAATCAAGTCCCTATCGACTACCCGATTCAACTCCAGCAAGAAGAATGGTTTGCGTCCTTCGGGTGGCGAACTCGCGATGATTTTTCAAACATCATTTTGTCCAACAGTGATAACTTCACATATCCAAATTGGACTTATAAGAATTTGGTTCTACCAAAACTGAGCCCAGCAGTACTACCACCAATTGTCTCTGACAACATGACAGTCACAGTGGTTGTGAACGCGCTACGGCCAACGACAAATTGCACCCGACATCCGATGTCTACGACGAAGTCTCAATATGATGGGAATCAGACGGCTAGTCTGCAAATCGACTTGACATACGGTGAAGATGGAGAAGGTGCTTGGAGATCTGGCTGTGGTCTCTTTTGGCGACCATATTGTTCAAGAGACCTTTCCTTCATTGAAGCCAATCTGACCCCTTGCTGGGAGGATCCAGCTCCCCACTACTATTACGATGCTGGTGTCAATTTCACAAGCTGCTCCACGTCACAGTTCGTATGGGGCACCATCAACAACGTCTCAAAGGAATGGGATTTTTTGGCTGCATATTCCTGTACTGACATTGTGGAAGAAGTCGATGTCGAGCTAAGCTTACACTGGCCATCGTTAGAGATTAATGCAAAAAGACCACCAAGGCCCATTGAGATATCTTCACGGCGGGCTACAAGATTCTTCCCAACCGGTGACATGATACACACGGACGATTGGTTCGAGATTCAGCGCTATAGGGACAGGTTTGTTGACCTCTCTGGACCACGCTACCGGTTGCCAATTGAAAGTATCGGAGACCCGGCTGCCGAAGAAACCGTCCTCGCAGCTCAGCGGGAACATTGGGTCCTGAGAAATACCCAATTTCTATCCATGACTGTACGACGATTATTCAACGAGACCGCATTCACACCAAAGCCTTCGTGGCGCCCATGGATTTACAATACCTCGTGGTCTGGCCTCCCTTTCAATGACCCCTTTGAGCCTCCCCAGCCACGTCCACAAATAGCGGCCATTGCAACGGACCACACCAGGTATCGCGTCGTCCAGAATGAGGTCCCAACCTACTTCCTTACCGGTCTGCTTATAGCTGTGCTGCTACTGCACTCTGCCGCCATCTGGCTGGTTCCTCGAGACGTTAGGCCCCATAACTTCAGGACGATAGTTGGAATCGCGCGGCTCCTAATCAACTCAAACATTCATGATTTCTTGCGGGATGACCAAAAAGAGCGCTCTCTCAAAGACAAGGGCTTCCTACTGGATTGGGTTGAGGACGAGTTGGGGAAAGCGACTTACACGCTACAAGTGCTCGAATAGAGGGTACCTTGGTGACAGACAGCACCAGATTTCAAAGGGCATACGGGTTCGGTCACGTTAGTGGCGCCAACGTCGGGATGGCGACACTGTCATCTTCTGGGTGGCCGAGACGGGCGCCAAGCAGGCGACGCTTAATACTGGGTTTATTCACAATCTGGGCGTTGACTAGCGAGGCACATGGCTCCCAACGGATCGAGGGTCTCTTTTGCAGGTGCTACAGATTACATCAGAATGAAACTTGCATTGGCTGTCTAATTAGCAAAGACAAGTCTTGGATCACTTTTGACGACAAATCACATACAGCTGCCAGCAAAGTATCGTCCCGTGAACCATGCGGTCTTGGGCAATATACTTGCCATTGGTTGCTAATCCGGCAATATTTTAATACTACGAACTGTTTATCGACGTTAGAATGTTTAACACTTAATATTATTCCTTTCATCTCCTTGCAAAGCAGGTACTAGGGTAGCTTTTGATATTTATCCTCGGCTTCTCTTGCTGTATGAAAGATTGTGGAATTTCTGAGAAGCATTAGTTGCTTATTATGCCATTTTCTGTCTTTTTCCCAGACCATAGCGATCTTAGATGGTGGTAACATGATATTAACAATAAGGCATAATTATGGTGTCCCAGGACAGAGGGTGTGAAATATTTCAGTGCTGCCTGGATCGAGTCTTCGATCATGTCCTTCACTTGGGTCATTGTAATGGATGCTGCTGAGTTTTAAAGGCTGTCAAGAAGTGCTGGAGGTAAGTAGAAAGCAGTTGTAGACCTGTCCAGAAGCGTCCCACCAACTGACGGCGGTACCAAGGAAATTTCAACTTACCTGACGATAATATCTGTTCAAAAAATGCTAAGCGACGCAAACCACAGCTTGCCTGTGATGGTCTACCCTTTGCAAAATATGGCACTACAGGCAAGGACCGCGTAGAAGAAGTTTCAATGGGAGGAGATCCCGAGCAGATGGTTTCAACAGCACCGTCGTCTCACCTGCCTTCTATTGTACGCACAAGCGGTGGCAAGCCAATGGACGGCCCAGAGATGGACATGAAGCGACGATTGCACGATCCATGCCAGGATAGTGCTTCCCTTGCTGAGCCTAAGCCGAGGTCAATGCCTGAACTTGAGCCAGAGTTGCCGGCGCGCGACTGCAATACCTGCGGTGTCGATGCTGGACGCCTTCTACAACTGACGGAAAGGGCGCTGTGGTGGAGTGGCAGAAGCAACCAACGTCTAAAGCGAAGCATCAATGCTGAACCTAGGCTAAGTTATCCGACTTCGACAAAAGCGATTTGATGCTACGGCTTCACCTCGAAGAGCTTTGCGGACATGCCTTAGGCCTCATTCTACGCAAGGGGAAAGCTGTACGAAATGAAGGTAGAATGGAGTCTTCGACATTGAAGGCTCCAGTCGAAGCGATAAAGCCGCACCAAAATGCTTATCGCCAGGCGAAGATGACACCGGTTCAGATTAATCTGTCGATTTAAGCAGATCGGGTTCACCAGCCATAGTGCGCCGTTGGGGTGGTCCCGTCGACTTGGATATCCAAATATATGTAGACGGCATTGCTCAATGGGTCGGTGCCAATGTCCAGTGGAGTTTCGAGAGCAAGAGATACTTTAGCAAACTCGGCCTCGAAATCAAGGAATCTCGCATCCTAGAGCTGCTGCCCTCGAAAGCGGAGGCGCAAGTCGAGACGGGACCATTTGTCGTCAACAGTCTGTTGTCACGGGGGCCTGATGACATATTTCCTGAAGTGTTCGAGATGGTACGAGGATTTTGAAGATACTTAGTTGCGTACATCTCTACGACGAGTGCTCAGAGATGCTTGTACGTGCGTGCGTGAGGCAATGAGGAACAAAATACAAACTACATGCGTGTCAGCTGACTAAATCCACGGTTGACGCGACATCTATGCTACCTGAGCGATGTAAGCAGATAGTGATGGTGATAACTACATTCGCATTCGGTCATTTCGAAGGCACTTTCCTCTCTGGATGATATTCCTGCATGCATCAGAGATACCGTTTAAAGGGCATGTTCAGTGTTCGAATATTGTCTGTAAAGAAGACCATAAAGCTCCTGAGATCGCATCGGCGATGTCCACATTGATCGAGGTCCACTATGGTTATCTTCGCTTCGGAAGTGAGAATTTAGTCCTGACAAATTCGATAGGGAAAACCCAGCAGGAGCAAGGTTGCGTATGGAGTATACCTATCATTGTTGAAGAGCCTGAAACATGGACGCAACCAGGACCAAAGGAGTGATTCGTCGTGGACAGGCTAGCTCACTCAAGCTTGAGCAAGGATGGGATTATGAACCGCCTCCAATATTGAGTACAATTCTTTTGTCACAAGGGGCCTAATTTAAAGTAGTATTGTCCATCTTGTGTAGTGGATCAAAAATCAAATGGATGGCCCCCTTCCGGAAACTGCATACAGCAGAACCACGTGTTTGTTGGGTTGCGACCTGGCTGAGCCCTGAAAGCGGTTGGCTTGCGGGCCAAGACACGGTATATCCGCCCCACCATGAGTCCGCTCTTTTATTCTGACCAGGGCTCAAAATTGGCTAGCCCAGGTTGATATCGGCACGACCTTTGGCAAGGCCAAGTCTGAACACGAATTTCGTACCTCGTAAAGAGCACGCCCGGTTGCATATGGAAAAAAGACAAAGACAAGAGGAAAAAGAAAAAAAGAAAGAGGCAGCTTATTGCGTAGACATGACCGATAACCTCTGACTGCGGTAGAATGGATGTTCTTAATACTGTACATTATCTTAGCCGAGAATGATCGGTCGTGGAAAGCTGGGGCCGTGGGAGAAGGATAATGCAACAAATCTTGTGTCGACCCCTAGTCACTCCCGCAGCGAACTAGACTCATGTGTCACGGAACGTGGAGAATATAAGAAGGATGCGATCAATTGAGCGCGGAGCTGTGTGTTATGGCCACCAATGACATGAGCAGCCACGAGCAGCCATGCAGCCCTGGGGTCTCCACTATTACGAGGCAGTGCTCTGGTCTGACATAAAAGACGCTCGACTGCCCTGGCAACTTTTCTCTTAGCTTACCAGACTGTCGGGTCACAACTGGCGATGAGAGCAAACAACGGATGGACGACCAGGCCGCCAACCACCGACTATTCCCACGTTATAGCTTAAGCTGGGAGACCCATATACTGACATACTAACGATATGGATGGTCGATTTCTTGTGTGGAAAGGGAGAAGTTGTAGAAAAAAGAATTAACCGATAAAGCAAAAGGAGAGAGACCAAGGGACGGGAACGAAAACGCAACCAATCATTATCAACATGTCTAGATTCACCCAGTCATGTTCACATCCGAGATGGCGTTGATGTCAGGAGCCGGTGTTGGAGAGCCATCACGGTTCTTCTCTTTCTTTATTTCGGGTCGCTTCTGATAACGTGTCTCTGCCCAAATTGCAGTTGCAACGATAAGGGCATCGATCTTAGGAACCACCTCCGACTCTTCGAAGATAGTGAACTTTCCAAATTTGAGTTCTTTCGCGAGTGTGACATCTTCCCCATGGATAAGTTTATCGATGTCTTTTCTTGTCTCCCAACTGTCAATGAACGCCGGCTTGATGTCTTGATTTTCTGTGTCTCCACCTTCTGGTGTATCTGGCTCGATCATACGTCGCACCTTGACCCAAATACCTGGGGCAATTGGGTCATTGCGTCTGTTTCTTGGCCAGTTCTTGGGAAGTAGGAGTTTTACCGGACATTCCTCGCCATCTGGATATACCCAAGCCACAGCTTTGACTTGGAGGTCAAGTATTTTTTCATCTTTCCCAATTTTATTAGGGGCGTCTGTAATGGGCCTAGACCGAATGCTACACTCTGACGTCTATTATCTCTATGAACAAGAAGACTTCTCTCAGGAGAGAAGTCTTTCTTAGCTTCTGCATTCTTGTGTACTCTTTCTTATATACTTCTTCCTTCCTAACCTCTAGCGCGTCTAGTAGGTTCTGTGGGTCCTACGATGGGGCCATGGCCCCTGAGTCTATCGCTAGGGGTTCATCCCATAACAGCGTCCTTCAAGCTTTTTTCAGCCTCTTTAGTGATAGTCGTGTGAAATTGTGCGCCTTGCTGAAACCGATATTTTGCATATCGATCTTCACCGTATTGTATCAAGAGGCGATATCCCCAACCCATTTTTAACCAGCCGATAGGCTTAATATTTCTCGGCCCACCACCGATATGATCAGTGATGCCAAGGTTGCCCATATAACTGGTTAGATCGTCCACATCGGAACCGGCACCATCTGCATCTTTCTCGGTTGAAGGTAAATCTGTCGTATCACTGCCTTCAGCTTTCTCAGTTGGAGGCAAAGCTGTTGTATGACTGCCTTCTGAAGCACCTGCGACGGCGGCAGGGACGAACAGATGCTGCCCGTTCTGCGGACCACCACCAACGTTGCTGTCCGCCGCCTGGTCGATAGATTCACGCGAGTTCAGTGAAGAAGACTCTTTTGGCAGTAACTGCGTCCGCAGAGACGCCAACTGCGCCTGCCTTTTGGGATCTTTGGATGCTTCTTCCTCAAGCTCACGTATTCTCTTTTCAATTTCAATTTTCTTTTCTGGGGTTAGGCTGGTAGCTTTACCCTTACTTCTGAGAACACGGGAATTTTGTTCCGATGCATTTTCAGATGTAGCTTGTTGTGGCCTGGTAGGTGCCATTGTACATTTGTGACATTGGACGATAGTTCTGTCTACTTGTTCTATCTTGTCGGTGAGTTCGTGTATTTATACTTCATACCACATCGAGAAAAGGTTCCGCATATCCAATTCTGGTGTCTGCCATTCTACTGAAAACAAAACCCAGAACAAAAGGATTCATTAATGGATTGCTCATAAAGTGGTTTATTATCTGCGTCCTGAATTGAACCTGGCCACTTTTAATCCCAGTTGGAGTTATCTCCTTCGTTACAGTACATACAGCTAATAACGAAGTGGCTTCCGCACAGCGTGTCAAACAGTCGAACCAGTCAGTCATTCGTTCGCCTGGATTGCTTTTTGTATGCCAAAACAGCCAATGCACGACAGTTATGGCAATCTAGTCGAACGAATGACTGACTGGTTCGACAGTTTTGACAGGCAGCTTCCGCATCAAACGCACGAATTTGTTTGCCGCGAGAGCCGTTTCTGCATCGAGTAATGCAGGACTCATAAATATAATGATTTAACTTACTTGTGTAATGATCCATATGTGCTCATATGGTCGATAGCGTAAGTCTGAGAACTGGGTAGAGTCCTAGAATGGGATCCTATCAATCTGGAGGGCCTGTTCCGTACAAAAAGAATATAAATATTTGATTGCAAGCAGGGTTCGCAATCAATCAATCAATTCAATCCACAACCCCGATTGAATTGATTGACGCGAATCAACGTAAGATGCCTTCAACGTTGATTGATTCGAGCTTAGATTGATTGATTGAAGATTGAATTGATCCAGATTGATTCGAATATAACTACCCAATTAGGAAGTTATAATAGGATTGGTAATCGTGGTGTTTTGATGGTTATCAACCCCTGATTTGTCCTTTGCTTCAACATCACGATTTTGCAGTGGCAACTGCCCAATCCATTGGGTTGCCGAATCGATGGCATCTTGGTCGCCCATATTGGCCAAAGTGACTGATTTTTGGTGTTGAGCCCAATCATGGATCACTGGATCTAGGTCTTGAACAACGCCAGCAAAGTGCCACGATCGAAGGACTTGGCAGATCCCAGTAACTTCAGCATCAAGGCGCTTGCGCTGATCGATCGCCATCATCTTGGCCGCAGAGAATAACCTCTCCCATTCAGCTGACATGCTTGGGACCGTGAGGAAGTCAAGGGCCATTCGTGATAACCTAGGATACTTGTGGCGGCGTTCATGCCAATACTCTATCGGATCGTCAACCTCGTCGTCGCCCGGTTCCTCGCTAGCTTGCCAACTCAGATACTCATCAACTGATCGAAGTGGTGATAAGGATGGGGATTCAGATGACTTGATACGGGCCTTATTGATGTGCTCTTGAAACGGGTTCTTAAAGGTCTTTAACCTCTTGACCGGCCCAACACTAGTTGGGAGTTGAAGGTCACGATATTGCTTATCCCACACTTCTTGGACCATCTCTTTGGCTTTAGTAACCCAGCTTGGATTATCACCCAAGCGGTTTCAAACCAGTCCCATCGATACGATGGATGAAGTGCAATTGCAGCGTAATATACTGCAGTTTCGTTACACTTGTTGTAATATTCATCCAATTTGGCCCAAGCCAAATTGATCCCTATCCTGAAGTGTTCAGGATTAGGATAATGAATTGCCGACAACTTGAACTCTTCAAGCTTTTCGAGTAGGAACTCAAAGCCTTGGAGGATCCACCAAATATTGCCGTATGATCCAACGAATCCATTCTTGCGTTGACGAACGTGGCCGTCACCTTCAAGCTGGATAACAGTTGCTTCGTAGTAGCTGAGGATGGTCTGGAGGTGTTCAAGGACCGCCCAATCATCCTCTGATAATTGGTTCTCAAGCTTCAAGATAAGTGGCATCCTCCTCAAAGTTACCGGAGTGATACCTCCGGACCTTTTGGATCGATTCTCACTCTCCCATTCAATCTTGAACTCAAGCAACAACTGATCGAGATAACGGCGAAGTTCAAGGGCGCGGCGGATCATATGAAGCTGAGATAACCAACGGGTATCATTATCGAGGATAACGTGCTTTGGGCGGCGGCGGGGTAGGTGATCTGGGAACTCTTTGATGTGATCAGCTTGGATTCGGAGGAGTTTGTAGGTCAATCTGCCAAAAGGTCAATGCTTGATCATAGGGGTCCCCATACTAAACTTGCCTATCAGATCTATCAATATCAACCACCAAGTTGTGAAGCTTGCCAACGGGTCCTTTGCTTCGCCAAAGTGCGTATTCGTTTTGCGTTAGGGCTTGAGCCCCAGTCAGTTGTTCCTCGAACGCGTCAGCGTTATGGCCAAAGAGTAGGGCTTTTGCTGAGATATTCAGGGTATGGCCGATACAACGGCAACGGCGTGTTTTGCCCACAAATCCAAAGCAATTGCCAAGTGCCCTCATTGCAGTATCGTTGTTGCTTGCGTTGTCAAGCACTGCGTATCCGATCTTATCACCATCGATCTGAAACTCCTCCAAGATAGTCTGAATTTCGTCAGCAATAACAGCACCAACATGGCGGCCAGTTTCGGGGATCCCAAGCGTAATCTTGCAAGGCTTGTTATCTTCGTTGCGAAAGAAGCAAGTGACCCCATACATTGAATATCGGTTGGGAGCCCGCCACCCATCGAAAGCAAGATGAATCAAGCCTGGGGACCTCTTCAATACGTTGATCACAGTGTTCTTGTGCCTCTCATACTCTCCAATTGCTTTTGCCTTGATGGTATTGGGTGAAAGGTGTGCCGATTGGGCTCGAACCGAGGGGTTGAGGTATTCGAATATTGCTCGAAGGCCGTGTTCTTGTACGATACTGAAGGAGTGATTCGAATCCACAACCCACTCAACAACAAGCTGTTGAAAACGCTGTTTGTCAAAGCCTTTAATAAAAGAGTTGGCAATCCTTTGTTCGACCGGGTCTTCAGGGTTCAGCTTAAAGTGCTTGATAATCGATCCGGCGTTGTTGGTCTTGAGCTTCATCATCTTGGTTTCGGCAATAACTTGAGCTTTGGATTTCTCTTCGCCTTCGGGGGCAACAACACCATGTTCGCTGTATAGGTGGTTCAAAGCGTTGCCAACGTTAGCCCAAGCAAAAGATTCGATTGGAGCTCGCCGCCGTTGAACGCAGATCTTGCAAGCAAGTTTGCGCGTTGAGATTTTGGTGATATCGTACCCATAGGCCCAGCCCCATTGACGGTATGAGCCTTTTCGCTCCGTGAAGGTCCACCCACGAAATTGGGCAAAAAGAGCTGCTTCACACTGTTCGTCAGTCAATTTCGGCATTTTGACCCATTCTTGGGGCCATCAGGCAAAGACTGGGCCATTAGTTGGTGTTGAGGATAAGAGGTTGTGGGGTAGAAATTCACGGATCAAAACAACAAAACGCGTTGCCAATTGGATCGGGTTATACTCACTAAACGTTGACGCCAAGGCCTAGTTGACCCTCCAATTGGCTATCCAGAGTAAGCAGATATACTAACAAATACATAGATTTGGGGAGAAATCCCTGGAAAATTGGTGTATCGATACGTACCTAAGTTAGGTTCGAATGGGGTCTATTTTTAGCAACAACACCAAGATCACCAAGATTACCAAGATCACTCACCATGGTCATCCCAAACACAAAAACACCACCTAATTCAATCTGAATCAATCAATTCAATCAATCCGGACCTTCGGATTGATTGATTTAAATAAAACACTAAGGCTGATTGAATTGATTGATTTCGAAAATCTCGGATTGAATTGATCAATCCGTTGAAAAGATTGATTGATTGCGAACCCTGATTGCAAGACGTTTCCGGTGCGAGAAAATGTTATGGAACAAGCAGACATTACGAAAAGCCAATGTCATAGAATGGAATGGAAACCGGTGGAATTATATTTTCGATTTTAATAACACCGAGATTGTCTCGGTGTTATGAACTGCTCTCTCTTTTCTCCTTCGTCTCTTGTCTTGTACCTCATATGTAGTGCATAGGATAGCAATATCAGTGTCATTTCGCCAAGCCAACGTCTTTGCCCTGACACTATGCCTACTTTCTCATCACTTGGTTCACAATGTGCACGGCCATAATACCTCTGCATGTACATACTCAGCCTATCTGACGGATCCTTGTCACTGCGCTTAGTATAAGTTATCACCTATTTCCCCAGAAACTGACCTGAAAGCTTTGGAAATATCAATTACGCCACAAACTCTTCCCAAATAAACCTGCTGTGGAAATTCTATCTGCTAGACACTAATCGTTTCTGCTGTGAATTGTCACTGACACTTATAGCAAGATCGACAAGGTACGACTAACTTTGCCAAAGGCTGGCTGATATGAAGCCACGCCCATCTCAAAAAAAGCTGACCTGACTCCAGCATCCCGACCTGTCGACATGCTTGATATGAAAGAGCCCCAGCCACGCCCAGTTATAGCTGGGCCAGTAGGAGGAGGAGGAGGCGGCGGAGGAGTTGGTGGTGGTGGCATTATTGATCTCGATAAAATAGAGACTGAGAATGGGCCTCACGGAGTTGTCTGAGCTCACAGGTAGGGCCCAAAGAAGGGTTTGATCAAAATTTGGGTTTTTTTGTATATAGGAATGCTTCCTATCGTATTTTATCCTGAACAATCTATGTATTCTATGCTTTGGTGCAGACAATTCTCAAGACTTGCGGATATGTCACGAACTGTGATTGGCTTAGGCTCGGGCTCGGCAATATACTAATCCGCGCCGTTTTCTCAAAGTCAGGGCCAGGACACGTTGATGTCTTTGTGCTCTTTTTTGCATGAAAGTTTCGCAACGATCCATAGTAATACAACAGCGAATCACCATCCACGTGTCGTGACTTTAAAAGGCACCATGTTTCGCTCTACACGCTTCTCAAAGATTTCCCCGTGACCAAGCACTACTCATCATGGCTTTGCTTCCCAACATAACTGAAGAACTACAAGACACCATCGCGGGCCTCGACTGGTCGAGCGACAATAAACCCTCACTGCCTCAACTTGGACAACCTGATATCCGCCAGATACCTTGGCGTTCTGGCTTCGACAGTGTGGTCGCTCAAGTAATAGACCAGGCAGTACGTGTTTAACCTCTTTTTTGTCTGGAAGACACTAACATGTGCAGAGCCCTCTGCTCAAGGAGCATGAGCCGAAGCCCATGAATTATGTCCCAACTGCTCTATTAATTCAAAGTGGAGGGTTGCTTGACTCGAGGGCCCGTTTTAGCATCATCGTCAAGCAGGATAAAGAGACTGTGGTCGATCTGAGACAATAAGGCCAGCACTTTACTACCACTTTGCCTCAGGTGTCCACCTTGACCAACACGTAGGATTAGCCAAGGCAGAATCTCAGAAAGGTTTGCCTTGCTTGCGGATACGATGCTATCTGAAGGAGCAGTATATAGAGAAGTTCGGACCGGAAAGCTGGTCAGACGAGAAATGCTAGCTATACAAGACCGCCAGGGCCATTGTTGGTATTATGGAAATCCAGATTCATAAAATCATTCCAACCAAATCCGTACAAGTCTTCTACTCCCTGGTGTTGCATTATTCCAGATGTTGGCACGACGCACTCCATATTGGTATGAGGAAGGAAATGAGCATGCTGAGAGGTGCTCTGCGGGGTTGTCTGCATGTTCAAGTTTATGGCAGCCATCAAAAGCTCTGCGCCAAATGAAGCAGAAGGGATGTATGTGTTATCATTGAGGTGAAAACAGCCTGCATCAACAGTGATGACTGGTGTGTTGGCCGTTTGGGCCACTTGGGTGTTTTCGGCGACTGGCGTCTTTTCGTCCGTAGCCGAGTATTGAAAATCACTAGACTTTGCATTGCTGATGCTTTGACCCGTGCCTAGACCATCAACATCGCCAAATTGGTCGTCGTCTGCACCTCCACTAAACTGCGGATTGTCTATGCCTGTATCACAAGCGTTGCTCATTTGGCCGTTGTCTGTGTCTCCACGAGATTGCGGACTGCCGATGCCTGAATCGCCGGTAATGTGGTGGTTGTCATAGAGACTTTGTTGTCCGCGTGCTATGTTAGCCAACTGTCCCTTGCGCCTTTTCTGGGGAGTTATGGTCGATGACCTCGATATCCGGTTGCTTGTACGTTTCCGTGGTCTTGGACACTGATATCCTTTCTGCCATTGTAGTGCCACCACTGGCGGAAAATTTGTCAGACCTTTTCGCGGTTCGTTCGAAGAGACTGCTTGACATTTCAGAGTAACGTGGCTTAAGGACTTGACAGCATTCAGGCTGGCAGTATAGATCTCCCGACTAAGCGCAGGCTGAAAAGCTTTCGCAGCTATCTTAAACCTACAATATAAGTCAGTACAGTTCAATCGTATGGCGATTAAGGTGTTACGACTTACTTCCAAGGACCCGTATTTGCAATGAGAAATGCCGGGCGGAGCGAAACTCCCACGTCCGGCAAGTTCTTCCCTAAATATTTTGTGCGTTCCTCAAGCTTTTCGAGCACGTAGGCCCGCCGGGCCTTAGTCGAGACGAATTCTCGAAACATGCTGATATCCACGTCACCTGGAGGGTCAGAAAGTGCTGCTTTGTGGCGGGTGGTGCTGGCTTACTTACATAAAAGAAAGAGCTTGCCTGCACGGTGTTTCAATACGCCTTCCAACTTCCCAATCAGCCAGTCAAACCATTTTGCGGCGGTACGGTATGATTGCCATCTCCTCGCGTTCTCATCTGGCTTGTCCCCAGACCCCAGAGCCTTTGACGTCATCTCGTTGACCTCATCGACGGTCATTCCACTTTTTCGAGCCACGATGCAGTGACCGTGCAGCAGGTATTCGCTGAAGCGAGCTTGCTGCCTCTTGGAGACCGCCTCGGCTTTCAAGTTACCTACATACGAGCTGAACTTGAGTAGGAACTCGGTACCAGGCAGGTCCTTGCTAGGTATCGCTTTCTGACTGGTGACTTGGATCTGGTCTTGAGCTCGCGTAACTCGGTGGAAGATATCGATGATATGCCCTGAGCAGTTCAAACCTGAACTGGCTTCTAATTGTAGCCACTCCTGCTCATTCTCCGGAACTCTAGCCAGGAAATCCTCGAATGTCTTCTGCCATCCAGCTATCTTCAGCTTCACATATCCTGTACCCTGTATTGGGATCGCGACCTGGGTAGTTTGAACAAGAGTAGGGGGCTGGATTATGCTGCTGTTGGTAACATCGCCGCTCGGTGTTGCTAAGCCCGTGGGCTGGCAAATCTGTATCGCACTACTCGTCTGGGGACAATCTTCCATCGCAGGATCATGTCTCTGAGTACTCGGAGGAATGCCGCTGATTTCTAAACCAGTCATGATCGGTCTTGAAGTCGTGCCCGCAGTTCTCGGGGCCGTTAGTGGTTTGTCCTGTCTCATAGCGTTGTCCGTCGCCCATGTTTGCGCTAGAATCTCAGGAGCAGACGTCGCAACGACATCCACTCGCGACAGAACCCATTGTCGAACTTGATCAGTTGATCCATAGAGAGATAACAATATGTCTTCGAGGTGGTCGACGTATGCTTGAAGAGGTCCGTCAAACGGTAGTAAGCGGTGATGGCGGGCCATTGGGCACCAATACAATAGAATATTCAGAGCAGGTTACGGAAGAAATTGCAGTCCGCAGGTGCGAAGTCAGAAGCTCCCATTTCAGAGCTATGTCATTAGGGTACTTGGGATCAGTATCCCAAAACGGCTTAGATTTGCGCAGCCATGCCGGCCAACCTTGTCGGCCGCTTCTGCGTATACCACCAGATGCACCATTACTTTTTTGTGTTTTGTAGAAGCACCCCTTCTGTCTTACTGCACATTTGTTGAAGTGGTGGCGCCTAAAGCATAAAAAATTGGGCTGCCGATGTTTACCTGCAGTTCAGTTTGTACTACCGCCCACATTTTAGTACTCAGTCTAATTCAATCTGCTCGCTTGCGAGTACAGCCGATAGTTACCATATAAACTTTTTTCTCGTAGTCTGTCTTCCTATATTGTTGCTTGGAACCCAGAAATACATTCGACGATGAATTTTGGGACCTGGATTGCTTCGCCTGTTGATTCGATCCATATCATGCCTGGTGTCTCCGCAAGTCTATATAGGGGCTTGACCCCTTCGAGCCGGGCGTTCTCGTTTGCAAACCACCAAAAATGAGATTCTACCAGTCGGAACCCAAGCCTTGCGGCCGTCTTATCTTCCCTGTTCCTGCATATCTGGACCATCTAGACACGAACATGGATGCTCGTTACACAGGCAAAGTGACCCATCTCAATTATGATTTTCCTGAAACCTTGCAATTTCTGTGTATTAGCATTCTGCTATCCGCACATCCACGCGGACCCATACTGCATGGCAGCTCATCATGTCTCTTATGTCCGTAAACTACAGTTCCCTTAGCGCTATCACCCCACGCCACCCATGCAATAGCTCCTAGTCGTGGATTAAAAATCCTTGGTTGAGGCAGACAGGCTACCAAACCAACCTTGCTCTGGCGTTAGTACTGATTTATTCAAAACCATCGACGCCCGGCTGGTGTAGGTGAATCTCTATGACACGTCACGCAGTTCGAATTACCCTGCATGTGCCTGCTTGTTGCCTTCTTTACGCTCTTTGCCTTCTTTGCCGTGGTCCACACAGAGGTTCGGAGAGGATATTTATCCCAAAGTTAATTCCGCCCGGCTCTATGTGGCAAGAAGGGGACAGAGGAGAGACAGCGTCGAGTTGAGGCTACCAAGTATGTTGTTCAGCATTATGTAGACCGAGAGGCCTTTTTGATTGACTGAAAGTAGAGTTTCATGCCAGCATCGGCCGCAGCCGAGATGGTCTTCTTGTGATACTTTTCGGATCCCAACCGAAACAGGATGTAGTTTGCTCCCGTGCTCCAAAGCTTGACATTCAAGCTCCTCAATATGCGACATGTAGCACAGGATCTCTTCCAATTACCCTTCAAGCCTTCTCACAGAGGCAGTTGAATCAGTTGAATCCTATATTCGATCACAAGAGCTGATAAGAAGTACGAACCACTTGGAAGTTTAGGAGAGAGTTAAATACGATTGACTGGAACGGATCGAGAGTGGTCTAGGAGGTGTCGGAGTATAAGTTCGTGGGCTTTTTATATATTGTTTTGCTGACACCTTCATTATACGAGGTCATCCTTCCGCCGAGCCGGGCAGCTTTGTAACGATAGGCCAAACTTAATGTTGTCACTGGAACGTTGTAGACGCGTAACGTGCACTAGCGACTTCGACGGCTACCTCGGCTCAGACACTTATTTGTGATTGATTATTAGTACAAGCCCCCCATTTCCTTCACCTTCTTCGCACTCTTCGCACGTTCTCAACTCACGCACCTACCTATTTGGCAACATACATTATAATCCGTTCGACGCCCTTGGCCTCAATTATGGCCAATACACAGACAAAGAAATCCGTAAAGCGTATCATTGTGCATCGCTTCAATGCCACCCCAATAGACGGCCAAACGAAACCAAGGATCGGTGGCCCACACAGCAACATGTGGAGAGTCCAAATTGTTTCTTCTAAGCGATGGAGAGAAAAGGGGATACCGCGGGTACCCGAGAATGTTCTTTCCCGAAAACCGCGACCCTGATGTTTACAATGCACCACAATGCCCATTCTACGTCTGTACCAGTTGTGGAGCAGACGGGAACTGCTCCTGCGACGATCCCCTCACCATGGCTTTCACGATATGCGATACTTGTCGTATGGTCCTACCGCAACATCTGGCCCGGCAGCATGGCCAGGAAGATCATGGCGCTTGCGCATTGTGTGGTGAAATCCAGGAAGATGGGCATTTCTTATCCAAGCACCCGGATAATGTGTGCTCTTTGTGCGGCGAACTCGAAATGGGCAAAATGCTACCACACCTTCAAACTAGGCACGCTCTTCACGACTGCGACAGTTGTAAGGGGAAGGATGTTGCCAAGCTTTTTTCCCATCTTCGCGACGATCATCGGGCCTGTCCACTCTGCCGGAAACCTTCTTCGTTCGATTCGATTAATAAGCATCTCGCGGGATATCATGAATGGGATTGTTGTAATGGTTGCGATAACCTGACGCCCGCTGACTTCGAACGTCATTTACTATCTGACCACAGCTGGGTGACTTGCCCATTCCCTGAATGCCACCCTGTCATGACCGGCAAATTGTGGGCTCATATCCGTAACAAGCACGCCTTTCAACGCTGTCCAGGATGCCCACCAACGGAAGCTGACTTTGCCAGAGCAGTTGACCATACTGCATTACACAGTTTTGAGTTCTGAGTTCTGTGCTTACTGTGAAAAACATTATCCTGCACTGGATATTGGCCACCATCGAGTTGCGAGACATGGTTGGTTGCAATGCCAGTATTGTCACCTCGCAAGCCCTGATGAGGTGGCACATCAACTACATATTATCGATCATAAGCTTGAGTCCTGCACAGAGTGCGCCAAACTTCAACCATTCCATGTTGTGGAGCGACACCTGATCGAAGAACACCATTGGCTGCGTTGTCCTTTTTGTAGGAAAACTCTTGATGGGAGTTCCCTGCTGGACCACATTCAACAGCTTCACAAGCAGTGCCCCAGGTGCAGCGGTTTCAGTGGTGACGCTGAAGGTCTAAGGTTCCACCTTCTGAGAAAGCATGAGGGAGCTAAATGTGACCATTGCGACGAGGTCCTACCCCGAGACCTGATTCAAGAGCATATGGACAGACTTCATCCAACAGTGCACTGTCCGCTCTGTGTTTGGAGCGGCACTTTGCAGGAATTTCCTGGACACATCAAAAGCCACGAATTCTCTAAACAAGTAGAAAGCCGCGAAATGCCGAAACAGATCGGAAATCACGAGATATCCAGCGAGCAGCATCCTCCTCGCAAAAGGCGTCGACTTGATACATATAAATGTAGCTACTGTCGGAACGCTAAAAAAAAAGGTGGGTAGCCATGAAATCACATATCCAGAAAGAGCTAACCTAGGACTTAGTGTGTACCGGTAGACGGGCACGAGAAATGCCACTGGTGCCTGGAATATGGAGAACCTTGCTCTGAGCTGACGACAAAAACGGGGATTGTCAAAGGTCGCTCCACCAGCGACTGTCGGTCATTGCAGCGTTCAATCTGATGTTTGGGAAGCTCGCGCCTCGCGATATTGAACTCACTACGAAACCGACTCGATCTTCCTGGCTGGGTTCAAGAGTCTGGAACCTCCTTCCACGAAGCCAATTATTTACAGATATACCACCGTAGCCAACACGCCATAAGAGTCAGACAGTATATCTAGGACCACTGCTTTCAAGGTACATTCACTCGCGGCATCCGCTCTCTCCGTCCAAGATTCCCTGGAGACAAATGCAGGATACATATTTACAAAGGCTGCAGATTCTAGGTCTTCTTAGCTCGACCTGTGCACATTTTCATCTGCTACTTGATGCTTGCACAGGGTTGAAGTTCGTCTATATTTATTTATTAAGCTGCCTTGCGAATGCCGCCGCCGAGCCTGTTTCGTATTCTTGCCCCGTAGGCAATGTGACATACATCTTCGTCGCCCCGGCTGACCGGAACTTCCCAGGGGTGTCCCTCATCGCGCAGGAGAAGGGCCGCACGAGACTCGACCTCAGAAGAGCCAATCTAGGCCATTGCGTAGTCGCTAGGTTCGAGACTGATGATTGCTCCACTCGCCGAAGCGTGTGATTTCAAGGTCAGTAATCTTGGCCACTCTCAGGCATTAGCAACACCGAGATAACACGAGGAACAGCCACCACCACGCGTACAACATCGAACTTTTACAACTATTTTTCTTGGCGCCCCGCTGTTAGGGCGTGACAAGGCAACTACGCTAGTTTAGTGGCACCACTGGAGTACACCCTTAATATCTCTTGGCATTCGAAAAATTCTTTTCGAACTGAATGACAACCCCTATAGACCAGCCGCCTGGCACACCCGCTTCCAGCCCGGGGACTATAAGCGATGGAGCCTCTCTCCCTCGCACCCCAAGGAAGCCATGCGGCCCCACTACCCCGAGCAGGCTCCGCCAAGTCCTACTTAGCGACATTGCTAGCAGCCCGTCACAGGTTACTGAAACCGACTACACACCATCCTCCCCCCTCAACACCAGGCGCGGTACTGGCAAGATCAACAGCATCATCGGAGCTAAGCGACCACGGATTGAAGACATCACCGTTGAAGTCAACGACAGAAGATACACTGCCGACGATGATGAGCGCAGAACGAGCCCTGGCAACTGTCAGAATCAGGTCGCTGCAGTTCTTGAACGCGACCTGCGCATCCAGCAAGAAAAGATAAAGCTGTTTCAGGACTGTGCGCATGCAATTGATCAAGTCCTCCAAAAAGCAGGCACCGACCTTTACCTCGATGCAATGGAGTTCTGCTCCTTCTTCGCTGACCGCCTCGATGATTGGCTTACAGAACATAGGTCGGCAAGGCGGAAGGCCAATGCTGCAGCGCCGACAGGAGAACATGTCAAACCATCCTATGCCCAAGTAGCTGCCTCGAGGAACACTTCGGCTCCATCGCACAGAGCTCAGCGAAATACGGCAGCTGATGAAAGAGGCATGGACCGCACGGACCGTACGGACCGGCCACGCCGCAAGGAGCAAGAAGACAACCGCATATTTGTGCGCATGGATAACTCCCGACTCGAACCATACGGCGTCAAGTCCACCCTCGTGCGAAGACTCGGACTCGACTATCTGGAACTCCGCGAGGTGAGCCGGTGCGCTTCCGGCTTTACGCTGCACCCACGGGACAAGCCAACCCAGGCAAAACTCCTGGCCCTCCAGAGCGAGATTATCGACATTCTCAAAGCACAGAAAATTGAAGAACATGTCGTATGGCACCACTACAAGCTGCGGGGCTGTCCACGAAAAGTCATGACAGCGGAGGGGCTTACAGTCGAGATTGACGAAACGGCCGTCGCCAACGAGGCAGAACTTCAGACAGGCGTAAGGCCTGTGAGGTGTGTCTTGTCTAAGCATACATCTGATGGTGACGCAGAGACAGACTGGCTCGTCTCCTTTACGTGGGAAATCAATCGGCCATTCAGGCTCTTTGCACACTCCATGACGTCGTACCGTCTACGCCGGGAACCCCGAGTTCCCCAGTGTGGAGATTGCTTCTCCTTTCATGGCAGAAATTACCGTTGTGGAAAGATAATTTGCGGAACCTGTGCCAAACCAGTGCACGAAGGCAACTGTAGCAAGCCAATCCCCAAATGCGTCAACTGTCACGGCCCGCATGCTGCCACTTTTGAGAAGTGCCCGGCACGGCCGAAAGTGGTGAAAGGAATTATTCGCAGACCAGGCGCGGAGCAATTACGCAAGATAAGGCAGGCAGGCGACCGTGCGAGGTCTCAAGCATTTAGCTCTGCAAAAGAGAGTACTGTCGCTCCGGGAAGCGGCAGGACCGAAGCCAGGGATGACGGGCAGAGCGCTGATGCGATGCAAGTCGAAGATGAAACATGCACGGCTCACGAGAGCCAACAGGACAACAATGAGGAGACGATTATCGTATGCCCGTAAATGCAACTAGGAATCAGACACAGACACGACGCGGACACCTTGTTGTGCACTGCGTGAATGCGGCAGGGGGGCAGAGGAGCATTGATCCGACTGAACTAGCTCTTAACCTGGCCGACTACGAAGGAGAGAGGGCGGACATTATTCTGATGCAGGAGCCGTGGATCGGCGTCCCACCAGGCAGGAGAATGATGGTCAAGGCGCACCCCAACTACAACGTGTTTTCCCCGGTAGATAACTGGGACAGTGATATAACGCGGCCGAGGTCGCTGGTCTATGTGAGGAAGCACCTTCAAGCCCAACAGCTCCGGCCATACCAGACCAGGGACGTGACGTGGGTCAAGGTGCGAGGTATTACTTTTGTTAGCGTATACAGGTCAACCACAGACCCGCAGCAAGTCGACAGGATTTTGGAAGAGTGGATTCCACCGTCTGGATGTGTCGTTGCGGGCGACTTTAATGCCAGCGACGCCTCCTGGGAATCGGGTAACCATAACTACCATGGAGGGGAGATGCTGGGTAACATCATGTCTGCACATGGCCTAGACTTGATCTCCGAGCCCGATGTGCCGACGCACGACGATGGCCATGTATTGGACCTGGTGTTCTCCGACATTCCAATGGCAGAGGCGGCAGTCAGCGAGGCACTCCACTCGACGTCGGACCATGAAACACTCCGGGTCGTGGTACCAATTTCTAGGGATCTGGAACGGGTGACAAGGCCATGTAGATGGACCGTACCAGTTGACAACATACCTGAGCTGGTGGAAATGGTCCATGACAGGCTGCATGAACTTCCATCGCTAGGTTATACTGGGGAGGAGCTAGACGGCTACGCTCAGACCCTGGGTGAGATTATCTCTAGCTGCATCAAAATAGCTGGTCGGAGGACTTCACGATTCCGATCTACGGTGTGGTGGAATGATGAATGCAGAACCGCGGTTGAAGAATACAGAAACGCAGCAAAACGTAATACGAGTCAAGGGGACAAGAAAACCGCAAGGAAAGTTTTCCGCCAGGTTGTGAGGAAGGCTAAGAGGGAGTATTGGCGGGGTGTGATTGACGAAGCCAAAAGCCCGAATGACTTGTTCAAGATCATATCCTGGCACAAGATGACAGCAGGTCTGAGCGCGCCCCCGATCATAACCGGTAACAGAATCTCCGAGACACAGCTAGACAAGGCGAACGCACTGCGAAGGGCCACACTGGAGCGAAACAACGGGGAAAACGACATTCCCAATCCTTGGTCAGTTCCAGTGCGACAGCGGACACCCATCCCCTTCGAAAAGCACGTATCGCTAGAGGAGGCCGAGGCGTGCACGGTCGGGGTTAGCAGCACCTCGCCTGGGGTGGATGGTCTTACCGTGAAGATACTCAAGGCATGCTGGCCTATCATTGGGAAGCATGTAACGGACCTCTTTCAAAGGTGCTTGATGGTCGGGTACCACCCGAAGCCATTCAAGGTAGCCGAGGTGGTCATGATCCCCAAGCCAGGGAAGAAGGACTACTCTGACCCCAGGACCTATCGGCCCATCTCTCTCCTATCATGTCTTGGGAAGGGGCTTGAAAGACTAGTCGGCAAAAGGCTAGCATGGACAGTTATTGATCGCGGCATCTTGGCACCACAACACTTCGGGGCCTTGCCGAAGCGTGCAGCGACCGATCTAGTAGCAGCACTCGTCCATGATATTGAACAAGCCCTCGACCAAGGCTTAGTTGCCACACTAGTAACAGCGGACGTCAAAGGTGCCTTCGATGCAGCACTCGTGGGTCGACTGGTTGTGCGGATGAGGGAGCAGGGTTGGCCCCACTTTCTGATCAGATGGACAGAGTCGTTTATGACAGAGCGTTCTGCCAGGGTGCGGTTTGAGGATGCCCTGACTGAGGTCGAACCGCTCCACTGCGGTCTGCCACAAGGCTCACCAACGTCTCCCATACTGTACATGCTCTACACGGAACCCATCTGCGGAAAACTGGGTACAAGACGGCGGCGATTTGGATATGCAGACGACATTGGGATCCTCAACGTCGGGACGACACTCCAAGAAACAGCTGCCGAGGCGACAGAACAACTGAGAGAGCTTATTGACTGGGGACAAGACAATGGCGTGGAATTTGACCCTGCCAAGACCGAGATTATGCACTTTTCCAGGAAAAGAGACACCAACAACCCTATCGTCACCCATGGCACCACCCGAAAGATGGCAGAGCCTTCGATGCGCTGGCTTGGAGTATTCCTCGACAGGAAACTGACTTTCAGAGACCATGTCAAGCACTGGACGGGCAAGGCAAGCCGAGTGGCGAACCACATCCGCAGTCTATGCAACACCGTCAGAGGTCTTCCGGTAGCGTCGACAAGGAAAGCCGTCACGTCCTGTGTGATCCCGGTTCTCACACACGGCCTTGAGGTCTGGTACCCAGGACGGGAAAGGACGAGGCAGGATAATACGACTTCGTCATGCCGTGTCAAGAAACAGCTCCAGCAGATGCAGTCCGTTCTACGAACGGCAATGAGAGCCATTCTGCCTGTGTGGAGAACGCACCCAAGCCATATTCTGCATTTCGAGTCGCAGATGCCGCCGGCTGAGATACTGGCAGAGTCCATCCGCCGACGCCACGGTTTCCGGCTTGGGCGGGTCGACAAAGAGCATCCACTAGTGCGGCGGCTGCCACTACAGGCGCGAAAGGACCCCACAAGACTCCAGAGATGCCATCAGCTAGTCCCCATATTTCCGAGGCCAGAATTGGTCCGGCCATCTTTCGAGAAACCACCACATCCGGGAGGCAAGGATGGGGAAGCTGAGCTGTTCAAAGAATGGCTCCGGGAGAGAAATGAGGAAGAAGAGCTGATCGTGTACTCGGACGACTCGCAGTTACAGGAAAAGGGAGACAAGCGCACAGGCTGGGGGTTCACCATTAGGAAAGGTGGTACCACCCAAGAAGTGTACCGAAACCGAGGCAGGCTGCACCGGGCAGAAGTCTTCGACGCCGAAGTGCACGGAGCGTTGCAGGGACTCGCAGCGGCGAGGACGATCGGGCCGAATAAACGACTGTTTGTGTGTCTGGACAACACATCCGTGGTGGACGGGCTAAATGGATCACCACCGGAATCGTCGCAAGCCATCTTTCTGCGTTTCCAGGAGCTTGCATCAGGGCACAGTCCTGGGGTGACGGTCAAGTGGATCCCCGGACATCATGGCATCGAAGGAAACGAAGCTGCTGATAAACTTGCCAAGGAAGGCGCAATGCTCGAGACGAGGATAGACAGTCTGCCTACGGTTGCATGGGTACGGCGACATCTCAAAGGAAAGAGAAAAGACGATTTTGCCCGCTGGTGGGCGGCGCAAGACGAAGCCAGATATGAAGATGTGCATTCATACGCGGCGGTGTCAAAGAACCTCGTCTCATTCAAAAGGGCTACGCTGCACAGGCTCCTGGCGGCAAGATCTGGCCACGGCGACTTTGCAGCATATCATGAACGATTCGGGCATACGGACTCCAATAACCACTGCAGTTGCGGAGAGAGAAAGACACCAGAGCATATTTTCTTCTGTAGGAAATTGCAAGGACACCGACTGCTCCCGAGGCACACGCCAAGGGCGGCTTATACACAATATTTGGGGGAGAAGAGTGCGCAGTGGGCGCGTTTTGTAGAGAGGAGTAGATTTTTCACAAGGACATGCCCGAGATGAAGGGCCGTTTGAATTGACGGACTGAGTGAGTGTTCTCACTCAGGTCCTGCAATAGCGTGGACTGGCACGTGCGCAGGCTGGAATGTATGTAGATACTGATACCTCCAAAACCCTGCGATGTATGGCTCTGGGAGGCGTGGTTTGCCCTAATAAGGGACGGTCCCCACGTTAAATACAATCAATCAATCAATCATTGTCTCAGCGGTCCAAGCCACTATAATAGGAAGCGGATCTGGGGCGGGCTTTGGAATTTCAAAAATTCCGTTGTAGAGATGTTCTACGCCTGATCCCATTAAAAACATGTTACCAGAAGTTTTCAAAAGTCTTTCGATTGTTGCAAAATCGTTTCGAAGGACAGTTCTCCAGACGAAAGCGTGTTGGGCACGACGGAAGGTGGATTCATTGACAGGGAGCCCTGCTTGAATTGCGGAAACGAGACTAGCTGAGTCAAGCTCTTCAGCTATCTTTTGACTGATCTCGTTAGGTACTCTCGCTGGCATCAAGCTCACATTGTTACCGTTGCTTGCATTCAGGGTTGGCTGGTAGGACCCTTCAATGGTGTTGGATTCGAGCAAAGACATAACGGCTGGGTCTGCAACTTGTTCAAACCCCGCAACGTCTCCAAACTCAACGTCCTTTAAACGCTTCTCCAGCTCGCAGATACAGTTGTGAGAGTAACAGTAAAAATGTCTGTACATTTCTACCCCCCAAAGAGTAACAACGAAAATCATCGACGTTTCGAGGTTAATACATTTGAGTTCTGCGTTCGCGTCTGCATCGTCGCAACATATTAAACTTTTCACGTGTCCAATCTTGGTCGACTGGTCGTGCAGCCTGACGTCGGCAGGTGTTGCCATAGTGACACCACCGAGTGCATATTCGCCTATGTTTAGCTCAATATTCGAGCCAGGGATTATGATCGCATGTCTGCCTTCTTTCGACCATTTCCACGGCTTCAGACACTTGAGGAACAAGCCGAGAAATGGATATCCGTGGCTATATTGGGTCGGGTGATGGTTTGGTGATCTCTTGCTCACTAGGCCTAGGGCTACATAGATCGTACTCTCATCGCGGTGATTAGTCTTGTCAGGAACAAGTCGTCCAAGATCTATGCCGTAAAATAGGATAGTAAGCCCAAGTTTTTCGATCTCCTCCATCCATGCTGTACTCTGGAAGATTCTGCCTGTGACTTCATGAATGCCATATGACACACGATTTGTGTTAGTTGCTGAAGTAGAATCCATTTCACGTGAATTTACATTAGGGAAGACACAACTTAGCTGTGTAGTCGTAGAAACCTATATAGCCAACAAAAGTGTCCACATTTGGCTCCAGATAAGTACCTTTATCGTCACTTTCCTATTTTCCTTGAGCACAGTCCAGTTTTAGCCATGATTTGGAAGTAGCTCTTGGATGCTTAGAGTATACTGTACTCCAGTGGAGCCAAAGCTGTCTTGATGTACCCCGCCATGCTTACAGGTACTGCGCCGCTTTGTCTTGTGTCGATTCCTCGCCTCTTTCTCCATCTCTACCCTGCTAGACTGTCCCACTGCATCTGACTGTCCATCAGGAGTATGTAAGTAAATACAGTACACACACACACACACACAAGTTTATTACGCCCGGGCTATTCCCCTAGAGGGCAACTAACTTTATAGTACAAAATCGCTTCTGAAGTTTCCGTCCTGACTCCGACTTGAGCCCATGCTCAGGGACTAATCCGTTTCCGTCTCAATACATTTCTCTTTCATGACATCCCTATATGATACTGTTAGTAGTTAGTATACAGCATTTCTGCTTGAAGTTGACTCCTCCAAGTGTTCAGAGTCCTATCCTCGGCGACTGAAGCGCGACCTGCTGGGTTAGTATGTTTTAGAGATGTCTCCACTGTTGTACATGATTTTGTTTCTATTGTGTTGAACTGCTCGCTTCCCTCACTGTCGATTGTAATCGCCCCGTCGCCATGGCAAACTTGATCGTAGCTCGAACTGCTGCCACGTCTGGCGTCCATTTCTCATCATCGCTATGCGTCTTTCCGCCCAAAAGAAACGAAATACTTCCCCTCCGGTTTTGTGTATAGTCAAGTAGGTCTTTGCGATAACTTGTCCATTTTCTACAATGCAGAACGAAATGCTCTACCGTCTCTTTCGCATGTCCGCAATCACATTCTGGCGATGCGACCGCGCCAATCTGGGCCAGGTAATAGTTGAGCCTGGCCATTCCTGTCCGCAACTGGACCAGAACGCTAGCCTCCTTCCATGACAGTGCGTCATACAATAGTCGGGTATGTCTCCCTGGCAATGCTGTGTCAATCCGCTTGGAGAACGCACCGATGTTGTATGGCAGTGCTTCTGGTCTGCTTTGTGTCTTTCTGGCGTTGTTCAGTGTGGTCGACTTGGCCCGAAATGGCGGTGCACGGGGCGAACTGCCTGGAAGAGTTGCTTTTCGTGCAGCTTCTTTCGCTAGCCGCGCTAGGGCGAAACTGTCTTGGTGGCCGTCATGGCTGGTATTGTTGTCAACATCTTCATCCTCTTGATTCTCTGTCTGTTCCTGTGCCCGCTGAACAATCACGATCTTGTTTCTCTGTTTTCGAAGCTGGGCCACAGATGCGTAAAAGTCTGCGATCTCTTTCTGGCCCGACTGATGCCGCGGTCGCTTCATACTCAGAGCAGCACCATTGTTGCTCGTAAATACCACAATTACTCGTTGCCTGAAGTATTGCGGCACCTTTCGCAGTCCCCGTGTCATTGCCGCCAGTTCCGCCGTGTACGGATTTTGCTCTTCTCTCGTCCCAAGGGTGACCGACTGTAGCGTAAACTTGTTCTTTGCCGAGCTAGACTCTGGGAGTCGTGTAGCCACTCCAAATCCGACCAGGCCGTTCTTGCCCGAGCTGGCGGTGGCGATCCGGATAGCCCATCGTGCGCCAACTAGCTCAGCTGCTCTGTCGCTTCCTCCCGTAACGACCTCGACCCGTTCATTCCACGGCTCCACTGCGTAGGCGTCGATCGTTTCCAACCTGCTTATCGGCACATTCTTCATGTCTTCAGCAAGTTGCTGCATCGGCGAGATGAACCGCGTAAACATCCGAAATCCTGCCGTACGAAGCGGGTTACTGCTCGGCAGTGTATGAACGTCGACCCAGAGCTTGATTGCCCGTTTAGCGAAGCGGCTTCGAGCTGGCAAGATATGTGCCTCGGCCTCGCCGACTGCCGTGGCTACCTTGCTAAACGAGCCCACAATTGCTTGCGCGCCCACTCTCTGTACTCTGTTGACAACGTGCATTAGCCGATCACCACAGGCGTATCTCCATACGTTCGATGCGTAATCCAGAATAGGGGCTACCATGGCTGTAAATAGCTGCCGGGCGGTCGCCGGTGGCAGACCCTTCAGCCGTCTAAGCTCGATGGCAGCCTCCAGCGCTTTGCTCGAGACTCGAGCCACGTGCTGTCTATACCGTAGTTGCGAGTCCATCGTGACACCCAGGATCTTGACCTGGTCTTGTGGGAACACACGCTCGCCCTTGATTAGAAAGTGATTCTTGGTCACTCTGGCCGCTTTTCGACTGAAATGGATGATGGCAGTCTTCTCTGCCTCGAATGTGGCACCACTGCGACTTTCCCAGTCGAGAGCTCTGTCGATGATGGCTCGTATGCCCACCTCGTTCGCTTGAGCCGTCGGTCCTGCTACCCACGCTGTGTAGTCATCAACGAATGCGACGGATCCACCTGCCTTGTTGATAGGATGCTGCACTAGGTCTGCATTGAAGAACAGGAACAGAACTGGCGAGAGCGGTGAGCCCTGCGGTAATCCTGCTTGTGGCAGACCGTGGCTCGCGGATGTACGGCCGTTAATCTCGATCGTGGCAGTACGGTCAGAGCAAAAGGCACCGATCCATCTCGTCAAGCTTGTTGGTATGCCTCGGGCTTCCATCCTCTGGATAAGCCGCTCCTTGCACACTCCGTTGTATGCTCCCTTGACGTCGAAACTGACCAGGCTTACTACTTGTCGTCGTCGCCATGCCTTGTAGATGTACTCCTGCAGCAGGAGCACTGCTTGCTCTGCCGATCTGCGTTTCCTCGCACCAAAGTGGTTCGTTGGCAGAAGACCGTGTTCCTCGACGATGTACGAGATCCTTTCAGCCACGACTGACTCCAGCACCTTGCCCAGGGTCGACAATAGTGAGATTGGACGCCATGCCTTGGCAACAGTGTAGTCTTCCTTGCCCGGCTTTTTGAGCGGCACAATCTTAGCATGTCGCCACTGCTGAGGGAGCACGCCCTCGGCTAGTGATTGCCTGAAGAGCGCTAGAATCCTGTCCTTGACGACCGGCCATGTCTGTTGCCAGACGATTGCTGGTAGGCCGTCTTCGCCGGGGGCCTTCCATGGCTTGGTTGCGAACAGTTGCCGTTCGATCTCGTCCAGTGTGACGTCCGGCACAGTGACAGGATCTCTCGTCGTCGTCGTCCTTTCGTCTGCGATGTCTTCAGGCAGTGGCGGGAAGAAGCAATGCAATAGTTCTTCCGCTTGTTCGTTTGTGCTGGTTGTCTGACTCCCATCCTGCTTTGTCAGCTGTGGGATCTTGTCAAATGCTGCTCCACTCTGGGACTTCAGGTACTTGGCGGCATTCCAGATGTTAGACTCGTCAGCAAGAAACTCATCCCAGTGATTTCTCTTCTGTTCTCGGATGCTGGTGCGGTATTGCTTGGCGGCGGCCTTCGCCGTATCCTCCAATGCCTGAGAGAAACGACCTGCTCTTCGCTCCGCTCTTGCCCTGTTCCTCCAGTACGTGTACACCGATCGCATTTGTGTCAGGTCCGTCGTCCACCACCGCTTTGTGTGAGCTGACGTTTTGGCCTTGGGCGTGAGCGTGTGTACTGCTTCAGATACTGCCGACAACAGGCCGTCCGTCTTTTCTTGCACTGTTTCTCCGGCGAGTGTCGTCTCCAACGTGCGCACAATCCGCTTGTTAATCTCCTTCCACGGCGCGTTACGAAGAAGAAGTCGCTCCCTTGGCTGGAAGTCTGGCATGTCCATGTCTATTGTTGTCTCGATCGCTCGGTGGTCGGATCCGTGGTCTGCCTCTGACGTAGTGCAGTACGCCATCTTGCTTGCTAGGTCGTTGCTGGCAAGCACCAAATCGATCGTCGTCGCTGAAGCTCCCTTCTCCCACGTCTTCGTCCCTCGCGGCAGAAGACTCTGTAACGAGCAGTCGCTCATCAGGTCGATGATCGGATCTGCTTCTCCTTGCCTAGCTAATGTCACATCCTCCCCTCCCCACAACTGATCGTGCTGATTGAAATCTCCCACCAGTATGATGTCTACGATATCTCCTCGCCGTCGTCTCACGACGTCTACCACTACTCTCAGTAGATCGCACGCATCGCGAAGGGCGTCCTGGTCGGTCGGCGGGATATACACCGAGACTACCAGCACCATTCTCCCTCCTAATCTGATCAGCACCCCGGTCATGTCCGGCGACGCGATCGCCACCTGTTCGGCT